CCTTTCCGTCAGTCCGCCACACTCAAACTTGTGGAGGGTAAAAAATATATTACATGTAAACAGTTTAATTAAAAGTATATACTGCACTTTGAGAAATTATATGTCCTTTGCTATGTTTTCGATTAGTTTTTTTTTCATGTGTGCATTTATATCATATTTTCCTAACTTATAACTCAATTACTTTAGTTTTCTATATATATGTATATATATATATATATATATTGGAATATGTCATGATGACCACATCTGTTGGCTCCCATGTCCTTAGGTCTACTACCGCTTTGTAAGTTTTACTCACGTTTGATGGCCGACTTACCATTTTGGAAATCTTGAAAGAATTGTCGACTGGTTATAATTATTTCATATGTTTTTGTTTTCACTCGTATATTTGAATATATCATTCATATTGAATTTACTCTAAATGGAACACATTTAATCGTAAATTTCTTCTAAAACGGATTCCAGAAATCAAATATAATTTAGTGTATAGATAATCAAATCAAAGTTTAAAAGTATACTTTTCACATATACCAGAACTCTATGAGTGGGATGTCGTTTTCTCAGATCAAAAACTGTCGCTCCAAAAGTTTGAGTTTAATGAGCAAAACTGTGAGTTTAAAGCGCTCTACACTCAATTAAATTCGAGTATTTTACTAGTATTTCGTAATGTCCCTCCGTTTCCGCTCATAAGTCCTACCTTTCGTAGTAAAAAAAAAAGATAATAAAAAAACTGCCAGCAAGATGTAAAACTTTGCATTTGGATTTGATGTTGTATGTAAAGAATATTACAAAGTTTGCTTTGCCTTTTTCATACAGCTAATCATGGTTCATTTCAAGAGTTTGTAAAGATTGATAACAATGATTAAAAATTACTTATTTTCAGTACACATATGTTGGAAAAAGTTATGAATCTTCAGATTGAAAACAGGAGTTTCAAATATTTGTGGTCTCTTATTGGTTTATGAGAGAATCTCTACAGTATAAGATGAGCTAGCAAATCTGTAAAATTGGGAGAATCAAGCTGAGTTAGTAGAGTCAACAGTGTATATTTAAAACAAAACAAAAAATCGTACGATCCAATTATTTTCTACATAGGTACCTATGCTTTAATGACAAATAGTAATAATTTAATAGCTTATTTTAATTTACAACTATAGTCTATAGTCACACTCTCTAACTATATATACAAATGACCAGTAGAAACAAATCGTGTAGCAACTTAAATAGACTTGTGACCACATTTGCTTTTTAACAATCTGCAACTACTTTGAGGCAACTTTACTAGTAGATCTCACTATAAAATTTGTAAAAATTAATTTGAAACTAAAATTTAGAAGTTCGTTTGTTCGGGGACAGCCGTAATAAGGTACGGCGGAAGCAGCCGTCAAGTCTAGCAATGGGTTGGTAGATTAATAAAGTCCTTCCACAGTTTTATATAATATCCGATGTGGATAAAGTAAGTATGCTACGGGATTACCTGGAGCAATCGGTCACAAATTGTTATTTCATATTATGTCAATATTTTATTTGTGAAGTTTTTATCCCAGATTTGTAGCAAATTTGTTTAGTGAGTAACAAATCTAAAGAGATGTTATTGGTTCTTGTATTTTAATGAATTTGAGAATCCAAACCAAATTCAGTGTTATTGGTTCTTATATTTTAAAATTTATATTGAAATACAGTGTTATTGGTTCTATGATTTTAAAATTTATAATGAAATACAGTATTATTGGTTCATCATTTTAGAATCTAAATATTATAAGGATTTGAGTTTTAGGAGGTGTTATTGGTTTTCGTATTTTAATGGATTTGAGAATCCAAACCAAATTTAGTGTTATTGGTTCTTATATTTTAAAATTTATATTGAAATACAGTGTTATTGGTTCTATGATTTTAAAATCCATAATGAAATACAGTGTTATTGGTTCATCATTTCAGAATCTAAATATTATAAAGATTTGAGTTTTAATTGAATTTGAATGGATTTGGAAGGATTTTCATGACTAAAATACAAAGACCCAAATACAAGGTCTAACCTTGGTATTTGAGTGGATTTGATTTTTTTTTATTTTGCTGATTTTGAAATCAATAAATTTATCAAATCCAAAGAAGATTTATAAATCCACCAAAATACAAGAACCAATAACCCCTACTAAAACTTTCAGAAAGAAATAAAAAATGTTTGCTACAGTTTTCAGTTTTAAATTATCACTATAAAGATACTTTTTGTTTTAACCTTAAGTAAAAATAATCTCTAGAAGATGCTACCAATATTTTACGTACGACTGGTCACTCATATCTGTTATGAATTGTTGGGCTCTATCCGGCTCAAGTTTAGCCAACTCTTGCTATTGAATAGAAAACAATATTTTTGTGGTAAACGATATCATGAGTTTATACTCATTAAAATAGAAAATAATTTTTGGTGTGGTAAACGTGATTGGTCATTTGTAAAGATGAGTATTTTGGTGAGTAACATACTTATTTAGTGAATAAGAAAAAGCTAGAAAGAACAAGATGTTTTTCGACATCTAAGTTTTGTTCGTAGTATTATTTCTTTATTGATTTTTCTTGTACTTTTTCCAAATGTACAACCGAGATTGAGACAAAAATGAGTATTTTTATTGATATAAACAAACACGATTGTAATCTTTGTTCATAGACTCATAGTGGATATTTTCGAGTTCAAGAGTCGTATGAGATGTAACATCTAAGGTATATTGTATTGTTCTATATATATATTATGTTCAGTCCAGAGATAAACCAAGCAGAATTGAAGAGATTCTTCAACCGTGCTAGAATTATTCGAAACGACATTCAAATAAAGATACATTACGAAAAAACTGCTCAAATTTCATCGTCAAAAGACAAGTAAATAATGCATAATTGGCCGCTAAAATGTTAAAGTTTGCAAGTAATTGTGAAACATTAAATTTAATCCCTAAATATGTATTATAAAACAATTTTGGTCTATAGTTTTAAGTTTTTTGTGGAATAGAAAACGAACAGTACATGAAAAAGAGACATAGAATAAACGCAGACGAGAAGGCCTATGGACCGAAAGACAACGTATATTAATAAATTCGTAAAAAATATCATACGATTTCGTAGTGGTTATCAGGAATCATTTAAATTGTTTTGTTTGAACAACTATTTTATTAAGTAGGCGAGGTTAATTATTACAATAATGAATAGGGAAAAATTCCATAAATATTTTTTCTTTAATATCGCCGATCACATATACCAAACGTGGAATGTGCAAAAACGAAATGGAAGAGAAAACGTAGAGGGAGATTGGATGTTGTGGAGAATTCCGTATAGTTACTTGATCTCCTTTCGTAATGATTTTGATTAGATCCATAGCATCAAATTTAAAACTAACCCAGTTAAACTATTTTATTATATTGATGTATATATATTGGGATCGGGCATATTTATATATATAGTTGACCTGGTAACTATTGATATATTGATATTTGGTACGCATACATTCTTACATATATATTGGAAGTATATTGTCTGTAACGTCTTAAATAAATTTGCCTCTCGTCACATATATATGCCACATTAGCATTTTATGTGTAGATTAATTGTGCATGAATTAATGTCAACTAATTCAAAATGAATCAGTTTATCTACTCTAATTAATCTAATTAATTCAGTATTGAATCAACCATCCCACGGAGTTCAAAAGAAAACTAGTTATATGTAAAAATATAAAAAATAATAATTAAGCATTATAAGTAGTGTTGAATTCTCTTTCAATTATATTCCATATCTAATTTTTCTTTTAGAAGAGTTATTATTAAGTTTGACAAAAAAAGAAGAGTTATTATATGTATACTCTTGCATGGTCGTTTACAACTTTACATCATGCTTTGCCAACCCATTTCCCTCAGCATTTGATATCAAATCAGGAAAAAAAACTGTTTGACACATCAATTAGGTCCATATGACAGGATCATAATGACCACTTATAAAGTACTATATTATATTTTCCCTTAAATCTATGGCCAGGAATAATTGATTAATTATCACAATATAAGCCTTGGCTAAAGTTTGCAGCCAAAATAATTAACACTAATTATTGGCAGCCAATATGTCACACCGTTATTACTACAACCAAAGTTTAACTTTCTTATGGCTTTACTAGTTATTTTTTATAATTAAACCTCTTTATAACAAGATTCAATTTTTCACTTTTTTTTTTCAATCCAGAAATTAATATATAGACTTGTCGATAAAGGTATATACAAAGTTTCTTATGGCTATATATAGGGTTACTTATGTAAAATTTTCTTAAAATGAAACTCTGATTAACTTTCTTATCAATTTCGAGATGTGATGCTATCAAATGAAATGAAAAGAGTGCGGACGAATCTCTTTTTTTTTCTTTTGGTCAACGTACAGACTAATCTAGACTAATGATATACTATATATTAGCTTCTACCGAATAATTACATACAAATAAACATTATCTAAATGAAAACGGTTATTATTAGAACAAGAAAAAAAAGAAGGGAAAAGTTTGGTTTGTTTTCCCTAAGTGGATAACAATGAAACCAAAAGAGAATATTAGATAATAGTGTCCCATGAGACACCTCACAACTAAGATTTCTTGTAACTTTGGTTTTTCTTGAAACTTCCCACCATAACTAACTACATATATTACACAAGCATGGACCCAATAAATCTTACAATATTGTAAGAAACTCTAACTTGTCATCTTCCATCCTTAGCTATACATGCATGTTATATTATATTCTATTTCCATACATCATATAAGCTAATTCCCTCCCTAACTATAAATATATACATAATTAAACCTATATATGTACACACCCTTCTCCCTCTCCCTCTCCCTCTCCCTCTCCCTCTCCCTCCTTTGCTCTTAAGCCTTTCTTTGAAGCTTTACATGCCCCTATTGGTATTAATTATTCTCCTAAGCTAAAGGTTTATACATTCAAATTTACATAATAAGCTACAGATCCATTCACATAATGGGTTTGAAAGATATTGGGTCCAAATTGCCACCGGGGTTCCGGTTTCATCCAAGCGATGAAGAGTTGGTTTGTCATTATCTTTGCAATAAGATTAGGGCCAAATCTGACCACGGTGATGTTGAGGATGATGACGTTGACGAAGCCTTGAAGGGTGCTACTGATCTTGTGGAGATCGACTTGCATATTTGTGAGCCATGGCAGCTTCCTGGTAAAATATTGATTTAATATATCTCATTTTAATTTTTATAGGTACTTGTGATTGCTATAGCTACTTATGAATTCGTTTGTGTATATATATTTATATCTATGTATATATAAGTATATGTACAATAGTATGTATGCTCTTTGTACTCCTGGCTTTGGTGGGTTTCAAATTGTTTTTGTAAAGATTTTTGAAACTATTCAGCAAAAAAAAAAAAAAAAATTTTTTTGAAACTTTCCATTTAAGAAAACGATTCTTGGAATTAATTATTAAACAGACATAAAGAAGGAAACAGATTCTTGATATCAGATTTTATTATTGGCATCGGGTAATTGTTAGTATTATACAGTTCCATGATTTTTATACATTAGTCCTACTGTACATGCGTATAAACACATAGATATATTTTTTGTCGCTTATACATATATATTCACATAAATTCTAGTTTTATTTTATTAATTAATCATACGATTGTAATAACACTAACAATAGTTTATCAGGGGTGTAGCTGAGACGCATATATATACTAGCTTTTTTTGTCAATACAATTTGGATTTTTTATTTTATTTGACAGCAATAAATTTGGATTATTAGAAATTAAAATCTGGAGGATATATACAAAAAACCACACCTGCCGTTAAAGATTTCTCGTAGATCAGATTATAAATTTTAATAATTAATTATATTTATATTTATTTATTTTTTGCTCTATATATGTGTGTATATATAGATGCTTACATCATATATATATTCATACGAAAACATACAAATAAATAAATATTTATATATATTGTGTGTGTGTGTGTTTGTGTGCTTATAGTGATTTTCATTATTTGTTTGTGGGTTCTCTTTTGATTACCTTGAGACATTACGGAAGCTTTTTTCAAAAGGGGACCGAGAATCCTGTTGTCATCTTTTTTTGTGTTCTCTTTACTTTTAAAAATTTTCGATTGTCTTCGTAGTGTTGACTTTTACGGACTTTGTTAAAAAGATAACTTGTAGATTACAAAATTCAAAGTTAGTTAATTTGTTGCATTAAAGAACATTAATTAAACCGTAATAAAAGAAGAAACGAAAAAGTAGGCTTTGTGTGTAAACACGAAGACCTTTTGTTTTAACCCCATATCACAAGCAACTTTAGAGACTCAAGAAACCTTTAATTACTCTCATGACCAGTACGATCTTCTTGTAATTAGTCCAATAATCTGTTTCTACATGATATTATAATTAAATAAAATATATATATACTACTATATAGGATATGGTTGATGATGATAATTATGTTTACGAAAAATAAATTGTGGTCTATTACTCTTCTTCTCAATGAAGGCAAAATAAAGGAATCTTTTTTTAAGTAGCCATACATCTTCTTAATCATCTTCTATAAGGATCAAATTAATGCGAAACTGATAGAAAGAATGTTTGAGAGTGCAATAATTCCTCCATTGAAGTCAGAATCGTAATTATATTTTGCCTAAAATGTCTCACATCCTCCGTCTTGTCAACATCACAAGTCCTATTATCATCACATAAACCTTTGACACATCACTGTTTATATAAACCGAGACACTAGAAATCCGATTCAATTGTTAAAAATTAAAAATAAGTAAATAAATCCGATTCAAGATAATAATTATAGTGATTGAAACATTCACTAGCCTATTATGAGGTTGAAAGTTCAGAGTTTATTTTCTTTTCTGCATTATGTTTTCAATAATAGTAAGTCACCACGATATGTTTTTTTTTGGTGGAAAAAAGTCACCATGTATATGTTAAGCGACAAAATATCATACTTTTCACCGGTCGTTGGGCTTCAGTTTCAAGATTTTTAGTTATACAAGAAAAAACAGATTAAAAAAAGCTAGTTAATTATTCTGAATGTTTTACAATTTTTGTCAAATAGACTTAATTATCTAAATATTATGTTAAGAAAAGAAAATATATATAACTTTAAAATATAATGATAACTTGACAACGTACCCTTTGTGTTTTACTCTATGGTTTTTCACAATTTAAGATATTTAGCATACAAATTTATTATTTTTTAAAATTATGTGATTTTATATAAATGCTGCGGTAGATATCTCAACAAACACATTAAAGATTTTACTAACAATTTATATATCCTGCTTGTTGTTGTGTAAAAGATGTGGCAAAGCTGAACGCAAAAGAATGGTACTTCTTCAGCTTTCGCGATAGAAAATATGCGACTGGATATCGCACAAACAGAGCGACAATAAGCGGATACTGGAAAGCAACCGGTAAAGATCGGACGGTGATGGATCCACGTACGAGCCAATTGGTGGGGATGAGAAAAACACTGGTGTTCTACAGGAACAGAGCTCCAAATGGGATCAAAACTACTTGGATCATGCACGAGTTCCGTCTTGAATGTCCTAACATGCCACCTAAGGTACTTGATTATTCCCCAACAATAATTCCTTCTCTCTTTCATACTACTAACCATTATTAGTAATGATCATTTCACAATTATTACGTCTTATTAAGCATAACTTGTAACGTACCTAAACTCACGACATGTGTCTATTCGTGGATGTCCCATGCATAGATATAGATACCAAATTACCTTTTTATTAATATTAAATTATTAGTTAATCCTTTTTATTTTATTAAATACAAAATCATAAATTTTCAAAAATTAATGGTCATAATGCATTCATCCTGTAAAATATTAATGTATACCTCAAGAACATTAGTATAGGCTATGGTCTATAAGACTAGAGCATAGGCTATACATATATTTTGCGAGAAATTATATACTTTCAACTCAGATAAGTAACAAATAAATGAATCGGCTTATTATGATAATATACATTAATAATATTGGTTTCTTCTAATTTTGCATGTAAAAGTTTTTAGATGTTCTATTCGAGATGCTTTTTGGCTCATTCATCTTAAAAAGTTGGGTTTTTTTTTTTTTTTGAAAATGGATATAAAATAATGGTTTTCTTTTTGTTATAACCATTTAAATCCAGTATATTTTTTAATACCACATATATGAGCAACTATAAACTTCAAGTTTATAATTAATTGGCAGAGAACTGGATTATAATTTTATAATCCAGTTCTTTTATATGTTTTCGTTGGTCTCACTTTCAATGTGAGATCATGTATATGTAGACATTTCTTATCATTTAGTTTATTTAGGAGTCATATATATCCAAGCATTAGTGTATGTGTGGTTGTGGATGGCATGGGACGCATGATGAGATGGCAATAAGTACGAAGAAAGAATGACGAACTTGTGCTGATAAAACAAAAAAAAAGAAGTAAAAATAAAATGGAAGAAAGAGACAAATATAACTTTAATGCGTGTTTGGTCATTTGCATGCACGAGATCGCACGTAACGTAAACATCCCATGCATTTTATATAAATATACGTTAATATGTATTTTCTAAACAGTGTCCTCTCGTTTTCTGTCGGTATGTGGACACAGGAAGACTGGGTCTTGTGCAGAGTGTTCAACAAAGGAAGAGACTCATCACTACAAGACAATAACAACAGTGGCGGTCCAAGGTTTGATATAAATGACGCGCCAGATCTTAATTACGCTCCTAATTACAACAATCAGTTGCAACCATTACTATCATCCCCTCCATCCACCACCATCGACCCTCCACATCATCATCAGCATGATCAGTGGGAGCAGCTAATGAAGCAGCCTTCAAGGACCACGGACCATCCCTATCATCATCATTGTCAACATCAAACCATAGCATGTGGTTGGGAGCAAATGATGATTGGTTCAATGTCGTCATCTTCGAGCCATGGCCCTGATCACGAGTCCTTGTTAAATTTGCTTTACGCCGACAACAACAACAGTGTCAACATCAGTGATCATGATCAGAATTATGAGAAGATATTGTTGTCATCAGACATCACGAGTTTGGATCATGACAAGACATGTATGGGATCATCATCGGATGGTGGTTTGGTTTCTGATCTTCACATGGAATGTGGTGGCTTGAGTTTTGAGACCGACCACCTCCTTGCTTTCCACTGAAAATATATACTATTCAAGGGTTTTACAATAATTCGCAGATTTGTTGATTCGTGGAATATACAATCTATAGATTTACCAAACATTATACGTGTAAGTTGTGTGACTTTGGATATATATATTTATATAGGGTTTGTGGTGCTAGGTTTTTAGGATGTTGTTATAGTCAGTGTGTTTTTTTAGGTTATTTCATTATTTTTATTCTGAATCATATGTAAACCATTTATACTATGAATATTGATGCACAATTAGTTTCTTTGTTGTATATATTCATCATCTGTATATGCTATCATGCATCAGCCATCTTTCATCTCATATCATTTGTTTAAAATTTTAACATTCCGCTGCCAAACTGTCGCGTGATTAAAAAAAAAAAAGTTGTATATATCGTATATATATATCACATCTATTCTATAATATCATGCATATTCATGATTTTTATTTAAGAAATTAAAATAATGTAAAAAAAAGATATTCCAAGTTACGAGGAATAACGACATTTAAAAAGGATGAAAAGGCCCAAAACTAATTAGCGAACGGTCCGAAAAATAGCCTTCAATTTTAATAAATTCCGTGAATAATTAAATAGGTTGCTCTTAGCGAGTTTGTAACTGTGAAAAATACACATGCAGTAGTAACGTCCTCTACTGCTATTTTCTTTTGCCTATATTAAAGGAAAGTTTGGCGAATTAGATATTTTATCACACGCTAGACTAGATGAGGATACTCCAAACCACATTTCCAAACTTGACCGAAGCTAGATCCTTTGGGCCTCCGTAAGGCCCACATAAAGGCGTAATCTCAAAGCCCTAAACCCATTTCTGAATTCTATGATTCTACAAATTAAGGATAAACAAAATATATATATATATATATATATATATAAACGCTTTGTAAAGTTAGGAGGTGTTATTGATTCTTGTATTTTAATGGATTCGAGAATCCAAACCAAATTCAGTGTTATTGGTTTTTGTATTTCAAAATTTATATTGAAATACAATGTTATTGGTTCTATGATTTTAAAATCTATAATGAAATACAGTGTTATTGGTTTTATCATTTTAGAATCTAAATATTATAAGGATTTGAGTTTTAATTGAATTTGAATGGATTTGGAAGGATTTCCATGACTAAAATACAAAGACCCAAATACAAGGTCTAACCTTGGTATTTGAGTGGATTTGATTTTTTTCCATTTTGTTAATTTTGAAACCAATAAATTTATCAAATCCAAAGAAGATTTATAAATCCACCAAAATACAAGAACCAATAACTCCTACTTAAATTTTATTTTTTTGTCAGCAACTCGAATTATCGTTTCAAACAAACACCATAGTTTGAAATCATTCACAACGTTATAATAGAAAAAAAACCAAATCTATTTGAAAGTATTTTGAATTCACCGTACGTGATTTGCACAGATCTCCTATTTGAAAGTGTTCATGAAAATCTTGCCAGATGATTCAGCTTTCGTCACTTTCCTTCCAATCTTATTTGCATGAATCTCCACTTTCATCTAAGAGTTGCTTATTGTAAGACTCATCAGTGTTGCTTATTCTAGTGTTGCTTATTGTGGATCATGAACTGGTTTCCATGTACATCCCTTGAAGGACTCCATAAGTGATTTATCATTCATGACAATGATCGTAACAATCTAAGAAATCTGGCAGAAAATGCATGGTAGTATTCTCTCAAAGTATTTTTAATGAAAATTCAGATGATAACAACAACAAAAACATTCATATAATACGTTACAAACGTTTTGGTATATAAACTATTACAAATCAAAATTCAAAACTCTGATGACCAGCATCTCAGATAGTCAGGTTCCTCTTCTTAAACGCTGATGGATCGGACCAAAAAGTTAGAACTGGAGGAGGGAGAGAGAGATGGTCGTTTCAAGGTAATTTAGATCCGGAGAAGAAAGGAGAGGAGGTTATATCATTTTCTTTTGTACCTGAAAAGTGAAAGGCCTAAGTTTGGGAAGCACTACTAGATGGGCTTTATGAGCTTCTATCTTATGAAGAGCCCACTATCATCTCATCTAATCTCACACACAATTAAATCTCATCTCACACACAATTAAATGACATCGTTTTAAGCTAACATGAAAATATACTTAAAGATGGGCTTTAAGTATACTTTTGGTCATCAAAGAAAGTACAATAATCACAAAATTCTGTCATTCTGCATTTAATGAGGTTCTAAAGAAAGAAGAAAAATAAAAAAAAAAGAAAAGAAAAACGACATGTAGAAATGGGAAGCTAGAATCGTCTTTCTCGATAGGGGTGAAAGAGATGACTCTGTGATGTGGCAACATATCATTTGTCATATTTTGTTTTGTTTTTTTTAAATAACAAAAATCATTTTTTTAATAATATATTTTTTTAAGAGTTTCACATCAGAGTATCTCTGATGCTGATGCTCTTAAAGCATTTACAATACTAAAGAATATTAATATGGTATCTTAACAAAAGTTATATTAATTTTTAAATCATGAAAAAATTCAAACCAATTATAAAATGCCACATATTAAATGAGTTTTCTAAAAACTTAAGAATATTTTATTAAACAAGAAATTTAAGACCCAATTCTTCTTCCTCTCTCTTATTTTTTATTATTTTATTAATTTTTTTGTTAAGATATTATGCTAAGAACATGATTAATGCACAGCTTTTGGAAAGCTCTAAAGAAAAAAAAAATAAAAAATAAATAAATAATGATATGGTAAGCCCAAAAATTAAAGTCGACTCTCTGCACACAGCTTGTAGGAGCGGCTCTTCGATGACATGGTAATACTTGAATCGTCGATTGTTTTTTTTTTTTTTGAAAATCGATTTTTTATTAAAAAAAATCAATTTTTTTAATAATATAAAATTTTTAAGAGTTTTTTTCTGAACTCTCCCATATGCATGCTCTAAGAAACTAGCATTGTACATGCTCTTAGGGTTAGGGTTTTTGCCTCTCGTGAAGATGCCTGAAACAGCCGAAAATTGTGATGGGAGAATCGAAGAGATAGTTTGTGAAGACCGGATCAGCGCTTTACCTCAAGACTTGCTTCTGACGATCCTAATGTATGTCCCGATTAAAGATGCAGTAGCTACCATGATATTGTCTAAGCGATGGCGTTTTGTCTGGACGATGTTGCCTATGCTTGACTACAAAGATTATGGTGCTGATGTAGAGAGCAAGAAGAGCTTTTGGTGGTTTGTTGATAAGTCATTGCAACTCCACAAAGCACCTGTCTTACATATGTTGTGTATAACAATCCGTTCTCGGTGTCCATCGGATGCTGATGTCGGAAAGTGGATTGCAAAGGCTGTTGATCGTGGCGTGCTAAAACTCGAGCTCTTGTGTGTTGAAAGATAAACTTGATTTTGGATCAAGCTTAAATATTGGGTTAATGATCCAATAATAATTGGGCCAAAACCCAATTATGCTTAATCAAAGATTCTAGAGTTTTCTCTAGAAAAATCAACACTTCCACCTCCTTAAAATGTTCTAGAGAGTTGTAGAGAATAAATATCTAGAGATTTCTCTAGATAATTGTTGTAAAATAATCTAGATATTAAGATAGAATTCTCTAGATTTAGGAATAAAATATTTTAGATATTTTGTACTTTGGAGGCTATAAATAGCTACCTCCTCTCTCATTTTGTAACTAACAAGCTAAAAGAAATAATAAGGGAAGTTAAGTGAAGTTCCTAAGTTCTCTAAGTTCTAAAACTTTCTTCTTCTTAAATTTGTTCCTTTGTCTTTCAAATTCTTAAACACCTTCTCCATCACTCTTAAAAGTTTTTTCTTTCCAACAAAGTGGTATCAGAGCTAGAAGATTCTCTTAAAGATGACAAGTAATGGTGTTCCCTTCCAAGTTCCAATGCTCACTAAGAGCAACTACGACAACTGGAGTCTAAGAATGGTGGCCATTCTAGGAGCACATGACGTGTGGGAGATTGTCCAGAAAGGCTACATTGAACCGGAGAATGAAGGTAGTCTTTCTCAAACTCAAAAGGACAGTTTGAGAGACTCAAGGAAGAGAGACAAGAAGGCTCTCTGTCTCATCTATCAAGGATTAGATGAAGACACATTCGAGAAGGTTGCCGGAGCAAAGATGGCCAAAGAAGCATGGGAGAAGCTTCGAACTTCTTACAAGGGAGCAGAGCAAGTCAAGAAGGTACGTTTTCAAACTCTAAGAGGAGAATTTGAAGCATTACAAATGAAGGAAGGTGAACTTGTCCAAGATTACTTCTCAAGAGTTCTAGCGGTTACTAATAACCTAAAGAGGAATGGGGAGAAGCTAGATGAAGTAAGAATCATGGAGAAGGTTCTTAGATCGTTGGATTCAAAATTTGAGCATATTGTCACTGTCATTGAAGAGACGAAAGATTTGGAGGATTTGACAATGGAGCAACTACTAGGATCACTACAAGCCTATGAAGAAAAGAAGAAGAAGAAGGAAGACCTTGCAGAACAAGTACTCAAGATGCAAATTGATCAAACCAAAGATGGAAGCGGCCGAAGTCATCCAAGAAGAGGTGGCGGTCAAGGACGAGGAAGAGGTTGTGGTTATGGAAATGGACGTGGCTGGAGGTCCTATGAAGACAAGACTAACCAAAGAGGAGAAAGCTCGTTAAGAGGACGTGGGAGAGGATCTCCAAAACCAAGGTACGACAAATCAAACGTCAAATGCTATAATTGTGGGAAGTTTGGACATTATGCTTCTGAATGCAAAGCTCCAAACAACAATAGAGTTGAAGAGAAGTTCAACTATGCTGAAGAAAGAAGCCAAGAAGATGATATGCTATTAATGGCGTACAAGAAGGATGAAAGAGATGAGTTCCACAAGTGGTACCTTGACAGCGGTGCAAGCAATCACATGTGCGGGAAAAGAAGCATGTTCGTAGAGCTTGATGAATCAGTGAAAGGAGACGTGGCCTTAGGAGATGAATCAAAGATGGAGGTGAAAGATAAAGGAAAAATTCTCATCCGAATGAAGAATGGAGATCATCAATTCATCTCCAACGTTTACTATATTCCAAGTATGAAGACCAACATCTTGAGCCTTGGACAACTCTTAGAGAAAGGTTATGATATTCGACTAAAAGATAATAGCCTTTCTATAAGAGATCAAGCTAACAATCTCATCACCAAGGTGCCGATGTCAAAGAATAGAATGTTTGTTCTTAACATTCAAAATGACATCGCAAAATGTCTTAAGATGTGCTACAAGGAGGAGTCTTGGCTTTGGCATCTTCGTTATGGACATCTCAACTTTGGAGGCTTGGAGCTACTCTCTAAGAAAGAAATGGTGAGAGGATTACCCTGCATCAATCATCCAAATCAGGTGTGTGATGGGTGCCTACTTGGAAAGCAATTCAAAATGAGCTTTCCAAAGGAGTCAGAGACAAGAGCACGGAAGCCATTGGAGCTCATACATACATATGTTTGTGGCCCAATTAAACCAAGATCACTCGGTAAGAGTAACTACTTCCTTCTCTTTATTGATGATTTTTCAAGAAAAACATGGGTTTACTTTTTAAAAGAAAAATCAGAAGTATTTGAGAACTTCAAAAAGTTTAAAGCCCATGTTGAGAAGGAAAGTGGCCTTGTGATCAAAGCCATGAGATCTGATCGAGGAGGAGAGTTCATGTCCAAAGAGTTTTTGAAATATTGTGAAGACAATGGCATCAGAAGACAATTGACGGTGCCAAGATCCCCTCAACAGAATGGAGTAGCGGAAAGAAAGAATAGAACAATTCTTGAGATGGCGAGAAGCATGCTCAAAAGTAAGAAGCTACCAAAGGTGTTTTGGGCAGAAGCAGTTTCATGTGCGGTCTATCTGTCAAACAGATCTCCAACAAGAAGTGTTTGGGAGAAAGCACCACAAGAAGCTTGGAGTGGAAGAAAGCCCGGTGTTTCACATCTAAGAGTCTTTGGAAGCCTTGCCCACGCTCATGTACCTGATGAGAAACAAAGCAAGCTAGATGACAAAAGTGAGAAGTACATCTTCATTGGGTACGATGCAAACTCCAAAGGTTACAAGCTCTACAATCCTGATACAAAGAAGACAATCATCAGTCGGAATGTCATCTTTGATGAAGAAGGAGAATGGGATTGGAGATCAAATGATGAGAACTACAACTTCTTTCCACATGTTGAAGAAGATGATTTGGAGCAGCCAAGAGAGGAGCCAATTACTCCACCAACCTCACCAACACCAAGTTCTCAAGGAGATGAGAGTTCGAGTGAAAGGACTCCACGTTTTAGAAGTCTGCAAGAGCTTTACGAGGTAACCGAAAATCAAGAAAACCTTACTCTATTTTGCCTGTTTGCGGATTGCGAACCCATGAACTTCCAGGAAGCAATGGAGAAAAAGACATGGAGAAACGCAATGGATGAAGAGATCAAGTCAATACAGAAGAATGAGACATGGGAGTTAGCTTCACTTCCAAATGGGCATAAGGCGATTGGTGTAAAATGGGTGTACAAAGCGAAGAAGAACTCCAAAGGAGAAGTTGAAAGATACAAGGCAAGATTGGTGGCAAAGGACTATAGTCAAAGAGCTGGAATCGACTATGACGAGGTATTTGCTCCTGTTGCTCGATTAGAAACAGTTAGACTAATCATTTCATTAGCAGCCCAAAACAGGTGGAGGATACATCAAATGGATGTCAAATCAGCCTTCCTAAATGGAGATCTTGAGGAAGAAGTCTACATTGAGCAACCACAAGGCTACATAGTTAAAGGAGAAGAAGACAAAGTCTTGAGGTTAAAGAAGGCGCTCTATGGGTTGAAACAAGCACCAAGAGCTTGGAACACTCGTATTGATAAGTATTTCAAGGAGAAAAGCTTCATCAAGTGTCCATATGAGCATGCACTATATATCAAAACACATAACAATGATATATTGATTGCATGCTTATATATAGATGACTTGATATTCACAGGCAGCAATCCAAGTATGTTCGAGGAATTCAAGAAGGAGATGACGAAGGAGTTCGAGATGACCGATATTGGATTGATGTCTTACTACCTTGGAATTGAAGTGAAACAAGAAGACAATGGAATCTTCATCTCTCAAGAAGGTTATGCCAAAGAAGTGCTGAAGAAGTTCAAGATGGATGACTCGAACCCAGTTTGTACTCCAATGGAATGTGGAGCTAAGTTATCAAAGCATGATGAAGGAGAGAGTGTGGATCCAACACTCTTTAAGAGTTTGGTTGGGAGTCTACGATACTTAACATGCACAAGGCCTGATATCTTACATGCAGTTGGAGTTGTGAGCCGATACATGGAGCATCCAACAACCACTCACTTCAAGGCAGCTAAGAGGATCCTTCGCTATATCAAAGGTACGATCGACTTTGGCTTGTATTACTCTATTTCTGATGATTACAAGCTTGTTGGATATAGCGATAGCGACTGGGGTGGAGACGTAGATGATCGGAAAAGCACAAGTGGTTTTGTGTTTTTCATTGGAGAAACAGCTTTCACATGGATATCGAAGAAGCAACCGATTGTCACTCTTTCCACTTGTGAAGCGGAGTATGTAGCTGCTACTTCATGTGTTTGCCATGCTATTTGGTTACGAAACTTATTAAAGGATTTGAGTTTGCCACAAGAAGAGCCGACGAAGATCTTTGTGGACAACAAGTCAGCAATAGCTTTGGCAAAGAATCCTGTCTTCCATGATCGAAGTAAGCACATCGACACTCGCTATCATTACATTAGAGAATGTGTTACCAAGATGGATGTGCAGTTGGAGTACGTGAAGACGGACGATCAAGTAGCTGACATCTTTACCAAATCACTCAAGCGTAAAACCTTTATCAAGATGAGAAGTTTGCTTGGAGTAGCAAAATCAAGTTTAAGAGGGGGTGTTGAAAGATAAACTTGATTTTGGATCAAGCTTAAATATTAGGTTAATGATCCAATAATAATTGGGCCAAAACCCAATTATGCTTAATCAAAGATTCTAGAGTTTTCTCTAGAAAAATCAACACTTCCACCTCCTTAAAATATTCTAGAGAGTTGTAGAGAATAAATATCTAGAGATTTCTCTAGATAATTGTTGTAAAATAATCTAGATATTAAGATAGAATTCTCTAGATTTAGGAATAAAATATTTTAGATATTTTGTACTTTGGAGGATATAAATAGCTACCTCCTCTCTCATTTTGTAACTAACAAGCTAAAAGAAATAATAAGGGAAGTTAAGTGAAGTTCCTAAGTTCTCTAAGTTCTAAAACTTTCTTCTTCTTAAATTTGTTCATTTGTCTTTCAAATTCTTAAATACCTTCTCCATCACTCTTAAAAGTTTTTTCTTTCCAACATTGTGGTCCGCAGATCCAACTAGCTTGCCCAAGACCCTTTACTCCTGTGAATCTCTCCACACATTGACTCTCTCCCACCAGATTCTCGTGGATGTTCCTTCTCCCGCCTGCCTCCCATCACTTAGAGTGCTCGAGCTAGACAGTGTGGTGTATAAAAACGAGGATACACTCATTAGGCTCTTATCAAGCTGCCCCGTTCTCAAGGATTTGAGCGTGACACGGAGTAAAGATGACTGTGAAAAAGTTCACTGTGCAATCTCCTTATTTATCGGACTTATCGTATTCTAATTACTCGTCTGACGATAGCGATGCAGAAGAAGATACCGATAGTGATGTAGAAGATACCGATAGGTGCTTGGTTATTGATACTCCGGCATTTACATACTTAGACATCGATGATTATTCAGCAGACTTTTTTTTGATCGAGAATAAGCCAAATTGTTGCGAGCAAGTTTGTGTCAACCTACATTGGTCTTTCCCTGATATTGACAAGTTCTTTAGATCTTTTTCTGCAGTCTTGTTTCTTGAGTTGAATTTGAACGAGAAAATGGTAATCTCTCTCTCTCTTCCTCTGTGATCACGTTGTTGCATCTACTTATTATGCCGTTTTGTTCAACATCGCAGATTGTGTGCTTTAGCACCATCAAATTCTCTCGGCTGACAAAGTGTAAGATACTTCCGGGTGACACAGACTGGATGGATTCACTTGTGTCTTTCCTTCAAAACACTCCCAAGCTAAAGTTTCTTACAGTTGATTATGTACGTACCCCCTCACCAAACAAAAGCTAACCCTAGCTAAAATGCCTTGTTTAATGGCGTGTTAATTAATAGCAATTGTTGCTTCTCAGTTGTTTACCCATCAACCCCCAGACGCCTCTATCTCGTGGAGCGAATCAAGTTATGATCCTGAATGCTTATCATCAAGTCTGGAGAAGTTTGAGCTGAAAAACTATGGAGGAAGAAAAGAAGAGAAAGAATTGGTGGAATACATCCTAACCACCTCTAGATGTCTAAAGACGGCGATAATCTCCTTGTCCTTGTCAAAACTTGAAGACAAAGACACAACGATTGAGGAGTTGAAAGCTATTCCTAGGGTTTCACTAACATCTCAGCTTTTTTTAAAAAACGTAAGACATACATAATTATATGTAAACAACTGTTACAAACTTTATATATATATGGAGATGCAACAACATTCAAAATGAACTTTTGGTTTGTATTCATGCATGACTCGTGGTTCAAGTTTTGGAGAATCTCAAACGCGTAAAGAAATTCTTTACGCATACAATGGGCAGCACAACTACTAGAGATACATACTTGAAACAACATGAGGATATAAGAAATTCTTGTCTTTGATGATACTGTGTGTTCTCCTCTGTTTAGGATGAGCTTTCTGTGTAGAATTCCCTCTGCTAATATCTTAATTACTGTGCACCTCTTTCCACTGTTTTGCCAGGATTGATAAAAAGTTGCACAAGATGGAGGATAAAATAATTATAGTACTAAAGATCCCAAGTCGAGCAAATAAGAACAGAGCTATTTAACAAAATGTCTCAACTTTGAGACTTTGTTTAACATAATGAGATCCAAATGGCGTTCTATGCCAGGAGAGACCAAACTAATGTAAGCATGAGTTGAAGCACACACAAGTCATCAACCGTGAATGTTACTCGAAACTCCCATTTTATTTATGATGAGAAGAAAGGGTTACATACAAGTGACGTGCCGGTGTGTTCATCAGACATATATTTTACACATACGTTAAAAGCTTAAGAGTAGACATGATTTCAAACAATAGAAACCATGCCACTACTTTATTAGTAAAGGAAAAACGTTTTTTACTTAAGCCTCGACAATCTGCTCGATCAACTGTTGCTGCCCACTCTGCGCATGAGTCAAGGTGGTCTCAAGCGTGTTGAACTTGATCCTTCTAGCTTCCTCGAGAGAGACCTGGTAACCATTAGCTATGACCTCTAGCGGCAATGCACTCAAGGCCGAGGTTCGACCCGCCAAAGTGCTGATCATCGCGTTAGCGTGGGTCTTGAAAGAGATCCATTCGAAGTTGTTTCCGCGGGACACGACTGCGTATGCGAACCCTTGTGGAATGACCACGAGTTGCCCCTTCTGCACCTGCTGGTCCAAAACGTTCTGTCCGTTGTCGTTCACCACTTGGATCCTTGCCTGTCCTCCAGTGCAGTACAAGATCTCGTTCGCGTTCATGTTGTATTTCGGAAGCACCATCGCATTCTGCAAAAATATTCGTTATAACCATGTTCGTCATTGTCACATACATATACTGTATATAGCTAGTCTCCAAATTTCATAATATCTAAATGAACTGGATAAAATCTGTTGACGTAGAAATATGTGTATGAGTAGGACTTATGTTTTTCTTAGTCATGTAGATTTGATATCTTTGTATAAGATATTATAAAATTTGGGATATATATGCATGTATTAATATTGAAGGAAATGTGAATGTACTTACACCCTGGATAATGCCACGGGTGGCGCTGAGCCTGACATACTGCAAGATGGGCAAGGTCAAGCTGTTGGCGGTGGTCACACGACCAACGTTGGGCTTGTACACGTCAGCACGGGCTGGGTCGTCAATGTTCTCGTGGGTCCTCATGCTGCAGATAGTTTCCTCAAGGCCGTTGTCTTGTGGGCCACGTGGGTGTCTCCACTTCTCACTCTCGTAGGGCTGTCTCAGAGGCGGTCTCACGACCTGGAAGGGTCCCCTAACACGAACGATGTTTCCTCTCTTGTCTTGTTGGTTCTGAAGCTCCTGAGCCAACCTAACGTTGATTTTCAATGCCTGAGCTAGGACCTTAGCATCGAACCCGCTCAACAAGTTCTTTTCTTGTTGTTGTTGCTGCTGACCACCGCCTTGTGGGTTGTTTCCAGCCAAACGGAACGTCTATAGCGCAAAATGAATAAATGAAGAAAAAACAAGTACATTAGTTAGACTAATATATGGTAGATATAATCTCTATATTAGTGAATGATTGTGTATATATATGATTACTCTAGGGTTGCGGTCGAGTTGGTTTTGGTAGTTGGCAACGTCGAGAAGGGAGATGATGATAAGTGGCTGGTCTCCGGTGTTGTAGATCCAATGAGCAGATCCGGGAGTATTGGCAATGATGTCTCCATGTCGGACATGTTCCACCTTTTGGTGCATGTCACGGAATCCTTGTTGTCCTTGCTGCTGCTGTCCTTGCGGTTCCTGTCCTTGCTGTCCCTGTCCTTGCTGTCCCTGTCCTTGCTGTCCCTGTCCTTGCTGTCCCTGTCCTTGCTGTCCCTGTCCTTGCTGTCCCTGTCCCTGTCCTTGCCATGGCTGTCCTTGCTGTCCCTGTCCTTGTTGTTGTCCCTGCATCATCGGCTGCGAGTCCATGAAGGTCTCGGCACATCCAGGGACCACTCTTCCACTAATACCCACTCCTGTAAATATTATATATCATGCCGCCAATCGATTGAATCTTTAGTGGAACGTGATATATAATCATATTTGATAGTAAAGGTCATATTATATATGTGTCATGTGTGTATAGGTAGATTATAGATACGGACCTTGAACAACGTAGGAAACTTTGGGGGAAGTGAAAAAGGTAGGCAAGTAGAGTCCGCCTTGTTCGATTATAAGACGAGAAACGGAGACACCAGCACATCGGAGCTGAGGATGGTTGTGATCCCAGTACTCGACCTGACCAGCCTCGCTCTTGATGGTTTCTGTGGCTTGGAGAACGTCTAAGTTATCGAGATTACACGCGTTCTGCATCTGAGGAGGAACTCCTAGCGACTGCCTTGCGAGGCAGACGTTAAGAAGGAGGAGAACACCGAACGTTGCGACGAGGAGATTACCGAGCTTAACCATTTTCCTTCTTTTTTTTGTGTATCTGTGAGAGATGGATGAAGAGAACGGGGTTTGGTATATGAGCTTTAAATAGCCAGAGTGAGCAAGAAGGTTTGCGCCACGTAGGATTGGTTTTGCATGAAGTCGTGGGTCTATGGTTTTTACACGTGACTCTCTGAGCTCGAGCAAGTGTCTCTCCATTTTATGTTACATGTTCACGCGCGTAGCTCTGTCTCCGCATACGCCAAAACACGACAAAATCAAATGAATCTATCTTATTTTTTAGCTTCACGTTATCCGTATAGAGAGAAGACAGTAGTACTGTATGTATAAACTTATCTTTTATCATTCATCGTACTAAATTCTTTGTAAACATGATAATTGATTTGAAACGGGAAGATCAGTTAACTCCACCCTCATAATTAACACATCAAAATTACATCACTAGTTATGTGGCGTTGTGATCGAAGAGTTTACCAGATACAGCCAAAAAAAATTGATTTTTAAAATAGAATAAAAGAGTTTACACTAAAAAACAGAAGAAGGTGACATAGACGCGGCGACACTGGGTGGGTTTGATCCGTTTTATCCGCTTCGACAACTGTTCGACTGCATGTTTAGCCGCGATGACATGTGTGTATTGTTGTGTCCTATATTTCATTCATGTGCTTGTCAAAACTAATAGACTTTAGTGTTTAATATTGGGCTTTAACTCTTGGGCCCATGGACTTTAGCCATACGTGAGCCCAAAGTTGTTTTTTCAAACGAAAATTCCAGAATCCAGAGACCGTCCTATTCTTCTTCTTCAGTAGAAGAAGACAGAGCTTAAACCCTAAACCCCTTTCTCAAGATCTTCCCCTCCTCTCTCCGCGACATTAGCAAAGTTTTCAGGTACGTTTCCCGCCACTTTCTTTATCTCTTTTGTGTAATGGTTCTGTATCAATCGATTCATAGCGAAATTCCAACGAAAAAGTAAAACTTTGAGAGTTTTCTGCTCGAATTTGCCAACTAATCGTAGCTAATTGTGCCGTGGATGCGAGTATTAGCTGTTTAATTAGAAATGTTCTGGGGAGCCTAGGATGGGTCTTCCTTAAATTTGCTATCTTTTATTGACTTCGTTTGCTGAATTTTTGACTTGATTTTGTTACTTGACATTTTTCGTAGTCTTTGGTTTGCATAAACGGAGTAGATCTGAGTCTGAGCGTTTGTCTACTCTGTTCCGGAACACCTCAGTATTGATTTTGATTCTGGATTTTTGCAGAAAAAAAAAGATGAATTTGAACAACGTGAAAGTTCCGAAGGTGCCAGGAGGTGGTGCCATATCTGCGTTGGTTAAGATTGGGATAATCGGTGGGCTCGGTGTCTACGGTGCCACACACAGTCTCTACAATGTCGAGGGAGGACATCGAGCCATCATGTTCAACCGTTTGGTCGGTATCAAAGATAAGGTTAGTTCAGTGTTTCTTTTGAGTTTCTCATGCGGTTTTGTGACATATCTGGGTGAAGTTATCCAGGTTGATTTTTTCAAGTCTGATTCTCGTTTGTGAAATCTTGTTTATCGAGGCTTATGTATCGTCCATGTTTTGCTTATCGGTTCTGAAATCTCGTTGTTTCAGCTGTTCTCACTGAGTCTTGTTGTTATTACGCAGGTTTACCCCGAGGGTACGCACCTGATGGTTCCTTGGTTCGAAAGACCGGTCATCTATGACGTTCGTGCACGACCTTACCTTGTTGAGAGTACATCCGGAAGCCGTGATCTCCAGATGGTACTCTATCATCACAAGATTTCATATATGCCTATAGTGGTGTAATGTAATGTCGACAAAACAGCTTCGTAAGCTCTATATGTGTTTTGTGGGTTTTTTGAAACTTTCAGGTGAGAATTGGGCTTAGGGTTCTTCATAGTCCCATGGCAGACCAGTTACCTGAGACCTACAGAACCCTCGGTGAGAACTACGGCGAGAGAGTTCTGCCTTCTATAACCCACGAGACTTTGAAAGCTGTTGTTGCTCAGTACAATGCAAGCCAGCTTATTACTCAGAGAGAGGTATATAATAACTTTGGCTGTGTAAATCTTTTCTCCTACCTTCTTAGTGAGTCTGAGTTGTCGAATGTATTTTTCTGGCTACTCTCAGGCGGTTAGTAGGGAGATCAGGAAGATTCTAACTGCACGAGCAACAAACTTCAACATTGCGCTTGACGATGTGTCCATCACGACCCTGACATTTGGGAAGGAGTTCACGGCTGCCATTGAAGCTAAGCAGGTGGCTGCTCAAGAAGCTGAGCGGGCTAAGTTCATCGTTGAGAAGGCCGAGCAAGACAAGAAAAGTGCGGTTATCCGCGCCCAGGTAAAGGAGAAACTCTCTACAGTTTCCGAAGTTTCTGAGGCCGAGATTGTTGTTGTGACAAACGTTGTCATGCCTTGTGTAGGGAGAAGCCAAGAGTGCTCAGCTCATAGGTCAAGCAATCGCAAACAACCAAGCTTTCATAACGCTCAGGAAGATCGAGGCCGCGAGAGAGATTGCACAGACCATAGCACACTCGGCGAACAAGGTGTACCTGAGCTCCGACGATCTTTTGCTTAACCTACAGGAGATGAATTTGGATGTGAATGCAATGAAGTAGAGATGCTTTCTTGAGTAAAACCCATATGTGGTTTGTGTCGCCTTTTTTTCATTTCCTCGGATTATTTGGAACAAAAGCAGAGATCTTTGAATTGTTAAATACTTTTAAGCTGTTATTGGGATCTCATCATCCCAAAGGTTCTATAGCCTTCGCCCATCTAAAGAATAGACTTTCTTGCTGAATGAGTTCATTGTAATAAACTTGTCGTTCCTAAATTATTCAAAAGAAAATTGTATCGAGAATTGCATTTGGAGATTAATGGTCGCAGTGAGCAAATTAAGAGAAAATTTTCATTTGTTGTATACTTTTATGATTCTCACTAGACAAAATTTGTTTACAAAAATGATCTTGGAGTTTAGTAAATCTACCTAGTAATTATATACTTATCCATTGTGTATATTTCTTTTTGTTACACGATTGTAAACCATTAGACGTCCAAATTACTACATGTTGGCGATTGATTTTTTATTTTCCATCGTGTTAGCTTCTGCATTTATATAATTATCGTGCTATATAGTCCACGATAGATCTTTGGATTCGACAAGATATTCAAATGAATGAATGAACCAAGAGACAAAGGGAGATCTTTGTACATTTGTTTGCATAATCAGTCCAAAAGGAATTAAAGTTGTACAAAGCAATGTAACCAAAAGGGGGAAAAAAATAATGGACAAAAAAAAGTTACATGTATAAGATTGCACCGTAAATTTAAATTATTCTCAATGTATTTATGCAGGTGTATTAATATAGTATGTAATGCTTAGATTATATCCCTTTCTCTTATTGTTACGACCGTCCATATAAAAATTATTTTCGTTATTAAGGGATAAAAGGTTGAGAGTCATGAACCAAATGGTTCTGTATCCCGGTCTGGTTAAACGAGATAATCGCCGGAATATTACTATAATACTCACCGGCTCCGGCGGATCCTCCACCGCCATTGCTCTTAATGTTACCGTTATTATGATGAAGATGGTAATGAAGGTGGCGACCACCACCACCACCACCACCGAGGTGATGTCCGTGGAGGTAAGGCCGCTCCTTTGCTGTGGCTGCACCAGCAACGGAGCCACCGCATTGGCGTGGTTGAGTCTGGTAAAAGACTTTGGAGACGACAAGCTCGCCTTCTTTCTCTTCCTCGTTGGTGCCAAGATGATATTGATGCATTACCCAATTAGTCTTTTCGGGTTTTTTTTGTTTGCCGTAGTTTGTGTAGAGCACTAGGATTTTCTTGTAGCCTCTCACTCTTCCTCCGGCGAGAACTGGCCGTGTTTTTCCGGTCTTGTGCCACCGTGTCTCGCCACCTACTTCGGAGTCGGTGTGGACTTTACGTCTCTTTCTTGTTCCCGTCGTGTATGCCTTCGACGGTCGGTGGAAGAAATGACGGACCGTCCCGTCCTTGCTCACTCCTATATATGTTAACATTAATTAATGTATACGCATTCAACTACTAATTAATTAGCTTTTGTCAAACATAATTTAATTAGGTATGACATTTGTTGACGAAACAAAGTTATGACAATCTTAATTTCTTTCATTATTGGTTTTTTTTTAATAAAACGTCTCTACTAGCTATTGGAAGTTAAATGACAAATTTTGATCGTCAGCCAAAATATAATATAAACAACCCTCTATTGCATAAGCTTCATATTGTTCATTGTATATGTTTTTTATGCCTATAATCAACTCTAAAACGTTCATATTGTTCATAAACTACGTGTTATCTTTTTGTTCATGTCGATAGAATCATGAAGAAGGGAAACATAACATTCTTTATAAAGAATCGTTGATAAGATTATAATAAAAAGGAGAAAACAACATAGAATCACCTGGTAATTTCTCAGGATGGGTATAACAGATGCCATTTTCACCATCGATGGTACGGATAAACTCATCAATGAGAGGATGAAGCTTTCTTGCGTCGTCTCTTACCTTTCCTTCAAGATGCTCCAGTACCTCTTGATCCGTCGGATCGAACTTCACTCCGGCAGGCAGCCCGGGCAAGTCATGGATCCCCGCCTATACACATCGGGTTTTATTCATATCAATTAATATCTATCATCATATAGTTTCCAAATGTCTAGAAGCTGGATATAGCTAGAGAGAAACAACAACCTGTTCATGAAACTTGAATTTATGGCCACAAGAAGGACACGTTTTGTTACAGGAGACCGGAAATGAGGCTGCAGGAGAATCAGCAGCGGTAGGAGAGGGAATGGTTCTTTCAACGGTCTGAACATCGCTACGGTCATTGCACCAAGTCATGTTTATTTTGTATCTCTTAGATTCCTCTTGTGCATTATCTCTCTTCTCTTCTCTTTCGTCCACACTGCTCACAACTTCATTAGAATAAACAAAGGCATGAGAGAGAGAGAGAAAGATCGAGAAGGGGAAAAGAGATTAAAGATGGTTAAAGCATATGTTTCCTAAGAAGAACTCTTTGAGGTTATCTTGAGAAAGAGGAAGGAATTGAATTCTTGTTCATCACTTTTTAAGTTGAGTTAATTGCTCTTTTTGCACTTGATTTTAACTTTGTACTATCCATGAGAGAGAAAGATGAGATAAGCCTAAAATAAATATTATTAAACCTCATTTTATAATGTATACAAATGTACTGTATAGTATATAGTAAGAAAGCATTATTTAAAGACATAGGTTTGTTTAACAAGTATGTAGAAACAAGGAAACATACATGCTAAGTAACAATGAGAGGGAGAGGTACACCTACAACTTGAAAGTAAAGTGTAAAGAGAATTAACTATGAAACTTTTAAATCTTAATTTAATTTTGCATTTATGTAACATTGAGAAAATACTGGAATTTTTCTTCTATTTTTGTATATCAATATGTATTTATATGGTAAAAGTATTGGTTTGAATAAACTTTTAATTTTGTGTTCATATACAATATGATATTAGGAAGAATATATTAATTAATGGATTATCATAAGAAAAGAAAAAAGGATTGCTTGGGTTTTAAGTTTGGTTTAGCTTCTACATGGCATGTATGGTGTGTGAGAGAGATATAGACAGAGACTGACCGAACAAAAATAATAATAATGATATATATGAAAAACAAAATCTTGTGAAAGAATATACATGTATGCGATCCCGTTCACAATATACCTTTGTCTAGTCGTATTTGTGTGCGCTATATAAATGTTGCGCTATATAAATGTATAATAAATGTTTGTTTTTTTTTTTTTTTGTAAAATCTGCAATTAATCAATTTAACTATTAAATTTTGGTAATTTACTGATAAATGTATGTGATCTACAAATGAATATGCGATGGAGTGGGTTTGGGGCAAGGTGTTGCTGCTGGTCTGTGAGAGCTCAGACGTGATATGGTAGAAACAAAAAATAAGAAAGAGAAGTTAAGGTCCAATGTCACCCTAGAGTGTATGTAAAGATATTATTGCATAAGCTTATACTTATAATTTACACATCGTCTCTGTATCTGTATATTCATCTTTTTACTGAAACAGTATACTACGATAGAAAACATCATATATATAGGTTTTTGATGAATTTTGTACGTATCAATTCTTTTATTTTTCTATAACTAGCAACTTTTTTGGAGATTCTATTATAGAATAAAGTTAAAAGCGATATATACAAGCATATATATGTACATTATTATGATTGTTTGAAGCTATTTAAAAAACAAACATCACTAAAACTTTCAAAATTACAGAAAGAAAAAGAAAAATATTCGTTTGGAAAATAAAAGTTAAGTGCCATATGAAAATTTAATATGATAAATCAAAGATTTATTTTCCAACAAACTAATTTTCCCTTTGTGGCATGAATTTGCCAGTGCAATTCCGATGAAACTGTTATACTAATTACTTATAAATATATTGAAAATGAATAAATAAACATAGGAAGCTATAATTTTATAGATAAAAAGAAAAAGAAAGTTAAAAAGTCAGTCATTATTCTATTTCTTTACGTAGACTTTTCATGCATAACAAGGAACCTCAACCTTTAGTTTTTTCTCGGTCATCTAATTTTTGTTATCCTCTTCTCCCCCGTCAGTTTTGTGTTATACCTATTTTAATCAAACTAAAACATAAAATTGTGAACAAACTAATGTTACACTTCTGTTTGTCCGTTGGGAAAAGTTGTGGTTTGCTTGTTGTTTTCAAGAATTACATTATACTGACATATATATATATATATATCTGGTCGATGCTTGGATATTTAGTAAATGTAAATATCTTTTATAATCACATTATCCACATCACTGATATTCCTTAACACTGTATATAATTTTGGTGTAACACATCATGTAAACTAAAAGATTATATCTGCGCTTGACTAATTTCTAAAAGCTTATTTTTAGCATGGATATCCCTAGAAGATGTTGTCCTTTTGAATGGCATTACCAGTTTTTTTTTTTTTTTTGTAATTATCAAGTATAAGATATTATTCCAAAAAAAAATTGATCATCAGTCTCATTCAGAATGCAAATAAACGGGCCGAGTGATGACTAAACAAAGGTTGGCTATTGAGTAGACCAACCACCAAATGTTGCCATCATTGCGTTCATTTAAACATTTTGATATCCAAACTTCATAACATTAGGAGCTAATACCTATTCAGAAAGCTCCACTTTCCTGTTGCTATTTTCTTACAATTCACCTAACTTAGCAGACCCAAACCAATTAGCCCGGCCCATATTGAAATGCTCAAACGTTGTTTAAGTCTTCCGTGTAGTATGGCGAGAGTTTCCCACCGCTCTTAGTAGGTTTAGACGCGTTTTTACCGCCACAAGAAACAGCACCAGAGACTTCTTGAAGCATGATCACAACTTTTCTCATGGAAGGTCGGTTTAGAGGGAGAGTACTCGTACAGAGAAGAGCAATGTGAATGACTTTGCTAATCTCTTCTTTGAACTTGAGATCGAGTTTGGGATCAATCACAGGTTCCATACCGCATTGGTCAAGTGTAGTACAAACCCATTTCGTCATATCTTTATCTCCTAGTTCCGGGTCTGATGGTTGCTTCCCTGTAACCAACTCCAAAAGCACAACACCAAAACTATAGATATCGCTCTTCTCATTCACCCGAAGTGTGTAGAAGTATTCTGCGAAATTTAAAACCATTAACGTATCTTTAAAAACTCGGAATATATATAAAATCAAAATGTTACAAAAACACTGTTGAAATCTATCGTTTAATGTTTTCGTTACCTGGTGCAATGTAACCGCAAGAACCGGCGATCCCAGACATAGCTTCTGGCGATTTAGCACCGTTTGTTTGACGGATTTTGGCGATCCCAAAATCAGCTACTTTAGCCCTATAATCCTTATCTAGAAGAATGTTACTCGACTTAACGTCGCGGTGCACGATCGGAGGAACGCAATCGTGGTGTAAATACGATAGACCCTCGGCAGCGTCTAAAGCGATTCTCAACCGCTCTGGCCAATTCAACAGAACCCCGCCTTTGCGGTGGCGGTGCAACGCATCGGCCAAGCTCCCGTTAGGCATGTACTCGTATACCAACAACTTACAATCTCCGGAGCTGCAGCAACACCACAAACGCACGATACTCTTATGCCTAATCGTTCCAAGCGTTTCGACCTCCGCGGCGAAAACGTCTCTGTTCAACGAATCGTTGTATTCGTCTCCTCCTTTGGCCGTTTTGTTTAGTTTCTTCACCGCTACGACTTCTCCGCCGCTAAGCTCAGCTCTGTAGACTATACCGGAGGAACCGGATCCGATTACGTTCCGTTCATCGAGGCAATCGACGATCTCGTGCTCGCTGAAGCGAAGCTTGTGGAAGGATCTCCATTTCGGCGCGGCGAGTTTAGGACTCTTGGAGTCTCTGATCTTCCTGCACTTGGCGATGAGCATAAAGATCCCGACGAAGAAAACCAGACCGGCGAGTGTGAAAATCGATAGGAGAATCAAGGCGTAGCCGTTGTTTTTAGGCCGTGCGATCTTGTGGCAAAGACCATCGAGATCGACGCACAGGTCGGGGTTTCCGAGGAAGTCGTGAGCGTAGATTTTATCAGCGTAGAGAGGAGGGATTCTACCGGAGAGATGATTATACGACAGATTTAGAACGTTAAGCTTCAGATTCTGCAGTTCCAGCGGAATTTCCCCGGAAAATTGATTGTTTGAGAGATCGAGGTAGTTGAGAACATGCAACGTTCCGATATCTCTAGGGATTTCACCGGAGAGATGATTGTTGGCTAAATTGAGCTCGTTCAGATTCTTCCAGCCTCGAATTCCTCCAGGAATCTCGCCGGAAAGTTGATTCGTACTGAGATCGAGCCTGCTCAGTTGCTTCAGTTTCACCAAACCGTTAGGAATCTCGCCGGTGAAACTGTTTTCCGCTCCGGAAATCTCGATCAACCCGTCAAGCAATCCGATTTCGCCGGGGATGGAACCTGAAAACCGGTTCTTCGAGATTCGCATGTTAGATAAATTCTTAGCACCGGAGATTGTCTCGGGAATTTTTCCGGTGAACAAATTATCGGAGAGTTCGAGCAGCGACAAGCGAGGCAACCCCCAGAATTCGTCCGGGATTTGACCGGAAAGCTTGTTGTTACTCAATCGGACACGAGTCAAGCTCCTGCACTTTCCCAGATTATTCGGAATTCCACCCGAAAATGAATTGCCTATAAGCATTAGATACTCAAGTTTCCCTTCCCCGCACATATTTTCCGGTATCTCACCTGAAAAACGATTATACGATAGGTCCACAAACTGTAACGGCGAGTTCGCGCCGAGTTGACTCGGTACTGCTTCGGTAAGTCTGTTGTTGAAAAGCTTGAGCTCAGTCAACGTTTTGGAGCGAGTTATGCTCTCCGGCAAGGTCCCTTCGAGCATGTTCTCGAAGAGATTGAGCGACTCGAGGTTTAACCGAGTCAAGCCGTCGGGTATACTCCCATTCAGCTTGTTCATCGATGCGTCGAATCTCCTCAGCATCGTCATGTTATCCATCGCCTCCGGTAACTCGCCTGAGAACGAGTTGTTGAATAGCTCGATCTGCTCGACGCTCTTCAGCTGTGTGATCCAACTCGGGACAGGTCCGGTGAGTCGATTCGTTGACAAATCCAAGTTAACCAAGCGAGTCAATCTGGACAGAGATGGAGGGACCGTACCCACGAGATTACAGCCACCGAGCCAGAGAACACGGAGCTCCGTGAGATTTCCTAGTTGACTCGGAATCCGACTCGGAGAAAACAAATTGTAAGCGAGTTTGAGTTCTCTCAGAGTCGACACGTTGCCGAGCGAGGCGGGGATGCTACCGGAGAGGAAATTCCCGGCGAGGTTCAACGACTCGAGCTTGCGGAACTCTCCGAATCTAGCCGGAATCATGTCTGATAAGTTGTTACCGGAGATGTCGAGGAACTGGAGGTTCGGAAGTTTGAAAGGGAGTGACTCCGGGATGGACCCCACCAAGAGATTCTCCGACAAATCAAGAAAGCTGAGATTTTTACATGCCGTGAAGTCGTCGCCGGAGAGAGAACCATTAATGTTGTTGTTAGTGAGAGAAAGGAAAGATAGAGACGAGAGGCGACATAGGATGGAGGGGAAAGGACCGGCGAGCATAAAGTTGGAAAGATTGACGGAGACGACGGCTGACGTGACGTCGCAGGTGATGCCGCGCCACTGGCACGGTGTGGCGTCGTTGTTGGACCACGAAGATAGAGACTGGTCTGGGTCGGATAGGCCCAATTTGGCTTGCCGGAGAATGGTGGCATCGTTGTTTAGAGAGAGAGTTGTTTGTGTGGAAGAGAGACATAGAAGAACAATAAGACAAAGAATCATTTTGTTGAAAAAAAAAATGTTGTTTATTTTGCTGTCATGCTTATGATTTGTCAATGAGACGAAATTATGAGTTTTAAAAGATTTATAGATCGATAATTATAAGGATTTGTAGAAGCAAAAAGAGGAGTGAACAGTGTGACAAGACATGAGTGAGACATGTTTTTCAAAAATGGAAGAGGAAGACTTTTGGAGGCAAAGATATATACATTCAGATATATATTACACATCCATGTGAGATCGATTACAGCAGTGGAAAGTAATAGGGAAGAGTAATATACATTGTAGAATTCAACTCCAGATTTGTAAGTGATGAAAAGTTAACATCCCAAATTTTAATAATTATATCTTGTAAATTTTAATTTTTTTTGAACAATAAAATGAACAGGTTAGTGTTCAGAGTCAATATAATAAATAAAAAAATGCTCACTTTCCAAGTCAACCCAAACACTGTGATGGTCAAAATGATGAAGATATATGGGCCATGTGCTGTTGGATGTTTGTTGAATTTTCCTAGAAACTTTTGACTTTCTGTATAAATGGAACACTATATGAATGTGTAGATCGATCGATATTAATCCATATTAGATCCTATGGTCGATCTATATATATTTTCTTACACATAACATCTAAACACCTGTATGGCTATATCCCAACCCTAGATTGAATAGAGAATTTGATGGACAATCATTTGTATAGTTACGAAGTAATGATTCATGTGCGGTCAAATTTGGTTGGTCGGAGTAACATGATCTAACAGTAGACTTTGTTAGATTACTTTCGTTTCACTAGGAAAAGTAATAGTCATTTTGATTTAAAACTACAAAATTTGAGGGGGAGAAGATATAGAAAATGATAGAATATCACGAGTTATAGCATATCAAGAGTTTGCGATTCTATAAATTCGATGATGGTCCATACCACTAAGCACTATAATGTGACCGTAATCCAATAATGTTTAAGTCTTGGTCCTCTTACGATAATGACTTTTTTCCTTCTTGTTGCATTTCCTTTACGTCTCCCCGAGCACTCTGCTTTTTTTTTGGACTTTTGGTCATAATAACAATACTCTTAACTCTGTATCTTCAAGGTTCCATTGTAGATTTTTTTAGCCGAAAACGAAAAAACATTGTCAAAAGCCATATTTCATATGTTTACATGCATACTAGTATATTTAATACATGTGTGAGGTAACTAATGTTCTCGTTTTATTTATTTTTATACTCTGATTAACACACAAGTGAAGTGCATGTCCACTTCACAACCGATAACCTCTTTGGTCGGTGAATAAATTCCTTTCAAAGACAATTTTAATGCATTGTTATATGAACCACACACGTTAGACAGATTGAAAGTTAAGCCACGTCTATGAAGAATTGAAACTAGATTATCTTCTTGTTTCTTAAGAAGAAAATAAAAAGACCTAGATTATCGTAATCACAAAAGAAAAAGTTCACCTGCATGTTTATTACAAATTTACGATAGGAATGAAAAGAAGTACAGGCTTTCTATTAATTGGGTATTTGGGCTTTCCATAAGCGTCAACAGTTTTTAAACCCACTAAAATCTTTGTCTATCTTCAAAATGCCAAATCTCTGTCTTCAAAATTGAAATCGATCCTATGGACCTGAGGCTTACACATGCAGCTCTGTTTCTGTCTCTGCGTGACAAAATATGATATGGTTGTTTTTTCTTCCTTGGTGGACACATCAGACCGCACTTGTCTCTCACTAGAAAATACTTTATTTGGTATTCGATATAATTTTATCTGTTTAGTTGTAAATTTTGTAATATCGAGAGAAGAGACATATGATAATGAAGGATATTCTATGAATTCTATCAGTGTGCATTTTTGTTATCAAAGTATTCTGAAACGGCTTAAATACTGTGGTTAATGGCTTAACAAAACATGGTTTCATGCTTCTTAAAAACAAAATTATAATTCGTATAACTGTATATGGGACTGTGTAAACAATATGAAAAAATTTTCCCAACAAAATAACCTGTTAAGCTTTATCACATCAATATGATAAAGGGAGTAATAGTATATGTCTACGTACTATATGTAAAACGGTATTAGCGTTTTAAGTAAAACCGTTCTGTTACGAAAACTCGTAGTTATTGTTTCATTACCCAACATATTATTTGGTTTTTACGTTTTTGTTGCTAATCCTGACCTGCAACAGAAACATAAAAATGGAAGAACAGAATTTCAGGCTCGAAACCTGAAACAACAGCTCAACGGAAGAAGACACACACACAAAAAAGAAATAGAATTCGAAACCCATAAAATCTTGTCCAAAAATTCTTTCAAATCACAATAACCACACATAGAGAAACACAAAAGACATATCTAATCATTCGAACTCGCAGAGTGATTAATTAAAAAGAATAGTAATGGAGGAGGCGAGACAAGCGTTGATAGCGTCGTTGCCGGAGTTACCTAAGAAACCAAAGTCAAAAGTAGAGAGAGTAGTGAGGAAAACATTCAAAGGAACAGCTAATCTCTCAAATCTGCTCCCGACCGGTTCGGTGATGGGTTTTCAAATCATGTGTCCGGTCCTAACCCATCAAGGTCAGTGTCCAACCATCACCAGTCGCTGGCTCACCTGCTTGCTCGTCTTCATCTGCGCCGTCTCTTGCTTTATCCTCTCCTTCACCGACTCCTTCAGAGACCCACGCGGCAAGGTACGTGTATATACATGTCTCTCTCATTCGGAAATTCTTATTGATACGTTTTGAAAACACGTTTTGTATCTTTATTAATACTGTGAAATCACCGGTCTTATTCAAGTTCACCAAATTGTTGAAACAAAACATCAAACTTAAATTTGCAGGTTAGGTACGGATTAGCGACGCCGAGTGGGTTATGTGCGATGGAAGGATCGATTACTCTGACGGAGGAGGAGAAGGAGAAGTATAAGCTCAGGTTTCTTGATTTCGTACACGCAATCATGTCCATGCTCGTCTTCTTTGCAATCTCCATGTTCGACCAGAACGTGATCCGTTGTTTATTCCCTGTTCCTTCTGAAGAAATCAAGGAGCTCCTCACGGGTTTGCCCTTCATCATCGGCGTTGTTTGCGGCGGCTTCTTCCTCATGTTCCCCACGCGCCGTCACGGCATCGGATCTCCCCTCACCAAAGAATAATTTTCATTTCTTAAAACAGGGGAAGAAAAAAAAGACAAAACTTTTGTAAACACGAAAGATTTTCTTTTTCAATTTTTGTTTCTGGAGGACATGTACGAAATCTTGATAAAGAATTACTTGAAAAAAAATTAACAAAAAGGGAATTAGACTTCAATCTTGAATTACCAGAAGGGAAAAAAGTTTCCCTATAGATCGTATATTACCAATCCGACCTGAATATAACAACATCAAAAACACAAGAGAAGCTAAAGCTTGTAATCACCCAAGAAGCTTCTTAAACCCAGCCTTCTGTTCTGCAGTTAACCTCGCTGGGAACTTGATGTTGAACTTGATCCTCAAGTTCCCTTTCTGTGTCTGATCTTTCTGAAGTGGCATTCCCTCTTTAGGCACCACCTCTTCGTACTCCGGACTGATCACGTTTGTGATAGGGACTGTAAGTGTTCGACCATCGAGGGTCGTTAGGTTCACGGTATATCCAGTTAGGGCATCAACTAGCGAGACCTTCTGTGTGACAATCAGGTCGTTTCCATCACGTGTGAACACCGGATGTGGTTTCTCGTCGATGATGAAGACGAGATCCGCTGGAACCACTCCCGGATGCTCATTGCCTTTCTCCGGGAATGTGATCTTCGTGCCTTTCTTCCACCCGGGCTTCACTCCAATCGTTAGAATCTCTTCCGTTGGCATTGCTTTGCTGCATTTTAGCAGCAGAAGAGAAAAAGAAAGAGCACAGAGATTAGGTCTTGTCAAGACTACAACTAGGGCCAGCTCAAATCAAACAAGTAACAGAGCATTGATCAATAACCTAAAAGCTTAAAACTTCATCACAGAAATTTTCCCATTCGTTATGTGGAAATAGTAGACGAGAACGTTTAAATGTAAGATCGAAATAGTATGTGAGTTTGATCACTTACCCGCTGGCATCTACAATCTCTCTGGAGATCTTCATCTTCTTGGTGGTTCCTTTGAAGAGATCTTCAAGGCTACACGGCAGCTTGTTCTCGATTGGAGCCACTCTCCTAGCTCCATGATGATGATGATGATGATGGTGATGATGATTCATTGATCCACCACCACCACCTCCTCCTTCACCAAACGAGGCATACATATCATCACCAAACATGCGGCTAGAGAACCTCTGCCCTCCGCTGCCACCAGCGCCTCCTCCACCAAACGGAGTCGAGAACCCGAAAAACTCAGCGAATATGTCATCAGCACTTCTCGGGTTGAATCTGAAAGCTGAAGGTCCGTCTCCTGTTGAGAAGTAGGAGGCTCCACCACCAGCATTAGGAGGCGGCACGTTCCCTTTTAACCCTTCCTCTCCGTATTGATCATATACCGCTCTCTTTTGAGGATCGCTGAGAACCTATAACAACTCAAAATCCAAGACCAACATTAGCCATATAAAAGCCTGAATCAAAGTAAAACGATCTTAGCATTCTCCTGAGAATCCTAAAGTTAGAGACTTGTATTGCATGCAAAGTATAGAGATGCCTATTGAGGTTCTAAATAGTCGTTAAGCAGAGAGTTTCAAAGACAACGGAGAAAGCATCGAGAAAGGAAGCAAAAATTAAGAGCTTTGGGGACAATATCGGCGATTCGATTCGTTCCATAGGCAATGACATCAGATAATCTAGCTAACCCAAAAATAAAGCAACCATCTTTTACTTTATACTATGATTCGAATGACTCAGAACACGAAATCTGGGAAACCCACGAGCCAACACAACATCAAATCGTGAAATCAGCAATCAGAGCTCGTGAAAGCCGACTAATTTCATCTCAAATCGGGACGAAGTGTTTCAACTCCGCCGCCGACAGTATCACGAGGTGCAAAATTTCATCACTAGAAATCAAAATCGACGGTTTCAATAAAGCAATCATCGAATTTAATTGAGACGCAGTGGGAATGATAAACAAACATACATCGTAGGCTTCAGAGATCTGCTTGAACTTAGCCTCGGCGTCCTTTTTGTTGTTAGGGTTCTTATCGGGATGCCATTTCATGGCGAGTTTTCTGTAAGCTTTCTTCAGGTCATCTTCGCTAGCGCTTCTATCAACCTGTAGAACCTTGTAATAATCCACACCCATCTCACCTTCTTCTTCTTCTCTCTTTCGCTTCTTCACTTTTCCTGAATCCGATTAAATCACAAAAGGGGATTTGGTTCAATTTCTGGGGATTCTTTCCCTGTCGACGTGTTCTTCTTCCTCTCGATTTCGCTTTCACATTTGATGTTTCTGACTAGTAAAAGAATCTCGTGGAAGGTTCGAGAAAACTCGACTTCTATCTCTCTACGTTGACGGGGCGGGTGACGGTGTTTGCCCTCTTGGCTATTGCTTTCCTTCTTTCCCATTTCTCTTTTATTATCTCGCTCAAGTATCGGGATTTTCCGTTACTTTTTTCTTTTTTTTTAGGAATTTACTTTCCCATTAGTAAACAAAAGTATATTTTGTAAGTTGGACAAATATTGCGAAATTAATCAAAAAAATTCCCAATCAACAATGGACATTTTCTCGGAAAAAATTGTAACAATCATATCTGAATTTGATTAGTTATACAACGAATAGATTATAGAACAAAATAATGAACTATTAAATTTTTGTGTGAAACTCTTGTTATTTTGTTACTTTATGTTCGGACTTATCATGTGATTTGTTAATATAACATTTTCTAATCTATTTTATCGTATGCATTATGCAGAGTGCAGACTAACCAGTAACCACGATAGTATTTTATGGAAACTTTCATAAAAAAATTACAGCTATTTACTTTTCTAGCCAAAATTACGACATTACTTTACAGTTATGTACAGTATGCATAAATGTATTCGCATCTGAATTTAAACAAATTTGATAAGACGTTTTATGATATATTTGAACTTTTTTTTTTAATATGTGGAATCAATATTCCTCTATAGGCACTAAATATATAAATTATGGCCCAAGTGAGTAAACCCTATTGATCTATGGGCCGAGAAGCCCATAATGGAATTCTTGATCGAGGGGTAATCTTCTCCGTATTTGTTATTTTACTGATATATTTGTTATTTTGTTTTCGATATATTTTTCCTTCATCAGTTCACCTTTTGCCTCAGTTCCAGAAGAAAGGCATAATTCCTCTCTAACTTGCACTTTCAGGCTTAGGGTTTCAGCGAGACCTCGATTAGTAGAAGCTGCTCGATTTGTCTCCAGTTTTCGAATTTCCGGCGTTCATTTGCTGGATTTGTTAGATTGATCGGGTGCTTGTTTGATTGAGATGGCTCCAGTTCCGGATCCGAATAACATTAGTGGTGGTGCGAAGCGGGATGAAGCTACGACAAAAGTTCCTTCGAAGGATCCCAAGAAGAAGGATGATAAAAAGGAGGAGGATATGGTGAGTTCTCTTTCGTTCGATTTTGCTTTCGCTTTGTCGACGTGCTTCACGAATCACGATTAAGCTGTAGGTTTTGTAGTTAGTTGAAATCTGAATCTACTGTGATTGAAGCAAATTTTCAGAGATTTTTAGGTTTTAGCTGATTAGCTGTTCATAGTTTTGAAAGCTTCGGCTAAGTGAATGTCATATTGCAATTCCGATACCGGGATTACAAAGTTTGTAAAATCCAGGCTAACAAGTTGTGGGGAGATAGTTTTCTTGTTGGGGTTTACTTCAATGGCCTTAGATGATAGAAAATTTGTGTACTATGGCTATGGTTACAGCCAGTTTTTTTTAGCTAGTACGAATGTACGATTGCTAGATGACATAGTTTGTATCTGATGTTATTGCAGTCTGAAGAGGACTTGCAACTAAAGCAAAACCTAGAGCTCTATGTTGAGAGGGTTCAAGACCCCAATCCCGAGTTGCAGAAGACTGCTCTTGAAAGCATGAGGTAATTCTTGTATTTGATTAGCTGGAAATATTCGGATGATTTTCGTTGGAGATTGATTTTTGGACTTATGACAGTTCTTTTGTTGCTTCAAGTTTTTTTTTATCATCCTTTTTCTTAGTCTAACCCTATTCGGTCTAATCTTGTTGCCTGTAGGCAGGAAATCCGTGCCTCAACAAGCTCCATGACATCAGTTCCCAAACCCCTCAAGTTTCTCCGTCCTCATTATGGAACTCTTAAGGAATGTCATAAAACAATGGCAGAGTCCGATCTCAAGGTACGTCTTCAGACATTTTTAGAAACTAGCACCCCCTTGCACATTCTACTGTGTATGGATTGAAGATCGCGTTTCATGTTTTTGCAGAAATTGTTGGCAGATATACTGTCTGTCCTGGCACTGACCATGTCTGCTGAGGGTGAAAGGGTATGCTTTCTTGCTATCATAGTAGGGATAGTAACAACGTATTTCTTACCTATTGCTATTTGCTTCATAGTCATATCACTTGATTCCTTTATGTTTTTTTTTTTGCGTTTTTCTCTTATGATCCCCTTAAAACAGATTTGTATTTTGTGGTTCTTGGTAGAATATGATGGTGTTATTTGTTGCTGAACCTTTCGCTATACAATACTCTTTCAGGAAAGCTTAGGCTATAGGTTGACTGGAACAGAGGGTGACATCGGATCGTGGGGTCACGAGTATGTAAGGAATCTGGCTGGAGAGATTGCAGAAGAGTATACGATGCGTCAGGTTAGAAAACAATTTGGTCTTTCGCAATACTGTATCGCTCGAGGAGTTTTACTCATATTCTAGCGAGGCCTGGGATACTTATGTCTGGGTTTTCTCTGCTGGTCCGTTAGCGAATTATTATACATTGTGCTTTCTATTATATTTAGATTTTTTTTCTGAACTATGGTTATATGATTGTTCTTTTTTTTGTTAAATCAGGGTGAGGAGTCCCCCGTTGATGATTTAATGGATCTTGTGCAGCAAATTGTTGCTTTTCACATGAAGGTGAGATCCCTGTCATGCTTACTTTTCTAGGTTCCTTGCCCCCTTGTAATAAAAAAAGGTTCCATTATATATCGAAATCTACTGAAGTTTCATTTATAGGCTTGAGACTTGCACCTCTTTTGTGTTCATATCTCTGAAAATTTCCATTTTGTTCCTTGCAGCATAATGCAGAAACCGAAGCGGTTGACCTTTTAATGGATGTTGAGGATCTTGATCTCTTACTTAAGCATGTAGACAGCGCAAATTTCAGGAGGACGTGCAACTACCTCACGAGTGCTGCAAAGTAACCTAAATATAATAATCTTATTTATATGACTCGTGTTTCTCTTTCATTTGTAGTTTTAGATCACTGATGAGACAAGCTCTCATGAACTTTGCTTGGCTACCTCACACAGGACCACTCCCTTTGACATTCTATGTTTTTTTTTGTTTTTTCAGGTATCTTCCAGGACCTGATGACATGCTGGTTTTGGATATTGCTTACACGATCTACATCAAGTTTGAAGAATATCCAAACGCTCTGCAAATTGCATTATTTCTTGATAACATGCAGGTCTGGGTTCTAATCTTCATACAGAACTTAACATCCTCTCTCTGCACCAGGGGGCAGCTGGAAAAAGCTTTTTTTAAGTTATGTAAATATCTTACATAATATACATTCTTCGTATTGCAGTATGTGAAGCAAGTATTTACCTCATGCACTGATCTGCTAAGAAAGAAACAGTTCTGCTACATGATTTCACGTCATGTAAGTGCTTGATAATTAACATCAGCATAGAAATGCAATTCCTGATGATACACTTTCTTATGTTTCTTTTTCTCTTGTTATCTCCCCATGCAGGGCATCACCCTTGAACTTGACCCTGAGATGGTTTCAGATGACGTTGACAGAGAAATGCTGCAAGATATTGTCAACAACACTAAGCTAAGTGACGGATATCTGACGCTTGCAAGGGATATTGAGGTAATGGAGGCCAAAACGCCAGAAGATATCTACAAGGTATATCAGTTTTATGCCTGTTAACTGGTTTTTTTGGTTACATGATATGTTTTTGCCAGTGTCTCTTATCTGATCAATGAAATTTTGCAGGCTCACTTGCTTGATGGCAGGGTTACCTCTGGTCCAAGTGTGGATTCTGCTAGACAAAATCTGGCAGCGACTTTTGTGAATGCATTTGTAAATGCTGGTTTCGGGCAGGTATGATGACAGATTCTTATGGTGTGCAAAACGAAATGAATTTTTTATTCTCAGCTGCCCTTTTGATACATTCACTTGTTGCAGGACAAATTAATGACAGTACCATCAGACTCAACCAGTGGATCTGCTGCAAATTGGCTCTTCAAAAATAGAGATCATGGCAAGACCAGTGCAGCTGCTAGTCTGGTATGCGTCCTCGTATGTGGTAGATTGACTAGCTGTGTTCATATCTTGGAAGTGAAAATTGTAACAGGTCCTCTTTGTTTCCCAATGTTAGGGTATGATTCTTTTGTGGGATGTTGACTCTGGACTTGCTCAACTCGACAAATATTTCCATAGTAATGATAATCCCATCATTGCTGGAGCTCTGCTGGGTGTTGGGATTGTTAATTGCGGCATTAAGAATGATTGTGATCCCGTGAGTTGATTTCTTTTTCGATTTTATTGGAACCTCCGCTCATTAATTTTCGCCATACACTCTTCTCACTCGGCTTTCTTTCTCAGGCACTGGCCCTGCTTGGAGAATATATTGACAAAGAGGATTCATCTGTCCGTATTGGGGCTATTATGGGTCTTGGAATTGCATATGCGGGTTCCCAAAATGATCAGGTGAAGATATGTTATCTACTTACCTATAGGGCTATGTAGAATTTTTATTTTTATGTTGACGAGAGAATAACATGCTCAATGTTTGGACAGATAAGAAGCAGCTTGTCTCCAATACTAAACGATGCAAAAGCACCGCTCGATGTGATTGCATTTGCTGCGCTTAGTTTGGGGATGATTTACGTTGGTTCGTGTAACGAAGAGGTCGCACAATCTATTATATTCGCTTTGATGGATCGGAGTGAGGCAGAACTGGGTGAAGCCCTCACTCGTTTCTTGCCTCTTGGACTTGGACTTTTGTACCTTGGCAAACAGGTAGACAACGTACTTGATTAATTTCTTGTTTGTTTACCCGATTCTTATTTCCGTCGCTGAACAGTGTCGACTTGTTCCAATATCGAGCAGGAAAGTGTGGAGGCTACTGCGGAAGTTTCAAAGACTTTCAATGAGAAAATCAGAAAGTATTGTGATATGACACTTCTTTCCTGTGCGTATGCTGGAACTGGGAATGTCCTTAAGGTATCAGATCAAGTGTACTGGTGGTTGAATTACATAGTTCCTTTTTTTTCTAGTTTAGTTCCTGACTCTTCAGTTGTTCAGGTCCAAGACCTCCTGGCTCAGTGTGGAGAGCATTTGGAGAAAGATGATATCCACCAGGGTCCAGCTGTGCTTGGATTAGCAATGGTTGCTATGTCTGAAGAATTGGGTCTTGATATGGAGATCCGTTCTCTGGAGCGCGTGCTACAGTATGGAGAACAGAACGTTCGACGAGCAGTGCCTTTGTCCCTTGGTCTCCTATGTATATCAAACCCCAAGGTGAATTTTACATTCTTTTTTGTAAAAAAATATCTGGTTTTACTATACTGCTTAAGTATACTGCTGTTACTCTCTAATCTTTTCCATAATCCCAGGTGACTGTTATGGACACCTTGAGCCGGCTTAGCCATGACACAGATTCAGAAGTTGCGATGGTGAGTTGTCTTTTCGTTGAGGTAGTAGTTATTCCATTGACTTAGTTTGCAGCGTTGGACTGATGTTTCATCTGTGACTCCTACAGGCAGCAATTATTTCCCTTGGTTTGATCGGCGCTGGAACTAACAATGCAAGAATCGCTGGCATGCTTAGAAATCTCTCCAGCTATTATTACAAGGACGCCAGCCTTCTCTTCTGTGTAATGTGTTAAAATTTGATGGTTTTGTTTTCATGCAACAAAAACACAGTTTCTTTTGATAGGCTTGTTCTCAATGTGTTAATTCATAATGCAGGTGCGTATTGCTCAAGGGCTGGTCCACATGGGAAAGGGTCTCTTAACTCTCAGTCCCTTTCACTCCGAACGGCTCTTGCTGTCACCGTAAGTTGTAACATATATTTTTATGAATAATTGGCTTTCTGTGGCCTGTGAATCCTAAACATGGGTGTGTTTTATTTGTACCCAGAACCGCGCTTGCTGGTATAGTGACATTGTTGCATGCATGCCTCGACATGAAATCTATCATACTGGGGAAATACCATTATGTGCTCTACTTCCTCGTTTTGGCGATGCAGGTGCGTGCAACGTTCTATCTGAGGATTTTTTTTCATTTTTCTTTTGTTAAATGGGTTAAACGATGTCTATCTACTAACGCAATACGGTTTGAGTGTGCAGCCAAGGATGATGCTGACGGTAGACGAGAATCTGAAGCCCATCTCCGTGCCAGTGCGAGTAGGACAAGCGGTCGATGTGGTTGGACAGGCAGGTCGACCCAAGACAATCACTGGGTTCCAAACGCACTCGACACCTGTTCTCCTCGCTGCTGGGGAGAGAGCCGAACTCGCTACTGACAAGTATGTTGTTTTCCTCTAAAACGTCTTCCTACTTGAAACGAAACTCTTGTTTTACATTTTGGAATCTAAAAACTCTTTGTGGTTTTGTTCGATCACAGGTACATTCCATTGTCGCCCATATTAGAAGGTTTCATCATACTGAAAGAGAACCCAGACTATAGAGAGGAGTGAATCCAAAGTTGGAAGTGCGAAGAGCATTTGGATACTCTCAGGAAGAGCTATGTAGTTTCATGTGCACAACAAGTCCTTTTTTCTTAGTTTACTCGCTTCTTTCCCCAGGGAATTGGTTTTAGACTTTTAGTTAACGATGTCCACTTTTTTTTTCTGCAAAAAATCGCTTATTGTGCACTTTATTATTCTAAAGTTGGATTAGTTTCAAAGTTCTAGATTTGATCAAACTTGCTCATCTAAATCAATAAATAAGCCTACGTCTTTGCCCTCTTTGGTTTACTGCCGGAAACTTCATTTTCACGCTTTACTCCAGCTTCGATTTGTGACATGCGAAGGCTCCCTTGATCTCGATGTCTTCAGGATTTGGCAAAAACTATGTAATATAAAATGTTAGGAAGGTGACCCGGAAGGCTTCATACACAACAAATATGGCGTGCACGACTCACTCGTTTACAACTTCTCTTTAATTTTTTTTTTTTTTTTTTTTTTTTTTTTGCATATCTTCGTTATCGTTCCCAACCACCACAAAATCTTATTGAAAATCACAACAATATGAGTAACTTTTATATACATGTATATCGAGGGTTTATCCGTTTATGAGTTTCTGCAAATAATTGAGTATATGATTTTTTCCCTAAAGAAAAAAATAAATAAATGAATGGAATACAGTTATTGACCGTTTGTTTTGGTTACCATATGGTACGTATCTATATAGTAACCAATCTCCTCCAGCTAGAAAAAGAAATGTGAATTTAATGGCCGCGGCCTCTTGGACTCGGTCCCGACGCCAGACGCTGAAACCAGGAATCCACCGTCGACTTCATCCTCTCCACGCTCATCACCGTCGCTCTTCCGTCTCCAAACTTCTCCGTTAGAACCCTCCCCGCCTCGGCTGGAATCACCACGTGTTCTACCACCAACAACGCCACCATCACCACGATCAAAATAGTAGACCAACTAACCCTCCTCATTTTACGATGCACGGACAAAAAGAAAAATAAGCGCTTCGAAGAAAACAGGTAATAAATTAGTATTTTCCCGGGAAAGAAGAAAGTTATTGTTGTTGTTGTTGTTTGGTTAAGAAAGAAAATTAGGAGTTGTGGTTATGTTGGATCAGATAAATGAGAGAGAGTATGTGTTTATATACACTTAGTTAAAGAGGAAGCGGTCATGACTCGAGAGCTCATCACTTAGGTCGGATTTTACCGGCGCTATCTCACGATTTGCGTGTTGACCAAGTATAACGCGACTTGAACGGGTCGCTCCACAACACTTAACAATGTGTGGAATTACTTTTATACCCATTTTGGTATCGCTGGAGTTTTTCAAGTTTTTAAATAATCAACCAAATCCAAAGTTTTGTTTTGTAAAAAAAAGAAGTTCATCTCTTTTTAATTATTTATGCAGACGAATTACAAATCCAATTTAATATGGTTTTGCACATTTTTATCATAGAAACAGGCTTAATTAATTTTGTTTCTGAAAAGTCATGTTTGAGGTTTGAATCTTAACGCGTAAGTCAAGAATTGACTAATGAAAGTACCGCAAGAGGACCAATTCACAGTTTCACCTAAATAACTCTCTTATCAGTTTAGGTTGGGGAAGAAACATTGAAAAATAACATCATGGATGTAAGAAGGTTGAAATGTATGATAAAATTTCGTATGAATTGATGTTGTTAGGTACTATTAAGTTTATTTAATGCGATTTTGGAAGATTAAAAATATAAATAAACAGAGAGAGAAAAGTGTTTGGTAGGTGAGTTTTTCCTGTTTTGTAGTCACATATAAGCATTTATTTAAAGAGTGTTGTTTTTAATTCAATGTGTGTATCTCTAAGACTGTTCAAGAAGAAAGCTTAAAATTCAAAACATGAGAATTTGACCTTGTCCAAATGCAAGGGATATTGCTTGTGCTACTGGCTACTGCTACCAAACTAGTAAAAGTCCGACGACAAAGATTTTTTTTCAAACCTCATGCATATTTTTATTTTTGTATAACCAGAAACAAAATTGGACTTCTTTCCGGAAAATCAGAGCATATCAAAGTGGCATACATCAGTTCTTGACTTTATATGATATTGACGATATGTAATTTCAAATGATACTTCGTCCACGAAATTAAATTCGGCCCATATAGTAAACCTTATAGAGTCCTGCGAGCCCAATATCGCGCGAATAGACCTAAAATGATTGTTTATCGGCCCATCTCAGCGCCACAAGCTTCGTCTTCTGCTTTCGTCTCTCCCAAAACCTCTCTAGGGTTTTTCTGTCTGCAACAATAACTCCGTCACCGTCCCTCTCTCTCTCTCTCCTCATCTCTTCGTGACCTCTCGAAATCCTAAGCAATGGTTAAGATTAAGGTAATATCGAGATCGGTTGATGAATACACTCGAGAAAGAAGTCAGGATCTTCAGGTAATCTGCATATCCAATTCGTTCGCATATCATGCAAAATTAAGTGTTCAATTTTGGCTCCCACCTAAGTTTCTCTCCGCAACCTTATCAATGCTGTGAAACTTTGGGTGGTTTCAGCGGGTCTTTCACAACTTCGACCCAAGTCTCCGGCCGATGGAGAAGGCGGTGGAATACCAGAGGGCTCTTACATCTGCCAAATTAGAGAAGGTATTGCAAATCAGCTTCCTTCGAAAATCTCTCTCTTCCGTCTAATTTTGATTTTCACAGTGTCGTTTGGTTCTGCTTGTATTGATCAGCTCAATTTTTTTTTTCCTATTGTGTAGATATTCGCAAGGCCGTTTGTAGGCGCCATGGATGGTCATCGCGATGGAATCTCATGTATGGCGAAGAACCCAAATTACTTGAAAGGAATCTTCTCTGCTTCTATGGATGGAGGTAAATGATCCAACTCCTGTTTCCTCTAATGGTACCATCGGTGAATACTTGAGTTTGCTGTTTGTATCCTAATACTATGTTACTTCTCTGCAGATATTCGCCTTTGGGATATCGCTACGAGGTTAAAAATCTTTGAAAACTAAATCTCCACAATAGTATGAACTTCATTTAGTATTTCGTGTATGTTATGTTATGTGCTTTTTTTTGGTAAATGTGTTGTGGAACTTTGAACAAGCAGGAGAACAGTTTGCCAGTTTCCTGGTCATCGAGGGTCCGTGCGTGGTCTTACAGTGTCAACTGATGGCAATGTGTTGGTTTCTTGCGGGACTGATAGCACGTATGAATATATGAACTCATTGTTGTTACTCTTTCGACTAAATTTAAACGCCGTCGATCTATAAGATGAATGGAATTGTGCAGTGTTCGTCTGTGGAATGTTCCTCGTCCTTCGCTTGAAGATTCAGACACGTCATCTGAAAAATCTATTGAGGTGGTTTATTTATTCAATCTTCCTTACAACGCTATATCCCGAAAGTGTCTTTTGAGAATTTCTAAACTTTTTCAATCTGAATCAATTTTCAGCCATCTGCGGTATATGTCGGGAAGAATGCGTTCTGGTTAGACTTCTTATACCATCTTATTTCAGTTTTTTCTCATGATTCTTTCGGTCCACAAAAACTTGAGCTATGAAGCTTTCTTTCTATCTAGGGCTGTTGATCATCAGTTTGAAAGGGACCTTTTTGCAACGACCGGAGCTCAACTGGATATATGGAATCATAATAGGTACTCAAGACTCTTGCCAAAAGAAGTCTCTGATGTTTTGTCTTTCTTGAATTTAAACAGCGCTTATAGTTTCTATCTTGTTGTAATTAGGTCTCAGCCAGTTCAGAGCTACCAGTGGGGGACTGACACTGTAATATCTGTCCGGTTTAATCCTGGAGAGCCTGATATATTGGCGGCATCTGCTGGGTATATACTTGTATATGGTAAATGTAATTATCTGATGAGTAAAAACATTCCAGAGGTTTATTTAACAATGTAAGTGGGTTTCTCTTCTTCCAGCGATCGCAGCATTACCATTTATGATCTCCGCATGTCTATTCCAGCAAGGAAAATTATCATGATGGTATGCTTGAGATTGTTCATTCGTTCTCTTCATATGTAAATAATTTTTTGTTCTTCGAACTTATAAATTGCTAACCTTGGTCTGCGAATTGCTAATCTTTTGGCAGACAAAAACGAATTCAATCGCATGGAATCCTATGGAGCCTATGAACCTGACAGCTGTAAGTGATAATAATAAAGTGAATTTTTCTCTGATGGTTTTTTTTTCTAACTGGAGGAAACCAGCATTTGGCTTTCGCTTATGTATTACTTTTATCCTATAGGCTAATGAAGATGGCAACTGCTATAGCTTTGATGGTAGAAAGATGGACGAAGCCAAGTGTGTGCATAAAGATCATGTTTCTGCAGTGTAAGAATGATAAATCCCAAGTGTCCGCTAAAATATTGCAAGTATCAACATGATAGTATCCTAATACTGATTTATCTTATATCATCATTTTCCAGGATGGATATTGATTTTTCACCAACTGGTCGTGAATTTGTTACGGGTTCTTATGATCGATCCGTGAGAATCTTCCCATACAACGGAGGACACAGCAGGGAAATCTACCATACAAAGAGGATGCAGAGGTACAATTTAGTAAACAATTTTGTTAATTTTAGTTTTATTTTAAGCGATTCCTATATTTTAATGCGTTTGTTTTTTCTTGGTTATACTCGGCATTCAGATTTTTCTGGTGAACCCCTTTGTTAATTTTAATTTGATTTTAAGCGATTTATATTATTTAATGCGTTTGTTTTTTCTTGTAGAGTATTCTGCGTCAAGTACAGCTGTGATGCAACCTACGTACTATCAGGCAGTGATGACACTAATATCAGGCTATGGAAGGCCAAAGCATCAGAGCAACTGGGAGTTGTAAGAATCTTGTACCTTTTTCTTGTTACAGAGCATTAGGTTTCATTATACAAAATGATAACCTAAAATTCGAAAGAGAAAACTAACATAGGCTAAGCCATGGAATCAATAGTGCGTTTGATTGTGAAATATTATGACTTGTACACACTTGGAAATGTAAATTCTCATATGTTGATTGGTGTGTGCGCGTTACAGATTCTGCCAAGGGAACAGAGGAAGCATGAGTACAACGAGGCTGTGAAGAATCGGTACAAGCATCTTCCTGAGATCAAGCGAATTGTCAGGTACATGACCAGTAAAAAAATGGCGCTCTGTGTTTGTATCCATGTTTCCAGTTTTGGAGATTGTCAAAAAGGCTAACATTAACGTTTTGGGTGGATGTGAAATACAGACACAGACACTTGCCGAAACCTATACACAAAGCAACATTAGAAAGCCGAGCAATGAACGATGCGAAGAGGAAGAAAGATGCGAAGAGGAAAGCTCACAGTGCTCCAGGATCAGTTGTCACTGTACCTCTGCGCAAAAGAAGGATCATCAAAGAAGTGGAGTGAGTCTAGTTTTTCTCGGGATGTTCCTATAACCTTAATTCTTAAGATTGTGTTGGTATTGTGAGGGTATACTATTAGGAACATGAATATTTTTGCAGTATTGTAAGCTTCACTCTATGCTATAAGTTATGCCCCTTTCGGGTTTTTGTCTCTTCACTACTCGTCATGTTCATGAATCATTCTTTCTGGTTGTTATTATAAACCTGATCTTCAATGATGTTTTTATACTTAAGGTTGCGATTTGTTAGAAACCAACAATTCAATCTAGCATAAGCCAGAAAATGAACACAAAGAAAAAACTGAAAACATGTGCTTGAAGAATGAGAAAAAAAAGAGAGCAACTTGAAGAATGAAAACTTATTTAACTGCATTAGATAGTGAACAAGCTCTCAACAATGGTCTTTTAACTGCATTAGGGTAAAAAGAAAAGCATTCCTACTAGAACCAGTCATACAAACCCTCATCATCTAAAAATCATAAGTAGACCTTAGAATAAGAAGCAAACACTCTCGCAGGGGTTATCTTTTCCATAAACATACTTATAAGATTCACTGATCTGGTACATTAATCAGCTCGTATTCAACAAGAGACAGATTGTTATCCTCCTTGACTGTGAAAGCCGCGGGCTCAGTGGCTTCGATGCGTCCCCATTTATCAACCCCTAGCCTCATTGTACCCTTGAACATGTCTATCCTCGAATTGCGCAGTATCACAGTCTCCCCTGGCTTCATCAGATCAACTATGTATACACACACACACACACACACACACACAAAACGAATCAGCAGGCCAATGGGATTGCACAATAACTGGTACAATACTAACCAAACAATCTTTTAAAGGACAACCAAAACGAATGTTTTAACTCAACATCTGATCAAGCAAGTTTCACCATCACCAATGGCCAGATGAAGTATACACTATTAAACCCCTACTCAAATATTTCTGAACGATATCATACACACTTTAAAGGCCACTAAATTGGACAAATAAATCACTGAATGAGCAGATTTTTCAGAGTGATTCCATTTCCATTATAGACAAAGATAGCTTTTTTGCTTTCTATGATTGCCAGTTTATCGTACGAGGCTAGATACATCGTTCACCAAATAAGACTTAGCAGTAACAAATCTACCATTTTCTCAAAACGAAAGAGAAATGAAATTGGCGGAGATAAATATGACGATACTGTTTCAATACCCTAAAAGCAAAAGTTAAGTGTGAGTAACCTTGATCGTTACGAGCAGTGAAGAGAATACATCCGGTCTCGTCTCCGATGAGACACTCGGCGATTCGACTCGGCTGAGACGGACGACTCAGAGAAGTCCCAGGACGAGCCTTCCGGGTAACAGGAACCACCGTATTAGCATCAACGACCTTAACAGTCAACGTGTGACCGTTCGTTCCAGGCTTTAGCTGCTCCACTTTCACAAACACCGGTTTTCTCTTCGCCACCGTCGAAGTTCCCGTCGCAACCGTTGCATTCCCTGTCGTCGCCATCGATCTCACCGTCACAAAACTACTAACCCAGATTTCGCGTTCGCCCTAATGGTGGAATCGATAAAGTTTTTGGGCAGTGAAATAGGATTTTAGGGTTTATAAAGAAAGACCGATGACGCTTCGCTCTCTCCCAAGACGGTCGAGAGTAATTATCACCTGCTTTTTGGTACCATAGATTTGCCACGTGTAACGTTCTGATTTGATTTTTTTATCACATTTCGATACTCAGCTCCAATCCTTACACCGGTTTAAACCGTTATGAATCTAACACCGGTCTAATTGATTGTGGATTGAGACAATGTACCCTTTATGGATTGCAGTGATTGCTAATAGAGAACATTCTTATTACCGTTGAGGAATTTTCACAAACCTATGAAAGTTTTGTCTTGAGGAATCATACATTATAACGTGCAAATCACATTTCGTTACATACATTCTCAGTATTATTATAGCTATTTAGTTATACATTGATGCAAACACAAATTTTTAGGTGAAAAGAAAAAAAACACTAAAGCATCTTTGGTGCTTCGGCTTCTGCAACCACCACTAATGCTTGCTCTTCTTCTGTTGATAGCAGCGACGGTGACTTTTCCTCCGGTGATTCTTCTTGTTGCTCCTTGTGAGTTTGTTCTTGATGCTTCTCCTCTTCCTCAGAATCTAACCGAAGATTATGCCGTCTGTATCTGATCACTACCACGATGATAAACACTGCAGAATCGAGATATCAGTTTTGATGCAAGTTCGTTATGACTGACATCATCTAAGATCAACAGTCTTACCTGTGAAAAAACGGATCTTGAGACTAGTCAGGTTCCAGAATGCAGTAATCATAGAGCCTGCCACGAACTTCTTGTGTGTGCAAATTCCCCACGCTTCAACTATCCTCTTTTGTGCATTCTCAACTACACGAAGCAGATATTCAAGATCCCTTCTTTTACTTCACTGGATTCATCAAAAAAGCAACTCACATTTGTTAATAGAGTTAGTTACCTTTTTGGTTGATCTGGCTCGCATAACACGAGTATAGCTTTGGAACGGTGAAGCTGAAGAAGAAACCTGTTTCAGCAACAATGCATACTTTGAGTCAATTCTACTAGATACTACCACAAGAAGTTTTCTTGGGAACATTGTTGACATTTAGATTTAGATTTTTAACAACCATACCAAAAGCACATAACCTCCAGAATGTTAGGAGGTAACCATATTCAGTTCCAATCAGAACGAAGGGTGCCACCTGAATACAAAGTAAAAACAGCATAAGAAGGAAAACTTCAAACGTGCAAATCACATTCATAGAGAAACGTTTTAATGAGAAAGGACAATTTTTTTTGTCAATTCTAACTTTGAGTGTCATTGCTGGTTCGCCAGAGAAAAGCTCGCTCATCTTTGAGATCGCTAAGTTGGTGATGGGAAGCATTCGTTTCGCTACTCCTAATACATCCTCTTCACTCAGTTTAAGCTCTCTCCGTGCGGCTTCTTCAGTTACCCTTTAAAGATGTAACAAATGGATCAAAACTTCAATGAAAAGCCGGGTTTTTAATTATGTACAAGGACCTGGAAACAAGTGTGTACCTTTGGCGAAGAGTGTTTGACAAAAACGATACCCCAAGAAACAAAAGTCCAAGATGAGAGATCGCTGAGAAAACACTTGAAACACACACAAAAGTTTCATCATGAACTCATGAATGTGATAAATGATTGAAGCTAGTAAGATGAATCTAGATAGTGAATCTCAGTGTACCTAAAGTTAAATCCTTTAGCAAAGCAAGAAGATAGGAAACATATACATCCAAAGCCGAACCAAAGTGTCGATTTTGCAGCATCTCTCCACATGATTAGATCGCTGATGTTCTCTCTGATTCGCTCCAAATCACCATGGCAAACATCTTCACCTGATTACATAAGCCACACACAAATGATTCAGCAAATATCATAGTAGAACAATGAAAGTGAGCTTGAGCAGATAACTAGAGGACCTACTTAGAACTGAAGATGGACAAGGAGAAGGTGACGGAGGAACCGAGCTGTGTTTCTCTTTCTTAGATCGAACAGTCTTCTTGTGTTTTCTGGGTTTCTGGGTTTTTTCATCGGTCAAGACAACAATAGGCTCCTTATCCTCCTTCGTTTCCACCATCAACTCCGATCTCCGTCTCGATCTCCGGCAGTTCCTCGGCGAGGCAGAACCCAAAAGACCATTTTGCCCTCCCTTCGTCTTGCACCGTCGTGCCGCCGCAGCCGCCTCCGCCGCTTCCTTTTCGAAGCGATTGGTCAAACGGGTCCTCGATTTACGGAGAGGGGAAGGAGACAAGAGGAGAATTTCGCGAAGCGTGACAGGAGAAGACGGAGAATAGAGGGAGGCGGGTGATGGGAAAGGAGTATCGTTGTTCATCGGAGACGATAGAACCAAATCGAGAGACGGAATCGGCGATTCTCGGTTGGTTTTGACGAGAGTGTTGCTGATTCGAGCGAGACGCGACGCGGATCTAGGGTCCGAACGGAGGGAAAGAGGCGTAGAATCCATTATGTATTGGGTTTTTGAAAAAGGGATAAATTTTTCGAATTTGAAGTAATTAGAGCAGAGGAATCTTAGGGAATTTATTAGGGTTCTTGAAGATATGGATTTGGGGATTCTTCTTCTACACCGACATCTGAGCCTTTTTTTTTTTGTCTGTTGGAGTGTCTCTGCTTTCTCCGGCTACAGTAGATCAGATAGCCGTTGATGAAGGAAAAAAAGAAGGAAAAAGACAAAGCTTTGCTTATTTTGAATATAGACGGCGGCAAAGTGGGTCCGTCTCTTTTAACGGTAAAGATGACATCTTTCATTTTAAGTAGCATTATTGATGATGACTTGAATTGAACAAATGAATCAGATTTTATATTAATCAAACATGGTTTTGTTATTGATTACCCTCATAGGATTATTCAACCAGAATGTTCATGGGATTATTCAACCACAATGTTGCAACTTTATGTGTGTAGTCTATAGATGAGTGGTGTTTAGATTTCGCCATTGTCACTCAGCTTAAGAGCTTGAAGAGAAGCCTCTGATTTCTTGAGATGGCGTTGGCAGAAGCGATGAAGTCTCTCAAGTGCATCTTCCAGCATCTGAGCTTCTACTCCGATCGTTATCCTTACCCAGTTCTTCAATCCCAAAGCCACTCCTGCAAAAAAAAAACAAGAAAAGTTTCTATCTTCAAACTTGAAACTAATCAATTTTCAAGATTCATTTCAAGTCATTTTCTTAGGTTGTTACCTGGTAGCAATACGAGGTTTTCTTCTTTGGCTAGCTTCATACAGAAATCCATGTCATCTTCTATGTCCTCCATCAACGGAAGCTCCAGCTTTGTCTGCAGTATTTTCGTTATTGTTGTTAAGAAACATCAAATTTGATCAAGAATCATCCAAGAGTATAAGTAGAGGTTATTGGTACCAATAAGTAAGTGCATGATTCAGGTTTCTTGGTGCAGACCACACAGGGAATGTCCATGAGCCTATCACAGACCAGCTCCACGTTCTGTTTCAGTATTGAATTTTTTTTCGCAAACATCTCTTTATTCGACTTCTCCAGGATCTCGGGAAGCGAAACCTGAACTAATGTGGTAGGGTCTGGAGTTATGTCAAGATTCTGCTGGATCGATTGACGTACCTGTCAGAAGGGAAAAAAAGAAAAAAAAACAGAGTGGTTACTTGTAAGACAAGCTACCAAAAGATCAGCTAAGATGATGGGATGTTGATCGGAAAATAGACAAACCCCTGTGGACTTGAAAATGCCTTGTGGATCATTCAAAGCGATCCAGCCGATTCTCCAACCAGGAACAATCCATCCTTTCGAAATACCGCCCAAAGTGATAACCGGAGCTATGGAAGAGAACTCCCCCATTGGAACAAAAGGATTGTCTCCGAAGATTGTTTTGCTATAAACTTCGTCGGTGATCACCATTATTCCCAGCTTCCGAGCTGTCTCGGCCACCTGAAAAGGCTTGATTCATCAGCAACAACTCTCTAATTTATCTAATTCAAAAAAAAAAGCCTTTAATTGAGATCAAGACCTTCTTGAGATGATCGTGAGAGTAGACATTCCCACAGGGGTTGTTAGGGTTTATGATAACCATTGCGACAGTGTTCTCGTCTGCCATGGCTTCGATGCCTTGGAGATCAATCTCCCATTCATTCTCGGGAAGGAGATCGTACTTGCGGACCTCGAGCCCACTGTAGACGGAACGAGCCTCGTAGTGAGGGTAACTAGGCCGTGGGAGAAGGATGTTAGCGTTTGGTCGAGCCAGCGACTGAATCACCACTTCTATCCCTTGGTTGCATCCGACGGTCATAAATACATCACTAGGCGTTACCTTGTTCGTCAAGTCCCGGTTCACGTAATCAGCCACCGCCCTGATTAATTAACAACACGTTCGATCAAAGTTTGTCATCTTTCAAGATTTCATAAATCCGACTCGAATTTAACAAAATTTGGATAAAAGTTAGTCAAATAGAAGTACGGGCATATTGTATAAAAAGAATTAAACTATGGATCCTGAAGAAATTATTAATAGTAAAATTAAAGTAAGAGGGAATATATTAAAGAGTAAACATCAAGAGAGAATAATACTTTCTGGCGGGGAGAATTCCGGCGGCGGGGCCGTAAGAGTTACCCTTGCCGGAGCGGAGGACGTCGACGATGGCGTTCTCGAGGTGGATGGAGGTGCGGAAGCAAGGGTACACAGAAGGGTCGCCGTGGGCAAGGGGCAAAAGAGGCTTTTTGACGTTCGGGGTGCAGAGATCAAAGAGCTTGTAGACGATAACTCTCATCGTGACGCTGGAGGCCTTCGCTGCCGTGTCGCTGCCCCTGAAACGCCAAACGCTCTTTTCCTCTGCTTCTTCCTCGGTTTGAAGCGCAGGAACTAAGAGGTTGCTGGGGTGGCTCATTGTTAGTTGATTCGCTGGGAGTCTTGGTAGGTTTTGAAATGTGGATGTGTTTATTATGAAGAGGCTAACAAAAAGGTATATTTATAGAAGCAAAGAAAACAATCGAAAGTCTCTGGATCAAATTTTAATAGTCAGTCAATCGCAGACTTTCTATACCTTAGAAATTGGAATAGACTTTGGATCAAAGGTTGATGATAATGTATACTTATATAGTATCATTTGTGACGTGCGTGACAAAAAAAAAAACAAAAAACTAATAAAATTAATGAAGAGTTGATATGTTTATCTTACTAAATAATTCCAGTGACTGACTTGTCACATTTATCTTCATCCCTTTTTCTGTTTTTTGGATAATTCACTTTATTTACTTTCTTTATTTCTTTTGTATGTAGTTAATAATATATACATATATCATATTATGTTATATATATTATTTTTGTATGCCAAATCTGATTTTTTTTTTAAATACCATAAATACAAGTTTTATGATGTTAAGTTGTTAGCTGAACTCCACGTTCCCACATCAACTTACTAGTAGGGTTACCAAAAGGTCCAAAACGTAACGTGAGTAACCAACCTTCAGTCAAAGATCATTCTCATTCTGATTAGACAAAAATAAGGAGAAGGAGATCATGGAACCAAATTGGAGTATATTTTATTTAGTAGTTATTTATGTTATATTTAAATTAAATATAGTTTTTTTCATATGAAAATTATCTAAGCTTAATCAACTTGTCTAATCCATAAATAATTAAATCCTGGATTTGTAAGATTTATGTTTTTACAAAAAATCGTTTAAATTGTCCTGAAAGCGTGAGAATATCGGGGTTACCTAATACTAATTTATGATTTTTACATCAGCTAAAATAACATTCTCCTTTTTTTGTCAAATTACATGAATTCGAAATGACTAATTTTCTTAATCATCTATCTAATAGTAAACATACAATAGGACACAACCCAAAATACTAGTATAAGTCGTTAATCTAGAAGCTCGAATACATAAAAATCATTTTATAAGTTATTAGGCAATCGATATAGCCCGCATCATAATATCAATATATTACAGTACTACCATGTAATTTTTGTTAGACATCAATCAGTATAACGAAAACATTCTTCCGCGAAAAGGTTTATAAAGTATATGAATACTTAATATTTAAAACCTTATGGTAAAATGAAAAAAATAAACTACGTAGTATTATTCATCAGCAATAATTATAAATGGTATATTAAATGGTTGCATCATCAAATATTCTTTATTCTCAACTCGACATGTATTATTATTCCAACATGGTTAAAATATATATTAATAAGCTCGAGCCATCAAGTTTTGACAACGACGTTTTAACGGACAGCATACGCATATACGGGCACACACAGAGTAAACAAAAGATTTGGGTATGATCAGGTTCCGACAATGAAGCTGAGTTTTTTGGTGAATTGCGTTTTGATATGGCGAGAGGAGAAGCCTTTGAGCCTTACGAAAGCGTCTTCTAGCATCGATCTCTCCACTCCGATCGAAATTCTCACCCAATTCTTCAGTCCTAAAACCTCTCCTGCGTTTGTATAATTATATTCCAAAATGAGCCCATATCTCTATAATTTTATTTTAAAATATAATCACTTGAATAGATTAGATAATGTAAAAATTATGATGATTAATTACCAGGTAAAAGGACAAGATTCTCCTCTCGGGCCAGCTTCATGCAGAAATCAAAGTCATCTGTGATGTCCTCCAAGAGCGATATGTCCAGTTTCGCCTGCGATGTATATAATATACGAGGTTTTGTAATGTGATGTATACGTACTATTATTCACTATTGATGTTACTGCACTTTTCTTTTTGTTTAAAAAACTCTTTTAAAATTGAATGGTCTATCTAATCTGTAATAGTTCGTTTGCATAAACCATCTCTCTTAGGCATTTTTTTTTCCTTTTGGTAGAAAAGGATATGTTCATGAAGTTAAACATTAAAATAAAGAAATGTTGGTAAAATTAAAGAGAGATTATTTAGTACCACTAAGTAAGTACACGACTCGGGCTTCTTGGGGCAGATGAGGCAAGGAATATCCTTGAGGGCATCGAAGGCCATGTCTACGTTTTGCCTCAGTATCGAGTTATTCTTCTCGAAGAAATCTTTCTCTGTCTTCTCCAAGATGTTTGGAAGTGCAAACTTCCAATTACAAAGGACACCAACACATTAGCTATATTACATAAATATACACGTAACTCAATGCATTTGTGCAAGTGCCAGAAGACAAACCTGTAGTATAGTTGATGGATCGGGACTTATGTCGAGATGCTCCTTGATTGATTCAACGACCTATCCACAACAAAGATTATGATCAAACTGACACATGCTTGGTCTAGACCAATAAGAGATGTCGTGTCATGATTCATGAAGTTATAATAACTTAATATGATCTAAAAATTTGAAAACCAACCCCGGTGGTTTTGAAAACATTAGTAGGATCATTCATCGCAATCCAACCAATTCGCCAGCCAGGGACGAGCCATCCCTTGGAGATGGACCCGAGTGTAACCACGGGAGCAATCGATGCAAATATCCCCATCGGGACAAATGGATTCTCTCCATATATAGTTTTATCATAAACTTCATCAGAAATAACCATGATCCCTAGCTTCCTTGCCATCTCAGCCACCTATTTATATCATAACCAAGTGTAGCATAAACACAACTGAAGTTTAAAGGAGATAATTATTAATCTAAAGTTAAATAAGATACTTTCACCTTCTTTAGATGATCATATGTGTAGACATTTCCACAGGGGTTGTGCGGGCTAGTTATCACCAAAGCGATGGTATTGTCATCTGCAAGGGCTTCAACGCCTTGAAGATCGATCTCCCAGTCTTGGTCGGGGAGGAGATCGTACTTTCGAATCTCCACCAAGCTATGTATTGCGTGACTATGGTACAGAGGATATACAAGACTGGGGAGCAAGATATTGGCCTTTGGTCCGGTTAGAGCCTGAACCATGGTCTCTATCCCTTGGCAACACCCGACCGTCATAAATATATCATCTGCTTTCATCTTATGTGGAAGGTCCCGGTTGAGATAAGTCGCCACCGCCCTAAATTTATAGGAGTTTACATTTAGTGCTTAGACTCTTAGACATTAAATGTAGTTTTCAAAAAATGTAACATATATTGCAACGCATAGTCGTGTGATATCTCATAAAATGTTTGAATCGTATAGCCTAAGCTAACATTATTCCCCATATGGCAGATCAAACAATATATTTCACTGATATATATCTTTTCTTTACAAAAATATATATATGTTAGGTAGATTAGTTTGAAATACACTGATATAATCTTTTAACTACTCCACATGTTACATTTTAAGTGGTGGCTAATGTAAAAATATGGAATATAAATTACATAAATATTTTGTCTTTTCTATGTTAAAAATAATATTATTTAAATAAAAATAAATGAATCAATAACAAAATATATAAATACTCACAAAAAAACAAAAGCAAAAACATATCAAAGTTTTACATAGAAACATGAGAAAAACAAAAACAAAGTGAAAAAAAATATATATCGAAAGTATCGTTTAAAAGGATAAGGGATCGATTAGTATATAATAATTTTTTTATTAATTACTAAAATTGCTAGAATTGATTTAAGAGAGCACATGTTTGCTTTGCTCACCCAACTAATAGTGTGATAATTTTTTCCGATAATGATAAGTGATAACTAGTTCCGAACGCATAAATAAGTCATTAACCGAAGTTTAAAAGTCTAGAATGAAATATTTGACTAAAGTAAAGTGCTGCACTAGTCGATTCATTAATCATTACGACTGATTAAAAACGTCGGTCCACTTCTCAGTAACATTCTTTGTGAGAGCACCTAACAGTAACAGTAATTAGTTATCTGATTCATTTACCTCCTGGCCGGTAAAATGCCGACCCCAGGGGCGTAGGAGTTGACGGAGCCACCAGATCGTAAGGACTCGACGACGGCCTCCTCAGCCTCAGCGGAAGTCTGGAAGCAAGGGTAGATGGTAGGGTCGCCGTGACCGAGGGGTAAAACAGTCTTTTTAACTTCTTTGCTGCAGTTGTCGAATAACCTGGCGAGGTTACCTTTCATCGAGACGCTGGCCGCTTCCTTGGCCGCACTGTTGCCTTTGAACCTCCAGGCGCAACCAACGGTCTGCGTCTGCGTCTGCGTCTCCATCTTGCGTTCAGCTTGTTCATCTTGGTCCGTTTCAAACGAAGGAACGAACAGGCTCATCGTTCCGAGTTCGGCGACAACGTTTCAAAATAGATAAGGTGTTTATGAACCAAGTCCCATGTAACATTTATATACAGACACAAATAGTACTTCTCCCATTAAAAAAACCTTCTATTATTATTGTAAAATATCTATAATGGGGTATTTATGAAAATAGATAAGGTGTTTATGAACCAAATCCAATACTTTATTTATTTAAATATGACGGTGATTTTTGTTTGTTATCTGTTGAAAAGTAGGCTGACGGAAAAAAACATTGAAAGTAGAATACAATCTAGAATTCAAAGTTGGCAGAACAACAAAATATCCCTGAAAACAAATTTAAAAAGGAAAACTAATTGGAAATTAAGCCACAACATAATATTTTGGGAAACTAAGTTGATGGACACCATAATATTCCCGAAAACATAACCCAAAGCTAGTTTAACTAAAACTCAAACGTGCCATTAACTTTAAAACTTGCAAATAGTCACAATTTCAAAGAGATTACAAATGTGATTTTACCATTGTTGCCGACAGTCCATTGAACGGTGATATTTTTTTGTAATACAGAGAACATAAAAAGACACTTTTTCACATAAGAAAAGAAAAGAAAAAGACCTTTTGTCCTCTTTCTCTCTAAACTTAGCCGCCAGAAAGAGAAAAACAGATCTTACTTGTTTCCAGCCGGCGGCGGATGATCAAATTCCAACATTTTTTTTTATTAAATCGATAACAAATTGTTTCTTTCTATTTTTTTTAATAAAAGGTTTTAAATTATTATTATCTACACGTTTGTGCAAAGTAATCTTTGTAAAAATATTTAAAAAATATTTTATAATTTATTAAGTTCTAAAAATATTTAAATATCTAAAAATATTCAATCAAAATTTAAAAAAAATTAATTATTTTATTTTTAATTTAAACTTATATAAAGCGAGATTTATATTTATTTTTATCTAAGATTTCAAAAAATAATATTAATTTTTTGTTTATTTCTATTAATAAAGCAGGTAACTAATTTAATTTACTAAACTAATGAAATTATTAAATTATTTGTGATTGATTCGATTTAAATTTGATTTAATTTAAATAATTTAAATAATTTAAAATCAAATGTTTGGTAATAAAAATATGACACAAAAATAAACCAATAAAAAATATAAAAAAATAGAAATAATGACACTTAAGCTAATGTTTTCTGTTTAATATATGTTAGATACTTAAAAAATACTTAAATTTTCTATCATATTTATTTAAATCGAATTGTTTAAATTATATAAAAAAATCTAAATATTAATTGCAGATTTTTAAAACATTAAATATAATTAAAAATAAATAATTAGAAAAGTTTTTGTTTAATTGTAAAACTAATTATGTTTGATTACAAAAATAAATTATTTAAGTTTTTAACTACTATTTAAATTTAAAATATTCAAAATTGACACATAAACTGTTTTTAATATATGTTACATATGTTGGAATTCGTTATTTATAAATTTAATGTTTCTATATTAGATACTCCTTCCATTTTTGAATATTTGATGTTTGGGAAAAATATCATTTAAATGTTTAACTTTCAAATTTTAGCCATTCTAAGTATCATCTTTTGTGTGATCCATTTAAATAACAAACTTTTTTTTGATTGATGTTAAAATCACTAACTTATGTTGACTTGGCTATTTTAGGCACGACGTTAATATTACAAACAGATTGACTAAACGCCGCTTGGTCAACGTCAATTAGTGAATTCAATGTCATGCATAATATGGCCAGTCAACATAAATTTATGATTTAAAAGATAATCGATATAAAAATTTGTGATTTAAATGTCCACGCAAAATTTAAGCTTATAGTGGCCGAAATTTAAAAATTTGGCATTTAAATAGCATTTTTCTCTTCTTTCTACTAACTAAACTTCAATTTTAACCAGTTTACATAACTACAAAACCAAGTAAATCCAAACTAATTAAAAATATATTTAAATGTAAATTAAATTTACATTACACCAAAACAACAAAAAATGAAAAGGTTGAGTTTAACTTAAAAAAAATCACTTTAACCACATCTAAAGAGTTTTTAAGAATGCAAATCTTACGACAAATTGTGATAAATAAATGACTAGTTGAATGCAATCCATAAATTATGGAAGACTATCAACTAATTGCGTGCGACTAATGTCTCTATTATTACGATAAGTTTCATATTTAGTTATTTATATAACTGAACTATAAAAAAAGATTTGCTTTGTGTAGTGGGTACGTTTCATGATCACAATTTTACTGAAAGATTCGAGTTCAAATTGTGGGAGAGAACTATTGTAATCTTACCATCTTGAACTATTTGGGTTTTGTTTATAAAATCACATTGTAAAGTGAATCATGTGTTATTTTAAAGAACCCCAATAGGTTAAGTTTAAGCTGTTTTTTTATCAGTTTTATTGATAATTACAAAGTTCAAAAACCTTAAGATTCTTAATCTTTTATATTGTATAATCTTAAGTTTGAGATATTTTTTTCAATTAGAAATAAAAGTTACCGTTTAATAAAAAAAATGTCATTTAAATGCCAAACTTTTAAATTTCGACCATTATAAGCATTAAGTTTTGCGTGGACAGTTTAAATCACAAACTTTTATATCGATTATCTTTTAAATTACAAATTTATATTGATTGGCCATATTAAACATTACATTGAATTTAATAACTGACGTTGACCAAACAGTGTTTAGTCAATCTGTTAGTGATGTTAACGTCGTGCCTAAAATGGCTGAATCAACATAAGTTTATGATTTTAATATCGGTCAATAAAAAATTTGTTATTTAAATAGATTACACAAAATGTGATGTTTAAAATGGCTGAAATTTGAAAGTTCATCATTTAAATGACATTTTTCTCCTTGATGTTTTAGGTTTCTTGCAAATACTCAGACCAGACGCTTTGGCTCTCTCTGACCAGTGCCATTTCGGCGGTGGCTTCCCCCTGTCTAGATTTGGATATCACGCATGCGCTACTAAGTTTCATGATTCCTTTGAGCTACAAAACTATATTATGTCTCTATTTCTGCAGAGCTTGGGAGATTCAAAAGATGAGAAGAACTAGACCAAGACACATATCTTCCTTTTGTATCTTCAGGTTGTCTCAAATTATTATTTCATTGATTTGTGAACGATTAAGAAGAAAATACATGCTACCATAATATATTACATCTTCGGGAAACCTCATTACTGATCTTACTGACACACAGCTTGAAAACACATTTCTCTATCTTGCAAACTTTATGGTAATTTATGGACAAAAGCTTTCTGAGAATGAAAATAAGAAGGAAGAGAAGAGACTAGTGGAACTTTACAACGATACAGGAGATGTCGTCTTTGCTCTTCTTAGATATAGCTTCCTCTATCAAGTGCTTTGCCGCTGCCTGTGGATCTTTGATACTCTTGATCGCATCAACCGCTTCTTGGTTCGACATTACCTGCACTTATTAAACAATGGACCATCATCTTAAAAGAAGTCCAGAAACTGGTTTATACAAGCCCCGTTTTCTGAAAACTGGACTTACCTTCCAAATACCATCGCTGGCAAAAACGATGAACTCAATCTTATCATCAATTCCCTGCTTAGCTATGTCCGGTTCTGAGCTCAGATGAATCTTCAAGCTCTTGTCTCCAAACGCTCTCGCAACCGCTAACTGTCCATCCACTCGTGGGACATCTCCTGCAACAGTTTATGAATGTTACTACATATCTCCAAGGAGACCGAGACTGTAACTAGTCCAGTAACGAAACAGAAACAGACAGGCTTTTCACCTGGGATGTTTGATACAAAGCCACCTCGGCTCTCTATATCTTTTCTCTCCTTGCTTGGTTCATGATCGACTGAGAGCTGATGCGCAACGCCGTTCTTAGAAATCACTGCCCTCGAGTCTCCAACATTAGCAACCACTAGCTTCTGACCGTCGATTAGGATTCCCGTTACAGCCGTTGATCCGCCTTTGCCTAGCTTGAGATGCTGCTGCAAGATCACTGCATCTGTTGATCTGTATGCATTCCTTATAGCCTTCTCCGTGTCAGTCCAAAAATCTTTCTGAGGTTAAAAAACAAAGTCGACAACAATTCAGCAAAGGATTCACCTTTTAGCACCTAAAGAGATTTCTCGACCTAATTAAGTAAGGTTTTACCTCTTTAAGAATGTTGTCAAAGAGATTGGTCTGCAAGTATTTGGCCACATCATGCCCCAAGTGACCATCAAAGATGGCAAACAAACCCAACTCGTGGCCATCAACTTTCTTGAATTCGGACACAACATAGTCCTCCATGGGATGGCTTGATTTGCCCTTGACAAAGTGAAAACCGTGAGTGATGTTCTTCCACATCTTGCTTTTGCCTCTTCCCATGTCAGGAGTGGATCCGCAGAAACCCGCCTAGTAATTCACAGCCAGCAAATAAATAGAGTTAATACTGCAAAGTCTGCAATCACACAAGAACAAAGATCCAGAAACACTGTCTATCCACAGATTCAAACCAAATCAGTGACAAACACTAAATTTTCACAACTTCTATACACCCATGAACAAAAAGTTCAGACCTTTAACCAGAGTAAACACAACAAATGGATCGAAAACTACCATCTACGCACAGATTCTTCATACAGACCCAAAAGGTCACAGTCTTTGTGTTAACAAGTTTCATCAAATTCCTTCATTAACTGTCGATAGATCAGCTGAAAATCAGAAATTTCCAAAGGATAAACCTTGAAATTGCATTCGTTACTCACTCAGTTCAAAAAAAAATTCAAAGCTTTGCTAAAAGAGAAAGTGCAAACACCAGAGAAACTGGTTTCAGGTCAAAACAGAGGAGAACTAAAACGAATCAAACCACATGGACGAATAACCAAAAGGGTACCCCAAACAAGAGCCATAAACTGGAAAAAGATCAGATCAAGGAGATGTCACAATAATACCTTCATCTTGTGGAGAATTTCTCTGCCTGCCATTCTGAAAACACCTTAGAGACGATTTCCTCTGTCTCTGCGTGTGGAAGGTTAATGATTAAAGTAAAGCAAGAATGGGAAGAGAAGAAGGAGATGGGTTTATGAAGTGATTTTGACTTTGATGTAAGGAAATATGAACTGCCCGGTGACTGTAGACATTATTATCGGCTGCGTCGTCCAATGCCGACGCGCTCTCTCCCACGACTTTTCTTCTTCCCATTTTAACCCCTTTGTGCTATAATGAAATAAAATTAATTATCAAAAATATTTCATGATCCTCCCTAATATTATCAAAAATATACGTCAAAATTATCTACTGTGCTGATTTTAATCTTTTGTTTAATGAAATATGTCGTTTTCCTTGTAATTTGTTACGATATTATGTGTACATCTTGGTTCCTATTAATTAAATGTAGCAACAGCCAAGTACGTAGTACAATACTTTTGTTTCAGTTTCTTTATTCTCCACAAATTCTTGTCGGCTCATTCAATAGATTCACCTTTTTGAGTGTCTTCTTCGTTCCTTCCAAGTCCTCCTTCGTTTCTTTTCCATATCTTAGCTTGGTTTTAATTCGTCAAGCAAATAATATTAAAATCATCTGTTAACACTTCTTTTTATCTAAATACTTACTATATTACCCACATAGTTCAATGCGATGGAAACTCAGATTGGTCACTGTTTCTAAACCCCAATTATGATTATTCAATTTGACCATTGAGAGGATAACGATCTTACTAACCAATCACACACATAACGAGGGGCCAAAGAGTTGGTGATTAGTCTAATCAAGGTTTCGTCATTGACGTACGATCACAAAATGTAAGACTTAGTGTTTAGTTTAATCACCCAATATTGACTAATTCACATAAAAGTTAATCTATTAATTCACCAATCAGAGCTGCCATATCTCCATTTTGAACCGATAAGAGTATCTATTTACAAGTGTATGACTACATATTAAAACTTTTCTAATCTTACATATAGTCTTATTTTAATATTTTAAGTTTTAAATATTGTTTACCCCTGTCATCTATTATTATTTTACCATGTAAAATTATAACTGAACTATCATATCACAATCTCTTATCTCTAAAATTTACTGTCTTATATAATCATCAATCACATGTATGGACCGATTATGGTGTTCTTAAATATGGACAAATAAATGATCAATTTGGATCATAAATTAAAGTAATTGATAAAATGAATCTGGTACTGTGGAAAGTGGAAACGCTTGAGAGAAGTGGTGGTAGGTGGTAGTCGTTGATAGATAAAAAAAAAAAAAAAAAAAAAAAAAGGAAAATGAAAGACAAAAACTAGTTTATTGAGAACATCATTGTTAGGAATTGGAGTTTATAAGTGGGCGCTTAATTTATTTTAGCTTAATGCTGATTACTCCATGAATTATCTGAAAACATGGATCAACAAAATTATTAGATTAATATCAATTAATTGTGATATAGCTAAACTTATAATCGGATTGAACGGAGACATTGTAAAAAAAGGAGTGAAGAGAATGGAATAGCTGAAAACAGCAATGGAGACAGTGAAGAAGAGAAAAGGAAGATGCTCTTCCCGTTCTCTCTATAGACACTAAAATGTGTATATTGGTAAACAAGTACAATGGATTAAGATTATCAAAGTAAACAAATAAAAATAGATCGTCAAAGTTCAAATTTTAAATGAAGTCCTTAAGTAGACGTCGTATGTGTCGTCAAATTTGTGAAAACTCTCTTTTATTAATAGATTTTGATCAACACGATATATATACAATTTAGAATGGGTTTAGTCCCTATCAAATTAGCAAAGAAAAAAGAAACTATAATATTAGTAAACTATAAGATAAAAGGAAACGCATGATCAAATAAAACTAAGAGAAACTATAATTTTTAATAAGATGCATCCCAATATAGAGAGGTCTATAGAACATTCACGTGTGATTCGTATTCGGTTACATTCGTGCCCGGATCTTGTTCGCATCTTACACATCTTATTTTCCAAATTACCTCAAAGTCCATACATTCACACGGTTTCCCTACCTTTTCCTTGCCCTTCTTCAAGCTCTGCAACTACATTTCGTAACTTTGGTTATCCCACCGGTTAATTAATCACGGTGAAAAAGAACGGACTTACGGACATATAGAGAAATGAGTTAGTTAGAATCAATTACAGTAATTGGGGATGTAAGCTTGAGGACGTTATTCAAGTGGCTCACTCCTTTGCAATACTGTGGAGAGGGTTGCAGAGATATTCCTTCAGTGAAGCTCTTGAACATGTCCCCACACTGCTCTTCTTCATTCCTTGAAACCGCGGATGTGATCAGGGCCATGAGAAATAGAGCTCGATACATCGTAAATTAATTTGTAAGTTAGCTGATTAATTACGACGCTTGATGAGTACTACTACTAGCTAGCGAAGGTAATTTGATGATCCGTGCTTCATCACGAATCTATATATGTATATAATATATAGTAATTAATTAGTTTACATGTGGATTATACGATGGTTAGTTTAAAGAAACATGTAACCCGCGTGCTTCCGTCGTAAAAGTATTCATGCAATTTGTATAGGTTAATTTGTTAGACCTAACCAGTCTTTATTTGTTTTTCTCATTCTATTATAAGTGGTACTGGGACATAAGTTATGTCACGTATTGCTTCTTAACTGCGTTATATCGGATATTTATGTTTTCACATATTTAATATTTATTATCTGAAGTGTATTTGTTTTAGAATGGATGGGATCATTCGAGTACTACTTAAGAATACATGTGGGATATCTAATATCACCACTAGGCACTAGCCACTAGATCATGTAAGGTCGGAGTCAACTTCAAATATTTCAAATAGATGTGAATATTTTGGGTAATTTGAGATGATTTTAAATCATTTGTAAATTTTTAGTCGAACAAAACCAAGTTTCAACTCGTTTCTTTATCCCGTTAGAAATAAAGTATCTTAATTCGAAAAAGTAGTTTCAATTAGTTTAGTTAAATGCGATCATGCATGTAATTCGAGAGTACGTATATAATCGGATAAGTTGACCCGAAATGTGCATTCCTCATTAAGTTCTAATATATTTACTGTCGACGACGACTTTTACATTCCTCTTTTGGTTTTTGGCTATGTAAGCGTAGTGCGTAGAAATGTGGAGAGAGCAAGACATTTGGTCGTTATTAAAACTTTAGTTTATGGTTTTGTTGCTTGGACAGCTGGACGTACAATACTCTTTAATTTTTTTTCTTTCCAATAATAGTGGTTACATGCATGAAGAACTAACTAGTATAGAAGCAAGCTGATGAATATACATGACAATTACTGAAAGAAACTTTTGATGGCAGCTTCTGTAACATTAGTCAACTAATACAATACACTCGATTATATATCATACATAGCTTTTCCCCCTTAATTTCCAGTATTAATATATACTTGTGACTAATTTAATTTCTCAGCGTCGGGATCCTTCGTATTTCTGAACCTGCAAACGAAAAAAATACCACTTGATTAGTTCCTTTTTACACATAGGAAATAAAAATGACATTTTAGGTTTAAATTAGGAAACAAAAAAAAAAACAAAATGGGGGAGGAGAATGGAAATAACTGAGAACAGTCCATTCCAACGGAGATAGGAAAGCTGAGAGAAAGAGAACAAAGGAGAGGAAGGTTGCTAATGGCGGGAGACAGAAAAGGAAGATGATCTGCTCTTCCCATTATCTCTATGCATTCACATACTCTCTCTATCTCTCCACTCCCCTGCCTGTTCTTCCTCGATCCCTGCTTAATTTAATTTAATTAACTAGGCTTAACGGTAATTAATATAGCTAATGGTGAAAAAAGAAATCGAAAATCTCGGGAAAGATCGATAGTAACTGGAGACGTGAACTTGACGATGTTGTTCAAGTGGGTGACGCCTCTGCAGCATTGCGGAGAAGGTTGCTGGAATATTCCCTCGACGAAGCCCATGCACGGCATGAAACTGTTGAACACGTCACTGCACAGCTCTATCGGATAACGGTCGGAAACTGTGGTCTTGACCAGGGCCAAAAACGTCACGAGCATTATAGCACGGTGCATCTTTATTAATTGATCTGTGTTTAACTGATTAATTGCACTAGCGAATTAAGGTGAGATGGTTTGTGTGTGATCACAAATCGATCAACATATATATATGGTAGTAGTAGTACTCATTAATTAATTAGTTTTATTATATGGTGGAGTTTATTATGCATGCATGGTTAGTTTTAATGAACACATGTAATTATCATGCCTCCTTCTAAATCGGATTAATTGTAGCCGGGTTCTCTTTTCAGTTATCTTGAATTTCTTAAAACTATATTTTTGTGTAGTTTTTTTTTTTAAATACGTCGATCTATATTATAGGCTACATGCGTGTAATTCCGGATGATTATTATCGCATGCCATGACCCATGAGTGATGATGTGTCTTGTTATCTAACACATGTGCCAGTACCACTGCTTTTCAGTCTGGTCTCAACACGTATGGTATGGAGAGTACGTAGGACATTTCTGTCCAACTAGTTTTGGATTACTTTCATTAGCAATGAATTTTATCATCACTAGGAAATTAGTTTTCCAAAATTAATGTAGATAATATAAAAAAAAAAAAAAAAAAAACTTCAGGACACGGGTCCCTTAAAAAGGGTCCAGAGGGAAACGGGTCAAAGGAGTAAAAGTGGTATTTTCGTAATTTTAGATGATCTTCTGCCCATTTCCGTCTTTTGGCATAGGAGCTCTAGAACCTTGCCTTCTCGCCTCAGAGTCGAGAACTTCGTCTCTCCTTTACGGTGAAATCTTCGGTAAGCTTCCATGGATTCCTCTCGACTCCACATACTCTGCCTTTGACATTTCGCACTTATCTTAGTTTAATGTTTTCCGCTCTATGATTGTTCTTATGCTCGTGAATTCTGTTTTCCTTGGTCGGTTTCTTGGCGTGAAAAGTGCTCATGATATCTTTTCTCTTCTTTGTGATCGTCTCTTTGAGCATTGAAGTACAGAAATGTCGAGAGAGCAAGAAACTGATGTTTAATTCTTATTTTTCTTGCTTTTGCAGATCACCTTTTTACTGAGTTTTACAGAAAAAAATGGATGGATCAAAGCATCCATCGGTGTTTCAGAAGCTGCATGGACAATCAACCTTGAGATATAGACTCTCTCCGAGCGAGAAAACTCGTAATCAAGGTGTCTCTGGTGTTTATGTCAATGGAGGATTGCAGAGTCTACTGCAGTCAAGTGATCATGGCATTGGCTCTTCTCTTCTTCTACCACATGGTGGTTCATTGCCCGTTTCTGCTCAAGCCCCTAGTGAGAAAACTGGTACTGGTTTCTTGATCGATTTCCTCATGGGAGGAGTCTCCGCTGCTGTTTCAAAGACTGCGGCAGCGCCCATAGAGCGTGTGAAGCTCTTGATTCAGAACCAAGATGAGATGATCAAATCCGGGCGTCTCTCTGAGCCGTACAAAGGTATCAGTGATTGTTTTGGCCGGACAGTCAAAGACGAAGGCGTGATTTCTCTTTGGAGAGGCAACACGGCCAATGTTCTCAGATACTTCCCCACTCAGGTTATATAGCTTTTTCTTCTTCAGAGTGGTTCTCGTTTTGAGATGGGTTTGTTAAGAGAAATGGTATTCTGTTTTGCAGGCGTTGAACTTTGCGTTCAAAGATTACTTCAAGAGGCTGTTCAACTTCAAGAAAGACAAAGATGGGTATTGGAAGTGGTTTGCAGGGAACTTGGCCTCTGGTGGTGCAGCTGGTGCCTCGTCTCTGCTTTTCGTCTACTCTTTGGATTACGCTCGTACACGTTTGGCCAACGACGCGAAAGCGGCCAAGAAAGGTGGTCAGAGACAGTTTAGTGGCATGGTCGACGTGTACAAGAAGACCATAGCCTCTGATGGCATTTCCGGGCTGTACCGTGGTTTCAACATCTCATGCGTTGGGATCATCGTGTACCGTGGCCTCTACTTTGGCTTGTATGACTCCTTGAAGCCTGTGGTTCTAGTCGATGGTCTCCAGGTAACAAAAGCGAAGGAAAAAACTCTTTACACTTCAACATATTTTGAGAGTCCTCTGTTTCTGTCCTGTTTACTCATTGCTTTTTAAGCTGTACAGGATAATTTCTTTGCGAGTTTCTTGCTGGGATGGGGAATCACCATTGGAGCTGGACTGGCATCTTACCCGATCGACACGGTGCGTAGAAGAATGATGATGACATCAGGTGAAGCGGTGAAGTACAACAGTTCTCTTCAGGCTTTTACTCAGATTGTCAAGAAGGAAGGGCCCAAGTCACTTTTCAAGGGTGCAGGTGCCAACATCCTCCGTGCGGTCGCAGGCGCCGGTGTGCTCGCTGGCTATGACAAGCTCCAGCTCATTGTGTTGGGAAAGAAATATGGCTCCGGTAGTGGATAAACGTTGATAAAAAAAGATAAGTCGTTGAGGTCTCTGAATGAACATATCCGTGTGCCTTTGTTGCTTTTAGAATATTGAGTGTACTCTACTACTCTCTGTGAAGTTTGTGGCTGTTGACTTAGCTTATGTTTTATCTTCATGTTTTTTTCTTTCTTTTTTCGCTAAAACGACATGTATTTAAACAGTATCTAATAATGTCATAAGGTTGGAGATCCTACGAAATTATTAGTAAGATTATGCTAAAGATTTGGTTTCCTTGGGTTGTAAGCGAGTGAGTGATCTAAATCCAACCCTAAGATTTAGTCTTCAAATGTGTCAGTCTCAGATCCCACTTCAAACCACTCCTGACAGCAACAAGTAAGGAGTTGAGTCCCTTTCATTGATTTTATGCCACTACTTGATTCATCCTCTGCAATCTTTGCTCCATAGACTGAAACTTAAAATCGTCTCTCTCTATATAAATCAAATACACTTGCAACAAAGGAAACGTGTCTTTCAATGGCTCTCTCTCTTCCATTTCATGCCCTTCTCTCAGTTCTTCTTTTTCATGTCTCTTTAGTATCAACCGCAAAGCATAGCCTTCACCATCACACAGGTCACTCCCCAAACCATAACCAGCATCTTCAGCAAGCGTACCGTGCACTTCAAGCATGGAAGAAGGTAATCTATTCCGATCCAAAGAACTTGACTGGAGATTGGATCGGTCCCTCAGTCTGCAGCTACACTGGCATCTTCTGTGCCCCATCCCCTTCCGATGCAAACACTCTAGTTGTTGCCGGAATCGATCTCAATCACGGAGACATCGCTGGTTTCCTCCCTGAAGCCATTGGCCTTCTCTCTCAACTCGCTCTCATCCATCTCAATAGCAATCGCTTCTGTGGCATCCTTCCTCGTTCATTGGCCAATCTATCGTTACTCTATGAGCTCGACCTCAGCAACAATCGCTTTGTAGGCCCTTTTCCGGACGTTGTCCTCTCAATCCCTTCTCTAAAGTACCTTGACCTTCGTTACAATGAGTTCGAAGGCCCCTTGCCTCCAAAACTCTTCAGCAATCCCCTCGACGCCATTTTTGTGAACAACAACCGGTTAACAAGCCTCATACCCCGAGATTTCTCCGGAACAACCGCCTCTGTTGTCGTCTTCGCCAACAATGATTTCAGCGGTTGTCTGCCCCCAACCATAGCTCGCTTTGCAGATACCTTGGAAGAGCTTCTCCTAATCAACTCAAGCTTGTCCGGGTGTCTACCACCCGAAGTCGGGTATCTCTACAAGTTAAGAGTCCTCGACGTGAGCTACAACAGTTTAGTTGGTCCTGTACCTTACAGTCTCGCTGGGCTAGGCCATCTCGAGCTGATGAATCTGGATAACAACATGTTCACTGGCACTGTCCCTCTTGGAGTCTGCGTTCTGCCCAGCCTGCTGAACCTTACCGTATCCGACAACTATTTCAGTGAAGAAGAAGGCATATGCAAGAATCTGACCTCCAGAGGAATAGCCTTTGATGATCGCAACAACTGTCTCCCTGACAAACCGCTCCAGCGGAGCCAAAAAGAATGTAAAGCTGTAGTTGACAACCCCGTAGACTGCTATGACCACGAATGCTCAGCCATGGCTCCTCCGGTTTCTCCGTCGACCGTAGGACCTGCCACTGCTCCTGGTCCAGCCTACGCATAAGGATTCACTCGTATGCGGCAAAGAAATGGAAGAACGAGAAATGTGCGAGAGATTGGGTTGTGGGGTGAAAGAATATGCACTAAAGATTGTAACATTACAGTTTTATACAGAACACAATGTATATCCGTGGTTACAGATTTGTATTTGCTCTGCTTTCGTCTAAAAATCTTCTACACCTCTCCATGGACCTGAAATCAAAGAGCCAGTCCCACCTGTTTCAGAGTCATATTATGCAGCAGTTAACTTCGTGAATTTGTGCAAATTCATATTCCAGGAATGTTAGACAAATAACTGAAACATCCAAAAATTATCTCAGACAAACCAGAAAAACGCATCCAGAATTCTCACATATATACAATCACATTCAGGTCTGGAAACAATTGATTCCTTCAGACGAAACCAAGACCTTATCTATAAACCTATTAGGCAAAGAAACTTCCAAGGGCAGGGAAAAAATGAAAAACTTAGGTTTGAAGTTATATTTGAGCTGTTACCTGCAATTAAACAGTGTGAAGTCGGTACATCCTAACAAACTAAAAACATCATCTATGCTGGAGGAAGCGAACGCCGACAAGTTGGGCACTCCATTTTTATATCCATCCATCTTTGTAAGCATCCCAAGTGGAAGAAATGATCACATGGAGTTACCTGTTTTCAGAACAAGCATGCTCATGATTCTGTCTACAGGGGAAAAAATTGAATCGGTTTCTGGGTGAAGAAACTGCTGTACCATGAAATCACTGGTACGCTGTCTGAGATCGATAGCGGTCATGCAAATGACGCAATCAGTGGTGCGGCTCACGTCCTGACTAAATCTTCTGTGGTAGTTGTATTTCTCTGGTAGCATCTGCATGTATACGATGAGGAAAGAGATTAACTGTAGTCAGAAACAATTTAGCAATGAGAAAGAAACCTCAAATCTTCAATCCAAATTGAAAGCGAACTGAGAACCTTAAGTTCAGTTTTACTAGATTGAACGATTCATATGTGATCTACATTGAAAAGAACAAACTAACCTGACGAGGAACAAAGCAACGTGAACCAAAATAATGCTGAAGAAGAAGAATGACAGCTTGCAACCCCATGAATGTGCAAAAGCATGCGCACCAGACCTTGCTGGGCTGTACATGCATGAAGTTGTGTGGGCATCCAAAAACATATAAAGGTATGGCTAACCGTGAAGCTGTCATGCCCAAGATGTAATACGGGTGCAGAGGCTTTCTTGAATCACGGACGACATTGGTGACTATCTGTGGTATCCAAAATGAGTACATGAGAAGAAGAATCGGCCGCATGTAGTTGTGGAACTCGTACATTATCAATATGCCTCCAAGAAGGATCCCATCTGTTAAAAAATATCGGAAAATGATGAAACATCAACGTTAGCACCTGAACTTACTTCAAAACTTTCAGTTATTGGTTTCACGGAACAGAGCTTTATAAAAAGAAAAGAATCACGCAGTCATATGACTAATATCATAAAAGTGCAGTAGGGATAAAGTTTGAAGCTTAGATCGCTAAACAAACACCGAAGAGCTAAAGACTCACAGAAACGGCTGTACAGAATGGACAGTTCACGCCTCATTGTTTCCCAACCTTCTCCGCTGTTGGAAGGCCGAGTTGCTTTCCATATGGCCAGAAGATATCTCATCTCAAAAATCGAAAAGACTACGAACTTGAAGAACGCAGCGGTTGCAAATGCATTAAATAGAGATTCTGCATGAGAAAGTTGTAAGCGTTAGGTTTAACAGTGATTGAGATTTGAGAAAAGCATTACAATGCCAAGTAGCAGACGGATCAATGAGACAGATTCCAAAGTATATTATCAAAATGAAAGGGGAACATTTTCTACAAAGTAAAAAAGAAAAGCAATAAAAAGCATCAAGAATATCATCGCAACGAACGCCAAACGTGTTATATGAAAGAGAAAGAAATAGGTAAGGAGAAAAAGAAAAATAGTTATGTGAATATACTATACATACCAACTAATATCCCGGCCGTGAGATGTAAAAGGCATAAATAAGCATCCATGATCGCTTGTTGCCCAATCATTACAATAGATACCTTCGCAGCACCCTTGGACACAAGAACTTCATGAAGTTAGTATCTTTTATACATTTTGTACAATATTAACGATATCAGACAATCTGGTTTACATCAGTATCTTACAGATTGTGTGTTACCGTGCTCCATTTGCCGGATCAACAAAAGAACCTGGAGGAAAGAGACCTAAGTGCAAAAAAGTTAAGGAACACGCTAAAATCTCACAAGTGCTCGGCAATCTGTTATGTAAGGGTCAACGACTTTTGAGCAAAGGATACAAAAGTGACCATCAAGGTATAGTTCACAGCTTTGTTATAGTAGACTTCGACATTGATAGAAGTCGCATTCAGTAACAAAGGCGAGAAACACTCTCTGTCATCGCCTACCCCAGGGCTTTCCATCAATCCTTCCATGTGATAGTAATTTTTGTCTCCATCTACCAAAAGATGGAAACTCCTTCAGCATAAGATTAAATGTGACTAAGGAAACAAAATCTACGCCAGGGTCACCTCAATGTTTAAAGTTAGAATCCATACTAATTTCACTGGAAGCCACACGCGATATCTGAGCTGCTAGTTCGATATTACAGTGCTTCTCCACCTCACTTAGTGGCGCTGAAATACAAGAGAATTGAACATCAGAGTCGCTGTGAGATTGGAAAGTAAAATGTAAGGAAAACAATAGGTTAATACTTACAAATTTTCCGTTTCAGTATTCTGTCCCTTGGAGATTCTTGAAATACTTGAGAGGAGAAAATTCCGAGCTGTGCAACAGCAGAAAGTTCACATTAGTAAGCTCTTCGAACACACATCAAACAAGCCATAAGCAGATGAAAGCACTAACATTGCCTAAGTGGATCTAAGAAGAGTCTTAAGCATTACCAAATGATAGGGATTCGAGAGAAGATTATTGTCTTCTAGCCCTGAATCACCCTCCTTGCCACTGTTAAGGTCAAGCAATGCAAAGACTTTGGAGTCACGGACTCAATAATCAATCTCAAAAGCCTTTAAAATCAATCAAACGTTAGTACCTGTTAGCCACAAGACGGAGTTGTCTAAAGGGCCATATATATACACCTTCCAGATATACTTGGGCACCACCCAAATTTTGTTCATTGTCAAATACGTCATGGAAAACAACTACACCCTGTTCCATTAACGTTTTCAGAAGTTCAAATACTGCATGCTATAAGATCATGGACGATCCTATTGATACAGACTTTAGAAGCTGAACTATTCACCTGAACATAATGCACACCAGTTATCTTCGTTGGAACTGCCACTAACTCAACCACAGAGTTACCATTTGATTTCTGTAAGTCTTGAAATTTCAAAGAGCTATTCACGGAATCTAGAAACTTCCAGTTTCCTGAAAACACCCAAGTATAAATCATAAACCAATAGATATATATATACCCACAACACATGAGATTGGCAAGAAGTAGAAAAACGAAGAAAAAGGCATGCCACAAACCTCTATATGTTCCTGTTATGTTCCATGCAGAAAACGGTCCTACTTCAGTTACTTGTTTTCTACCAAAGAGCCACTGCAAGATCACCAAAAAATCTCACGAATTAAACAACAATCACCTGGTTAGTGTAACACACTATTACCTTCTTCACTTTGCACATTCTGCTAACAGCTAAAGACAGATTCGTTTTTACACATTTCAGGGTATTCATAAGCTGAGCAAAGCTTGCATACTAATGAGCTCAATCGAGCTAAAATTGGATCATTTAAAAAAATTTCAACTTTCCCAATCAAAAGATGAAACTCAAGACTGAATCTACTCTACTCCTGGATTTTCATTCAATAAGTTTAGTGTTGCGATATCGTTGTACTCTTGATCAGCTCAATATTACTAGCATGTAATCTAAAACTTAGCTAATCACCAATTCTGACGAATCGTTAAGCAAATCATGAGCAGTCACAAGTCAACGAACACATTCGACAGCAAACTAGTCGAATGACAAATGAGGAACACCAAACTTACGAACTAAATCATTAAAATTTGTTTCTGGGTAACATCGGATTCACCAAAATGAAGAAACTTTCGAGCAAGTCATCGACGAAACTGAAAAACACAAACCTCGTCACTCCATGATCGAGTTTTCTTCTCCCTTATGGGTCTAAGCCCCGACGCTTGTTGCGAAACCGCCAACCAAATCGATAACCAGAAGATAACCTGCCTTTCGAGCCCTAATCCCAAAACCTCCGAGTGTCCCCGCTTCTTCATATCACAGCTCCAAAATCCGCTTTTTGTGATTCAAACAAAAAAACGTCTTTTTGATATAGAAAAATCCGACTGGATCAGAACTGTTTCCAGCCTTTTTCCGAAACCCACGTCACTGAACAAAGGGCGTAGAAGAATCACGAAGAAGAAGATGGAGATGAATAGGTTTGCTCCAAGTGAAGTCAAACAAACTAGGTTTTGGTTTTAGTTTTTGGGAAGAAGATTGGTGGATGTATCAGACAGCAGATAGAAATATGATTACAGATAAACAACCTAAAAGAGATTTGTATCTGCCCATCTTTTTACAATTCCAATTGAATTTGGAAATATGTTCTGCGGTCGTTGAAGCTTCACAATCAACAACTCTCTCTAATTAACCATTGTTGAACAAGTCGAAACTTCTTTGTCTCTGTTTTTTTTTTTTTTTTTTTTACAATAACATTTTTTGGTGTTTTTTTTTTTTTTTAATAAATGGCTTTCTTGTTGAAATCTCGCATTCTCTTATCAGGTCTTTCTTACGCCTTGAAAACTTCTTGTTCCCAAAAAAACATGTATTATTTGACAAAAGTATTACCAAAATTGTCTGTTGAGTAATAAGAAATGGAATATCGATTTCACGTTTTAGGAAGGATCACGTTTTAATTTGAGCCCGAGTAAAGTTCATAATTTCCACGTTACAAGAAAGCATTCAAGCAAAAAAAATAAACATTGTTCTACTACAATTGTCGAATTAGATGGCTTTTACAAGTAGTAGAAAAGATGTTAAATTCCTAATTTCCTCACCAACATGTAATCATAGATATATCCACTTATAGAAAATATAGTTATTTTCATATTGTACAACCAGTTGGGCTTTAAATCAAGAGGAGAAACAATATGCGAAAAGCCTTTCTTATAAATACCCGATCGGTTTGAAAAAGCCCACTAAAACTTTTTTCTAACAAGTCATTGTGTACATATTTTTAAGCTAGGATTTTATATTTTTTATATATTAAACAAATAAAATAAGATACGTTACGCAAGTTTAAATAAAAAAAATGCATTTTGGTTTTATATTTGATGACTAACAAATTATAAGATCTGATAGAAATGAAGAAATAATGATTATTTATCTGATGAAAATTAAAGTAGATAGCCGTTAAGTCCATTGCATGTTGAGACGTGTAAAAAAGAAGAAATGAACAAAACCGAAACGCTTCTTCTAATAAATTTGCAGTTCTCTAGACAATCGATGCAGCCAAAAGCTTCACCCAACGGCTATGTCTTCCTTACTTTCACCATAAATACACATAGAAGCACCCAAGAGGTTGCAACACACACACACACACACAACTAAAGAGAAAAATTAAGAACTTAAATTTAGGAGAGATGGGTTTGGTGAAAAGGTTTGATGTTTACTTGATGATTGTGGTGTTGATGGGTTTGGGATTTGCGATAGAGTTATCAAATGGGTACAAGTACTATGTTGGTGGGAGAGATGGTTGGGTCCTTACTCCTTCCGAAGATTATTCTCATTGGTCTCACCGAAACCGCTTTCAAGTCAACGACACTCTTTGTAAGTCTCTCTCTTTTCTTGTATATTCACATTTATGTACATATGAAAATCATTATAACGCATGATTACATCAATTGGTGCAATTTTGATTTTGCAAGATTTTAAGTACGCCAAGGGAAAAGATTCAGTGTTGGAGGTGAGTGAAGAAGAGTACAACACATGCAACACGACTCATCCCATAACTTCCCTCTCAGACGGAGACTCTCTCTTTGTGCTTAGCCGCTCAGGTCCTTTCTTTTTCGTCAGCGGCAACTCGGAAAACTGTCTCAAAGGCCAGAAGCTAGCCGTTAAGGTCATGTCCACCGTCCACCACAGCCACAGTCCTCGTCAGCCGTCTCCCTCCCCGTCACCTTCTCTCTCTCCTGTCCATCAGGCTGTGCCGTCTCCGGCGCCTTCTCCGGTAGTGCTTCCTTCTGATGCAGAAGCTCTTGCTCCGGCTCCAGGACCAGCGTCGGCTCGCAATTCTGCCGGTTTGGTTGGTCCGGGGGTGGTTTCTCTATACTTGGTTCTTGTAGTTGTCATAAGTTTCATGGTTTAAACCTCTAAGGTTTATATATTTATTACTGGTAATTTTAGTTTGTGAGGGTATTAATTCCTCTACTTTTGAGTTGGTTTTATTATTGATGTGCCTTTTTGTTGTATTTGAACTTCGAAGCCTCTGTGACTTTTTTTTCTTTTTCTGTTTTTCCTGTCTCGTATTTGTTGTCCTTGCTAATCAGAGTCTTTAATTAGAATTTGTTATTTTAAATGAACAATGAGCATGTTAGTGTTTTGTGTTTAACTGTGTTCGTCATGCTAATGCGTACCAGTAGACAGTAGTAATGTACAGTACTATATATTCACGTATGCTCATGCAAAACTTCTTCACATAATTAAATTTTGGGTCGATATTTATATTTGTGAAACTTCTGGAGTATAGATCTCTCTCTTAACTTTCGAAAACGTCAAAAGGAATTTAATTGTCTGGCCGTTTACCTGCTGTTAAACGTGGCAATAATAAAACTACTAAAACTTATACGGATAGTAGAGAAAAAGAAATGGGGAGAGAAAAAAGAAATATCGCCGACTGTGGGGATCGAACCCACGGCCACGTGATTAAAAGTCACGCGCTCTACCACTGAGCTAAGTCGGCTTCGACGTTATAATTCTTATCATAAACATTATATTGGTTCTTGTTTTCGCAATATTCCATATCACTGAATCCTTGATTCGGATTTCTAATGCTCTGTCGCGAAAAGCTGGTGTACTTGCACGTATACTCCATTTTGCATACTACACCAGCTGTTGCAAACCTTGCAACATAACAGATTAGATTCTTTCTTTCGAAAATTCTATAGTATATAACACGTTTGTCTTGCGCAATATTCCATAGCTTTGTTCTGGAAGTAATCATTGATTCAGATTCCAAATGCTCTGTTGAAAAGAGTGATATTTGCAGGTCTACGCAATTGATAGTTTACGCCATTTTATATATTGCACCTTCTTCAAACTTGCAGCATAACAGATTTGATTTCCTCCATAAACTTTTTATAAAACTTCACAAGTATTAAAGAATCAGAGATCACTTGCATTTGAATCAATTTGGGAAATACATATTAGTATGAGCTAACTAAGATGATGATTGATTGAGCACCCAAAAAATGCTAATTGTTGGTTTTCGTTTTGTATTAAGTTTTGTGGTTTTATTATTCAAAATTCATTGGCAGCATAAATCAATTGATGACAAATATTTGTGTTTAAAACTTAAAAGTTTGCACATACTCTGTAGTCATTGCATATTAATAGTGTAGGTTTGATCACAGCTCCAATATTGTGGAATCATTAACACGTTAATTCACCACCAAATACTAATGTTTTTCTATGTATAATCTACTTGAATTTATTCACGTTTAGCTAATTTGCCAAATAAAAAAAGATATAAGTGATTCTACAAAACCGTGTTGACTTCTAGAAAATCATCCATTTCTTCTGACCAAAGAAATTAAAACGTGTAAACATTACAATGGTGCAAGAAGTTGGCCTGTTTGGGCACACGCAAAACCATCGCTGAGACGACAACTAATAGGAAACTCATTTCACTATCCCTCTCCTAAACTTATTTATTGTATTCTTACGTATATAAATACATAATCACACGACCGCTACGGCGGCCGGATGGCCCATTCCGGTAGATAAACTACCAAAAAGACCATATTGCAACATAGAAACCCTTTGCTTTGCCTTGGGACACCTATCCTCCTCCGTCTCCGTCTCAGAAACAGGCGTCATAGATTTTCTCTCGCTAGTGCCATGCCACTTGGCCTGCATGTACTTGTGTTTTCTCCATGGACCCAAGTGCATTTTCTTCTCTTTCATACACTTCTTCGCCGCCGTACACAGTATCTTTATCAATGATTTTAGCCTCTCGTATTTTCCGACGTAAACTTCCGGTAATATTCCGACGAGTCGCTTGTACTCTTCACTGCCTCTCGACATCTCAAACTCCGCCCTAAAAGATAGCTCGACCACCACCCGGATCTCGCCTTTTTTCGAACCGGATCTGTCCAAGATTTCCAAATATTCGTGCTCACCTAATGTTTTAAATAAACAAACGTCATGGTTAGTCCAACTATTATATAATTAATGACAACTTGCTTGATATACACAAAAATAACCAAAAACGTTCAAACTATTCTTTTGTTTAAGAATATCTAGATAATTTCGTTGACCTGGCTTTTCAATAAATAAATAACGGTGATAAAGATGGCTGACAGTTTCAAAACAAAGTTCTTATCATTCAAACGAAATCTTTTTAACTTAATCGAAAAAAATCCTGAAATGAATGACAAATTACCTTTCTTTTATTAGGGACTGATTATATACTATAATTAAATTTGAGTAAAATGGGGTTTGATTTGTACCTGCAGGGATCTCATGGGAGCTTCTCCACTTGGATTTGGAGATGACGCAATCATAGCCGGCGTCTTGGAGGCGGCTTGATACTTCGCCGCGCAAACAGCTACGGCAACCGCCGGTCACCGGATTCCGGCAAACACATTGTAGACCTTTTGATTTCACTTCTCTCAACGCTTCCTTGGTTGCTTGTCGAATCTTTGTCTCAATTGAACTTGTCCTATACAGTGTCGCCTACACATCACCAAAACCAAAATTAGTGGGACCCCACAAATGCAAAAAACTTGGAACTTTTATCAAAGAAGAGAAAAATAATAGTTTTAAAAATGTAATTCATTAAAATATAAAATTACCTGAAGAAGTTGTTCTTGTTCTTGCCAAAACGTTTTGTTCTCTTCGGAATTGCAACCGGCGTCTTCGTTGTCAGCATCGGATTCTTCGCTGGCGGTGAAGTTACCGGCGTCAGAGTAATCCTCCGGTGAGTGGTTTCCTTCGTCAAGAAAACCAAAAAGAACATCGTCGGAGCTAGCCATGCCGTCGAGAAACTTCATGATATCATCGGAATTTTGCCGATCCATTGGTTTAAGGAGGAGGAGGGAGAGGAAAAATGTTTTTTGTTCTTCTTGTTTCTCTTGATTCTTCTTTTGGGGTTGCAGAAAAATAGAATAAAAGGCGAAGGATATATATAGTCAGAAAACTGAAGCAAAACGTGGGACCTGGATAAGTTATGGGACCTACCTGAATGGTGGGAGAAGGAAAACAGATACAAGGCGCCGCGAACAAGTGCTTCGATGCTCTGTTCGAGTTTTGGAAAAAGATGACGTGTCAAAATATGATTGGGAATTGAGTCAGATCTGAAGGCTAAAGACAGCTAGTTTCTATGTCAGCATGGCCAATCACGAGGACTGCGCATCATAGATTCGGATATACTCGATACCTAATATTAATAGAACCGTTTTATATTTTTACTACTAGAATATCCAATTTTCAAGTAAGATTAACTGAAAGCGTGTCGAGTTAGATAGATAAATTAGTAACGATTTTCTTTTATCATGGTATAATCAATAATGGTATTAGTATATACCTCCTTGCTAAATGTATTAGCAACTAGCTAACTTGTTCTATAAACTTACTATACAAAAATATCTACTCCAAATGAAACGATCAAGAACACATGTTTAAGAAATATACGCCATCTTGTTTATTCGTGAATGCTTACACGAAATCCTTTTTTTTTAAATGAAGTTTTGATCCTTTACATAAGAGCTATTTTGTGCACTGATTGTGTCCATCGTCCATAGCATTAGACACTTTCTCCGGTATATATTTATTGCAATGCGATTTTAAAAAACCCTACAATTATTAATGACTGGAAAGTTCTCGCTAGAATCGTCGTGATCTTGGGAGACCGGGACCCACGTGCCAAAAATCAGATGCGGACAAAGACATCTACGTGGAGGATAGCCATACACGCCTTATCCCGACTACTTACATGGGGTCCTCCTTGTACTGCCACCAAAACAAACATGATTAGATTTAGAGGAAATCAGTTGAAAGTTAGAACTTATATTAGGAAATTAGCCGGGAAAAGGAAAAAAGTTATGGGGAGATTATAATCCTCATGACCAAATTTACTCTAAGTTAAAGTTTTTTTAGCGTAACGTATACATTTTTCAAAAACAAATTTGATTGAGATCCAAGTTATGCAAATCATGTATCATGTGTATTATTGTATAAAAAGAGAATGCTATTTTGAATGCATCTGCATTAACGGAATCTAATACAACCATTTGATTGACTAAATAATACATTTAACGTTTAGATATGTCGAATATGCTTCATTCACTACAAGAAAATATGCGATTTACGTCGGTAATATTGGTCGCAAGTCTGTTGCAAAAGGTATATTGCAACGGAATTGCGACGGAGTCCAAAATGTTGTAATTCTTTAGCCGCAAATCTAAAATTATCGTAAAAATATCACAAATTTTGCGACGAACAAAAAACAACGCAAACTGGTCGTAAATATTGCGACGAGCAAAGCACGTCGCAAATATTGCGAGCAACACAATATGCTGTAAGAACGTCGCAATCTCCGTTCGTCACAAATCCATCGTAAATATTGCGACAGACTTGCGACTAATTATATTGCGACAGACTCGCAAATCCGTCACAAATTATTAAATATTTTATAAAAAAAAAGTTAACAAAAAAAAACATAAATACCAACCAAAATATATTAAATTAATTTATAAACTAACAAAATATATTAATTTAAATATGTATTTAAATTATAAAAATTGAATAGTTTGAAAATCTAACAAAAAAATCAATTTTATATCTAATAATTTATAAATCTAACAAAATTAAAACCTAAATCTAATAAGTTATATAAATAAATCTGGCAAATTCCAAACCTAAATCTAACCATTCATCAATCTAACAAAATCAAATCCAAAATCTTACAAAACACAAATACTAACAAATTCAATATTTAACAATGTTTCTCTCTTTCTCTCTATTCAATAATCAAATTCAAAAATTGTTAGAGTTTGAGAGAGAAAGAAAGATAGAGAAAGGTAGTGAGGGACATAGAGAAACCAGAGATGTGGAGAAGACCTAGTGTGAAGAGAAGTAGAAGAGAGGGAGATAGAATGGCTAAGAGAAGAAAAATAGATATAGAAATCGAGATCGAGAGAGAAAGAGGAAGAGAAGAAAAGAAGCAAAATCAATATAATAACAGATATTGCGACGGATTTACGACGGTCTATCTAATAAAATTTTGCGCGCATTCGTCAAATTTTCTTTGAAAATTCAAAATATTTCGACCAAAAATTTCAAAAAATTTTAGTTTGCGAGGCATTTGCGACGGATCCGTAGCAAATCCGTCGCAAATTTCATATTTTCCTAAAATATCGAAAACACTATTAAAATGAATTTAATTTTATTTAATAATGATTCAAAGTATGTATAATCAAAATAGATGATGTTTTAGTGATACCATATCTTAATCTTGAAAAATGTATATCATATTAAAATCAAGATAGGTTATAATTAATGTTAAAAGATTAAAAGAGTTATAAGAAAAATGCTTATATATAAGTTTGAAAATATATATTTTTAACAATGTACAATTGTTTGAAAATATATACTTTTAACAATGTAGAATTGTTTGAAAATTTATAATAACTATAAATTTGATTGTTTGAATAAACACTTCTAACTATATTAAAATAAAATTGAATACATTTATACGTCTTTTTGTTTTTTTTATATAAAATCCAAAACTTAAAACCTTAAACCCTTACAAATATTTTTTTTTTGCGACAGATTTGCTACGGATCCGTCGCAAATCCCTTGCAAATTTTTGGTTTGCGACGGACTTGCGATGGATCCGTAGCAAATCCGTCGCAAATTAATGTTTGTCAAACATATCGAAAACACTTTTTAAACGAATTTAAATTCATTTGATAATCATTGAAAGTATGTATAATCAAAATATATGATGTTTTAGTGATATCATATCTAAAACTTGAAAAAATTATATGATCATATTAAAATCAAAATAAGATACAGTTAATGTTAAAAGATAAGTAAAAGAGTTAGAAGATAAATGTTTATATACTTTTAACAATGTATAGTTGTTTAAAAATTTATAATAGCTATAAATTTGATTGTATGAATGAACACTTCTAACCATATTAAAACAAAATTGAATACATATATACGCTGTTTTGTTTGTTTTATATAAACCCTAAACCCCAAACCCTAAACTTTAAACCCTAAACCTTTACAACAAAAAATTTGCTGCAGATTTGCTACGGATCCGTCGTAAATCCCTAGCAAAGTTTTGATTTGCGACTTGCGATGGATCCGTCGTAATTCCATCGCAAATTTTAAATTTTTCAACAATATCGAAAACACTTTTAAAACGAATTTAAATTCATTTAATAATGATTAAAAGTATGCATAATCAAAATATATGATGTTTTAGTGATACCATATCTAAAACTTGAAAAATGTATATGATCATATTAAAATCTAGATAGGATATAGTTAATGTTAAAAGAGAAGTAAAAGAGTTAGAAGAAACGTTTATATACTTTTAACAATGTACAATTGTTTAAAAGTTTATAATAACTATAAGTTTGATTGTATATATGAAATACACTTCTAACCATATTAAAAAAACTGAATACATATATACGCATTTTTGTTTGTTTTATATAAAATCCTAAACCTTTACAAATATTTTTTGCGACGGATTTGCTACAGATCTGTCGCAAATCCCTAGCAAAATTTTGATTTGCGACGGACTTGCGATGAATCCGTAACAAATCCGTCGCAAAATTTAATTTGCCGAATGCATCGAAAACACTTTTTAAAACAAAGTTAATTAGAAATATATATAATCAAAATAGATGATGTTTTAGTGATACCATATCTAAAATTTGAAAAAAGTATATCATATTCAATAAATTTAAATTCGTTTTAAAAAGTGTTTTTGGATGTTTTGGATAAATTTAAAATTTGTTTTCATAACCTAATACAGTAATACTCGCAAATCTTTTGCAATGCGGTTGCAAATATACTGCATCGTAAATTAGTCGCAATTCGCGACGTACTTACGACATGCTTTTTACCTGCTGTAAATACATAGCAAAATTGTCCCAAATTGCGACGACTTTGCAATGAACAATATTTTTGCAAATTTGCGATGGATTTGCGACAAAATAAAAAATATGTAGCAAATCCGTCGCAAATCCATCGCAAATTTGCAAAAATATTCTCTGTCACAAAATTCCGACGCAAATCGAGTGTTTTTTTGTAGTGATTAATAGTATCGGTTTTTAGATAACAAGAATATATATGTTAACCGTTTTATACAACAAATGGTATATACGCTTAAGTTTGGCCAGAAAGGTTTGGCAAATGTGATATATATATATCAAAACCATAGACACAGTTTAATAATCACTTTGTGGTTTTAAACATGATTTCTCGCGATCGCTCACATGAAAATGTTGTACAGATCATATCTTCAAAAGAGGAGTGAGAAAAACAAAGAAATGAAAAAGATTAGGTTGCGAATATTCTTGAATAAGGGTCACGTGGTGGCAGCATGTGGACCAGGTCACTGAGATGAGTAGAAAACACTAAAACAGTTAGAACATTTGTTGTTGTCAGTACAGTGACAGAATTAAGAAAATGTGAAATGTGCAAAATTAATAACGCAATCATGCACATCGTCGTTGCTTTAGTAGATAGGTTGTTTCTGAATATTTCCGAAATTTGACTATTTAATATTAGGTAAATCTAGTGGAAGTGTGAAAAATCTGTGGTACCGGTGAATATACATATTAAATAACGAAAATAAAACTGAACTAGTTATTGAAAATCAATTTGCCGAACCATTTTACTATTTAATATAACATGTAATGACTATGTATAGAGGCACATTTACTCGTATAATATATATATTATTATGTTTACATTTTATATATCGTGTCTTCGTATGATCCAGTTACTATTATTAAATATATAAATAGATTTCAAACTAAACGTAGAATTATTGAGAGTGGGGTTACTCAACTCGTGAGTATGATTCTTCACAAGTGTTTAAATCACATAACTTGTGAGTTTTGCACGTCTGGATCCCGGTAAATATTTATTTTCTCACACTTGTAATTTTGTAAAACAAATCCACTCTGAAACAAGGTAAGAATAATAATAAAAAATAATAATAATAATAATAAAAAGATAAGAATAATCCAGGTTAAGCTGTATAAAGAAAAAGGGATCACAATTACACACAAAAGGAAGAAAAAATAAACTCGTTACCACTTTCTTTCTACAGATGTTGGAAGAATGTCGTCATTGAGACTCAAGTCGATGGGCTCCGGACTCTCAAGTGGTTTTTTCGCCCATTGGTGGATTCTTCTACTTTATTGGATTATTTTTGTTTTTTTTTGGAACCACTTAGAGATGATCATTTATATCTTTTTTTTTTTGGTAAACAAAATTTTTTTTGTTCGAAAAATATTCGTATATTATAAATGCGGTGCAGCCGGCTAATTTTTTTCCTAAAACTCGTTTAAAGTTAATTTTGGTCTTTCTAATATACAACATGAACAAAATATGCAACTGATTATAATATTTGACTCGTTTTGCATACATTAATTGACTATATTATAACCGAGACAGACGACATGTTTTTGTAGTGTATAATAATATGAGGAGTCAGATAAATATGTGTAGAACTTATTTGAATTAATGCTGTAAAAAGCTGTCACATGTGCTATCGCTGCCTAATGCTGTGTTATCGTGTGTGATCGCAATCAGATGTAAGGATGTGTATCGATCTTAATTTATACCAGTTACAAATAGTAATTTAATGAATGATCTATGAAAAAAACACTATGTTGTATTCTTTTTTAATCGAAAATATAATATATTTCATTTTTGTATATGACATCTTATAACACTTTTTTTCTTGCTAAAAAGATATCTTAAAACACTTTGGGCTCCTTTTCACTTTTATTTATTGCAGTTTTATAACTTTTTCCTGCTGAGTCATATTCAATTTTCTCCCATAGATTTGGATAAATTTCATGCAAATAACAGACATTATATTTTTAACTAAAAGGAGCTTGTTTTAATATTTTTACACTTCAAGTTATGTAAACTTAAATCCACTTTGGATATTTAAAGAGGAGAAGATGTTGAAAAAAAACGGAGCTTGTGTTAATAACGTTGTTTATATTTTCTAGTTTTCAAGGTGGTCTTTCACATACACACACAAATGTTATGCTGAGAGGTTTAGAGAACACAAACTTTTCTTTTTCTTTTATGTAAATTGTGAAAGTGACACCTTCGTAAAACACGTGCAATTTCTCGAATTTCCTCAAAGATCTAGAGAAAAAAGTCGACCCTACGAAATTTTTCCAGACACGAAGTCTATATCTTCTAAATTGCATAAGGCTAATCCATATTTTTGTCTTGACTCAAATTATGATCTCAGTAAGTTGGAAGTTTGTACATTCGCGTTACCATTATAAAAATACATTAGAGATCAGACCTGTACAAACATATACTGCTATATATATTATTATTTTGTCACCATCACCAGTTAAATTATTTATTCTGATTTTCCGATGGATAGATCCCTGGCTAGAAGTGACTCCCAAGAGACAAAAGAAAGTAAGATTAGTGGAAATATCCTCTCTTTTGCATTTTTTTTTTTAAATTGGCTGTTGAATTTGAATAGTATAAAACGTTGATTTATCAAAGCTTATGAAAAGAGGATCGTTCCGATCTCGATGCATTTTAAAAGCACTTAAAAGTCATTACAATTTCTTGTATTGATCAGTTATGTATTTCAGTATTTGACAAACAAACTGAAATGGTAATTGCTAAAAATCATACCAATGATTAGGTCAAATTAGGTTTTAGATACAATATCACGAAAGTGCTAAAGTGATGTCAAATGTTATGTGCCCACTAACTTCTCCATATTGTGCTATAGACGGCCTTTAGAAACAAACACCAGATTTCGCATTGCAATAATAATATTGTTTTTGGATAACCCATCTTGGTTGCAAAAAAATTCTATCAAAAGTTAACAAATTTTTCCCTAACACAAAGTACTCACAGACTATAATACATTGTTGTCCAAACTAATTCTAATGTATCACAAGTTCGCAAAATTCTCCAACACATCAACATATGATACACACTCGAGTGATCAAGTCTTGCTATCTTCTTACTTTAACAAACTAAAGTATTCTTGAGATTTCAGATATTATTTATTTACTTTTCATCAACTATATTTTTGGATTAAGAAAGATTAATTAAGGAAAAAGTGGGATAAGAAGGAATCCAATTTGGAATACTTTTTTCACAAATTCGTTTGTCTCCCAGCATTAAGACTGGTGGGATATTCCCATCTTAAACATTGTATCCAAAAAAATCTGTAGATATTTTATTTGTTTGTAAAGAAACAATAATCAAATCAAAATCCACCATCAATCTAATGTCCAACCAAAAACAACTAAAGTGTTGAATCTGTTGATAAAGTTACATTGGTTCTAAGCTTTCTCACAAAGACAATTAAATACTCTATGAAGTGTTACCTTCTTTGGCTACATATATAAAATGCTACTTGTATATCAATAACTTAAGTCAATTTGCATTCATCATACAGATTTAATACATTTTTTCCAATGTAACACTTAGGAATTGGAATTTTACGTAAAGTGTAAGAATCAAATCTTGAATAAATAGAAGTTTTATCTGTATTAATATAACATGACAACAATTTATCTAGCAGAGGTGGTACACAATTAAAACTAAAATAAGATTTCTCTTCGATAAAGAAAACAGAGACGGCAAAAAAGGGCCAATCGATAATTTAATACAAAGACTACTGTGAGATTATATAATTGAAAAAAATATCATCATTTATGTCAAAACTATGTGCTATATGAAAGCTGTTTAGCATAATTAGCGAATATGTTAATAAGATCAATTTTATGGGCTAAAACTGTTTTATGTACACAGTTCATTTACTTCAAAACATAAATGATGAGGCTCCTATATGATATATGCTAACCGGAATTAACCACTTAGATGAAAATTATTGTTGTCTCTAGCAACAAAATAATGAACTCATCAAGTTACATGAGATGGGAATGAACTTTTAGACCTACTTGCTAGTTACGATAATGGGTGAGGTAAGCAGGAAACTAAATATATTCTTTATGTCATCTGCTTCGTATTTTCCCTGTACGACGACGACTTCATGGTAAAAATATATTAGCAATTAGGATATGGGTCGTGATCGAAATCCCACCAAACAATAAAATATCAAACTATAAACCAAGTACCTACATGATAATCTCTTCAACCTAACCTTAAAATTAAATGCTTTTTTAGATGGACAAGAAACTGTTTAAAATGCTTTGTTAAGATAGTGGGAACATAAGATTTTAGATTTTCTGAAACCACCACAATTTAACATAAATTAACACTTGCAACTTGAGACGATACTTACTACGTATACTTTTTGAGTTAATTAATCATAAGCAGACAAAAACATGCCTTTCAACTTTCAACTAGTGTTAGTTATTTCTTAAAATACGATGTTAGCCGGAATCTAATTCGACTATAGTAAAGAGAGGCTTTTATCCCCTTTAAGTTAGCGTATCCATAGACAAGATAATCGTTTTATAATGCACTTGATCCAATGTATTAAGTTAAACCAACCTTTTCACAACTAGTATCATTTCACAGGATTAATTTAGTTTCTAATTGTACAAGTACCTTGTATATTAAGCTACCTACTCAAATGAGATAAATGGATTCTGATTCGATTTGGCCCACTTCTTGTTTTTAGTCGGATCGGTCACACAAACAAGACGGACATTTGAATGAAATAAAAACGTATCTTAAAGTTAGAAATACATTGAATACGAGTAAAGTGTATATACTTGTTAAACCCAAACCCGCGCGACTTTTTATCATTACCAGGCCCACTTGTTTCAAAGACCTTTTAAGGTGATTTTGTAAAACGGAAACAAAACAAACTGCACCAGCCGGGAATCGAACCCGGGTCTGTACCGTGGCAGGGTACTATTCTACCACTAGACCACTGGTGCCTCGTTGCATATCTATACAACACAATATTTAATATCTATGATACCATAAAAAATGAAGCTACTGCAGGAAAATCTCAGTATAGATACAGGCTTCAATTTTCGAACAAAATGAAATTCATGTAATTTTATACACCGAAGAATCACAATCGGTATATATATATATATACTATATAATTTATAAATTCAATTAAAAAGAATAACTGTCACACCCTAGTCTTTCACCTTCCTTGAAGAAAAGAGTCAGAACCCTCAAAAGAATTAGAATAAAAAGAGGAGTTCCAAACATCTAAGAACGTAGGATGTTGTTGTTGTTGGCTTCCCTCACCAGTTCCCAACAAGTAAGAACTCTTCATTCTCTCCAACAAGCTCACTTCCATGCCTTCTCTTTCCCTCTCATCACCATCATCACTCAGTCTCCCTTGTTCCAATATATGCACCACTTGTCTCATCTTTGGACGCACCCTCGGATCAGGATGCACACACAACAGTCCTATTCTCAATGCCATCTCTACTTCTTTGGTCTCGAACTTCCCTCTCGCCTTTATCCTCTCGTCTAAGCCATCAACCACTTGGTCTTTCTCCATGAGCCCCCACATCCATTCCACTATCCCTTCTCTTCCTTCCTCTATTGGCCTCCTTCCACACACCACCTCCAACACAAACACTCCAAAGCTATACACATCGGTCTCCACAGACGCTCTCCCTGTCTTAACCAGCTCAGGCGCCATATAACCCGCTGTTCCAACCACGTGTGTCGTGCTAACCATCTCTTTCCTTGCGTTCTGCAGCTTAGCCAACCCGAAATCACCTACCCTCGCGTTCATATCCTTGTCAAGCAACACATTGCTCGACTTTATGTCTCTATGCAACACTTTTGTCTCCCACCCTTCGTGTAGATACAGCATCCCTGAGGCTACGTCTCTCATCACTCTCATCCTTTCCTCCCAATTCAACATCTCATTGCAATCAAATATCCGCTTATCCACGCTTCCATTCTCCATATACTCGTAAACCAATATCAGACTCTCTCCTCCTTTCTTGCACCAACCTTTTAGTCCAACTATATTCTTGTGTCTTAGCCTCCCTAAGCTCGAGACCTCAGCTAAAAACTCACTCGTCCCAGCCACGCTCTCACGAGGGCTTATCAGTATTCTCTTCACCGCCACGTCTTTGCCTTCCAACACTCCTCTATACACCTTCGAGTTCCCTCCGTATCCGATCATATTCTCTTCCGAGAACCCTTTTGTTGCTTCCAAAACGTTTCTGTACTGCACTCTGTGAGGCCAATACTCTGTTTCCCAATCTTCCACATCATCTTCTAGTCGCTGTCTTCGCCGCCTTACAACATAGAGAAGAAGCACAATAACACAGACAAGTAACAGAACAGCACTAACAGAGACACCAGCGATGAAGCCTTTAGACTTAAAAACAGAGCCATCTCTCAATTTAAATGAAGGGAGGTTTCTAGTGATTAAAGCATCGCCGATGGAGAAATTAGAGTTGCTAAAGCTCCATGAGAGGATCCTGTGGCTCTGCACTAGCACTCCTGTGGAACCAGTGAACCCGACGAACATATCATCGAGTAAAACTCCGGTGAGATTCAGTGGAATGCTTATGAGAGGTCGTACGGGTTTCCCAGAGCCAGCTCTAGCCATCGTGACGTTGATCGCTGTCCCGTTAAACTCGATCCACGCTTGGTAGTTATCGCCGCTGTTAAGCCTCAGCTCCGTGAATCTCTCTCCGTCTCTGCCTCCGTAGAAACCGGCGACAGTAGATGAAACAGAGGTAAGGGAATTGACGTCGACGCCGACGTGGTTGTCGTTGATGTCGTTGAACTCTTCGTTGGGGTAGACGTCGAATTCGACTCCGAAGATTCGGTTACTAGGGTCGCCGTTATTGGTCAGATTGAACATGCCGAGATGCTGAGCTGAAGTTGCGGAGGTTGTTTCGGAGGAAGGGAGGAAGACAAAGGCGAAGCCGTGGCCAGGGAGCCTGTTTTTGTAAGGAGCTATGGAGAAGATGAAGGATGTGGCGAAAGGGAGCGGCGAGGCGGATGAAACGGCGGGGATTCTTGAAGGGTAGAGACCACGTCCGATGGAGAGAGTTGTTTCGTTGGTGAGGGTGAGGATCGACGGCGGAGAGTCCACGGTGGCGCCGACGAGAAGTGTGTTGGTGGTGGTGAAATTGGAGTTGTAGATGAAGTCGACGCATGAGATTGATCGGAATAATAATTGGTACGTGGCGAAAAAGAGAAAGATGGAAGCTTTGAAGAACAACATGATTGAGAAATTTGAATTAGAGGAGAAAGATCTTTTGGCATGGAAGTGTTACAGTTTATGAGAAAAGGAAGAGGAACATTTGGTCAGAACTGAAAAAACGATTTTGGTTTGGTACAACCAATTATTCAAATAAATTGTCTACAAGTGATAAAAGCTGGAAAGTCAAAATGATTAACGATATATAATATTAATATAAAATACGAATTATGAGTTTGAATTTTGTTTGAACTTTGAATAAACAAGAAAGTGACAAGATACGTCACAATATCCAGCGTTATAGTATTTGACCTCTAATAAATTTAGCAATTGGAATTTTGTTTCTCGCTTCTTTCCTCCTCCGAGCCACTTGGAGTTGCTGCTGAATTTTTTCTTAATATTGTGCTGTCCACATTTATGGTATGTGAATAATATGATGATGAACTTATTGGTCAAAGAAGTCAGCCTCGAAATGTCAAATATTCATCTTCTTCTGATTTTTCCCTCCGATCTCTTCAAACATATCGTACAGTGCTCAACTTATTCGTTAACTGTAAGAAATCATAGTATTAATTCTGAGATTCACGTCAAATAAGTTCAACTGTACATTACATAAACCAGATTGTAGTTTAATATTCGGTGTGTGTATGTAAAATTGTAAATCACATGGTCCAAGAAACGGTGCGTTTTTGGGCGATGTGCCAAAAGTATATAGAGAGGAAATAAAAATGGAAACAGAGCTCTCCCAACTGTCAGTTTGCAGGAAAAGGCAAACACTTTAAATGGACCGCTAAGAAACAGGCAAGTGACAAACACTGCCCAATCGCTGAGCTCAACAGAAAGAGCGTGTCTTTCACGCAACATCTGATTCGACTGAGCTCAAGTAGAAACTAAAAAGAACGTACGGCCACTTTCCTTTTCTCACAATTCTTCACCGCAAACACTCACCCCAAAAAAAGGAATCAGCAGAAGAAGAAGAAGTTGTTTATAGACAGACAAGAGAAGGCGTATTTACTACTACTTATTTACTCATAACTTTACCAGCAGACAGAATCATCAGATCTGGTGTGTGTCTTTTTCTTTTAATGGCGGACAAAGAAGAACAAGAGACGATGAATTCGTACAAGCTGTTTCTGAGTGTAATTAGCAAGAGAAGAACATGGGTCGGTTTGTTTCTTGTCGTCTACGCGATCCTCTTGTCTTCCTCATGGAATTCGCTTAATTCGATTGTGAATTGGTACGGAGAGAATCACCAGACGTCATCTGGTTGGCCTGCTGTTTACGCGTCGGTTCTTCTTGGAGCGGTGTTTGGAGTTTTGTCGATGGCGGCAGCGCTGTTCATAGCCGTTCCGGCGATCGTGGTGATCTGGATATCGGTGGTGGTGACGATGGCTTTCGCCGGAAAATCGAGGAGGAGAGTTGTGGTTGAAGGGAGGAAAGTGACGAAAGAGATCGCTGGGTTTGTGTTTAGGGTTCTTCTTAAAGAAGGAAACTTTGTGGCTCTTCTCTGTGCTCTCCTTGCTTACTTCGTCTTCTTCAACTCTTACTCTTCCTCTTCCTCTTCCTCTTGATTCAATTTTTTGTTTTTTTTTTTTTTACCACTTTGTCATAAACAAAAACAATTTACAACTAATTATCAAAATCTTTGTCCTTAGTTTTTTAACAAGATTTTGGTTTCTTGAATCTGGAAAAAAAAATTTCGATCTTCTTTGTTGGATGGATGTACTTTTTCTGATGTCAGATCGAATGCTTACACTTCACAATACCAACACGTGAAGTGATTGTCTTTTCTTTTGTTATTTCTTTTAGGAGCAACAGATTCTTCTCTTTGGTCTCTCTGTTTGTCGGTCACTCTGTTTCTCTGTCCATGGAAAAGCTTCAAAACCATAAATACGGGTTTAGGAGCCCGTTGGGCTTACGATTTACCATTAATAGCCCATTTGTTTTATTGAATTAAGGGATAATGGATAATGGATAACGTTTAGTGAAAAGTGGCAATTTCAGTCTCTTAAATTTCCTAAACCATGCTTCTCTGTCAGCTTAATTCGTACTTCAATGATTGAAATTATTTAAAATTTTGTGAAAGACACAAGCACTAGCTTTGATATAAATGGTTATCTTGTAAGAATTGGATAATTGTCAAAATAAGACGTCCAACTTTATCAGTTTAATTCTGAAATATGATAGTGGCCTAGAAATTATGAAATAGGCATAATTTTTTTTTTTACATCAGAAATAGATAGATTGTGACGACAAAAGAAGAAGATAGATTGTGTTTGAAGGATGAAGTGCATGTGATTAGGTATAATCAAATTGATGTTACTAAGTAAAAGCTTAAAAGGTGATGAGAAAGATAAATCTTCACCTTCACACATTCTTCATCATGGCATTACTAATTAACTACGTATAGTATTATAGATAGTTCTCAGTTCTCACACATCATTTATAGTATAACTTTTTTTTTCCAACATTTATAGTAGAACCTTTAATTTCGTTTACATTGTCTTAAAATGTACTGTATTTTTTTTTCCGACAAAGTCTTATTTAACCTCATTGGTTGGTGGTTGTACATCATGCTTCAAAAGAATATTTGGTCTGTGTGAGTGCTTTTTATTTTATTTTTGCTTTATATAAATGATTGTAGTCACAATTACAGTGATTCGGCTTTTGTATCCTTCTTTTACACTAATTTAATTGCAAGATCTTAGTTGGCTAATAACAAAACGTTTTTTGCACTTCGATTACTTGAATTTACAGAAACAGATATTAATATAATCACTGATTCTTCAGGTCATCAGGTGTAAAGAAAAGCATCACCGGTTGACCCCCCAAAGAAACCGTCGCCGACAGCATTTTTTAACTATGTTTTACTTCTGTCTTTTTTGTGTTTTTTCTACTACTTCTGTCTTTTATTTATGCATTATATATTATTATTACAGCACCCTATTATTATTCCAGAGTTTACTGTATTGTATTTTCTTAATGAATTGGTATTATTAAATAGTCAGAGACTAAGAGTAGGGAATTATCAATTATCTTATAAACGGTTATATTTGTTGTGGGGGTTCACACAATTCATGATTCCGTATCACATGATTGACCAATGAACATTTCTCAAATCTCTGAATTTGATGACACTCCAATGCATGTGGCCTGTTTTTTTGTGTGTGCAAACCTCTCGTTATTTTCTTGTTTTTTTTCTTATAGATTCAAACGTTTTTTTTTATATATGCTTCAAATTAATTTTAAAACCCCGTCACTAAAGGTTATTCAATTGTGTATTTTTCCTCTATGCTTCATTTTGAAATTAAAATGACCTCATTTACAGTTTTCCACAACATATTAGTCTCTTTTAATTTGATGTCTAAATGCCAGATTAATTTATGTGCTTTTTCTTCTTTCTTTTTGGTAAAGTTCTCTGACCATTTACAAACATAAGTAATATATGTAACAAAGATATCAAACATAGCTCATTCCTCGTACGTTAGATATAACCCACTAGTGTTTTCAAAAGCAAAATAAAAATAATCATCAATACAGTCATGGGTTATTCAATATCCTAGGATTAAAAATAAACTATAAGACTAGTATCACAAAAAGATGGCACTGTTGGAAGTGTATCATTTTTTCTTTTGAAGAGAAAATTAGAAGAAAACAAAAAAATACATAAAGAGAAAATGATATTAGAGCCCAAAATGAAGTATTTTGAATACATACAATATATAATTGGTGTACAGTGAAACTAATATAAATAAACACATACTAGATCTGTGTTTGTGGGTTTCCAAATTATTCAATTATCAAGCTCACAGTTTTTTCTCCTACCTTGCATCTTTGTTTTGCCTAAAGCGTAAATGGGAGCGCTTTTTTCAAATCTTGTAATTTTTGGTATAAAGTGATAATTTTTTCGTCTGGGTTTTTTCATAAAGGCTTGGATTTTCAGAGACAGGCAAGCTTTTTTTCTTCTTCTGGGTGCTACCGACAAGGGCTGTTTCTCCGATTCTGGGTTTGGAATTTTCTGTGTATGGCTCCCGCAAGGAACGGAGCCGTGCTACCAATTCTAGGATTCCTGATATGTGCAGCTTTCATCTACTTCTCGTTTCGGGATTTGTGGCTCAATCACAGAGGGAACACCGAGTTAGGGTTTGTGAAACGGAACGGAACTCAGTTCGTGGTGGACGGTAAGGCTCTGTATGTAAATGGGTGGAACTCGTATTGGTTCATGGACCACGCGGTGAATGAACACAGCAGGTACCTCGTGAGTGAAATGCTCGAAGCTGGATCCAAAATGGGTCTCACTGTTTGTAGAACTTGGGCCTTCAATGACGGTGGCTACAACGCTCTTCAGATCTCCCCTGGCCGATTCGATGAGCGGGTCTTCAAGGTACAAAGGCCCGTCACTAGGCTTTTTTCTTTTCTGAGATGTGTGTCTGTCTATGATGATTTCTGTGGATTCTTGTTTGATGAAGTTTGTATGAATGCTTGTTTTTCAGGCCTTGGATCATGTAGTTGCAGAGGCAAGGAAGCATGATGTTAGGTTGATTCTTAGCTTAGTGAACAACTTGCAAGCGTACGGAGGGAAGTCACAGTATGTGCAATGGGCATGGCAAGAAGGTGTTGGCCTCAGCTCCTCCAATGATTCCTTCTTCTTCGATCCATCTATCCGCAAATACTTCAAGAACTATCTCACGGTAATTGGTTTTGTCTATCCTCGTCTCTCGCCAATACGATTGAACATAGATGATCATTGAGAGTGATAGTGAAGCTAAGTGGGATTGTGTTTCTCGATACGCAGGCTCTGCTCACCCGCAAGAACTCGGTAACTGGAATAGAGTACAGAAACGACCCTACGATCTTCGCTTGGGAGTTGATAAACGAGCCAAGGTGCTCGTCTGATGTCTCTGGCGACACCCTCCAAGTAAGTTTGTCCTCTCCCCATTGAAACGTTTTTGAATCATTCGGATTGTTTCTTGTTCAGCAATGTTTCTTGCGGGATCACAGGACTGGATTGACGAAATGACCGGATTCATAAAATCAATCGATGGCAAGCACCTCCTCACAGTTGGCCTTGAAGGCTTCTATGGTCCGCAGAGCCCGAAACGGCTGACTGTTAATCCAGAACGGTGGCCCTCTGAGCTTGGAACAGACTTTGTTCGAAACTCTAATTCCTCAAACATCGACTTCGCATCCGTTCATATCTACCCTGATAACTGGTAAGTCCGCTGAAACAGAGATTTGCAGATTTGATTGCCATGGGGCTCTTGGAAAGATTGAAACTTGTTGATACTCATTTTGCTGCATGTGTGCAGGTTTCAGAACCAGAGCTTCGAAGATAAGCTAAAGTTTGTGGTGAAATGGATGCAGTCTCACATTGAGGATGGGATGAAGGAACTGAAGAAGCCGGTTCTGTTCACAGAGTTTGGGCTCTCGAACCTGAACAAGGACTACCAGCCATCGCAGCGAGAGCGGTTCTACAGAACCATTTTCGATGTGGTTTACAAATCAGCAAAGCGGAGGAAGTCAGGGGCAGGCACACTGGTTTGGCAGCTGTTCATGGAAGGCATGGAAGGTTTCAATGATGAGTTTGGGATTGTGCCACATGAACAGGATTCCTTGTATAGATTGATGATCGAACAGTCTTGCAGATTGGGTCGTGTCACAGGGCGTCTTAAGGAACATAAGTTGAGAAAGCTTTGTTCACACAGACATTGAGAGAATCAAATGTACACTGCGTTTTTTTTTTTGTTGTATACAGTGAAATCTGATTCCAATTTTGGTCGACTCTATAAATATAATAATTTGATGTATTCAGGTTACTTTGAAGTTCACAGAGAAAGTCATATAATAAATTCAAAGAAAAAACCGGAGCAATTCATATTTATATAATAAGAGCATAATCTATCATTTCAACAAAAGAGAGATCCAAAGACTAAATTGCATTTCATGAACTATACCATTCAAACTAAACCCTACAGAGAGAGACTGTTAACGATGCTAAATGAAAGCTAACTCGATCTAAGCTTTGCCAATCTGGGAGATGTCCTCGTTGAACTCGTTGTCTCCTCAACCTTCTGGGTCTTCTTCTCCTTCAGTCTTTTCACCGCTGATTCAAGTTTCTTCCCCACTGATTCATTCGATTTCTTGTTGGCTTTAACCACTTTGGTCTTCATCTCTCCAGCGACTCGATCGAAATCATCAGCGAGTTTCCTCCTGATACTCGGCACACTTTCATCTTCAGATCCGACCTCTTCATCATCATCGTCGTTCAAATCTATGAACCTCCTTCGTTTCACCGCGACCGGAGCCGCAGGGGGAGATTCGTAATCAGATCTCTTCTTCTTCTTATCGGAACTCCCAGATTCGAGTTTTACAGGAGTGGATTTCTCGAGCTGGGCACGGAGCTTGTCGACGTTTCCTTCGATTCGGCCCTGGAGACGGAGGCGCGTGAAGTTGAGACCACCCATGGACCAGTGGGCGTCTCTCGCCCATGTGAGAAGCGGATCGAGAACAGAAAGCGGCGGATCAACGCGGTGAGAGTTGAACTGAGGATTATCGAAGAAACGAGGTCTGGGAAGACCGTTTCCGTAGAACTCCGTCGGCCTAATGGCAAAATGTTTCTTCACCGGCGTCATCATTGTGTGATTTCAGAGATTAAGAAAGATTATGAACGAATATGAGAGTAAGAGAGATTGGGAATTGGAAGATGAGAGATGAAGAGATGGGCTTAGGGGTTATATGGAGGAGATTTTGGCGGGTGCGGTTATTGGCGCGAGACTCTGCCGCGCTGCTTGAAATAAAAGCTTTGGCGCCTCTTCAATTTTGCTTCCGCGCAATTTTTCAGTTTATTTGGTTTTACCGCTTCTCTTAGGATTTGTTCTGTACTTCTGTATTGGTTCTGTGCTGATGCCTGATATTTACGCGGGCTTTCTATTTGTGGCATATTCCTTATAAAGTACTGATTTCTTTGAGAGGATATGGTTTGGGTATATTAAAAAAAAACAATTATAAGGGAAAATTACTTTCGATCTAGTACATTTAAAATTGACATCTTTTTATAAACAAGGCTCTTCGCTATGAAACAAGTAGACGATCCAATTCAAAGTGAGGTAAGAGATTGAGCAAAAGAAAAGCAGTTTCAAGATATGTAATAGATTTGGTTCACGAGAGGTACACTCATTAAAGAAAACACAAATAAATAGCCTTTTAAGTAAACATAAACTGAGTCCCACCACAAGAATACACAAGAGACCCAATCTATTGGGCCCAATAAAACTAGGGCCTATAGACTCAAGCAAGCAGAAGGGAGAGGAAGCAGTTTTGATTGTGAAACAACATACAAGCAGAGAGGGAGGCATGTGCCATGGCTTCACCATCCTCTGGGAGGCCCTCCCGAGGACTGCACACTCAATCTGTCAAGGAGTGCGTTAAAGTCGATGGGTTGGCCACTCTCCTCCATCCGCTGTATCACGGCCATTACATGGTCTCCCCTAAAACCCATGCTCACTAGCTTCTCTATCAGTTCACCGTATTTTGATCTCAACACCGGTGGTGCCCCAGTGTTACCGCCACCTGCCTGGTGCTGCTGTGGAGCGTACCCACCACCTTGTGGACCTTGCAGGTAATGCGGCTGATGCTGCTGCTGCGGCGGCTGAGGTGGTGGTGGGTATTGCATCCGCCCACCTTCATACATGGCATTGGCATAACCGGCAGGAGGAGGAGGCCCTGAAGGTTGTAGATACCCATCTCCCGTCTGCGGGCTATAAGACATCTTTGTCTGCTGCGGAGCCTGTGGTGGTGCACCGTATCCGTAAGCTTGCATTGACTGTTGAGGAGATCCAGCGTACGGTGATTGCATTTGCATGCTGCTCGGCAACGATTCTACAGGGGGTTGGCTGCTTGGTGGTGCAGGCGAGTATGTAGAGTAGGCTCCACTGGACTGTGGCCTGACCTGTGTCTGTGGAGGCCAGTTTTGTTGGTACTGCGGGAATGACTGAGTTTGTGCTGGGCTTGGGTGAGATGGAGCAGGAGGTGGGGGCATGAACTGACCCTGCGCTGGTGGTGCTTGAGGCTGTGATGGTGGAGCAGGAACGGGCGCTGGTGCAGGTGTGTTTTGAAGCTGTGTACTAGGAGGAGGCATGTAATACTGCTGTGGCTGTGGCGCTGGTGGCTGTGGCGCTATTTGGTGAGGCAAAGCCAGTGCAAGCTGCTGGTTGTGTGCATCTGAGGTGTTCTCGCTCTTCTTAGGCTCTGGAACAGGAGTCGCGACCCGCTCCTCGCCATGTTGAGACGAGGAAGATGAATCTTTCTGCACAAGTTGAAGCCTCGCCAGCTCTTTCTGAGTATCTGCTAGCTCTTGCTTGTCTCTGAGAATCTGGACTGACCTATGCACCTAACAACAGAACATACACATGAGTCTCAACTTCCCATTGCAGTTTCAGAGTTTTTACAATATACAAATCACAAAAAAAAGGACGACTTGCATAACACACACCTCTTGAAGATGTTTGTCGAGAGATCTAAGCTTCACATCAGCCTCCTCGTTATCACGAGTCAAATCAGATCTCATTTCTCCAATAGTCTTGTCAAGGTTGTAGCAGTAGAGTTCTAGCTGGGACAAGCGCGAGCTGATGCCTTCGAGAAAGCGCATCATGTTATCCGCATACTTCTTCATGGTTCTCTCCACGGTGGCGGTAAGGTCTTGGCTCAAAGAGTCCTCCGGTGGACTGTAAGAGCTCGTAGGGAAAACAGAAGTCCTAGCCATCCTCGTCTTGTGGAATTCCTGCAGGCAAATTGAAACGATCGATTTGATAGAATTTTCTTCCGATATATAAGAGGGAAATCTACAGCTGAACAATATTTCACTCCCAGGGACTGTCTATGATCACACGAATCGGAAGATTTTCAGTGAGCACGCAAATCACAATATTCCAGCAGATAATCGTTGATCAGATCAATTCTCGAAATCGAAACCCTAATTTTCTCAAAGATCAAAACAAATCGTCCGATTGAGCAAAAGACTAAACTGAAAACAGACGGAAGGTGAAAAATCTGGGTTCACCTTATTTGAGTTGGCAGCAGCGATCGCAGGATCGGAGTTGGAACCATTAGAGGAGTCCTGGTTGGTGTAGTCGTCGTAAGAGCAGAGGATATCATCGGACCCAAAATCGAATCCCTTGGATCCCGAGTTGACCCGACCCGACGATCCAGACGCCATTGATCCGAAGACTGAAATCGATTTGTGAAATAATCAAAAAGGCAATCGCTTAGATTAGTCTTGTGAGGAAAGCAAAGCTGGTTCTCGTTCTCTTCTCTTCGAACCTTTTTGAGGAAACGCAAGTAGAAGAGAAGCAGCACAAAAACGTTTTTTTCTCTCTCTTTTTATTTATTTATTTTTTTCTTTAATTTCCAAAATGGAGGGTTTTTAGTTCAGACTTGATGAGATAAGGATGAAGAGATGAAACAGCCAAACCGACTTTTCTCTTATTTCTGAATATTAATATTTGTAATTTAATCCCAAAAGGTATTGATTATTTTGATTGGCCCCATTTGTTTGGGTTTGTTATTTACAACCCCTTTGACTATAGAAAGGCGTCGTTGTCACGGAGAATGGACCTGAAAAGCTGGGTGGGACTCGAGAGTGATAGTTTCACATTGGGGTAACGAGGGGGGGGGGGGGGGACGAAAAGTTTCGGTCTTTTTGGTTGGTTTGGTGTGTTTTAATTGCTTTTGGTGTTTACATGATGTGTTTGATACTCTGTTCTTCATTGAGGTGTTTCTAAAAATGCTAAGGATCTCAAGGTAGTGGAAGGTGTTCTTCTAGGGAGTGAGATGTGACTTGTTTAATCCGAAATCAGTCTGCTCTCAAGGAAACGATTTGGAGAAGTTTTGATCTTCGTCTAGTCTAATCTGAGAATCTTATTGCTCTAGTCTAATTAATCTTACCATCTTCTAGGCTTTATTGACTGCTGCTGCATGGGTTCTGGGATCTATAGTCTTAATGGATAGTTAGATGGAAGGTTATGGTGAGTTACGTCAAAAGTGAGGCTTATTTGTAACTTGTTGATTAAAGTAAACAAACCATCTCCTGGTAAGGTTGTAGTCAATGGACTTTATCTTCTACATTTACACTAATCAAATGAATGGAACTTTTCATCAAACTTTTCTTTCTCGTTTTGCTACGATTCAAGAATCTGGAACTTGTTTGGAGTTGTAATGTAACCGGTTCTCACAATTTCCCTGTTGTGTTGTGTTACTTTCAACGATTCCAACATATATACCCATTAAGTTGCTTCATCTTTTTCTCTTTAATTCTTTGTTAGGAGTGGATATTTCGGTTTACTTATGATTTTGGTTCGGGTTCAGTTTGGTTCGGTTTGTTTGGTTATACTAAAATTTTAATTGAATTCAACCAAAATTAATTCGGTTTGACTTCGATTCGGTTTGATTTGTTTAGTTTGATTAATACTTAATAGTTTGTAAAACAAAACCTTGCGTAAATACTAAATATAACGTCGAAATCAAAATAAAAATGTAAATTGTTTTAAACAACAAAACTCGTAAAACTAAAAAAAAACTCCAACTCAAAATCATACTCAACTAAAAAGAAAACCAAAACATCCAATTTCATCATATTAGAGTATCTATATTGCCTCTACAGCCTAAAAAACCTACAACAAATCAATATCAATACAAATTTAAACAAAAGCAAAACTAGAAATTTAATAATTAATAACTAAGAAAACACATTGGTTTTCGGTTCGGTACGGTTCCAGACCGAACCATTCGGGTTGATAGAAATCAAAACATAGATTTCGATTCAATTTGATTCGGTTCGAATTCGGTTGATTTGGATTAATTCACTTCGGTTGGATTTTTTTGCCTATCCCTACTCTTTGTAATATTTTTTAACAGTCACTTTAGTCGTAAAATGTGTTGCATTCGAAAGTAATAAGTTGTTGGCTTCTTGGTTTTCGTCATGATCAGATGATTCACGTTTGAGATACGGATATGGACCGAATGAGTTTTGGCCGGTGTAAAGGTAAAAAAAGATATGTGTGGACACTATTATGAAAATGCGCAAACGAGCCCTCCAAAAGTAATTTCATTATTAGGGAATCCATAAAGAAATCAGCCGCAAAGTTTCTGCTTTCATTTGTATCCATACATCTTTAATCTATACTAGTAACTAATAAACTATCTGGGATCCTAATACGTTAACGTCACCATAAGATGCTTTAGTTTATACGATTATGTCCGTTTACCATGTAGTAATATATAGTGTTTAATAAAATATTTTTAAAACGAAGATTCATATGCTTAAAAAAACAAATGACCGAACATAATTTGAGTAAAATATTGAGAAGAGTATTAAAATTTCACGAGATTGTCTTGTCTTTATCAAAGAATAAATGTGTTAAACATTAAATTTGACATAGAGAAATCTCACCAGACAACCATATGGAGTTGGAGGGTAAGTGGATTTGTCAAGGTCGTTATTACATGACAACCATATTTTATTAAGTATATTTAACAATATTTATGATGTATCTCGTATCACCAGGGAAAATCGATCTTGTAATCAACAAGATTGTTAGATTGACCGTATAATCATATGTTTGAGGAAATATGCTGTCACGTAATAGTCGTCATATACGCAAATCAGTTTACATCAATTTGCATTTGAGATTTTTCTCAAAAACATAAAATCAGATCCACTTGTTTAATGCCCACCCCGTCGTTAGTTTTTCAACCTTATCTTATGGTTTTATTTTTCTTTCTTTGAAACCTTATCTTACGAGCATAAATAAAATACAAACAGTAATAATCGAAAAGAAGAGGGGTATAAATGTCCAAACCTAAGCTGACTTTACGTTTTCAAGAACACCAACACACAGTGGCAACAGTGTCCGGACACGTGGGTGGGTTAAGAACCAATGATGGACCCATTTTCATTTAAGAGATCAACCAATCATGTACCTCTTTGTGTGGTTCTAACTTCGAGGTTCAAATTCCATTTCTTCTTTGACCATATTACCCCTCCTTTTCTGGTACTCATCCAATTCTTCCTCCAATCAATTTTTTTAAAAAAGACAAAATCATTTTTATTAAATAATGCATCTCTATTTGACACCAAAGTTTAACATGTTTAAGACATTTTGGAGAGAGGACAAAACGGGAAATGGTCAAATTAGCATAGTTTTAACTTTTCCCGGTTGCGTATATAATCCGTTGATTATCGAAGCAAGCACCTCAATTTTTCCCACATTTTCTCTTCATTTGCCTACGTTTGTAGATTTTTATTTAACGTTGAAAGAAAAAGACAAAAAGAGTCCACAAATTTGGGAAATTTGAAGAGCCTAAGACATGAAGAACTCTGGAATCCTCGCCGCCTCCATCTCCGCCGCCGCTTCCGCCACCGCCGTCTCCACCACTAACGCCTCCGTGTCATTCTCTTTTCCGGAATCCAATCTTTCCCGTCAGGTAGAAAACAAAAAAAAAGCCAGTTTTTCGTTTCTTGGTTTCTCAATAACATTAAGTTCCTCTGTTTGAACTCTGTTTGGTGATCTCACAAACTCGAGCTATTGCAGAACATAAACAAAACTGTCAAATTTCTCAAATTACCAGGTTCGAGAGGAGAGAAATATTCCACGGATTCGGATGTCTAAGGAGTTAATATATATTTTTGTGGCTGATTTTTGAATAGGATTCAAAGGAAAAACAGAGAAAGAAAAAGGGTTCGGAAGATGGAGGAGATGAAAAGTTTTCTCCAAGGTTTGATGGGTTAAGGTTCATCGAGACGCTTATTACTGCTCACCGATAACCTTTGCATTTTCCCGATTTTTCCCGATTTGCAATTGTTTAGCCAATTGATCAACAACAAAGTTACTGATTTTTAATTTGAGCCTTTTGTTCCTTTTTTCACCTTGTAACTTTGGATTAAAGAAGTGTAACACTTTGGAAAAGTTTTATATACCACCAAGAGGCATGTTACACTTTGTCTCGTTTATTTTTCTTGCTAATTATGTCCATAAAGCCTTAGAGATTAACTCAGCCCATCAAGTACCAAAATGTTATCATGTTCCACATGCGTCTGTGAAATACTGAAATGTTAGTTTTGTGACGTGTACCGAAATATCCTCAAATACTCATCATATTAATATATGTAGCTTTATACGTCATACTAAATTTTTGATGTGACATCATGCATATTATTGAGGAAAAAAAAGTTCTCAAAGCCTAAACAAAAATCGAAAATTTACATCTATGATTTTGCACGAAAGAATAAGTGGCTCACACAAAACAAAAAACAACTAACAGAACGGAATATATGTGTATATATAAATCATATTGTAATCGTAAAAACATATAGTACAAGTGTTTAGAAGAGGTAAAACAAGAAAACAGTGATTAGCAGCGATGCGTGTGTGGTGGAGATAAGAGGGATCAATGCATGAGAAGATGACGTGGCGGTGACGTTGGTGCAATCGAGCCCTTCTTTGCCTTCTTTACACATGTTTGCGAATATTCCGGGAGGATAACGACCGTAGAGATTGATGTAGCTGAACATTGTGGAGGCACATTCTGTCTTTTCGTCGTTTAGAGCTTCCGCGAATGGGCATGCAAAGTCCTTGAAGGCGGAGCAACATGCCTTCGCCGGATAATTTGGTCCTTTGCATTTACTCGTTATGATTGTGTAATTCTTGTTCGCAAAATCTTCTTTGCATGCTGTTATCATGATTAGATTATTAACAAACATATTAAATATTTCTTATCATAATTTGAATTTGGATTAGCATGCATGAGCTCTTATTACAATCAATGAATTAAATTTGGGAAATTAAATTTCTTACGTATCTTTGCCTGAAGAAGAGCTCGGCTTGTTGGTGGGTGTGACTCAAATTCATCAACTGCACATATAAATTCAATTAGCAAAGAAATTTGAAGAACTTTTAAACAAATGTTTATTAGACAGGAATCAAATATTAAATAAGCGCAAATTACGAGAGATGTGGAGAGACGAGACGAATCCAGACAAGAGGAGGATTGAAAGAAGAGAAACCAAACAACGAGGAGAAATCTCCATGCTTATGTTTCCTCCTTTTGTATTTTTGTCTTTGTCACATTTGATTTTCTAAACGTTTTTTTTTTTTGCGTGTTCTGGAGTTATAGGAGGAGAGAAAAGTGCTGCGGATGTACCGGATAATTAACAAGAAGAAATAATATCAGTGACATGCCAAAACAAGACAACTATTTACTATTTTAATCTTTCGAGAAAAGCCATCAAATTAACCAAAAAAAATATAGAGAAAATTAATACTACTATTAGTTTAGCTTCAACCACCACTGCTTGATATCCATAATCAAGTGGGAAACGCCCATTTATTGATTCAGTTCTGCGAATCCTTATGGCAACTTGCTTCAATAATTTCATACGGAGAAATTTTGAAAACATTATCACGGACGTGTATATATATATAATATTATATATGCGCTTTCAAAAATATTATTTATAAATATACTCCACTAGTTACAAGTTACAACTGTATCACAGTTTTGCTATTATTGTTTTAAAAAGGAATTATATTGATCAATCGTGTTGGGGGATAAACGGGGGCTCCCACGTTGGGTGACGCACGAACCCGAAGGGTGTTTTCTCGAGCGGTTCGTCAATCTATATCCCCCTTATGTAACACACTAACACCCACCGTGAATGTGTTCAAACACAGTTCGTTTTTTGGGGGACTGAGATTTTGGTTTTACTTTTTAGATTTATAGTTTCAAACTTTTCTAATCTTACATATGAACCTAAAAATAAGTGTACGTAGGTTATCTTGCGTTGAATGTGGGAGATCATAAGCTCCAAGTAGCTAGTTACGTTGGGGTAGATTTTAAGCTTTTTCATCACTCGTTTGCTAGTACTGGCCGTTATCTAGAATTTAAGAGCTCAAATAAAAGGTAGTGTTTCCACCGAGTTGTTCTGAGTTTTGTAGGACCGGATTTAAACATTATTTAAAATTGATGTCAAATTTCAAGAAACAAAACTATGACTTGGCACTACATAATTCGTGTAACGTAATTTATAACGTGGGACTAAAATTTATTATTTGAATTACGCGTAATTTGACATTGGAATTAATTAATAGTGACATATAGTGTTATGTTGACAATCCTCGTCGGATACATCTGGTAATAATGTTTTTATTTACTCGACACAAAAAAAAAAAGATAGTATGTTAGGATAATATTATAAAGATGATTCTGGTGGAATATAAAACCCTAACAAAATGCAACATCACTGTCTGAGAGATATAAAAATTACATGGCAATATACATATATAAGTTCTACATATTTGGAAGTAATCACTCTAATCATAGCCAACGTGCAATTATTGTAAACGTGACTTTAACCAAAGCTATGTGCATTAGAGTGATTAGTAAAATAAGGGTGAGCAAGATATCAACTTTCTGATGTAATGAAGGTTTTGATGAAGTAAATTTTCAGTTACCTATGTGCACTGAGTTATTTAAGTCACATCGATTCATTTCATGAACTCGTCCTAATAAAAATGAGGAGGTCTATGGCTTAAATGGTAAAGCTTCACGATTCATATGTGCATACATAATACGTAGTCACACACGATGTAATTTTGATAACGCACAGAATTGTAATTTATCGTACATTCGGAGACCATAAATCGTCTATTGTTTTCCACATCAGATTCAGACATGATTGTGACGAGTGACAACACAACAAATACGAATTTAAGACAGTGTTTAATTATTTCAAGGAGTGAATTTCGGGTTGCCTACTGCAATATAATTAATATATTTGAAATAAATATGGTGTGGTGAACACCAATGGCTCCTTGCTTCCGTAACGTGTGACCTAATTTATCTTTGTGGTTTATATGACTATTGGTTGATAAAGGCCTTTAATTAAGGCTTTAAACGAACATTAATTATTATTCTGTAAATGGTGTTTACCAAATTGCCATTGTTATTCACTCAGCACCATGATAATTACAAATTCTGTAAGAACACAAAGAACAGATTTTTTTTTTCAAATAGTTTCATGAAAATGAAAAAAGTAAATTACTAGGAGTTTATTAAAATGGGAATAAGGGTGTAACGGTGCAGCCATAGAGTGACACGTCATCAAACTTGGTGAGTATCTATGGCGTTGCCAGAAACAGAAGCTGCCAACTTCTTATCTTTCTTTTTTCAGAGCTATTTTTTTGTCGTTCAGAGCCAAATTCTTATCTTGTGATAATATATATAGGGATAAAGTCATGGGGGCAATTTTGCAATTTTGCAATTTTGCAATTTTGAATATTATATATATATACTTTTCCTATAAACAGGACATTTCCAATTTCTGATTTTATTTTTTGTCAACATAGTTTTATGAACAGAATAATTGTTGGTCTTTAAATGTCGTTAGTTGTAATTTCTTTTTTATATTATCTTATTTACTTTTATTTATAAACGATCCTGATCCGTTGCTGACCTTTTCATAAAATAAAGAAAGCGGCTTAGCACAAGTAAAAGAAAAAGAAATAGAAAAACTCAAAAAAAGAAGAATGGCGTTTCGTTACTTTATCTATTTATTTTTAATTAGGTAGACGTTTCTTCTTTAAAATCATAACTTTTCCGGATTTTTATTTTGCACCTTATAAAATAAAAATAATAATTGTGTGTGTGTGTATAATATAAGCTCTCGTGCTTCTGCACCACCCTCGATCTATATTATTCTTACCCATTCTGCTCTCTCTAAACACTAATAATTCTCCTCTCTGTTCTTCAGCCATTGTCGCATACAGCAATCAAGGTTTCCAAAGGCTTAATTAGCAAAAAAAGTCATAAGAGATCCATCTGTACTTACAATCTCTCCAAAGAGTACGTCTCTTTTTTATCTTCTGGAATCATCATCCCTCTTTATATATCTATGTTGTTACGTTTCTATGTGTGTATATAATTGCATCCAATCAATAGATCTGCACCGCCTTTTCAGTTACTACTACGCTCAAATATGGTTCTTTTCGATCATACGAATCAACTCCTTGTGGTGTGATTTGATTAGTTTCCCATTTGTCATCATCACCTCTTTTTTAAAAAACGTGCTTTGAGATGAAGTGAAAACAGAGCAAAGCGTTGAAACAGAAAGTTATTACTTTTATTAGGTCAAGTCTTCATAACTTGTTAAAGATCTTTACTTTCTTTTCTTCTTCTTATTCTTCTTCTCTCTCAAAAATTTGGTATTTTAGGTTCCGGTGGTGATTAATCCTTTCATTCATTATTTCCCCTTTAGAAAAAAAAAAATTATTTAAAGCAAGATCATGATATAGATGATTCTCGTAAGTTTGTAATGGTCTGTTGATCTTCATGTTTTGATGATATTCCTTGTTTCCATGAAAATCATCGTTTTTTAAATCTCTCGATGGGATTAGATTTTTTTTTGGGGGGGTCGAAGTCGAACATTGGGATTAGAATTTAGTATTTACTATTTAGGTGAAATTTCATTTAATAACCAACGACTGACAAGTCAAGTGAATGGTTTTGTCTTTGTACGTTTCAGTATAATGGAGATAGAGAATGACGAAGACAACTCAACAATGGGTGACTCTGGAGGAGACTTCGACTGCAACATATGTTTGGACCAGGTTCGAGACCCTGTCGTGACTTTATGTGGCCACTTGTTTTGCTGGCCCTGCATTTACAAATGGACTGATTCCACCAACATTTCAAGACAGCGCGTCGATCAGTACGATAAGAAGGAATCCCCAAAATGTCCGGTCTGCAAATCCGATGTCTCCGACGCTACGCTTGTCCCGATTTACGGCCGGGGACAGAAAACTCCTCGGTCCGGTTCAAACGTACCGAACAGACCACCCCGTCCGGTTTATGACTTGAGAAGAGCTGGTCAACGTTCAGGAGAAGGTGAGAGTCAACGGTACATGTATCATATGCCTGATCCGGTGGTGGGTGTGGTCTGCGAGATGGTATACCGGAGACTATTTGGAGAGTCTCCAAGCAACGTGCCACCGTACCGGGGCTCCCATGACACGAGTCTCCGGTTGAGACGGCAGGCAATGCAGACGGAGGAGTCACTAAGTAGAGTCTACTTGTTCCTGCTTTGCTTCATGGTTATGTGTCTACTTCTCTTCTAATTATATTGGAATGAGAATATGCATATATATATATATATATGGATCTAATTAAGAGTGTGTATATATATGTCTATGTGTGTAAGAATGTTGAATCCTGAAATTGTATGATGAGAAGATAATAAAGTCTAGATGAAGAGCACCAATTGAATATTGTATATTTTGATCTAATAATAATAATATGTGATGGATAAAAGGGAGGCTTATCTTCAACTCAATCGATTTGTGCACCAAAAAAGATGATAGTGGCATCAGAATGCGTCGCAAACGGTGTTGCTTATGTCGGATAACAATCTTTTTTTTTTCTTCAAAAGTTAAAATAGGGAGGGGTCCTACATTTGATTGATAACGGCGAATAAGACACTGTTAGAAAGAAGAAGGAGAAGCATCAATTTAATAAATTGATGTTTTTTGGTACGGGTTCGTTCTTTATACATTAAAAATGTTGTAAACAAAACGGTAAAGTGATTATTGAATTGGAGTGAGCTGTTTCATTTAAAGCATTGAGAAGTCTGAGATGAGTTATTATGGGTCCGGATGAGACACAACCCCCTCATTTATGGGATCGATATGTTAGCTTCAAAAGTTCGATTTTTAAGGATTTTTTTTTTTTTTTGATTGTCGGTATCTCATCTCATGTGATACTCATACTACTACCCTTAGACATTCAACTTTCAAGTCCTATATCTCAAGTAAACAAAAAAGGGCAAAAAAGAGAGTAAAGTGGGCCTCAAATGTAATTTCATTATAGTAACAAATACATAATAAGTTATAGCGGATTTACAGAGAACTGTAAAATGCGAGACGAAGGCCTTATTTACATAAACACAGAAAATGAGTGCATCTGCTTGTTTCTCCCTACACACTCTACAACTCCACTCGGTAGAAACGAACCAGTTTCATGCTCTGCACTCTCTCCTCCTGCATTCCACATTTGATCTTTCCCATTACCACCAAAGTTATTACAAGACAATAAAAAATGGAGATATGCAGTGCAATAACATTACCTGACCCTTAACCAAGTCTTGATCCTGCTGCGGAAAATGAAAACCTGTTGAGCAATTCTCCAACTTCTCCGGATTTTTCACCCATGCTTTTCGACCTTCACTCACTTTCACCCCAAACCTCCATGTCTATCATATACGTATGTTAAATCTAAACTCGTTAAACTAAAGAACTGCTCTTTGAGTGAGTGAGTGAGTGAATCATATGCATACCTGAGAAAGTGGAAACGTGTCTCTCTCTATCACATCTCCTTCAATGTTTATGCCAGTGCCTTGGCACTCTGGACAGAACACGGAGAATATTTGCCAGCTCACGTCCCCTAGCAACTCATTCCACTTCACGCCACTCTGCTTTGTCTTTGTGCATCTCCTTTTCCCTTTTCCACCAGCAATCTTGCTCCCAAGTATTTCAGTCTCACAAAAGAGAAACCAGTGTACGACACACGAGACGTGAAATAAGTGAAACGCGCCATGGAGGTTTCTGCTGCTGCACGCAAGATTTCCCGTCTTCGTGTTTAGTATTGCTGCCGCATCTTTCCCCGGAAGTATCTTTTGCTTGCAGACTTCGCATATCCTCTCGGAAAATATCCTCTGTTGCTTCCTAAGCTCCCGTCTTACCGTTTTGTTCTTGATGACTCTTTTATTCACCAGATGATCATCATAATCAGCTATGAGAGCTCTTGAGGAGTTTGAGTTACGAGCTGAAGAAACCTCCTCAGAAGAGTCATACTGATTACACAGAGATTCACTGGTGTCCTCTGGATCCGAAAAAGACTTCTTTCTCTTCCTTCCACCTTCCTCGCCGTTCCCGGACTCTGCTGACTGACAAGATGTAAGAAGACGGCTCGGGCTGTCGAGCAAACCCAGCCTACCCAAATTGTAGAAGTAGGAGAATGTGACAATAGCAAAGTCATGCTCAGGGACCGAAGCTCTCTCCTCATCGGAAGGACCCTCGTCACCTAACCACTCACACCACAGTTTATCAATCCAAGTAGAGCGTCCTTTCGTTTCAAACAACCTAGCAGCTATTCGACCAAAACCAATGAACTTTGCTTCCACGTCAACAGTTCTCTCCTTGATCAGCAAACCAGAGATTACCAGATTATCTGCACAGAGACTAGGTTCTTCATCATTATCCGAAGCAAGTTGGTTATCTCCATGTGATCCATCATACTTGACAATAGCAAATCTTTCATCGTCACTGCAGTGCTGCAAAGGACCGGTAACACCTTCATCACCATCAGTGATTAGAGTTTTCTCCTCTTCTCCGGTTGAGCTGTCGAAGAAAAGGACACCGTCATTAAAAGGCCACGGATTTTCACCAAGAAGTGTGATACGAGCACACGACAATCTCTCCTTGTGAAGGTTCCCGTTCAAGTGCCCAAGCAAAATTGTGTCGCTGTAGCAGGGAGCGAGACACAGAGTGCAGAAGAAGACGAACCGTTTCCCATCCTCACGTAGCTCAATGTACGTGTGACCTTGCGCCCTCAGATTCCTCAGAGTGGTTCTCGCCAATTGCTCTTTCAAACTAATAGCAGTCTTTGGTAACCCTAATTCTTTCCTCTCAGCCATTCAGAGACCCAGCAGACGCAAACAACTTCACGATTGAAAGAAGAAACCCCCCAAAATGCACAATTCGCCTACGAAGAACGAACCCTAAGAGTTTCACAGTCGAAACAAACCCTAACTACTCACAATTCCACTAGAAAATTTTAAGAAACACAATCGTCGAAACCCAAACGAAGAAATCCAAGACAGTTTCTTCACCAGCAAGAGCACTGACTTAGAAGACAAAAAAAAAAAAAAAGACTACACAAGACGCTATGGGTATCACGGCTTCGATTGGATCTCGAAATTCAGATGCAAAGGAAAACAAATCACGGAGGTACCAAGAGCAGAGAAGAGCCGAATCAACAGAAAATATTTCCACATATTCGAGGCGTACTCAGAATAGAACTTCTGGGGAATCGTTTCATACGTACGCCGGCAAAAAGGTCAACGCGAGACATGGAGCGGTGGAGATGGAGAGAAGATCGCGAGTCCATCGCCAACATTTTCATGTCTTTCACGCGAAACTCGCGAACAAAATTCTCTCAAGAATCCGAATTGACGGGAAGCGGAGAGGAAACGACGAAAAAGAGTTTCAGAGCGATGGCTGAGGAAGAGAAGAAAGAAGAAGATGTTAACCGAAGAAAGCTTTGTCCTCTTTACTCGTGAAACTATAATTCTTTGTAATTTTTATTTACGGAAAGAAAGTGTATATCAACCATTAACCGTTGGATTTTAGATGGTAAAGTATTCAACGGTTAAGATCTACTATTGAGTTTTTATAGGTGTGGAGGAGATTCGAATTTTTTATAAAGAGATGCCGTCCCGATGAGTCTCGCGAGAATGGATAGACTTCAAGTCTTCAATCAATATGTTAGTTTATTAATTAAAAAAATGGGGAAGTTAAATGAGGAACAAATTCTTCAATTTTAAATTCGACTGCCTAGGTTTCTATATCTTCGAAATTTAACCCCTAAGTTTATTTATCTTCGACATTCAACCTGAGTGTGTAACCAAAAATATTCGGATTTATTATTCAATATTTTTTTTCTTGTCTATTATTTATTGTTTTCTTGCTTTAGGGCAAAAAACACAGTTTGCATTCTCAATTTAGACTTGTAAATAAATGATAGAGCATAATTCTTGTAGATTAATATGATAAAGGAGTCTAACAGGAGGAGTTTAATCCTTTTCTATTTATTTTTTTAAATGGAGATCTCATATATGCTTATTTTCTACTAGTTTATTTATATATACGTTAGTTCTATTTTTTTAAATACCACTAAGTCATTAGCCTCATGCGATTTGAATGTTAATTTGCATTGAAATTTTAATGTAAAAGTGTAAATTTATTTGTGTTTCGCGATTGGGCAATAGACAAAGCTATTTGCAAACGATCAGTTTCTTCTTTGTTGATGTGAGAATTCTGGTTCAATTCGTTGCCGGTTTAAAGTAGGACTGGAAGTAGGATTTTAGTTGGGCTGAAGCAATTTGTTTGGCCTAAATGAGGTAGAGCCCATGTCAGAGGCTGTCTTAGCGGTTTGAAATGGAACCATTTGTTCGGCCCAAATGAGGTAGAGCCCTCGTCACTTTGCTGAACTCGTTCGCAAGCACAGTTAAGTATGAGCATTCTTGATTTATTTATTACCAACTTTTTCCTTACCTAAAGTCTTTGACAAATTTTAAATTATTTCATTTCCACTTATGTTGTACAAGGGGTTTTTCTTTTTGTTGATCAATAAGTATAAGTATAACATCTGATAAAACCATGTTTTCACAGGAAGTAAACTTTAGAAACTATAGAGACAGTGACTGAAAGACAAATAAGGAATGCATTTTTTTTTTCATAATTAAGATTGAAAGGGAACAAAACTACTTGTTGATGTTGTGGCCTGCATAACGAGTTGTAATTACCTCTTCAATCACTGTTTGGACTAAGTTCTCCTACATTTAATTTATAATTTTGAAAGTCAATGTCCGTTTTGTGTATATGGGAACTTGTATGAAGTTAAAACTTTTTTTTTTTTTTCAGTTTCAAAAAAAAAAAAAAAAAAAAAAAGGGAAGATGGGTGGACATGGTTGGTGGTAAGAAGCATAATCTGATTCACTAATATGAACTGTATAAGATTCGAATGTTGTAAACCCAACTAATTAATTGTTCATTTATTTCATGTGAATTGTCATACACATTTTGACTTTATACCAGTCGTTCACACATCCCAACTATCATCCACCTAACAGTTCTTTGAAACTACAAATACCGAACTTTGATAAAGGTACAAATGGACGAACCAATGGTATTTTTTTTCTGTAATATCCGATCAATGATTTTGATAAAGAGATGATGGAAGCAGTGAAATCTTGAGGTGAAAATTGTGCTAAGCATGAAGCACATCATTTGAGAACATACACAGAACAAACTTAGCCCTTTTTATATATATAAAAAAAAAACTGTCATGTCTATTTATATATTTTTTTGGCACTACCGCTTTAATTACCACTATGTCTACTCCATATAAATTATAATCATATATGTTAAATAAATATAAAACCAACCGTAATTGACGCTAGAAATATCTCCTTTACACACATTTTTTCCTCACGGCTTTAAGAAAGTAACGTCACATAAATGTAGTAGGGTCGTATAACACAGAGTAGAAAATTGATCATGTGCTTTGTTATAAAATAAAACAAATCGTGGATCCACTTTTTGATTTAGATTTGGGCCTGAGTGACCAATCCATAGTTATTATCTACTGTCCCACCAACGTCAATAATAATAACAAAAAAATGAACTAATATGTCGTTAGAGCTAAAGGTAGTTGTTCGTTACAGCATGCGAATTAGCGCTAAAACCGTTACCAATATTATACTGTATACATAGTAACACAATGCAATGATTTTTGCGTCGTAAGCACAACCATGATTTCGTTTGCTTAATAATTTAAGAAGATATTCATATCCATTCCTACATTCAACTACACTCAAATCATTCATAGACTATACTCTATACATACATAAACAGTAGTAATGATATAAAAATGTATTAATTTTTGTTTTGTTCTCGTTGTATATAATCGAGGTAGCTTTTTTTTTGTGTGCAAATAATAGAAGTAACTAAAATATCAATATATAAAATGAAATATAAAATCTAAAAGCATAACACAGTGAAAAAAATATAAGGAAAAAAAAAACAGAGAAATTATATAAGATAAGAGATTGGGCAAGGGCAAGTCCATGTCTTAACGGATTCCTCTTCTCCTCCACAGAATCTGCGGGAAATTTCAACGGTCGAATCTCACAAATTTACGAAAACACCCCTGTAGGTCCCCTGACAATACACGCTGGATCGTGCGAAATCGACGCCTTAACTGTCGGTGGGTCCCAATCGAGTGGCATTTTACCGTAAATTAGAGCAACGGCACAGGGACTAAACCGGTAAAAACGTTAAATAAAAAGAGAAACCACAGAAAAGCAGTTTGCTTCTTACTCCTTTTTGGTCTATATAACAACAACACTGACATATCAATTGCACACAACATCACTCACTCACTCTCTCTCCCTCACTGTCGGCAAAACTAACTTCTTTCCTTTTCCCACTGTGACCGTTCCGGCGATATCTCCGGCAGAAATGCAGCTCCCTCCGGTCATCACCGTAGCCACACTCTGCATTGTCCTGCAGCTTCTGGTTAGCTCATCCGCTTCGGTGACGACCAATCGCCACGTGTCAAACGCTCATTGGCTTCCCGCAGTGGCCACCTGGTACGGAAGCGCCAACGGCGACGGAAGCGACGGTAATTACTACACATAATTAAGCTCACTTCACACTCTAGTGATATTAAAAAAAAAACACTCGAAATTGATAATGACATAACGATTAACGAAATTGTGTTAAAATTTAGGAGGAGCGTGTGGGTACGGTTCGTTGGTGGATGTGAAGCCGTTCCATGCGAGGGTTGGTGCGGTGAATCCTATTCTCTTCAAAAACGGCGAAGGATGCGGAGCTTGTTACAAGGTTCGGTGTTTGGACAGGAGCATCTGTTCCCGGAGAGCCGTCACCGTCATCATCACCGACGAGTGTCCCGGCTGCTCTAAAACCAACACTCATTTCGATCTCAGTGGCTCTGCCTTTGGCCGCTTGGCTATCTCCGGAGAGTCCGGCCCACTCCGCAACCGTGGCCTTATTCCCGTCATTTATCGCCGGTACATATTTTAATTGTTAATGTTTTTTTTTCTTCTTTCTCCTTATTAAATGTTTATACTCTTTCTTATAACTAACTCGTGACAGTGCACGAGCAGATAAAAAAATTGGAATTATATAGTTTTGTAGTAAATGTTAAGAGACTGTGAGAGACTTAAAAAAATGTTAGATTTTTGCAATGGCCAATGGTGTGAATGGATTAAACAAAAGAGGGAACTTTAACGGCGATCTCGTTTTTATGGTCCCTCCCATCTTTGACCGTTGACCATTTCATTACTGCTCTCTTTCTCACTGGTCTCCTTTTCTGCATAATAAAGGACGGCATGCAAATACAGAGGGAAGAACATAGCGTTCCATGTGAACGAAGGATCAACTGATTTTTGGCTGTCTCTACTCGTTGAGTTCGAAGACGGAGAGGGCGACATTGGCTCCATGCATATTCGCCAAGTACTACTCTCTTTTTTCCTTTATAACCAAACTCTTTTACCTCTTTAGACTTTAATCTCACTTTTTTCCTTATCACAATTCACAAAGTCACTTACTGAGTCACTTCCACTTCAAAGTCTACTTTTTTTCTTTATGCAATACTAAATTAAAAAGGTGGAAAAAAAGTCTTAGTGGAGTGAGCACAATCATGATTCTTTGTTGACCAACTAGAAATGCACGCTACTAAAGTCTACTAAAGTAACAATAAAAACAGAATCGGGTCTAAAGAATGTTCATGGTGCAGGCAGGAGCGAGGGAATGGTTAGAGATGAAGCACGTGTGGGGAGCCAACTGGTGCATCATCGGAGGACCCCTCAAAGGACCATTCTCCATCAAGCTCACCACTTTGTCCGCCGGTAGAACACTCTCCGCCACCGACGTCGTCCCCAGAAACTGGGCTCCCAAAGCAACTTACTCTTCCCGCCTCAACTTCTCCCCTGTCCTCTGAGAGACTAATATTCCTACTAGGCTGCTACTATTTGTTGTGTGATCTTCTTTTTTTTAAGAGAGAAATAGAGAGAGAGAGTGACTGCTGGCCGTAGGATGGCAATACTAAGTAAAGTTCATCCTAATCCAACAACGGCTCTTGCGTTCTCTCCTCTTCCTCCTTGTGTTGTGGATTTGTGTGTGTGTGTGGTTGTGTGGGTGAGTGTGTAGGAGAGTCACTGTAGCCATCTCCAAAGGGGAGATAGAGCTAGGATTAGTATTTGGTGGTGTCAAGTCTTTTGTTTTTATGTAATTCTTGTCACTTTCTCTTTCTATTATGGGACATTACATAATATATCATATGAGGATTTGTCACTTTTCTCTTTCTATTGTGGGATTATTACACAATGTACCATATGAAACTATTGTGGTACACTATTTAAAAAAAAATAAAAAAAATTGGAACTCTACCAGAACAGAGTATCTATTCTTATATATTTACCGTCTCTCAAACCCAAGAATATATAAAAATGTTACCAACATCCAGGTTTGTTCCAGCCGCTGCTGCATCTTTGAGTTTCTCCTACACTCCTTCTCCAAAAACTCTCTCAAAGTTGTTTGTAACTTTCACAACTTATGAGTATTTGTAGTATCGCTTTCTTGTGGCCAATGGCCATATCCTAACAGTATTAGAGCCGCCTGTAAAGATGATCTCATGAGAAATTTTCTTACAACGAATCTAGAAATGAAAGAACAACCAATTAAAGGATAGTTTCCTGATGTCTTTACCACTTTGATGTCTCTTCTTGTACAGCAAAAACAAAGCTATTGCTATTACAAGACCAAGCACTCCCAACGACGGATGCTACTAATGGAACAATATATGCACTCTTCTCTGTCTTCAAATCCAGAGTTTGACATGAAGCAGATACGCAGAGGTCCGAATTCTCTCCAACTCTTGCAACCAAAATGCAAGGGACATATTGAAAACATGAACCCAACAGGCAAAAACTACAGAGCGTCTGCAATGCGCAAAGCCCAAGATAAACATGAACCAACCTGAGCGAAAGCGATCCACTCCTTGATCTCTCTCTTAGTTTCATCGGAAGAGCACCCGTTAGCTTGTTTCCTTCCATGTTTCTGCAGACATGTACGTGAAATCAATACAAAAAGTCTCCAAGTAATAGATGTCATCGTTTATGTAATTTACAGCTTCAGTTAGTAAGATTTACAACTCCATCAAGTTATGTAGATTTCCGAGGAACTCAGGCCCTTTTCCTGGTAAACGGTCCTACAACTGTTGTTTGATAAGTCCCTGAAATGAAATTTTGGTTGTTTCAGTTAATAGATATCACAAAACTGTGTGTACAAGATATCCGAGATCAAATCGAAAAATACAGACAGTTTCTGTATCAATGTAAGACTCTAGTTTACTGATTACAAGTCTACATCAATGTAATAATAATAAAAGATTGATAATTAGAATGATATAAGTTACATAGTTTAAGCTTTTCTTCATTTTCAATTGAACGACTGTCTACATGTCTTGAAATGGAAAAGAGTGGTACACGTGAAGTAGTTTCACTTTTTGTGATAGGAGCAACACTCCTACAATACAGAGAGTTCTTGGAAAAGGAGGCTTTGTGTGTGTGTGTGTGTGTGGACGAAGGCCCTTTCAAAGTATTTAGAAAGATGAAGATTTTGGGCGAGCCAAAGGCCCAAAGTACAAGATAAGATACCGTTGGAAGAGCTAACGGAATTCTTAAAAAAAAAATGAAAATCAGTCAGAAACTTAAATCGGGAAACGTTAATCTTCGTAGAAGGAACCACAATTGCCGAAATCTAACCGATGGTTAAGCTCAGAGTTTGTAAGCCGTTTGAAATGTTTTAACGTTCTGGAAAATGCGATGGTATTAATGACATGATATCACACACTTACACTTACAGTGCACTTAGCAAATAATTAGTATAAAACTCACTAAAATAACCGGAAGCAAAGGGACAGGAAGCATTGATGGGGTGGTAATACCACGTGAAGGGGCACGTGATGAAGCAATAAGCGGCGTCCACGTCATCAAACCCTTCGTGGACTCTCTACTAGGCAGCACCATAATGAATTCCAAAATTATAATTTCAGTTTTGTTTTGGGCCTCTTTATCGTTTCATTTATCAGAAAAAACAAAACATATAGTAGGAGACAAATGCAAAATTTAACCCTACATACGAACAAAACCGCCAAAATACAATAGAGGTGGGGCCCAACATAAGGAGTCCATTATTGTAATAAGAAGCAGAGGTGACTCATCCTTGAGGATAGGACCCTCTAAGGCCGCCACTTGTTTATTTCTAATTCCTATACCACCTTACTCATCCATCCACTTTCCCATTTCTCCCGAGATTTTGCATCTCACACGAGAACCTCAACATCTCGTATCCCTTTCCAAAACCTGGATCCCACTGATCCATTGCACGGTATCGCTATTTTGAGATCTTTATCAAGTTACCATTTTGCCCTCACGCCTATATTCCTCTGCTATAAGTACACACCTCACCTCTCCTTCACCTTCGTACAAAATCTGCTAATCTTCGCTCCAGTTTCTTCCACAGAGCTTCAAATCACTCTAAAAGCTTCCATTTTCTAAAGATCTAACATCAAATTTTACTTAAAGAAAGATGAGTTATCTGAACAAGGTTTGGATGGCAGCATCGTTCGTGGCTGTTCAAGGAAACGCCGATCACGGCGTCAAGTTGAAATCCGGCCTCTGCTCCGCCCACCGCCTTCAACGCCGGCTTTCCTCCGATCTCCGCCCTCTTTCCGCCGCGGATGTCCCCGTCGACGGTATTCCTTCAGAAGAAAGACGGCGTATCTCGTCTTCCACTCCTGATGAATCTCTCCGCCAAGTCATGTACCTCAACTGCTGGAGTCAAGGCTAATTTAACTTCATCCATAGATGATGAGTGTGACTCGCTCACGGGCCCGCTGCGTCCTGCAAAGCGAGTTGATTTTCCTGATGATAACTGTATATAAGTTTGGTGTATTCTAGTCATCGATGTGAATAGTAGAAAATGTTCAAAAAGATCAAAAGCTAGCGTTCGTTTATGAGAACTCCGTTTCTGTATCAAAATCTTAAACATCATCGTCGCTCTTCCAATTTCTCATCAACGTTTCTCTGAAATCTTGATTGTGATTGCCACTAATTCAACTTTATCCACAGTGAATTTTGATTCTAAATTAAATAATAATCCCAAAAGATTCCAAAAAACATCATTATCCAACGGGACCAGACAAGTCAGTCACTCCATAAGTTATTAATTTTCTTATGGTTGTCATAATTGAATCAGGTCTATTATATATTCCAATGAATGTATCATTTATGCATTTTCGGTTATAAAGAAAAACCAAATACAATGCATTTTCATCTTTGATTAAACCGAGATTACATATTCGTTGGCCCAAAGTATACATATTCGTTGGCCCAAAGTATGTGAGGCGCTAAGGCCCAAATATTTAGTCTTGATATCTCTATTGGCCCATTTGTGGATTTATGTGGCATAACCTCTTGGCTTTGAATGAAATCGGAGCGTATTCGCTCCATCCAACGGTCCATATCTCACGACGCTCCCTAAATGGAGTAACGTCTCCTCTTCCAACGGTCAAATAATCCTCAAGAAATACTCCCATCTCTCCTCCTTCTTCATCCTCCTCAGAGCCAGATTCATCCCCAATCCCTAGTTTCCTGTAAAGTAAGATCGATTGCTCTGAATATGTCTTCAATTGAGCATACAGAGACGCTCAACGCTCCAAACCTTCAGATCTGGAACAACGCCGCCTTCGACGATGTAGATTCCAATGTTACTTCCGCCGTCGAAGCTTCTTGGTCTAACCTCCCTCCCGATTTCGTCAACGAATCGTTCGATTCTGATTGTAGCAAGGAGAATCAGATTCCGATTTCGGTTTCGTCCTCGGTCAAATCCTCTGTCTCGTTCACCACCGATCCGCTTCGCTCCGGTAATGCTCACGAAAAGCCACCGAAGCCCTGGTGTGAAGCTCCGTCAGCAAAACCTATGACCGCGAAGGCCAAATCCGGCGCAGATCAAAGGGATATTGATGCAGAGATCGAAGATGTAGAAAAGGAGATCGGCCGGTTATCGACCAGATTGGAATCGCTCCGATTAGAGAAGGCCGAGCAAACCGCAAGAAGTATCGCTATACGAGGAAGAATCGTTCCGGCGAAGTTCATGGAATCTCAGAAACAGACAGTCAAGTTCGCCGAAGATTCGCCTTTCCCAGGATCCAAATCAAGAACCACCACTCGTAGAGGCGTTAGTCTGGGGCCAGGGGAGATATTCTCTGCTGCAAAGAAATCGGAGACGGTGACTCCTCTTCAATCGGCTCAGAATCGACGCAAGTCTTGTTTTTTCAAGCTTCCTGGCATCGATGAAGGCAAAGTAGTGACAAAAGCTAGAGGGCGAACGAGTTTGAGCCTGAGCCCGAGAACTCGCAAAGCTGCATCGAAGATTACGGCGGCTCAGAAGCAAGCAGCGACGACGGGTGGGTCAAAGAGAGCAGTGAAGAAAGAGGAAGGCGTTTTATCATCAATCCAGCCTAAGAGACTCTTCAAAGAAGATGAAAAAAACGCTGCTTTGAGGAAACCATTGAAACCAGGAAGAATTGTGGCTAGCCGGTACAGCCAGATGAGCAAAACTACTCAGACTGCTGAGAAAGATGCAAGGAAACGTTCGTTGCCTGAGAACGAAGACAAAGAGAATCGGAGGTCGGAGAAGAGAAGAGCTTCTGATGAGAATTGCAAGAGCGAGGGGAGAGTGAAGAAGAGATGGGAGATTCCAAGTGAAGTTGATCTGTATAGCAGTGGTGTGAACGATGATGAGACCCCTATAGGCAAGGAGCTTCCTAGGATCAGAACACTTCGCCGTGCGGGAGGGAGCCCTCGTGATTCAGGTGCTGCCAAAAGAGTTGCGGAGTTAGAAAGCAAGAATCGCAATTTCACATTTTGCCAGCTTCTGAGATTTGAAGAATGATGATGGATCATCAGTTTATCAATTTGAGTAAAAAAAAAACACAACTCTTAGTTGTGGCTATTTGATTGTGAATTTTGGTTTGGTTTGGATTTGTTTCTTTTTGACTTGCATCTGGACTGTAGAGCAAGCAAGAATTGTCTGTGCATCTTTGTTGGGATGCTTTAATGTCTAATATACACACATTAAGATTGTGATTTTTGTTATCTTGTGTAAATACCATCTCCATGAGTAAATGATTCTCATAAAAAGGTTTTGCTTCGTCGTCATTCACAAACAAAGAAGGTTATATATATTATAATCACAAGGAGTCGCACAGCTTTGTGGGATTTACACCAAAAACAAACAACAAACAAACACATTACAAAATGCAGATTTGGCTCAGATACGGCTTGAATCTCTCCCGAATATGTATCTCCTTGTCCAGTCCGACACCACCAGAGCCCTCGTTCGCCAGCTAACTTGCTTGCTGCATTCACAAAACCATTTTGTGTTTCTCATCTTTTTCACCCTTAAAGTCTATAGATTTAGGAATATAAGAGTTTCTCAGTAATTTACCTGGCATAAACAGAGTACCAGAGCCACTGGGTGCTTCTTCCAGCTGAAACCCAGTCTCCAGGTAGCTCAGCAGCTGCTTGGTCCCCTCCTAATGGAGCAAATTGTCCAAAGTGTTTGTACCTGTCATCAAACAAAAAGAGGTTTCATCATCTCTATGTTCTAAGGAGTTATGCAAGGTCCTGAGTTTATTAGATTTTGACATACTGGAAAGGGCGAAACTGGTGATGCCCGCCACTTCTGAAGCGCTTAGGACCTTCAGGATGCTCTTTACAATGCTCCATCCTGTTGAAGCATTGCGCAAGATAAGAACCTTGCTGCGCAGCGACCTATACAATAACATACAAGAGACCATTGAGCCTGACTTCTTCAACAAAACCACATGGTTATATATTATGCATAGGTGAAGCCACTAAGTACCTGAGCTGTTGCAGGCAGGCTCTTCATCTGCGAGTCAACCCCAGCAAGAGCCGATTTGAATTCCTCTATGTCTACTTCTTTCTTTGCATTTCCTTCAGAATCTGCAAGCAGATCTTTAATATTCCTCATATGCTTGTTCTTCAGGTAGAGCTCAACCTGTGGGTACCTCACAAGGATATCATCAACCACGTCTTGTAACTCTTCCACTGTCAAGGTTCCTGAGTTGTCCACATCCGCAGCCTTAAATATATTTGCAATATCCTCCTAAAGCAACCACAAAACATATCAAGATTCAGCAAACAAAGTGCAACGATATCGATATTCTAACAATGGGTTTCACAGACCATGATTTTGCGTTGAGCTATGGAAGCACAGTCTCCAACTGCATAGACGTTCTCACATCCTTTCACCTGTAACCACTCGTTGGTTGCCAAGGCTCGTCTGCCTCCTTGGCCAACTTGCTCCATGAGGTCGCTGATTACTGGACGAGTTCCAACTCCAGTGGACCACAATATCAATCCATGAGGAAGACTCACGACTTGCCCACTTGATTTGATTTTCACAGTGATATCTTTGTCAGACACGGACATCACACGCATCCCCGTCTGAACATCAATACCATCTCGCAAGAACTTCTCTTCAGCAAATGAACTGATTCGTTCATCGAACCTACAACAACAACCAACCACCTAGTCACACTCCAAAAATAAAGTTTGGCCTGAAGCAAATGGTGACAAACTCCATAGTGCTTTTTTTTTTTTGTTTCACTTACGAATTCAAGATATGGTCTCCTGATTGAATGAGAGTGATTTTCACGAGTTCTTTGACTGAAGGGTATATTTTGGTGACATCCTCTTGGATAAAGTCATGTAGCTCAGCTGCAAACTCAACACCAGTAGGACCTCCTCCCACAATAACAAAATGAAGCTTTGTTCTTCTTTGTTCCTCAGTGAGACCCGGAAGGAGTGCCTTTTCAAAGCAATCAATCACTCCTCTACGAATCTTCTGTGCATCCTCTACTTCCTGCAGTGTTTTAACGAAATGAAGTAGGAAGCTGGGAGAAAATGGCAGTTCTCAAGTTAAAACCATATAAGCTTACCTTGAGAAAATGGCAGTTCTCAAGAACACCAGGAGTGCCAAATGTGTTAACTTGTGCTCCCACTGCTACGATCAAGTAGTCATATTCCAGAGAGAACTCTTGGCTTGCTTCAGGATCATCCTTGAAAACTGGCAGACATCGAACCTTGTTGTTAGCAGGATCGATCTTAACACAATCTGCTTCCCACAACTCAATTTCCCCAGTTTTCTGCCAACAACAAAGGCTATAAACTTAGCAGATGATGATGAATGATAATGCCTGCCTATAGAGTTTGAAAAAGAGAATCCAAAGATACCTTCTTTGTTATATTTCGAACAGACTCAACAATACTTCTAGCTTCAACAGTCCCACAAGTGACGCTGGGCAACAATGGCGTAAAGGCAAAGTAGTTCTGCGGAGAAACAACTTGAACATCGTAGGAAGATATGTCAAGATCTTTGAGGAAGCTTATACCAGCCCATCCAGTGCCAAGTACAACTACTTTCTTCTTCTTCCTCTGCTCCTCCTTTTTGTTAGCTTCTGCGTTAGAATCTGAGTACGCCACTAAACTCCCACCACTGCAAATGTGTAAGAATGCAACCAACTCTCAGCGAGTGAGCAAATTCATAAAGTTATCATCTTTGCCAAGGTACAAATAAAAAAAAATGGCGTCTAGAGCAGAAACAAGACCGTGCAACACAAACAAAAAAGGAAGTTTTCGTTCATCCGAAGTGAATAAGTTACAGAATAAGCTAATTAGAAACAGAAGGGAGAAGAACGGATAGAATGAAAAGATATGAAATAAAAAAAAAAAGGCGCTAAAAGGTCAAATAGTTGAGAAAACGAAACCATAAAGCAGAAAAGGTCCGAACTTTTTGGAAACCGGTGAAAAAAATTGATAATCGGAGGTAGTGAAACCTGAGAGTGCCGAGGAGAAAGAGCTTAGATGCAAGTGGCGCAGATCGAGAGCTTCTTCCGAGAGAGGAAAGAATTGTCATTTTTTTGTTTTTTTGAAATTGATTGATTCTTTTTGGGAGTACAAAGTTCAATAAGATCTAAGAAATATCGCTGACAAAGTTCAAGTGGTATTTAGCTTTATGTTCGACTTTTGTTGTGGATCAGATACAACACAAGCCAGTGTAGTATTTTTTTTTAAAAAAAGACGCAAGTTAGTGTATACAGATGTATTAGATGCAAGTCAATTTTTAATTTTTATCTGCTGATTGATCATTTCTAAGTTATTAATTGCTAGCATGTGCCATGAGGAACTCGATACTAATTTAAAAATCTATTCCCTCAATAATTTGGTGTTTAGGAGGTCCAGGACAAGAAGAACTTGACATTAACCATGCGCTGAACAATGCTCTCAAGAAAAATTTTTATTAAGAAATTCGGAGACTTGCGGATTCATTGAGCTGATAAATACATACTCCATCAACACCTGGCTAATTGTAAAAAGGATACAAATTCTTGTTTTGTTTATATATCAACACACATTTCCGAATCGCAACTGTTCAATTAAATCCAAACTCCAATAGTCTCTGTTCTTTTGTTAACTTAGCCAACGACCCATTTCATATCAGATAACACATCTTTTTCAGCCAGCTTTGGGACTTGCCACAATTATATATGATTCACGGGTTCCATATGATTATATTAAAAACTCGCCAATCTCAAACAAACCAGATCTGGATCCAGAAAAAAATAAATTAAAACAAAGAAGATGATTGAGAAAACGAGTGGTTTAGCGGATAATTTTAGAGGCTAAACTATGATAACTAAGTATGCCTCCACGTTTAAGCACCGCGATTCAATATTTGCCTCGATGACTAACATTATTTTCGTTGAGCATTCTCGAAAACAAGCTAAAGGTGAGTGAGGCAAAAAGAAAAACACATCAATTTTCCAAACGCATCCAAAATCAAAAACCGAAATCAAAATCGAGCAAAACGAAACAAGCAAAGGAAAAACGGAAGTGATATGAAGAGAGAGGAAGAGTGACTGCATTCCATTATATATAGGGTACTTGCAATGCCCTAATTAGCTGTAAATTGAAATGGCCAAAACCTAATTGGGCTTTAAGATCCAAAACGCAGAAGTTTAAAATTATTGGGCCGTAAGATTCAAAAACGCTGAAGTTTTTTTTCTGGTGTAATCAGAAATTATCTTAACAAATGGATGAAGGCTACAAGTACAACAACAACATAAACTAGTTTTGCTGGTCTCTAAAAAATCCTTTGTTTCAGAAAAATACAAGTAGAGGAATCAAACAATCATCCAAGTCAAGTGCCTGTATCCAGCCCATTTTGCAGCAAGCCTGACACCAATGGCCAATGCTGCAGCCAACAACGGCACTGGTGGTGCCTTCCTTAAGTCCTGCCTCTCTTCTTCTTCCTCAGAGGTCTTAGTTGAATTGTGATACATGGCTAGAGCTAGATACCCTGTGATGGCCACCACTCTCACCCATGGCTCACCTACTCCTGCAAGAACAGCTGCAGAAGGAAGCGCCGAGGTCACATCGTCTCTCTTCTTTATCAACCGCGAGTATCCATACATACCCACCAGGACGGTCCAGAAGAACGGCTCTGAGATGTAACTCTGCACAGCTGCATACCCTAAGAGACCCGCGAGAGTTACCACATACGGCTGCTTGCTGATCGAGTTCGGTGCGACCGCTTCTCCTATGGCAAGCACAGAGGATGCAAGTAAGATCACCGTCGTTAGCTCTCTCACAGGTGTGTAGGCCACTATCCCGGAGTAGAAAGCTCGGGCACTGTAGAGTGCAGTCTCTACGAGGGCGATGAGAGAAGTGATGGGATCGCCTATAAAGTGGAAGACGAGGGCCAATGCGAACTTGGAAAGGTCTCCAAGAAACCCAACGATGGCGAAAACCGCTTTACGCCAGTTTGATAGCTCAAACAAGACTGCTCTCCACGCATACACGAGGAACCCTAGCGCTGCAAACAGATCATTCATGAGGTTACTTCATCTCTCCAAAGATCATTCATGCTAACAGATAGATAAATTCCTCTAATATGCACAACTGAAACAACCTCAAACCACAAAAACCACTAGTTCAAATGCTAAAATGGTTCACAATCTCGTAGTGGAAACTGAAAACAAATCAAATTCTAAGTCAGAAACGCCATAGTAATTGAGAGAAGATATAACATCGATACTGAATTAGAAAATCCAGAAATTTCATCTTTGCTGTTCATTTTCCGAATCGCGATCTTCTCAATCAAGCAAGTAAGACCTAAATTACAGATCCGAGGCAGCTCAAAACTAAGCCAAAAAGCCAAAACGGAACAACGTACCGACGAACCAGGGCCATCTAATAGGAATGTCCGGGGCTTCTTTGGTTAAGTATCTGAATCTATCAGGCATCGTGCTATCTCGCCTCGCAAACCGCTCCGCATCATCCTCAATTGCACCTTTCGCTGCGTCTTCCTTCTCGCACCTCGTCGAAACACTAAGTCTTCTTACACTCGGGAGCTTACTCGGAACCCCAAACCCACGGAGGCTCGCGCCGGCGTTTTTAAACTGCGGCGGAGCGAGTGTCAGCTTATCGCCGTTAGGGTGAGAAAGACGTGACACGGGAGAGAAACGGATAGAAGGAATTCGAGAATTACGGCAGAAGGAAGAGGAAGAAAGAGATGAAGAGAGAGCGAAGAGCGCCATCGTCGTCCTGCACTTGTAAGCTTTTCCCAAGAAACAACAAGTAGCTTTGGCGACAGTTAACATTGGGCCTTATTATATTATAAGAAATAGGGCTTTCAATATTACGGCCCATTAAGAAACGAGTATAAAGTGTTGCCCTACTACTTCCAGTCCCCGCCGGAACCCAAGTAGCAACTAGCAGCAACAATGGCGGACGTTGTTCAGTACCGCCTCGAGCGGATGGTCGACGAGATTCATGATCTTAAACGTAGAGGAATCTTCACTGGTGCAGAGAATGCAGAGATCGTTAAGAAGCGCCGTAGGTTCGAGTACAAACTTAAACGTCCGAGCCCACTCAAAAAGGATTTTTTAGCCTATATTGACCACGAGTCTACGCTTGATGAGCTCCGCAACCTGCGGAGGAAGGCGGCGTCGCGTCAGGCTGGTAAGAAGGAGAAATCGGTTTCTGCTTACGCCGACGTGCGCAAGATTTTGGAGGTTTATAGGCATGCGATCAGGAGGAATAAAGGGGATCTCAATCTGTGGTTGAGGTATCTCGACTTCTGCAAACAGAAGAGCCATCGAAGAATGAAGGAGGTAAAGTCTTTCGAATTTTGATCCTTTTTCACTACTTTGTTGGGTAATGTTTCGATGTTTCTAAATGACTTATCTTTATCTTCTACATGTGTAGGTCTTGGCTCAAGTTGTAAGATTTCATTCTAAAAAAGCGGAATTGTGGACATATGCTGCGGAATGGGAATATGATCGAAACTTGAATGTTGCCTCAGCTCGTGCTCTTATGCAGAGTGGCTTGAGAGTGTGTTCAAGCTCTGAAGACTTGTGGGTGGATTATCTGCTGATGGAACTCACTTACCTTAATAAGCTGAAAGCTCGTAGAGTTGCCCTTGGTGAAGATAAAGGAAGCTTGGTGCGTGACGATAAAACCGTCGAGGATGAGAAATGGAAAGACGAGAATAAAGAGCTGTTTATGTCGCTGGATGAGGGAGAAGAGAATGACGACTCTAATGTTGAAGATGCGAGTGAGAAAGTTGATGTCTTTCGGGAAACGGGATCTAATGTTCTTCAGGCCATTTATAACGAAGCCGTCGAGGCAATTCCATCTAGTTTCGGCTTGAGGAAGCGTTTTTTGGAGATTCTAGAGGCAACGGATTTGACCCATTCAGATGAATTCGCAATACTATTCTAAGTGACCTGAAGCGTGATTTTTCCAAGGAACCTGAATACTGGAATTGGCTTGCTAGACATGAAATGAGTGGTTGTGATAGCAAAGAGACGGGCTTAGAGTTTGCGAGTCCTCAAGTGCAAAAGGCTATTCAGGTAAAACTCGCCTTGAGTTATGTGTATGCTTATGAGCAGGGGGTACATATTCATTAGATGCTTAAGTCTGTTAAAGAAACTGGTAGCCATATCTGTCCTGCACTTCCTGAAAATGGATTATGCGAATCGAATCTTAGTCTTGATTTCTTCCTCTCACTCTTTTTTTGTTTGAATCTGATGTCAAATTCCTTAGTTATCTTACACTAGCACACTCTGTTTAGGCTTACTAATAGAAAGTACAATATATGATTGGTTTTAAATCTTGACTCCTCAATGCAGGTTTTTGAAGAGGGCGTACAAACTGTTACTACAAGCTCTATGTTTGAGATGTATATAAAGTTTTTGATGGAAGTTACTGAACGGTCTAATGGCGACGATGATGAAATTTCCCCTTCCTCTGATCCGACTGGAGACTGCATTTCACATCTCTTAAATGTGTTCCAAATGGCTGATGAAACCGAGTGTTTGACTGAGGAGCTTGCTAATGAATACGTTTCTCTGTACTTGAAACTGGGAAAAACCCATGAAGCTCAGAAGGTAGCAGAAAAGCTTTGCTCTGGAAAGTTTGCGGGATCAACTAAGTTATGGCTTTCAAGAGTTTCCATTGAAACAACAAGATCACTTTCAACGAACTCTACTCCTAGTAAAGCAGATTTGAAGTCCGTCTTTGAGCTCCTTTCAAATGCTGTGGCGAAAGTACCGATCTCAGAATCTGAGAGCTTGTGGCTTATTGTATGTGATTAATAGAGTTTCGTTGACGATAACCTATTTTGTTGGTATATAAGACTCACCAACTAACAAAAATGCTTAATTGTATCACAGGCTTTTAAGTTGTTTGCTCACCAGAAGAATTATTTGGACAAGCTTGTGGAGTTGTCCATTTTAACGGTAGTCAAAGGCAATGATGGGAAGGACCATGCGTTTTCTCTCGCTTCCGCAGTGGTGAAACTTGTTCTTGAAACAAAAGGGAGCCGTAGTGCAAGGGAGATATACAAGAGGTGAATCACTACTCCTTTCCCTTGAGTCAACCACACATGTCACCTTATTCTCACCACTGTTTGCCCTAAAATTCGCAGGTTCTTGGCTCTTCCCCGTCCAGGTCTTGCTCTATACAAATATTGCATTGAGATAGAGACCAACCTTGCGTCACTAGGTGATAAAGACGGTCTCAGAAATGCCCGGAAGCTTTACGATTCTGCTGTTGCAAGTTACAGTCAAGACGTGGACTTGTGGAAGGCTTACTTCTCGTTGGAGACAAAGGTAAAGAGGGTTCTTAACATCATGGCTTAATACTCAAACTAGGAACTTAATGTCAAGAACTCTAATGGGCCATGCTTTTCTGGTGTTTATTGCAGATGGGAACGTCAGAGACGTCCAATGGTGTGTATTGGCGCGCGAAAAAGACTCTGAAGGAATTTGCAGATTTCATAGTTGGATTTGATTGAATGTAGTTTTGATATATATAAGAGGAAACACAATTTTTGCCTTGCATTTGTGTTATTTAATCCCTAAGAAATGAATATTGGTTTCAAAAGGCCAATCAGTTGATTCAACACTTCAACACATTTTTGATACAAAACATGTTGAAGCCCCCAAAGGCCTCTGGTTTCACATGCTTACGCTTTATAAAGACTAAGCCTTTTTGATGAATTGCTTTAATTGTTTCAATTAAAACTTTCTTCATATCCTTTTATCTCGTGACGACTTGGGTCTTTGTGTTTAAAACACACAACCTTTTGTTAGTTGATAATAAAAGTATGCATCATTTTCGGGATTCCATTGAAACACTGTTCTAATGAGGTCAGGGCTTTTTCGGTAATTAGAGAAAAATGTCTCTTTCCATGTCCCATCTCCTAAATCACAGTTCACAGACCGTAGTAGCTGTGCCATTGACATCTTCATCTCCCAAAGCTGTCAACAGCTAATAAATTAAAACGAACAAAACTTTTTACATAATAATACTTTTTATTTTTATTATCTCTGCCACTAGCCAAAAATCAAGACATGCACTAACTTGAGGCATGCTCGTCTGCATGTTCTTCTAGGAAATCCACTTTTTTTTAAAAAAAAATAACTTTTTCTTAATGAATTGCTCCATTCAACGACCCATAAGATAAAGATAACAGTTTAGAATTTTAGAATAAAGTTTTAAATGCAACCAAAGTCTCAAAAGCCATTTTTTCCTTAGTAAAAACTCCATTTGGTTTCTTGATCAGGCTTTGACATTGCTGGTGAAGTCGACACAAGTCTGGCAAGTACAATCAGAGAATCGGCATAACTCGCAGCCAAAGCAGACGCAGGAAGTGCAGCCTTTGCAAGTTGGTGAGCGTGTGCAGCCTCTGTATACTTTCCTGCTCCCTCTCTCTTCCTCTCCCTCACATGTTATCCTGCAACCACACCAATTAATTATACTTATTACCAAATCATTCGCATAATCTTCCTCGACTCACTAAACACAAGGACAGGTAAAAGTAACCTACTTGTCGTATGGAAAGTCTGAGCATTTCCAGTTAGGATCCGCCATTGCGTTGTGGTGCAAGAGGCATTCGTCTCTGCTCCTTAGCCTGAACCTCCTCTCTTTGCCACATTCGTTGCACCCAACAAACTCATCCCTGTGGAAAACCTTGGCACCTTGTGATCTGTTTGATCTACTGCATTTCTTTGATGCTTCGTTGTAGTATTTGAGTAGAACTGTCTTTGACAATGGAACCTTTTCTCCTCCAATGATAACCCAAACATTGTTTTTCCATTTCCTAGCCGTTTCTCTCCCTGAATGCTTCTCGAATGCCGCTGGTGTTAACTTGTCTACAGTAAAAAAAACTGTTCAAGTCAGATCACTTTTAACAAAGAGAGCTCCAAAATGTGCATCTATACCCAAAAAGCTAGAGATGGTATTGGTAGGTAGCAACAAGATGCCAAAAGAAAGAGGATGCATCAAACTTTGATATCAAGGTGATGAATATCATATGTCAATAAAGCTACAACTTTTGCCACAAACGAAAAGACCCATTATCATTACAGATACAGACAGCCTAGACACTACAATGAAGCAAATCAAGTCTCTTTCTTTTTCTGCAAGGATGGATCTAGCATACAGTAAGAGTCATTTGACTGGTGGAGGTGATTCAACAATATCCACACACATGGTAAGCTAGTTTCCCAGGTAAGAAAGAAAAGAGCAGTCTTTTTTCATAAGTTGGAATCATGCTAAAGACCTTAGCTTTTACTAGTCTACGCAGAGACCAACCAGTATAGCAAAGGATCCGTGTGAAAACAAAGGCCACACCAACAAAAGAAACAACATACATACATCAAAACCCTCGTTGCCATAAATAGTACTAGAAGATATCTCGAGAGTTGAGCAAGAGAAAGCGAGAGGCATCAACGTTCAATCTCACACACATTCACATGTGACATGCACACAAATCAAAACCCATTTTGCCAAAACCATCAGAAAGACGTGAGAAAGAGACTGGAGTGAGAGGGAAGAGAGAGGAAGGAAGAGAGACCTTCGTCGCAGCCGGGCGTGCATTCGCAGGTGATTTCGAGATCGCCGGTGGGGAAAACCCTAAGTCTGGCGACGGCGTCGCCGTATCGGTGGCTGGTACAACCACACATCACCTCAACGTAATCGCCACCAACATTGACCCCACTCATCTCCTGGAGCTCCTCTTGCTTGAACAGCATCGACCCACATTGCATCTCTTCCACATTCGCCATCTCACTCTCTCACACACACACACACAGTCAGACTCTCCGGATTCCCTTTCGTTATAGCGTATGAGAAAAAGGAGAGAGAGAAGAGGAAAGGGTGAGATGAGAGAAGGGAAGGCCTCGTTTTGGGGTATAAAAGGAAAGCCCTAAAGGAGCACGCATCTCAAAAGCGGAGAGAGAGATCTGATATCAAAGCAAAAGCTTAATAAGGGGGCTTTTCGGGAGAAGAGAGAGAGAGAGAAATAAGTAGAAAGAGAGCGCCTTTGGCCTTTGGATTTTTTGGGGTTAAGAAACTCTTATACAAAAGAAGGGAGTTTTTATTTTGGCGGATGCGAAATTAGCTGGCCAACAAAACAAAACTCGTGGGGGCATGGGACTCTGAATTTATAGATATTATTATTATACTGTTACCAATATATATATATAACCTACATAACAGTGGTAGAGATTTGAGAGAGAGAGAGAGAATGTCTATGGTCGATAAGAGCAGAACAGAGGCGGTGGGTGAGAGATCTTTATTTGACAAGACACGAGAGAGAAGACGAAGAAGGAAGAAGAAGTTGAGGAATAGGGTGTGTCAAGTGTTGTTTCAGGTCCTCTTTGATTTTATAAATGTCGTCATAACTTCTTCCTTTTTTTATTTCTTTGTACTTCTTCTTCACACTCTTGATTTGAAGTCCTGTTTTTTACTCTCTCTTCCTTCTCTTGGAGGTTCTGCAAATTCTTGGGCTCTTCCCTTTCCTCAGGAATCAGGATTCATCGGTTACCGAGTCATTTAACCCCCAATGGCTTTTTTTATTTTGTTTAATAAAAGAGTAGTAAATGTATAAAGTCTGGTTCTTTAATTGAAAAACAAGTTAATCACACTACTTGTCTAGTAGTATAAACAACTACTATTAACCAAGTACATGACGACGACGTCATTGACATCTATGTCTGTTAGGTATTCTGCAATGCGCTCAAACCCCAATGTCATTTCTATTATATCTACTATATGTATTTTATTTTTTTGTGTTCGAGGAACTCATTATTTAAAACATAATAGGAGGAGAGAGTAGTGTTGTCTATAGACCATATGAATCATCATAAATGGTATATATGCTGTTGTTATTTTAAGTATATAGTAATAGATAAATGGAGATGGAAGAAAAAAATAGTATCATCTGCAGAAATAACATTCGGATATGTAGTATATTGAATATCCGGGTTCAAAGACGACCCATATTGTTAGAAAAAAATAATTTGGAAGAAAATGAAATAATAATGATGTACTCCTAACAAAAGTTGAATTTGATTAATACAGATTGAAAAACAATGCCTTTTTTTTATAAGATGTTTTAGAAAAATTTTCCTTGGGTTTGGTTGTGTTCAAACTAATGGGCTTAGAATTTACAAGTTTATGAGCCCTTGGCCCTTATTGTTTGCAGCAGCAACTAGGACAAAGTTAGGGCCTTCCTATATTCAAGTTTTGACAACAGTGAGGTGATAAATCTTTGACTGTACCAGTACCAGAAGGATGATGATGATAAGCACGAGCATACTTTCACATGGAACCATGTGTCACGTTGCCTACATTACATATGATGCCATATCTTCTATGAAAACTTTAGTTCAGCATTTTACTTATTTTCGTTACATTTATCTTTTTTTTTATCCTCCTCCAAAGCAATCGGCAACGTCAATGTTTGTGTGTGGAAATTGTCACAGCGATGATGGGTCACTATCAGGCGAGATATTGTCCTATCGGCATGAAATTTTGAATTTTTTTGAAGATCTTTTTACAAATAACAAAAGCACTGGCGTTTTTTGTCTTGAGTCTTAAAAGTATCAATGAGACAAAATATAGGATTCGTCAGAGCATATTAAAATATTATTGCGGCTTTAAAATTTAAAAGCATATATGGAGCCCAGAGTGGTATTATGGGCTATCATAAAATTAGGCCCATTAAGGACAACACGTATATCTCGAGAGAAAAGAGAGAGAGAGAAAGAGTGTGAAAGCATCAGTCATCAGAAAGTAGAGAAAGAAATGGGATGCTGCTTGAGCGCCGGGAAAGTCACAGCTCCGCCTGTCGCCGCCGCAAAGGATCCTCCACCCATTGAAGAAGAAACCGTGAAGGAGGTCGTCGTCCAGTCGGTCTCCGTCTCGGTCCCTGTCTCAGTCCCTGTCCCTGTCCCCGACCCCGACCCTGACACCCCAATCTCCGTCCCGGACATCGTTACCTCCGCACCTGCAGTCTCAGATTCAGAAGCTCACCGCCCTCCTCCTTCTCCCTCAATCCCTTCTCCTGAGATCTCTCACAACAAGTCCGACATTGGCAGCGTCTCTCAGAGCTTCTCCACCGCCACTACTGCTACTGCTGCTTCCATCCTTGAAGACGACGCTCTCAGCAAACCCCACCGACCTCTCCCTCCTCCTTCTACCTCTCGCCGCAACATGTCTGACAGAATCTCCAGATCTCCCGGAGGACGACACTCGCCTCAGGGGAAGCTCCGTCCCAGGTTAGTCCGAGAGAGACAATCTAATCAACCAAACCCTACCCACAACCGTCGAAATGTGGATTCGGGGCCTCTTCCACGGAGCGGGTTACTTGAAGGTTCGAGGCGTCGCTCACGGTCTCCGGCCACTCGTGTCCCGACTTCCGCAAGAAGAAGCCCCATGAAGAAGCGAGAAGCAGCTCCGGCGGAGAAAGACGAAGCAGAGGTGAAGGTGAAGAAGGAAGAGGAGAAAGTAGCTGTTGAGGTAAAGAAGGAAGAAGATGTAGCCGTTGGGGACCCTGAAGTGTCTATGGAGTGCTTCATCTTTCTCTGATCTCTCTCTCTCAACTTTCATTAAGACATTAACTGATGTTTGATTGATTGATTTTGATTTCCCACTTTTTTGATTTGTAAATTGCGGAATGTGTACAATATAACAAAATCTTTTGCGGATCTTCGTTTTTTGTTTTGCTCATTGACTTTTTAAAGTTAAAAGCAAAGCCTTACGCACAACGCTTTCACAAATTCCATAGCTTTATTCATGGAGATTGCTGCTCTTTTGCTCCGTGATGAGCAGGCAGACAGAGAACACTGTTCTGTTATAACAACACTCGACTACATAAAAAGATTTGTCTCTCTTTTTCATAAAGAGAAATAAAAGTCCTAAATGGTAAAAAACTGAAATCAAAGAGGTATTAGAATGATCTTGATGGTGGTAAGGGAGGACATGGCTGAGCAATGAAGGTTGGAACCTTTTCTCCAGGCATCAACACTGATATTTCCCTCTCACACACACCAATCTACATACATGCAACACACAACAAGATTATGTTATGTATGACATCATCCCACAAAAGACAATTAGTGTGTAGACAAATAAGTGAAAGACGACTCAACATATCTTTATTTTTCTACTAAGCGTATATATTCAAACCTCGTTGCATGAATCAAGGGTTTTTGTATCCCAATAAAATATATAATCCTGTTTGGGACTTTGCAACATTTGGAAGATACGACAAAAAAGCTTCCTCAAGCATAAGCTTGGTAAATCGTGATCTACATTATAGACAAATTAAGCAAGCCTGACTATAGAATTTAAAAAAAAAGAGGTTTGTTTCATCTCAATTCTCAAACTCATCACCCAACAAAATAAGCATTGTTATGATCAACCAAAAGAATCAGCCTTGTTTTTTTTTATGTTCAATCGATCAAGTAAAGACTGGAAGTTGAAATCCGCAAACCAAATAAGTAAACTGTAAAAAGCAAACAGAGAGAAGAAGTGTTAAAACCTTAGGTGAAGCAAAAGGAGGAAGCTTTGGATCGAAGGGTGTTGATGGAGTTGCTCGAATGAACATGAGCCTCTCAAAAAGAGCCAGTAAGAGGAAGATGAAGATTAAAACTGCGGTCGCCACCAAACAAAACGGCACTGCATTCACCGAGCTCTCAAAATGTCCTTCTCCTTCTTCCCCCGCTGCTAAAGGACCAGCCGTTCCCCACCGATGATGTTCTTCGCTGCTCATTTGTAACTGGAAGCCAGGAGGAGACACTGGTGAACACTGAAACAGAGTGAGAGGAAGAAGATAGTTTAAACGCCAATTCTCAGTTTTAGATGACTAGTCAATATCACATCCGGATTTTGGGCTTCCAAATTCCTAGAAGTCTCCTCTTTGTTTGGGCTAAAGATATGGGCCTATTTGTTGTGAAATAGAACAAATGGGCCTATTTGTTGTGAATTAGAACAAATGGGCCTCCCTTGCTTTGGTTAATGGTGGTAACTCATGAAAACCACAAGCCATACAAATCGATCGAAGAAGACGAGCAATCTCGGAATCCCGCGAATTCTTTGAAGACTTTCTCGGCGCAATTAGTCAGGACGACAATGGCGAAGATTGAGCCCATCGACGAGGAGGAAGAGGAGAAGACGAAGACGAAGATGAAGATGAAAAACAGAAACCATGGATCCACAAGCTTCTTCGTGTTCGTTGATTACCTTTTCCTTTTTATATTTTTCTGCTTCCTTTGTTTCATCATCTTCAAGGTATTGGGTGCGTGAATGTACATCGCTTTGGTCTGTTGATGCCGATCGTTTTATTCTTACATTGTATTTGCATATTCGACAATCAAATTTTGTGGCGGATTGCAAGTTTTTGCATTTGACGCTTTGGTCTTAATAGACACAGGATCTTCAATTCGAAAAGGCTTTTCCAGGACATTCCTCTGTCCGTAATCGCATTGTCTTATGAGTTTCAAAAGTTTGCATTTTTAATAACGTGCAAGAATGAGTTTCCGGATTTTGTCCTGTTTTGCAGTATTACATGTCATTGGTTTTGGTAATGCTAAAATGCTAATGCTGAGATGACTTTGATTTGTTAAAAAGATATATTTTTCTAGGAAGAATAATGCAATTAGAGAGACTGTAACATTATATGAGGAGATTCCGGGATGGCCATCATCATTCTTTGTTGTTATTTACTTGGGTTGAAAGTGTGGAAAGTAGAGAAATGCATAGGTATCTGATTTAGTAGAGAGAGAGGGAGGGAGAAAGATCACAAAGATATGACTCTGATGGAATGAGTAGTAAGACCTTTTGTGTAAAAACCAAAAACTGAAGAGACCCTTTTGCATCTAGCAAGACTTGTTGTGTAAAAAAACAGAAGAAGGTATCTGATCATACCAAAAACTGAAGAGACCCTTTTGCATCTAGCAAGGGTTGAAGAAAAGTCATGGTTGTGGCACTGGTGGAACTTGATCTTCTCCAGAGCAGGGACTGTGAGCTTCATATCCAGGGTTTGGTGTTAACTGATTAGGGATTCCATAAGAAGTGATCGGTGCAGCAGCGAGTGGATCTTTGTAAGGATGGAATTGCGTCTTAGGGTTGGGGAGGCAGCAAGAACCTTCCTAGTCTAGGTATGAGACCAGATGGTTGAGGCACAATGTTCACAAGAACGTCTGAGTGTTTTTTTATCTCAGTGGAAGTGGAGGAGTTTGGAATGTAACGCATCCCTCTCACTTCCTCTGCACATCCAAGAAACAAGGTTACCAGAATCATTGTGGATGTCAGTGTTTGCAGAGGAGAAGCCATTGTTGTGTTAAGAGGAGGATAAAGTTGGGAGCTTGAATGTTTTGTGTTTGTGGAGGGAATGAGGAAGAGAGAGTTTAATGTACAGGATGAAATGGTTCAAGCTGATTATGGGTACATTTACAAGTGCTTTATTTGCTAAAGAGAGCCTTTAAAGTCTGGTGGCATCTTTATATTGGCGGTGGGTTAAGTGCATGACCAGTCCCCCCATAAGCCACATATGCCTCCAATTGATTTTCGGCTGTGCAAGACCAAATTTTGATGGGCTTTTTGATCAGTACAATCTCTTTCTTTCACACAAAAATACGAAGGAGTCAGCGAGATGACGGCTTCCACTTTGAAGGAGTTTGATCTCTCTCTTTCTTTTGTTCTTTAAAAGGTTGTAAAAGAAGGAAATGGTAATGCAACAACCTTCAATTTTGACCCTTTCTATAGTTTTCCTTCTCGATCAGTCTTCTTTTATAAAGTTTATTTATTACATTTTACGTGACTAGCGGCGGTATAAATAACAGTTGTTGATAGAATTCTAAAGAAACCCACCAAAGTCAAAGTCTTTGCCATTTTTTTTTATCACCCCCCATGTCGTACTATTTGATTAGGTCAAACTGTGTTGTTGATATACAACATTGCCGACTGATCTTGTCACACATGTCGTTTTATGTTAAATGATTCTTTTGCACCATATGAATAACAAAAAAAACAAAGTATCATCGAGTGATTGAATCAGTTTCTTCTTCTTCTTTTTTTAAGTAAAAATGTGATCGATACGGTTTCTCTTATGAATGTATCCAAAAGAAGGAGACTTTTGGCTTTAGGAAGATGTCATCTCAGGCATAAAAAGCTCTGCTTTTCTTGTCTTCTTCACGGACTATATGCAAAGAAAAAAGGCAGTTACACAAACAAACTCAGTCTTATCCGACCCAGTGAGAGAAACCAAAATGTATGTTTAAATAAAATGAAAAATAAATGGAGAAGGTGGAGAGTTGTGAGAAGGACAGGTAAATCTACCAAAATATCCTTCCTGCGTCAGAAGAATGGGTCACATGGAGAGTTTGGTTATGACAACTTATATAAACCTATTTCTCAACTCTCTGTTACCTCAACGTAGATTATACATTTTTACTTGGTTTTCCCAAATTTTTCTTCTCTCTCAAAACAGAGTATTCGTTGGAGTTTTTCTTTAAAAGAAAAAGTTGTCCCTTTTTTCATTTCAGTCTTTCTCGGGATCTATCGCATTGCCGTGAAAGTCTCAAATGCTCATCCAATAAAGCAAATACAAACAAACAAAAAGGTGAACACTTTTGTCCGAAAATTGAGCTCTTTGAGACGTGAGAGCGTTTACGAAACGCGTAATCCCGCAAAAAAAAAAAAAAACTCTCTCCTTCTTCCTCTCTGTGTCAAGTTTGTTTCTTTTTTTTTTCTTTGGACAATGACGTTTTTTGAAAATGAATCCAACCTGGACCGATTCATCCGCTGCACTACACCAATCGTCCCTGCCTATTCCCTCCCAAAGGTTTCACGTTAATTACGTTCTAGGGTCATCTTCTTCCTTAAAAAAAACAACTTCTCTGTATTTACGATCTGAAAATTTTGCTGATGAACAGACACAGATCAAGAACCTCAATCGTCTATGGTACCCGTTGGAGAGCAAGACCGTCGAGTATTTCAGGTTGAGCGATTTCTGGGATTGTTACGACGAGTGGAGCGCGTACGGTGCAGGTGTTCCCATCTTGTCCGAAACCGGCGAGACATTGGTCCAGTACTACGTTCCTTACCTCTCTGCGATACAGATTTTCACCTCTCATTCTGCTCTCAATGCTCTAAGGTAATACATTTGTTTAGACTATCTTTCAGAAACAGAGAAACGCGTCTTTGTAATCTAAGATGTTGATGATGATGATTGAGGGAGGAGACGGAATCTGGAGATTCAGGGAGCGAGTCGTGTAGCGATGAGTGGAGATGGGAAGGCTGTTCTTCTTCAGAGGAAGGATTTGATCATCAAGAACCTCTCGACCGCCTCGGTTACTCTTACTTGCAGTATTTCGAGAGATGTACTCCTTATTCTCGAGTCCCTCTCATGGATAAGGTTTGCTTTTTTTTTTCCTCCAAAGCTAGTGACACGATGTTGATTGTTGAAACATTTTCTATGCTTATGATTTACATAAGCCTCTGTCTAACTTTCAGATCAGGGGTTTGGGAGAAAGACACGCGGGATTGAGATCTTTGAGAAGTGTTGATCTGTCTCCTGCGAGTTGGATGGCTGTTGCTTGGTACCCAATCTATCACATCCCTATGAATCGAAGCATTAAGGATTTGTCTACTTGCTTCCTCACTTACCACACGCTTTCCTCGTCTTTCCAAGGTGAATTCTCAGTTTCCTATTATAGCACATTAGTTCATGTCTAAAGATTCCTTTTAAGTTTTTTTGTTTGTGCCATGATTGAAACAGATGTGCAGAAAGAGGAGAAGGAGAGGATAAGTGTTGGTGCATTTGGGATGGCCACTTACAAAACGCAAGGGAGGCTATGGGACAATGATAGGTTGCTTTGCCTTTTGAGCGTAGCAGATTCTTGGCTAAAGCAGCTAAGGGTCCACCACCATGACTTCACCTACTTCACCACTACTCCTTATTATCTCTGAAATACATAGCGTTTTAGATCCATATACTTGGTTAACAATCTATTTAGTTTTTGTGTGTGTTAATTAATAATGTTGGATAACATTTGGAAGTCTTAGAAAAGGACATGCACTGGCTTTTTTTTCATCAAAATGTTCTTTAACTACATAGATTTGGTTTTGGGTTCATGTGATTGAATGATGGGATCAATACATTTATTAGCTTCTAACGTTTTGTAGCATTTTTATTGAGGTATATCATGGCAGTTAATATTGAAATATCTCTACAATCAAAGTCAATCACGAATTCTTCTTAATAATGTGATTTCAAATTTCAACCACTTAAAAAATATTAATTGTAGAGCAAGACAACTCAAATGGATTTTATTTTATAGTACAAACGCGTTCTTTTGATTTTGCTTGATAGAGACTCCAAATGGTCATAATGGCTTAAAAGTAGTTACTGGAGTAACACTAATTGGTATAGAAAACAATGTTTTCGAACTTTTTGGGACTACGATCAGAACTTGAAGCTCTCTTATCGGTTAGTAAATGCCTCTTGAAGCGATTCCTGTCGAGTACCAAAAATGATTTGATCATCCGAAGGAATGATTTGCTTTCCGCATGGAATTAGAGAAATTTTATAGCTTTGTATGTAGTTTTTTTGCTTATTTTGATTTTTTGCTCTCGTTAATCCTCTGGAACATGCCAACTTGTTAGCACGTTCTGATAGATCAAGAGATGGATAAATTGAAGTGTGTTGTCAATAATAATAAAAAAAACTTAAGATGAATTAACTTTTTTCTGTATACGTAAATTGATGTACAGTTACATTTTTTTGCTCAATATGAAGCCCAACTCGCCCAAAGCCTGACAAGCACATTCATTATTAACAAAGCCCGTCTGTGAATATAAAACGCCATCGAGTATAATAACTAAAGATTCCAAAAATTAGTTTGGATTAAGATATGAAGAGTAACATCATGCATATATGATATAACACGTGAGATAGTTTGTTGAAATTAGTTACGAGAAAAAAAATGATTTTGTCTGAGAAATTAAATTCTATAGTTGTCAAACGTGGTCGGTGTTTTAAAACCAAAAAGGCAATAAGAATGAAGAAGTTGGTCGGTTATGAGAGTATCTATCTTTTTAGAGGTGGAGAGAAAACAAAAATATCAGGAAAAATGAAAGCTAAGTTTGACCAATCGCCGACCCGGAATATTTGAATACTATAATCCAATGAGTATGTATATATACTGTATATATATAGCCCTAATTAATAGTATTAGGTTGTCATTAAATGGGTAATTCTTCTGGGATGTTATCCTTAGCCGCGGCTAGCCGACCATTACCAAAAGCCACCATCATTATTTGCAGAAACCTCCATAAATCTCTTAATTATTGATATTTTTACAGTCTAAGTGCTTATCTTTCGAGCTTACGACTTGTCGCATTTAGGACGCATATGAATGAATGTGTTCACCGTCCAAAATAACAGAGATTGCCACGTAGTCGTACGGACGTGAATGGGTTTGAATAATATCTCCGCGTTGTCTTTTTTCTTGTGTGTGTGTCAACGTCTCTCTTTCTCTCTCTATTTGTATGCGAATTTTCTAAACTTCCAAATAGACCAATGGACCGGAGAAAGAATTAGAGTGAAAGCAAAGGTATCATTTTTTTGTAACCCCAAAAAGATAGCATTTGAAAAAGTCAATTGAGATATTTATAACTAAATTCAAAAAGCGGTGCACCCAAATCTAATCCTGCTCTCATATATAATAAGCCCCATTGAGTCAGCTCTCCTCTGTTCCAAATAGAAGTAAACAAAAAGCAAACACAATATTCTCTCTTTTTTTTCGAGATTCTTCTTTCTTTCTCTGCTCTCTGTTTTTGTCAAAAGTGTAAAAAAGCACCACTGAAACAGAGATGGACTTTGACGAGGAGCTCAATCTTTGTATCACCAAAGGTAAAAATGTCGATCCTTCTTCAGGTGAAGCTTCTTCAACGTACCCGAGATCTACGAAGAAGATGAGAAATCCTGATCTTCGACCTAAACCCTATCTCCCATTTTCCTCTTCTTCTCCTAACTCCTTGGTGGCTTTCCCCTTTTCTCTTGATCCAACGATTCAGAATCAACAACAACTCGGATACGTTCCGGTTAACCAACAACACGACCCGACAACGCAAGGCCACAAGCAAATGATCTCGTTTAGTCCTCAACAGCCTCAGCAACATCAACAGCAGTATATGTTCAAGTACTGGAGTGACACATTGAATCTAAGCCCTAGAGGAAGAATGATGATGATGAACCAAGAAAGTGTTCAGCCGTACAGCGCAACCAAGCTTTACAGAGGAGTGAGACAGCGTCAATGGGGAAAATGGGTCGCAGAGATTCGTAAGCCACGGAGCAGAGCACGTCTCTGGCTTGGTACCTTTGATACAGCTGAAGAAGCTGCCATGGCCTACGACCGTCAAGCTTTCAAATTAAGGGGCCAAAACGCAACACTCAATTTTCCGGAGCATTTTGTGAATAAGGAAAACGAGGCGCATGATTCAAGTGGCGCGCCAAGTCCATTGCCTCTGGAACAATCCGAAACGCCGCCGCAGCAGCCAAGCGAGGTTAGCTTGGAGAGCAAGGAAGTTGCGGATGGTGGGATAGAGGAAGGGATGGCTGAGGCGTGGTTCAATGCGGTTACAGCGGGATGGGGTCCTGAAAGTCCTCTCTGGGATGATTTGGACAGTTCTCAGTTTGCACAGAGCTCTTCTTCTTCTTCCTCTGCTTCTTGTCCCATGAGGCCTTTCTTTTGAAAAAGGTTATATAGCTCTCACATTGTAGGGTTTAGTTTAGGGTTTTGCTCATTGGCATTTGGAGCGAGACAGTTTTTGTGATCTCCCACTCCAAACATCAGTCTGTATATGTCTCTACTTTCTCTCTATACTCCCATCATTATCATTCATATCATATATTTTGAGTGTGTTAGTGTGTTCTTATGTCAACAAAGATTGCAATCTTGCATTTTTCTTCAAATTTTTGGGATCTAGATGTATTTTTGACAAGTCAGCAACGTCACATATAATCCGGAGGTTATATATTGACATTTGCATGCCTCTCTAGCAAGGAATCTGCGAATATCTCCTCCAAGAAGATCCCTCTGGAGAAGACAAGGCAAGTGATACATTCAAGAGAACTCACCTTGGACTTGGAGCAGATAATTTCTTTGATGTTTGGAAAATTTATACATTATATTCTATTGGAAATTATAAAGTTGTATGAACATAAAAAGGACAAAATGTTAAGAGTCAAACATAAATGAATATCTGACTAACTTAACAAAAGAGTATCAAAGATCTTTGGGATGCTTAAATGAATCAGCCGCACCAAACTTTCTAAACTCCTCCTCACCTTGAGCCTCTGATGAGTCATGATCATTTCCATCACTAAACCGGGTCGTGGAAGAAGACTCATGCATGCTTTTTGACTTGCAATTGTCGGTTGCAAGGATGTTTACTTGTCCATGATGTGAAATCTCTAACATCACAGTTTCATCATCATCAAGTGGCAGTGGCTGTTTCCACGGCTCTCCATCCATTCTCATGTATGCATGCCTCGCTGCACCTTTCTTAAATTCAAACCGAATTCGATTTGCCTATATATACACAGACACACACACACAAGAGTTAAATATGCACCTACTCACATTTTGTATGTCTTCTATCACACTTATATACTTACCTGAGCTAGTCTTGTCCCATGACCATTTGGAGTAAGCAGAACAAGACCATGCCAAGCATTTCTAAACCCAACGATTTCGATGAGCCCATCATCAACGAATGGTGGAGTTTGGCTTCTCTGTTGTGACATCACAAAGAATCAGAAACCATTTTCTTTATGTAGATTATTGAAACAGTGTGAAGAAAATGTTAAAACCTACATTACGTTGTTTCTTGGGATTTGGTGTTCCCCAAGGATTTAGTCCTCCAGAAAAGCTAGGAAGATTCAAACATACGATGGACCTGATGCTGCCAAAACAAAAATAATTGGGATGAACATATGTAAATTACATCACAAAGAAGATTAACAACTCAACTCAATCTAACATGCTCCAATAACCTTTTACATGGGATGAACATATATAACTAATCTGATTAGATACCTTTGCGGAATGTGAAGGTCATTCCATTCGCCACTTTTATTACAAATTTTAACTTTTGCAAGCAGACCTATGTTTCTGCAGCAAACGCTATATAATATTAGTGCTTTCGTTTTTGCAGGGTTTAGATCCCATGTAGCCAGAACAAGATAGCAAAATAACAATTCATACATATAAATATAAAAAATAAAAATTATACTCACTGTGAAAAAGGGTGAACAAGAGAGGCCCAAAACCATCCTTGTGTGCAAGCAAGCTTTAAATATGTGCTCTGAGATCATTTATAGAGAAACATTAATTAGTTTTTGCTAGTTTAACTTACTCTAGAAGATGTAATCACCGCAAATTAAGAACAAGTTGCCACACTAAGTAAAACATTAGAGCTACATCATTTGAAGGCAACATAACTAAAAACCCTTTAAGAACAATGTACATTTACCTGATTAACCATCTGATTTTTAAAATTTTCCGGGTGCAATTTTCTCTGAGAATGAAATTCATAAGATACTTGAGCATCCATTCCTGCAGTAAAAATGATTAGTACATGTCAGACAAGACAAGAAAAATAGTGCAAGTCACTTTTATCGATTTGGGATTTTCCACAAACACAACCAATGGGAGTAATTACAAGTCGTATTATCTCGAAGCTGAAATATAATACAATCTAGAAATGGGATCCCTAACTGCAATGATGTTAAGGGGGGAAAATGGATTAGTGATTTTCAGCTGTCTAAGAGAAAACTTCTTACCCAAGCTAAAGTAATTCCAGAATCCCCCTCGAAACGTGAGGTAACCTTCCTGGAATTTAAAAAAAAACAAAACATTGATGATCATATAGGAAAAAAAGGAAGAGATAGTGATAAGTAGACTTCATTGAGAAGAGAGGAGAATGCCTTTAATTACTTACTTGATCTGATGGAGAAACATTATGATATGAATGTAGAGAAGGCGGTAACTCAATAGATTCACAAGAGCCTTTTTTGGGAGCCTTCATCCTCATAAGTGTGTACCAACTTAATTAAGATTTAAAATGCATTCATCAGTACATCAACTCAAAATTGAAGTATATTTTAAGAATTGGAAGAGAATGATATATATATTTATACTTGTCTATCTTCATCTCTTTTGCTTTGATCACTTGATTAAAAAAAGACTCCACGGAAGACTTATCTGTTCCAGGATTTTTCTTACCCTGAGGATGAACATATGAATTAATAATAAAGAGAAGAAAAACATATTTACTGTATGATAATGTGTATTGTATATATATCATACCCATCCAAATGCAAATGGAAGGTTGTTTCCTGTACCCAAAGGGATAGTAGCAATTGGAGGTGGATTAGATAATTTAAGATCACAAACAATTCCAAGAATCCAACCAGCTGTTCCATCTCCCCCTGCAACCTAATTAAACACACGTCAACTAAACCTAATTAATGACTTAATTAGTTAATTAGCAACACCTTCTCCAGAGAGATGAATGATTCACTCACAATTATTTTCAACTTCTCCTGGATCTTGCAAGCGAAAGCATCGTCCTTTAGCCTCTCTAGGTTAAGATATATTCTCCGTAGCACCTGATCCGGACTCTCTACCCCAAGATCAAATACCTGAGCAACAAGTAATGATTAAATTAAATTTACAGTGATGATTCGTTGTATATTTTATTTATTTTAATAATTTTAATACTTTAATACAAGTCTTATTTTTAGTGTTTTTTTCAGATTTTTTTTCTTATTATAGCCAATATTGGTTAATCAAAGATCGATCATATATATAATTTTGAACTGAAAAAAAAGAATCAAAGATATTCCATACTTAAGAAGAATCAACGAATTCAACACGTTTTAGTTGCTTTGGAATTTTTATCTAGCTAGAAGTCATCAATGGCGTATTTGAGAAGCGATACTTTTCTTGAACTTATCCAAATCAACGAATCAAAAAACTAGGTTTTGCGATGGATAAATTTAAAGTATTATTAGACCTGTTTGTCGTTGAGAATAGTGCGGTAGGTAAGAATAAGCTGTCCACCGAGTTGGCCTCCGCTTTTGGAGTTGATGAATACGAGAATTGGATTCTCAGGTGGAGTTCTTGGCATCGCCACAGGATCGGCTTCAGGCGAGAGCACGTACGAAGGAATGTAGAATTTCTTGTGAAAATCTGATAATTTCTCATATTTCTCCATGCTCGCCTGTCTCTGAACACATCCATATGTACGACATATATATCAACAGTGATACAGATTTAAGATTCAAAACACCTATTTTTGACAAAAATCAGCAACGTTGATCATGCAAAAGAAGAACGAAAAGGGCATCATACCAGTAAACTCTCTAGGGGCCTTGAAAGAAAAGTTGTAATATAATATTGTTGACCAGAGTCTTAAAAGAGAAATATTTAAATATTGGAGATCCTTAAGATTCTCTACCATTACCATGATTTTCCTTCTTAAATGTAATTGGTAATGCCATATCGATAATACAGTAATTAGGACGCGGTTTTAAATAAAAAGGCACACTGTTTTGGTTTTTTCTTTTTAATGGCCTTGTGCACATGAGTACGTCATCATCATTGGCATGCATATCTAGTTACTGCTGGCATGGAGTCCATTGTCTCTCTATTGCTTCTCATCTTTTATACATTAACTGATAAATCAGAAAAAAATGGTAAAGAGTTTTTTTTCCTCTAAAAAAATGGTAATATTTAGATGTATTTATTCAATATGTGATCAATTAGATGATAATGATATTATATTCAAATAAAGTAAACTTTGAATATAAAAGGTAAAGTATAAATTTCTGTCTACAGTTGGAAAATAGAAACGATGTTTTTTTTATAAAACAGAAGTAGTATAAATTCGTAATTTTTCTTGTGTAATGACAACACTATAATGAATTGATAAGCTAGTAAAACTTTTAATTTCATTCAAAAAGAGCTCATATTCTAGGAGGAACATATTTTTCTCAACTGGAGATGGGTTGGTTCATTTAAAAAGTGATGGAGCCCATTGCGAGATGAGGCTTAAGCCGATTAGTGGCCCATTAAGTATGACGCAGGCCTTTTTCGAGAAGCTCCCCAATGCGATGACTTGACACAATCTTTGACTTGACATCATCATCTCTGACGCTGACCAATCCAGAAACCTAACCTTAGAGTAGATGGAATGATGCAAAACAAGTGAAAGGACAACCCCACATCACATATTTTTCGACGTGTCACCTTCTGCATGAAACCACACATTGTGATGTAGAAGAGTGATATTATTTTAAATATATATTGTAGACAATAGCTAGCTTCGGTGTGAACTTCGGAGAATCTGTGGTTCTTGCGTTAAAGGGATATGTAATTCAAAGTTGGTTGCACAGCTTTCCACCAACAATTTAACAAACAAAAAAGTTTCAATTATTTTTTTCATATTATTTTTTGTTGGTTAATTTGATATGCATTTTTAAAAGTACCGACGTGGATGGCTTGTTCAGAAAGACCCTTTCACAAGCAATCTCTATTAATGAACATTGGAGTTGTATAAGTAGAAAGTTAATTTGTAATTCGCCTTATCATCAATTTGAAAAGCACAAGGCACCTGGACATTAACACGTTATTTGAAAACGATTTGTGCGTATTTGATGAGAGTATCCAACTACTTTGCCGTCCTCACTCTCTTACCCATTGAAACTCTACGCTTTGGGTTTCATAATTCAACGCAACATATATTCTCATACTTTTTTAGTTTTTTTTTAACCAAACATGCATGTAAAGTCAACTGACATATATATTAACATGCAAAGTCAACAATGTGCTTCACTCTGACTCTCACCAACGTCAAAAAAATAAAATTACTCTCACAACCGAATAGTTTTTACAGGTCTATTTTAAAATCTCTAGTTCAATTGTTTTTCCTATAAAGAAAAGTACATAACATTACATTCCCTCCAAAAGAATATACATAAAATGTATTATTTTACTGACAGAATCTAAGTTACATCATTTTTAAATCCAAGTTACATGAATTATTTAAAATGTTTGGGCATACTATATATGACGTGTATCGTTTCTAGAATATACAGTTAAAAGAAACGATAGGCGAGATAAAAATGCGCGTGGTCTTGGCCAGGCTAAACATTTTGCTTTGTATAAAATATTGGGGGATAAAAGGACACGTGGCGTATAACATGCATGCCAAATGGAATTGACCTTGGCTACGTTAATTAAGTTCTTCGCATTCACATCCCTATATAAACAAATGAATGGAGAAGATATGAGTGCACCCACGCATTGACATTTCAAAAACTCAACTCCTCATCTTTGGAAAATTTAAGAAACTCCCTTTGGCTCTTCGATCCTTTTATAAGAGAACTAAACTATCACTGGACTCTAACGTCGATCGGTGTATATATATCTTTTGCGAAATACCAAATAAAGATGGGAAGATCACCATGTTGTGACAAGAATGGTGTGAAGAAGGGACCATGGACGCCTGAAGAAGATCAGAAACTCATCGATTATATTCGATTTCATGGTCCGGGTAATTGGCGTATCCTCCCTAAAAATGCTGGTAAGCATATACATCTATACAATTATTATAGTTTTGTCCTTAAAGATTATATTATCTATATATTGATTTGATATGTCGTATATTGTACAAACTAAAGGACTCCAAAGATGCGGAAAAAGCTGTCGTCTTCGATGGACCAATTATCTAAGACCGGACATCAAGAGAGGACGATTCTCCTTCGAGGAAGAAGAAACTATCATTCAATTACACAGTGTTATGGGAAACAAGTAAGCCTTCATTGACATCATAGTTTATTTGAGATTCATTACGTTAAAGTTAATTTTTCAAACAAAAAAAAAGCGAGAGTGTGCGTATGCATGCGGAGCGTACATGTCAATATTTAGGCTATCAACTCTCCACTAAACTATTATTATTAGTCCATAACGTATTGACCTAAAATATAATATAAGAGGAGTTGTATATTAATTATATACCACTAATTGAATGATATGGATAATATTTATAGGTGGTCCGCAATAGCAGCTCGTCTACCAGGAAGGACCGATAATGAAATAAAGAACCATTGGAATACTCACATCCGCAAGCGACTTGTAAGGAGTGGCATCGATCCTGTTACTCACACCCCGCGCCTTGATCTTCTTGATTTGTCTTCACTTTTAGCCGCACTTTTCAACCAACCAAACTTTTCATCAGTTGCATCGTCTCTGCTTAATCCTGATGTATTGAGGTTGGCCTCTCTACTCTTGCCACCTCAACAACCACATCAAAACCCTAATCCAGTTTATGCATCAAACCTCGACCAAAATCTTCAAACTCCAATCACTTCAGTGTCGTCTCAAGACTCTCAGCCACAGGCCGAGTGTGCAACTCCAACAAACAATGAAACTTCATCTTTCGAGCCTATGAAAGCAAGACTCGAGGTCGGTCCTGCAGATGTATCACCACCTTTGTCAGAGAGTTTGGACTTAGACTCACTCATGTCAACGCCAAACTCTTCTCCACAACTAAATAGCATTGAAGCAGAAGCCAACTCCAGCAGTTTCTTCGACTTTGGCTTTCCGGAAAATTTTATCTTCGACGACTTTATGTTAATTTAATTAAACAACATATGCATATATATCCATATACCACATATGTATCTTTTTAAACCCACACCTATGATTCTTTGTTGCATTCTTTCTATTGTTTAATGTATAAATTATATGATTTCATATAATTATCATGAACGTGTAACGTATCAAGGCAAGATCTCTTAATTTTGCTCCACAAACGAGTAGAGTAAATAACTAAACATAGATAGAAAATCAAAACTATCGTAAAATAAATTGTTTAAGTTGTCTAGAGCTCCGAAAACGAATGAGACGTACAACACATCACATATTGTTTTTTGATAAACACAGCTCTATGTGGTAACATTATCATTTTCCCGAGTAATTTTGATAAGTTTAAGGTCATGTTGGTAATGGTGGGTAAACAAGTCGTTAATTATGTAACAATAATCAGGCCCAATCTAAGATCCGTTTTGAAGCCCATTCTAGGGCCTATTTTTCCGGAAGCTTTTAAGGTTATTTATCAAAACCAATTGATAAAAGAGCAATGAGTGGATTAGTTTAGATATCGTCGTCGTACATATAATAAAATGATAATTTTCTTTTTCAATTTGAAGCAATAGATAAGTGTGGGCAGTTGAATCTGAAGTCTTTTTATACATAGAATTTGAATTTGAGGGATTTAGGTATTTGGTATGGGCAAGTAAGCAATGAAAGAACGTGTGAAATGGCTTTACTTAGTGGAAATTAGGAACATACTAATAAAGAGGGGAAGATTAAGAAAAAAAAATAAAAAAATCAGTGAAAAGGCTCCTTTTTTCTCGCCTTTTTGAGTTTCACTTTTTTTCTTCTGACGGGCCGTTTCCCTAGGCGAGCTCCGGGTCCTCTTTCCTACCCGTTTGAAAGAAAAAAAAAAGGTTTACAAACTTACAATTTTGTTTTGTCAATGCTCAAAAAGCGAATCAATGATTTAATATATGATTGTAGGAGTTTTTGTGTGTTTGTGATTGTCCTTTACAAATTCACCCTTTTCTTCCTGTGACTATACCCTATTCGCATCTCATCTTAGAGCTTAATCGCTTTCTCCACCATTCATATTTATTTTTCCTTCTCTTGCTCATAACTTTATTTTCCATTTCAACATATTTTTGCGAGTGTTTTATAAAATTAAAAAGCTCATACGATAGCCTACAGTCAGGTTATACATGCAAAACATGTATATAAATTGGTGAATTATATACATTAGTCCATTTTAACATATTTTGCGAGTGTTTTGTAAAATTAAAAGCTCATACCATAGCCTACAATCAGGGTATACATGCAAAACATGTATATAAATTGGAGAATTATACAGTAGTGTGTTCCTAATTTAATTAAGGATCTTAGTTATTATTACTAGTTGAGTCTAAGCCAAGAGACAGAAGCGTTATAATTTCCGGGACTAAACACAGTTTACAAAGGGACTATAAGACACTAAAACAAACCAGAAACTGCCAAAGTAAGGAATCTCTTGTTTTTTCAGTCACATCTCTCTCTCTCTCTCTCTTCACAATAATCCTTTGGAAAGAACAAAAGAGAGAGAAGATGGTGAATAATGGAAGGCTGCTTTTCTTCGTGAATCTAAAAGACTCAGATTTCAGATTTGAGATTTGATAGAGTTCTATAATAATTCCTAAATCCATTTCTCTATCTCTCTCTCTCTGTAGCCTTTTACAATGAAGAGAAGTCCCACTTTACTCCTCATCCTCTGTTCTTTTCTCTTTTCCATCGTCTCTAGCAATCTACTCGTCGAACCGGTTCAACCCAACACCGTACCGGCCTTCCCCGTCGAGACACAAGCTCAAAGCTGCCGTCTTGACCTCTCCGACGAGCTCTTCGGCGGAGTCAATGAAGCTTGCGGGAGAAACCTTGACCGGAGCCGGTGTTGCCCTGTTCTCGCCGCATGGCTCTTCGCAGCTCACGCTCGTTCTGCTCTCCAGCTACCGGCTCCTGCTCCGTCGCCGGAAGCCTCCGATCCCGACGAACCGATGAAACCAGACGACTCTCAGAAGTGCGTCAACACATTGCAGAGCGCGCTTCTGACCAAAAAAATCAAGATCCCGCAGCCAAATTCGACCTGCGATGCAATCTTGTGCTTCTGCGGCATTCGTCTCCACCAGATAAGCTCACTCTCTTGCCCCGCCGCTTTCAATGTCTCCTCCGGCTTCCGAAACGCGACTCCGACCGCCGCCGTGAAGAATCTCGAGAAGGAATGTCGGAACTCCTCTTACTCCGGCTGTACCAGATGCCTCGGCGCTCTTCAAAAGGTCCGATTTTTATTTGATTTTTATGCAGTTCCATTTGCATTAAAGTTTCATCCTTTATGTCCCTCTACTAAGGAATCACAGCATTTAATGAGATTTTCATATCCTTAAAAAGCCTCATAAATGTTTCGTTTTCATATTCGTGACTCGAATCGAAAAGAATGTTCATTAACTGTCACTCTCTTTCCATGAGCAATTTGCTGTCTCAAAACTCGGAATTACATGTTTTATTAGTGTTAATTAAAAATTCCATCTAGTATTTGTTAGGGTTTATGTTATTACTCTTTCTTTAGGTGAAAGAGACACACACGAATACATTGTTTTTCTTTTGGGGTATCCTTTTAGGTTGCAAACAATTGGAGATATACTTTTTCAGAAACTTTCCTGTTTCGTATAACCCAAAGCACTGCGTCCTTCTGAAACACTGCCCATTCACACGCAACCTTTTTCCCAATTTTTATTTTTCAACATTTTTCTTTTAACAAAATCTTGTTTGTTTTTGATGGGATACAGCTCAAAGTAAAAGGAGGAAACAAGAAGACAACAACGGAGAGAGCGAGTAAGATGATGAGCAAAGACTGCCAGCTCATGGGACTCACGTGGCTACTGGCTCGTAACAAAACGGCATACATCCCCACCGTTTCGGCTGTGTTAAGAGCCATTATGTATAGTCCACACCCACCTCACCTCAACAAGTGCAGCCCTGACCAGGAGAACATGCCCTTAGCCGTTGACTCTCTTCAGTTTCAAAAGAGCAGAGCTTCTTCGTCACACTTTTCTGTGTTTCCGGTTTTACCCCTGATCCTCTGCATCTTTCTCTTACTGTGATTTTTTGTTTTAAATCTATTTTTTGGTCGGAGGGAAATGAGAGTCACGTGAAGCTACAAGACAGATTTAGTGTGTATGTAAATGCAGAATCCTGCTGTGCTCTCTTTTTTTTTTGGTTCTGTAGCTCTAACGTTCTTCTTTTATATAAAAAAAAAATAGTTTTAACTTTTAACTGTGTTTAATTTATCCAATTAAACCCTTTGTCCTAGGTCTTGGAATTTAAAAATCATCTTGAGACTAGAAAGTTGTCATATTGGACTATATAAGATCCATATCACGTGCAATTAACAATTAGTAGTCGAATCCCAAGGATTACTAACTAAGCATGTTGGTCGTCTCTACTAACGTGAAAATGTATTCCCCCAAAGTCAATTCCAAAAGGCTCTTACCCTTTCCTCCATATGTAATACTATATAATAATTTGAATATGCATTTGTTCTCTTATTCTTTTTTAGTAAGATATGAGGAACCCTAAACTTTTTTTTACGAAAATAATTGCCAATTCTTGACCAATTAGCCTTCTAGACAGACTCCTACAAATTTGATGTTACGAAGTTTGTATCTATATTCTATAGCAAGAAAGCAAGCGGAAATGTCAAACACACTGATCACAGTCTAACGGTCGACAAAAGAAACAGAGTAATAAACAGAGCAAGAAACAGAGCCATGTAGAGAAATAATAAGGAAGAAGATGATACAAAAGAAGAAACAATGATGGATTTTAGAATGACAGAGCAAGGTTGTCAACTTTGTGTTATGTTGTGAATAATCTTTCGGTTCTACTCTATTCGATTTATTATGTATAGAACATCCAGACGGAACTAAGGTTTGGTTTTTGTTTAAATGTTTGTTTGTTGATAAAACCATTTTGATCTGGACCGATTCTATTTTAATCCTATTTAGCGTGAATTAAGTCTATGTGTTCTGTTGTCTCAGTTAAACTTAAAAGGACACTCTCCCCTTCTATAAAATAGCTTACGATCCAACAACAAAAACTCGAAAGGGATCAAAGTATTGAGAAATGGCGAACGGATGCGAGATTTGCTGTGAAATAATGATCGCCATTTTCATCCCTCCACTCGGGGTTTGTCTAAGGCATGGCTGCTGCACTGTATGTCTCTCTCTCTCTCTCTCTCTCTCTCTCTCGATGTCTCTGTTCTTACTAGATCTCGAGCTTATATAACAACAATATAATGTAAAAAATGAAATGTGCAGACGGAGTTCATGATATGTCTGATCCTAACGCTTCTGGGATACATACCGGGCATCATCTACGCACTCTATGCAATCGTCTACGTTGATCGTGATCAATTCTTCGACGAGTACCGTCGTCCACTCTTCTACGCTCACTCGCCTTGATTCATGCGTTTTTGCTCTTGTCTTTTCATAATGTTTTTAGTCTTTGTTAATTTCAACGAACATTGATTAAAGTTTCATCTTTTTCTCAATAATGTTTAGATATTTTCTTCTTACGAACTTGTTGTTTTTTTTTTCTTTTTGGGGTCATCACGCTCACTTTTGTCTGCATAATTCGTTTATCGGATCAGTATCAAAGAAGAAACAAAAGAATAACTCGGCAAGCAAAACTATAGAATCGGTCAAGAAGTCAAGGTCCGATGGATACGTGTCGATAATCTCGTGCGGCAAACTCTCAACAAGTAGTAGACCAAAAATAGCTTTAAAAAGCGATCTCTAATCACCTCTTTTTAACAAACAAAGACATAAAGATTTTTAACAAACAAAGACATAAAGCTAGTGTGACAAGTGACGATATACTTTTCTTTGTTTCTTATAGACAACTGTATAATGAATGGAAAACAGAGTTTGAGACGATTTGGTAAATTTACAAAATCGATATTGTAAAAAGACAAAAAGCAAATGACAGAAATCACTCTGAAAACGTAAATCACGATCACTCTCCCAAAGGAACTTATAAAAGGAGAGCGAGGAGGAAAGAGGAAGCAGCACCCATATGAAAGGAGCTTGGGAACATCATAGTCGAAGCTGCGGATGTTGAGTTGCGAGAGCCTGTGTTTCTACTCCGTTTCCTCGTGACCACCGCAAGATTCCTTGAGCCATGCTCGTTAGCTGAACACAAAAGAAGAGTCTCGGAGAAGAAGAAGATGAATATGATCGAGAGGAGGATTATGCGTCTGGCTTTAATCTCGCCCATCTTTTTGGCTCTCTGTCTTTTGCTTATTCCTGATGGATGATGATGTGTTGATTATGTGAATCATGTGATTTATACAATTATACTTATAGATAGATAAAGGCAGAGGAGTCGTTTGATATTAGAATTATGAATAAGTCTTATTAGGTGGGTCAGATATAAAATCAATTAATATACGCGCTACAGGCTAGTTAGTGGCCGTGGAGCCAGCCAATATTTTTGATGTTAAAATGTTGCAGCAGTTTTGACCAACGACGAATCAACAATCTATTAAAAAATAATACTCAATTAAAAAGGCATTTCATTCACTAAGTGGGATTTTGTTTATGGAAGCAAGTTATATAATGAACAAGTCTTTAATTATGTTGTTGACGAACGGATAAATAAAATAATAGTCTGATTGACCATGTATATATATGTGCATACGATTTAAACTATAGTAAACCGAACCGAAATCAAAGCAGATTTCATTTTATTAGTTCAAACACTTACAATTTTTTAACCACACAGACGGAACCGAAAAATTGGTACGATTTCAAATTCTGAAGTTCCGGTATGCGTTGATGCTCAACAAAATGGGTCATATAGAACTGAACTTGGGCTCATAGAACTATTATGCCGACTCCAGCTATTAGATTAAAGGCCCATATAGACTGAAATAATCCAACCTCTTTACCCGCTGCTCAACTAACTAGTTTCAGCATTATTTATAAGAGTCTATCTAATAATGCTTTTTCATAGACCATTTTTTAAGGTCGGTCTAAAAATACATCTGACATAGTGCCCAAGTCCATGTGTACATAATCAGCAAAAATTCAAAAGAACGTGAATATTTTTTTACACGAGGGTCCAAAATAATTTTCGAAGCAGCCATCTCTCTAGTTTCTTCAAAGATGGAAAACTGATAATCCAAATATTAAAAAGCATGGGTGAAATCTCAATTAGATGATGAAAAATAAGGGGGAAATATATCATATGATTGGTTTTAAAAAGAGGAAAATAATATATATATAGAGAGAGAGATAGAAGAAAAGATGAAGTTGGTGATGAGGTGTTAAAGAAGCAAACAAAGAAATGAGAGGCCTCAAATTTACTTAGCCTCAAAACAGGTCTTAAGGAGGGAAGAGAGATGAGCTCGCTCGCACCTTATCCTATCCTTTCTTTCTCTCTCTAATATCTCTCTCGCGATTTCTCTCTATTTTTGTCAATCACTATTTCACCCCTCTCCTCTCTTTGTTTCCTTTTACTTCCTCCTCATTGTCACCCACCACCACACCACAAGTCATTTTATACACCCACACACACCTTCTCTCTTATTCTTCTTCTATCTTCTTCTCCTCACCTTTCATCTTCTACTTATTCAAATACACACTCTTCCTCTGGAAAGTTCCAAGGTTGATCAATTCAATCCTGCAGAGGTTTCTTGATCAAATTCAGTCTGTGCAATTGTAAGTTTTATGTCCATTGGTAATTAATGGCTCCTAAAGCTGGGAAAACAAAGCCACACAAGAGTAAAGGAGATAAGAAGAAGAAGGAAGAGAAAGGTTTCTCATTCTATGTTCCTCCACGCAGAATGACAAAGTCAATTTTCCCTTTTCTTTGCCTCTTTTATCATTTATAAAATAATCTGAAAATTGTGTGGTTGTGTGCAGTTTTGCCCACTGTCATTGAGATAAGCGTTGAAACACCAGACGAATCCCAAGTGACTCTCAAGGTTTGAGCTTACACACTACTAATTCGGAATTAAGAATACAAAAAGCCAATGAATATGATTCTCAAAGTCCTTGTCGTTGTTGTTGTTGCGAAGGGAATCTCCACGGACAGAATCTTGGATGTGAGGAAGCTCTTGGCGGTCCATGTTCAGACATGCCACTTCACCAATTTCTCTTTCTCTCACCAGGTTTCGTCTTCATGCATTTGAGATTTTTTGTCACAGCCTTTATCAGATGATGATGATTTTGTTAATGGGGGCGTTACATTTCTTTTCGCCTCTAGCAGCAGCAAATTTGATTTTTAGAAAAAAAAAGATTTTTAACATTTTTACTAGATTTGCTAATGGGCCCAGTTAAGTGATGCCTAGGCCCAAAAAAGTGACGTTTATAGCTCTATTTCTGACTTTTGCCGCCTAAATAAAAGAAGAAGGATTGTTTCTGCTGCAGGTGCGCGGCACTAGGCTCAAGGATTCCGTTGACATCGTATCACTCAAACCATGCCACCTCACCATCGTGGAAGGTAATGTCACCTGATCTAACGGCCTACATTTCTCCAACTAGACTAGCTTCCATAGGATTAGCCACAGGTGATTCTTACCCTTTCTTTTTTTGAAATCGCAGAGGACTACACGGAGGAGCAAGCCACCGCGCACATACGGCGGCTACTTGACATTGTCGCTTGCACCACCGCCTTCGGTTCGTCGAAACCGCCGGTATCTCGCACGTCTCCCAAGGACTCTGGACAGAAGGAATCAGGTTCAAACGAGGGAGATTCTCCGGCCGAGAAAGATGCCGGTGATTCAGGTTCCGGTCTCAGCCCTAAGCCTAAGGAATCAGAGAAGAAACTCGTCGGAAACTGTGAAGCTCAGGCGGCGGAAGGCGGGGAAAAGGGCGACATCAACATGTGCCCACCGACTCGACTCGGGCAGTTTTATGAATTTTTCTCCTTCTCCCACCTGACTCCTCCGATCCAATGTGAGTTTCCTTTTTTCGCTAATTCCTCGACTACTAAAGCTGATCTCGCTTATCAATTCCCATTTCTTAATCTTCTCAGATATCAGAAGGTCTGTTCGTCCATCCATCGAGGGTAAAGGATCAGATGATCTATTCCAAGTCGATGTAGGGACTCTTATGAACAGTTCATACTTGTGCAATTGAGAAGTTTCGACTGGGATTTAAGAAATGTTGCTTCACCATTGTTATCAACTGCAGATTAAAGTCTCAAGTGGGAAGCCGATCACGGTTGTTGCCTCAAGAACAGGTTTTTTCCCAGCTGGGAAGCAGCAGCTTCTGTGTCACTCTTTGGTTGAGCTGCTGCAACAGATAAGCCGGCCATTTGATGCGGTAAGTTTGATTGATGATAAAAGGTTTGACCTTTTTTCTTTTTTTCCAGTTCTGCATTCTTCTGATCATTGGTATTATAATGATTGTGGCTGCAGGCTTATGACGCTCTCATGAAAGCTTTCATTGAACACAATAAAGTACGCAAACTTTAATTCCATACGTTATATGGTTTCACGGGTAATTAGAAGATTTCAACATATAATGAATATGTTACTTTTTTTCAGTTTGGCAACCTTCCGTATGGTTTCCGGGCAAACACTTGGGTAGTTCCTCCGGTTGTTGCAGATAGTCCTTCTACTTTTCCGTCACTTCCTGTGGAGGATGAGACGTGGGGAGGTAATGGCGGTGGGGCGGGCCGGTCCGGTAAGCATGACCGAAGAAAGTGGGCTAAAGAATTTGCGATTTTGGCAGCGATGCCTTGTAAAACACCTGAAGAGAGACAGGTTCGAGATAGGAAGGCCTTTCTACTCCACAGTCTATTTGTCGACGTTTCAGTTTTCAAAGCGGTGGAAATCATAAAGAATGTAGTAGAGAGCAGTCAACGCTCACCAAAGGATACGACTGCATTGGCTTTCCATGAAGAAAGGGTTGGTGATTTGGTCATAAGAGTGGCTAGAGATGATCCTGATGCCAGTTCCAAGCTTGACCGAAAGAGTGATGGGAGTCGGGTTCTTGAGATCTCTCAGGAAGAACTTGCTCAAAGGAATTTGCTTAAAGGGATCACTGCTGATGAGAGTGCGACGGTTCATGTAATCTTTTTGTTATAGCTTGGGGTAATTTTTTAAAGCTTGCTCTTGTTCGATTTGCTTCTGAGATTTACTTCATTCATATAGGATACGTCTACGTTGGGTGTGGTGGTGGTCAGACATTGTGGTTTCACAGCCATTGTAAAGGTTGCTGCTGAGTTTAACTTGGATGGGAGCCGAATCCCACTTGATATAGACATCGAAGACCAATCAGAAGGAGGTGCAAATGCACTGAATGTAAATAGGTAAAATCTTTGTGTGTTGTATATGCGTTTGTCTTACTGGTTACTCATAGTTGTGTACAAGTGGTGTAGAAGGTATTTAGCAAGCTTTTTCTGAATATCCATTTCAGCTTGAGAACTCTCTTGCACAAGTCGTCAACGCCTTCGAGCACATCCCCGAGATCACCAAATGCAGACTCAGAACAAATACGTGTCGCTAAGTCCCTTGTGAGGAAAGTATTTAAGGACAGTCTGCAGAAATTGGAGGCTGAACCTTCAAGAAATACCAAGCCTATAAGGTGGGAACTAGGAGCTTGTTGGGTGCAACATCTGCAAAGTCAAGCTTCTAGTAAAAGTGAGTCTAAGAGCACTGAAGATGCTAAGCCTGAACCACCTGTTAAGGGTCTTGGAAAGCAAGGTGCACTGCTAAAGGAGATAAAAAGGAAGATCGACGTGAAAGCTAACAAGACTGAACAGGGGAAGGAGGCCCTTGCTAATTCGGCTGACAATGACAATAAATCAGAAACTGAGGATCTTGAGAAACAAAATGAGGAAATGGAAAAGATGTGGAAAGAACTGGTGACAGAATCTGCATATCAGCGTCTTAAAGAATCAGAAACTGGTTTTCATCTCAAGGTTTGTTTGTTTCCCCAGCTGATAAGATATAATATTCAAGGCTAGTAGTAGGCGATGACTTATACATCTCTGGTATATACTTAACCTAGTTTGGTTTTATGAATCTTACCGTGTGTTCTCTCTATCCATGAACCTGCCCTGCAGTCACCCAGGGAGCTGATTGAATTAGCCCGCAAATACTACACTGACACTGCTCTTCCGAAACTGGTCAGTTCCTTGAACGTTCATTGTCCTCTTTAGTAATAATCGTCAGCTCCTCATAAACTTCGACTTGATATATTGCAGGTGGCAGACTTTGGATCTCTTGAACTCTCACCCGTTGATGGGAGAACTCTGACAGACTTTATGCACACCAGAGGCTTACAAATGCATTCTTTGGGAAGAGTGGTAACCATTTCATTTCATAGTCTTTGGTACTCTCAAACTAGACAACAGAATATGCTTATGTAAAGAAAAGCAAATTTCTCCTTTCATCTTATTAGGTCGAGCTGGCTGAAAAGCTCCCGCATGTGGAATCCCTCTGTATACATGAAATGATTGTTCGGGCATACAAGCATATACTGCAGGCTGTTGTAGCAGCTGTTGAAAACACTGCTGATGTGGCCACCTCAATAGCATCATGCTTAAATGTCCTATTGGGAACACCGTGTGACACTGAGAGTGAAAATGATGAAAAAATAAAGTGGACCTGGGTAGAAACGTTCATTTCCAAGAGATTTGGGTGGAACTGGAAGCATGAAGGCGGCCAAGAACTGAGAAAATTCGCCATTCTTAGAGGACTGTCACACAAGGTTTGCGACTCTCAATTAACTTGTTTGTTTTCAACCGCGACAATCTAACCTTAGATTCTGACATGCTGCTTCACCTATCGGCTTAGGTTGGACTGGAGCTAGTTCCCAAAGACTATGAGATGGACACTTCATACCCATTTAAGAAGTTGGATATTATCAGCATGGTTCCTGTGTATAAGGTACAATGCGTAACTATCTTACTTTGGTAATCAGCTATAGAAAAAAGTAAACATTTTCAGCGACTTAAGAGCTTTGCTCTTGCGTGCAGCACGTAGCTTGCTCATCCGCTGATGGACGCACTTTGTTGGAATCATCCAAAACTTCCTTAGATAAAGGCAAACTGGAGGATGCTGTCAATTATGGCACCAAGGTAACTGATAATTTTTCACTAATCTTATTATATACTAACCATGTAATGAAGCTTATTTCTCTTTGAAAATCCAATTATCGGCATGCCCTCCATCTGTCCCACCCATTATATTTGCCCTTCTTCTGTGAACATTGTTTTTATTATCTAGCTTTCCTCATCTTTTATCCGTATCAACCATTTTTTTCTTTTCCAGAACTACCATAGACTAACTGAGTAGGCATTTTAGCACCATGTATATATTGAATCAACGAGTTTTGTTATGGGAAAAGATGTTTTTTTATGTGAAAGAATCAACCCTTCAGCGTAATATTTCGTTTCTCTTGTTCGAACGGTTTAAGTAAGTTGATATTCTGGGATGACTCCATAGGCATTGGCGAAGCTTGTAGCAGTGTGCGGCCCATATCATAGAATGACCGCAGGAGCATATAGTCTTCTTGCTGTTGTGTTGTACCACACCGGGGACTTTAACCAGGTATTCACTTTGAAAGAACTAGGACTGTCTCCTAGGCATCGCTCTACTTCCTTTGCAGACGAATATCTCTGCTGCAACTAAACCCGTTGTAATTTTTTCAGGCTACCATTTACCAGCAGAAAGCACTCGACATAAATGAAAGGGAACTTGGACTAGATCATCCAGACACAATGAAAAGCTACGGCGACCTGGCTGTCTTCTATTATCGTCTTCAGCACACAGAGTTAGCGTTGAAGTATGCTCTCTGCAGTCTGCATTTCCCAAAGCCGAAGCCTACAAATTAATTGCTTCGATCTGCTAACATGTTATTGTTGTTGTAGGTACGTGAACCGTGCATTGTACCTTCTGCACCTAACATGTGGGCCGTCACATCCAAATACAGCTGCCACTTATATTAATGTAGCGATGATGGAAGAAGGTTTGGGGAATGTCCATGTGGCTTTAAGATACCTTCATGAAGCGTTGAAATGTAACCAGAGACTACTCGGAGTTGATCATATCCAGGTTGGTTTCAAGCAAGGACTTCTGTCAAACCGACATCCATAAACTTATATTTTGTTCGGAAAAAGGAAACTAAATGAGTTATAGTTGGCTGAAAGTCAAACCGGATAAAGTTTAATAATGTAGTTAAATCCATGCCATGAAGGCTTGAGCTTGATTACTAAATTTCACATTTGAAGCTAAATGATGCTCTAACACATGAATTTACTTCTGTTACGTCTTTTTTTCAGACTGCTGCAAGCTACCATGCCATTGCCATTGCTCTTTCGCTGATGGAAGCATACTCCTTGAGCGTCCAACATGAACAGACCACTCTACAGATTCTACAAGCAAAACTAGGCCCTGAGGATCTTCGGACACAGGTGCTTAATTAGTTACGATTTACAGGGAGTTTAAGTTTGAAAGTTTCTTACGCTCCAGAACTGTCTTAGGATGCGGCTGCTTGGCTGGAGTACTTCGAGTCTAAAGCTCTGGAACAGCAAGAAGCTGCACGAAATGGTACTCCCAAGCCAGACGCCTCTATTTCCAGCAAAGGGCATCTCAGGTATTACAACAATAGTCTTTTACAAATTGTACATGGGGGCCAAAACATATAAATAGAACTGACTATTTTCCTAGTACAAATTTTTGTCTTGTGTAAACTCTTGTCCTGAGTATGTAACCATGAGCTTTCTTCCCAATAACAGTGTATCGGACCTGTTGGATTATATAACCCCGGATACTGATCTCAAAGCAAGGGATGCCCAAAGGAAAGCTCGCCTGAAGGTCAGTCATATTTGCTTTCCGCTGACTTAGTCCATCTTTTTTATTGAACTGCTCTCATTAATAAGGCGTGACAGATATTTTGATCGTAATGTTTCATTCAGGTCAAGGGAAGACCAGGGCAAAGTCCAGGACCTGTGTCAGAAGAAAATCAGAAAGATAATGAAATTCTGGCTCCGAGTCATATCACTGTGGAGAGTTCAAGTGACAAAGAGAACAAATCCGAAGCCAAATCTGAAGAAACAAAGGTTGAGAAGCGTGATTTGGAACCTCAGGAGCAGCTGGTTAAGCTCGAGTCTACAGCCCAAGAAGATGAGGACTCTGACCAAGGATGGCAAGAAGCTGTCCCGAAAAACCGTTCTTCTGGGCGTAAAACCCGGCCCAGCCTGGCAAAGCTGAACACAAACTTCATGAACGTGACCCAACAGACATCAAAAAGCAGAGGAAAATCCACTAATTTCGCATCCCCAAGGACTAGTTCAAATGAGCTTTCAATTTCTGCTGCTGGTTCTACATCCCAGCACGCGAAGAAGCTGCTTTCAAAAAGCCCAAGTTCGAACAGAAAGCCAAACAGTCCCAGTATCGTGGTAGAACGACCAGTCAACGATAAGGCAATCCCAGCTTCCACTGAACAGATCAACAAGCCAACTCCGATGGTGAGTCCTGTGAGTGTTAAAGCTGGAAAATTGTTTTCTTATAAGGAGGTTGCACTGGCACCCCCTGGAACCATTGTGAAAATAGTTGCGGAGAAGTTGGCAGAAGAAACGACTGCCCCAGAGAATTTGAATTCGACAAAAGTTGCAGTAGATGGTCCTGAGAAAGTTAAAGTTGAGGATGTAGAAAGTGAGAATAAGCTTGTGGTCACAGAAACGGGAGCGAAAAATGCTGATAGCGATGAACAAGGAGAGGTGGTTGTTGGTGGATCGGAGTTGATGAGTTCACCAGGGGAAATCAAGAATGTGGAGGCTGAAAAGGAAGCAGCAGAAGCAGTTCAAAAAGAGACAGTCGTATCAGATGCAAGACAAGGAAACTCTGAGAGTGTAAAAACGGCTGAGGAATCAAATAAGTCAACAACAACAACAAAAGATTCAAATGGAAATGGACCTGCAACCGGAGTGAAGCTAGAGGAGGATGTCTCTGATGCTGAACTAAAAGCAGTAGATGGCGAAACAAAAGATAGCCCGAAGTCATCAGTAGCTGCAGATGGAGAAAAGCAAGACGCATCCGAGGCACAAAAGGAGAAGAAGCTCTCTGCTTCTGCACCACCGTATACCCCGACGACCATTCCAATTTTTGGGTCGATTACAGTTCCTGGATTCAATGACCATGTGGGAATCCTTCCCTCCCCACTGAATATGCCACCAATGCTTCCTGTAAACCACGTCCGCAGGTCAAGTCCTCATCAGTCGGTAACAGCTCGAGTTCCCTATGGGCCAAGGCTCTCAGGTGGTGGTTACAACCGATCCGGAAACAGGGTTCCGCGTAACAAACCAAGCTTCCCCAGTAGCACTGAGTCCAATGGCGACGCTAATCAATTAAATGGCCCAAGAATAATGAACCCTCATGCTGCTGAGTTCATACCGAGTCAACCTTGGGTTTCTAATGGCTATCCAGTGTCACCAAACGGCTATTTGCTATCCCCAAATGGGGCGGAAATAACACAAAATGGGTACCCTCTGTCACCAGTAGCAGGTGGATATGTGTGTAACATACCTGCACAGCCTCAGAATGGGCTTGTTATGCCTACACCACTGGCTTTGGAGGAGTTGCCTGGTGCAGAAAGCTCTGAGGAGAAGAGTGGAAGCGAAGAAGAGAGCAACAACGAGAAGAAAGTTGCAGAGGATGAAGAAGCCACTGCACAAGAAACTGAAGAGACTCTTGAAAATGGGCACTCCACAGTAGGTGAAGAAAAACCCACAGCACCTGAGATATCTGACAAGAAAAATGGGGAAGGACATGGAGGCAAGTGCTGGGGAGATTACAGCGACAACGAAGTTGAGCAAATCGAAGTCACAAGTTGAAGAAGCAACTTTCTTTCATTGAAGTATTAACATTGAGGCTAAAGGAATGGAGAGAGATTTGGCTCCATGGATGAGGTTGAGTTACATAATCATATCATAGTTCCCAAGAAACTCGAAGGAAGCATTTTCTACACATGAATGTTTTGTGTTGCGGTGCAGGACCAAGATTCGTCACTCCTGCTTTAACAACTTTTCTTCTTCTTTCAGTTTTTGGTTTCCATAGCAGAAAACTAGAAATATTCAACTCCTTACGGGAGCCTCCTGAATAAACATTTGTCCCTTTTGTTTCGTTGTTTCTTTCTGTTGATTAAGTATGAATAGTGTCAGGCCATGACTATTTCTCTGCGCAAGAAGATACATCATGGGATAAGAAATAGCTCATGGCCTCCCAAAATGAGAATATTGTGTATATCTTTTCCTTGTATTTGAGAGCTTGAGGGTTCAATTTTGTAAGAATTTTAAGAGAATCTATGTTTCTCGTTTAATTGCAGCACATCATCTCCTTTCCTAATGAAAATATGGTCAACTTGGAAGACAAAGATGTGTCTTTACTCCAACACAGAGAATAGATTATGAAATAATTAATGTCAAAGGATAAGCTGAGACCCTTTGTTAGGTAAACAATGTTACAACAGGTTTGATGGCATTTCCATCATACTATATAAAACTAAGAAGAAGGCACCTTCTCCTGAAACATTTTTGAATGCTGTTCCAAGTATTCTTTGCTGTTCATCTCAGTTAATCTGTGGCACGCATCAGAGATCATGAGACAAGACAACAAAACAGAGTTAAAGGCAACAGTTGCTCGGATCGTACCTGCTAATGGTCCGGTCTTTAGCAAAACCAAGCTCGTTGTCCACACATAGGTCGAGATCATCACTCTTCCTTGATCTTGCAGAGGTTCTAGGTGCTATTTGCTGCGCATCAGAGATTGTCACTATTCTCTCCAGCAGTTCTAGAGGGCTACCCTCTGCTGTACACAGGAGCCTGGCTTTGGTTTCATACATCACCTTTAAGTAGTTGAGAAAGCAATTTTGTCAAAAAAAGAGACTCCTAAAAATTAAATGTAGAAAAGAGAGGTGAAGCGAGAGATATACATCAATCAGCGCCACAAAACGGTAAGCTGCAGTCCTATTGTGAAGGCCGAACATGGGTACACCTTCCAGAGCCAATGTATGAAATTTCTCTGCGGTGGAATTTGCATCTCAAGACTAAGCAGCATGAAAGAGCTCTAGTGCAATGACAAAATAATGATGTTTATGGTGTTCGCTTACTGAATAATCCGAGGTAATCGGCTGGGCCTAGGGGTCTATCACACAGCTCTTCAAAAAGAAAGTAGGCACACCCATCGGCAGCCAGTGGAACCTGGCATTCAACAATATAAGAGTACATCAGATAAGCTATTGATTAAAATGGTGTCTAGAGGTTCTCGTCCCTAATCAATCAACAGAATCCATGTGAAGCACTTATCAGCACAAAAATTGTGAAATGTAAGTTGATGCATCAGTGAAAGAAGAAGCAAGAAACCTGCAATTTCCTTCCCATTACGACTTCAACCACTTGAGGACCGGCCGGTTGATCGCCAACCAGCAGTTGAAACTTCTGTTTAAGAAGGCCAGAAATATCCTTTCCAATGAAGTAGAACCCCTCTTCAGCCTGCACCCAAGAGTATATCGCCATAAGATTGCATTTACGTTGCAAGAAAACTAAGACTGAGTTACTGAGGGAATTGAAATCACGTACAGAGGTCAATTTCCGATAGTCCACCGATGAACCAATTTCACGAACCACACATCTTTCCTACAACAATTGCTTCTCAGTATCAGAAACACAGCATAATGGATCACATGAAACGAGTTATAGCGTTGATAGTAACAGTCTCTTGCATTTGCATACCTTTAGTGTGGCGATAAAGGGAAGGAAGAGGTCTCTCTGTAAACCCCTCTCATAGAGATTATCTGGAGCACGGTTTGATGTAGCAACAAGAACCTACACTTGCCTCCAGTTACCGACATGATTAAACTTTTAAATAACTGTAGGTGTAGGTGCCAAGAGGTTTGAATAGGTGAGAGAGACGAAGGTTTTAGAGATTACTTACAATGCCATTGTTAAACAAGTGTTTAAAAAGACGGTTAAGTATCAGAGCATCAGCGACATCATTGACCTTTTCACAACAAATAAAGCAATAAAGAAAGGTGAGTTACCCTGAACAAAGTTTTACACAGTGAAGATGGGCGTCACGCCGTCACATACCATGAACTCATCTAAGCAAAGTAATATAGCCTCGTCGGCTATTTCCAAACCAACGACTTCAAGTGGATCTTCAAGACCTTTGTGTTTCTGCAATAAGATATCCAAATGACGCAGAGTTTGAGCACCAGAGCTTATTGCAAGCCTTATAGCTTAAAAAAAGAAGCAAGACTTGGAACTGGAATCTTACTTGAAGGCGGCTATGGACACTAAGCATGAAGTTGTGAAAGTGAATCCTTTGAGTTCTCCAACTAGCTGGCCTATCCCGGTTTAAACAAGGATCAGATGAATTCATACAAAAGGTATGTAGAAAATATATACGAATTGTCATCTCCTCCTACTTACAATTGATGAAAAAACAAGTCCATGAGCATAGTCTTCCCAGTTCCCACTCCTCCATACAAGTATAAGCCTTTGACGGGAGAGGCAGAAGAGTGAGACACAAATTTGTTCCAGAACCAATTACTCCTGGGGATATATACAACAAATGAAATCCCATCAACAACATTTCTTAATACAAACAATGCAATACAGATGAATGGAAATATATGAAACCTTGTGGGTTTTGCGGATGCGGAATAACGATCTAAACGACAAGCATCAGCGGATTGAACAAGCTCGTTGTAGAGTCTCTGAAGTTCTCTTAAGGTAGCAAGCTACAACAACAACAAAAAGAAACAAGCTTCAGCATCGATTTCACTAGAGAAATGAGAATTTAAGATGAGAGGGATATACCTGACATAAATCTCCATCCAGAAGCTCTCCAGCTACAATTCTGCGTTCATACTCCACTAGAGGCCCTGCAACTTTCTCATCTCCATTGGGATGTGCGATTGAAGAGAACAGGGAATGATTGGGAAAGTAAACAAGGGATGAAGAAGGCGAGCTGGGATTGGTTGGGATCAAAGGAGAATCACGAAAAGGAGCGAAAGCGTATCGTTGATGCCTCGAGAGTGGAGTTACGCGGCGAAGGGAGAGAAGAAGCGATCGCATGGTGGAGGTGTGAGATTTTTTGGGAGCATGAGGATTGAGAATGAGAGAGAATCGGAAAACCGTAAGGATAATCAGATGATGGCGGATTCAACAAAGAAGCAGACTCGTAACGATGCACCTCCCTCACTACTTCTCTCACCGTTGGAGAAGACTCTCCGAAGTCTCAAACTGTAGTCCGTAGCGAGATCCCAAAATGAAATTGGTCAAACTAAACCGGTTCATATCATATCGTTCCACTAAACCAGATTTAGCTCATCAAATCGACGACACTCGAACACTACATGTACTTGGAAAAACATTATATTGTCTCATTTAACAAAATTTTATATATTCGTTAATCGAAAATTAATACCTTAAAAAGCCATTTGCAAATAAGATTTGATTGCTGATCAACACGATATAAGCGGTGCAATATTGAGATCGAAACATAAAAGCTTAATCTCATCACGGGAATCAGTTAATGTAATACTACTACTGAACTGTGTATGAGTGAAGAAAAAGAGAAGACTTGAACTGTGTCAGACGGTTCGTACCACAGCTCCCCAAAAAAAACAAAGCCTAAAATAATATTAGGCCCAAAAGGAAGCCCAACAGTGAAAAACGGCCTCATTAGCTTATTTTTCTAGGGATTTAGTAGACGATAGATATTTTACAAAGAGAGTACTCTATCTGTCTCTCTCTATGAATACAAAACCCATTGGTAGCCCATACTCGGCCCAACTCCACTTGTGTGTGCTTGGGCTTAAGAGCTCACACCACTCTCATGGTCTTTTTGGCGAAGATTCTCACTCATTCGAATGTTATTTCGATGTTTTTTTTTGCTTGTTCGGCTGTTGCTGAAATGTCAACAGAAAAAGCGTCAGGTATTTTCAGATCCCTAAACCCTAATCATTATCAGGTCTTAAAACATTATTAGTCTCTTAAACATTATCAGATTCATTGTTCAAAAGTCGTTACAGCTTTTTTTTTTTGACAACCTTTTTGATTCTGAACTTTTCCGTTAAAGAAGCTCCCCGCGTCTAGCTTTTTCAACAGAAAAGTTCAGAATCAAAGAGTTTGTAAAAAAAAAACCCCGAACGACCTTTGAACAATAAACCTGATAATGTTTTAGGACCTGATAATGCTTTAGGACTTGATAATGTTTTAGGGTTTAGGGACCTGAAAATACCTGACGATTTCTCTGTTGACACTTCAGTGACAGCCGAACAAGCCAAAGAAGACAACGAAATAACCTCTGACGAGTGAGGGATCTTCGCCAAAAAGATCATCAGAGTGGTGTGAGCTCTTAAGCTCAAGCACACACTGTGTGGACTGGGCCAGGTATGGACTACCAATGAGCTTTGTATTCAGAAAGAGCGAGAGAGACACAAAGAGTACTCTCTTTGTAAAATATCAATACTTCCACTTGTGCGGTCTCTGGCCTGAATACATGAAACATTGTCTCTCTCTGTTGTTCTAACACTTCGGCCATCAATCGATATGGTATCTTGTTCAAAATCTTTCCGAGAACTCAACTTTTTCAATATGGAATAGACTATATTCCCTCTGTGATTATCCAAGAAACCTTGTGGGTTTTGCGGATGCGGAATAACGATCCAAACGACAAGCATCAGCGTATTGAACAAGCTCGTTGTAGAGTCTCTGAAGTTCTCTCAAGATACCAAGCTACAACAACAACAACAAAAGAAACAAGCTTTAAGCATTGATTTCATTAGAGAAATGAGGAATTTAAGATGAGAGGTATATAGTATACCTGACATAAATCTCCATCCAGAAGCTCTTCAGCTACGATTCTCCGTTCGTATTCCACTAGAGGCCCTGCAACCTTCTCATCTCCATGAGATGTGCGATTGAAGAGAATAGGGAATGATTGGGAAAGTAAACAAGGGATGAAGAAGGCGAGCTGGGATTGATTGGGATCAAAGGAGAATCACGAAAAGGAGTAAAAGCGTATCGTTGATGCCTCGAGAGTGGAGTTATGCGGTGAAGGGAGAGAAGAAGCGATCGCATAGTGGTGGTGTGAGATTTTTTGGGAGCATGAGGATTGAGAATGAGAGAGAGGTAATCGGAAAACCGTAAGGATAATCAGATGATGGCGGATTCAACAAAGAAGCAGACTCGCAACGATGCACCTCCCTCACTACTTCTCTCACTGTTGGTGGAGAAGACTCTCCGAAGTCTCAAACTAGTCTGTAGCGAGATCTCAAAATAAAATTAGTCAAACTAAACTGGTTCATATCACATCGTTGATCGTTCCACTAAACCAGATTTAGCTCATCAACTCAGACTACATGTACTTGGAAAAACATGATATTGTCTCATTTTGTCATTTAACAAAATTTTATATATTCGTTAATCAAAAATTAATACCTTAAAAAAGCCATTTGCAAATAAGATTTGAGTGCTGATCAACATGATATAAGCGGTGCAATATTGAGAATAATGAGATCGAAACATAAAAGCTTAATCTCATCATGTGAATCAGTTAATGTAATACTACTACTGAACTGTGTATGAGTGAAGAAAAAGAGAAGACTTGAACTGTGTCAGACGGTTCGTACCATAGGTCCACAACATGGCACAGTGCACACCATCGAAAAACAATTTGAGGCAAACAATAAATAAGGAAGGTAAAAAAACAAAGCCTATATATTAGGCCCAAATGGGAGCCCCATAGTGAAAACGGCCTCATTGGCTTATTCTAGTCGTCGCCGGAGAGAAAGTTGGCGATTTGCAAACTTCATTTTCAATAATCCGACTGCGTCTCCTCTTTCTCCTACCACCCAACCAAAACTTGTCAGCCATGGAGGATGAGGTGATCTTTCATCTTTTTTCCAATTTTTTTATTTATTTATTTATTCAGTACATATATGATTTTAGCTCTGTTTACCGCCGGAGATTGTAGATAAAGGACTCGGAGGAGTCGGAAACTTTTGTTTCGAAAATTCGACCTCCATACGAGATCTGAGTGATCACTTCTTATGCTTTCGTTAAACTTAGATGCCCATTAGATTCTTTGTATGGAATTCGATCTGATGAAATTTAGCTGCTCGGCGATCTGGCTTTTTTTCACTCATCCTCCTCTCTCGTTTCTGCTTCCTTTGACGACCTGTTGGTTGAGACGACCTGAGTTTTTTTTCCGCCTAATCGATGGGAAATTCCCTTAGATAGAGAAAGACATCTTATTACATTAGAATTGTATAATAGGTGTGACAGTTTTCTGTCAGATCGTTATTTCTCAAAAACGTAGCTTTGTTGCTTGTGTTGTTTGTTCAGTATGGTAGAGTTAGATTAGGAATTGAAAGGGAAGGCAAGATGAAGCTTTGAATTCTAAAAGAAGTTGTTTATATCTGATTGTATTGGAATTGTATGACAGGGATGGAGATTTTCTGTCAGAAGAATTTCTCAAAAGCGTTTTTGTTTGCTTGTCTGTGACAATATGGTCGAGTGGATTAGGAATTCAAAGGGAAGAAAAAGACGAGACTTTTGAAACCTAAACGACATTTTTTATAAAAAAAGTTGCATTCTTTTCTCGATAGGTTTTATCTTTGCGAGTCACTAGGTAGTGTGTATAATATCGGGTGTCTTAACCTGTTTTTGTGTGTTGAATTAGATTGAACTGAAAACTGCTCCTGCTGATTTCCGGTTCCCTACAACGAACCAAACAAGGCACTGCTTCACCCGTTACATTGAGTTCCACAGGTACTCTTGTTCAAATGTTACATTGAGTTTCAACACCTAGTCTTGTTTAATTCATTATAACTTCTACAAACAAAACCATATCTGCAGGTGCACAACTGCAAAAGGTGAGGACTCCAATGAATGCGAGAGGTTCGCCAAGTACTACCGTGCACTCTGCCCTGGAGAATGGGTTTGTACTTTTATGTTTCTGCTTCACACTTCTTCTTATTATCATCTTTCTTTACCTACACATCCTCTTAACAAGTTTTGTCATCTTTTCGCAGGTTGACAAATGGAATGAGCAGAGAGAGACCGGAACTTTCCCTGGCCCTCTCTGATTTTGGGCAAATAAGCTCTCTCTCTCTCTATCATTTTATATTTCGAGGCCAAAAAGGTTGTGTTTACGATCCTGAATACTCTTGTTTAGCGCTTTCTTTGAATGATCTAAATATTCATAAATAAATTGCAAGACATTCTTTGGATTCATGTCCTGAATTCTATCGTTTTTAATTCTCGAAGCAATTTTGTCATTTCCAACAATTTGAGGGTGTGATTTGCAAAAGCTTTTCATTGAACAAAAGTTTATTAGTTAAACACACGACGAGTAATTAATTAACCTAGCTGTCGTTGACTAGTCCTACAACTCTTGAAAATCAATTTGAACCGTTTATAATTCCCTAACAGATTTCGTAACGGACAAACCTCTCTCCCAGTTGCGTAAGATCTGAATTCGGCGAAAAAACTCACCTTTTATTAGTTTCCGCTTTCGAACAAAAAAAAACTCTCCTCCGCCGTAAAAAGACCAAAACCAAAAATGGTTCAGTGTAGCAACAATCTCCTCGGGATCCTCAACTTCTTCACCTTCCTCCTCTCAATCCCCATCCTCTCCGCCGGGATCTGGCTCGGCAAAAATGCAGCCACCGAGTGCGAGCGTTTCCTCGACAAACCAATCGTCGTTCTCGGAATCTTCCTCATGTTCGTCTCCATCGCCGGCCTCGTCGGCGCCTGCTGCCGAGTCTCCTGCCTCCTCTGGCTGTACCTCTGCGCCATGTTCCTCCTCATACTCCTCGGGTTCTGTTTCACAATCTTCGCCTTCGCCGTGACCAACCGCGGCGCCGGCGAGGTTTTGTCCGATAGAGGGTATAAGGAGTACCGTGTCGGCGATTACTCCAATTGGCTGCAGAAGCGAGTCAGCAACGCTAAGAATTGGGATCGGATCAAGAGCTGTTTGGTTTACTCCGGCGTGTGCTCCACTTACAACAGCCGCTACGCCACCGTCACCGTTAACGACTTCTACAAGTCCAATCTCAATGCCCTTCAGGTTGACATTCTCGATCCGATCCGGTTTTGTCTATCTGCAATTGAGACTTTTCGCTGATTTTCCTTTTTTTTTTCAAATCTTATGAATCCACCTTTATGATTCAGCCTGCTAAAGCACTTTTGCTTTTTAAGAACAAAAGCTTAATTTTAATGCTCATGGATACAAATACAGACGCTTTTTCAAAAAGATTTGAGTCTTTTAGAGATTTCCTTTTGATCAAATTCCCTTTTACAGAGTTTCAGATGAGTCTGAAAAACAGCTTTTAGATTCGAACCAATAGTGATGTTAACTATATCTATTACATTGTAAACTCTGGTAACAGTTAGCTGCATTTTCTTATGTAACATGAAACCTAAGCTTATTTGATTTTCACCAAGCCCCTTTTTTTGTTTTGTTTTGGTCTCACTTGTGTAGTCTGGTTGCTGTAAGCCGTCCAACGACTGCAACTTCACCTACGTGGGCCCAACTAATTGGACCAAGACCGCTGGTCCATACACGAACGACGACTGTAATGTCTGGGACAACAAACCGGGAACTCTATGCTACAACTGCCAAGCCTGCAAAGCTGGTCTGCTCGACAACCTCAAGAACTCGTGGAAAAAAGTGGCTCAGGTGAACATTGTCTTCCTCGTATTCCTCATTGTCGTCTACTCCGTTGGTTGTTGCGCCTTCAGGAACAACAGGAAACGCAGCTATTATTAGATCCTTATGCGTTGAGATAGTAGAGATGCCTTCCTAACCAAGACTGAGACCAAAAAAGATATCTGAAGTGCCATCATCTTGACTCTCGAGTAAGTAAAATGCAGCCTTTTAAGAACAACTCGTTGATCGCTTGTCTTGTGTGTGTGAGTTTGCATTTCAATGTATTTTTTCTGTTCTCTCTCTTTAAAATGTCAAACATATGAATGAATGAGTTACAAAAGCCACTTTCTTTGTCTTTCTATTTCGAGTCTTTTTGTGCGTGGAGTAGCTTCTACTACATATGTTTCTATTTCGAGTCTTTTTGTGCGTGAACTGACTTTAATTGAATCTACAAAAGAAGAGGCTCTAAGAGCTCCGAACTACGAAAGGCCTTATCACCAATCAAAACAGGAACAAAGTCAGATTGGGAGAGATTTGTGTCTTCGTTTTGCAGTTTCAGGTCTGTGTTGTCTTCTTGATAGTCTTCGGATTTGCCCCACAGAACAATGTAGAGACCGAGTATGACAGCCAAAGCTCCCAGCAGGCTGCAAAAAATCAAGCAAAACAGATAAATACTTTGATTTCAGAGCTTCGCTGTAAGAAAAGTGACCAATATGGTGTACCTCCCCAAGTAAGTCTGTTCTTTTAGATACAGAGCGCCGAAGAAAGTGACAATGACTGTAGATAGAGGATTGAAGAGAGCAGAGAAGAGAGGTCCTTTCCTCGAGACACACCAAGCTTGTAGAAAGAAAGAAACAGCTAGTTGGAGTCCAGAGTATATGCAGCATGAGAGCTTCAACGAGGAATCAAGCTTCCAAGAATGTAAGTCAGTGTTGCCAAGGGAGAGAGCCATGATGAAAGAGGCTATGGTAGCCATGAAACAAGTGCAGGAGGAAGTGTACAAGTGATCAGGACAGTGAGCGGCAATGGGAACCTGAAGGATCAACCAGAGGGACCAAGCGAACGTGCTAACGAGAAGAAAGAAGCAACCGAGTAACCAAGTGGTGTTGTCTTGGTGCAGCAGGGCGTTGAGCAGTTTAGGGCCTCTGAGAAAAGTCATTGCCATGGCTCCTCCCACACACACACCTGTTCCTATCACCTTTGCTAGACTTTTCACACTTCTCCTCCTTATCGTCTCGAATCTGCGACAAACATCCAATATCATAAGTCATAACCAATATCATAAGCCAAATCATGAATATGAACTCGTTATATGTACACACGTATTGATATAATAAACACAGACCCAACAATGATGGAGATGATGAAGGTGACGGCAGGAATAAGATTGGTCATGGCACAAGCCATGGAAGAAGAAGAAAAGTCAATCCCTGCAAAATACGCGTTCTGATTCACAGACACACCAATAACAGCCGTGAAGGCCACCCACCAAAAGCCTCTCACTCCAAGAGAAGGTTTACTTGCTTTTCTCCTATTTTTTGCCATTCACAAAAAAACGCATGGAAAATGAATGGGTTTTCATTTCAAGTCTTTTTGATATGTAAATTTGATGCCTGCTTATATTATAGATGCGGATAAGAGTTAATCTATTAATTGCAAACCGGAATAGATTTAGGAATGTGAATAGTGTTTGCTCCTGATGAATCTTACATGGATGTTCATTTCAAGTCTTGGTCCATACATTCATGTGATCGATGCAATATTATCAAAGGATGGATCAAACGTAAACATACCAAGCGGAGAAGAAAGAGATGGGGCAGATGAAGAGAGTAGCGACGGCTTGACGGTAAACAACGAAAACGGTGGGATTGAGTCCTTCCATGAAAGCAGCTTTGGTGAAGAGTGCAACTCCTGCCGATGTAAACTGCAGCATCACTAACGCCATCACCGGCTTGTATTTCTCCATCTCTCTCTCTTCTTTTTCTTTTTAAGATCTAACATCACTAATCTCTCATTACAGACTCTCGGCTGTATATATATCAAATATGTAAATACAAATAGATACATGTGTCTCGCGTGTGTGTGAATGATGTGATAGGAAAAATCAACAAACCGGGCAGCCGCGTATTGAGATAATAATCAGTTATATTATATCTCTAGAATATGTAAGCTTATATATTGGCGAAGTCTTAAAAAGAATAAATCAGAAGAAAACAAAATTTATAGGGTGAAATGAAAAAAAAATTAATAACTTAACTGAAAATTGTGGAAAGGTTGTAGAAGAGATTATGAGCTTTTATTTTGTCATTTATACTACAAAATGACTCTGAGGCAAGCGGAAAATTGGATCCAGATATTTTCGTTGAAAGAACAACAACAAATATATAATGAGTGATTACGGTTTCGAAATTCCGCATCACAAAGTAGGCAAGAAGTTATACTTTTCTCTCTAGCCAAGAAGAGCCTATGATTTTAATGAGTCGCAAAAATGTTTGGCACGATGAGTGGCGCGATGTTCGAACCAAATAATTCTGGTATACTAACCACTATGGTCCACCATTACAGTATACTATAATTGCCACACATGCACATGATGATACAGTCTATACAGATGTTTTATATAGGTGACACAGAACACAATTATGGAAATAGATAAAAGATCATATGCGTGAACGTGTCATTTAGTTAATTGGTCGATTTGTCTTCTTATGTCTATCCACTAATAGTAAAGTAGGGTTTTTTTTCTATTATTGCTGAAATGATTTGTATTTTTCCATTGGTATTTTTGTGGACCAATAAGAATTGGATGCATGAGAGAAGAGATGCAATCATAGGATAATGACAAAGACTCTGACTCATGATACACCTCATCTTCACATCCTCATTCTAATCTTTCCAGACTTTGTAACTCTATATCTTTGAGTAACACATCATCATGCATGAACTAGCTCTACTTGCTCATATTAATTATTTGATTGTATTACGTAATAGAAACTCTCCAAACTTATTTTCTATGTCAACCAAATTTCATTTGGTAGATTATTTTTACCATAACGACAGAGAAATTTGATTAGGTATATTCAACTGATGACAATCAAACGTGTGTTGTAGCGATAAGAACAATGTTTTTTGTTTGTTTGTTTGTTAATGACATTGATTTGGTATTGTGTGGCTGCTCTTTCTTTCTGATGATACTAAATACTAACAGATTTTTTTTTTTTTTTTTGTAAAAATGTAGCAGAAGAAAACTATGGGCTCATATCGGGCCCAAAATGAAGCCCAAATATTCGAGCTTGAAGCTTAGCAAGAAGCTGAGGACGTGGTTAGTCCGCGAAAATGGCGTTTCTGTGTTCGTCTCTTCCAAGTTCATCCTCTATCGCCATTTTCCGAGAGTCAAGCACTGATGGACTCCGGTCGTCGCCGTCGATTCCTTCCTGTAGGTTCCGGTTACGTCCGGTTTCTGCCTCCCACATTTGTGCTCCAGCGATCGACAGGTCGACGATCGTCATATCCGAAACGGCGTCGGAGGAGGAGCTTTGGGCTGCAGCTTGCCTCCGCGTGCGGACCTTCAACGAATTAAACCCTTCTGCTTACAATATCCAAGTCAGTTCTTCTTTCTATTGAGATAAATTAAGAACAAAATTAAGGAATTCGTCTCATAAATGCAAACTCCCTTTACTTTGAACCAATAGCTCATAGCTGAAATTTTTCTTCTAGAATTCATGGAGGAAATGAAAATTTGACTTTGGAACCATGCGTGTATAGTAGGAAGATCTATTAGGTATCTTTAGACTGTGGGGGTGTACATAGTCAAGATGATCTCTAATGAGATAGAAGTCATGTTACCATGTGGATGCTTTTGAGTGCTTCTTTGGTTTGAGCTTTGAAGTGTTTTCTCTTTAGGGCTGCTTGGCTTTATCTTTCATTTGTTCGTATGCTGATGTTACATTTTGCTGTTCAAGTTCCATTAGGATCACAGAAGATACTTGGCAGAGCGTGAGTTCGAGGCGCTTAAGGAGAGGATTTCAGGAAAGAGGGAAGGGTTTACGAGGGTATCATGCGTAAACGCTACCCTTCCATTGTCGCAACTATCAATTTCCTCTGAGGATTTAAGCTCTGCATGTAAGGTCTGTCTATTCAATTTACCTGTGCATCTCTGTAAAGTTGGTGTAAATACACTTTCCATGGGGATTTTAAGATGGTTTCTTTGCTCTGCATGCTCAATTGTCATTTTGTTGTTAGCTTCATTGTCTTTGATAGACTGCGTGAGGCAGGCTCTCGCAGAAAGGTCGTTGCTTTAGGTTCTAATATGGATTTGTGCTATATGCTTCATCTCAGTTCTCTGATGGTATAGAAGATAGAGTTGTGGTGGGGAGCCTTGATCTTAACCAATGCCGTTGGCTTCCTGATGAAATCGCTGGAACAAAACCAGAGGTATCTGATGTTACCACCTCTGTATATAACAAATCAAAAAGGGTCGCTTAAATCCGATTGAGAACAAGCTTGTAGTCCCTTTTTCTTTGTTTGTTATATAGGGGTATGATGTGGATTTTGCGAGGGCATACTTGAGCAACGTCTGTGTTGCGAAAGAGCTGCACCGTAATGGAGTTGGTCACAAACTCATTGAGAAGTCTAAGGGAGTTGCTAGAGAATGGGGTAAGAAACGTTGAATCAAACTCATAGAGGCCTCTTTTATTTGGACTTTTGAAAAAAAAAAGAGTTGTGAAAAATGGTTCAGGGATAACGGATATGTACGTGCATGTGACGGTGAACAATGAAGCAGCAAAGAGGCTGTACATGAAAAGTGGGTTCGAGCAAGAGAGCGCTGAGCCGGCGTGGCAAGCTCGATACCTTAACAGGCCGCAAAGGCTCCTCCTCTGGCTCTCACTTCTTACCTCCTGAATCTTTGTCCAAAATGTAAAATCTATTCACTAATCAAATTTGTAACATATTCTGGCAATCAATAAAATCACATTATTTAAAGGCTTGTGATTTGTTTCTTCTCGTCCTAAGATTAATTCATTTAGCCAGAAGTATTTACACAGTGCGATGTCTACAAAAACTATACAAATGTTTACCAACATTCTTCACATAATCTTCGGAGCTTTTTTATTGGTTAAGATTTAAGATATCTAATGTATTTTTTTCTTTTTTGGTGGTAGGAAACGACAACGTTCCAATGGACTTTGGTTTCATTGTCCGAACGAATATAAAAACAGAGGAAAACGCTTCGAAATATGAAAGGCTTAGAAATGGTGGTGACGTCTTTCTCTTCACCGCCGCCTATCTTCTTCTCCCTTGGAGCTGATCCTCAGATTTCTTCTTCCAATGGCCGCTTCGCGATTCCTTCGTCTCTCTCTTCCTATTCCCTCGTGTAAGTCTTTCTCTCTCTGAAATCTGTTTTCTCTCCTTCTTGAATTGCATTTCTCCGTTCATATTTTGGTGAAAGTTTTGGATTTTCGGAATGAGCAGCTTTATGTAGTGTTCTGCCCTGCAATTTTTTGTAATTCGTGTTTTGGGTTTTGATTTTCTGTTGTTACGCGCCATGAAATTCTCTGTTTTTACTTTGAATTTGTGAAACCAGAAATCTAATTTGGGTAACTGCTACTAGTGAGACTTCTTTAACTGTGACTTTGGTTTCCTTTCTGTAATTGAATGATGGATGGATCCACGTTTTTTAAAAAATTACCTTTTTTACTAATTTGGCTCAGATGTTGTCTATGTGTATTGCCTAAAATCCATCTCCTTCTGTTCAATAACAATTATCATGTTGAAGATCCAAGTATAATTAAGTAAACAGTTTATTTTCTGGAATCGATTTGATTACAGTTGGATCTGCTTTCATTCCACATATCATACGTGTAATGTGAATGTTTGCTCTTGCGTTTGGGATAAGTTTACTTATTGGTACCCATCTCTTCACACTCTTGGTGTATTGTTAAACTTAAAGCGTCACATTCCGAATTGGTCGTTATTTAATTCACGAGATTTAGCATTCCTCTTTCTACGCTTCTTTCATTTCTTCTCTTACTTACATGTCCTGCGTTTGTTACCTTCTATTCTATTTCCAGCTATATTTCTTCTCTTTTATGACATTTGTCTATCTATAAGCTGGTAATAAGATCATGTGGAAGAAAGTATACAGGCTTAGTTTATCATCAAGTTTTTATTACTACTCTTTTCCCATGTGTGACTCTTCAGGTTTTCATCAAACTCACGAGTCATTGATCAAATGTTATCATTACGTTTGATAATCAAATATCTTCCACAATATTATTGTCCACCATTCATCATATCTTTGTATGTTTTCTCAGAAAGGGACTAAGAAGACACCAAGATGCAAAGCTGGTGGGAAGCAGAGCCAGAGGTGGAGCAGTTCGTGTCCTAGCAAATCCAAATGTATACAACCTTAACCCCTTTTTGCAGCGATATAAAACTAGGATCTAGCTAGATCTCTGTTATACTTTGTAATCCCCTGTTAGTGAAAGTAGGATGGTAAAAAAATTATCTTCTTGTTGGTTAAGTGGACCATCGTGGTTTAAAAGTATCTGCTATGCGTGAGTGTTGTTGTAGGCATCTCCTACTCCAGGGAAAGTAAAGGCAAAAAAAGTGGTAATCATGGTAGATCCTCTCGAGGCCAAACGGTTAGCAGGAAAGCAAATGGAAGAGATCAAAGGCAGAGAGAAGCAACAGAGAAGGCGTGAGATAGAGGCGATAAACGGAGCATGGGCGATCATTGGGCTCTTGATAGGGCTTGTGATCGAAGCCCAAACAGGGAAGGGCATTGTCGCTCAGGTAATACTTTCTTTCTCTCAGTGTTGTTTACAAAAGAAAGAAAGGCTTTTCACTAAGATTGTGGGTTTTTTTTGGTATTGGAACTGCAGTTGGCTGGATATTGGTCTGCGGTTGTGCATATATTCATTCCATCAACACAGAATCTCCCACAGTAGACAAAACTCTTGATGTCTTGTTGAAGTTTTCATTTGTTTTACTCTGAAGTAACTAAAATTTGATGTAAGTTGTTAACTGTGTCTCCTCCTTCACTATGTGCAGACCCTAAGAAGGGTAACACCAACTACATACACGTTTCGGTTCAAATATGAAATCTTTTGGATTTGTATTTACATCAATCAGTAGTGATATGAGTATGCGTGAAGTGAGTGCAATCATCTTATATAAGCCGTATTCAACAAAGTGCAGACCCTAAGAAGAGTGACCGTAAGACGGTGAGAATTCGTAAAACTTGGCGTTAGTGAAGATTCGAGGCACGACCAAATCAATAGTGGCATTTAGACAATAAATGTGACCGCAAATATATATCATTCTCAGTTGTGTAAGTTAATCCTTACAAGAACATAAGATAGGAGAACATTAACCTATTGTCCACTTATACTCTAATTTGGGAGTTTCTTTACCATGTGTGAAGTAAACTCCATCTACTCTAGCATCCCAGAAATTCTGTTTACCATAATGAACGATGACACCACCACCTTCATATGCTCTAAAGCTTGCACCATGCCCGGCACCACGAGGTCCCATCCAATATAAGTTGCACTCGATGATGGTCTTCAAAACACTATCATGAAAACTAAAATCGTAGGTCTGTCCTGGACGCAAAAAGTGAACGCCGAGATCGTCTTGGTCCGATACACAATGAATCCTGAGACTGCTGTCCGGACCAAGAGAACTTTTGAAATGTACAGAGTTTTTCTCGAAAACCGCCGCGTTATTCAATCCAACGTACAATGCCATGGCAAGCAAAAAGCATGAGAGGCGATTCATTGTGTTGCTTGATCGATGTGTGTGTGTGTGTGTTTATTTGCTTCAGAGCTGATATCTATATAAAAGATTAAAGGTTCCAATTTATAGAAGCTGTTTTTCGAGGTTATGTTTTGTCTTTGAAGTTTGTAACATAGTCCTTATCGATTAATTGCAATATTGAATGCATCTTTTCTTATTAAGGCATAACGTTTTTTTAAGGCATATAACGTTTATAAACTTAAAGCTATTTCTAACGAACGGAATTTCTAAAGAAAGTTCCCTCAACTTAGCTTAGAACGACAAGCCGAAATCCTAAAAAAGCAGCAAGAGAGATCTAATATTCTTATTCAATTTTTTAGGAGCTTTAATTTTTACTATTCAGCTTTCGTCTCTCTGGTACTTTTTGAATTATTGATCGGTAAGAAAGATCTTATTCTCTAAATCTCTAAACCGTTGTAAGAAAGATCTTATTCTCTAAATCCCCAAACCGTTATTACTTATTCGATTAAATGATATCTTGGTTCAACATACATTATTTGGTCGACAATATTTTTTTAATTAGGATTTTCTGCAAATCTACCATCCATCCCAAATTATTACAAGTTAACTTTCCACTTTACCGTCAACCTACAAAACAGTCCACTCGTCAACCTACCGTTTTATCATTAGCAGATTATAAAATACAGTGTTTTGAGAAGGAAAAAAAATCCCAAACACCACAATGTTTATGACAATGGTTGGCAATTAATGGGGATCAAACCATCCCTAAATTGAATTAAGAATTATTGGAGAATTAGGGTTATTTGGGGTTGTTATGATTTTAAGTTTCTCTACATTTTTATGTTGCCAAAATTAAAAGTAATTCACCAAATTAAAAAGTAATTATGTCTTCGTCCTTCTCTTTATCTTTTCAATACTTTGACTAAATCACATCGTTTTCTAGTAATTCTCTAAAAACTGAAATTATTATGAAGGCTAATTTATCTGAGGTTAGATATTATGTTTGAAAAAATTTAAAATCTATTTATTAATAATGGAAAGTGAAATTCAGTCTGATTTGATGATATTTTTGTTTTTAGATATTTCAAAGCTTGTGCAAAATTGATATATTTGTTATTCAATTCATCCATTGGAGGGGGGAGTATCGGAACATCTTGCATCTGTATAGGCATAGGACCAAGAGGTAACATTTTCGGGACATTGCTGAGTACACCAGCTTCTGAATGTAGATGCCTCCTCTTGGGTAGCATTAATCATTCTTTTACACTTGATAAAGATTTTTTTTGTGGTAAAGCCCATGAATCTTGCTTGTGTAGTGTAGGCATTTGCTTTATGTGTAGTTTTATCATCAATAAAGCTCTATTCATTTGATGTAATTAAAACAAAATGCATGAGCTTTTGTAAATCAGTCACATAAGAATAATTTAAAGGTTACCTTAGAATTAACAATGTGTAAGGTCAATATTCTCATATATGTTTTCCTTGTGGTTGTCTTCGTAAGTGTCACTGTAACAATAAAAAAATTGGATGCACAGACATGATTAGATTATCTTAACTAATTGCTAATCGTCTTCAAAAATTATCGCGGAAATTCAAACTAGCATCTAATCGATATCTATTTTACAGCACAAAAAACTCAAACCTAGATTCCAAACCTAATTCCAGAAGAAGATAAGGTGTAAAAAACTTTAAAAAATCTGAACTTAATGTTCCTAAGAACTATGTGAGAAATTGCACCGTCGTAAAATTTGATAGTTCCGACGTACTCCCTTTTCGGTGAATCATACCTCACCTTGTTTTCGATGATGGAGATAGCATGATCGTCATTCACTGACACTGAAGCTATATTTTCTGAGTTTTGGAGATTTATAATCAATTACTGAAATACAGACTCACGATTTCAGAAAAACTAATTTCATGTATCATTTTTTTAATAAATTATTATTATTATTATTATTTTTTAAATCCAAAATCTAAAAATATTACCTTAACTGATTTTATTATTTACCAATCCAGCCACAATTTGACCCACTCAAATTCAAGAACACCGTCTCTTCCTTGACAAAATTCCCCTAAACTATTCAAAACTTAAAGCTATTAATTTAGGCATTATCATCTAAGCATTTGTCGGTTGATAATCAACAAAATCAGCGGGCTTTTAATATTGGGCCTTATTTAGCCCAATATTCGGCTGGGCCTGATAGTAAAGAACACCGTCTCTTCCTTGACTAAAAGCAAGAACCGAGAAGCCGACATTGACCCCCCGTACCGTCAAATTCCCGCCGCCGTCGTAACGTTCTCTTCGCCGGCCAAGAAGACAGATCATCCATGGCAGTAGCAGGACACTCCAACGGCTATACCACGGCGACTTTAGTCTGTACACTCGCCGTAGTATCAGTATCCGCCGCCGTCTCGCGTAATCTCTTTCTCTACCTCTTTTTCACTTCCTCTTGCTAGTTACTAAGTTTCTCGGAACTCTTTTGATTGAGCTGGTTCTTGCGAAGTGTATAGATGGAGGAGACGAGAAGAAGATTTGGAGTGTAGGATTAAGGAACTTGAGAAGTCTTTGGGATCCACCATGGAGAAAAGTGCTTCTGAGAGAAGAGGTCGAGTTAAGGCTCAGCAGGTCTTCTTCTATTACTGTTGTATACACTTTCAAGATCGATGACTTTAGATTCATATCATATGAATCTAAAGAAAACATTTTTGGAAAACTGATGTAATTTAGGCATTACGGGAAGCGTTAGCACAATCTGAGTCGCATGATTTACACAACACTATATACCCGATGAGACCAATCGGCACTGTACAGTCTTGCTTTTCTACAAGGTAAACGAATGATTCTGTAGCTTGTCAGTATATAATGCTCTTGTTCTTGTAAAAATGTTTGCTTTTGCTTCTTGGTTTTTATTCAGGAACGGTACACCGAGGCAGCCATTGCTTGTGTCGCTTGCGAGGGCATGTTTGATCTTTAATCCGGCTTTGGTTCCTCCTGCGTCTCTTGAGGGTCTCGGAGAGTATTCTCACTGCTGGATAATATACGTGTTTCATCTCAACACTGATATCGAGAAGCTATGGAGAAAGCCATCTCAGTCTAAGCTCAAGGCAAAGGTAAGCACACGGCTTCTTCTGTTGTTGTTTCTATGTTATGATGTTCTCAGTCTGAAGGCTTTTTGGGGGTGTTGTCAAAGTTCAGGTGAGAGTGCCAAGGCTAAATGGTGAACGAAAGGGAGTCTTTGCTACTAGGTCCCCTCATCGACCTTGTCCCATTGGGCTCACCGTTGCTAAGGTACTCTCAGTTCTGCTCTAGTGAACAAAGACATTTAATTATCTTTACCAAAAGTACATAATGGTAAGTAATCCATCATAGGTGGAGGAAATCCAAAAGGATAAGGTTCTGCTCTCTGGTGTCGATCTGGTGGATGGGACTGTATGTAATTCTCCTTTCTTCATTGGTTGCTAGGTTAATTTTTGCTTATCAGATTGTTGCCTAGTTCATTGATTTCTTCAAGCGGTTTTGTTCAGCCGGTGCTTGACATCAAGCCTTATTTGCCATACTCGGACAGCATTCAAGAAGCCACGGTGCCAAACTGGGTAAAGGTACGAAGCATTATGATGTATTGAGGCTTTTCATCTGAGTAGCTGAAAACTGGTGAGATTTCTAACATCGAAAAAATGAATTTCAGGAGGACTGCTTATTGGCTGTGGCTTCTATAACTTTCTCAGAGACCTTCTGTTCCTCCATCACCAGCTGCTGGAAACAGGTAGTGAGTGACTTTTTGACCTGAGGTTGATCTCTTCTCTATTTTTAGATTCTGACAAAATATTTGCTTTTGCTCCGCAGGAAAAGAAGTCTCTGTATAGTTCAGGGGATGAGTTCAAGAGCCTGATTAGGCAGGTCCTGTCATGGGACATACGATCAATGTCACAACGGAACAAGCCACAAGACACATCGGATGCAGATAACATCGTTTATCACTTGGTTCTGGAGGGACTGGACGTGTCTTACATGATAGATAACGAAAGTAACATCCTCGTCCAAGATGTTTCTCTTCTCAATATCCTGGAAGATGTTGCAGGAACATGATCTTTGTAAAGACTTATTGGATCTTCTGGACTTGAAATGATGGTTCCATCACCATTGCAAAGGAAATCTCGAGCTTTTTCGATTCTTGCTTGTATTGGGAGTTGAGGATGAATAGCGAGAGAGAGAGACACACACACAAGACTCGGTAGAAGAAGAACAAATTTGGATTCACATTGAACACAAAACCAAAGGCACGCAATTGTAATTGGATGAATGAATTTCGCAGTTTCGATGTTAGATGATTGAATTTCTCAGTTTGTGTTTGGTTTAGTGTAAAATGTACAAAAACAATTTCAAGTCTAAACCTTTCAGTTGAAGATGCATTCAATTCATGTAACTGAATGCACCAAAGTGAAGCTTGAGGGTGAAGCTAATTGCACGCGCAAAAAGCGGCGCGTGATTCGCAGTCCCACACCTGTTACTGTTAGTGTTGCTCTCGAACTGTCTATGTGGATGAGAATAGTGACACCTCAGCCAGCAATCTCAAAGTCTTACGAGACGTGTCGTCGATCAAAGAGATGGACATTTATTATATATCAAATGGGCCAAACTGAAAGCCCATAAGGGTTTTTATTTCTTGAATATTTAGGCCATTTTCTGAGATCAACTGTTCAAACGAATAATTCCGTCTTAATTATCTACAGGTTTATATATAGAAGGAATATATGCATTTCGTGATTATCGATTTTCAAATTTGATCGACGGTTAAAGAGTGAATGTTTTATATTATTCATAAATTTGATCGATGGTATTTTGATCGTGACCCAAAAATATTTAGATCTTTGGCCCCTCATTCTTTTATATTGTTCTTATGACAATATCAATATACTTGTATTTAATAAAACAGTATATTTTTCATTCAAAAAAAGAAGAATAATCTGTATGAACAATAGTTGTGCAAAATACATTCATTATCTAATCAATTTAGCTGTGAATTATTTGCTTTTTGACCAAATAAAATTTACTAGAGTTTTAGACCTGTTAATTATTAACCCTCATTTTGAATGGTGCCATAACCAGGCCACCTGTTAATTATTAACCCTTGATTTTGATGATGCTATAACCAGGCCTACTATTGATTAAACAAATGTCTAAGCAGAAACAACAGAATATAGAGATCAAAGCCTCAAGCATAAAAACATTTCCAATAGTGCAAAAGTATTTAAAAAATATTTTATTAATATATTTTTAATAATATAATTAATCTTTAAATAACAAACTTTAAAAGCATATGTCTTTATACTTATGTATTTTTAAAGTTTGTTATTTATGTTAGAATCGTATTTTAAATAAGCATATTTAAAACATATTGAAGACACATTTTGTTATTTATGTTAGAATCGTATTTTAAATAAGCATATTTAAAACATATTTAAGACATGTGTCTATATTTTTAATATTTTTTAATATTTAAATATTGGTTAAGATACCTATTTGAAGTAACAACCTTTGAACCTTGGTTAGGATACCAGTTTCATTCCAATTACACAGCTGCTTAGTATGTCAATGCCTAAATTACACAGCTGCTTACGAGAGTGTAGCGAAGATGTTTCTCTTCTCAATACAACTTTGCAATTGAAAGAACAAGTTTTTATTATTTGCTAAGCTAACTTCTGCTCTGTGATCTCACTTGTTCCGCCGTTACATCATATGCTTAACTGTTGTCATAGATGCATTGCAGATTTTGCAATTACAATGTCAAATTTTCAAATTTTCTGCGCCATGGAGTCTGTAAGACCCTGTTTTGTATATGCAGAATGGGACCCTTGGGGTGTTCCAGATGATTACCGAGTGCAAGGTCACTGAGAATGACGCACAGATACTGAAACATGTTCCGCAGCACCATCTTGGGCCTCTTCCTGAAGAGTTCTACAAGACCCTGCAAGCTATTAACTCAGATTCCAAAACGGAGATTGCAGCTGCTAGCTGGAGCGAGCCACAGTTGAAGGAGTAGCCTTTTTAACTATTGTCATTTGCATGCGCGGGTAAAATCTCTGTCGTCTCTTCTACTTGGATGCTAATAATGATCTTAACAACGTTACATGTTTGGTCAATTTTATCTTAACAGTCTATGAAATATAAAACTATGATCTCCCCTTTGCAAGAGCATTCAGCAAGACATATAAACAGTTATTAAACTTTATATGATAAGATACAAGAGATAAATTAACTGTACATGTTTTATTTACAGAATCTCTGGAATTAAAGTTTAAATATGATAATACTAATATCAAGCTTATAAAGATGAAAACTTTGTAGAAGATGTTAAATAAGATTGTGGGTTGGGGTATTAAAGGAAGTAAGAGAGTTGTTCCTTCTTCCTGGATCCTCCTTCTCCATACAAATCGTTCCACTGCTTCAGTTCGTTCATTCCTGCTCCTTCTGCTGCAAAACTAGCAGCAACCTGCGATTGCAAAACAGTTAGCTTTTTTGCACAAGATCGAATCGGTCATCAAAAACACAACGACTTTTTCTTGAACTTGCCTGGCTTTTAGCTACTCTCATGTCTTCCATGCTCAATGCTCTCAACGTTATGACTCTCTCCTCATATACTTCTTCTTTTGCTTCAGATACCTCTTCACTACTCTTCTCTGTTCCCTCTTGCTTCTTCCTCTCCTAAAATTATGAGATAACACCATTGAAAGATTAATTTATACACTATAAGAGTATAGAGTGAGGGAATAAAGAAAAGGGCTTGAAGAGTTCTCACCTGGTCTTTCAAGCACTCCTGCTTTATCAGCTCCCTCACGGGTCGATATGCAGCTGTTGTGCAAAAGTTCTGTTTGTACAATGGTTTACAAAAAATCAGTCCATGAAGAGAAGGTTTAAGTGTAGGTAAAGTGAAATGAGAACTGTGTCAAACCTTGAGGTCACTTCCACTATAGCCATCTGTCATCTGTGCAAGCTCGTGGAAATCAAGATTCTCTGTTTTCTCTTTTGACAATAAGGTTCTCAAGATCTTCTCTCTGCTTTCTACCGATGGAAGACCCACCATGATTCTGTCTCCCAGCAAAACAAAAGGAGAAGCTGGAGTTAGTACAGCTCAAGATCAGGGTTTCAAGTGAAAGGAGTATAGAGCACGCTTTACCTTCGCTCAAACCTCCTAATGATGGCTTCATCAAGATCAAACGGTCTGTTTGTGGCTGCAAGAACGAGAATGCGATCGCCTGCATTCGACATAAGCCCATCCCAATGTGTCATGAACTCATTTTTGATCTTCCTCATAGCTTCATGCTCTCCGACTCTTGTCCTCTGCCCCAGCATGCTGTCCACTTCATCCACAAATATAATAGTCGGAGACACTTTGGCCGCGAGGGTGAACAAAGCCCTCACGTTCTTCTCGTCTTCTCCAAACCATTTTGAAGTGATTGTGGACATGGACACGTTGATGAAACTAGCTCCAGCTTCGTTCGCAATGGCTTTTGCCATCATAGTTTTCCCGGTACCAGGTGGTCCAAAGAGGAGGATTCCTCTGCAGGGCTTGAGAAGACCACCTTTGAACAGGTCAGGCCTACGAAGAGGAAGCATGACAAGCTCTTGAAGCGATTCTTTGGTTTCATCCAATGAACCTATATCAGCAAACGTCACACCAATCTCATCCGCCGGGATAACCTCTGGTCTTATGCGCTTCTCGAACTCATTATCAGGAGCCACCTCCTAAATTGACAGGATAAAAAGAATGAAAAATCAAACCTTATGGTAAGACAAACACATTGACGTATGAATGTTGAAAAGTATGTTTTTAGTTTACATTTACAGGTGCTTTTGGAGGCAGGGGACATTCATTCTTTGCTGAAGGAACCGATCTTTCCAATTCATTTTTGTTTTCCGGTAAAGCCGACTCACTCTTTATCATCCCTTCACCTTCTTCTCCCTGCACCAGAGCCATTCACTTTTTTAGTCACTTTTAAATTCAAAAGCATACGGTCAGAACCGTATATTACCTTGGAGTCGATGTTCCTGTCCAGCTTCAAGGAGTCCTCAAGGCATCTGTTACCTTCCTGGAAAATACTCAGTCCATGGGACAAGCTGTTGCAGAACCATTAAATCAGTTTAGCTTGAGAAATGTGAAGCCTTGTTGTGTTAGGAAGAGATTAAAATTTTCTTCTTAAGTACCTGTTGGAAGATATCACAAGCCTCCCGTTTTTGTATTCAGGTTCTTTGTTGTTCATGAGATGGTAAGAGATTGCAGAAACCACAATTTCCTCAATGTGACTGCTTAGGAACATTGTATCCGCATGGCATATGGTACCTAAGTCATCACATTCGAGATCATTAGCCGCAAGAACCTCGGATATGTGGTTCTTGTTGTCCTGAAACTGTATCAGCTTCATGTCGTCTTCAAATCGCGTTTTCCAGCTCATGAGTTGAGACTCATCCTCTGGAGGTCTGATCTCGATGTTGTAAGGGAACAAAGCAGAGATGCCATCTCCTACTTCTTGGCAGTCGTCGTCGGGTTCTAATAGTCTTGACCCGAGAAGCAAAACAGGTCCAGAGAGCTTACTCAAGAGCCTCTGGAACAACTTGTAGAACCTCTCTGACTGAAGAAGCTTCTCGACGTCCCTCAGGTATATTATGATAGGATTGGTTTCCGAAACCGAAACCAAGACCTGTTAAGATAACAATGGTTCTGCTTAAGAGTTGCACAAGAATCATCCTCTGCTGATTTCGTAATATGTGTTGTTGTTACCTTGTAAAGTGACTGAAGGAATAGTTTCTCATCAAAGCACAAGTTTGTACTGCGTTTGCTTGATCCTATCAAGGTATAAACAGCCATAAATGAACAAGAGGTCTAAGAAGGATCTAGGCTCAGTTAAACGTGAGAAATGAAAGAAGACAACGGTTCCACACCTGAAACAGAGGTTGCAGAACGGGAAGATAAGCTACTGATGTCAGAAGCAGCAGAAGCATTTCTCTTGAGTCGCGGAGGATGACTTGAACCTTCAAATCCTCTGGTATTTCAAAGGAACTAGTGAGCTTACATAAAACATATAAAGCGCCGAAAAAGGAAAAAACAACCTGATATGACAAACACAATGTACCTTGAGGTAAGATCGTTGCCACTAGTGTGCCTACGTAAGGTTCCTACAAATTACAAGAGTGCTCACACTTGAGCTCTTTTGAGGGAAAAAAAAAGAGAATCTAAGGCCAAGGATTTGATAATGTACCTCTTGTTTCTTCCCTTTGTGAGAGCATAGAGAAAGAACCCATCAAATTCGACATTTTGTCCAAAGTCAACTCAGAAATAGACCTCTTGTGAGACTAGTAAAGAGTAAAGAAGAAAGAAAACACAATCATGGTCTGTAAAACATAAAATGAAGCTACACAGCATAAGATCATAAGAAAACGTACAGATTCCTTTTTGATGCATCCGTACTTGCTCTGTATCTGTATCAGTGAAAACGAAAGAGAAAGCTTACAGGCTGTTTCTTTATCAAACAAAAGTTCACCATTTTTCATGCAAGTTACTAAAACTTTATGCAACTAATCACCTTAATAGAGAAGTCGGTTATATCTAGTAGCAACAGTTTCGATTCAAAATAATGAGCCAATGCTTTTGCAAGCATTTGCTGATAGAATTCTGCAGAGAAGAAGAAAAGAGACACAATCAAAATCACACAAAAGGAGATTAAGGTTTAAACACAAAGAGGATGAGAGATGTTTTACCAGCTGGTCCAGACAGTAGAATGGCTTTACTTGCAGGTGCGAGATTACGTGTGTGCTTCGAGATATCAAACTGCTTCAGATGGACATAAGCTGCACTTGTCAATAAGAGCCGAGTTTTCTCGCTGCAAGATCAAAAAAGAAACATCATGAGTATACACACACAAGAACGAACAAGAAAATCGCTTTCAAGCTTTATCAAGACAAGCAATGTCAATGTGCTCGTTTACCTTAGGTAATAAGGAAACTCGTCGAAAGTGACATTGCTCTCTCTTCCATCAACAATCTGCCTCACCAACTCTTGCTCAATCTTTTCTCCGGTAAGTCCATCCTCTGCAGAAACCGACCCGTTTGCCCATTTACCCAAACCCTGACCCGACGCTAGCCCGATTCCTAGCCCGACACCAACCCCTAACGCGGAAAACAACACGCTCTTCTGCTCCATTTCTGCCAAACAAATCGAAAAGCATTCCCTTTTTTAAAAAAAAATAAGTCTTTTTGTTATACTTCTCAAATAGCTTGTTTCATTTCGCTCTCAAGTTTTTGTAGTGGAGGGTTATTTTTTTAGGGTAAATAAGATTTTTGGTGGACGACGGAGAAGATAAATAGCTTTGATGGGTGTGGCACGATCTTCTTCTATCTATAGCAATGCTTTCAATAACTCCTATGGTCGTTAACCTTTTACCGCGAAAAAAACAACCATTTGGAACATTTCTAAATCGGAAGAAAACCAATAATTAATTACCTCATGGCTTAAAAATTGGTGATCCATTTTGATTTTTGATGGGAAAAAAAAGGACAAACATTAATAATCCACTCTTCTTTTCAAAGTATTGTTTTTACCTGACATTATGTAACTTATGTTTGGTGTCAGTTTCTGAAAAAAAAAGTGATTTGCATAACATTAGTTTAAGTTATTATTTTTTTGTCACTAACAAGTTTTGTAATTTACACTTGAGACACTTTCATAGAGGCAGATAAGAATGAACCAAAAGCATTCTCTTTCATTGTTAACAAAAGAAGTTTGATCAATTCAAGAGGCAGACAGGTTCAAAGAGAAAAACATAGATAGAACCAAAAGATTACAGTTTGACTACTTCCTTCGATCTCAAAAGCCATCACCAATGGCCATCTACATGCATATATATACATATACCAGACTAATCTATTATAATGGCCTGATCTTTTGTAGATCCATCTTGATTTTCAACCGTTGGAGCTTCTGCAGATGCAACTTTATGAGAAAATCTCTGCATTTCCCCCGGTGAGATGGTGATCTTGCTGAGTCCATGTTGCTCATCACGGCGAGAGACTGATTCAAATCCTTCAAGTTTCCCCATATAGGCCACTTCAATTCCTATATGATCGTCAAACTCGGTGATGACTTCCACAAAGTCGAACCTATATGGAGGTTCGTGCAGACCCGAGTGGCTGCTCCAACTTGTATTCCAATCTCTGAAGACAGCCCATTTTTCTCCCTTTCTTGGGTTCACTATGACATGTTTGCCACATTTGATGTGCTGCATCTCATGAGCAAACATCAAATGGCTTTTGATCTCTGTGTCTCCATATTCGAATCTCCCGCAAGCAGTGGTGGGAATAGATTTCTCATCTTTTCTTGTTTCCACATGTTCAAGTAATGTCACCTGCAGACTCAAATCGGATTCCCACCTAAATATTCTCCTGATCTGAGCATAGATCCTCGGCATATCATCTTTAGAATCATATAAAGCCCATACTTGATCGACAGCAAAAGAGCTCGTTGGCTTGTTAAAATCATTAAACTTTGCCTCAGGACAAGTTAAAGATTTAGGATCCCCATTACTAATATCTACACGGACAACGTTTGCTTCAGTTATGTGTGTAGACGCAGGATCCGTGTTTCCAAATGGCGCACAAGCCGAATCAGCTTCCTGAGGTTTATGTCTTTTGGCTAGCCGATTAAGAGAACAAGGATCACTATCATTCTCTACCAGCAGTGGAACAAGAGGCTCAAGTTCAAGGTTTGATCTCTTTCGAGTCTTTGCATTTGCAAGTTGTTGCTTTAATCTTTCTTCTAAATTCACCTGCTTCAATTTAAGCTCTTTCTCCATTTCTTCCAGTGCCTTCTCCTTAATCTCAAGATTTTTGCTCTTGAGTTCAGTCTCCTGTCTCCATTTCTCAGCTTCTTCTTTCTGTTTCAGCTCAAAAGTCTCCTCCTTTCTCTTCAACTCAGCAGATTTCTCTTTGGTGGCTTCCTCAAGTGCGCTGAGCTCATCTTTCCTTACTTCAAGTTGCTTCATTTCCTCGTTCCACCTCTCAATCTCCTCTCTCAATTTTTCTGCTTCTTCTTTCTGTTTCAGCTCAAAAGTCTCCTCCTTTTTCTTCAACTCAGCAGATTTCTCTTTGGTAGCTTCCTCAAGTGAGCTGAGCTCATTCTTCCTTACTTCAAGTTGCTTCCTTTCCTCGTTCCACCTCTCAGTCTCCTCTCTCAATTTCTCAGCTTCTTCTTTCTGTTTCGCCTCAAAAGCATCCTCCTTTCCCTTCAGCTCCTTCTCCATTGCTTCAAGTTTCTTCCGGGATTCCCCCATCGACTCACTTTCCTCATTCCATTTCTCAGCCTCAGCTCTTTGTAGCAAAACTAAATCCTTCTCTGCCTTCTCTAACTCCCACAACTTCTCATGGATTGACTCGGAAATCCCGCGAGCTTCCTCTTTCTTCGCTTCAAACTCACTCACTATATGCTCAAGTTTCTTTGTCATCGAATGGTGAAGCAAACCAAGCTTATCCTCATGTTTCTCAAAGTGCGTCGCTACTTCTTCACTCTGCTTCTCAAACACCAAGCTCATGAGGGTTGCTTCAATGACCTTTCTCAAATCAAAATCCATCTCTTTCTCCTCTAATACTCCTAATCTATCAGAAATCGACTCCTCAAGCAAACTAATTTCCTTCTCCCTCGCTTCAACCTCTCTCAGTCGTTCCTCCTTCTTCTCCAACGAGCCTATCATGTCATCAAACAGACCCGAAAACTTGAGAATTGATAAAGCCTTTTCCTCAATCTGGTCTAGAGTTTTGAGAACCCCCTCATCTTTTTGGTCCCCTTCCATCACCATAATATCAGAGCCGTGAACCCTAGTTTTTAGGCAAAAACAAGGATCGGCCATCAAAGAAGGAATTTTTGCATGAGACTAAAAATAGATTGGCGTGGAGAAAATAAGAATGTACTACACGAAGAAACAAGAGAAAAAAAAAACAAGGAAGATAGCTATAACTAAACCTCTCTCAAGATCGATATCCAGTTGACGCCGGTGGCTGTTTCTTCTCCTCCGGCGTGTCTCCACCGGAAAATAGTAGATATTCCGGTTCTTTCCTTTTTTCTCTGTACGGTCTGAGTGTCTGAGCTTATGCAAGGGGAGAAAGACGAGTCAGACAAAAGAAAAAGACAAAAGAAAATTGTAAGACTCATTAATTTCGAAAGAGGACGATTCTCCTTCCTTGCCTGAAAATGGAGGGAGAGAGAAACTTGTGCTACATTCTCTTTCATGCTCAAAAAGTTCAACTTTCTTTTCTCGCCGTTAGATGGGATTATGTTTTAGCCGTTGGATTACCTTACGTCACTCGTCAGCTTTCTTTTGATTTGACCCGCAGACTGGTGAGATTTGTAACTATCAGCTAATAGGTTTCATTGGATAATTCAATTCAACCCATTGGAGTTGTATGAGGCTTTGGAATCAATAGGCCCATAGGCCCAAAATAAATTATACACAACCAATTTTTTCTCTAAAATTACCACCAAAATCCTAAAAGTATAAGAATGCGAAACTGTATAATTATGTTATGTGCGCAGTATGATGACATTGCTCAATATATTTCTTGAGCTTTTTATTACACAAACAATTACTCTTAAAATTTTATATAGAATATGTGGCGAGAAAACATACATATTAGCATGTATTGATCTGGTTGAAAGAAAACTTTTAAGAGTAATAATAAAAACTTGATGAATTTTTCGTTGAAAGAAAATTGTAAGTATTATTATACATCTGCATCTGGTAGTTTATAATATATTTTTTGAAATGGAGATTCGACTTTCATTTTCGCATGTACGGACATTATTATAAATTGCATTAACGCGGCTAAACGAGACTGCAAAGCCGCTTCTTTCTTTGACTAAATGACTTTTAGGTCCCAAAAGACAATCCAAGAAAATATCTCTAAATGTTTCTTTTTAGTTTCTTAACTTAATTGTTTATACGATTCATAATTGACTATTAGCGCCATTCGTTACTCGTACTTCATCTTTGTGTTACAAAGATTCTTTTAGATAGCGTGTGACAAATTTGAGACAAAAAAAATCACCCCTATGATCAGATCGGTTGAGCTGTGCAGAACGAATGAAACAATTTAAAAGTGAATGTAGACAACATTCTACCGTCAAAACAGAACTGCCCAAATAAAAACAAAAGTGTAAAAGACATACTACTTTATCTCGACAGCACTACTTTATCTCGTCAGCACTTTACGAAAATATCCCTAGTTCCAACCTCAGATATACAGTCGTTCGGTGGACTTATTTGACTTCTCTTCGTTTATATAGTCACTGATCAGATCTGCTGTTTCCATCACTTTCTCTTCGTTTTCTGTAAGTATTTATATCTGTTTTATGTGCTAAATACAGTTAGACTAGTCTGTGTATCTTTGAATGTGACGTTTTCTCTATATATTTGGATCTTTATGTTATGTAGTTCCAAGTTTATGTACTAAACAAGAGAAACGATGAATCATCCGAGATCGGTTAGTCCTTCGGTTTCTCCAGCAAACCCAGATCCATTAGACAATCAACGTCAATCGAGTTTTGGAGAATTCTCGAGATTGGAGAAACGAATGGGAGCCAAGAAGATGACGTTTCACTCCAAGTCTATGCCCAGAGGTTCCATGTTTCTTGACCAAGAAGCTTCTAGATACTCCCACGACAAGAGGTTTGACCTATTCAGGACCATGTCAGGGAAGCTCGAACGTCAGATATCCAATTTACGAGGAAAACCCGTCGAGAGTTCGTTGCAGGATAAAGAGATCACTGAATCTTTAACCGCTGATAGATTCTTCGACGCTCTTGAAGGCCCCGAACTTGAAACTCTCAAGGTACTTATTCGTGTCTTTTGGGGGTGCTTGTTCTTGATTTTTCGTTGCTTCTTGTTCTCAAGGTGTTTTATTGGTGGATGAACAGGAGAAGGAGAAGATAGTTTTGCCTGAGGACAAAACGTGGCCGTTTCTTCTTCGGTTTCCAATAACGTCGTACGGGATGTGTCTTGGAGTAAGCAGTCAAGCCATCATGTGGAAGACCTTGGCAACCACAGAGGCAGAGAAGTTCTTGCACGTGACACAAGTGGTCAACCACGTGCTCTGGTGGATCTCTCTCGTCCTCCTCATCGCCGTCTCCATCACTTACCTCTTCAAAACCATCTTCTTCTTCGAGGCGGTCCGCCGCGAGTTCCGGCATCCGATCCGAGTCAACTTTTTTTTCGCTCCTCTCATATCAGTCCTCTTCTTGGCACTTGGAATCCCACATTCCATCACCTCACATCTTCCCTCTTTACTTTGGTACTTCCTTATGGCTCCGATCTTGTTTCTTGAGATGATGATCTACGGACAGTGGATGTCCGGTGGACAAAGACGCCTCTCCAAAGTCGCTAACCCTACGAACCACCTTTCCATCGTCGGTAACTTCGCCGGAGCTCTTCTCGGAGCAACAATGGGGTTGGAAGAAGGACCAGTGTTCTTCTTTGCCGTCGGATTGGCTTATTATTTGGTTCTATTTGTGACTCTCTATCAGAGACTTCCCACGAACGAAACCTTACCTAAAGAGCTTCACCCTGTTTTCTTCCTCTTTGTGGCTGCACCTGCTGTCGCTTCCATGGCTTGGACCCAGATCTCTGCTTCTTTTAATCTCGGTTCGCGCCTCGCTTACTTCATCTCCTTGTTCTTGTACTTCTCTCTGGTAATTTGTGTTTTTTCTTCATTGATATAGTCTAGTGAGAACAGAGCAAAGTTGCTTCCGTAACAAGAAACCTTAACTACTTCACTTGTTGCGTTTCTTGTTTCAGGTTGTTCGGATCAACTTGTTCCGCGGATTCAAGTAAGCTCTTTCTCTAACTTATTAATAATGAAGTAGATGTACTACTCATCTGAAGTAATCATTGTTGAAATGTCAGATTCTCGCTAGCTTGGTGGGCTTACACGTTTCCGATGACGTCAGTGGCCACCGCGACGATCAGATACTCAGGGGAAGTCACCGGCGTAGCAACTCAGATACTGTCGGTCGTGATGGTGGGGGCAGCAACTCTGACGGTGATAGGTGTCCTGGTAATGACGGTATCGCACGCTTTTGTACAACGTGACCTCTTCCCAAACGACGTCGCCATTGCAATAAGTGCAGAGCAACCAAAGCAGAAGAAATGGTTCAAACAGCTCACAAATGGAAGTTTCGGAAATAATATGAGATGTCTCAAGGTTTTGGACCCTGAAGACGAACAAATAGATGTAGAAGCCCCTCCTTTATTAAATGCACACACGGTGTAATCAGCCAGATTATTTGGCTTTGAGGTATGAAAAAAAAAAGTATAAGCAAATGATAATAAAACAGAAAACCAAAAAAAGAAGAAGAGGATGCTCTCTGACGATGATACCGGTTGCAGCTTCGTCAGACTTAAGCAGCTGGGGGAGTTTCACTCTCACAAGTACTATCTTTCTCATGTCTTTTACTAGAGTAGAAGAAGACACAAGATTTAACAAGCCTAGGTTGTCAAGTCTTCTTGTTCAGAGTGAATCCAGTTGCTTGATTCTACTGGGAAGACGTGTAAAGAAACTCTCTGATGACTCTCCAACTCATGATCAGATCGCATCCTTTCAACTTCCACTCAAAGCCACGTTATCACTAAAGGTAGACGAATCCATTCTCCTCCTCTGTTTCTTCTTAGACTTTCAAGTTGCACCCACTGAGTTTCTTATATATGTGTGGGTAATTGTATTGTTGAATCGTGTATTGTTTTTTTTGTTGTTGTTGAGAAAACTCATGTATTGTTAAGACTTAAGAATATTTTGTTATAGACTAATAAATGTGTTACCATATATATTTGTTATTCAACTCTAATGTTACAAGCTTAGACATCTAAATTTGCACCACTGAGCTTCTTATATAATGTGGGTATGTATGTATATATTGTTAAAAGACTGATTAATGTGTTGCATTTGTTAGTCAAATCTTACGTTTTTTTTTTGGTAACGTAGTCAAATCTTACGTTACAAGCTTATTATTTCCAAGTTCCAACCTAACCGAATTTCCTTTACTAATATGAAACGCAAGAAAAAAAAAACAAATTTATCAGAAAATGTGTAGAACTCAAACAAGTCTCACGTGAGGAGTGATAAGAATCACCTGAAACAAAGCTCACATCAAACCATTGACCTTCACAAACACAAAGTACGATCACATTCCGTCGGAATCTTGAAAGCAATGAAACTCACACAAATGGCGCCAGATGATTCGTCATGCTAAAAGGGTACTTAAGACTCTCAGCCGTCCGATCATACGACTTTATGACTAAACACTAAAACGACATCACTTTAGGCGTCAAAGGAAACCAAACACAATCGGCGCCACATGAAACGAACAACCGCGTTTTTCTTTTTTTATGCCGTAAGTACAACGCTACGTTAGGCCCACCCAAATAAAAAAAAGTTTATACTATTATTTAAAAAAAACATCGAATCTCTAAGAATAAAAGCAGTCTCCACTAATCAACGAAGCAGAATTTGCTCTCTAAGCCTATTTATTGTGGTCGCGACCTCACACCATTAGAGCTTCGTCTCTTCCGTTTCACCACCCTTTCTTTCTCCTCTATTCTTAATTCGAAGAAACCTAAGCCGAACGAAAAACTTGAAACACCTGAGGTACAACAACAATTCTGATTCTTCCCATCGTTACTTATTATTGGGTTTCTGGGTTTTTTTTTGTTGCATCGCTCTTGACTCTTTTGATTATTTGTTTTGTATTGTAGACTCTTCGATTGGTTTTCGATATGGCGTCGAAGCGGATTTTGAAGGAATTGAAGGATCTGCAGAAGGATCCTCCTACTTCATGTAGCGCAGGTCCCTTTTTTACGACTCGATTTTCATTAACTCAAGTTTCAAAATTTTGGTTGCTCTGCGTGCTGATGATGATAGATCATCAGGAACCCTGTTCAGTTTTTAATTTCACTTTTGATCATCTTTTTGCTCTGGTTTGTGTGCGGCGCTATGGTTTTGTATGGATCTCTCATTAGCTAAGATCTAATTATCTGCTCTAGTTTTGTTTCAAAACCTGATTTTGAGTAATTCAGCTGCAAAAGAAAATTCATTTTTAAAGGTATGAATGAATCATAAAGGTCAAAGATTCAAACTTGTTTGATTCGTTACTTTCTGGATCTAGTACCATCGGTGATTTTCTGGGATGAGATATGTTCGAACAAAACTTTGATCTTCTTTTATACTTTTCCCCTGGACCAGCTTTGTTGATTCTCTGGTTTTGATATTGAACTTTCGGTCGAACTTTGGACAGGACCTGTCGCGGAAGACATGTTTCATTGGCAGGCCACGATAATGGGTCCAACGGACAGTCCTTACTCTGGAGGAGTTTTTCTTGTAACCATCCATTTCCCTCCAGATTATCCATTTAAACCTCCTAAGGTAATTCAACTTTTCTGTAAGAAAAAAGTTTGGGACTTTATTGCAGCCATCAGTTGTTGTTCTGTTGCTATTACCTCTTCGAGTTCTAGCTCAAATGTTGTTCTCTGTGGTTGCTTGATCTGATTGCTGTATGAATGGTGTGACAACATGTAGGTGGCTTTTAGGACAAAGGTGTTCCATCCAAACATTAACAGCAATGGGAGCATCTGCCTCGACATCTTGAAGGAGCAGTGGAGCCCTGCGCTCACAATTTCCAAGGTTTTGCTTTTCTTCTTCCTCGTTTGTGTTTATCATTATGAGAAGTGAGAACCGTAAACAGAGCTAGTTGCTTTTGCGTCAAGTGAGATCGGTTGTTGTTAATTCGTCTAAGCGGTTTGTGGTTGTGGTGATGGGCAACAGGTGCTGCTATCGATCTGTTCGTTGCTAACGGATCCAAACCCGGATGATCCTTTGGTCCCCGAGATAGCTCACATGTACAAGACAGACAAGAACAAGTACGAGTCCACTGCTCGGACCTGGACCCAAAAGTACGCCATGGGCTGACACTGTTTACTGTCCGCAAGGAAGAACCCCTAATAATTGAACTCTCTTCTTATTTCTATTGTCATGATCTTTATAGACTTGTCTTATAAAAATTGTGAAGACAGGATCAGTAAGAAAATCATATGATCTCCATTTTCATTTACCATTCCCCATGGAAACTATAATCTTAATATCATCTCATTACCCATCATCTGCTGTTTAACTAAACTGGGCTTTTTTAATGGGCTCAATTCCCTTTTTTTTGTTTCATTCTTTTCAAACTAGAATCGTAAGCCTTCTCGTTAATTTCTTCAAATGGGCAATGGACCTATGTGCCTTCTGTCGTCAGACTATTTCATTTGAGCATCTTTACCAACGTATTCTCATAAAGTATATCAATTTAAAAGTAGTATTAAAAAATAAAAAGTATGAGAGAAATAAAATGGATATTTCATTTTAAGAACTCTTTAGATATCTTTAGAACCCCTCATTACCATATATTATATCATTTTTTGGCTTAATTCTTTTTCTACAATTAAAATTTAATGAATAATTAAATTATATTAAAATAATATTTTCTTTTTTGTTTGAAAACCCCAAAAAAGTTCTAATAGATAGAGATATTCTTATCTACTACATTTCATATGCTAAGTGTTTGATATTTTGTCGAACTATTTAAATTTTCTTTTTGTTTAAATGAAAATATTTATGTAAATTTAATATTATTTGCTCTTTTCCATGTTAAAACACTCGCAAATCCGTTGGATCTTTTTACTTTAGTTTTTTTTCCTCTAAATTATATAATAATACAGTAGTTATCCTACCATTCGACTTTTCATTCATTACTCATTCCTTGAAGATTTGTGGATTTTTGGTTCCTTATTTCTTAACCCACCCATCTAACTCTACGAGCGATAAACTACTTCTAAATTTCAAACTCCAAGGAATATGTAGATATCTTGATCAACCTAAACAGTGATAAGTCTAATAATATTTAGGTTTCGTGTAAATAATGCATCTCCCATATTGGTGTTTTTACACAATAACACGGATTATCTAAAATTTATCCCACAAATTTAAAACCTATTTTAGAAAGAATTATTTTAGATAAGAGTATCAAATTATATCAACACACAAACCCGCAATGCTTTGTAGGAGTGGGTATATTATCCGTTATATTTGATTCGATTCGTTATTTGTTTCGATTCGATCCAAAAAATTCGGATATCCGTAACGTTTCGAAGCAAAGCAAGTATTAAAATATAGTATCCGTCTAAAATAAATCGAATCACAAATACTAATTTTCGAAAGTTCGGATATCCGCTCCGATCCGCAGATTACATATATACATATTAATATCATAAATTTTTAATATTTTAAATAGTTTGATTATCTTATTAACAAATAACAAAAGAATATATATGATAAAAATACATATAATAATTTTAAAGTAAGTAATAAACATCTACAATAGTTATCAAAAATTTGAAATTAAATTAAAAAAGTTTATATTATAGTTTTAATTAATTAATATTCTTTCAGAATATAAAATATGATTTTTATTTTTCTATCATTATAATTTATTATTTATATCCGTCTTTTTTTGAAACAAAAATAGTTATTTCACTTATTTTTAATTGGTTATTCATATTTTAAAAGGAAAGACATGTATTTTCACATTTTACTTGTATTGAATAGAATAAATTTAATATTTATAAGTATCCGTAAATATCCGCAAATATCCGCAAATATTTATAAATTTTCTGGATATCCGCATTTCCGGATATCCGTATTTTTTCGAAGCAAAGCAAATTATAAAATCAGATATCCGATAAAAACGGAGTAAACCATAAATACCCAAAATTTTCCGGATATCCACTCGGCGCCTAGACCTAATGCTTTGTGTACCAAAACCAAAACCCACGAAAAAGAAACTAATTATACGAAATAAATATATCAGTTTTCAAGAAAAAATGGCAGGCTAATTACTCCAAATTCAACACAAACAGTCACTAGACTCACTACACGATCACTTCGAGCATGGACCATTTTATAAAGAACATACTAGTATATTATCTAAGAATGACCATAACTTTGTTAAAAAAATGCAGACTAATTACTCCCGATGCAACACAAACAATCACTACACGATCACTTCGAGCATGGACCATTAACATACTAGTATATTATCTAAGAATCACCATAACTTTCTAAAAAAAAATCTAACGACCGAAGGCTTTAATTATTGTTAAATATCCGAACATGCAAAAGCCTGAAAACTTATACTAAAGTAGTATATAACAATTCCAACTACACGTGTCAGTGATTCGACTTACTATAAATCTATGTTTAAAAGTCTCCATAACTTAGAAAAATAAATATTTAAAATTTCGGGTGAGAGAGGTCGTGCCCAAGCGAGCATGGTGAACGCCAGGTTCATTATTAAATTAGACTAATAAATAAATAAAATCGAGACTGAAGAAATAACTTAATTTAGAGACAGACTTCTATCGCCAATCTCCCGTTTTGTCTTTAATGAATCAGAGAATCGTAACCTTGATGGCCTTCCACTAAATAATTGCATTAACTACAACGAATTTACGATTCATAATTGTTAAATATTGTTAAATTCTTATTTCGATGAGGAAAACAAAACGGTTTTTCTTATTTTTTCCGTTGTAGCTCTCCATTTGACAGCTCGATTTAAGGGGAGTCAAAGGTTTCAATTTCTATTTAATTTTGTATGTTGAAATCGTAGATATTTAAAGACGTTGCGGTTGAAAATATAGCAATAAATACGACTTACTTTTCAAGTACTGTAAATCTGTAATTCGACTTTCTTAATCAAACAACAAACTTCTAACGTTTGTTGTCTCTCTGTGCACTTTTAAAGAATTGTCCAGGGCAAAAGTAAAAATAAAAACATAACGTTTATTGTCAGTACGCACTTTGTAAATTAACATGGTGGTAATAATTGGACACAGAATGTTTGAGGAAAGAAAAATTGCATACATCAAAAAAGTTTGAACGAGTTATTTTTATTGGCTTTGCTGCATGTTTTATGGCAAACAAAAGAAGGTGACTACTCTCCATTGATTATCCCAACTTTTGGGGGGGGGGGGGGGGGGGGGGGGGGGGGGGGGGTGGGGTGGGGTGGTTCCAGCTTAAACAAACACAATTTTTTTTTGTAAACTCATAAATTATATATTTGTTTTGTGGGTTTAAAAAAAAACATTTAGTTTTACCATCATGCATGGTCTTGTCACTACCAAAAATATTCGAAATTTCAATATCAAATCCATCATTAATTTTTGAAAATATTTTTGATGAAGTAATGTTACATATATACTGTCAGAAATTTGATGGAACGGTTTTGAAGATTACCGATAACTAGCTTTCTTTTAAGAAGCAACAAAAATTATAATGCGATCACTAGTTATACGGATAAATATTTAATTAAACTATATATATACAAACTTTGATTTACATATAATTAATTAAGACCAACATTTCTTGCTTGTAAACTAAGACTGTCCACGAGAATGACTTGAGTAGTACTCACGAGTCGCGACCATGTAGCTTCTGCTCCAAGATATACACTAACTTGGGAAAACTCGCGTCACGTTATTTTTTATATTATCGTAAACTTGGTTATGAGGAGTATATAATTACTCAGGCGGTGACCTTCTCTAGTCTTTATTTGTCCATCAAAGTTCGAGCTCATAAACTCTTAGTTTAAAGCTATGCACTAAGACCGACGTACATGAAATATATATATGTACATATGAGTATATATAAGTAATGGTGATAAAGCTTTCAACGTTTTGCTATTTTGAAGGATGGCCCTTCTTTTTAGAATGGATCTTTGTCCTTAATTTATTTCAACCGAGTCTCTTTTATTTCTATTTAGATTCTTTGTTCATAACCGTATAGATGGACACGTTATACATGCAAATATTTTTACTAGCTTTGAACATAATCTTCTGTAGCGTAATCTTTTTACTAGTACGTGTCACCGATTAATGGTGAGCGGCAAGTATTTATCCTTTAAAGTAGCAAAAACTTGTAATCAATGGTTTGGAGGATTATACATGTCATTTGTTATATATCGCTCGGAAATAGAAAGTATTCGAAAATAAAATGCCTTACCAATATCTATTGACATATGTTTACCCTCCCAAACAGGTAGAACCGTAGAACTAGTGAAGACCATCATTCGAAATAAATTGATGACAAAACTTTATAACAGATGTAGCCATATAGAGTTTAACACATGAAAGGTGATACATTAGCAAACAGCGAATATGTGCAGCGATGTTTTGTCGCAAATTACAACAGACCGTATATTTGTATCATTGTATGGTAACATTGACATTTTTTGTAAGATTAGCTCCAATAAAATGACAAAGGTGGTCAAGTACAATCAAAACAAGATTCAGTTTGTCTAAGTTTCAATCTCTCATCTAGTTATGCTATTTAGTTAGTAACACACATAAGTATTACGTATTGCCAATTATGTATACAGATGATATGGTTTATAGTATCTAAATAGACGCATATAATAAATACGTGGACTGGTCACTTGGCTCAATGGACGACAGTGGCCAAGAACACTGCACTAAACCTCGGGGTTTGTCTTTTGTCAATCCAAAGGATTCTCTCTCTCTCTCTCTCTCTCTTAACCGAAGATGTAATCTACCAAATTAATGCCAAATTACAAGCGTCAGTGATTAATAACATGTGGGCTAACGCCTAACAACAAGGGCCATAAGCTAAACAAACAAGTCTAAACGTTCATTAATCCATGGTTTGAACTATTAAGTATCTACTAATACTAAATATATAATTTCGTTTGGCTACTTGTACAAATAATCAACGATTGGAAACATTACAATGACGTAGAATATTGCAAATTAGGACTAAAATATAATGTCTGGTTAATGGTTATTAGGACTAAAATATAATGTCTGGTTAATGGTTATGCCTGCTTTGAGACGGTTAAATAGCATTTGTTTAGATTTCTTTGAAAAGTATGGAAGTTTTTGGGCAATGACAAGGTTTCAAGATTTTACATGTCACTTCAATCATTTAAATTTTTGTTCAGTCAGCCCCATCGTGCTGCTCGTTGGACGAAACTGACAAATTTGGTCTCTCGTTCTTTTTTGTTGTTTTTTTTGTTTAATTTTTAAAAGGAATTTCATTAGTTGTTTCATTCATCATGGATTATGATTTTCATATATACATATAATCAGAAATCGGGTTGAGGAGAAGTATAATAAATTTATAATAGAGTTGAACTTATGACATCCCAACAAAATATTTATGATAAAAAGAAAAACATTTGTAACTGTAAATCTAAAGATTTTATGTTCAGATATTAGTTGATTTTGCGGGGAGAGGGGAGGAGAGGAAGGGATTAAATTTACTGTAGAAAAAATTGATTAAAAATTTGAGAAATAACGAATACAAAATTTAGTAGTTGGCGGGAGCCGGTGATAAAATAATAGTAGTACATAATTTTTTAAAAAATATAAGAAAAAAAGCTTTGAAAAGGAATATAAATGGCGCCAAATCCTAGGTTGCCCGCCACGTTACTCCTTAGTTCTCACTGTAAATGACAAGATTTTGTGAATAATTTGTAACTGTTTGTCCTTAAAAATATTTTACAAGAGAGGAAGTAAAATCATGTATTAACAGAAACAAATATATTTCTACACATGGAAATTAAGATTGGTTCCGTTTTTTTACATTGGACGTATATATACAACCCACTTGGAAAATTTAAATAGAAATGGCATTTACTCAAATAGTATTTTTACTGTTGAATAGCACTTTAGGAAAACACAGCACGTGACAGGTTGTTCATAAGAAATGAATGCATGGTCGAAACAGCTAAAGGAGGAAGTCACTGGCAAATGTCGGTCAAAGCTAGCGTAGTCATGATAATTAAAAAGCATTTTTCTTTATCTTTGTAATTTACAGTGACAGTAGTACACTATCATTTGTCTTAATATTACTGTAGTTTAAACATTTTTCACATAAATTATAAAATTAATTATACTATTATATCTTTGAAAACACATATAATTCTTCTATTTATGCTACATTTCACTAATTTTAAGTTATGACAAAAAAATACATTAAAAATTCAAACGGTACTAATTTGAAACAGAAAATTCTTTCAAAACTAGTTCTATCATCGTAGTATTTTAACAACAAATATTAAAAATATTAGATATTTGTTTTCTTCTGTAAACAGATTAAAGTAGCAAAAAAAAAAACCTAGGGCCGGGTATCTTGGGTCACGTGATATGGCGTCGTGATGACTCAGCACAAAGGTAGTCATCTTGGAGAGGGAAAATATCTCAAATATACACGTGTCATAATTTGATTTGCTTACGTGAATGCGGCGTCCAGTAGAACACACTGTATCTAGTAAAATCACTGGAAAATATTATTCCAGATGACAAAAAAAAAAAAAAATCACTGGAAATACACAAAAACGTAAATATTCAAGAAAAAAAAAAATGAAATGAGTAAATAAAAGTAAATATTTTTAAAAATATTTATTTCCCATTTTTTACTTTATATATTTACCCAATTAAGGCTAACGCCCCCAAAAGATCCTATAAAACAGGAATTAACAAGAGTGAATTAGTGAATCTTCACTTTAAACTCACTGACTTTTCTTTGCATTTTCTCTCTCTCTCTCTACAAATCTCTCTCATTCACTAAAATTCTTAAAAACTTTTTCACAAACAAACCCAGAATCTCTGTTTTCTCTTCAAATAGAATCTTTCGAAGCCAGAAAATTAATTTAATAGGTGAAAAAGTGATTATGATGGATGAATTTATGGATTTCAGACCAGTCAAGTACAGCGAGCACAAGACAGTGATCAGGAAGTACACTAAAAAGCTTCATGTGGAGAAGAAGAAGAAGATGAGTGGTGCTGACTCGGCGAGATTGGTTCGGGTGTCTGTGATGGATCGTGACGCCACTGACTCATCAAGCGACGACGAAGAGTTTCTGTTCCCTCGAAGACGGGTCAAGAGATTGATTAACGAGATCAGAGTCGAGCCTAGCTCCTCCGCCGAAGTCTCAGCTCCGATTAAGACCGGTAAAAGCCTCACCGTTGATTCTCCGCTTCAAAAAGTCTCTGTTTCCGGCGCCGACCAGAGCCAGAGGAAGTTCCGCGGCGTGAGACGTCGACCATGGGGAAAATACGCGGCGGAGATTCGTGATCCGGAGCAACGCCGGAGGATCTGGCTCGGTACTTTCTCAACGGCGGAGGAAGCCGCCGTCGTCTACGACAACGCAGCAATCAGGCTTCGTGGACCCGATGCTCTCACCAACTTCACCGTACAACCAGAACCGGAACCGGAACCAGAACCGGAGAGCAACATCTCGGTTTCTTCGACATCAGAATCAATGGACGACTCTCATCATCTGTTATCTCCCACATCGGTTCTCAACTACCAAATCCCCGAACCAATCGATGAACCGATTAAACCGGCGGTTAAACAAGAGTTTATTGAACCGGAACCAATAAGCTGGCATCTCGGAGAAGGTAATAATAATACTGATGACTCATTTCCATTGGACATTCCGTTCCTCGACAACTATTTCAATGAATCATTGCCAGACATCTCCATCTTCGATCAATCCATGTCTCCTATTCAATCATCAGAGAATGACTTCTTCAACGATCTTATGTTATTCGATAACAACAACGTAGCTGGAGATAACTACTCTTCCGATATCAAAGAGATTGGTTCAATGTTCAACGATCTTGATGATTCTTTGATATCCGATCTTTTAGTTGTGTGATATTTTTTACCCTTAAAAAAAAAAGCAAACATCGGTTGCAAATATCGCCGGTGTTAGTCAAATTTTGTCTGAGAGTTCCCTGAGTTTTGATAAGTTTTGTTTTTTTTTAGTGTTTAATGATTTTGTTGAGAAGTAAGTTAATGTTGTGTCGTCGGCTTGTAAAACAGTTTTGGGAGAAATATTGGGAATGAATAGCTAATTAATTTAATTAATTAGTTTTGTTCTTCTTGTCAATTTCTTTGAGTTGCACGAACGTGTTTAGTTTTTAATATTGTTTTTTTTTAAAAAATGAGTTGAATTATAAAAAGCCAAACTAAAATTCTCTTTGGCGAAGGAGGCCACACGAGGAGGCGCAAATCACGGTAGTGACCGGTGGAGCAAGTGGCTTTTGGGTCAGTCTCAGTCGGTGCTCTTTTTGCCTTTATTAACAGAATTTAGTTTTGTGTTCTGGCGCAGGCCGCAATGGAAATTAATATCTGGAAACTATCCTTTTCAAAGAATAAATCTTTGACTACAAATATTTGTTTACTATATATATATCTATTTTTTCTTTTAAAAATTAGATTCGTTGAATAATTCATCATCACTTTCTGGTGTCCTATATTTTTGCTTAAATATCCTTATAATGAGAGTATAATAGAAAATCTAATGAGAATGGTTCCCAGTTATAGACACGAAATATTTTCTCGGATCTTAAAAGCTTCGGTTTCATTCAAAAATTTAAGTTAGTTTAAACATACAAAGAAATTTAGATTTTCTAAATCTTAATAATATTGTATTTGTTTCAAATTTCGTTACTTTTTGCAATTTGATATTTTGTCAATATTTGCAAAAATCAGAAAATAAGGTATTACAATCATTTTAAATAAAATTTAGGATATCGTTTAGATATTAAATTTATTTTCTAATTTATTTGTTCACGTATATATCTAACAACTAAAAATCAGAAAAAAATGCAAAATATTTAATAGGAGAAGCAAAAAGGACAAATAATTATGTCCCAAACCATATAAGATCATTATATGACATGGAAGGAGATGAATGAGTATGGAACGTTGCACTAGTGTAAGATATAATATCTCAAGCGCCTCTTCACATGTTTATTTGCAGATTTACATACCATTATCATTATTATGTTTGAACTCATACTGCATACATTTTTGTAAAGTTGAATTCCAATACCATTGTATACAATTTAAATATTAAAATATTGAAAAAAACATAGAAACATCTTTTTTACAGAGGGAACCTAATTAGATTGTTTTCCGAAAAGATTACAAAATTAATCTCCAAAAAGAAGGATGTGTTTCAACGTAGGAAACAGAGTTTTACCTCTGTTGGGCATGGAGGAGACTCCTGGTCCGAGAAGGTCGTTAATTAAGTTTCGTTAGAGCAAGTAAGCGTTTTACAGTCCTATTACGAACCGCTTTCGAAATATCGACAGAGCACAGAGATAGCTTTGGGAGATCGCAGTTTGGGACAAAATATGATCTAAAATCTAGAGCCAGAAATTGATCAAAGGGACAAAGGGAAATGATATGTTAATATCTCGATTGAAATGATATACGTTTAATCCATAAATAGGGAAAACGACTACTCACAAAAAGTCGTTCAAAAAGACAAAAACAGACCTTTTTTTTGGTGTGGGGGAGAATGTAACAATTCTACCGTATATGATCAATGAAACCACCATATAGCCACGTTTCAAATTGTTGTGGAAAGAGTGATACAGAAAAGAAAAACGCAGGTTGACCAATGGCCAAGCCACTTTTGTGTGTAAACTATAAGTCTAAATACAATGTTACACATTTTGTCTCTTTTCTTATCCAGCATAAATAATATCGTCAATCTAAATAAAAGCAAATTTGGAAACTTGTTGCCAAACTTTATCGAAACCTTAGTGGTTTGCAGCATTTTGTGGAGCTACCAAAATCTTAAATCCAGAACATCATGATTAATCAACTTCAAATGTTACTGACTGAGATGTGTTACTATTTTTTTTTCCTTACTTCTTTTTGTCTCAACTATCTTCTAACTCTTTTTGGGGTCTTATTATGTTCTAATTGATCTATGATGCATCAAAGAATGTAGTGGAAGTCGCCTATTTCACCTTTTAATGTTTTGCCGGTTGGTAATTTATATAAATTTTATAATGCACTAATGATACAAAAGTAGAAGAAATATTATAAAATATCAAAATACTACCAAAACAGGTTGGTCAATGTCGGAGAAAAGTCACATCGTCGAAGAATTTTTTACGTGGGAAAAATCTTTATTTTCCGACAAACGAAGACTTTTAATTCAATACTAATAGATCTGGACACTTTGAATGTCGACGTTTAAATTGTGGAAATCCGAATCGAGCTTTTTAAGGTCGTCTGATGATTATAATATAATCATATCAACAATTTTCTCTTATTGAACATATGAACAATTCTAATTTTTAATATTGAAACAGTTTAAAGTTAAAAAAAACAATTTTTTTTTAAACAGTTGGTACGTAGAGAAACACTGTAAAACACTAGAAACATATAGTATGAAACAGTTGGTACGTAGAGAATCACATCACTGTACGACATTATAAATACATATGTACGGTTTCCCTCTCTCTTGGGGCAGAAGTTGGAGAAAACAAATAGAGCACTAATAAGCTCTCTTTATTCACCGCAAGTAGTTTAATATTAGCCGCAATACATTCTACTTTGGTAGTAATGCCTCCTCAAGTTACTGTCTTCTCTCAACTCTCTTTCATTTGCTTTCTTAACGCCTCCCTTTGAATATATCTAATTTTTGTTTCTGTTGAAACTCTTGTAGTATAATTGAAGTTTTTTTTACATCGTTCATAGTTCATACTGCCTGTGAATTATGCTAAACTCCTAAACGTTTTATAATTTGAAGTGTGAGGAAGGTCTTTGCGGCAGGTCTCGCATGAGTGTTGAAGCAGTGGGTCTATCGAATAAGTTGTAGTAACGATTGTTGTCGACCTATGGTAGGCCTAATATTTAAAAGCCAGGTGGATTTGTTGTCTATTCTCTCTGTTCTTACACTTTTGTATCTCTCCTAAGATTTGCATTTTTCCCAAATGAACCTCAGTATTAAATGTCTATGGGAACTATATGATTAGAACTAAAATTACATTTACAGGTATTGAACCATTGACCTTTGTTTAGAAGGTTGGAGATACAGTTTTAAAAGTATCAGATGAAGTAGAGACTTTTACTAACTCGTGGTCTAGTAAAGTTTCGAAGTGACTTTTTACCGATGTAGTAGATTTGGTTTTCAGTTCCTATCACCAAGTTTGACTTCATTTCCGAGAAAACCGGATTAAACAGCCGGTAATATAATAACTGAACAAAATTCCGGCTTTAAAACGGAGTAAACAAGGGTTGGTGGAGGATGATTGAGCCTGTTTAACTTATTCTCTCGAGTCGTATCCACATTCATGTGTAGGTGCGATTAGTGGGTCATGATGAAGCGTAGTGGCGATGCAGAACATACTTGACCACCTCGTAAAATGAAACCACTATCCCTACCGATGGTCCTGCACGCGCCACTCGTGGACCCATTCCCATGAACAGTCCTCTCATCCCTCCATCCCTGTGTGTATCCCATATGTTGTTATCTCTTTGTTTCTATGCACATCACAGAGCTTTTTCGCAAAATTAAAAAACATGATTCTGTCAAATACACATACATACCTCCAAACTTCTATGAGTGTCTGTCGTGTCGTCATTCTCATCGCCCTACCAGGGTCCTTCTGCAATCCATGGAAAGGTCAAACGTCAGTATAGTGTTGGTTATAAGCAAATAGACAAAGTTCTCTCGAGGAAGACGTCCAAAACACACCTCTATCTGTCTTCTGGTTCTTGCAACGTCAAGAGGACATGTAGCAGCAGCAGCGATACTTCCAGCTACAAAACCCGCGGAAAAGTTTGCACCAAGAACACCAATAGCGTTCGTATCATTGCCCACAATTCCAAGAAGCCTCTTTCTCATCTGTTGTACGAAAGTAGTCAAAAACAAAACTCAATATCTAGCGTCATATGCTTCGCATAAACTACCTAAAAGACATCTCTCTGTCTATGTAAAATGTTTAAACATTGTCAAAAGATCTTACTGGCTCAAGAGACGCCCAGCAGATTGCTGAGAATGGAACATCACGGGCAAGCTGTGCACCCAAGCCTCTCCAGAGAATACGATAGTTGTGCACTGTCACAGGGAACATGTATATCAAAGACTACATAAATAAAAAAAGCTTGGCTTTTGAAGTCAAAGTCCATATGCACGCATCTCGGATTGTAATTGGCAATGGAGAGGTACACAGAAGAGAGGGAAAACTCGACTTGAATGAGAAGAAGGAAGAAGCAACTTACAACTACTTTCAAGGTTATTCGCTGTCCTGACTTCAGAGACTACACCAACTAGAGTTTTAAGAACTCCCGGAGGCTTCATGCCGCCTTTTGCTGTTTTGAATGCCTACTTAGACAAAACAGTAAGCAGAATTTAAATAGCAAGCCACGGAAAAGAGAGATCTCATTTAAAAGGACACCACATGTTGTAGCGTACAAACCAACAAAATTCACCTGCATACGGGTTCTCGCAAGTTCAATAGGATAGCACACTGTACAAGCTAAGGACCGCGCTAGTGCCCCTGCCACAAGAGGCACGCCTATTGTCACAGCAGGCGCATGCTCCCGAGATAATTCTTCCAACCGGTTGCGAAACATATCATAGAACGGGAGATAAATCCCAACCTGTGCAGAAACTTTACAGTTCAGTGATCCATAGTTTATCAAAAACAAACAACTCCAACAAAAGTAATCTATAAGAGAGCATACCATGGGCACAGCTAGGGCAAGACCAGCATTAGTCCCTCTCCAAAGGCGTCCCATGCCCTCCTGTATCAGTTCTTGTGTTAATGAATATAGAAATACGAAGGATTCTAAGCTAAAAGGCATTCCACATTAAAAAAAATCCTCAAATAGCTATCTATTATTTTCTTAACACTGCAAGACTTCCAACAAGATGAAGTACACTCACCTGTCGTATGATCTTGGTGAAGACATCAAATGTTCCTTTGTACTGGAAACAATCCGGCGGGCAAATAGAGACAGTACCATGAACACCAGCGCGTGAACATGAAGGAGAACATCTCAAGTCTGCAAACATCTGAACCCAAATAGAGACGATTACATGACCGAAAATGTCGAAAGTATTCTCCTTTAAAAAACTCATCCACAAAGCAGAATTCAGCAGACACATACCATGTTTGGTCCAAAGAATGCCATGCGGCCAATGGCGTAACTGAGTGGGTGAGAGTAAGAAACTCCGGCGGCTTGAGCTTGCAATCGAGTCTGATAGCAAATCACAGCAGAAACATAAGTCCCTTACCCAAAAAAACGTATATAGCCTCCCTATGGTTTTAGGAATTAACATCAAACCCAAAAAAATCATACCTTGACAACGTCAAGAGGATTTAGAGTAACGGCGGACAAAAACGCAGCCCCGGCGGCCGAAACAACTCTTTCCGTGAATCCCAGCTTTTCTTCCGGCGAAACCTTCTCGAACTGAGGCCGGGAAGCTATTTGCGGTCCGAGGCTTCCAATTCCTCTGGTATCTCTTATTCCAGCAGTCATATCGATGGTCGAAAAATCACGGCTTTCCGATTCCGCCGGAGGCGAAGACGGCATTTCGGAAGCAGTCCAGAGATTCTCCGTGCGAGCTGCCTCAACCATTTAGCTTCTTCTGAATCTAACGTGGAAGCCCGAAATTTCGGTAAGAGAATCGATCAATCAAAGACCTCTATCGAATCCCAGGTATCAATAGGGAATTATGATTTTCAGGGATTGAGAAAAACAGAGAGAGAAAGAGTTGATTTTTCTTTCCAGATTCCTTGGAGAAGAGGAAAAACAAGAGGAGAGGAGAATAGGGCAAACCAAAACCACAAAGGAACACTGAAGACTTCAGTGGGTAGCCACACAGCCAAAGAAACCCTATTGACTTAACGCGGCGTTTTGGAAGCTTCTACAGCTTACTAAACCGTAATCGAACCGAACAAACCGATCCGTCGACTTCCAAATTGGTTAACCAATTGATATTATTAACAAACTACTAAGCACGATGTCTGTGCTACGGGCAAAATTTCATCGATCGATCGAATCTTAAGAGATGATGTATTAAGCCTTTAAGAGATTAGTAGAAAGATAGACAAAACTAAACCGGTCATCTTGTCGTTAAACAAATACGGTCTAATGAAGCTAGGCCACTGAATAAGAATTTTCGATTTTGTAGGGGGCTCCACAATATATAACTCTTTTGCTGTGCTTTTCAAATATATTTGGTGGTCAAGAGGCCTTGAGAGTGGCAATCCACGTGTCAAAGAGCCCACCAAACACGCTCGTTACATTTGTGTGCCGACTCAAACCATATATACTGTACTTATCTCTTTTTTTACATTTTCCTTTTTCGTTGGCTTTTTAAGTTTTTATCTTTGAAATTTGGTTTTTGGTTTTTGTCAAAGTTGAGCTCTAAATATCTTTAAAAAAACCATGGAAGAAAACATATATATTTTACGTCTCGAAACTTTAAATTAATAATGTTCTTCCAAAACGTGTTTGTGGCGGAAGAACTTTCGTTTTGACAAAAGTTGCATGAGTATGTGACAAAGAAGACGTCGTCGCCATGTTTGATACCGGATTTGGAATTATTCAAGAGAATGATAAATAAAAAATATTTAGCTCAATCATTTTCCGCACTTTGAACACTTTAAAAGTTCGTCCATATATGTTCAATGACTATTCATAACAAAAACTCCAAAGATCCAAATGCATTTTATTGAAAAACTTAATTACAAATTACAAAGTTCAAATTATTTAATATACATTTTATTAAAAAACTTAATTACAATGTTCAAATGATATAATATACAAATTCACAAAATGGGAGAAATTTTTTAAAAAAGGAAAAGCATATATACACTTAAATAAAGATTCTTCATCCATTTCCCTTTGAAAAGTTTCCTTGTCATCATCATCACAATACATTCTCCGTACTTGCATCTGCTTCGAGACGCTCGGAGACATCTGCTAAAGACTTGAGATTGCATTGAACAAGAACCTCAACGAAGAAGTAAGTCTCCTCCTTAGTGTTACCTTGAGGCACGTCCACCACAAACGACTCTATGACCAATGTCCCTGCTCTTCCTTCTATGATCTCCGGGTGCAACGAAATGATTGATGAATAGTTCTGTTTTTTTTTTTTTTAGGACAAAAGCAAGAAGATTAGGATTATAGATTTAGAGAAAGACCATATGGTTCTTGTCTCTCTCAAAAAGCAGCAAATAATATACCTTGAGTCTGTGATCGCCACCCACGATTCTGATAGAGAGGACATGTTCATCGTCGTCGAGAAACTCTAATATCTCTGTGCTCTTAGTAGCTGGTAAGCCAGATTTCAAATCAACTTCTCTTTCAGAACCAATCTTTATTAGCTCACCTTTAACCACACACCTACTGATAAATGGCTTGTACATTTGTGGTTGGTCGAAACTCCTCACAATTGACCACACCTTTTACAATATAACAAACAACCAAAACCATTAACATCTCAAATCAAATCAAAATTTAGCATTTGCAAGAATAAAAATACCCAAAATGTACTAAGAGTCTAAGAAACAAGCTTACGAGGTCAAGAGGAGCTTTGATATGCTTAACGAGCGTGGAGCTACATTGGTTCTCCTCAAGCTCGTGCCTATGGTGGTGCCTCTTGACGTACTCGCTCACCATGTTCTCCGTCTCGACAGCTTTCATCGTTTTCCGGCGAACTCAAACTCTTTTTCTCTATACCGCTGTTTTTTTTTATCAACTTACTCTTGTCTCTCTCTAAAAACTCTTCTTATATAAAGAAGCATCTACTAAACCTGATCCGATTGGATAAAATTTAGTATAGGATGATCTTTTTATTAACGCATATCCAAGATTTGTGGATCAATCTATTTTCTTCATCATTTGTACTTTCCACTTTCCTAGTTCAGAAATTATTCAAAGAATCTTTTTTTTCTGCTTTTGTACTATTAATAAAGACTAAAAAAGAATTAGTGTTATTACATGAAAAGAGAATAGTTTTTTTCATTAATGTAAAAATATAAATATGTACGTATTGACCATGGCTACCGTACAAATCTAATCTATAAAGGACAATTAGATTGGTTTGAACAAATTTATTCTATAAAATCATTAACCAATAAAACTAAGCCATTTCATCGAAATTCCAAATTGAACTTATTAGATAAGATGACAAAAAAAAAAGATAAGATCAACGATCTGTTTCTTATTTTGGGAGATAAACATTAGAATCTTAAAAGAAATATCTCCATTGGAATCTTTTCTCAATTAAAAACTTTGTGTGTTAGCAGTGAAGCGTATGTGCTTTTGTAATATTATGTTGTATAAGATTCTAATTTGGATTGCAACCAACCAGTGAGACTATAAAAGTTTGAGCTTTTTTCAATCTTTTTTGTTTTAAATAAATACTATATTTATTCTAATTCTTACATTAAATAATACTTCCTCCATTTCTAAGTAAGTGGACACTTTTCACACAAATTAAAACAATTATTAAAATTTTTGTTTTATCTTTTGTTCATATACAAAATAAAATTCTTTTTCTAATTAAAACAATAAAAATCAAAAATTAAAACTGGATATTAATCAAAATAATGCATTGAAAATATAAAATAATACTTTTTGTAAAAGAAAAATAAAAATTAAAATAACATTTATTTTGAAACAGAAAGTGTTTTATTTTGAAAAAGTAAAGAATTAAATAATTTCTTAATTTGTGGGAACAGAGAAAGTATTTTATACTATATTGGTTCTTTTGATAAATGTTCATCGTCTAATACATTTATCAGTTAGACTTACTGATGCAGAACTGCATACTCAATGCATGTCGTTATTCAAGTGTGAAGGTCTTTCAACAAAAGATGATGTAATTGTTGTGTTTGTAAAATTTGAAGGTAATTTTCTCTTCGTGGCTCACCATATGCTTTCGTGCATCAACATCAGACCTTCATTTCATTTCGTTTTCTTTAATTTTCGTTTATAGAATGACTTTCGTTTATAAGATGGAAAAGGCTCTTCTCTTTCGTTTCCTACCAAAAAAAAAAAAAAAGAATGAATGAAATTGGATTAGAGGCAGAACAGCTAACGTGGCTCTCTCTACCTTAAATCTATCGTTGGAGCAACATATACAAAAGAGATAATCTTGCTTTGGCTTTTTCTTCTTCTCCTTCTTCTTCTTCTTCGTGTTGTAGCGTGTGAAATAAGCAAGCGCCTTACCATAACGGTTATCTATCTAATTCATGAACTTCCTGCAGTTGGGGGCTTTACATAGGCATGGCACCTTGAATTCCTCTGGCTCGTCTGGATCAAATAAGTAATCATACCTGCCAAACAACACACAACATTCCTTAGGCTATGACATCATCAGCTTTAGATTGAACAATACTATATATATAAAAATGTTGTTAGTGTACGTTAACTCCTCTCCCACAGCTACATTGGTCTTGGCGATGAGGACAATCCTGCTTTCCTCATCTCCTACGCTCATAATCCTTGCATAGCAATTTGGCGTACACTGCACCACGTATCTTGTGTTTAGGCTCCACGGTCTCTAAATATATTGTAATATTAGGAAAAGTCTATTCCAAGCTGTGCTTACCGAATGGTTGATGAGCCGAGCTATATTCCCTTTATCTGTAGCATCAACCACTACTTCCTCACTGATCTTGAACAGCTGCACCACAGATCCTCCACTTGGTTAAGAGAGAGAAAGAGAGACAATTGTGGAGATAAATAAGAATCAGTCTCAACTCACATAGCAATCCTTCCCTTCTCTGCGATACCGTGCTTCTCTCAAGTCTGCAATGCTACCTCTCACCTGTTCCCCTCTGTACTCAAGAACCTGAAACAAAACACTCTCTCTCGTCATTCGCTCTCATCCCAAACCCACCACATTCACAAAAGGGTCTGCCCACGTACCATCTCTCCTTCTTGGATGATTCTTCTTGCGAAAAGACCCCATCCATGTATTCCAGATCTCCCAAAGCAGACCCGATCCATTTCTGTCCTCTGTCGCATGAAACATACACTTTGTTAGATTTGATAATACCAAAACTAGAAAAACCTGAACATTACAATCTCTTTGAAACATCTGAGAATGCTTGCCTGCAAGTGCTGAAGTCGTTCTCTGAAAGATGAAAACGATTTGGGTTCTTCCGGCACATGCTACACGTAATACAACCCACAACTGTCAGATCCGAACCATAGTTGGAAACAGAGTAGAAGCCCTGCAAGAAGATTTTTTTTCAATTACCCTGAATGTATTTAGAGTTTGGATTGCTGCTAATGGATGATGGTGTAGTCCTCTTGCTTGGTGAGGTATGGCTTCTCCTTTACTCCCCTACCAAAAACCAAGATCAGCCTAGTGGACACAGGGGATGTGTAATGGAATATACAGACTTTTTTTATGGATAAGACCCAAAATAATACCTTCTTGCTATTGATCTTTCTTCTATACACTCGGCAACGGGCAGCAGAAAATGGATCACATGTATCGGTATCCTCTGCGGGTTCATCGTCTCTTCTGATTGATGAAATAAGCCGGGAACCGCCTCTCTTCTTGTTTGGGACAAGACTTTTTGCAGAGAAGACCCCTGAAGGAGTTTGTATAATTAACACATTATCTGGGTCTGGAGCCCTACACACCAAAAACAATAGTGAAAAACATATATCATAATCAGATATTATAATTCCAAATCCTTTTTAAGCAGAGTGTTGAGAACTTTTACCTGTGATAAGCACAGTAGGACACCATCTTTGTTATCTGCCGACCATTTTTCTCCAAGCAGTGCAACTGCATCCATTATGCATAGAAATAATGCCTGAGTAAAAGGCTATAAAGTTGAAGAAAGATCAGAATCAGAAACACTAAGTATACCTCCATTCTGTAACCAGCTCGGGAGGCACACATGGCGTGGTAATACGTAGAACACTTGCAACACTGAGTGCACGAGCCGTGTATTTGTTTGCATATCACACATATCTGAAATCCATCAAAACAAAGAGTTTAGTAAAATCTGAAATTCGCAAAAGACAAAGAAAGGAAGGTTTCTTGCATTGTAGCTCTCTCTCTTCTCGTAGAGGAATTCACCAACCAGTTAGGACAAGAGTACTCTCGAGCGCCGACCAAAATGAACAAAGAGTTTAAAAGATACCTTCACAAAGTTACTTGATGGAATACTCAAAATCCCAACAGCTGGTTCCATTTTTTCATCACTTGCAAAACATACTTCAGGCTGAAACCAAGCACACGTCACGTGAACCCACAGTGTTTCCACATCAGAAGGCTTCAATGCACCTCCTATCATCAGTCAAAACATTGTCGGGGCAAGAATATAGTTAATGGGCAGCGATGCCATATGTTGGGTAAAGCCAGTATCGTTCAAGGGAAACAGATAGCTGAATATATGAAGGAAATATGCAGAAGTGCCATCAGGAAAAGCAACCATTTTTAAAAAAGAAATTTTTTACTGGTTGTAACCTTTTTTTAAAGAAGCTAAGACCATGTCAAACCATAGGTTAAGAAGAAATGCTTTAGCGCTACAAAATGAAAAAGCCGTACCTTTTACAGGGCAGAGGCAGCAATCCCGCTTAATACCTGGTTTCTCGCATGCTTTACAGACCCATGAGGTGAAATCATGAACATGTCTAGCGCCATAGCATTCCTGATGCACTGCTATTTGGCATCTGACAAGCGAAAGAAAGAACAAACATCTTAAACATTCCCCGGAAAATTATAATTGCAAACTCTGGCTCATATATCTTATCCACAGAAACTAGCAAGAAAATCAAACCTAGCACAGTCCATGTGAACAAAATATTGAATGCAAAAATAAGAGTCTACATGCATGTCAAATTAGATCGATGAAATAATGTTTTGCAAAAAAAATTAATAACAGCACCTGTTGCAGATAATAATCTTGTTGTAGTCCCAATCTTCAACCCATCTGCAAACTGCACATCGTTCTGTTGTCCACTTCGCATTGACCGGCTCATACGTCTCTGCCAACAACGAAAGAAACAGCCAGCAACAGCATCATACAAGGCACTTGAAGCTTTTCAACATGTTACAGGATTTCATTTCCTTCTATACCTGACAGAAAAGCAAGCAGCTTCTGTTTTCTCTGCTTTATGGAAGGTCGTTTAGGAACTTTAGCTGCTGTAGCATTTGCATGTAACTCTCCTAATTCTATCATCTGCGGAGTAAGGGAATGATAAAAACACGTGCTCATTTCATAAAACTCAGAAGAAAGCGGCCGATATCTCTGAAAGAAACCAGAATAGTAATTCTACAAACCCATTCTTCTAGTGGCAGTTTCGAGCTTTTGACTTTCACACTGGTCTTCCAATTTTTCGCCTTTGATCCGGTATGCCTTTCCCACTCACTAAGTGCTTTCTTTTGAGGTCCACAGGAGCCACACTTACATACGACTCTGTAAATAAACAACATGGTGTGAGAAGACTCCAAAGGTAAATTTGAAAACCTATAGGGAAGGTAAATCTCCAAAGGTTCTTGCTTTGAATTAGTTTTAGAAGTAAATCCAAGGCGAGAAGTTAGAGGAATGTAAAGGAAAGGTAAGGAATCTGCTTACAAATGGAGACTTGGGAAATATATTCCTTCTACCCCACAGCATACAACAATAACCTTGTCAGGAAAAACCATCCGACCATCGTCTTTGTCAAGTCTGTAACAGTCCCAAAATTAATTTGGCAATGAAAAGGCACTTTGTTGTGAAAACAATAATAAAAAGTTTGAAAAAGAGGCCTACTTTGACTTGGAGTCTTGTATTTCTGAATCCGATAGCTCAAAGTTAAATTTAGCTCTGCAGGTAGGACAGTAGTAATCTGTTCCCCTCAAAACCTTCACATCATCAAATGAGCTTGATCTTAGCACATGTAAGCAGATGAGATAACCTTGATGAAGTCCAGAACTAACATTACCTTCAATTCCTTATCTGATATTTGGTCACACTCTGCGTGTACCCAGACTTTACAACCATCACAGCGCACCTAATTTACCACGTGGATATAAGAAAACCAAAACCTGAGCCTGCACCACCATAGAAATCCTAATATTTTTGCTTTTCGTACCAGGGTTTGAGTGTCCAAATGATTCCTTATCTTCTTGCATATACCACAAGTGTGTTTCGATTTTTTCAACTGCAACAACAACCAAAGTAGGCTTACTCGTATGCGACGATTTCTGCATCAATTAAAACTTAACTAAGCATAATCACAGAACAAGGGACCCTACATACCCTTGAACATGGTTTACACAACAGTCGATCTCCAGGATTCATAGCTTTCATTTTTTTGGCCATCTCAAAAGTAATTACCGTTCCACATCCTACACAGGCAGGTGAATTTCTGCATTTCTTTAACTCCTGCAAAAAATAAAGTTAATATAAATTTCCCAAATTGGAGGAGATTTACAGAGGAAAAGAAAAGCCATTGTGTTGTTCTTTTGGGAACTACAAAACAAAATTAACCAATGAACCATGCTTGAAAAAGAAACACCCTGCACAACGAACTCATAGACAGAGACACTTGCCTGGCTTGGAGCAGTGTTGCTGAGATCCTGATCTGAGTCTTGAGTCAATCTGTAGAAAGAATCGTCACAAGTAGGGTTACCAGCAGCCAAGTGAATATCATGCATCAACTTCTCCGTGAATCCCTCATCTGCCAAAAATGCTTCCTCCAAAGCCATCTGAAAATTCCCAGGGTTGCATCTTTGCAATTCATACTGCTCCTGGAACCTGAATAAGCAGCTCTTAAGCACTAATCCTCATCTAAAGACGCTAAATTTATTTATTTTCTAATTCAAGAGACCCACCTGGCAACATAATCCACAAAAGGGAAGATCATCCCTCTCCTCACCCAAGCGTAATCCTGCTTACATTAAAACAAGAGTCAGAACCCAGCAGCTTTGAGGAAACTTGAAATAAGGCAAGATCCATATTTGGAAACCCAAGTTCGTACCCTTTCATCCTCGTTCCCAGAGTGACCAAAGAACACAACGCAGGCTGCATCGGGAATACAAGAACGCAGAACAAGCTCGGGTGCTTGCGTCATTGGATCGATAACAATGGCCGGCCAAAACGGCTCATTTTTCCCAGATTTAGCCCAAACCAAATCACCCGAATAGAAGTTCTCTGGCCCATAAGAACCTTCTTTCATCGGAAGCTTCTCATCTCCTCTCCTTCTGTCAACACGAGCACGCACCTCACCATCTTGCTCGTGAAATGTTGCTGCTTTTTTATACAATGCACTACACTTACTGTTCCTATCAATTCCCTTGCTTTTCAAATTAACATCAGCTTTAAGACCCCGAGAACTAGCTTTCTCGTTCCTGCATTCTACTTCTTCCTCGTAGTCACAATCGCGCTCGCTGCTGTTTTTGCCATCTTTCCTCCAATTCTCGAGCACCGAGTCGTTGAATCGAGAAGGAAGCACCTGAATTCGTCCCCTAGAAGTCCGAACCAGCGGTGGACGGGAGACACCGGCCGGAGCATCCCTCGCGGCGCCGGAATCTGATATTCTCTTTGACTCAGTCTCTACCTCAAAAACGGGAGAAGACGAAACCTGAGTGCACCACGAAGCAGATAGTCCATTTCGTCCCCCGCCTGCAACTATCCCGGCGGCGATTTCACCGAGAAGGTTAAGAGGGTAGTAACCTCCCAAGTTAGCTTTTCTCTTCTTCCTGGAACCACCGCACTCACTCGCCGAGTTGCTGAGTTTGCACCGTTTTAAACTCGGTATCTGGGTTTTAAGTTTCCGTTTGATTATCATTATCTTCTCCGGAGATTTTCAGAAGCAATCAGAGCATCATCAGATACAAGTAACTACTGTTACAATCCAGAATCAGCAACTAAAACCTCTCGAAATTCCCCAATTGCTCGCGAACCCTAATCTATCCCCCCCAAATTTCGAAATTTTCCGATGTCAAAGATTCTCGAGAGCAGTCATCCGTCTTCTCTGACCCACGACTGGAAATCGCATACCCGTCGTATCGAACAGGGAAAGTTACAGAATTGCAGATGTTTTTTCTATAGAACAAGGAGAGAAGAAGAGACGTTTGGCACGAAAGAACAGAAAGAGAAAGTGAGAGAGAGAGAGAGAGATCTGTTCCTAACTTCTCTCGCTCTTAAAAAAAAAACCCAGAATAAAAAGACCCAATTTTTATTTTTTAAAATGAGTCGTTTCTTATGATTTGGATAACAAAAACCGGAAGGGAATGCTGAAGAAATTGTTAAAACGGGAAATTTCCGGGAGATTTTTATATTTCTGGGTAAGAAAATTTTAGAGAGAGAGAGAGAGGGTGACAGAGTTGAAGAGAGAGAAGACGGAAAACAAAAAAAGAAAAGAAAAGAGAGTGGGTCGTTCGATCGGAAGTTAACCTTCAGAATAGCGTGAGGGAAGGTGCACATTACTCTGATTTAAGCTAACATGCGCTTGAGGAGGATAATAAGCAGCCGTCACGCTTTTTCTTCTTCGTCCTCCTTCCTCGTTTCTTGTCTTCTCGGACCCAAATTCAAAGATCGTGTCTTGTCCTTGTTCTCTCAACTTCATATCATCAATTATCAAAACGTTCTAAATATTCTTTTACGGAGGTTCCCCATTCCAAGATCCTTGCCGCTGCAATGGAACTTACATAGTACGGCTTGTTGTTCGAATGATCTAATCAAAAGGTTACACAAATTATAACTAGTACCAGCAAAATTAGCCGAGTGAAACTCTCCTGTGTCTCGCAACTCATGCACAGAAGATGCAGTATGTCTTACAATTGTAAAGTTTAAAGATTTTCTTCTCTCTGTTCTGCTTAGCTATGCACCGGTGAGGCTTATGGAAGAAGCATCTACAAAAATATCGAAAAGTTAAACCACCCTTTAGCAAAAATAAAATAAAAAATATCCAAAACTTTCCCACCAATTTTTTTTCAGAACTCTTATAAGGGTATTTCCGTAATAACACACTTTTCCGGTTTAGAACTAACCGAGTAGCTCTGTGTTCCCCCAGCGAGAACCCGATCATGTACCAATTGATTTGTTTAGCAGCAATCTCTTGCGTTAAACTTGAGTTTAGAGATTTGATCTGCGCCGTTTCATAACGATATAAAATGTTTTTATATCAAAAACTAAGTCTCAATTTTTCACAATCGTTCATAATATACACGGTCAAACAAAAAAAAGGAAGGAATATCAAACAGCTTATATATATTTAAATTTTTAGAGACACAGGTTCACAAGATCTAACATATATAAGTCAAACTCCCTACAACTTGTTGTGTCTTTCCTAATTCTTACTCCTTAATCTTATTCAGACAAACCCTTATATACACATATTTTGGAACACACTGCATCAAACTATAGTTATGGGCTCATCTTAAGGACCTAACTAATAATCCTCATATCTGCATCTCCTCTGTTTTTGCAAACCTTCCTCGGATCCTCGGTTGACTGTCTGCAAGAGCCTTCCTGCAAGCATACTGCAACCATACCCGAAACAACTTAAAACTCTCAGTTTCCAACAAAACGCGATTGGTTTTAAATAAATTTTCAGGTCTCTACCTTGATTTTACGCCCGAAATTTCGCCTGCTCTTCTTGTTTCTGTATCGAGAAAGCTTCTCACGACGGTCCTCAGAGGTGCAACTTATGATTATTCGATCCAACTGAGACTGAACAAGACCCGAGTTTATAGTTCTCAGTGTCTGTCATAAAGCAAAAACATCCACAAGTGATGAAAAGGTCACAACTTTCTCTCGAATATCGATGGTTCCACAGGAAAGAGCACAGCTCAGAATCTTGCACACACTTGTACATATATATTAAGTTAACTGTTCAAAGAGTTAAATATTAACCTGTATATCGCTTTCGCTAAAGGCTCTTCTCATTCCATAATCCACTGGTGGGAGATCGGGGAAGCTCTGAATCATCGCATCCTTGTGCTGTGCCGTGTCCATTGAGCTCAGGTTCCCCGAGCTCACGCTCTTCGGAATCGGGACATCAGAGACGACTACACTACTAGCATTGTCCATTTTTGCCACCAAAGGAATGTTCTTGATGTCTAGTACCTCAGAGAGCGAAGACTCCATTGCTGATTTCACCAGGAGGTCCTGCTCACAGTCGTAGAACGCCTTGTCTATAAGGTGTTGGTCACTCTGCAACGACCCGAGATCGCTGAGTTCAACAATCTCTCGAGAGAGTGGATCAACGGCTAGCATTTGTTCTTCCATGATCGGATCAGAGGGTTTGAATAGGTCACTCTCTTCTCCGAAATCATACTCACATGCCTCAGCAAGATTGTTCTGCTTCACAGTCATAAGATAGAAAAAATCAACACAAACTCATCAAAGCAGAAGAAGATAGAGCCAAAACCACACATTACAAAGATCACAGCTCAACACCACAAGTACTTTTTATTAAACTCAGTGAGTTTCTTTGGGTTAATGCACAAAACACTCACAAATCTCTTTGGGAGTGGATTCGTTCAAAAAAGGGTAAAAGGAAAGCGACTCTTACTTCTTTGTTAACAGTCTTAGTGGAGAAAGATTGTAATAAGACGAGGCTATGAAGCGACAAACCCCAATCACAACAAGAGAGTAAATATAACGAGAAAAAACAAAATATAAAAAGACAGAAGTCTGTTTGAACACGGAATCTGATGGTCTAAAACACATAAAAGTTAGATACGCTCTTATAGTTCTAAGTCCAGCTCGCGCATAAAGAGAAAAGTGTAATTCCCATTATCAAAAACCCATAAAAAGCTCTTCTTTAGATTCCCAGAAATTTCATTTTTTCCCAAAGGTAAAAATAAAAGTTTAGTTTTTTAGAAGCCAAAGCAGAAATGACCCAATTTTAGAAGCAAAAGCAGATATGAGCACACATCAAATTTCCAGTTGACGCAAGATTTTCAGTTTCTACCCTTAACTTCCACTAGTTTGTCCGAGAAACCCAAAACCAGATGATAATCAAGAATTAAAATGAAAATGCAGTGACAAACCATTTCATCGGAGAGCTTGTAGGATCTGAAGAGGTCATCGAATTGGTGAATCTCTGGAGAACAGCCCTGCATGAATCGGAACGCGAACCCAGTTTCTGCATACATTTCTTCTTTTTCCTCCTTGCTCTTGATTATAATTTTTGCTTCCCTGAGAGTAGAAATAAGGAATTAAGCAGAGGAGAGTGAACATAAGACCCACCAAAAAAAAGTGAAGCCAAGTTGGGAACTTGGAGCATACCCTGAGGAAAAGTTTCGTACTTTGACCCCCTCTCTTGCCTTTGTGATGTGAAGTGGCCGCCGATAATAAATTGAAAGTTGAAACAATGTGGACATTATTAAAACCCATATAAATATTTTGGAGAGGAAAACAAAATGAAGTCCCCACTATGTTGGTAGAAGATATTTTCTTGTGTAATAACACTCTGAACCAATTAGTGGCACAACACGGTAAAATGATTTAACATTTAAAATTACATGCATTGTTTAGAGGTGTTGAGAGCTCGTGAAATTTTTTTACTGCTTTTTTATTTTTGGTTTTCTGCTAACTCTTCTATCTTTTATTAAATACTGTAGTAACCATTAGAGTGCTACATTCTTTATGCAAAAAAAAAAAGATTACTAATCAAACGAGGAGAAATAAATAATCAGGAATCAAAGCGTAAATTTAAAAGTAGCTTTATTTCATGTATACACAAAGAATTCATGATTCATAACAGTGATATCATGTACCAGGTTATGGGGCTCCTCTCAATTAAGAAAATTTGGTAATATAAGGAGTGAAAATAATTAGAAATAAACTCATATGTATAAGTGAGAAGTTGTAACAAGATTGTATATATCTATCTTTCTCTTTAGAAGACCAACAACAATAAAAAGTTTAAAACGTAGGAATTAGTGTAGACAATGATCAAGATTACTTTTGTAAAGTGAGCTTAACAAATTAATTAAGATGTAGTTATAGGGATCGTAGTAGGTGATTGTGGACAGTAGGCAGAGCCAGCACATGTTTAGTGTGGGTCCCACACTTGGTACTTCTATCTCTGATATTTTTCATTTGAAGCGCGTGAAAAACAAGTCTCGTGATGTTGAGTTTGTAAATCGCGACATTTATTCATACTACTTTAGTTCTCTTATTGATATATATTGTTCTCTATCACATGAATCGATACCATTGATAGTCCCCTATGTTTATGAAAACAATTAATTCGTTCATGTAGAATACTATAATCTGGTTGTACTTTGTAACCAAATTCATATAATCAATCAATTCTTTAATATGCTTGCTTTTTTAGCCTTTATTTCGACAAAGTGAGGAGGTCCCGTGATGTTCCATTTCGCTTTATTTATTTAACTTTTAATAAAACTTTTACAATAGGTTCCGTACCAAAAAAAAGTGAAATCTGTTTTTGTTAATGAGATAACTCGGTTTTCGTAGTTATGTTTTATGCCCCTTTAAACTTCACTAGATGACTCTATCTAATCTTCTTCTTCTTCTTCTTCTTCTTCTTTTGGGTCCGAATCTAACTTACGTTCAAAAACACGTTTTCCTCTTCTTCTTTATGTTAAATCAAAACGACGAGTAACAAATGAATTACTCCAAATTCTCCAAAATAGTGCTTGGAATGGGATTTTAACGTGGCATTGGAGATGGGGTTTACTGTCCAAATTCTCCATCACCACAACTTTATTATTGTATACAGTTACAATAATTTGGAAGAGTATGGATAACTTAAACGACAAAAACAACACATCAGATATCTTAAGTTTAGATTATATAATACATCGAGTAGAAAATGTGTCGTCTACTGTTGTTGTCTCTAATGAATCATCAAGAACTATGGACAAAGGACCACATGAACAGTTTTCATCAAATCTAACTTACACTAAAAACAACGACGATTAGTCCTGTTGAAGAATATTCCAGCACCAGCAGATATTTTACCGGAGATTCTATCGTTTAACGACGTCTGAAAAGAATCTTTTGCTGTGACAGAACTTAAACTTTTAACAATCTCAACGACTATGCATTTACTTAATGATTATCATAAACAGATATCGAAGAAGCTTTGTTTACGAAGAATATATTTTAATCGTCGATTAGATTGAATGAATGATTTAGACGCTCATAAGAGATTTATATTCGCGTAAACCAAGTTTAGACCACAAGTGTTGTAGACGAGAACTTTTAACCAAACCAGTTTTGAACACATGACTAAGCAGTCTTGAAATAAACCAAAAGGACTGATTTCATCTTAAAGCCATGACAACATGATCATTAGATACAAAAATTGGCTTAAGAGAAGAGTATCTTAATATCGTTAAGAGAAGAGGGAACAAGAGTTGGAAGAAAAATCAGTTAAACTTTGCGTTAGAGAAGTTCATCTCAGGATGCTGAGCCATAAACTTCTTCATGATATCATCCTTCTGCATCTCATCACTCGTTGGGAGTCCCATCTGCTTCTGCCTCTGATCAAACTACAGAAGAAAAGGGGAAAGACACTCTGCGTAAATACAAAATCAAACACAACAAAGAAGTAATCAAGAGCAAAGAGAAACAGTCTTTACCATCATCTTCTCAACGGTACTGCGAGTTTCCGGGTCGAGATCAGCCAGCTTGCTGCTCTCTGGTTCAACCTTCTGAGTGTCTATCTCAGGCTCTCCCTTCACACAGTATTTCCACCACTCCATCTGGTCTTGCTTTGTCAAGAGCACTGATATGACCTTTTGATCCTCGATGTTCCAGAAGCAGTCATCAGGCTTCACAGGATGGAAGAACTCTCCCTGTTATCACCCAAAAGTCGCAGACTTTAGCAGCAAATAAAAGACAGATCAAGATGCATTGAAAGAAATTGCGATTGGGAAAAACTTACATCGATGATTGGTTCTTGCCCTTTGAGACCAACTTTCAAACGGTTCTTCTTGATTTCACAGGTGACAGACCGTGATTTAGTGCCGCTAGGTACTGGAATGGTAACAGTGACCTCCTGAAGGTTCTGTGTCCACGAGTACTTCTCAAAATCAAGCCCATTCCCTTTGTTAGGAACTGTATCAACGAAACATGAAGTTAGTATGCAACAAGATTGAGTTAAATTTTAGGATCTTTCACTCAAGAATTGGTTGGAGGAACAATGATTCTGACTCTTAACATAGTAAAGATCTAAACTTTCTCCAATGTTCTAGTCCCAGAGCAAAGAATCACAAGTCTTTCATCAAGTTGATATGAACATTAGCTCCTAAGACTAATTCCAATATCGTGATTCATCATAGCAAATTGAACCAAACAAAATCCAAGACCGCTGAGGAAACAAAACCCATTCCATATCTCATCCCTGAAGATCCAAATACCACTAAGGAGACATAACCCTAAACTAAAAATTTCACCAGAGGCCTCTAAAGAACGAGTGATATATTCAATAAAGGCAAAACGAAGGACTTACCGATAGGACCAGATTCTTTTTTCTCTTCCTCCTTCGGCTGTTCCACCTCCATGGGTTCCGTTGGCTTCAAGCTTTCCTTCTCCGGCTTCTCCACCTCCATGGGTTCCATCGGAGGCAGTGGCACACTGTCCGTCTTCGGCTTCTTCTCGATGGGCTTCAAGATCTCCTTCTCCGCCTTCTTCTTCTCCGCCTGTCTCAACCTCTCCTTTGCGGCCTTAACAGCAGTGGCGATCTCCTTCTCCGCCGTGTCTTTCATCAGAAAGCTGCTCTCTTTACCAATAAAGTCGAGGACTTTCTCCAAAAACTCGAGTGGGCTTGAAGGATCAAAACTTGCCCTAAACGGCAAAGCCGAGGGTCTCTCCTCCTGCATCTCAGAGATAATCGCCATCGGTTTTCGTTAAGCTTTTAGGTTTTGCTGTATAGTCAGGGATTAAAATCAGAGTGAATTTGTCTTGTCGTCAATGAAACAAAGATTTGGTATTTATAGGGGAAGCCATAAAGGCAAAAAGGAAAGTTCCAGAAGAAAACAGAGCTTAAACCCTTCTCGACTGGTATTGGGGTATTTTTTCCTTAATACCCTCGAGTCATAAAGTTTCCTAAATTCGTTTGGCCAAACAAAAAAAAGTTTCCTAAATTCTTAATTTTCCTTATTCTAGTTTTTTGCTATTTATCATTCATTTTAATAAGAATTACGGGAAAATAGCAAACCTAAAAATTAGATTATTATCTCACACTTACAATTTAGGACTTATAAATTGATTTTAAAAGCTTAAGATTTGTTTTCATACTTTTATTTAAAAATATATTTTAAAGATTTGTTGAAATCATTTGACCGGAAAAATAAAAGATTTGTCGAAATCCTTATATGATAGAAAATCTTCTAGAAATAATTTAAATCCTTTTACTATTTGATGATGATTACTCCAGCTAACAAGTGCCCTTCTTGCAACAACAAAATAGCAGTTGCCTATATTTTTTTTTTAAACGAGCCTAAATGTTTTCCTTCAATGGTAATTAGTATGTTGATATATTCATTTGGATATTATACTTTTTGTTAATCACCGAGAAGAAGATCTGACGTCAAAATTTTAGAAAACTTATGAAGATTCCTTGTTTGAAAAATATTGTGTAAAGATAATATATATCAAATGGGGGTGTAGCTCATATGGTAGAGCGCTCGCTTCGCATGCGAGCAAAAAGTTCACCATATTTCTCGTAACTAAAAAAATTATTATTTTTCACCTGATCATATCTCAAATCTCCATGCATCTAATGAATCTTTAAGATTTGCGCATCTGAACTCCGATCCAAGTTAACCCAGCAAATAGAGACTGTAACTTGTGATAAGATCAAACACATTCATTCATGAAATGTTTTTAGATACAACAGACAACAAGGGACAGTGCAAACGAATCATCAATCATCATACAGCTTTCCTTCTCAAAGTGAGAGAAATAAAATATAGAAAGAATGAATGATCAGGAAGATAGGTTTGGTATGCAGAGCCCAGAATCTGGATTGTGTTGCTCTTTCCAGATCTTACCTGTGACTCTAAGCTTAAGCTCCTTCCTGTCACCGCCGGAGAAGAAGAGAGCCATGTTTCTTTGGATGATGAGACCGTCGTTGCTGTCTCTTACTTTCCTGTGGCTATCTCGGATGCTTCTTGGGGTTCCTTCCCATGTTAGCTTCCTCCCACTGCCTCCAACTTCTAAGCTGTAGCTGTAACTCCGTGCCTCTTCCTCGTCCCCCATGAACCTCAGGAACGCCATGTATACCGGACCCATCCCGAGCTGGAACGCCTCGAAATGGAGGCAGAAGTATTGCCCAAAGCAATGAAATACCTGAGAACACAGACAAGGAACAATGAGATACCTGTCAGTTTTGAGTTTTGACAGTCGAAAACATTGAATCATGTTTTTACTAAAGCAAAGGACGCTCACAGTTAGCATCCAAGTGGCGTTCTCTACTTCGCGCGGATTAGATTTGACGTAGCGGTGGTTAAACGTGGAGCCGGCGTGCATGTCGACTTTGTGGTCATCCCTGAGATGGGCTACAAGGAAAGGGATGTCTCCTACGACACCACACTCCGAGCCAGCGTAAGGACAGCTGTAAGGTCTGAAGTTACAGAGAGACTCGTGCTTTAGCTTGCTGTAATAAGGGAATATCTCAGGGCAGCCCAGGTTGTAGTACTTGCAAGGCAGCTCAAGCGACTCGGCTACTTTCTCAAGTGCTAAACATCTTATATCTCCAAGTTCTTGCCTACACGTGGGACAACGGTTGTGCACCCTCACTTTACAGGTCGAGCACAACGTGTGCCCATTATGGCACTGCAAACAACAAAAACACAAACAGAGACATATATTACATACTTTTTCAGATCAAGAACTTTTCCCCTGGCTCAATTGTAGGATACAAGAGACATTGAAGCACACAGTAAATGCTCTGGGTCATGTTTCTCTTCGTAAAAGCTACACAACATCATTGTCCTGGAGAACTAATCCATTTTTGCAATTTGAGTTACCAAATTTGGAACACAATAAAGCTACAATCATATTATCAGCTCCAAAGTGGAGTTAACACCAGCCGCAATTTCTGAGACCAGCAAAACCACTCTACGATCAAGAACCCAGACATCATGAATCAAAAGAACCGAATTCCACATAAAAAAGAAGAAGAAGATCGGATATTCACCTGATGGATAGGAGGATACATAGAGTAGGTACAGACAGGGCACTCTAGAAGCTCGTAGACGCTAGTGGCCGGAGCGGTTGCCGTCGGACCGACTATATTGGTAACGACGGCGGCGGCGGCGGCTCCGCCGTGATTCTTCGTCGAAGAGAAGTGGTACGTTCCGTTATGATGGATCTCATCGTTCTGGATGCTTCTTGTCGACGATTCACACTCCATACTGTCCATCTCCATATTCAACAATCGAAAAAACCAAAAAAAGCCCCAAATTCAAAAAATAAGGTCAAAAACCCCCTTCATGTTCTCTTATTTTTTCTTCGTTTTTTTTCTCCCCCTCGGAAAAAATGAAATTCCTTTCTTTCACGCCGATTAACAGGGAAATACGAAAGCGTAACAGTACGTTGCTTCCTTACCACTTTTGGGAATCTTTAACAATGGATTCGATAGACAAATCTGGAAATACGAGAAAGAGAGAAAAGGGAAAGAGAATTGTAGGCAAAAGAAAAAGAAAAACTCAAAATTTTCAGGGAAACCAAATCGGCCCTGACTCTGACTCTCCTCCGCCCCTCTCTTTCCTAATCTCTCTCTCTCTCTCGTCGCCGTTTCTGGTAAAAGCGGTGCTTTTCTTCGTTGGCTTCTCTGATCTCTGAAATTGAGAGAGAAAAGAAGAGAGATCAATTATGAGCCGTCCAGATGCAAAGGCTCCCTTTAATTCGAATTTGAATCCGACGGTTATCACTCTAACCCAACCAATTGGCTATAGATTAGTGTAATTGGTTCAAACCCAATGCGAACGTAACCGATCTTACTAATGTCCTTTAAAACGTCGTCGTCGCTAGGAACCGTACTTTTACGGTCAGCTACTTGTTTCTAGGTTTATAAATAAATCCGTCATAAATATCATCAAATGGTTCTATGGTCTAGCGGTTAGGACATTGGACTCTGAATCCAGTAACCCGAGTTCAATTCTCGGTAGAACCTTATTTAGAGAAACTTTTTCGAATTTTAATGCAGAAGATGAGATATGGCTAAATAATAAAAGAGCACAGGTGGTCGTCATCGATTATTTTGTGCTTCCTACACTTGGAAACGACTTCTACACTTGCAAGTCACAACAAAGATTTGGCCACAAAAACGTAAAGTCTAACGAAAGCTCACAAAGCAGAGTGGAAGAGAAAAAAGTGGTACGAGGGTTGGATCATTCTCTAGACAAGATTCAGTTTCAGTACGATGATGATGAGTATCCGAAGCTACCGGCCTTTCTCCCCATAAGTGAAAGCATCATGTCTCCCACTGGAGTTTCGGATCCATCAGACCATCCGTACTTCTCAAGCAAGTGATCCACAAAGTCACCAACCACGTAAGAAATCCCCGACACTGACACAGCGATCAACGCGTAGTACAGAACGCTCTTCAGGTGGCTGCCTCTCGGGTTCCTCACGTGAGCTTTGGCTAGGGCGAGCAAGACGATGCATAGTAGAGATGACCCGAAAACTGACGCGACCTTGTAGTCTCTGTTGTGTGTTTTGCTGAATGAGAAATAGTAGACTATTGGAGGGAGCAGTCCGACGATTATGAAGGATAAGAGTGCGACTGTTGCGTGAAGCGTGAAATTTTCTCTGCGTCCCAGGAGTCGCTTGTACCGACCTTCCTCTTGACCGTTAGTCTGGTTATCCTCTGTTGTTGTTCTTCTTGGTTCCTCCTCTCTTAGTTCTTGGAGCTGCAAAAAGAAGTTTCTCTGTGAGTTTCTTGAAATTGCAGGTTAAGCGGTTGATGAATCAAGATTACGAAAGATTAGGTGGTCACTCACATTATGAATAATGAGAATAAGCCCGCCGAACAAGTTTGCAAGCCCCAAAACCAAAATGTTCACTGCAACCACAACGGTACATATAAGTGTTGGGATTTCCCAGCAAGCAAACTTTAATCTTGGAAATGGAATTGAAAAGGCTGAGGAATACTTACATGTGGAAGCACCAGAACCAGCGGCAGATGAGATAACACCGAGGCTTGTGATGGATTCTATTAAACCTCCGTACACAATGCTTTTCAAGATTTCCAGTTTACGCCCTTCAACAACTGGTCTCACTAATAACGGTTCCCTAATTAGAGTCCCTTCTTCCAACGAACTCACTGGGAGTGGTGGAACATCAGTTCCGGTACTTGGTGTACCAGTCACAACTCCTCTCTCACCACCTGTGTCCAACACACCTAAACAGGAGCGGAAAGTTAGCAAGGTATGAATGAGATTGACTACACAGTACGTTACCAACTTAATCTTCAAACAGAGAAGACAGAAGAAGACGGTTTCATTTTATGTATTTGACATTGACGCTATGAAGATTATTTATTTCCTCGCGGCATGATAAACAGAATTAAGATTACTTGGTATATTGGTCAGACCGAAATCTGGCTTTCTAGCGTCTGCTCCTTCAAACAGATGAGACACACCTTCAGAATGAAATATAGTTTCTACTCTTACTCCATCGGGTCCACTAGTCACTGTGTTTGATATGTTCATGTCACGAGATGGTTGAATCGGGGAGAGACGTCCTTTCTCTGATGAGTGGTTCCCTTCTGTTGCAATGGCATCATCCTTGTCGGTCTTGTGCTGTGTTTGCTCCTCCTCCGCCTTAGGAACCAGAAACTTCTGCCCGTCTTCAACAGTCGCTCCGTTGTTGACAACTTTGCTTGGATCATGCGAGTTTGCAACTGCCATCATATCAAGAAAAGAGTGGTGGAGTGTTAACAAGTCTGAGGAGAAGACGCAATAAGCTATATAGGAGAAGAAGAATTGGCTATCACGTTTTTTATTTTCATTAAAGTTGCTTCTCAACGCCCTTGCTTACAAATTCAACTACAAAGACACGAACATGGGTTCCACTTTCTTAGAGTGACGCAATTATATATGTACCTTGAATCAAAGGGGTGTCAACAGGCTCTTTATCTTGAGAAACACTGATCTCTGCACCACGATGTATTCAAACGATTACTTAAAAAGCAATGATAAAGTAGTAGGCTTAAGACTTATCTCCCTTTTAAGAGAAGAGAGACATATATCTACTTATTACCATATTTTCTACATTTTGTTAAAGTTTTTACCTTGCCTTTTCCTTTAAATCTCTACTGATGGAATAATAACCATTTTGTTTCATTAATTGTCCCTACCTTGAATCGGAGTGGCTGCAGCATCCTGAACAAGCGCTGGGGCTTTTGATGAGGCATTTGCAGTAGAACCAGAGCCTGTGGTATCCTCACCCGGAAGATTTAGGTTATCACGCGGCAAATTAGCATCCGGGACACTAGACGTTGTCCCACCTGACAACACAAAAGAAATAAATTTAATTCTAAAGATGATATGATACAAACTCCAAAGGCATCATAATAAGAAAGACATTGCAATTTTAATTTTAGTAGACACAGAAGTAGCCACAGAAGTAGCCACTGAAGTAGGCAGTCTCGAATCACCGTTTTGATGTACTAAAAGAATTGAAATGTCATACGCATGAACCGACTGATAAGAGTGGCAAAGGGACCAAACAATACCTGGCCGAGGAGCTGCTTTTTCTTTCTTAAATCCGAACATTGAACTGAACCAATTGGAATCGCCTGTGGCCTCCTCTCGAGGCTTTGACTGATTCTCTAACACAGCGCCTTCACTGGGAAGTAACGGCTTTGAAACCGCCCCTGCAATTTTTTTTTTCCAAAAAACCAAATCATGCTTTGGATACAAAAACGGATGGAATCTGATATTTAAATTTTATGAAAAAAAAATTGTAACAATCTAATCTACCTGTGGGTATGAATATGCTGAAGCATGACAAACACTTGAACACAAATGATTCTCGTCCAGAGCTTTCTTCACCATCTAGAGGCGGCGAATTGTCTTCCGATCGAAGAACAGGGTCATTCGGGCGAGGCCTTGTCAAGCTTGGTTGATCTTCCAGCACATGAGGGATCTTCCGTTTCCTTCTTTTGAGGACAACCCTTTCAGTGATGCAAGAGTTGCAGATTGGACAGAACAGGTCATGTGTCTCTTGGTTTTTCAGCACTTTCTCCACGTCATAGTCGTCAACATCTTTGATCTCCCGCTCCTCCTCCACTATCAAATCACCAATGGGTTGATCAACAGCATCCAGGGATTTAGAGACTTCACCAGCTTGCACTTCTTCGATTTCATTTTCACGTGGTCCTTTGTTATCCTCAGAAGCTGAACCGTTATCAGATTCTGAATGCTTTGTCTCCCCGTTCAAGCGGTCAGCGGGCTGGGACTCATGAGCATCAGGCTCTGCACCAGCTGACTCAGAGCCTAGCAGAAGAACATTAAGCAAGGATTAACCAGAAACTCAAATATATATATATATATATATATATATGATCGCATCTTCAAACAAACAACACATTAACAGCAAGAGAAGACAGCTAATAATTTAAAGAGTTCTCATGAATTTGCTATTGCAGCTAAAAAAGATTGTTGGTCCAAGAAGCCCTAAGACAGGACTGACCTTTGGATTCAAAACATAACAAAGATTCCTCTCTGTAGGTCCAATCGCACTGGCGACATTTCCAAACTCCTTCATTCACAAACAACAAATCATGACAACGACACGTATCAGAAAATCTATTCTACTCTAAATTCAGACTCAAAGCCCCAACTAAACGGCGATAATTGCAGGATTACTCAGTGATAATCCAACACGTTGTTTGGGCTAATTACTCTACTTGATCTGAATCGTGTCCGCAAGATTTCACAACTGATAAGGAAACATTACAAAATTTAATGCAAAGAAACGCAATACTCAGCTCCTAAAGAGGAATTTTAAGTTAAGCAGTCCATAAGAAAACAGCTCAGAACATGAAACTATCAGAGATTTGAGTTACCAACCTAGTTCACCGTCGAAGTAGACGTTGCAACTGCTCCCGTCCTCGTGCTCCTCGTGGATTCCGATTTCCGGCGAGTCCGGGACCTCCAAATTTTCTACTGTGACATGCTCTCCGTCGCCGTTACGGAAATCGGGAATTATCCCCTCCGTGCCATCACCGGAAAAGCTAGAAGAAGAAGACGAGCTGGTGTTGGTGACAGTGCTACTGTCCGCACTATCGGGTCTCTTTCCATGACGAAATGTCGACGATATTTTCCTCTCCAGCTCGAAAACTTGCTCGTCCTCTTCTTCAGCTTCTACTGGCTGATGGTGCTTCTCGGTCCCGGAGGTGGGCTCCGTGATTTCGGCGGCGGATCCCATCAAAAAAAGAGGCCAAAGTGGAAGACAGGAATGGCCAAAAGAAGTGGGAAAAAAGAGAACAAAAGAGAGATTCTGAGATCTAAGAGAAGGGTATTGATGGGGTCGTCTCTGTCTCCTTCTTCCTCACTTCAAAAATATCGACTAAATTGTTGCTTTCATGCTTATAAATTTATACTTATGAAATGTTTTGTTTGACTTCGCCGTTGATCAGCACGTTTCTACAAAATCATATCTTCACTTGTTTATACTTTTTTTTTAATCCTCAGAGATAATTTCCTGTCTGTTTTGAAATTAGTGGTGTACTTCTTTTTTTCAAATGTACTTTTGTTCATTACTTTTAAACTTTCCAATATTAAGGAATACTTACTATATATCAACCAATTATACCTTACTAAATTAGGACAGAGTGTAGTTGATAAAGTAGTGATTTTAGTGGTTTTCTTCTCCTTAAAACTCGGTACTAGTATTCGGTAGTTACGATCGTTTATACACCATACCGTAATCTTCCGAACAATAATGTATTTAGCGGATTTGAATGGTAAATTAAATTAAACTAGTAGTACTTCCTAACAATTAGTTGAAGATTTTAGCTAACAAAAAACAATTAGGTGAATATTTTGTCAGCTTCAGTAAAGAGATTTATTATCTATCACATGGATGACAGAAGAGAGAGAGAGACTGCATTCATTTCACGATGACCGCACCTCCCAACTATAAATCGATGACTCTTCCATTATCACGGGCGAAAAGACAGACCTCTCATCTAGATCAAACACTATAAACAATCAAATCACATATTATATAATACGATTGTTTACCAGCTATTATAGTACTTACATATTTATTTATTTTTTGGTATGAATTTTAAGAAGCACTTACATATTTTGGTTATAAAAATAAGAAAGTCGCATCTTGAAATAAATACTCAATGTAAACATTCCGAAATAATATTAGCACGCAACACATTTGCTGACATACTACATGATCAAATCCGTATTTAATACAAATATGTCAATTCTGTATCAGATCAAATTTATTTTTAGTATGTTTTTAAGGCTATTGAATTAACTGTAACCACCTACAATCGAATTTCTATTCAAGTTTGTTTCAATAGTGGTCTCGTCACTACCGTCTCGGTTTTTAAAAAAGGTTTAGGCCAAAAAAAAATTTTGGACCCTTTAATTAAAAAACAAAAAAATGGATCTTTTTAATATAAATTTATTTTTTAAAAAGTAAATTTGGACTTTTTTTTCTTTCTAAAAATTTTAAAATTTGAAATGGACCCTGACCTGTGCCCCTCTCACCACCCCTCAGAGCCGCACCTGGGTCTCGTCTTTTAGTGTTGATCGTGATGTGGTTGTAAATCTTTCATGTTATCAAGTTTTCTCATTAGAATTGAAATAATTTTTTGCCACGAGAAATTCATGATTACAAGTTAGCTGTAACAAAAAGTGACGCCAAAAAAAGAATGTTATCACAAATAAATAGCTCGAGACAAGAAGATAAGAAGATATCTCTGTTTGACCAAATAGCCTGGTTCCTTAAGTCTTTAACCACTATATCACCTAAAATGATAATAGCCCAAACACACACGTTAGGAACGTGGTTGACAGCACATGCATATGTTCAAATTCAAACTAACTTGATAATAAAATTTAGCTAACTCACAATATAATATAAGTCGCGTGGGAAACGTTGGTTGAGTTTAATTATATTATCGATCTCACTTAATAGGATGAGTCATTCATAATGTGAACTTGACCTTGAGTTCACATGGATCCATTTTTCATCAACTTTCTCTAACTTATGAATTTTTTTTATCTTCAACTGCCATTATAAGTTAATGGCACAATATACCCATACATTTTACAACGTGTTAGTCACAAAATTTGCAATCTCAAATCATATAAGATATAACTCCTTTGGCATCCCACGACTCTTTCACGAATTCGAAGTAAGAAATATCACGACGAGGCGATGTATCAATTATGTTCCATATCGATAAAAGCAAAACAATAATGTATTTGTCCACCAATCTTAATTTGAGTCTCTGCATCCTTACTATACCGACCAATGAATCTGTTGATAAACCCAAACTTTTTTTTCTCGTAGTACGTGTCTTAGTCTACTCATCGTAACTATTACTCTTCAATGACAACCAAGAGATCAACATTCCTGAATTATCTTATCTATCACCCATTGTTAAACAACATGAACTATTTGTTTCGCTTTAGAACAATTTTGAACAGCTCTTGTTCTCGGAACCTTATACATGTACGATTCAAAACCAACTAAAAGAAGAGAAAAAATAATCTAATCTACTAATTTTACAACATGATGTAGTTGCACAAATTTAGCTAAGTTAAACAAGAAATTGTTTTCTGAACTCTTAAGGAAGAGCCAAGACTTGGAGAACTTTAACACTATTTAACTACAAAGCCAATTGCAATTTAATTTTGTTTAAAGTATTTTGTAGTACAAGGTTTAAGATTTTTTTTTTTGGTCTACGGTTTAAGAATCTTATTAAAATTCGATAAAAAGGGTTATTTTTGTCTCTTTTGAATGCTCTCTACTATTTTATTTCTCCATAGAGATAAATTATTTCACTTTTTTAAGGAAAATAAATTCTATGACAAAAAGGGTAAGAAAAAGACACTGGAAGTGGAAGAAGAAAGAAGAAGAACTAAGTTTCAAACTCATGGAGTTTCTGGAAAATCATCATAAAACCCGCTTTTCTCAAGCCACTGACTCACCAAGTATCCCAAAAATTGAGACAATCCCGACGCCGTCGTCGCCATCGCCGTGTACCGAACCAGAGTCTTGAGATACTCGCGTCTCTTGGAGACGTAAGCTTTCGCAATTGAGAGCAAGACGATGCAGAGCATAGATACTGCGTAAACAGCTAAAGTCTTGTACTCTTGTCTCTTTTCGATTCTTCTTCTGAACGAGAAGCCGTACACCAGAGGTGGGATCAGTCCACAGACGACGAAAGACGAGATTGCGATCAATCTGTGAATCCTCGACCTCTCTCTTCTTCCGAGATTCTCCTCGTACCGATCTTCTTCTTCTTCTTCTTCCGAATCTTTCTGCTCATTGGTGTTGGTTCGTATTCTGGGTTTCTCGTTTATGAGATCTTGGAGCTGCAGAGAAAAAAAAATGGCGTCTTTGTTCAATTCTCTGAGGGCTACATACATATGTTTCATTACAGAGCAGAAAGATCACTTACGCTGTGAAAGATCAGAAGAAGACCGCTTGACAAATTGGCAACTCCCAAGGCCAAAACGTTCACTACAATTACGAGCAAAGACATGGGAAATATTTTAGGCACTGATAGTGTTCGACGAATTGCGTCAAAGAGATTGGGGTCGATCACTTACTAGTTGAAGCACCAGATGCGGCTGCAGATGTTACGGTGCAAAGGCTTGTGATGGATTGTGTCAGACCTCCATACACAACACTTTTCAGGATCTCGAGTTTATTACCGGCTTTGCTAGGTTCGAGTTCAACAACACTATTTGGGATCTCTGGTTGAGTATTTGCTGGTGTTTCACTCTCTGCATTTTCATGAGTTTCCTTGTTGAGAATTTCCATGGATGGTTGCTCTTGTGGTGAAGGATCTAGGGGAATTGGGTAGATTTTTTGGATGTCTAGCATAATCAAGAATCTTTGTTAAGAACCAGACTATTAACTAGGATTCATCTCGGAATCAGAATCTAAACACACCTGTTTTCTTGTCAGAATCTTCATCACGATCTGCAGCTTGGTCATCGTGATATTGAGGTTTTTGACTCTGTTCTTCACTAGTGGTTTCAGCAGACTTGGAATCAACCCCTTTATCGCCTGGCATAGTTGAGAGAATCGTCAAATCAAAGTGTTGAAAGAGGAGATTACCTCGTTCGTCAAACATTGAACTGATGGATACAAAAATAAATGAGGAGAAAAAGTCAACTACCTTTCACCTTGTGATGAGATATGGGACTGTAACGGGACCTCATTGCCACAATGACGAGAAGCAACACCACAAACGTGGGAACTATCAAAAGTACTGAAGCGGGAGGCAGCCACAACGAAGAGATAGAAGGCAAGTCCAGATGCGGTGGAATGATAGGCGGTGATTGCTGTGGAGAAGTTGAAAAGACAGAAAGAGCAATGATACTACAGAGGAACAACCAAGCAAAGACATCGAGGTAGCACTTAGGAAAACTTGGTCTGTCTTTCTCAATTTTGACATCGATGCTCGGTTCCTCACCACTGATACCAAGATCGTTGCCAGATCCTGGGGACGACTTCGAATCTACGTCTTTCTTGCCTGACTCTGCCAAGAAACCAACGTCAATCACAACTGTCCATACAAAAACACCCGAAAGAAGGCAGGAAAATAAAGGTTACCTTCGTCTTTGTTGTGGCCATAAAGAGAAGGAAACAGCTGCTGAAAATTAACAGGGAACCATGGTGGAAGCTTTGTCTTCTGTTTTTCGGATCTTGAACCATTCTCGGTGTTAATTGCATCATTCTCAGCGATACTGTCTTTTGTGGGTTGAAGATCTGATTTCTTCACGAGCTTGACTGTTTTGGTGATATCTTCACCACAGCAGGGGCAGTACAAGTAATACTTATGCTGGTTCTTGAGCACAATCTCCACATCATCGTTCAATGAATCAGGTTCTGTCTCTTTTGCTCTAACTACATCTTCAGTTTCAGGGGATTGGTTCTTGTCTACGGATCTTGAAACAAATTCTATAGCTTCACGTGACTCGGATCCTATGGGTACCAAATTGGAGTCTAGCATTTGGAACCAAAAAAAAAAAAAGTGAACAGAAGTACAATATTCAGTTGGTGTCATCTCCGTTTACTTTTTGTTTTGTTAGTATCAATATTAATGAACTGTGTACGTAACTAATCAGAAGTAGAAATAATTCTCAGACCTTGTTCTTGGCTAAAGTCAACGCCATCCTCTTCCTCGCTGCCGTCTGGTGAGTCCGGGGGTAGTTTGGTAAATTCATCGGTATAGACACCATCCCCATTGGCACCGTCGCCGGCGGAGCTTTGAGTGGGAGTCGGATTCGTGGTGGGTTCCATTGGAGAGATTCAAAGATGAGATTCAGAGCCATATCGTCACTATTTTATGGTTAGTCTCTTCATCTAAATATTTAAAATTCCACGAGGTCCACGTTCTTTAATTTATTTATAACCAACATGAGTAACCAATATTTTGTCTTTTTTTGCCAATGTCTTCTGTTAATATGTGAAAATGGAAAAACGAAACTGATCATTATTGATAATAATATAATCGAACATTTTGCTTACAGAGAAACAAAACAAGTTCGTGTACAAACGCAATAATAAGAAACAGAAACAGAAAGAGGAAAATCAGCTAAAGAAAAACTCTTTGGTAGCTTTGTTGTTCTTTATTCGAAACGTCTTTTGGAATCTGGAAATCACACTTTTAGGTAATCAGAGGCAAGCTTATGAAAGTCGTACTTTTCAAGCAGATCTCTGACATGTTGCGCAGACGCCAAAATCGCTATTCCGGTGTATACAGCCACTGTATTGAGTTTATTCTTGCGGAAGGCGTGAGCTTTGGCAAATGAGAGAGAGATGACACAGACCAGAGATGCGGCAACGACAACCGCAGCTTCATAGTGTCTGTTGTCTGTTATTTTGAAGGAGAGGCCGTAGAAGAGAGGAGGGATCACACCAAAGAAGATGAAAGGAAACCACAACAACGACGCAATGGAGTATGACCTTCTTTCTGTTTCCCAGCAGTTACTCGTAGGGGTCTGTTGCTTTCACATCCGGCATATGATCAGTGTCTCTTTTCATTTATCTGTCTTCTTCATTGATGTTATCCAGAAGACAAAACGGAGGTCCTTGGAGATAAACAAGGTGTTGCTTCGCAGAATGATGATCTGTCTACTCCAGACAACAACAAATTTGGTTCAGGGATAAAGACCAAATTGGTGTACAAAATATGTTTAACCGATATCTTTGGTTAACATATGAAAATGAGAAAGAAAAATAAACTGATTATTATTGATAAAAAAATCGGACTATTTTGCTCACAGAGAAACAAAACAAGTTGGTGTACAAAACACTAACACATTAAAGACTTTGCACAGAAGAAAAAGATGAAATGCTCTGTTAAATGAAAGAAAAAGGCAAATCAGCTAAAGAACAACTTTTTGGTAGCTTTGTTGCTGTTTATCTAAAACTTCTTCCGGGATCTAGAAATCACACTTTTAGGTGAGCAGCGGCATGCTTTTCAAACAGATCTCTAAGGTGTTGACTTGCAATGAAAGAAAACGCAGACGCCCCAATCGCTATTCCCGTGTATACAGCCACGGTCTTGGTCCTATTTATGCCGAAGGCGTAAGCTTTAGCAAAGGAGAGAGAGATGACGCAGACGAGAGATGCGGCGACAACAACAGCAGCTTCTTCGTAGTGTCCCTTGCCTGTTATTTTGAAAGAGAAGCCGTAGAAGAGAGGAGGGATCACACCGAAGAAGACGAAGGAAACCACAACAACGAAGCAATGGAGTATGACCTTCTTTCTTTTTCCCAGCAGTTCCTCGTAGGGATCTGTTGCTTTCACATCCGGCATATGATGAATGTCCGCACTTGGATAAAATGGTTCAGACATTATGAGTCCATATAGCTGCCAAAATATATCCTTTTTATCGTAAGTGCAAGTGGTTAAAATCAAACTTGAATGAAGATTTTGCTGACAAAGTGTTCAGACACATGAGAAAACAGAGTAGATGCTCTATTTTGATAATGGAGAAAAACAGAGCACATACTCTGTTTGCTCAATAACCTGATTCACGTATGAAAATCTTTTGCAGGAGTAGAAACTAGAAAGAGAGGAAACAAAAACGACTCACGTTGTAAATGATGAGAAAAAGGCCGCTGAATAAATTGGCTATCCCCAACGCCATAACGTTAACTGCAAGCAAAGACAATATTAGTTTGAACTGAGATGCATGAAGAAACTCCATGTCAGTGTTTGTGTGTTTTCATGTGTACTCACGAGTCGAAGTTCCGGATGCAGCAGCAGAGGATACAACACCGAAGCTTGTGATGGACTCGATTAGACCTCCGTACACGATACTCTTCAAGATGTCTAGCTCTGGAACCACAAAATACTTCCACAGCATCTCTGGAAGTTTCAGTTTCGGTAGCTTCGGGGGTAGTAGAGAGATCCCGATCTTTTTCCATGAAACAATTTTGCTGTTGACTGGAGTAGACGGATCATTATTCTGCGAAGCAACACCTTGTTCAACTGCAGTGTCCTCCTTCTCCTTCTTGTCTTCTGGAAAACATCAATGAAAAAAATAAAATAAAAAGAGAGTCGGAGATGAACATCATCATCAATTCATCATCACTCCTGATGTGTTTAAAATGGAAGTACCTGGTTTGCTCGTGGAATTTGGAACTCCAGTGTTTTGGTTTTGTGTCGGATCTGGCAAATCTTCCTTGGGGACAACATGTTCCGGTTCTGTTCTTTTGGTCGGGCGAATGGAAGGCCAGAACATAGCCAGAATTGCAAGAAACAAGAACGAGATAACGGCAAGGACTCTGTTACTTGGCAAATATTTGACCCATGACAAGGTGATCCAACCTCCTTTCTTCTTTATCGATGGCGGAGAAGGAGAAGGAGAAGGCATATAAGGTTTATTGTCTTCTGAAACAGCATCAGGGCCATTTGGTAGCGTAGAAGGCATGATAGGGTTATTGTCTTCTACAACAACATCAGGACCACGTGGTATCAGAATACCGTCGATCTCGGTAAACTCTTCAGGGCTTTTCCGCGGGTCAGGGATTGCAACTGGTAAACTTTCATTGGCACGTGGTGTAACGCCGTGGATAGAGGCGGGTGTTACACGTGGTGGTGGCGGTGGCGGTGGCGGAGAAGGCGGGACCCACAGAACAATGGCTGATAGCAAAAGCAGAACCACAACCAATACGAACCGGAGCCAGCCCGGGACATGTTTCTTGGGGGTTTTGGTTGCTACACTTTGAGTTGGCTCTGAAACATCAAAAGAATCAATCAGTCAAAGATTTATTAAGAGATTATTAATCTGTCTCCACCGTAAAAGCAGTGTATGCACATGCATACCTGGTGTATCGTTGTAGAACCATGGGATGTAGATGAAAGGGTACTTGAAGGAGACAACGATAACAAGCGAGAGTACGAATCCCTCGTTTTTGTACGGAAATTTCTCTTCTCCCTTTTTAGAGATTTTAGTAGTTTCTGTGATGTTAAAAGTGCAGTTTGGACAGTAGAGATGATGAGTCTTTCGCATTTGTATCTCCTTCAGCAATTCCTCAGGAGTTTTCTTGTTTTCTTCATTCCCCGGACTTCCCTCAGGTTCTTTCTCCAAAGGCTTCGGTTTCTCAGGTTGACTTTCTCTGCTGCTCTCATCTACGCACAGTATAACAAAATTGAACTCAATAAAAGACGTTCTTGATTCCGATTATACACAAGTATATATGGTATCATGAATTGATTTCATCAGGCATTTGTTTTTTTTTTGTTTTTGTTTTGTTATAAATGCTAAAATAATGAAGGAACTAAACGAACTTTCTTCCTCCAAACCAAATTACAATGTAACTCTAAAATGAAGAATCTTAAAATATTAAATCTACAACCATGCATGCATTGCAAACTGCCATATATATGAACGTTGGGTAAGCATTAATAAACAATGCATGATTTGCATTCTATATACTGTATATACATGGTTCACTATCGACGTAAAATATTAATTTAAAAAAAAAAAATTAGTTTGGCTGTAATAATGTCTTCAAATAACAAAACAAACAGCCACACGTTTAAATTACGTTATAAATATATATAGAACATATTATATAATATGATACAATATATAGACCTACAAATTTAAAACAAGTGGATATATTATGAAACCAAAATGTTTTTAGATTAAAACCTGCAGGTTTCGGCAGAGAATCATCGGGTTGGGCTGCAGGTTTCGGCGGAGAATCATCGGGTTGGGCTGCAGGTTTCGGCGGAGAATCATCGGGTTTGGAACTGGGTGTGGCCATTTGACGACGGTGATAAATTGATGATGACAAAGGAAGAACCAGACGACACTTATTTATATGGAGTAACTCATATTTTAATTTTATTATATGTCGATGTATTATTTGTTTACCATGTGATTTCTCATAGTCGTATTCCTTAATCTACGTACCGTGAGGTCAAACGAAGAACCACGAAAAAAGAAGATTAATTAATGACCGAGGTTTATTTTTAAAGAAAATGACGACCAAGGATATATATATATGTATTGATTATTGCAATTGTTGGTTAGTCTTTTTGCTACTTGTTGTTGTGCCAAATTCTAGATAAGTTTAATGGGACCGAAATGATAAATGGTACGATATGTAACGTCTGGTTTGTATGAAATAGCAAGTCCCCTCGGGTGCTGGCTCACCAGTTTTTACTTATTGCATTGTGGATATGGATCATAGAAAGAAGGAAAAGAAACTAGCGAAATTATTAGTTGATTTGATCGGCCTTCAAGAGAGTACCCGAGATCGTTTAATTTGAGCAATGCATGGGTTGTCTTCTTTAGTCAACATATCGTCCCATCTGAATAGTTGATTGATGCTTTGATGAAATGTTTTCATTGGTTTGAACCATGCAATAGGAGTATTAGAACAGATTGTTTTGGTTGTAATGTAATACTTGTACGAGAAATCAATTTCTTTTCTTTCGTAAGCACTAGTATGAGTTTTTTGGTTAGGTGTTGTTGACTTGTTCAACAATTAATAGTACATGAAGTTTAGTCTTTTTGTTTATTATATATATCCCTAGTACTGACCTTATATCCTTAATAAATACTAATAATTGACCTAATATTAATTGACCCAGAATTGACTAAAATGTTGTACTCCTTCGTTCGTTTACTCCTTAACTAATTAAGACTTCTTTCGTCTTCATTGTTTAATGTTTATGACTTGGGTAATATTGTTTAGGACTTCTTCTAGGTTGTGTATGTTTATGAATTACGACTTAGGAGATACTAGAGTTGACTAATGACATAATATTTGGAAGTTGAGATAAAATTACTAACCTACTATTTCTTGCCTAGACAAAACCTCTCACTATACATATCAATCTTGCTATTCTTTTAGTTTTATCTGTTTAAGAATTCTAAAAAATTAAAAAGTCTCAAATCTTACCTTTTGTCATAAGTACTTACCAAAATGAAAACTAACTTAGGAATATGAAATTAAAAAGTATTATTAATTATAATATATATAATCGTGTTCACTTCTTACATAATGACGAAGTCACCACAAATGAGATGGTAAATGCATAAATAGTCTTTGTTTACTTTATTTTTACAAATTTCTTTGAGTTTGGTGTCCTTGTTGTTCTTCATCACATTTGTCTTATGCTTTTGCATGAAATTGAGAATTTTAGGTTTGAGTTGTCCCACTAATTAATTAGCTAGTCCTCAACACGTGGCGGTAGGCTAGCACTGGGCTGAACGAACTTCCACGTGTCTTATTTTGTTTAAGCCAGCTCACGAAACCTGGGGATATTTCTGTAAATATTAACTATTATGAGGGTACATCCGCCAAAGTAATCGTTATTTTTGCGGTAAATTTCTGCTTTTTTTTTGGGTTCTTGTTGGTTTTCGCCAATAATGGAACTCCTCCACCATTGTTGTTTGTTCCCTGTAAAATCTCGAAATAGAATCACTGAAAATCTCTGCTCTTTCTGCGATTGAGATCACATCATCGATCTGAATCTAATCTACACTGCTCGATTCGGGGGTATTTCCCCCCGATTGATTCGGATCGGGTTTTTTGATTTCCCTCGATTTCGTTTCTTTTGGGGGACCAATAATGATACGAATGATATCGAATCCACGTCTCTTGTTCTACTCGTGCATTGCAAAAGGAACAGTGGTTCTCGCCGAGTTCTCTTCCAAAGAGGAGCCAGGGATCGAAGCTTTAGCCTTGCGATGCATCGAAAACGCGCCTCCTCATCATTCCATGGTCTCTCATACAGTGAGAAAGCGGACTTACGCCTTAGTCATCGACGGGTTTTTTACGTATTTCGCGATTTTAGACGAGGCCGTACCGAAACCGGAGTCTCTCTGGCTCTTTAGTCGACTGAAATTAGCCGCGGAGGCTCTGCTTTTAGACGGATCTTGGATGGATAACCCGACCAAACACTGTCTCCAGTCAAAGCTCGATCCGGTTTTCGCTGAGATCGCTGGTGGTGGTTGTGATTACAAGGATTTGGATTTGGTCGGAGCGAGGGAGGTTGAGAGTTCATCGAAAGGCTGCAAGCCGCTCCTGGGAAAGCCAATGAAGGTGCTGAAGAATAAGAAGAGATTTCATCATACGGAGGTGACGAATGAGAAGAAGGTGGATTTGGGTTTGGGAGGAGGCGTGATTAGCAAAGGGTTGAGAAACGGATTGATTCACGATCATCATAGACAAAAGGCGAAGCAGATGTGGAGGAAACATGTGTGGGTTGTTCTGATGTTCGATGTCTGCATCTGTGTTGTTCTGTTTGGAATCTGGCTTTGGGTTTGTCAAGGGTTTCAATGCATCCAAGGGTAAAATGTCGTCGCCACTTTATAACCTCTCTCCATCATCACCAAAAAAACAGAGCTTTCTTTTTCTATAAAATCAAGAAATGGTTATGGTTGCATATTTGTCAAAACATAGCTTCTTTTTCAAATTCCGAGGTGTTGTTTCCAGGGTTTAATTCTGGTTTACACGTTTGCGATAATGTTTATTGTGTTTTGGCAATTTTTCTTCATGACGCTGAAGATGAAAAAGTGTTTGTAATCTCTTTTGTAATAATATCTCTGGTTTGCGCTTGGATGTCCAGTTACTTTGAGTTGTTATGTGATTGGACGAAAGATGTGGATAGATGCAGCCGAGCCAACAATTGACATTATGATAGGCTTAGGGAGTTTCAAAATTTTGCAGAAAAGTATGCGTAAATTTTCCATCTTGAGGTTAGAATTTTGTATTCTAAAACATGATCTCTATTTTACAGCGTTAGATATCGTTAGTTACATCCAAACCTGATCATTTATATCGAAAGATGTATAAGTTAACTGATTTTGTTGTGATTACATCCAAACCTGATTACATGTGATTTATATGATAATACATTATAATCACATTTATTGAACTCAACGTCCTGCAAATCAGGCCATGCATGGACTGTACGTACCCATATATATTGAAACGTATGTAACGTTAGGAGATGTATGAAAAAATATCAAAATTTGTTTGGGCTCACAAGGATGATAATCATGATATGCTGCGCCTAATCCTCTCGCTCTTCTTAAACATACAGCTCTTTTTCCAATTTCACATACATATCTCATGCAACGGCAAGAGCAGCCTTTGACTTTTCAACGCGTGACACACCTTCACCAATATTTTTGGTCGACGTGGATCCTATCTAATCCCATGACACTCTTTTAACTTAACGTATAACTTTTACACAATCACACACCAATTGTTTAACGTCAAATACTATTCATTTTTTTTCTTAAATAACTAATATTGTAACAACGCATATAATATGATTTTTGGTCACAATCAATTTTTTACATCTATTTTACCATCATCAAGAGTAAACATATTCTAACTCTCTTACATTAAATTTGTTAATGATGATCTATGTACGATCCACATCCACAACTCACAAATTTTAGGAAACACCTACGATGTCCTACCTCAGTTTAGTTTAAAGACTAAACAAACAAGTATAATCGAGAGATAAGACAAAAAATGAGGACGAACACAAGATTTCTTAAAAGTACATCTATATCATTTATTGTTTCCACTATTGCAGCTATGGGTTTAATTGTTTTTTTTATAGGCAATAAAGGCTCGACATGAAATTTGAAAGGATCCAACGTTATGAAAACCGTAGTGTAGGACCCGTTTTGTTTAATATTTTCCTCTTCTAGGGATCTCTCTCGTGAATAAGAAGCGCCACAATCCACAAGGAGCGTTTTGTTCATTTTTTCTCTTCCACTTCACATCTTTTCCACTTCTATTATTTTTCATTTCTTATATAAAATATATTTCCTCACATCATTCATCCTCTCTTTTCCTTTTTCTTCTGTTCATAAAAATTCGAACGAAACAATATATATATATATATATATACCATTTTATCTCTATCTAAATCCCCACCAATTTTTTCCATGTAACGTCAAAGAAAGCTCCCATTCTGAAAAAAAAGAGTTATGGAAGTAGAGTTTGATGATCAAGAACGGTTCTGTGCGACTCCTAAGCTTCATTTGTTCTCGATTCCACTAAACAGAGCATCTGAGACTCCAGGCCTTGCGACGCCGCCAGTGAACATCGCCGGATCGATACCATTTCAATGGGAGGAAGCTCCGGGAAAGCCTCGCGTTTCCGATGAGAAAAAACCGCCCGCGACCAAGCAAAACTCAGGAGGAGGAGGAGTTGTGCGGTGTCTTGAGCTTCCGCCGAGGCTGATTTTTCCAGCCACCGCGAATGACCCATCTCCGACCACAGTTCTCGATGGTCCTTACGTTATACCTCGCCGGTCTCTGTCAGTCATAAGGAGAAGCGAAAAAGACTCTGAGTGTACAATCGACTTTTCACGTTCCACGAACGGCCGCTGCTGTGACGGCGGCGACACGACGGTGAAGATCAGTAGAGTTAGAAGAAAAGGAAGCCTTTTGAATCTTTCTCATTCCAAATCGCAATTCTTGGTAAGTTTTGGAAACAATTTCAAAGCTGCTAATTAACTTTTCTTATCACGTATTCCGTTCTAAAATCTCGTTTTAGTTGTTTTAATAATTAATTTTTTACGTGATTCGAAAGTCAACCGTTTTATCAATTTCTGAGTGATGCAAATTGATTTGATAAATTACTTGTTCAAAACGATATTCCAACTTTTATGGGAATTGAATATAAGTATATAAATAACGTCCTTTTTAAGGCCAAAGTGTAGGCTTTTTTCATTCACTTTTCTTCAGTTTGTTTGTTTGTCATTTGATTGGTTACTACTATTTAGGTTATTCCTTATATAATAGTTTGGGTTGTGATGAAATTAATTCTGTCCCATTTTGATTACATAATTAAAAACGCAGGCAAGGGTTTATAAAGGGTTTAAGCAAGTGATTCCATGGAGGCGTAGGCAAGAAAATCTTCCGAGGATGAGTTCTTCCAATATTTAAATATAATCTCACCAGTTTTTATTTTATTTTATTCTATTCTATAGTTTATAGACTGATATGTATTCCTTCAGTATATATACCACATAATCTACAGACATATTGGGAAATAATTACAGTTTATGAGAATGCCCAAATGTATGTGAGCTCACTTCCATCCCAAGTGATCCAACTTTGCAACTGTATCCTTAATCTTAGCCACTATCTTTATTCCGCAAACCATACAATCTGATTAATCAAAACACAAATTATTTCACTTACGAACAAAATATTTTCAAAGTTGATTGATTCCACTTTTGGGCCCAGGCCTAATATCACAAAGCCCGTTTTGGAAACGGGACCGTTAAGTCAGTTAAGAAGCCCTCGTTGAGATTCTCTTATCTTCAGATTTTTCTTTAAGAAAATCCACTGCCACTAACTAAACCAATAGACCATTTGTTTTTTTTCCTTCTCTTCCTTCTGGTTAACTCGCTTTGCCTGACTCACTGAGTCATGGCGCTTCTTCGGCCGCACCTTCATCGCTTTCACTCCAACAGTCTCCGCCAATCAGCTTATCCTTCTAAAACAACCGCCGAATCTGGCGGTGGCCTACTTGTCTATCCCACGTACGGTCGCCACCGTTGCTCCGCGATCGCGATCGACGCGCCGTCGTCTCTGACGGGGGTAACGCCGATCAGGTGGGGATACACGAGCGTCCAAGGATTCAGGGATGAGATGGAGGATGACATCGTCATCCGTTCAGAAGCTCTCGATAACTTCTCCTTCGCCGCGGTTTTCGACGGCCACGCTGGCTCGTCCTCCGTCAAATTCCTCAGGTACTTGTGTTAGCTCCTCATGCAAGCTCTGTTTTCTAGTCTTTCACCGGAGATGATGATGATGATGATTCTATCAGGGAGGAGCTGTACAAGGAGTGTGTTGGGGCATTGCAAGTTGGATCCTTGCTGAGTGGAGGTGATTTCGCTGCGATCAAGGAAGCTCTGATTAAGGCCTTTGAAAGCGTCGATCAGAATTTGCTCAAATGGTGAAATTTAGCTTTGCAAATTCTCAAAGATTGATTTGGGTGAAGTAAATTCACCATTTTTTTTTAATATATGTGGTTTTGGGTCCAGGCTAGAAACAAACGGTGAAGAAGACGAATCAGGTTCAACAGCAACTGTGATGCTCATCGGAAATGACGTCTCCTTCATTGCACATATCGGCGATTCTTGCGCAGTAAGCCTTCTTATTAAGTAAAATTGGGAATTTTCTAAGTTGTAGTTGATGATTTGTATGAAGTCTGGTAATGGCATTAAAAATAGGTCCTGTCACGATCTGGGCAAATCGAGGAGTTGACTGACTCTCATCGTCCATATGGAAGCAGTAAGGCAGCTATTCAGGAGATGAAGAGAATCAAAGATGCAGGTGGATGGGTGTGTCTTCCTAATTTTTCATGTTTGAATTTTCTCAAATATCATCACACTAGTGGAATTTTGCTTGTGTGGCTAAAAAAACCGATTTTTTTTTTTTTTGGTCTTCATTGAATCAGATTGTTAATGGAAGGATTTGTGGAGACATAGCTGTATCTCGTGCTTTTGGTGATATCCGGTTCAAGACAAAGAAGGATGAGTTGGGTTCTTTCTCTTTTTTTTTTTTTTTTTTTTTTTTTTTTTTTATGTCAAAGCTGCATCATTGCTCATATAAGTTCATACACACAGGATGTTGAAGAAGGGTGTCGATGAAGGAAGATGGTCCGACAAGTTTGTTTCCAGGTACTGAACTATTCGAAAGCTGTCTCTACTTTTGCTCGTCCTCTGATTTGTCTGATTATGGTTGGGTTTACTATGAAATAAAATTCGCAGAATCGAGTTTAAAGGGGACATGGTGGTCGCAACTCCAGATATCTACCAAGTTCCTCTTACATCTGATTTGGAATTCATTATTTTAGCTTCTGATGGATTGTGGGACTACATGAAAAGGTTTTTGCTTTTTTTGTTCTAACCTCTTTTTCAATAATATACAGAGATAAGTACAGAGCTAACGGCGATCTATGTTTTGCTAATGCAGCAAAGATGTGGTTAGTTTCGTAAGGGAACAGCTTCGGAAACATGGAAATGTCCAGGCAAGCTTTTATTTTTGTTTTCGTCATGTCCTTACCAATTAGGTTCTGCAACACATATATGGTTTTTAGTCTGAGTTAAGTCTTCCAAATTATCCTCTGTAACAGCTTGCTTGTGAAGCTCTTGCGCAAGTTGCTTTGGTAAATAACGAGAAACTCTCCTCTCAAGCTTTCTTTAACCAGGAACCCGAAACTGACACTCCTTCTATGATTCAGGACCGGAGATCAGAGGACAATATCAGCATCATCATTGCTGATCTAGGGTAAGTCTTGTAGATATAGTTTTCATCTAAAAGCTCTTCCAAATCGTAACTTGACCCTGTCTTGGTTTCGGTGAAAACAGAAGAACAGAATGGAAGAATCTCCCGGTGCAGCGACAAAACATGGTGGTGGAACTGGTTCAGGCCGTAGCGACTGTCGGTATAGTTACTGTTGGCATATGGATGACTTCGTTACTCTCTTGAGTGATCAAAATGATCATCCAATCTCCTTCCTTAGTGTATATAAAACATGTAAACATGTAACTATGTCGAACCAAAGTACATGTAAAAATCTTTGGAGGTGTATGCTTAGTGTAGAGAACAAAAATTCACTCCAACATGAAAGCAAACCGCATCATATGGACAGTAGATTAAGCACATACAACGGCAACTTAATATTTATTTTCATTTTTACAAGCGATGAAAGTACATTTACAAACAAATGCATCTTCCGACAACAACCACAACCATAGTGATATGTAAACCAAAGAGAGATTCAACAACGGAGATGTAACCAAAACTTAGGAAGCAAAAGGAGGCAAATGATACATTCACATCTTCTTGAGGAATTCCATGATGTGAGTACCATAGGCTCTGCAGACAACTTGGAAGCCTTGGAAGCCCGAACCTTTGGCCAACGCCTCAAACTCCTTCACGGTCCGTTCTTTGCCTCCGGGGTTGTGAGCCAACATGAGACAGTCCATGTGCACAACTTCTTTTGTCATGAGGCTCGAGTCTGGCACCACCGGAAGTATTGATTCCGCCACTATCACTTTCCCGTTGTCTGGGAGCGCTTCATAGCAGTTCTTCAAGAATTTCAAACAGTGTTGGTCGCTCCAATCATGACATATCCACTGTCACATGCACGTAGGAAATGTTTAAAACCAAAATGTATATATGAGATACATTCGTATAACCGGACTAGTTTCCTAATTACCTTCATGAAGATGGCATCTGCTTTAGGGACACTCACAAACATATCTCCCCCAATATGTTCAATACCTGAATCATTCAACAAAACGCAAACTAAGACATTGAATGAAACATCCATATATGAGAGCATACCGGGATTCAACGAGTACCGGGATAGGAAGCAGCTTCCTCGATGACATGAGAGAGATCATAAAGGATGCCTTTGATGTGTGGGTGCTTGGAAACAATCATACGGAGAGTGACTCCAATGCCACCGCCAACATCTACCAACGAAGACAATCCCTCAAATCCTTTGTAGGTCTCAAGAATCTTGGCCATGACGATGGTCGTGTGGTTGGACATTCCATTATTGAACACTTTGTTGAATCTCGGGTCGGCCCCTTGGTACTCGAAAGCGTCCATACCAAATGCCTTGTTGAATGGAATCCCTCCTTCAAGAACCGCATCTTTCAAATGGTACCTGCCCCCATAAACATGTTTCTTAATTAGTGTATAAATTATGATAAAGTATACAAGTCTGAAGTTTGAAAGGTGACAACATTTTACCAGCTCTCCATGAAGACCCGGTCTCTGTTCAAATGACAGAGTGCAGCGAGTGAGACTCCATCTTCGTTCTTAGTCAGGTACTTGCACACCGGTCCTAGTCCGTACAGACGCTCTACGCCGCCATCTGGAAGCTTGCGGACAGAGCAGGTCAAGATGGAGTAAGCCGCAAGCAACCTGAGGATCCGGTCGACCATGACTGGAGCATCAGGGTTCTTGGTCGGAAGATAAGAAGCTATCTCCGACGGTGAGAGTTGACCGCCAGCGAGAGTGACATTCTTGGATATGATCTCGAGCAGGTCAAGCTCTAAGGCCGATGTCAGAACCATCGGAAGTACGGTGGCACCGGCGAGCTGCATAGCAAAGAGATTGGCCTCTTCGTCGGAGATTTTTGCCGGAGTGATCTGTGTTTCAGCCAAAGATCCCATTATGAGTCTTTCTTTTAAATCGTTGCTCTGTTTTTGTTTCTCTCCCGCCTTTTTAAACGGTTTAGTCTGTGTTTTTGAGAATGATGCGAGTGAGAAATGAGACTGCGGTTGAGCTCTATTTATACTATAAATTTAGCATATATCGTACTTTGCAGTCTAAACATCATTGTTAACAATTTTGTCTGATTTACTTTTTATATTCACCCACCTCTCCATATGACATATTTTATATAAGTCAAAAAGTTGGAAAGGTGGAACGTAATGTTGTGGATGACGAAAACTTATTAATTAATTATCATCGATTCAATACTTTAACACTAAAAATGCAAATACATATTTTGGAATTACAAATTAATCTGGTAGAAACGCATGGCTCATGCAACAGTTGGTGGTTCCAAATTTTTGCCCCTTGACAATCTTTTGGCACATATTATACAAAACTTTCTTCACATTTTCTTTAGGCATATATAATATTTATGGGCTAATTAGGTAGAAGGTCTTTTTGCAGTTTTATTTGCAAAAAGAATACAGTCACAATATGGAAATAAATTGGATTTTATATTTGGGTTTGTTCTAAGTTTTTATTGTGTTATTAATTGTTATATAATGTAACGTAACATCAAATAAAATAACATGCTGTATCTGTTTAGAAGAGACTCAAAAAGTTTTAATTTCTCTAAAACACATATAGGATTAATATCCGTTTATTTGCAATTTTACCATCTTGTCATTTTAAACATAAAGCTCTACAATTTGGACGGATTAAACTTTCCCGTCAAATTTGCCTATACATAAGTTGACTATAAGACTACCAATGTATAAAAAAAAATCCAACCAAAAAGATCTTTAAAACCCAATCTAGACGAGACGAAGAAGTCAATTAACCAAAAAAAAAAATTGTTATTGAAATTTAAAGGGAAACACACACAGAAGTTAGAGTTCATCATGATCAAAATAGTCTTCGTCGTCCAAGTCCTCGTGGTGAACTGCCTTGTAAAACACGTCCTCGTGGTTCAACATCTCTTCAAGTGATAGTTTACCATCTTTATTATCATCCGCCTGTAAAAAATAAAGATTAAAAAAAAAAACATTTACACACACATCTACTTAGAGATAGTTCATTTCACATTACCATTGTTGGTAAAAATCGGTTTAGACCATCACATATACATGTAGTATAAAATTTTGCTACATTGATCAAGTTCTTAGGTTGTAATAAATAAATAAAATCTGGGAGAGACTGACCTCGTGGGAAAGGAAAGTAGAGTAGTACTTGGCGTAACTCAGCTCACCAGGTTGAAGATAATGCAAAATGGGTCGAAGCTCATCGGCCACGAGGAACCTGTCTTTGTCTTTGTCAAGCTCTGCGAACAGAAGCTGAGCCGTTGGCACACTCTCATCCTCCTCTGTCTCGAACTTTGCAAACTCTTTGTACATTTCGTATGCGTTCTCTAAGAACTCCTTGTACTCTAGCTTCCCATCACCGTTCGTGTCCATGCCCCTATATATATAATATATCAACAACAACACGACGTCCTTTTCTAAGCTTCCTCAAATTTTGGAGAAACATAATCAGAACAACATGTGCTTACGTCATTCGCTCTCTAAGAACCCATCTTTGAACATCTCCGTTTCTGCTGTCTTCTGGGTGCAAGAAACTGCAAATATTTTCAGTTGTGTGTTGATGGAATATTGCACATGAAGAAATTGATCAGAAGATATGAAAATTTTCAAAGCATTAATTGATTACTTGTTAAACTCTTCAATGTCGAGAGAGCCATTGTGATCAAAATCCGAGTTCTTGAATTGCTCCATCCACCAACCAGCTTCACCGTGACCCTTCTCGTTTCTCTCTGTTTTTCATTTTTCTTTGCATATTTATGAAGAAAGATCTCGAAAAAAAGTGTTTGATCAATCAAAAAACAAGTTACTAAATTCGTTACCAATGTCTTCCTTTGAGAATCGAGGCAAGTACTCTTCAAAGGTTATGGCACCATCCTTGTCTTTATCTTGTAGCTCGAGCTCGTTGGCGGTTCTGTAACCCATGTTGTCCTCTGTCTGCTGCATCATCCATGTCTGAAGCTCTTTCAAGCTCACGAACCCATCCCTCGGTGCTGCGTCGAGCAGAGGAAACAAGAACTTGATCCTCAACGTCGTGTTAAGCCTCCTCTCTTGCGCGAAATACTCCTCATACATATCATCTTCCTCCTCCTTCGCAGCCTCAACGGTCTTTGTATGTGCTTCTTTCTCGTGAGACAACCTCTCGATTCGGGTCACAAGAGGGTCAAACACGGGCATTTCAAGTCTGCGTCCGAGGCGGCGGCTTATGAGACCTTCAATGGATTGAGTCTGGCTTTGCTTCGTATGAGCGAGGAAGAGGAGGACGACGATGAAGGTGGCGGTTAGTAGCGTGTAAACCACCGCCTCGGCCATTTTCCGATAGCCTAAGGCGGGGTTCTACGGAGAGAGGATGAGAGGGCAACGAAGATTGCTAATTTTGTTCTTTTACCTTTGCTGTATTGGGTTTATCCATAAATCTCTTTGGTCGTTAATTGATGTGTTAATTTTTTCCCGCAAAAGTCGGGTTATGAATCGAATAATGATTAATGACAAGAAAAGCCTCCCTCTTTATATAGCAAACCAATAAAAACCGGTTACGATATGTGTTTCACAAACCAGAGAGAACAAAAGATTGTAGCAATATAAAGAAAAAGAAATTAAAGGACATGACTTTGTGACATCAAAGTGATTTACTGGTGGAAACGATATGGTAGGGGATGATGATGAGAGGAATGGTGAAATAAAAGAAAAAAGCTTCTTACTAAGTCACTTCATCATATACATTGCGGGAATTAGAGAAGACGATGGCACTGTCTCTGTGGTTAGTATTTGTTTAGTCTGTCTGCTTCTGGGAATCTCGGATCCAGGGCCAGTCTGATTCACAGAGATCGAGCGGGGACTTTCCGTCATCATCTTTAGAGGCTGTGTTAGCTTTCTGCTTCACCAGAAACTCGGCGATGGCTTCTCTGTCGCACACAACAGCGTAATGCAAAGGAGTTTGGCCTTCGTTGTCCTGCTCAACACGAAAAACCAAAAACACACATTATTTATATAAACATGCTGATACTTTTGCAGATAACTATAACGTGTAGGGGTTTCTCAATCTTCTTCTTCACCTTAGCATTCACATCGGCGTTGTTATCAACCAGAACTTTAGCAATGTTGAGGTGGCCACGGTCTATAGCCCAGTGCAACGGTGTTCGGCCTTCACTATCTGCAGTTTACAATGAAATTGGAAAAGCAAATCCAACATCAAGAGAGTGAACTTCGCAAAGAAAGATTTGAATATACAACAAGCAGAGACTAACCCCTTGCATTTACAGGAATTCCGCTTTCAATGCTTTTTAGCAAATTCTCGACTTCTCCTTCTCTAGCAAATGCGTGGATGGCATCAATCTTCCTGGGAGAGAAAACAAAGCACAAAAGCAACAAGTAATGAGCAGAGGACTTGTGTTCCACTCAGACAGACAGAAAAAAACTACACATCACACAGCTAGCACGAGACGATATTATGACATTCACCGAGTTTATGAACTTGAGATTTCACAGATGTGAAATTTACCATATAATCTAGACATTCAGCAATTAAATATGAGAAATCAAGGGAGAGGAGATAAAACATATGAGAATACAAGAAGAGAACCTTACAACTCATTTTCGGATTCCTCTTCATAAACCAATGAGCTAAAAACTGGCCCCATGGTTCCTCCTGAATTGGAGACTGCATCATCCCCACTCCGACTTCCAGCTTTCTGGTGCGTCACAACATAGCCAGCAGAGAAGATCACATGACTTGTCCAGAGGAAACACAAGAGGCAATAAAATGAAAAGTAAAGAAGGCGGGAAAAAAGATTACCACGCCACCGTCCAACCAAGTTGGGTATAGCTGAGTAACAAGCTCTATATACTTCTCCATCGCTTCTTCAGGGGGCATAGCACCCAGTTTCTGCCATGCTTGCCTGAAATACAAGAAGATCATAGTGTAATCAATCAAATTGCAGTCTTGGAACAAACCATAAACCCGAAGCCATAACCATAATCAATCAACTGTTACAACAACGAAACCACATAATCTCCAGCACCTTCATATAGGCTAGAAGCTAACTAGGTGATATAAAGATACACTCAATAATACAATTCCTCCTTGACAAACTAAAGCAAAACATCAAATTTCCGCCTCAAAAACGATCAAACACATCAATCTCAATCACTTGAATAAGAACTTAGAAATTATATACAGAAGCTAATGGCACAGCAGATTCAACGAGAGAGAGAGAGAGAGAGAGAGAGAGAGAGACATACCACTTGGCACGAGCAGTCATTTTGAGAGCTGAAGGCTGAGGAGCAGTACAAGGCCCTTCCGTAGCAATTTTGTACAATCCGTAAAGCTGCTGCTGAACATCGCTGGGTACCTTCTGCGAAAGCCGATCTGAGGCGGCGGTAGTCACGAAGAGAGTGGCGGCGCTGAAAGCCTCGTCGAGTTCCGTGCTCTCGACGCCTTCCCAATCATCGTCTTCCTCGCTGTCACCGGAGGCGCTATCACCTCTCGAGCTCCCCTGTTCCGCCACGATCGAATCACCCTCGCCGCCGCCGGCGCAGCCTCCGGTAGAAGTTTCGATGCGGCGCGAGTCAACCTCCGGTTTAATCTCTAGTTCGGACTCGGGATGGCGAGTAAGGGAGAGATTGTCTTCCTTAAACGTGACGACGATCGAGATCAGCTTAGCCAGAAGGTAAGAGAAAATCAAACCCAAGATCACAGACTGAGCAAGCTGAGCCCAATCACCCATTTTTTTCCGAAAACCGAAAACCCAAAATCGCAGGGATTGTAGAAAGAAAAAGCAACGCCGACTATTAAAAACCCTAAATAAAATCAAAACAGAGTCACGAGGGAGATGAAGAAGAAGTCGAAGTATAAGGAACCCTAGGGATCTGGAGAGACAAAAAGGAACAAAGTTTGATTCATTAACCTCAAAAAAGAGAAGTTGCTTTTTCCTTGTGGGCGTTAAGACTTTAATTTTTTGGGTTGAATTGAAAAGTTAAAGGCGACAGAAAAAATTTGGCGATGAGTGACGACAGATCACATAAGAGTCTAAATTGGGGAAGATATGCGACGTATTATGCCCTAATTGTTGTCAAAAGCAAAAAAAAAAAATGTTGAAATTGATGTCAAAATTTATAATTTTTTGGTGCAATCGTGGTGAAAGACGTGCATGGTGTGGATGATTTAAAGGCTTGAAGCATACGACACGTAAAATTCAATGAATCCATAAGCAAAATAAAAGGTACTCCACAAACTTGAACGCATTAGATTCACGTGAAGTGGGCACGAAAATGAAATCCAAAATATCACTTTTTTTTTTCCTTTTTCTATGTTTATAACAAAAGGCAAAACTCATACACAACATTAAAATAGTTCCACTCACAAACATTGCTTGCTCAAATGAGCATCTCATGAAGAGAAACCAATTCATATATATATGTGAGTGACTCCACTTCCATGGAATACTCATTTAAGCAAGAAACATTAGAAAGTGGAAAAGGAGGTTTATCACTTTTGTCCATATGATGAGATGCTTTCACTGGTATAAATAAGATGAGCAACATAACCCCACAAACTAGGAATACAGTTACTGAAATACCCTCTACTCAAACAAGAAACTACCCACCAGACCAGGCCACCATTACTACTGAACATCTTAAGCTCGGACACACTTGAAGAAGACTTGTAAGTAAGCCATGGAATGGCAGCTCAAACATGCCTTTTACCCAACATTCAAATATTCTCACACCCTTCCTTGACCTTTTCCTCAAGCAAACCACATGCCTGGGGGATTTTAGTCCCCAATGTATAGTAAAAAATTTTTAAAACAAAGAAAAGATATTTATCAATACTTACCCTTTGATTTGTAACATTCAACCTGTGGATTTCTTTTTCCGGAAAGCCTACTCGTGTTGAGCTCCATAACGGCATTGGATATTTTCCCCTTCTATGAGCTTCTCAACAGCGTCGAGAGGAAGACCCACCAGCTCCAACGTCTTTTCCCACACTCTCTGTGCAGTTTCTATGTTGTGTGCTTCTTCGGAAGGGTTTGCCGGGCGGCAATCTGGAGAGATGAATGGGCAAACAGGCCAGTCATCGTTCTTTAGTGTTTCCCAGTACTCTGGAATCTGAGGGTCTGTGGCAGAGAACAGAGAACTTCTGCAACCTTCTTGTGGTGAAAATATGAAGTAAGGTACCACGGCGTAAAGAGCTTGTAGTATCCTGGGGAGATCCCTGGCCTATAAAATTCGGAGACAAATAGGCAAAATCTCTTGCAATGAATTTCTGAGAATACAGAAAAAAAGTGTGCATCCTGCATTGTAGCTAAATGGAGGGAAGCTAATACTTACGACATTTGTTAGGACAACACCGGGGGATTGACATATGACGCTAACTCCTGTTTCCAGAGGCAACTTTTTGAAGAGAATGCTACTAAACATTATCTGGAAGATGAAGGGAACCAGAGACTTTAAGTCACTAGTTTCTAAAGATAAGCACCATCCAAAATGTGAATACTGCTTCAGATGAAAAAAAAAATACCATTTACAGTAATCTCACCTGGGCAAGCTTGCTGCTCGAGTATCCTACAAGGCTTGAGTACTTACGTCTTCCAGAAACAACATTCATGTCATCCGGGTCAACAAAACCAACATTATGCATCTACAAAAGTGAATCACACAAACCATTATCTTGCATGAAAAGATAATCACCAAAGAGAATAAATATAGTCGGTTTCAGTTTTCATACATATATCAATGCCACAGAGTTTCACTGGAATGAGAAATGAAGTAATGCAAGTTGTAGAATCCGGTCATGGTAGTATATTTTGGCTCAAAACTTTCAACAAGCTTGGGTTTGTTTATTTTTTCTATACCAAGACTCTGCAATACATGTGTACAGACTTGGAGAGAACCTATATCATTCAGCTATATATTCCACAGTCAATTAACAAGACGAGAGGGTTTCAAGTTACAAAATATACAAAAAAATCTGAACATTTTAACATCAATACTCATGCCAAAGAGAATATTAAACTAGACAACACAAACTTGGGGGCTGCAGTGTCAGTGATCATAGAACTTACAACGGAATTAACGTTAATAATTCGGCTGGGAGAGCCTCGGATGAGAGACGGCAAAAGGAGTAATGAAAGCAGCGCCGGAGCTAGATGATTCACTTGCATGTGCTGCTCGTATCCTTCCTCTGAGAATTTTTGCGCCTCTGTATAAATAAGAGAGCATAGCAATTTAGTTTGGAATATTGATGATGATGCACAAGTATGACTTTTATATCTTCTTCACATAACAAACAGATGGTGAAAACTGAAGCAGGAAACTAAAGGGGAGAAAAATTCAAAGCTTTATAAATAAATAAAACCAACCTCCCATCGAAAATATGCCAGCATTGTTAATTAGAACATGCAAAGGTCCTAACCGGGAGTTCCAAGCATCGGCAAATCTTGCGACAGAATCCAGTGAAAGAAGATCAAGTTCCATTGCCTATACAAAAGCAAACAGAGTATCATCATCAGCCATCTACATGTTACAAACCAATAATCTATCTAACATACAAGAAACTGCCTTAGCCACAGCCTAACTAGTTGACAAAACGCTTTGTATCTGTTATACACGCTCTCAACTATTTTCAGTCCCAGCAACACAACATAATTAGCCACCAGAAACTGTAATACGTGTCATCAATATAAGAACCAGAGGATCCTATAGCAAATTAAAAGATTACCTCGATGTTAAGTGGGAGACCCCTACCAGACCACTCGTTCTGCCATTGTTGTATCAGCTCATGAGCCGCCTTTGTGTTCCTCACGGCCATCACAACATGAGCACCAGCCTCTGCAAGCTGCCTGCGAACCAACCAAGAAGCAAAAGAGCGAAAAAAAACTTAGGGAAAAGTTCAGAAACTCGAGTCCCAAAGCAAACAACTTCTTCAATGGTATCAGCAATCATCAATCTAGACGAAATCAGCGCAATTGGTAGTGAATCGGAAGAAACAAAGGCAGCAGAGGGACTTAGTCGGGGAAAAGAGAAAAACCTAGCGGTCTCGCGGCCAATGCCGCTGGTGGAGCCAGTGACAACGCAAGTGAGGTCGTTGACGGGAGGAAGAGGGAGAGGGTTCTCCAAATGAGACGCCGTGATCCTCTGGAAGAGAATCTCCTGGAAAACGCTGCTCCATCCTCTCATCCACTCCATCCATCCCAAACTCTCCTTCTTATTCGCCGTTGACGGAGACGGAGACGACGCCGTTTCGTCACTCATCTTTCTTCTTCCTCCTCTTCGTTCGGAGTTGGATCTACGACGTATACACAGAGTGATAAAAGACAAAAACTGTATTTCCGTCAAAATCTAGGCTTCATTAATTAAATTTTAAAAAAACAACCTTAATTCGTGAAAGCGAAAATGGGCCGGCGGGATTTATGACTCACAAAGGAGTTTTTTAATAGACAAGAGTTCTCAGCTGATGGGTCCAACGATTTCACACATTTATCACCATATCATAACAGTGATTTGTATTTGGAATGTATGAATTAATGGATGATATCATTAGTACTCGAAAATATAGATGACTGATGATGATAGATGTAATAGAAATGGTGAAAAGAGAAAATGGAAGATGCAGATATATATATATATTTTTTTATATAAGATGTGTTAGAAATATATGAAATGAGAGGCTAATAGTGTTCCACCAAACTTAGGAAGAATGAGAAGGAAAAGACAAAACTATTATTAAATACAAGATTTGTTACGAAATATTACTAGTCTTTTTGCCTTGTGAGTTGTGTTCTGACAACTCTGTGCATATGCATCATTTTATTTTGTTGTCGCATGCTAATGATTTCTCTGAGTCTTCTTCATTTATGGTATTATTCGCACATATTTAACTGGAGGTCGATTTTGACTATTCGAAAATGGATCATATTAAAGAACTCTCTCTCTCATGAAGTTGCTGTTACCAAATACTATTGCAGAAGAAAGAATATTCCCATTTGGGGCAGTTTTACACATGATAAATTCGCATTATGTAAAAGAAAAAAAAAACAAAAGGGGTTTTACAATTAGTACAAGTCGAGGGACTCGAGCACTCTACCAGCCTGGATGTGAAGAGCAGTGATTCTTTGTTCAGGGTCACGTGTTGAACCGAATTGACTCGCCGCCCATATTAAAGAAGCCGATTTCTCACCAAGAAGGCGCCTGATGTCTTCATTTACACTCGCAATCGGGGATCGATCCTTCCCATTCACATGTCCAACTAACAGTAACAAAAACTCTCCGCATCTCAACCTGTGAATCAGTAAGAACTAAACATTACCAGAAGCCTAAACCATGACACAAAGTGGACGATATTGTTTGATCCCATGACTAATGGACCTAAGAGTTGGAACTCTTGAAGATGCATTTGATCAACCTGAAATGTTTTACTAGACAATTCAAAGGCTATTCTATTGATTTTGACAAAGAAATCATCAAATCCAGGAGAGACGCGCAGAGAAAGAATCTCCGATGACAGCAGTTTATAGCCTAAAGCAAATTGCCACAGCCTACCAAATTGAAGGGCCTTGTGGTTCATGGAAAAACTGAGAGAACAACCAATTGTTTTAAGGAAATTCACCTGAGGTTTTCATCAGCTTGTTTGTCTCGCATGAGCATTGCAACCTCCTCTATACCATTGCAGGCTCCAAAATCCTGTTACCAAAAAAAAAGGAAAGGATCAATGAAAATGTTAAACAAAAATCAAGTGAAGGACAAAAGCCAGGTTGATATGAGCCGAAGCCATAATTACAGGTTTAAATATAAGAAGAGAAAGGCCTGGATTCTACAACTGACAGAAAATTTGCTTACTAATTCGTTTCTGATTACCGAAGTTGTAACACAAAGAGAGAAGTTGAATACTTACCACCTGATTTGCTGATGAATCCAGCAATATTGAGATTAAGGCATCCAAGCAAGCACCTTGCTCAAGTACTCCTCGTGTTGATAATACATTCATCATTACCTGAAACATTTATAAGCATCTGCATCACATCAACACCCCCACACAACCAATAACCTTCCAATTGCATCAATCCGATCGCTACTGATCCTAAAACATAAATGGTTCAAAGATGTATCTCACACAAGAGTCTCCCTTTTCGCAGCCACGCTACCGAATCAGTGTGAAAACTGATAATTTCACAATAAAAATGCAAAATTCCAGTTTCTAGAGTTCTGCTGCAAATTCTATGCGTCTCTGTCAGCCAAATATACTACTAAAAAGTAGCAAATGAGAGAGCCTTACGCGCACTGCGCCGTGCTTGTGAGCCAGAACAGTGCTCTGAGGATGGAGAAGGCAGCATCCTTCAAGAACCCTAAGTGCAACCGCGACCTCAGCATCCGTGGAAGGACTCGTTATCTTCATCGGCTCCACACTGAATATGTGATCCAAGCTCGTCACTCTGTCATCCTCCGCTTCTTTCAATGAATGTCGGAAGAGCACCGGAACCACTGCGAAATCACGAAGCTTCAATCATCAGAGAACACATTACAGCACTGGATTGATAATTTGGGAAGGACAAACGGCAAAAGAAAGATATCAGAGACGTTGGAGATCGGAGATGGTTTGGGTGTGAGAGAAGAGGCGAATGATGGAATCTGACTCCGCGACAGATCGGAGAGTTTTGAGAAGAGATCGAAGGCCGCGGATTCGAAGGAAGGAGAATTCAGCGCAAGCATCGCGTAAGCCGGTCCGGAGGGATAGTGTCAGCTCTCTGTAAAGCCTCTGCGTATTCAGAGAAGTCACCAGCTCTTCAACTACCATCGCCGCCGCGTCTGAATCTTCGCCATTCTCCGATTCCGACGGATTCGCCGGCGTCGCTGACGCGCCATCGATCCATATCGGCTTCTTCAGATACATCTCTCTTCCTTTTTCCGAATACTACCTCTGGTAATTAACATTTCCAAAGTTTCGTTGGCATTGCGCTAAAAACGGCAACCACTTGGCTGTGACAAAACACTAAACAGCACGTTGTTTATATAGATGTTCATTCTTCCAAGCCACTCAAAGACAGAGTTTGGAGAATCATGATACTTACAAAAGAAGATGTGAAGCTACAACAAAAGAGAAAAATATGAAGTATTAACATCTTTATTAACATGTAAATCTTGAACGAACACATCCATAGTTGAACACAAGAGAATGACATTATTAACATCCAAGAACCGAAAAATGGATGATGACTTGTGAAATCCAAGAAGACTGGAATCAACAAAGCCAAATTATCTATGTACAGATTCGAGTCAATCCAATAATGAATTCAACAAGTTCTTCACTACCAGTCCTCCTTGACAATCTTAGCCTTTTCGAATATGAACTTGCCCTCCTTGTACTTTTGTGAGGTCTCGTAGGCTCGCTCGTACTTCCAGCCCAACGGCTCATTGCAGTCAGCACAAGATATATCAGCCACGGTGTGGAGACCCGTTAGAAGATGCCGGTCTTCTTTGGCTCCTACCACAATGTTCATCGCGTGGGAGAAGAGGAAAGCTCGCCCTGTTCTTCCCTAACAATAACACAACCATAGATTACGACTTCGACTGTAAAAGGTATTCACAAAAACACAAATGCCGGGAGTGTCTCTCTAACATAAGCTTTAGAAATGATCTAAGCAGCTACAAGCATATTCAAAGAATGACAAGTCTTGTTCTTTTGTAACAACAATTTGAGTCAAAGGCTACTTCTTTGAGTCTTATGGCTACTTCTTTGAGACTTGTGTTTTGTTTCCTAATAGTTTGAAAGACAGGGAGATTCTCAGCTCTAGCTAGTCTTAAGAGTGATTGTGCACTTGATTCTCTACAGCTATCATATGGGACACAAGCAAAACAAAAGAGATGAGGAAGCTGATTCACCTGAAAAGCCTTGGAGATGATATCATCGTGAAGTCCTACATGGTTCCTGCAGTTGCAGCAACTATACAGCCTTGGACCAATTGGCTGGGCCATTTTATCAAACACCTTCGGGGAGTGATCAATTTTCTCCAAACAGATCAAGCAAGTTCTCACCTTTTCAACAGAAATTTAATAGAATCCATATAAATATAATCCATACCCATCGAGGAAACCAGAAATTAGAATTTCGAAAGACAAAGAAAAGATCAAGAGAAACCTTTTTTTCTAGAATCTGTAGCTCACCAAGCTCCAAGCTCCAATGTCTGGAAAAACAATAGAGGATAAGAACAGTGGGCAGGTGTTAGCGTGCAGGATTAGTGATTCCTATTTTTCAACACGATATTACCTCAAATTTTCAATAAACAAAGAGATGGGACAAGAGACGCAAATTATATACTATTACTAGACACAACACATCGAATATAAAAATACACAATAATATATTGGTAGGGTAGAGGAAACGGAGAAACGAGATATTTCTGGAGAGAAAATTACGCAATAGATACGATTCAGTTTGTACAACGAAATGGAGAAAAATCAGACGAAATGATTCAATTTTGATATTGATGTGAAACTTATATGAGGAAAATTTTGAGGGATCTTACTAGGGTTTAATGGAGAAGCAAGAAAATTGTGGAGGTATAGCTTGGAATTGGATGAAAGTTTTGATCTTTGATTTGTCTTGTGATCACGCCGTGCAGCGACTAACTTGTGACTTTCTTTTTCTGGGTTTTGCTTTATATATGTGACTGGGAAATGAAGAAAAGAGCAAGCCGTGAGGAAAAAAAAAAAAAACATGGTGGTCTCATCATATTTTTAAAATACTTTATTTATTTTTTCTACTTTTGTCATAAATATTTATCTACTTACTAGTACCATTTTAAAAGAAATTTCATTTATTCACAAATACGTTTGTTAATAAATAAAATTATTAACATATGTACAAGTTATCAGTCTCCTATAACCCTTTAAGAATTATAACTAGGTCTCTTGTATTTACTGGAGTATTATTCTAAGTCCTAATGCAATTTATCTTCTTAAACTAGTTAGAGCTTAGATGATGATAATTGGTATGTCGGTAACATGTGTTACTATTGGTTCATTTTTGTCACTATTGATTTAACTTTAAGTTGAGTGGTGAATGAACGAATAAGTGCGTGACTCGTGAACAAGTACATGGAACATCTTCGAAAGTTTTGGAAAATACATAACAAACCAATATATTGACAATCCTATGTAAAATATATACATATAATCATACTCATCTTTGTTTTATTTTATTTTTTCAACTAAACCACCAAAAGAGTATTCTTGACCAAAAGTTTCATCAATAGTTCTTGGTCAACTTGAGCTTTTCGATCACAAACATGCCTTCTTTATACCTCTGTTTAAGATCGAAGGTCTCAACATACTTCCAACCCAAGGTCTCGCCACACTTGCTACACGTGACATCTGCCACCACGTACGATCCGGTTATCAGTTTCCTCCCAATCTTCGGTCCAACCACCACGTTCATCGCGTGTGAAAACATAAACGCTGGTCCCGAAGCTCCCTAATTCCATTTTAACATATCCAAAATAACGTTTCTCTATAACAACATATGTTTGGGTAAGAAATGAAAAATGAAATTTTCGGTACAAGCTATCTTTAGTTTTGTTGTTACCACGAATTTTTTGGAGATGAGATCTTCACCGAGAGCTAGTGGATTTTCACAGTTTCTGCAGAAATAAGTAGGACGAGTTTTGCTTTCTCCCATTGGAGATTTCACAAGAAAGGATGGAGTAAGAAGATTATTCGTTCTTATCGATAGTCCTGTGGAATTTATAGTGCGTTGACTCGTCTCGGCCGTGGGACACTTGCATTATTGTACGCCAATGTATGTTGTGCTTTTCAACTAATGGGCCTTTATGGGTAAATAAACGGAAGGCCCATCTAAATATTTTATTTTCACTTATCAGAATGGCAGAAAAGAATCAAAGATTGTTGCTTCCTCTATGGTCGCATAGGGGATGTTGTTTGCTTTTTGCGGCCGTGATTTGCTGGAGAAGCTACCGGAGATTACCTTCATTAAACTGGTCACTAGTCTTACATTTTTGTTAATTAACTAGTCTTACCTTGAAATATCAAATATCTCTAATCGTTTTCGTGATTTTGTGGACATAAGCTACTCTTTCCATACATAATCCATAACTTAACAATAAAAAAAAAATATTAATTTTGAAAAAGACAGGAAGAAACTCCTTTGTCGATATACATATTGATGGGCTCATCTGTGGGATCCTTGTTTAGCGGTGGCCGACTGTGTTTATGTGTACACTTGCACACGCATCGGTGCAGCATACTCAGGCATCTTCAAATTTTGGTCCTATTATTATATACATAACATAATAGTGCATTTAGTGTTACCCTTTCTGGTTTTTGTTTTTTGTAGCTTGTCTTGATGTATTCTACTCTTGTAATCGTTACTGTCTCTTTCTTATATATAACATTCAGTTTGATGTCAAAAAAAAAAAAAGTGTTACCCATTCACATGTGTATTTGCTACACCTGTCATCTTTTTGCTTTATTTCATTTTCATATAATGTTGTTATGATTCTTTTCTATAAACAATTGAAGAAAGTTTTTAAGACGGATATTTCTCGTACAAATATATATAATATTTAGAAGTATTCAATTCAATAACACTAACAACGAGGGTAATATATACTATATCAATACAACAATAAACCATAAGTCTCTCCATGTATTGACAACTCATTTTTTTGTGTTATTAGAAACTGACACATCAGCAAATACTGAACCAATTAAAACATTTCATTAATACACTTCATCTCAATATTTTAACACATAGACAAATTTTTTTCTTTTTATCATCAAAATTTTTCATTAATAAGATCCAATATAGACAATACATACAAATTAAAGCCCAATATTATTATTTTGGGATAACTGCAAAATTAACCCTCATTATATCGATGACAAAAATTAAAACACACTATTTTTAATAATGTATTATGTGTTGTTTTATAATTTTTAAATTTTTAAATTTTTTTTAAAAAGAAAAAATTGAAGCTCATTGTATATTATCGACATCTTCTTTTTCATTTTCCCTATCATCATCTTCTTCGTCCGTCTTCTTCAATTATTCTAGAAATTGTCTAATTAACCTAACTAATTAATAACGTTTATTGGCAAAAAAACCTAAAATTCTAATGAATCAATTAATATTGTTATCTAATCAAACTTGCAACTTTGTGGGGAAGAAGGATTTTTTAACCATGTATCTATCCAGGAGATATGGTGGTTTTCGAAAGAGTTTGAAAAAGATCTACAATCGCATTGTGATGATGAATTTTCTGAAAGTTGAAACTTTAAAGTGGTAAAGCTTTGTCCCTTATGCTAAAGACGGATGAGATATCCAATTACAGTAACACCAAATGTAGTTTAAGTTGTATTTAGGCTTGCGTTTAATACTTTAATGTTTTAGACCTTTGTATTTGGGTGTTACTCCTGTATCATATATGTCCTATGACTTATTAATAAAACTATATCTAAATATAGTGTGAAGTTTGAAGGTTTGATATATACATATAAATGTGACTAATGTTTAGGTATGATAATGTTAATGTTTACATGTTTAAAGCAAAGATATGAGAAAAAGTAAAAAATTCAGAAAATTATGTTTTTTATATATTGAAATTAAATAATTCTTTATACTTTGACAAAGAGAGAGTGCACCAAATTTTAATTAATTATCAAAAGAATGAGTATTTTTTAATCAAGTTATTGTATACTTATGAATGAATATTTGAAAATGTATTAAGTTTTTGAAAGCAAATATATTATGTTCAAAGGTATCAGAGATCTGATCGAAAAAGTTGTCAACCGCCTAAATCTCGACCAGTGACTATGATTCAATAGATGAAAGAAACGCTGATATGATTTGGAGAATGGGAAGAATGGCGACATTGTGAAGCCATTTTCGTAGTTGCTAGACTTGTTTCTAGCATATGTGAGAGAAGAAAAACTGAAGAAAAATAAAGTTATAAGATCTGAGGTCAATTAAATACGAGCTTCAAACATTTGACATCGTTATTTGGTTTCTTTCGATATATTTTGTAGCTTTTTTAATTTCTAGAGCTAAGGTAGCGATCTGATCATTATATAAACTTAAGCTATAGTAAATATGTAAGCTAATGTGAATTGTTGTTTCATTTGTGGTTTTTTACTAAATATTTTTTTAATGCTAAAGAAATATTAATGTTAAAATAATTATTTTAGTTAGTGTAAGAAAAACATGCATTAAAAGTTTCATAATTAAAAATATGAATATAACCTGCAAGTAGAGAAATTTATGATCATAAGTAAACTTATAATAGTAAAATGTGTTTTTTTAGTTTTGGTTGAAAAATACGATTTCTCGATTTTACCAGAAAATATGATTTTACCAGTTTAGAAAAAAAAAATACAATTTTTCAGATTTCGTTAGAAAAGCATAATTTATGGTTTTTTCGAAAAATATGATTTTAGGTTTTTTTATTATTTTTAAATTTAAGAGTATTTTAGTCATTTGTCATTTTGAACTGAAACATCTTCATCAAGATGGTCAAATTTGGTTCATTCAGATAATTCTCATAAATTTATTTAAATCTTAAAAAATTATCTAAATAATTCATCTAAATATTTTTTGATTTTGCCACAAAACAAACAAAATTCTCATTTTTATTCAAATGAACTATAGATGGAGGAATAAATAGGACCTAAATCCAAAACTTATGCTAAATAAAAACTAAATATAATATTTATTTATACTGTAAAAAATAATTTTTTATTTTTAAAATATATAAAATTTAGAATAATATTCCGCAGCATAGCGCGAGTAAATACCTAGTATTAGCAAAATAGAAAGTCTTATTGTCTAGTGCCTAGCTTTAGATTTTGGGGCGTACTTTAAAGTCGTCTCCAAGTGCTTTCCAGCTAAACAGTGGTCACATTCAATAAGATAACGAGAGTAGGCCGTATTCATAATTTCATATTGAGCTTTTTAAAAAAGCACATTCACTTCTTGTGATCCACACACATCACATTTACCATCTCCATATTGTGTAAAGTCACCAACCATACATCTACATTTTTCTATGTTGATTTCATAAAAACTGATTGTGGGAATTATGCATATACGTAGGTAGATTGGTAGGGTTTCCAGATTATAATTAATTGTAAATGTTAACTACATGGATAAATTTGTTGGATTAATTGACTTTCATCTGTAAGGCTACTTGGAGTATATCTTTGCTCAGTTAGCCCATACAAAGTCGTTATGGTTAATATTCTGTAGCCTAGTTATCTGTATGACTGTATCCACTCTCTCACTAAGGAAGTGCAAGCACGAGGCTACTTATTCTTCCAGTTACAGTTGATTCATTTTCAAACGTCGTTTAGGAAACTAGGAAATACCAAACTTTACCAGTGATTCTATATATTTTCCATTAATCTGATTAATGCATCCAATTTTTGAAACTTTCGATATATAATAGATAGGATCAGCAGGTAATAGGGTAAGAGTGGACCTGCGATGCTGCAAATGTCAAGTGGCGCATGATTTACTTACAACTTGGATTATATGAACACTTCCCACGAGTTGATGTTTTCTTTTGTTTTTCCCCATAACATTAAATTGTGTCTCATTTAAATTCCACAACACGACGGATTCTCTGACTCTGACTGTTCCAAAAGTCTTTGTTTTGAAATTCATACCGTGAGCGTGATTAATGATGCAACTATGATTTTTATGTGATCCACTACTTAAAGTTTACCATAAGGTTATAACTAGTAGTATTAGATTAACTGTATTCACACGTTGCTAACATCCACATCATTAATGGTCTCATATAACCAAAAGTTCATAAACTTTTGTGTTAAGATCTGATCACGTCGTTCCTATTCAAAATTTTATATAGTCCAACCGTTGCTGAGTTGGTATTTAAACTCAAAACTGCATAATATGAAGAAAGAAAATGTATTAGCAAGGTGACAGAGAAAGAAAAAAACTATGATTTGTTTATTCAGAGTATTCACCACATGTATATGTGCCGTGAACTTTGTTTTCCCCCGCCTTTACGCCAATGACATTACAAAATTACCGTCTTAGCTGTTTCTCCCTCAACATGCTAATGCTCTTGACCCATCACTTGTCGTTTTCCACTCTAATTTATTCTCTTTCTTCTGCAAAATTCATATTTTATCATTTCTTTATCTGTCGATCCATTTATATAATAACATGCGAGTGAGAAAACAAAAGTTTTCAGTGGGAAAGACAGATTTCCTTAATGGATACATACAAGAGTTGAGTGGGATATAATATATTATACATCAATTCTCAATTATTGAAGAGAATCAATCGAGCTTACACATATAAAAAAAAGATTCAGATTCATCCCTCAAAGATCGGATCAATCAGAAGAAAGCGATGGGAGAGATAGCAGAAGAGTTTACGGCGGTTATTGAAGATGACCGGTGCGTCGTACCGGAGGTAGAGCTCACTGTACCGAAAACCGACGACCCGAGTTTACCGGTTCTCACATTCCGGATGTGGGTTTTGGGTATCGGCGCGTGCATTATACTCTCTTTCATCAACCAGTTTTTCTGGTACAGAACGATGCCGTTGAGCATCACCGGAATCTCAGCTCAGATCGCCGTCGTGCCGCTCGGACACCTCATGGCGAGGGTGCTTCCGACAAGGAGGTTTTTGGAAGGTACGAGGTTCCAGTTCACCTTAAACCCCGGTGCCTTCAACGTCAAGGAACACGTTCTGATTACAATCTTTGCAAATTCCGGCGCTGGCTCCGTTTACGCCACTCACATACTCAGTGCTATTAAGCTTTACTACAAACGCTCTCTTCCTTTCCTCCCTGCGTTTCTCGTCATGATCACCACTCAGGTTTTTCATTTCCTCTGTTTCTTGGCAATTTCTTGAATCTTGATATTTTGAAAATCTCTTGAATCTTGAAATTGTTTCTGTGTGGTTAGATTCTTGGATTTGGATGGGCGGGTCTCTTCAGGAAACACCTCGTTGAGCCAGGAGAAATGTGGTGGCCAAGCAATCTCGTTCAGGTCTCTCTCTTTGGAGCATTACACGAGAAAGAAAAGAAATCCAAAGGAAGCATGAGTCGAACACAATTCTTCTTGATCGTGCTCGTAGCTAGCTTCGCTTACTACATCCTTCCCGGTTATCTGTTCACCATGCTAACATCAATCTCATGGGTTTGCTGGTTCAATCCCAAATCAATACTAGTAAACCAGCTCGGTTCAGGTGAACACGGTCTTGGTATTGGATCCATTGGCTTTGACTGGGTCACCATCAGTGCTTATCTTGGAAGCCCTTTAGCTAGTCCCTTGTTTGCTTCCGTCAATGTAGCCATCGGTTTCGTTATGGTCATGTATATCGTCACGCCTATCTGTTACTGGCTTAACATTTATGAAGCCAAGACTTTTCCCATCTTCTCTAGCCAGCTCTTCATGGCTAATGGCTCACGCTATGATGTTTTGAGCATTATCGATAGCAAGTTCCACCTCGACCGCGTGGTTTACTCTCAGACCGGGTCCATCAACATGAGCACCTTCTTTGCGGTTACTTATGGTCTTGGGTTTGCTACATTGTCTGCCACCATCGTCCATGTTTTACTCTTCAACGGAAGGTACATATATATGTTCAATTATGTTTTTTCTGATTAGTTGGTTAAGAAGTTCTGGACCGAGGCTTATACTAATCTCTCTGTGTATTTCACAGTGACTTGTGGAAACAGACAAGAGGAGCGTTTCAGAAGAATAAGAAAATGGATATACATACGAGAATCATGAAGAAAAACTACAGAGGAGTTCCGATGTGGTGGTTTCTGGTGATCCTCTTACTGAATATCGCTCTCATTATGTTCATCTCCGTGCACTACAACGCGACTGTGCAGCTTCCTTGGTGGGGAGTGTTACTTGCTTGTGCCATTGCCATCAGCTTCACTCCTTTGATTGGTGTCATAGCCGCCACCACTAACCAGGCACCCGGTTTGAACATCATAACCGAGTATGTTATCGGGTATATCTACCCGGAACGTCCTGTTGCCAACATGTGTTTCAAGGTCTATGGATACATCAGTATGACACAGGCGCTAACTTTCATTTCCGACTTCAAGCTCGGTCACTACATGAAGATCCCGCCTAGATCCATGTTCATGGCTCAGGTATGTTATCAAATATCAATTTTGTTCTGAGATGGAAGCTTATTATAAGAAAACATAACTAATCAAACTGTAACAAGTGCAGGTGGTAGGGACGCTTGTGGCGGTTATGGTGTACACAGGAACAGCTTGGTGGTTAATGGAAGAGATTCCTCATCTTTGTGACACAGCCTTGCTTCCTTCAGACAGCCAATGGACTTGTCCCATGGACCGTGTCTTCTTTGACGCATCTGTGATTTGGGGACTAGTGGGACCACGTAGGATGTTTGGAGACCTTGGAGAATACTCAAGTGTCAACTGGTTCTTCCTCGTTGGAGCCATAGCTCCACTCTTGGTCTGGCTAGCCACGAAAGCATTCCCGGCTCAGACATGGATCTCCAAGATTCATATCCCTGTCCTTGTGGGAGCCACCGCAATGATGCCACCAGCAACAGCGGTTAACTTCACCAGCTGGCTCATAGTCGCATTCGTCTTTGGCCACTTCATTTTCAAGTACAGGAGAGAGTGGTGGAAGAAGTATAACTATGTGTTGTCAGGTGGTTTAGATGCTGGCTCGGCGTTTATGACCATACTTCTGTTTCTAGCACTCGGACGAAAAGGCATTGAAGTGAATTGGTGGGGAAATTCCGGCGACCGTGACACATGTCCTCTAGCTTCCTGTCCTACCGCAAAAGGCGTTGTCATCAAAGGTTGTCCCGTCTTCTAGCTCATCACAAAGACAGTATATATACAAGTGCTTTGTACAGAACACGCAGCAAACTTGATTATTGTTATCCTCAGAAATGTCTTTACTCTTTAAGAATTGTTGTTATATCTTTGTGATAGCTTTACACACTAGGTACTGTTCTGCTCTATGACCAAACAAAACTGTTAGTGTTCTTCTATTTTTGTCTCCTTATAAGGTTTTTGTGCTTTAGAAATTTGTTTCTCTCTTATCATGTGAGGATCTGTTTTCTCTCTTAACAGGAACAGAGTTTAAACAATATGGTGGAAACATGGACTTGTATATAAAGTAAAAAAATAACATATTGATTGCATATAAATTAACCTTGTCTTGTAATCTAACATCAACAATCATAGCCAAGAAAATTAAATAATCGAACTACTACATCGAATCTTTTACTGCTATGTTCTCTCTGTTCGCATTGTTGCGTGCTATCTTACCTTATACAAACTTAAAAGTCTTCTTCTTCATATATCTGTCTCCATTACTGAATCCAGAATGTGCGTATGTATAGTTCATTCATCATATGTTGAGGGGATCTTCTTCTGTGTTTCTTTCACTAAGAGGTGTCCAATCATTTGTCTCTGCAAAAACATAAGAGAGTTACACTCATTGTAAGTGGAAAGCGTGCTAGAGCAAATAGATAGTCCTGAGCTAAATGAACATAGAGAATCAACATACTTGGCTTGTCAACAATCATCATGAGCCGCCTTTGAAGGAGACTCGCGACAAAGAGGAAGATGGAGCACATTCCAAACATGACCGTGATAGGGAATGCATTCACCTTTCGAGCACATAAAGCTAGTCAGTACCAAGCCACAGCTTCATTTATCAGCTACTAAATTGTAGAAAAAGAATTTTGGTGGGCACTTACATTGTACAAGACAACGCAGACAAAGATGTTAAGAGGAATGCGGAAAAAGTTCATGATTGTGCTTCTGGCTTCTTCAGGGATGTATTGGGATCTCATCTTCATTATGGATGGCCAAAACAGTCCTACACATGCCTCAAATATACAGAAGCCAAGGAGCTGAAAGCACCCCGAGAAAGAGATTCCTCCACCTTTTACCTTGGACGGTTCTACAAAATACTGAGTCCACAGATCCGATTGCAAACAATCAATTAGTCACAGAATAAAAGTAAAGACAGGACCAAAGAAGGATTCACAAGGAGCTTTATTTCTAACTTACAGTCATTAAAATTGGAAGCAATAGTGAGGCAGCAGATATCAGGAAGACGATCTGCATGTAGCTCTCTACTTTGGGAGATGAGCGAGACAGCAGGCGAGATGCAAGGGAACTTCCGAGCATCGAAGCCAGCATAAATGTGGCAAAAATGAAACCATGGGGAATCTCCTCATCGTTGGGGCTTAGCGCAGGAGTCCATAGGAACACGAAAGTATACATAGATCCTTCAAAGAGCGACTGGATGGCACCCAAAAGTGCAATCTTTTCATCTGAAAAAAAAGATACAAAAATTCTCTTACTTTCCAAATCATCAAACATTCTTCAAGGCTCAAAGAGACAATGCCAATAAGATAGAGAGAAGCAAAGTCCAAAAGAAGAAACAAGAGTTTCAACTCACCAGAGGCAATGGCCACAGCAGCGCCTCTGAACTGGGTAAGCAAGTCCTTGCTCTCAGAAGGATCACCATAGTTTTCTGTCCATGAAGATAGAATGACAGCCATTCCAATAGCAAGAAAGCATGCAGCAGCGTCAAATGGCGCAACCGGACCAAGAGAGAAAGAATGCACTAGCAAGTTCCCAAACAATCCAGCGATAATTGCAACAAGACCATTGCCAAAAAACACCGCCTTTGAGAATGTTACAGATAGCCATTGCTGCTCAAAGCCCCTCTGCATACATCACATTTAAAATAAAATAAAAACACTATGTTTATCTATAAAAATGGCATTTTTCCTCCGGCTTGATTCAACATAAAGCTTGCTTTACCTTATTGTGCTCAGCAACAAGCCATGATTCAAATGATGAAAACAGAAGAGAAGTAGCTATGCCTCCCAACACACGTCCCACCATCAACACCTTATACTGAGGAGAATGCTTGGTGACGCAGCTCAATATGTACGTAATACAATACGTAACACACGCCCTCTTACGACCCCTGAATACAGAACACACCATTGTGCAATTACTAATAGAGTTGCTGAGTTTTGCTAACTTACTTAAAACGTAACAAAAAAAGCATCAGGAGAGAAACTTTACTGTTTGTCGGCTAGAGATCCAACGATTGTACCAAACAGCATAGAGGAGCCAAAACCAGCGATAAAAAGCTGCCCAATATCCCCTTTACTAAACCCATAAGTACTATAAAGATAGTACACATATGGACCTTGCAACCAATCACCCGCTGCCATCACAAAAACAAAACCAGTCAGAAAAAAAAACCTCTTTTATGTCATGAAGTTTCAAACTTTAGCTTTAGCAGAGGAACATTATTGTCAACATATCTTACTTCTACATTTCTTTCTTTACTCTGTCACTGTGTAATAATTCAAAAATCCTAAAATCAAAAGCAGGAAACTTTTCATGGCCGACACTAAATTACATCACTTTCTAGGAGACAATATTTAGCAAGAGAGACAACAGCAAGCGGATCCAAATCTCCGACCAAACCCAGATCGGATCGAGACACAGGGCATTTTATAAAATTTGATCAACACGAATCAGGCAAAACTGAAAGACAAGAAGAAGAGTAAGAAAAACGGAAGAGAATCGTACCCATCATGAGCGAATAGACGATGAGATAATTGTTCTTGAAAGAATTGAAAGCTGAAGAAGTGTTGATCCGATCCTTGTTGTTCTTGCTAAGCTCCAACGCCGCGACGACGAGGCCCAGAACCCCAAACACAATGTAGTAGAACACCTCCATTATCGTTCGATCTGAGCACCAAGAGGAAGATATTTTTGGAGTGAAGAAAAACTATCAGCTTCAGATTCACACTTTTATACTCTCCACTCTTTAAGAACAACACTACACTGACGCGTAAATGCACATTACCTTTGGGCCCACGTGCAGTTGTCCCTTTGGGTTAAAAATAACATTCCTCTAAGAGCAGCGTGAGAAAACGTAGTCCACCGTGTATCAAAAGCAGAGGATAAGAGAAGCTCTATACGTGGCGCGATCCTGGCGGTGATTTGGAGTGGATCAACGGCAAGCAGAGTGTCGGTGGAGAGAGACAGAGAGGAGACATGTGTAAGTGGGGTCACACCCCATACTGTGAAGGAATGGGACCGACGCATTTTAAGCCGTCCGATGAATTAGTTGTACGCTACTGGATTTTTTTATCAATTAGTATAAGTCATCAGTGGAAGTGGGAAACCACAAGAGTCGATAATTTCAACGAGTGATTTGGTTTTAATCCACTAGATCATATAATGAGTTGTCTTTTACTTTCTTCAAACTCTTGTTTTTGTTATTTATGTATTTCGGGATATGTTCGATCGAGTGTTTCGCCTAACATATCTATGTACTCATGTACCGAAAACATTGTAAAACTATAGTAATGTACTAAAAATTGTAAAACGAAAGTAAACGTAATCCATAGTTTTTATTAAAAGAAAATAAATAAAAGACCAGGTAAACCAAATCGAACGGACCCAATCAAAACTCAAGAATGGCGCATGTTCAAACTAAAGAAGATAAGAGAAGATTATCTCATTTGATCATAAGATAGGAATCGACGTTGAAAATCGGAAAAACAAAACAAGAACCACACGTTAAGATTTTTTGACATAAAGAGAAGAAAGAAGCCGCAACACTCTGTCTCTTTCTCTCTTCAACTGTTCCTGCAATTAAATTCTCTCATTTTCCAGGAAATATCTAGAAAACCCACCAGAAGAAGCTTCGATTCAGAGATGGCCTCACTTACTTCAATCGCCACGCCTTATCGCAGCTCCACTTATCCATCTTCATCGCAGGCTCTGCGAGTGAAAGTGAAATCTGCCGGAAACACTCTTTTCTCTGCCGGCGTTAGATCCCCTGCGACTTCATCATCGCTCCTGACGATCCGAAGCGCTTCAACGAAACCTGCGAAACCAGCAGGTACACAGCTCGTAGAGCGAGAGCTTCGTGTATATCCACTTTGAAATGTGAGAGTTTTGGTTAGATTATTGACCCGTTGATTTGCTCTTCTTCTGGTTGTGTCTCTCGGAGGGATTAGCTGAAGTCGATTGGAGACAGAAGAGAGAGCTTCTGTTAGAGAAAAGGGTATGGTGAAGATTTTGCAAAATGTAACAGAGATGGTTTGAGTTAAGCTTAGCTATTGACCTGTTGTTGTTGTTAGGTGAGAAGTGTGGACGTGAAGGAAGCTCTACGATTACAGAAAGAGAACAACTTTGTGATTCTTGATGTTAGACCAGAGGCAGAGTACAAGGAGGTGAGTAAAGTAACTAGTATGCTCTCTGATATTCAATGGCAAACTCATGCGAATAAGATGTGTTTTGTTGTTTGGTTTTTGAAGGCTCATCCTCCAGGAGCTATCAATGTGGAGATGTACAGACTGATAAGAGAATGGACGGCATGGGACATAGCTCGCCGTCTTGGATTTGCCTTCTTCGGTATCTTCTCTGGCACCGAAGAGAATCCAGAGTTTATTCAAAGTATGAGGCTAAATCTTTGGACTGTTTTAATCAGTCGACACGGAATGATTATTTTGACATATTTGATTGTTGCAGGTGTAGAAGCTAAACTTGACAAAGAGGCTAAGATAATAGTAGCTTGTTCATCAGCAGGCACAATGAAGCCGACTCAGAATCTCCCTGAAGGCCAACAATCTAGGTAGTAATATCACAAAAGTCTGCAACTTTGTATGATTTTGCTTCAATGCTCATAACGATTAGGGTTTTTTTTTGCAGGTCTCTCATAGCTGCGTATCTTCTGGTACTCAACGGCTACAAGAACGTATTTCACCTTGAAGGTGGAATCTACGCATGGAGCAAGGAAGGCCTTCCTGTTGAAGCTGAAGAAGAGTAACGAGAGCTTCTAGAGTTATCCCAGTTTTGTATATTCAGCTAGTTGGCATTTTAGAGATTTGGCTTTTGATCAGATTGTGTTTTGAAGTTTGTAAAACTTCAGACTTTACCATGAAATCCAACCAAACTCCACCAGAGTAGCTAAAGTTGATACAAACTTTTAACATATAGTTTATATTTTTATACACATGATATGTTCGTTCATACATTAAACTTAACTTACCAACAAAATAAAAATGAAACAGAGGAGTTTGATAGTAGTCATCGTCAATTTTTCTCCTTGTGATTATTCATCCAAACCATAAATTTCCTCCGGTTCACTCCAATCCCCATGCAGAATTCATCAACTTCCTCTCTACTCTCAGGACTCACTTTCCACCGCAGCTTCTCTGCATATTTCCTCATTTTCTCCGTCTGCTCTGCAGTGTACTTCGTCTTCAACCTCTTCTTCACTCTCCCCGCCTCCTTCTCCGCTAAATCGCCGCCGCCCAATCGATCTACCACCCGCTTCTTCTCGTTGCCCTTTCTGCAGTTGCCGTAAGGGCAGCAGAAGATCTGGCGAAACCGAGACGGAGAAATCTTGAGCACTTCAAGGACTCTGTCGTAAAAGGATTCTTCCCGGTGGAAGCTACGGTGGCAGCCGCATGCAGCGCAGTTCATAGAACCTTCTTCGGTAGTGGCGCTGACGAACTCGCCGCAGCCGTCGTAAGCCGTGGCTCCGACACGAGAGGCCTGGTTCTTCCTGCATTCGCCGTAGCGTATCACGCGAGTGAAGATCGATCCGTGAACCTGTGACGGCGCGTGACGAGGACGCGTGGATTTTGTTCGCCGCTTGGGAGGGTAGTGGACGTGCTCTCCAGTTTTACGGCAGATGGCTGTGGCTTTCTTGCGACGACTGCATTGTTCTTGTTTCTTCGATTTCATCTCGTCCATTGGCGATGAAGAGGATAGAGACTGTTTTGTGATTCTCAAGGGAAGAGGAGAAATTTTTACTCTTTATTATGCATGTTGACACTTTTTAACACGTCATCTTTCATAATCTCCTCTATTTTTACCAAATGTCAAATAACTGAAAATCGATACAATCCGAGAAGAGACTTGTTGTCACCATGTTTAATTTGAAAATACCCTCTCTTTATTTATTTATTAAATTAACTCTTTTCAGATGGTATTGGTCTCGTAGATTTTTTTTAAATAGACATAAATCTCATCAGAAATTGACAAAAGTAAGAGATTGAAAATAGTTAATGATTAAAAAACACTTTTTAAGTTTGCTAAATTTTTTTAATAGACTGTCATCTAAGATGATGTGTCTTCCTTCAACCTGTACAAGGTGATTTCTTGCTGCTTGAAGTAACGGCGATCCTCTTCGTCTACCAGAACAAGATTCAGATAATACTTGACGCTGAACTTGTTGTTGATGTTGCGATGCGTTGGTGTTAGATCGTATGGAGCCAGAAACAGTCTTACAGGTATCGACTCACCTGCAGCATCGTCACTCAGTTATTCAATTTCTTCAAAAAGCAATCACTGTAAACATGAGATTTTCAGGCGTATATTACCTCTAACGGGAGTTCCATCCATCAGCTCGAATTTGGCAAGCGTTTCTGTCTCGACATGAGTATTAGCACCTGCACCCGTTGATTCTCGCCGTCTGATCTCAAGGTCCATGTTCTTCATCTTGATTCTCACAAGAAGAAAATATATTTTCCCAAGGATTACATCTTTTAGGTGATACCTGCATCCACAGGCACATAGATGATCCATCGCTAGTTCCTGATCAGTCAGTCAAATCCTTAAGTCATGAAACGAATGTTGTCTTACTTGCTTTTATTGTACTCAAACTCAATGTGCAGACAGTCCTCAATTCCAACTTCCATCTGTTCAATAAGTGAGAGCCGGTGAAATTATGTCTCAACAGAATATTTTCTTATAAAGTTTCAAACTTGGATCCTATTTGAACTCACCTTGATGCTGTTATTAATATCAGGAAGTGGAGCATAGTTCCGAACCTGTTCCAACATTATAACATTAAACATATTGTTGGTGATGTTAAGTGGAAATTATCAGACATTACAGAGTTTACCGTTTCGAAATAAAATGACACACAGCAAAAAGGAAGAGAGAGACATACCACGAACTCCTGGTATTCCAAGATGCTTCCACCATAGCCACGAGTGACGGTTACTTTGAGGACATATCTGAAGAGACAAAGAAGACAGTTAATTTGAATTAGAAACTGTATTGAGGAACACAAGTGTATCAGCAACCTTCTCATTAAAGAATCATATGAAATACCTTAGCCGGACATTCACACCATTGTACGTCTCATATGGCATCTCGACAGTTGGAAATTCAAAAGGATATGTCTTTCTTTCGTATATATCTCCGGGGACATCCAGTTCACGAACTGGAATAAGGGAAAACACACAGAAAAGAGAACTGGCTCAAATCAAAAATATCTAATAGGGATGAACATGAAAGTTAAAAGTCATGTTAGGCAATTATCAAAATGAGTGTTTCACTCACCCAAGGAAGTGAAATCATAAAAGTTTCCTCTGTCGAAGTACATTTCTGTGGAGAACACAAATGCCATCAATAAGCATATATCGATATAAGTTAGAAACCAGATAACTAATCCCTTAATGACTCTTTCGGTGGTAGATGTACACAGGTCATGGCGGTTGCACACCTATTTGACCAAGGAGCTCAACTTTTACACCATTATGCTCCACCTTTTTCCCTTGATATGGTTCAATGCATACCTAACCAAGACGTCACGGACAAATTACTTTCAAAACATCACAATGTCATAATAACTGGAACAACAGCTGAGATTCACCCAAAGAAAAGAAACCATGTACCTTCCCGGAAATCGTTTCTTGATTCTGGAAAAGTGGCACCAAAGCTGTTTGACCATTTTCTTTCTTCATCGGTACCTAGCGAAACAATGGAGATCAATAAGAAAATCCCAAACACGATCATATAGCAATTATACTCGGTGTGAACACTTTGTTTTTCATTGCCACAAAAGAAGAAAGCACAAAACATCTCTACCTGCTTTCGATTTTTGCCATCAGAAAAAGTGATTGAAATATTGCACGCGGACTTGAAGGCTCCAAGAAGATAATTCTGAGACATACAAGCGATAAGCATTTACGACGCAAGCCTGTGTTTCAGACGCAGCAACACTAAGGAAAGACGGCAAATTTCGTAGTAAAGAGCCACTTACCATGATCACAGGACTTAGATCTCAATCACAATAACCTGTTCAATTCGATCAAAGGAACAAAAAAATCAGCGGCATTCCCAATTGAATTGCATCGAGTGCGTTCGCGTTAAAAGCTAGAGCTTGGCTCAGATTTTGGTATGATAATGGAGAGACAGAACTCAAATTTCAAGAGTCAGCAAGGACAAAAGAGACTCTAGTTCCAAATTCATGAAACAAAAAAGTGATCAAATGAAACCCAAGAAACTACTGAATCAGATGCAATGCTTCAGTGATTAGAACGTGACTCGATTCGATAGAAACCTAGATCGACTGAGACCTAAAATAACAAACAAACACTTACCCGCCAAGTCGAAATTGAGTGTGAGTCGACCGAATCTGATAGATTTGGCTGGAGAAGATCGTTCAAAGCGAAGGCAAGAGAACGAAATTGGGAAATAGAAAAAAGAAGGCACTTTTTTTTTACTTGACTATACTACAAAGCCCAGTCAACAAAGCCCAGATGTTCAAAGATCAAAGCTGAGATTTTTTTTTTGTGATTTAGGGTGTTGCTGAATATAATCAAATCTCTGTATGTGTGTATACTCTGATTTATGAAACTAATTTTCTGAATAATCACTTCACAATTTGACCAAGCATCTCCATTTACTGATCATGGGAAGAGAAGAAAGAGCTTAACACTTACATAACCAAATCAAGTGAGTACATTGGTCATATTATGAACAAGAGAGATTCAGTAAAGCATAAGATCAAAGCCTCTTAATAAAAGCCGAAAGCAATCTGATTATCCTATGAAGAAAACATTACATAACACAGTTTGAAGTGTGGCAAATTTCAAACTTCCCATGAAACCAGAACGTTCATATAATCCAGAATTTCATCATCAGGAATCTTCTTCTGGATCCCGCTGCCATGAATCCTGAGAGTCTGACTGAAGGTTAATGATCTGCGAAACAAGAAGCTTCGAGATTCCACTTATGGCTGCTTGTACCTCGTCTGGTTCCCTTGAGCCTCTCCAAGCAGAAGACTGCGAGCTCAAACCAGAGTACTCGCCTGCTGCAACCTGCGTCTTCTTTGACGTAGCAAGAACCTTCTCCAAATCCAACTGTGATAATGGCCTAGGGACCTGCAAAATGAGAGTAACTCACAGCATCAGTACTCTATCATCATCTGGTGGGATGCAAACACTCAGCATTCCTCGGACCATGTTTTAAACTTTTCAAACTTACCGGACATGGTCTCCCTTTTCTCTCTTCCTCGAGGATTTCTCTGATAGGGAAGTAAGCCGCTTTCTTGCAGAGCTCAAAGATGTCGGATCCGGTATAGCCTTCGCATAAACGAGCTACTTGATCAAAGTCGATATTGGGTTCCACCCTCTCTCCTTTCAGGGTCACTTTCAATATCTCGGCTCTCTCCCGTCGATCAGGCATTCCAATCTCAAAGGCCTGAGGAAGACGCCTCAGTATCGCTTCATCAAGCTCTGACGGTCTGTTAGTTGCAGCAAGAACCATAACCCTCGCGTTCGCTACAAAGCAAACCATTACATTCATAAAGAAAACCATATCCATGTAGAACAAACTCCATGTTAAACTAAGATGAGAGAGATGAAGAATTCAACTTACGATCTGTAGAAAACCCATCCCACAAAGCCATGAACTCAGTCTTCATGTTCGCCATTGCTTCATGATCTGTTGAGCGGCGCTGGCCAAGGAAGCTGTCAACCTCATCGATGAAAATGATAGCAGGTTGGAGTTTGTACGCCAGGCTAAATACAGCAGCAACTGACACAAGGGAACAGAACAGAGCAGCACATTAGAAACACGATCGACTGAAGTAATTTAAAAGAAGAACTGCCAACAAAGTTGTACAATTTCGTTGCAGAATGTGAAGTTGAAAGTACCGGATGAACTAGAACATGAACATTGACCTACTCAAAGTGAATCACTTTGCCAGCCACAAAATGACAACGAAAAAAACTGCACTTACCAAGCTTCTGAGCATCACCAAACCACTTGCTCATCAGATTCGAGACCCGAACGTTGATGAAAACAGCTCCTGATTCTTTGGCAATAGCCTTAGCAAGCATGGTCTTTCCAGTACCAGGAGGCCCATAGAGCAAGACACCCTTTTGAGGTCCAAGGAGCTTCCCATACGAGAAAAGCTCAGGTCTCTTCAACGGTAGTATCACAAGCTCGTACAAAGCCTGCTTGATGGACTCCAGTCCTCCAATAGAACCAAACTCCACATCAATGTGGTCTGGATTTATCACATCACACGCAATCACATCCTGTTCACAAAATTAGAAACAAGTGAGTATATAATTTCACAACGATTCGATTGAAACTCAAAATATCCAAAAAAATTCTTCTTTTACTGTGCTACAATGTTAGACATGGACCAATGCTCAACAATTTTACAAATTAAACTATCCACGAAGCATATAATCCCATTCCCCCTGATAAATTAACCAAAAATTGAGAATTCAAGTAGCTTAATTCATACGAGATTGAGATAAAATCACCTCGTATGGATTGGTGTTAACAAGAGGACGACCTAAACGCTTGGAGATCTCCTTTTTATGCTCGTGAGCTTTTTTGGACGCCTCGCGATTAGGGTCGATATGCCTGAGCCCCGCAAAGAGAACCAAGCAGCTGAAAGCTGCGCTCGCCGCGTAAAGAATAAGCTCTTGCAAGATCTTTGTCTCCGACGACCCACCCATTTCTCTTCCAAAAGCAACAACCCAGGATATTTAAATATCTATACCTTTTTAATTTTAAAAAAAAAAAAACACCCTAAATTGATAGTCCAGAGATTAGGGTTGATGATATGTTTGCAGAAGAGAGAAAAGACCCTTGCTCTTCTTGCGGACGACGACAGAGTTTTTGCAGTACACTTGAGGATCGAGGAAATGAGCTACTGAAATTACCGAAATAGCCTCAATTGCACCGTCGTAAGTCGTAAAATCGGATTAGTCCAGTAGAGCTCTTTAATAGGCCTTAAAATTAGAATTAAAAAAAAAAAACTGTTAGGCATTTTAAATACATGGGAAATTCCGAATCGTTCAATGGCTTTTTCTGACTCGAACTTTCTCGCAAGTCATTTCATCAAATTCTCTTCAATTTTCTTTGCATTCTTATGCTTCTTTGCTTTATAACTCTGAAATTTATAGATATTTTAAAATTTTGTTCAAAAGTTTTCTTTTTATCTCAATAGAACAGAAGTTTAGGCTCAAAATGTCTATTATTAGTCTAAATTTTTTTAATAGATTCAGTAAGTTTTATTTACTTCATTAATGAGACTTTTATCATACTTTTAACCTTTAATACCAGAAGATGAAGAATAAAATTAAGAACATGATGGTAAAAAACTTAACATTTTTACCCCCAAAAAAATTATGAGAATCATTAAAATTCATGCAAATCTTATATCATTTATTAGTAGTGTTTGTGGCTGAGTGAAGAAAGATTGGGCCGAGAAAAAAATTGTGAATAAGGTTGGGCCATCTGTTGAACAAGTCAAAGAAAGATGATTCCGGAGAAGATGAGAAAACGCCATGACAAACAAAAACAAAAGAAAGGATAGGAAACGAGTCGGGAAACTTCGTATCAAATCTTCAACCTTCAAGATCTCTCCTTTTGTCACTTTTTTCATCTTCTCATCCTCTCATCTCACCTATATATATATATATATATATTACACACGAACTCTCCAAAACTCAACAAACTCAAACTACTATTTTCCTAATCTATTATTCTCAGCGATCTATTTTTGGCTCATTTTATCATCTTTAAACCAATGGCTTCCACGCTCTCATTCGCATCGTCTCTACGTTCACCTCTCCTTCTATCTCCATCATACTCATCCAAATCCACTTCACCGTTCTCCGTTGCGTTTCCTCGGATGATCCCTGGTCGGATCAGAGCTCAAGACCAAAGAGAAAACTCCATTGATGTCGTTCACCAAGGACAGAAAGGTAACCAAGGATCTAGTGTGGAGAAAAGACCTCAACGCTTAACGATGGACGTCTCTCCTTTCGGTACGTTTAACTAATCGACCTTTAAATAAAAGCTTGCACTCTTTTCTCTGCTTTTTTACTTACACATTGCTCTGTTTTTTTATATATCATAACGACAGGATTATTGGATCCTCTGTCACCAATGAGAACAATGCGTCAAATGCTGGACACAATGGACAGAATGTTCGATGACGCTGCTATGATTGTCCCGGGAAGAAACAGAGGAGGAAGTGGAGCTCCAGAGATTCGTGCGCCATGGGACATCAAAGAGGAAGAACACGAGATCAAGATGCGTTTCGACATGCCTGGTCTCTCCAAAGAAGACGTCAGAGTCTCTGTCGAAGATAACGTCCTTGTCATTAAAGGAGAACAGAAGAAGGAAGATGACAATGATTCTTGGTCTGGAAAAAGCTTTAGCTCTTATGGCACGCGACTTCAGCTACCAGACAACTGCGAGAAAGACAAGATCAAAGCTGAGCTCAAGAACGGAGTTCTGTTCGTCAATATTCCTAAAACCAAAGTCGAACGCAAAGTCATCGATGTCCAGATTCAGTAGGATTCCATTAGCATTTTCCTCTGTTTAATACTTTTCTCGAGTTGTTTGTTCTACTACATAAGCCTCTGTTTCTTTATGTAATTTAGAACTTATAATATAAGTATAAGAATAACGTGTATATTAATATGAATTAAAATATTCGGTTCTGTCGGTATGCTCTGAATAATTGGATTCTCTTTCATATGTATGTATATAAAAAGGTTTTATATACATGGATGTTCTATCTACACATGTAATATGACCGCTCCTAGTCTTTAAATTAGAACTTTTGTCTTTAAATTATTAATTTTGGGAGAAATGATGTTATAAACTACATCTAATTGTCAATCTATAATAGTAGTCTAGTATACATAAAATTAAGCACAAACTTTTATCCATTAACTCAGAAGCATCGGAAATACATTTGCAAAGAAATGCATTTTCTACAACATCAAAAACAACTTAAACAAACGACGATAGTGGTGGCCTCACAAGCCAGAGAGACAAGATTTATGCAGCAGGTAACGTTGGAAATGTAGAACAATACGTGGAAGCAAAAAGAAAGAAAAAAACGATAAGAAAAGGTTCCATGGACATTTTTGTACATATTGCGTTCACATCTTCTTGAGGAATTCCATGATGTGAGTACCATAGGCTCTGCAGACAACTTGGAAGCCTTGGAAGCCCGAACCTTTGGCCAACGCCTCAAACTCCTTCACGGTCCGTTCTTTGCCTCCGGGGTTGTGAGCCAACATGAGACAGTCCATGTGCACAACTTCTTTTGTCATGAGGCTCGAGTCTGGCACCACCGGAAGTATTGATTCCGCCACTATCACTTTCCCGTTGTCTGGGAGCGCTTCATAGCAGTTCTTCAAGAATTTCAAACAGTGTTGGTCGCTCCAATCATGACATATCCACTGTCACATGCACGTAGGAAATGTTTAAAACCAAAATGTATATATGAGATACATTCGTATAACCGGACTAGTTTCCTAATTACCTTCATGAAGATGGCATCTGCTTTAGGGACACTCACAAACATATCTCCCCCAATATGTTCAATACCTGAATCATTCAACAAAACGCAAACTAAGACATTGAATGAAACATCCATATATGAGAGCATACCGGGATTCAACGAGTACCGGGATAGGAAGCAGCTTCCTCGATGACATGAGAGAGATCATAAAGGATGCCTTTGATGTGTGGGTGCTTGGAAACAATCATACGGAGAGTGACTCCAATGCCACCGCCAACATCTACCAACGAAGACAATCCCTCAAATCCTTTGTAGGTCTCAAGAATCTTGGTCATGACGATGGTCGTGTGGTTGGACATTCCATTATTGAACACTTTGTTGAATCTCGGGTCGGCCCCTTGGTACTCGAAAGCGTCCATACCAAATGCCTTGTTGAATGGAATCCCTCCTTCAAGAACCGCATCTTTCAAATGGTACCTTCACTCGTATCATCATGAACATGTTTCTCAGTGTATAAATTATGATAAAATATACAAGTTTGAGTTCTGAAAGGTGACAACATTTTTACCAGCTCTCCATGAAGACCCTGTCTCTGTTCAAATGACAGAGAGCAGCGAGTGAGACTCCATCTTCGTTCTTAGTCAGGTACTTGCATACCGGTCCTGGTCCATACAGACGCTCCACGCTCCCATCAGGAAGCTTGCGTACAGAGCATGTCAAGATGGAGTAAGCCGCAAGCAACCTAAGGATCCGGTCGACCATGACTGGAGCATCAGGGTTCTTGGTAGGAAGATAAGATGCTATCTCCGACGGCGAGAGTTGACCGCCAGCGAGAGTGACATTCTTGGATATGATCTCGAGCAGGTCGAGCTCCAAGGCTGATGTGAGAACCATCGGAAGCACGGTGGCACCAGCGAGTTGCATAGCAAAGAGATTGGCCTCTTCGTCGGAGATTTTCGCCGGAGTGATCTGTGTTTCAGCTAAAGATCCCATTATAAGTCTGTTTTTGTATTGTTACTCTGATTTTTTGAACGGTTTTGGTCTATGGCTTCAGAATGATGTGCTGACTGATGAGTGAGAATTAGGGTTGAAAGGCTCTCTATTTATACTAAGAAGGTAGCATCTATTCGACCCTTAACAACATGGACATTGAATAATGTATTTACGGAATTCATTATTTGTACTTGGTAGTTTGTACTTGAAAGGCATGCCTCATGCAACATTAGTAGGCGAGTCGGACCAATCGGCAAAACATAATTAAAAAAAAAAGTGTTTCTTCAAGTATATCATATTATCATAATAAGGCTAAATCATTCAATGTGTAATGTCCTCATCTTGTCATTATTCAAAAGTATAGGCGTTTGCGTTCTCGTACCAAACAAATGATGCGCAAACAAAATTTAATTAGTGTGTACAGTTACCCAATTTTCAGAAACGTTATTATTTATCAATATATATTTTCAAGAAACTTTTATCTAATGAGCGTTTCGAATGTTACCGCATGCATGTTTGTTGCAAAAAAATAATAATATTCTTGCAATTAACTAAGTTTCACTTTTAACTTAACATGCATTCAATATTTTAATAATATTATTTCTATTTTTTTTTAACGACAAATATTATTTCTATTTTGATTGTAATAGCTTTTACTAATTAAGGGTTGGACTAATAATGTAATGGTTTGAGTATGGCTTTGATAGTGATCGGTATTATTCTGTCATTGAAAAAACTTGTGGTGGAACTAATGACGACAGATCAATTTAGTGTTATTTGAGTTAGTCCACTAACCTACTCTAATATAAGAAAATTGTTAAAGTCTCTGTGATATAATTCAACTCAACTATATTATAATCGCTCATAATCGTGCCTGCTACTGTGTCCCGTCCCGTGGTACGTCTCCATCACAAAACCTTAACAAATTACCATCGATTTCTCTAATCGTTTAATGGATGTAACAAACAAATGACAATGTTAATTAAACAAATACGAGTTATATCCTGTTGTTAATGGATTGTCATACTGAAATAAATTTATTGAAATGTAAACCGAACCGACTGTGTGGGGATGGACTTGTCTGCTTTCGGGCGATAGTTGGGCTTATCTTGAGCCCATATTCTCTCGCCTTGCCAATTAATATTCGCTTGATTTAATCAAAAAATAGATTGAATATTAAATTCGAAGGATATCAAATCGCCATCGCTGCTTCTCAAAATCTCAAAGTGCAGTGGAGGCGCAACGGTCACATTGCATATTCTGAAAAGAGCTCTCAAAGAAAAAGATCGAAAATTTACAATCAGGAAGGAAACAATGGTGATTAAGCGAACGGAAATTTTGGAGATGACACCAGATCTGTGGGAGACGACGAAGAGAACGAAGACCAAGAGAAGAAAGAGAGTCACCAAGGAGGAGGAGGAGGAAGAAGAAGAAGATGGGACCCCCATCAGGGCTATATTCTGTCTTAAAACAAGACAGGATATGAAGATTTTCGAGGAGAAAGAGGATTGCTTTATCCTCGATTTTGATCCCAACGATTCATTTGACTCACGGAAGCTCTCCTTCTCCGATAACCCTGAAAGTGACAACGACGTCGCGATTATCCACGAGAAAGGCCAGGTTTTTAGTTATTAAAGACTCTTGGGTGGTTTGATTTTCTGTAAATTTCGAGCCTTTCCGCATCATTTCTGCACATTTACTGATTTAGGGTTTATGTCTCTCTCACTGTTGAATTTCGAAATTTTGATGAAAAATCTGGTGCTTTCAGGTGGCTTGCAGAGACTTCCCACATCCAAGGCATCTCTGCTTGAAATACCCATTTGGATCCACTAACCACGCACTACATTGTAAACAGGTAAGATAATTATCTTCGGTGTGTTCATTTTTGGATGTTGTTGAGTTGGGATATAAGCATTGAGATGTGGATCGATTTGTTGTTTGGAAAAGTGTGTTTCTTTTATGTCACCTAGCTCAGAGCGTCAAAGGTTATAATGTGACAGAAATGTATAATGTTTTGGTTTTTAAATGTGTGTGTAGTGCTTCTGTTATGTTTGTGATTTGGCCGCGCCATGCCCACATTGGACGCCTAGTTATGAACCGCATTGTGAAGCATTAGAGAATCATAGGTGGAAGCTTCTACGGGAGCTGCACCGCGGCGTGAGGAAGTAGAGGGAGGACATTAGGCGGCAAAGGGGTTTACCAGAGTTTTGCCGGAATCTGGCTGCTCGCCTTGTAAGCACCAACAAGCGAAATGGAATTGCAAAAGCTTGAGATATGTGAGATGAATGTTATGAGTAGTTTGTGTGTAATAATGCCCCCATCTTGAGCTGAATGATGTTTTGCTTACTGAAGAACCCAAATTAGGTCTCCTCCCCTTATTGTGAAAACTGGTTTATTGAATATGTTAATTCAAGATCTTTAGATTTCAAATGGAGCCTTCTTAACATTACCATTCCGACATTTGCATGACAGATTATTGTTTGAGAGAGAAAAGAATCATAGCATCCTCTTATGCTCCTTCCAACGTTTCATACACGCAAATGTTCAGATCTAGTAGTCTATTTTGCTCATGAAGAGACTGAAGATTACAAGTTATGCAAAGTGGAAGAGAGCTCTGTAAGAAACCCATAGTTTCGTGGACAATCAAGATTTACATTCCTAACCGATGCCCGAATCAAAAAAAGAAAAAAGAAAAAATAGAGTGAGACGCTCGGAAAAATATACTACAGTCTAACGAATCGCAGAACTCAGAAGTCCACGAGATGAGTGGAGAAGACTGGAACTGGCGACGAGGAAGGACGAGGCAATGAGAGACAACCAATGCGTAAATCTCTCCGGTCATCGGGACGCCGGGGAATAATTCCGGCGACGATTTTGGTGAGAGCAGCCGTGTACTCGCCAAGTAGCTCAGCAAAAATCACTATTGAAACATTGTGTAGAAGCTAACTGGTAATTACTCAACGAAATTGAATAATCTAGAGAAAGGAATATTCTTGTGGTATCAATGATCAATGGACCTCTGAATATTCAGAAGGAATTTTTATTGGAAGTGGTGGCTGAAGAAGGAGTGTACTTGTAACTTCTAAGATGGTGGTGTGGGTGTTGACTAGATTCTTCCCTTTGCCCCTTTGGTCGTATTCCAAATTTTTATCCGCGTGGACGGTACGGATTTTACTGATTTTGTGCTGATTTTTAATATTTAAAAACCAATAGAAGTATAAAATTTGATTTTGTGCTGATTTTTAATATTTAAAAACCAATAGAAGTATAAAATTTGACTTTGTGCTAGCGATACCAACGGCTTCTTGGTTCTAGAATCCCCAACAAGTCAATAATGAACTAATTGAAAATGATGTTGTTCTTTTTAGGACACCAAACATTGGATATTGTTTTTGAACAGCGTAACTGTCTAAACACAGCGTCCATAAAGTCTTGTTGGCATGACAATAATGAAGAAATGAGAGGAAACAATAAATAGTTGAAGATAGAAGAAAACTTATAAAAAAAAGATAAGTGATGCAAATGAAAGAGAAAAATGAAGTGTAAGATTGAGAGAGACGTTTGGAAACTTTGAAACTTTCTTCTTTAGAGTAAATTTTGAAATTTTCATGTGAGATTAAATTTCTCAAACTACAAATGCAAACGCGAGTGGAACTTCCAAATTGTTAATCATAAATATATTTTTTCATGTTGACAGAAAAGAAAAAATTTGTGACATTATTGAATAATCGTGATGGAGTATATATTTCATAACTCAAAATGCTCGAAGCTAAGAAAGTTAAATATCAGCACCAATTATTATGAATCATTTACTACTACAATTTATCACTCTATTAATCAGAACTCTAATAAATAAATAAAAATGTTTGTCGTGATCTCTAATAAATAATGATGGAAGTTGACATGTTGGGTGTCCTATACTAGACATGTCAAAATTGGCCCGACGAATTGATATGTAGTGGCAGTAAGTCAGTAATAGCTGAATCAATATTATCAAAGCTGTGGCTAATTGATGAGACGATAAATTTTTTTTTTGGGTCAACAATGAGACGATAATTTAAAAATACCGATAGTTGTGTTTTGGGTCTTGAGTTGACCCTTCTCGAACCTCAGTGACAAGTGGAGATTAGTTGTAAATTTGCAATTAATCGTCGTCAATTAACACTACATCTAAATTAATTAAGTTATGAAGGTGTGCGTTCACACATCAACGGCTGACACCATGACGCGTTTTTACTATCTCATAAAGGCGGCCATATCGAGCGTGTGAACGGTTCCTTTATCACACTGTTCATGCTTGGCCAGTTTGTACAATGATTATGACAAAATTATGTCAATAGTTAAAATATTTAGATTCATAGAAATTGTACAATAATGCAGGTTGAAATTTGAACTCGATATTATATATTTAAGTCTTAGACTAAACTATAAAATTTTAAATACCAATTTTTATATATTGTTAGATAGGAGTATTTATTTCAATGTACGTGAATATAATGACTTCTGTAATTATTATTGGAGTATTAAATTCTTATTTTAATGATTGCTTTTCATTTATTATTACTGTAGACTTTTAATATGAAAATGACAGGGTGGGGAAAAGAAGAAGGAAAAAATGGTTTTTATTTTTGTTCAGTCTACTCTTAACGCAAGTATTTTTTTTTATTTTCCCAAATTTTGAATGTTTGAACATTTTGACTGGTCATATAAAGCCTTGATTTGTGAATGCCATTGCCATTTGGTCCTTTGGGGTTTGGGAAATCATCTTCAGTTAAAAGCAATAAAGCATCAGTAATGGTGATGATTATTTAGTGGATGCTAATTGCTTCCATTTTATAATTATGTTTTATATTTATTCTAAATATTTTAAGTTTAATAAAATTTATAATTCATGTAATCTAATGGTTTACATTAGAGTAATGATTATTGTGTCATTTTCATATTTACATTTGTTTTTAATTGCACACAACTGCATCTCTTTTGTAGGGAAGAAACCATATGTATGCACAATAAATATGCGAAATCCAAATTGCGTTTAGTGTTGCATACAAACAAGTCGTCTTCTTGCTTCTGACATCCACCAAATTAAACAGCATTTATAGAAGAAAATTGATATAAATTCTTTGAACCCAAATAAATACGATCGTCGTGTACCGCAGCTTTTATATACCATTGCATACACTCGCAGTTGTTTTATATAAGCAGGTCTGAATATCATAACGTAGACTAATTTCAGCATATTCAGTACTACCGCAATTATATTTAAAAAAAAAAATGAAATATGAGTAAGATGTACTTATAAGTTATGATAAATGAACAAAAGGTCTCTTAGTGAAAAATTGATTAATGACTTCGATGAATAGAACAAAACCAATGAATTATGACCATTCGATTATGTTAATAATCTTTTGAAAGATAAAAAGATATAGTAAAACTAAAATATAATGGCGAGGAATGTATATATAGATCTGTCTTTGTTACATAATTGCAAGATTAGATAGAAAAGGAGTAAGGAAATTAAGCACAACCACAACTCAATAAGTCCTAAATATTGGGACACGTCTGCAAGTAGTTTGATGTGTGCGTTTCTGTCTGTAAAAATCCATACAATTTGCTGTGCACTGCCATCCACATTCGAGTCCACCTAACCTTCCTTTTCCCCTTGAATTTTTTCTCAATATCTCTTTCCCTCTCAAGACGTATACATCAAAGTAACTATAACGTTGACGCATTTTATCAATGAAATAATATATATAAAAAATGAAATTAGGTTATCTCCTATAGTCAGCAATGCCACATACCAACAGCCTACAATATCTACAAATATCAATGTTTAAGGTAGTAATGAATCGACTTAAATGTGGAGGATGATACAATGGTCCCATGGTCCATATAGATATCAGAGAAGGACGATAAGCCTGACATTATATACCGTAAGAGTTCCACGATTTTCATTTCCCAACTCTTGTGTGGATATTAGATGACCAGCGAGGTCCATGAATGTTATTATCCCAACTCTTGTGTGGATATTCAGTTTAGCGGTCATTGAATTGATCCAACTCGACCAATTGCAAGATGGCATACGATGCAAATTTTCCATACATATATGAAAAGTATTGTCTAAAGAATACGAGCAAGTTATGATTGCCAGTCATTGATTGGTAACTAATGAAAAGGAATTTAAATTTTTTGTTTAGTTTTCAATAAAATTAACATGTATAGTTTTTGACCCTCACAAATATATATAGTTATAGACTTATAGTAAATATATTGCTCTATATATTTCTCTCTAATATGCTCTAGAAGCAAAAACAGAGAACAAAACTTAGTTTGAATGCAAGTACAATAGAAGCTCATTGATATATGTAGGAAGAATTTTATCAAAAAAAGAGATATATATAGATATATATAGGAATATAATACAAATAAAAGTAAAATAAAATAACTCAAAGAAGAGAAAGACAATTTTGTATAAAAAAAGTTGTTTTGTATCGTATAACGAATGTCAAACTCAAGTTAACATTGTGGACTTTTCCACATTGATGCTAAATTTTAAGTTTGTTTTCGAGAATTTATAAATTTTAACTATTTCTAATAAGTATTTTAATTCTGCTCACCAGTCGAAGCGATAGCTCACTAATGTCTGTCTGCTTAACAAGAGCTAAGCAAACAGAAAAATGCGTCTTATCAGAAAAGCAAAATCTAATTAGATCAAAATTAAGAAACGTTAGAAAAAAAATAAGAGTCTCATTAACTAAAACCGTAAACTCTATTATAATTCGATACAATTTTACAAAGCTCAGAGCGATGCGGATTATCCAGAGAAAGAGTTTCTCGAAAAAAGAAAAAGAAAAAAAAAAACTAGAGAAAGAGAGAGACACTCGGGGAAAAAAAAAGTCTCGGCCGTCACAGTCTCCTCTTAGATTCGGAGAAGACACAAAATTCAAAAATCTGAAAAAGGTCGTCGCGCGCAGATCAGAAATCGACGAGATGAGAAGAGAAATCTGGAACCGGCGTCGATCTAGGCGGGCAACGAAGAGAGAAACCGCCAATACGTACGACGTCTCTGTCTCCTTGCCGTCTCGGAAGAATACCGGCGGTGAGTTTCGCGAGGGCCGCCGTGTACTCAACCAGTAGCTCAGTGATGATTACGACAGAGATCATGATATTAGTTAGAGAGAGAACTGATTAGTTTTATAGTCGGCGAAGATGACGAAAGATCTCGAAGTTTCCGCTTTAGTGAATGTCTTATCTCTTGTTAGTAAATGGTGTAGGAAATGAGAGACACCATACAATCTGTTTATATAGGCGACAAATCTAAAGCTCTTCTGTAGTGTAAACACGTATTTCGCCTTTTTTTCTTTATTTTATTTCGCTATTTGTTTTTTAATAAACTTGACGCGTGTCACGCGCCTGTGGACAATAGTCATTAGTCACAGTGTTGGCGAGAAGACAAATCACTTTGGTAGTTACTCTCAATACCCAAAATACGGCAAATACCAGTAGCTTGCCGCGCTATTCATATACAACTACCGAATACTAAAATAATGGACCGTATCTGTCTACTTGCTTTTAGAACATTCTCTAACAATTTGTTTACCAAAAAAATATTATAATTTCAACACTTAAAAACAAAAAAAAAAAACGGCGTAAATAAAAATTACGGAATGGTTTGTGATAAATTGGACTTAAACTCGGTCGTACAACTTTTTCCCTGTAACACCTCCTCAGTCGTTATTGCTTATAAATTTTCAAATCTATTTTTTTATTACCATTGAATTATTCTTAGAAGAAAGTTAAACTATTTGTCGTTGTCGATTGATCTATATCATTATCATGGGAAAAGTTTTTTAAAATTATTGAATTGATTGCTAATATCACTTTTTCTCATCAATTTATCGATAAGTTTAATATAACTAAAATGAATTACTTAATAAAAACAACATCATATCTAGTTGTAATATGAAAGATCAATAGCCAAATCTCTTTAATTAGTGGTTTGGAATAATTCACGGAGAAAACTCACATAGCCACATATCAAAAGTTGACATGGGACTCACGATGATGATGACGGTTGAAGCAATACAGCTCTCTCAAAATTTGTAAAGAACTCAGCCGCGGGAATCACACAACTGCTACAAAACCGTTAATTCATTGGGAGTTTAGTGAAACATTCCGTTTTTTGTTTTTCCGCGATTCAGCAGAATTATTGATTTAAGCTTTAAATACGATGATTCTCATCCGTTAACCATTAAAATGAGAGTAAAGAGGTGTTATTGGTTCTTGTATTTTAATGGATTTGAGAATTCAAACCAAATTTAGTGTTATTGGTTCTTGTATTTTAAAATTTATATTGAAATACAGTGTTATTGATTCTATGATTTTAAAATCCATAATGAAATACAGTGTTATTGGTTCTATAATTTTAGAATCTAAATACAAGATCTAACTTTGGTATTTGAGTGGATTTGATTTTTTTTTATTTTGCTGATTTTGAAATCAATAAATTTATCAAATTCAAAGAAGATTTATAAATCCACCAAAATACAAGAATCAATAACTCTACTAACACTTCGAAATCATCATTAGCCGGGTAATTTACGAATTGGAACATCATTAGCCGGGTAATTTACGAATTGGAACAAGGCAGAGTAGTAGCTCAATTATCATAAAACAAAAAGAAAGCATATGGGCCATCAAGAGATGAAAAACATATTTTTTTATAATGTAATTCGATACAACATAGGTGTTTACAAATCTCTAACCTATTCAATATCCAAAAGGGTAACAAAAAAATGATCTCGTATGTCAAAACTCGATTCGATCAAAAAAATAAAAAAAATGATCGACAATCGTCACAGCTCAGAAATCGACAAGATGCGAAGAGAAATCTGGAACCGGTGATGACCTAGGAGGACAATATATGGAGAAACTCCCGATGCGTACGAAGTTTCCGTCGCCCTGCCGCCTCGGAAGAATCCCGGCGGTAAGTTTAGCGAGAGCCGTCGTGTACTCCACCAATAGCTTAGTAATGATTACGATAGAGATCATGATCGATGATACTGGAAGATTCGTCGGAGAAGAAATAATCTAGAAGTCTCTTGAGTTCTACTTTGAAAGCTGCGATTAAAAATTTGTTGTTTTGACTTGTGAGAATGAGTGATTTCTTCTCTCTTTATATAGGACAGCAATTTAAGAAGCCCGAGTTTCTTTCTCCACTCTGTTACTCGGACTCGTGTTTCATATTTTAATAATTTTTTTTTTTTTTGTCTTTAGACAATAATTTAAAAAGAATCAAGCGCGTCTTACGCGCACTACACATTAGCATTCGCTGTTCTTCTAATCTGCCAATTATAAAATGTGTTTTATTACTGCTCAATATAACTCATTGTCAAGAAAACTACATTTCTTCTAGAGATAAATAAAGAAATACAAACTCCAAGACTTGGTCACATCATCTTAACTCGATTTTCTTGTGAAGCTGGTTGTTCTCTTCAAACTAGGATAAGTGATGTTTATATCAATTTGATGTGTTTTGGTTGTTATTTGATTCATTCTTTCGAAAACACACTAGTTCAACATCTCTAGTGTTTTGTAAAAATTGTTAATGTATTCTGTTATATATAAAATCGCAACATTTTGGGACATGTTATTAGTTATGGAAACTCACATCTCATTTTGTTGTCCAAAAATTTAGATGAAAATGAAATTTGACTATATATTTTTTTTATATTCAAATTCCTGTTCCTGTACCGTCGTCACGAAATCCCGTTTGTCTACTACTACCTTCCTATAAACTAAAATTAAAATCGTTTTCAGTCGTCCGAAAGCCTTCAACAGGGCAAAACCTACTTGGAACCAAACTTCTATTGTCTAACTCATAGACCAAAACAGTTGAACATTCTGAAGTGGCTCGATAATGAACTTAATCAGTCAAATGCGACTTATACCAGATATCAAGTTTTATTAGTTTCCCTTATTTCTGACGTCATCGAAATTGAAAGACTTACTGTAGTATCAATTATGGCGATTATTCTGTTTCCTTATTTCTGACGTCATCGAAAATGAAGATATTCAGTAATTAATCTCGCGAGTGGTAATAATGATGAACGGCTCAGAAATCGAGAAAGGCAAGAAATATCAGGGAAAATAATAAATTCTCTATTATATATTTCGATACAGATTTACAAAGCTCTAAGCGATTGAAAATCTCAAAGGAAGAGAGACACTCGGGGAAAAAGTCTCAGCCGTCACTCTTCGATTAGATCAAAAAGAGAAAGAAATCTGAAATCAAAATCTCTAAAAAGTCTTCTTCATAGATCAGAAATCGACGAGGTGAGAAGAAAAGTCCGGAATCGGCGACGACCGATTAGTACTCGACGGAGAAGGACAAGGCAAGGAGAATCCGCCAATCCGTACGACGTTGCTGTCGCCTTGCCGTCTCGGAAGAATACCGGCGGTTAGTTTAGCGAGAGCCGTCGTGTACTCCACAAGTAGCTCAGCGATGATTACGACGGAGATCATGATCGATTAAACTGAAAGATTCGCGGGAGAAACAGATGAGGAAGAAGGATCTAGAAGTCTCTGATATTTTTGTTTCGGAGATGCTATAGAAATTTGTTGAAATGACTTGTGAGAATTAAAGATCTCTTCGTCTCTTTATATACATGTGAAGAGTTTCTCTTCCACTGTTTGTTCACACGGACTCGTGTTTGTTTTTTTAATCATATTTTTACTTTCATAAATAAAAATAACCGCGTCGTACGCGCACACCTATTTATTAAATGAGTATTTACTAATTTAACCTACAAAATGCGTCGTTATCAAGAAAACTACACTTGCTGTCTTCTAGACATAAACTTAAAAACTACACTTGTCTGTTCAGTTCTCGATATTGTTGTTTACTCCAGTATTTGATAAAATATATGCGACACATATCTAACAAATTCATTATTGGAACTCTAATCACATATTGTTTGACATATGATTGGAGCTTGCGACTATATTTATTTAGATATATATATAGGAATATCAGATATTTTGTCCTGGTTGTCCTAGGAAGAGGTGCTACAACTTGAATATATTATAAAGGATATATATGTCAAGCTTGACGTGTTCACAACTTGCCTGCTGTTATATATATTTAGTCACATAAAAAAATAATTTAGAAGTATATATTGAACCATATAAGTTAGGTAATTTTTAACTTGGTATGAGTTGTAGTCAATTGAAACAATCTGAATAAAATCGTTGTTTATTATCTTAGTATTGACCTAGTCTTTTTGAGTTTGATGACACGCCTGTAGCAAAATACCCCTATCTTATATATAGTCCAGTTTTGATTCTATCACACCTTTGTAGTTTCGATTTGACATTTAGAGTTTTGAATATAAACTTAATTTGTTGATGAATGGAGATTGGGTATGCCTGATGATATTAAAAACTATGAGAATTTGATATCGTCAAGTCTAGCACCATCTTTATTCGCAGATGTACATCAATTAAAGAATTACAAAGTTGTAATTGATGTCAGCATCACAAAAGGACATGGCCTAGGACGTAATATCAATTTATGTCACACCGTAATAACTTTCTGTGCACTAGTTGATTGCTAGTGAAGTGGACTACTTTAGGTATTGGGAAAATGAATTTTCAAATTTCAGTAATACCCATAGAAACGTAACACACTGCCGTCCGTCATCAGCAATTACCCAATTATCATACTTCTATTTTGTTATCTAGCCGATTTTTTATACTAATTTATCTCTCATTTTTTTTCTTTTTCTTTTTCGAATGTATCTGTAGACTTTTATATGTTGTTTTGGCAATTTTTTCATCGGCCTGACTTTCGATGATGTCTATGATGATGAATCTCTCGAAAAGCCAAAGCCAGAAGCTTTCGATGATGTTGAGGAAGGTGAAATTGTTTAGACTAGTATATTTGCCTATAACACGACTGTTTGCAATTTGTTGATTCGTGAAATTGTTTAGACTAATATATTTGCCTATAAAGTTTGCAATTTGTTGATTTTAATATCTAGCAGATGTAAGATTTACGAAACGTATCCTTTTTTTGTTCTAACAAATTATAACACATTGTATTGGACCAATCTTCTTTTCACTTACGGTATGCTTAAACAAGTTCTTGCAGCAACAAAACAATCTGTTTCTCTGTGGTGTTTTTTTTTTTGCTCTAGAATCAAAAAGTTGATAACCCTTTATCCAATTAATCTCTTCTGAAACCCAGAGCTAATATAACCAACATGTTTACTTCTTTTTTACTGCTTTCAAGTTCGGTTAAGACATTCAGCGATGTTGCTTTGCCTGTGCTAAAGTCTTCAACTCTTGGATTTATTAATGTACACAACTATATAGCTGGCAATTATAAATGGGAACAGTGAACAATGCAACAGCTCTATCACACATGCGCAAAGACAAAATACACACGTACGTGGCTCAAACATCTCACACACAAGTCCCGCCTCTTTCAAAGACGGCGTCGTTTCCACCTTAGGGTTGTTGCTGTGTCTACTATGTCATCCTCTCCATTTTCCCCAGTTGACGATCGCTTGCTCCTCCTCTACAAATGTTCTCCCCGTCGTCTTCGCCATTTCCCTCCTCATTTTCAAGAGCCTCGAGGCGAGATCTCGACACAAGGCGGTTTTCTGATCCGACAACGTCTTCCAAGTAGCGACTTCATCTAGGACTTCCGACAAATGAATCTCCATCGCTCTACACTTTCTGGTCGCTTCTTCGAGGGCTTTGTCTTTCGCCTGCATGTACAACACGGCTCTTTCCCCCATAATTTTTAATTGATGATCATACAACTGTTTCGTCATCTCGTTCTGCACGTAATTATAAAAAAATGCGTACTCAATATGATTATAAAAAACGAAAAACATCAGTAGTACGAATTGACACAGACATGTAACATATTATTGAGGTCAAGAGCTTGTTGTTGATATGGAGCAGACAAGCCTAGAGATATCGTCGGATTATTAGTGATTACACTGATGCCTGATGAACTCAGTACCAAGTCCTCTTTGCCTTGTATGATCTTTGGTTGTCTAGAGGAACGGATTCTCATCTTGTGATAGTATATATTAAATAATATGTAATGCAAGGAGATGAGTGTGAAGAACAAATGAAGAGAGCGCTTTTGACATCAAACGAAAGCGTTGAATTTAAAGGAAACAAAAAAGTACGAAACATAGAGACGCGAACGTTGGTGTTTGAAAGTAGAATAATAATTATTTAATTCCTTTTTGTTTATTTCCCACCAGTTTGGTTACATGAAATTTCGAAAGGAAAAAGGGAATTTTAATAAAATAGACATAACACAATCTAAGGGCCGCTGTTTATTTGATACAACGATGAATGATTGATTCATCTTCAAAAATTTTAGGAACATTTAATCATATATTGTTTGACATATGATTGGAGCTTATACATATTATATATGGAAATATCAGATATTTTTGTCCTGTTTGTCCTAGGAAGAGGTATTATATATTTTATATACATCTAGGATTAATAAAAAAAAGGCATCGTAAATATAATTATAAATGATATGTCAAGCTTGACGTGTTCACAACTTGGCTGCTGTTATATATAGTCACATAAAAAAGAATATAGAAGTACATTGAAACATATAATAAGTTAGGTGATTTTTAACTTGGCATGAGTTGTAGTCGATCGATTGAAACTATCTGAATTAAATCGTTGTTTATTATCTTAGTCTTGACCTAGTCTTTAAATTTGATGACACGCCTCTAGCAAAATACCGCTATGTTAATATAGTCCAGTTTTGATTCTACCAAACCTTGGTAGTTTCGATTTGACATTTAGAGTTTTGAATATAAACTTAATTTGTTGATGAATGGAGATTGGGTATGCCTGATGATATTAAAAACTATGAGAATTTGATATCGTCTAGTCTCGCGCCATCTCTATTCGCAGATGTACATCAATTAAAGAATAACAAAGTTGTAATGAAAAAAAAAAAGAAGAGAGCCTAATTTGATTCAACATGTCAGCATCACAAAAGGACATGGCCTAGGACGTAATATCAATTTATGTCACACCGTAATAACTTTCTGTGCAGTAGTTGATTGCTAGTGAAGTGGACTACTTTAGGTATTGGGAAAATGAATTTTCAAATTTTAGTAATACCCATAGAAACGCAACACAGTGCCGTCCGTCATCAGCAATTACCCAATTATCATACTTCTATTTTGTTATCTAGTCGAATTGTTTATATTAATATTTTTCGAATGTATCTATCTGTAGACTTTTATATGTTGTTTTGGCAAATTTTTCATCGGCCTGACTTTTAAACATACAGCATAAATAATATTATTAACCGTGATTAAATTCGTCAGTGAACCACCGTGTCCGAAATTAGAATGAAAATTTAGTATTACAGAAAATAAAGTACAACCGAAGACACAAAGTTCAACGGGCCGGGCTATCAACTATCAAGACAGCAAACCAAGCTACGTAAGTACGTATGCTCCTTCGAAATTCAGGAGTCCGAGAAGTAGAGATTCTGTCTTTCATATCCATTAACCAATAGCCCATCCGGTACCTCGATTGATTTTCATGTCCTTTTTTGTTGTTGTTGTTGCTGAAGATCGTATTACATCCGTATTTTTCCTATTATTTATAAATAATTAAAAGTTTAATTCATTTATTTTATCTTTTTTTTTTTTTTTTATAAAAATGCAATATCTCCAAAAAAATACATTATTTCAAACGGATTCTTTGTTTGATTACAATTTACTAATAAGATAATGATTATATTTTCTTATATAAAATAGAAAATATTTTACTAAATTACGTTACAAGGTAAAGTTATAATTTTCAAAATCGTAAATATGAGATATATATTAATTGTTCGATTGTCAAATTAATTTTTTTTTTTGTTTTTCTAGTTACTTTTACTGTGTTGTTTTCAATAATTTTGTTAACTTTTTGAAATATCAAAATTTTGTTTTCCCAAAAACTTAGCAGTTTCATATTTCCTTTTTCGAGTATGAATATATGCCTGGTCCTAATGAAAAAAAACAAAAACTCGATTATAGTAAAAGAGCTATTTGACCTTGAATAGCTGCGAAGAAGCGAGTCATCCAAATCGAAACTGCGGATTGAATCTCTGCAGCTCTCGACTTCAATTTTCAAGTTACCCTCTTACCGATTTCAAGTTCCTACCGAGCGTAGCCGTAGCCTAAGCCGTTGCAACAGGTTCGTAGTTTTTGTCTCTCTTGTGTTGCTGCGTCGATTTTACCAATTCCCGTGCATCGCCGTCTCTTATCCCCCTTACAATTTCTGCGAAATCCTGTTGTCCTGATGTCCGAGACTTGTATTAATCTCTGTCCGTATGTCTTTTTAGACTCTGTTAGTGAACATACCTTCAAAAGCCCGAGAAGGATGAAGATCGTTGGCAGGCCTCCTGTTCGTAATGGACCCGGAAGCGTTAAGGTTTGATTGATTCCTTCTTCTTCTGGGAATTATCTATGTGCTCATGCTTCTAAGTTACTGCAATTCAATTGCTTTGCTGAATGATTTTTTGCTTTCTGGCCACTTAAAAATTGAGTGTAGATGGTTGCGGAGGACTCCGATGATCTCTGGTATGCTTATAACCTGATTGCCACTGGCGATACTGTAATGGCTGTCACTTTTAGGTACAGTCTCTTCTCAATTTTCATTGCCTTTCTTGCTTTCATGATGTCTCACTTGTAACTTGCTTCTTGAGCCACTTCCATTGAAGGGTTACGCGATGATGCTTTGTTTTCTCATATAGAATCATTTGTCACATTAAAAATTCGTTGATTTGTAAGAATTTCATGAAAATCTTGGTGTTTGGTTAACCGATATAGTACCATGCAAGGACTTAGCAGTTATTGTTTTTTTTTTCTTAGTTAAAGACAAGCAAGCAAATTGTGTTTTGCCACTTCTGTTCTTAATCTGATTTCACTGAGACATTTGCTTGATCTAGAACATTTCTTAGAAGACTAGTTTTTACCGATTTTTTTTTTATTAATATTATGCCTGGTTTCAGAAAGGTTCAGAGAGAGATACCTGGTGGAGGAAGAGACTCTGAACGTGTTAAACTGAAGCTGGAAGTACAAGTCGAGGTATGTTTTTAAGGGATTTGTATGCAAATTTGCTAATACCTCTTTACTGTAGATCCCTATATATCATACTTAATGACCATGGTTGCACTAAATTGCGTAATAAATTCCACATTTCTTACATATGTTGCCTTTTTAGGTTGTCTTTTGCTCTTTATTCTGGTAATCTCAACTGTGGAAGATATCTTTATCTAATTTCATGGTCTGGTTGTCTTCAATTTTCTTTATTTATTCAACTAGGAGGTGGACTATGACAAAGACGCGTCTGTTTTGCGCATACGTGGGAAGAACATCCTGGAGAATGAGCACGTAAAGGTAGATGCGAGGCTGACTTTGATCCTACAGATTTCTCTTTACTGAAGCTTGTGCTGTATCGCAGATTGGTGCATTCCATACTTTGGAGATTGAGCTGAAACGACCCTTGGTGTTGAGAAAGGTAGATGTCCTCTTCTGTAATATTTTTATCCTTCAGAAGTCCTGTTCTATTTCTGTCTTGTAAGTGTGAAATGATGCGTCTTGCAATTTAGATTCTATGTTATGAGTAACTTGGTGCACGCTGGTGTAGTGTGGTTACCATCCGCAAGATAATATCTTTAGATGCAGCGACACTACATATTGAATTTATTTGTATAATTGGTAGTGTACACATGTGTGATTTTCAGGACCTTTGGGACTCATTGGCTATTGATACACTCAAGCAAGCCTCAGGTATGCTGCTTTTTTTTATTCGATGCCTTTAATATTGTCACAAACAAATCCGTTTCAAGTTTGTTTAAACTTTTTTTTTCTTTTCTTGCATAGATCCTGCTGCAAGTGCTGATCTAGCTGTAGTTCTAATGCAAGAAGGACTTGGACAAATCTTCCTTGTCGGCAGAAGGTACTGATTACAGCGGACAAGTTCCATTGCTTGTGAAATTTATAGTTTTTGGCTGAAGAAGTTACATACATATCATTCGTTCCTGTTCTTGTTTAATTTATTTTCAAATGTTTGGCAGTGTGACAAGTAGCCGTGCACGAATAGAAACATCAATTCCAAGGAAGCATGGGCCTGCTATTGCTGGTTACGAGTCTGTATGTTCCTGCACTGTTTCATTGTTATATACATGCACAAAACTATGGTTGATGGAGTTTCTCTGATATTATCCCTTCAATTTTTCTTTTTCTTCAGGCTCTGAAGAAATTCTTTGAGAATGTTCTGCAGGTTTGTTTTAGTTCTTAGAATATACATGTTTCACATTACTGTTTTCTAATTCATACCACACAAAGTGTACCTGAGTTCCACACGTGCTAAAAGTCTTTTGCTGTACACAGGCCTTTGTGAAACATGTTGACTTCAGTGTCGTTCGCTGTGCAGTGATCGCAAGTCCTGGCTTTACAAAGGTAATTTTTGTTTCTTCAGTCAGACTGTTTCAGGGTTAATTATTGTTCAAATTGCAGCTGGACAAGCTTATACTCGACGAAAGCACTTACAGATTTCCCATAGATATATGACACACATGATGAGCTTTAATTGTTTTTGTATCTTCAGGACCAGTTTCATCGTCACTTGTTATTGGAAGCAGAAAGAAGACAGCTGAGACCTATAATTGAGAACAAATCACGTATAATTCTGGTGCACACAAACTCTGGATATAGGTAGCGTTAACGCCTCACCTCTAGGCTTTCTCTATTGTTATTCTGTTCATGCAACATTTCTTTGATTTCTAACATTATGTTTTGGTGCACAGACATAGCCTGGGAGAGGTTCTAAATGCCCCCAACGTGATGAATATGATCAAGGATACCAAAGCAGCAAAAGAGGTGATTTAAATTGTCAATTTAGCTTTGATACATTAGCATCGTTTTCTTTTTACTCAATATTTTCAGTATAAGCGTGCATGGATGTTTTATAGTCGCTTTGGGTTAATTTTTTTGCTTACTAAATTCTTCTGAAACCAAAACATGCCATGTTAGTAATGTAGTATTAATCCATAATCATCATTTGGTCTTTTCTTGTCTACGAAAGAACACTCTCAGAGGTCAGTAGTAAAAAATAGTTGGTGGATAAAGTTGTCGTAGGCTGGAAAGTGGATGGATATAGTAGATCGTATTTTGTGTTCACTGTTCCATGACTTATGTTTGTCTGCACCATGCTCTGTACTTTTATCACATCCACTTGTCTGATGTGAATTTGCCTCTTGCAGGTGAAAGCGCTCAACGATTTCCACACCATGCTTACAAATGTGAGGCTCTTTTGCAATGAGCAGAAAGATTCTCGTCCGTTATAGTAATATTCGAATGTTCTCTGATAATCTTTTGACAATAATCCAGGATCCATCTCGGGCATGCTACGGACCAAAACATGTGGAAGTTGCCCATGAACGAATGGCAGTACAAACACTTCTCATCACGGATGAGCTTTTCAGGTTTAGTAATGATCCTAATGCGACTTTTGTAAAATTTGAAGAGGCAAAATGAGACTTGACGTAATTACTATAATATAAATTTTGGTGCAGGAACTCTGACGTGAAAACAAGGAAGAAGTATGTGAATTTGGTGGAGTCGGTGAAAGATTCAGGAGGAGAGGCTTTTATATTTTCGTCGATGCATGTTTCAGGGGAACGTGAGTGTCGCTTCTTAAATCCATTATTTGTTTTTCTCTTCTTTTTACTTATTGCGCCAAACTCTTATAAGTGTTGATGAACTGAATCTGCAGAATTGGCACAGCTCACTGGAATTGCAGCTCTTCTCAGGTTCCCTTTACCAGACCTGGAAGACATTGAGATGTAGAAAAAACATCTTCTTTGGCTCATAGAAAACAATAAGAATCAATATATAGTATAGTTTTCAGTTATTCTTTCTTTGTTAAAAGAGAGATTTGTATTGTGGTCGAAGAATACAACTCTTCGTTTTTGGAGTAGATAAGAAACATTACAGATTCTTAAGCTTTTCTGATGTTTAAACAGTAACAGGTAACAGTTGTTGTGTCTCCTTTTCATAATTACAGATGATGATGATATATAAACGAAAGATACTAGTATGTTTTTACATTTAATACAACAACGACCAAGATCTTCTACCGGTCAACGCGTTTTACGAGATCTTGTTCACTTCCATGTAATATGAATCGCATATCAACACAGGAGCATTCGCATTATACCCCACGCACGAGGAGGATTAAAACTAATCAACGTTTAGTCAAACTTAGTTTCCTACCAAAAATAAGAAAGATTCGGACCAATTAAAAGTGACTGAAAATATTACAAATCTGGTAAAAAGTAAAAATGAAGCCAACGAAAAACCCTCGAAGATTAAATAAAAGGGGAAAAGAGAAAATAAAAGAAAAGAAAAACCCTATTCGCCCTCTACTCCCACAACTCTCCAGCAGCCTCTGCTTCGCTTCGGGAGATCACAGTTATGGCGCAATCTCTCGAGCTCCTGTTGATCCAGTTCCTCATGCCGGACAACGATGCTCGGCGGCAAGCTGAGGATCAGATCAAGCGTCTTGCCAAGGATCCTCAGGTAGTTCCCTCCCTCATTCAGCACCTCCGCACCGCCAAAACCCCCAACGTCCGCCAGCTCGCCGCCGTCCTCCTCCGTAAGAGGATCACCGGACATTGGTCAAAGCTCTCTCCACAGCTCAAACAGCACGTTAAGCAGTCTTTAATCGAGAGCATCACCGTGGAGAATAGGTTTCTCTTACTTCACCTCTCTCTCTCACTCACTCACTCTAAAGTTTCCCTCTTGTTTCAATTGGGATTTTGAATTTTTATTCGTTTTCTTAATTGAAATGTTTAAAGTCCACCGGTGAGGCGTGCGAGTGCCAATGTAGTGAGCGTAGTAGCGAAGTACGCTGTTCCAGCTGGAGAGTGGCCTGACTTGTTGACATTTCTCTTCCAGTGTAGTCAGAGTGCTCAAGAAGACCACCGTGAAGTAAATTCCCTTACCGCGTACTCATGTTGTTCCTGTTTGATTGATTTGATTGTCTACTTTTTGTTCACTTCTGTTTTGTTCGCTTGTAGGTGGCATTGATCCTTTTCAGCTCCTTGACCGAAACGATTGGGAACACGTTTAGGCCATACTTTGCCGACTTGCAGGCTCTCCTTCTCAAGTGTATGCAAGATGAAAGCAGCAGTCGAGTCAGAGTTGCTGCTCTCAAGTAATTTTTGATTTCTATGGAATTGATTTTGTTGCTGCTCTTCTCTTGTAACCTTATCTCTACTCTTTTTACAAACCTTCTGCAATTTATTTACCAGGGCAGTGGGCTCTTTTCTTGAATTCACAAGCGACGGGGATGAAGTGGTAAATTTTGCGACTTTCTCTTTCTCTTTTGGTTAATGTTTATAGACATGTTTAAATGTTTGGTAGTATCTAATGTTTGTAGGATGTTTAGGATAGTTTAGAGACTGATTTCGAATGTGTGCTTATCAGGTCAAGTTTCGAGAATTCATTCCCAGCATATTGAATGTATCAAGAAAGTGTATTGCATCTGGCGAGGAGGATGTTGCTATACTTGCTTTTGAAATTTTTGATGAGCTTATTGAATCTCCTGCTCCCCTTCTTGGAGATTCTGTCAGATCAATTGTGCAGTTCTCTCTTGAAGTCTCCTGTAATCAAACCCTTGAAAGTAGCACCCGTCACCAGGTTAGGAGAATTACTCTCTTTTACTTGAAAAAAGTTTCAAGTGATGATGCTATGATCCCTTATGCCTTACTTTATTCGTTGACCAGGCGATCCAAATAGTTTCATGGTTGGCAAAGTACAAATACAATTCTCTTAAAAAACATAAGCTAGTCGTACCGATTTTGCAAGTTATGTGCCCTTTACTCGCCGAGTCATCTGATCAAGAGGACGATGATGATCTTGCTCCTGATCGTGCAGCTGCCGAAGTTATTGACACACTAGCTATGAACCTGCCGAAGCATGTGTTCCTCCCTGTTTCTGAATTTGCTTCCGTGCATAGCCAGAATACGAATCTGAAGTTTCGGGAAGCTTCTGTAACAGCTCTTGGTGTTATATCAGAGGGTTGCTTTGATCTTATGAAAGAGAAGCTGGACCCTGTTCTTCATATAGTCTTAGGAGCTTTAGGAGACCCTGAGCAAATGGTTCGAGGGGCTGCATCGTTTGCGCTAGGCCAATTCGCCGAGCATCTTCAGCCCGAAATTCTGTCACACTATCAGAAGTTTCTTCCATGTGTATTGAATGCGATTGAAGATACATCTGAGGAAGTGAAGGTAAAATTTAAAGCCAGGAATTGAGCGTGGTTTGTGGTATTATGTGAAAATGCACTTTTCTGCCATGATAACATGAAGCCTTAGCTTATTAGTAATCTGCATTATTGTCTATACAGGAAAAGTCATACTATGCTTTAGCAGCGTTCTGTGAGAACATGGGAGAGGAAATTGTTGCTTACCTTGATCCTTTGATGGGGAAGCTCATGGCAGCACTTCAAAATAGTCCGCGTAATCTGCAAGAGACATGCATGGTACACAGACAATCTTTGCCAGAGTTTCTGTATAACCGGTATTTGAAATATTGATTTAACCTTCGTGCTACTTTCTTGCAGTCTGCAATTGGATCGGTTGCTGCTGCTGCAGAGCAAGCATTCAATCCATATGCTGCGAGGGTTTTAGAGTTGATGAAGGTTTTCATGGTGCTCACCAATGACGAGGATCTTCGTGCCCGTGCAAGGTCTACTGAGCTTGTAGGGATTGTCGCAATGTCTGTTGGGAGACAAGGGATGGAGGCCATTTTGCCACCTTTCATTGATGCCGCTATATCAGTAATTTTCTTACTGTTCTGTATCTTTAAACAAAATATGTCGTTGTTGAAAGAAAGATCTTACAGTTACAAAATTACAGGGATTTGGATTGGAGTTCAGTGAGTTGCGAGAATATACTCATGGATTCTTCAGCAACATAGCTGAAATATTGGATGACAGTTTTGCTCAGGTGCATATATTTCTTTCAAATAGATTTTATAAAGAATTTGAATCCAGTGATTATGTTAAAGCCAACAAAAAGCAAAATTTTGCAGTATTTACCTCGCGTTATGCCGTTAGTATTTGCTTCGTGCAATCTTGATGATGGGTCTGCAGTCAACATTGATGAGTCAGACGATGAAAATGTCAACGATTTTGGCGGGGTATCCTCTGATGATGAAGCTCATGATGAGCCCAGAGTTCGGAACATAAGCGTAAGAACAGGAGTTTTGGATGAAAAAGCTGCTGCAACTCAAGCTCTTGGCCTGTTTGCACTCCACACTAAATATGCATTTGCACCGTATCCTTCAACTTTCCCTTAACGCTTTTTCTCCTTTAAATTTCTTACAAGAATCTTTTTCCATGCATCCTTAACTAACTTATAAGCTACCTCGAGGAATCATTGAAGATCATGGACAAACATTCTGGATATTTTCATGAAGACGTTCGGCTTCAAGCAGTCACTGGTTTGAAACGTGAGTTTTCTATCTATTGATCATTTTATTTTCTGCTCCATTGATTGTCATTGTTTTTACTGGCCAGAACTATGCCGACACAGACGACCTCATCCATAACTCCGTGTGAGGGGACAGATTACTTTAATAGGCATAGCTTAGTAGATGTTGTTTATTTGACACATAGCTTCGTTCTGTCATATGGTGCAATCAGCAACAGGCCTGAGGACTTAACAATTGCTTCATAGTTGTGCATATGATTCATGTGCCAATTTTCCTTCTTGCTTTGGTCAATTGTCTAGGCCCTTTGCTTCGGAATTTCATGTTCACTCAGTTTTGTTAGAAATATGCAGCTCACCGGATCTGTTAGTTTTAAAAGGTTATGTAGTCTATGGGTTAGAGTCGTCAGACTTGATAATAATGGAAGCTTGAGAGTCTCTAATTTAATCTCTTTTATTTGTTGGATTTGCAGATATACTGGCCGCCGCACATGCTATCTTCCAGAATCATAATGTAAGGAACTTAATCATGAATATCTCTATCTTTCTCCCACTCTTTCTCTCCTCCCCTCCCTTCCTTTCGAATGGCAGCCCTGGTAGTTTCCTTTTCGCTAACTGTTTGGTTCTTATATAGGATGGAGCTGGAAAGGCAAATGAAATTCTTGGTAATCTAAACATTACACAGCATTTTTTTTTTCTTTAACAACAAGAATGAGGAGAAGATATTGAAGCAGTTTTTGTCCACCACAGATACAGTTATGAATATTTATATCAAAACCATGACTGAAGATGACGACAAGGAGGTTGTTGCTCAGGCTTGCATGAGCATAGCGGATATCATGAAGGACTATGGTTACATAGCCATTCAAAATTGTGGGTGTCTATTCTTGTTGGAGTCATTTTGATAAAAAAAAGATTTCAGGATATTCGAATATGTTTACTCTTGTATACTGTGCTGACGACATTGGTTTCTAGATTTATCACCCCTTGTTGATGCGACATTGCTACTGCTGACGGAGAAAGGAGCTTGCCAGCAGTTAGCAGATGAGAGTGATGATGATGATGATGATGCAGGACATGATGAGGTCCTCATGGATGCAGTTTCTGACCTCCTTCCTGCCTTTGCAAAGTGTATGGGGTCTCAGTTTGAACCCGTCTTTGCAAAATTCTTTGAGCCATTGATGAAATTTGCGGTGGGTATTCGTAATTACAGCATTCATTTGCCGTAACTTATTTCATTGAAATTTAGGCACTTACTGTTTATCTTCTTCTGTCTGTAGAGAGCTTCACGTCCCCCACAGGATAGGACAATGGTAGTTGCTAGTCTTGCCGAAGTTGCTCAAGAGATGGGTGCTCCAATCTCTGCCTATGTTGATGTGATTATTCTCATCTCTTGTTCTCTAAAATTCGTTTCTTGGTGTTTGAACTGTATTTAAACCAACCGATTGGGATTATATGTTTGTAGAGGTTAATGCCCATGGTGCTCAAAGAGTTGGCTTCGCCTAAAGCAACCAATAGAAGGAATGCAGCTTTCTGTGTGGGAGAGCTATGCAAAAACGGCGGTGAAACTGCTCTTAAGTATCCTTTTTGTGTTGAGACACCTCAAATTATCTTCCATTGATTTCTATGCTCATCTATCGTCCATCTTCTGCTTTTCCCGGTTTTCACTTGGGATTTTGTGAGTATATGAGAATTTTCATTCGAGGTCATATACGTTCTTCCCTTAATTCAATACCAGATATTTTGGTGATGTGTTACGTGGAATCTACCCGCTATTCGGGGAGTCGGAACCAGACCTTGGTGTTAGGGATAATGCAGCAGGTGCTACCGCAAGGATGATACTTGTTCATCCTCAATTAGTCCCGCTAAATCAAGTATGATCTCGGGCTAGGCCAAACAGTTTCATCTATTTTAACTTACTCAACACTGTACTCATCCATAAGTTACGTAAATACTCAACACTGTACTCATCCATAAGTTACGTAAATCCAGGTGCTACCAGTGTTCATAAGAGGTCTACCTCTAAAGGAAGATCAAGAAGAGTCAATGGCTGTATACAGCTGTATATATTCACTTGTTTTGGCATCCAATCCTGAGGTATTTTTTGTAATACAAAATTTCCACCTTTTGATGAAACATTTTCTCGAGTGCATTTGGTGAAATTGTTTTTGCTTGGATGCAAATTTCAGATTCTATCACATGTTCCGGACCTGGTTAAAATCTTTGGGTCAGTACTGGAGTCACCAGTCGAGAAAGTCGAAGTGAAAACAATTGTAGGCAGAACTTTCTCCCACCTGATCTCGGTTTACGGCGATCAGTTGCATCCACTCATAAGTGGTTTACCTCCTTCTCAAGCTAACCTTCTTGCTGCGTTTGCTTCTGCTAGTTGATCTTCTCTTGTGATCTATATACATATATCTCAAAAAAAGCTAAGGGTGGCTTCAGGTATTTTTTTGTTTTGTTTTTTTGAAATCTATTCTTTGCTCATTTGAGGGAAGTGGGTGTTTTCATGTCTCGGTTTTGCTACATGTTTGCTTTCTACAGAGTTTTGTCCTCATTTTTTTATTTCATTTCTCCATTTATTTCTCTCAAGTTTGCAAGTTATATGAGTGGGGAGATGGGTGAGTCTGGTATCTGTATTTTTGCCCTTATATGTGATTGTATTTTGGCCTTCATAATATAGTTATTGAGTATACTCTACTGGTTGGTGAAAAATAACAAAAGAGTATACTCTACTGTTTGGCAGTAAGTCAACTTTTCTTATTTTTTCAAATGTACGACCATCGCTTCATTTCACTCCCATTATTAAACTGTACGCAACAAAATCAATGATGTAAATCAACAAAACAAACCTTTTAGTCTATACGATCTACAGGGGACTCGAAATATCCAATGTCAATGGAACTGGACTTGATCTTGATTTTGGCGGGAAGGAGACATTAGTTCTGTGAAATTGTGAAATATCTGAAATCTCTGGAATTTTGAAAATGTTCTTCGATCGGATCCTGTTGTTATTGTACCCCGGTGGGTTTGGGTAATTGTAGTAAATAATAAAATTTGGTACGAAGTTCGGTTAAGTATGGTTTAATGGATCGAAGATTTGGATGAGCAAAGAAAATAAAAGGGAATAAAAAAATTTGGGGTTCTCTCGCTTGGTGAACTCATGAAAGGAACCGTTCGTCGGCAAATTCGACACAGCGGAAGCTTGATACTGATGAGAGAAGCTTTTGTTGGGAGAGAGAAAGAGATCTGAGTTTCCTCCTTGTTGGTGAGATTTTTGGATCAGCTATGGGTTACGGATGGGCGATCTTCGAAGGCATTCTGGTGATTGGATCCTTGTGTCTCTTAGGATCGGCCGGTCTCTGGTTCCTCAACCGTCGTCTCTACAAGGAGTACGAAGAGAAACGAGCCTTGGTTCAGATCATTTTCAGCGTCGTATTCGCTTTCTCCTGTAACCTCTTGCAGCTCGTTCTCTTCGAGATCATCCCTGTGCTATCTAGAGAGTAAGCTTTCTGCGCCAAAAAAAACCCACTTTGAAATTCTTGTACTTATATTACCTAAGTCGAGTGAGAGGTTTTTGAACTCGTTTTGTATTACTTCCTGCGTTGTTAATTTGTTCAGCAGCTGAATGTTTGGCTTACGTTTTGTGTACCTAAGAATTTCCTGCAACTAATTAGCAGCTTTTTTTATATGAATGAGAGAACGGTTTTGATTCTTCCTCTATTTCATCTGGAAACTTGTACCTGTTCCTAGATAATGTGTTAACATCATAGATGAAATTTGTCATCTGACGTAATTGGAATGCCTTATGAATGTATTCATTAGATCTGAGACATATCACGAGACCTATAACTCTTTTAACCAGCTTGAAAATAGTTGAAACCCTTTGTAACTTTCTATTGGGATTTAATTTTGCTTTGCAGGGCAAGGATGGTTAACTGGAAGGTGGATCTCTTTTGTTTGATTGTCCTCCTTGTTTTCATGTTACCTTATTATCATTGCTATTTGATGCTTCGCAATACTGGTAAGCCTTCTCCTGATACCAGGCTCTACTTTTATTTGCTATTGATGTTCTTCCTTATTTTTCATTTTGATGTTAAGTAGAAGGTTATTAGCATTCTTATTGGTCAACATTACATTTCTGGCTTCCTAGGAATTACTAAAGTGCTCCATCATTTTGTCTTTTAGAAATATAATGGGGACTGATGACAGATTGACATTGTTTTAGTTTTTTCTGGCTTAAAATTATTTGCTTCTTTTGCATCATTCATGAGTTTCTCTATTTGGATTGATATGGATGAATCTGTATAAGCAATTTTTCATTGCCTTATGGCACTGGCCCTTCCGTCTTTCGCTTTTTATCAAATCTAATATCGTAGCACCACAAATTTCAGCAAGTTTTACTGCCTGTTTCTTACCTTTTTTATACTTAACGATCATTTCAGGTGTAAGAAGGGAACGTGCTGCTGTTGGGGCCTTCTTATTCTTGACAGCATTCCTTTATGCTTTCTGGCGCATGGGAATTCACTTTCCTATGCCTTCACAAGACAGAGGTACTTCTTTGAGTTTATGCACCGCACCCTCTCTCTCTCCCTTCACCACTGTACAAGCAAGAAGCAAGTTTATTTATAATTTAAGATCTTAATTAGATTTGTTATGAACAACGTGTACTTCTGAATGCCTGGAGTGGGGATAAGATGTTTTAACTTGAAAGGAGAATGTGAGTATGTTGACACTGACTATGATTGCCTGACTGTAGAAAATACCTTCAGAAGAAACTCGCAGAATCAATCATTATTCTACATTCCTAATGCTTGTGTCTATTATTGCTAGACAATATATTTTTTTATATACAAATGCTCTCGGTTCCTTTTGTTTTCGATGATTAATATCTTGTCACTGCTTGTACTTTACTTAAAGATACTTTAATCTTGAAGGATTTTTTTCAATGCCTCAACTGGTCAGCAGAATTGGGGTCATTGGTGTTACCCTCATGGCCGTCTTATCGGGTTTTGGAGCTGTAAATTTACCCTACAGTTATATATCGCTCTTCATCAGGTATTTACCTTCCCTGCGTTATTTAAGTTTTCTTCTAAAGCTGGTATAGTTATTATCTAGCAGCTCATTTTTCTGTCTCTCTTTCTCTCTGGAACTATATAGGGAGATTGAGGAATCAGAAATAAAATCGTTGGAAAGGCAACTGATGCAATCAATTGAGAGTTGCATAGCTAAGAAGAAGAAAATTATTTTATGTCAAGTGGAGGTGGAACGAAGTCAAGTATCAGAAGAGGTATGTTGTCGTCTTCTATATTAGCATACTCCAAACGTGATTGTACTTTGAAGTTTCATATTCTTCAACATTCTGTATTGAGTTAGAATTCTTATCAGATTTGTTTTGTACTTTTATGTCAAAATGCTCATCAGATTCGGAAATAATTTGTATATATATATATTTTGATCATAACACTGCTTTTTCTATGCATCAGTCAAAATGCCATAGAGGAGATTTACCCACATTAATATTGTTAAATATAGACTGAAAAGAGATATTTCGTAACATGCATGTTGATATGTATTATGTATATAGGACAAATATGCTTTTCTCTTTACGCTAATTCTGTAATGAGCTTAGGAACTAATAATCTGGTGATTTTGGCTTCCAGAACCAAAAGGGCAAATCTTTCTTTAGAAGATTTGTCGGGACTGTTGTGCGGTCGGTTCAAGATGACCAAAAGGAGCAAGGTCAGTTTATATGTTTTAGTTTCTAGATGCTGTTGTGCCTGCAAAACATTATTTTCCTAATAGAGATTTTTCATCCACATTATCTTTGACTCCATTAGGTTTTACTTTATGTGTACATAATAAGAGAAGATACTAGTTCAGCATATTAACATCTGATGACATTTCCCCAACTTCATTCATTTTTCTTTTTCTTTTGCAGATATAAAACTAATGGAGGCGGAGGTGGAAGGTTTAGAAGAGCTGTCAAAGCAACTCTTCTTGGAAATTTATGAACTCCGCCAAGCAAAGGTTCCTTTCAGCAACGTGCCATTAGCTTTGATTTAACCACCGATTTCTACTCATTGGCATGGAATGATTAAATGATCTGTTACTTATATTATTCACGTGGTGGTCTAGTAAAGTTGTAATATAAACATTTTACAAGCACTTGACTAATTTCATCCCATTTACAGGATGCTGCTGCTTTTTCTCGAACTTGGAAGGGTCATGTACAGAACTTACTTGGCTATGCATGTTCCATTTACTGTGTTTATAAGATGTTAAAGGTAAATTTTGTTTGAGTTTATGTGTGGTGCTAGCCAAGTTGTTGTTTTATTAGAAAAACTGTCTTGATATCTTGTTAAATGTTTTCTCAATCTGCACAGTTCTCAGTTGTAACTGTGAACCAGTACTAACTTCTCTGTTTTTCCTTTGTTTTATCTGCAGTCTCTTCAAAGTGTTGTTTTCAAGGAGGTATTCTCATGCTCATGTTATCTTATACACTTTATGATGAATGCCTGCATCGTTATCACCATTTGCTTATTTATGTACGACATGGAATAGTAATTAGCTTGTTTACAGGCCGGAACTAAAGATCCTGTCACAATGATGATCAGCATATTCTTGCAGTTCTTTGATATAGGAGTAGATGCGGCATTGCTCTCACAGGTTTGTTTGACTTTTTGTTTCTTTCACAGTTTTCTTAGAAACTTAGGTCTGATTCTGACTCTTTATTTATTTATTTTCAGTATATTTCCCTGTTATTTATTGGGATGTTGATCGTGATATCAGTGAGGGGATTCTTGACGAATCTGATGAAGGTGAGTTCTGAGCTTGTAAATTTCTTCTATTCGTCTTTATACAATCTTCTTGTTATATCCACTTATTTTAGGTGGTTCTAACTTTCCTTGTGACTGTCGCATAGTTGTTTGTAACAAAGAACATTAACTGAATAATTGTTGCAGTAGCATTCTTTTCATTCAACTGATTATAAAAACAATTTGTTTTTCATTCAATTGACAACCACTTACTTGATTGGCCGTAGTTTGATGATTTTACATGTATTAGTGAAACATAACTCACAATATATACTGGAAGCTTGTCTTTTGAATGCTATTATAAGTTTTGAGGAATGACTCGAGAGTTTGTTTTTGTTTGGATTGTACAGTTCTTCTTTGCAGTCTCGAGAGTAGGAAGTGGATCTTCAAGCAATGTTGTGCTTTTCCTATCCGAAATAATGGGAATGTACTTTTTGTCTTCCATTCTTCTTATAAGAAAAAGCTTGAGAAATGAATACAGGTACGCCGAGTTCTCTCATCTCTGATCTTTCTTAAAGTAAGATGTTGAACTAATCGCTGGCCTGCCTCGTTATATACATATTTCTTCTGCTGTTTTGTTGGCACAGAGGGATAATAACAGATGTACTAGGCGGAGATATTCAGTTCGATTTCTATCATCGATGGTTTGATGCGATCTTCGTGGCCAGCGCTTTTCTTTCTCTGCTTTTGCTCTCTGCGCACTACACATCTCGTCAAATTGATAAGCACCCCATTGAGTAAGCAAGCAAGCAGCTGTAAGTTACCTTGCACGAAGAGTTTGATTAAATTTTGATCTACATGGAAAAAACTTGAATCAATTATTACTACTTGTCGTGGCCTAGCATTGACTTATGTAAATTTTTCTTGCTTTGAAAGGATTAGTCTTGAGTTTGTTTTCTTTCCTCGTGTGTGTGATTAGTTGAAACAAGAATGAGAATTATATAAAGTGTTTTTTTGTGTGCCTCTTCAGCCATCCTTTAATCTTATTTATATGGGCATACATTATCTTTCATGCAGTACTCTAAAAAGAAAAGGAAAAGAAAAAGAGTAGTGGCCACAATGCTTTCATGGGGTGCTGACCGAAAAGGACTTTTCTTTTGGTGTGAGATTACTATTGTACTAGAGAGAAGTTGGTATTTGTGTTAGGTTCAATATCTGCTTCTGTTTGTATCCATATATATTCATTCACTCACGGAAGCTTTTGATCAAATTACATTATTGCATGTTCGATCCGGATTTTTGTTTAAAAAATAAACAATTCCACAGAAAACTACGAAAGAGATGGACATAAGTTGATAATAAACACGATCTTCGTACTTTCGTTGCAACTTGCAAAATAACTTGAAGTTCGATCACTGTTGTAAATGATTAATTTGAGCAATGTTAACGACTATTACTTTCACCTCGTTTTCTCATAATGTTCAACCTAAACTATTTGTTTTCCAACACTTTTAGGGAGATGCTAATAAAAATTTATACGCTTTTCACTGTATACATTTTTTTGAATTTGCCACAACAACAGCTCGATTCCTCGTTCTGAAGAAATAAAAAAATGTTATAAAAATAAAAAAATTATACTCAGCATACAGTTCAGTCTACGATTGATATAATACACAACATTTTTTGTTTTGGCCGCTTCACGGCGGGTGAAAAAAAAAAAAAGCTTCAACGGCGTTAAGTTGTTGTTTCTCGCTCTACGCCGCGTTCTCTCTCTCTAAAACCGCCTGGTAAGCTTCGTCGGTTGTTTCTCTCAGGCCATTGATAATCATAAAACTGTTTCCGTCCTATTGTAGAAGCTTTACCTTGATTATTTCTGGATCTAGTTGGTCACTGTGACGTAGAAACCCCGATTTAGGGGGTAGCTTTGAATACCCGGCCCCGCAGTATTACCCATTCCGATGAGGCTTGTGTTCCGATTATTGTCGTCTCTCTTCTAATTTTTTTTTGTGGGGGATTTTCTTCACTTGTTGGTGTTTTGAAATGTTCTTTGACATTTTGATGTTCTCCAATTGATTGCTATTTTCTTTGTGTAGAGTTTGATTAGGATTTATGGACTCTGTTCTGTTCAGTGCCCCAAAATTATGGGTGTTTGTTTTTTCTTCTTCTTAATTGCTTCATATTACAGTCAAAATGGCTCTCTCGTTCTTGATTTATAGCTATAGTTCTACCAGCTGATTCCATTGAGCGGTACACTTTCTCAAAACTAGTCCCCGTCTTTGTTGTAAGCTTCTCATTGATTTTCATCCAGTTTGCTCTTTGTCCTTGCTATGACGCTCTCTTGTACTTGTCAGTGTTTTTAATATTGAGTTCATGGCTTCCTCTTGAGTGTTTAAAGTTCTCTGATTTCTAAACTGGAAGCTGGTGGTTTGTTTAATGATTAGATTTTTGCATCTGGTATGTAGGTTAAGCTTGAATGATAGAGAAACTTGATGAGTACACGAAGAAACGGCATGTCCAGGAATCAGCGGGTTGAGAGTTTTCGTGGGGAAGGGCCAAACTGGATCCTAATAGCCGGTGGTGCCTTGTTGAGCACATTGTCCATACGCTTTGGGTACAAGTTAAAGCAGTCAAAACCTGACTCCAATGGCACTGGTGGATTAAAACGTACTTATCAGTTTACTGCTTACATGTCCTAGAGGATTCGCTTGTATATTCTATCTTATTGGAAGGTTGTTGTGCAGCCAATGGAGGAACATCTGACAGAGGAAGATCTCGAGGATGCTGCTTGCATTCTAACGCATCTTCCTCCTGTGAAAGGAATAATGATTGTTGTTTCCACTGCACTCCTGGTGAGAGTTTGTGAGTTGGTCTAAATATTCTTATGCATATCTTGCATTCTAGAGTTTGTGAGTATTCTTGTAGCCACTAGAAACTTGCATAATGATGTCTTTGTAGCTCAATCAGAGATCATACGTAGCTACTTGATTCAATGATGGGTTGTCTTGTATTAATACCTGGAGCTGAATTCTGCTTTCTCTTTGAATTCTTTCGCCTTCTCCTTATCCTTCTCCCCAAAAAAGAAAGTTTTTTGTAGCTGTTCTCAGAGTTGGCTTCTTGTTATTTATACACAGGAACTGAGAATGTGGAGGGGAACGACGCTACAAACGAGCAAATGGTGGTTCCCAGTAAGTCACTGCCTCTTGTGACGGTTCCTGCTCCGTCATTTAGCAAAGAGAATGGAGTCATGTGGGCATCTTCTCCTGATCACCTGGAAGTTCCCACGAAACAATACCATCACCAGTCGACCTGCTCAGATTCTCCTTGTGTATCTGAATCAGGCTCAGACATCTTCAGCAAGCGGGAAGTAATACAGAAACTGAGGCAACAGCTGAAGAGGCGAGACGACATGGTGCTCGAAATGCAGGAACAGATCTCAGAGCTGCAAAACTCGCTTAGCGCGCAGATGGGACACTCTAGCCATCTCCAAGCACAGCTAGACGCAACAAACAGGGATCTGTTTGAGTCAGAGAGAGAAGTGCAGAGGCTGAGAAAGGCAATCGCTGATCACTGCGTGGGACACTCCGGTAGCAACGGTTGGAACGGCGAGGTGAACGGGTTTATGGACAGCGAGAGCAACTATGAGTCACAGGAAAAGGAAAAGGGATCAAGGGACGGAGAAAGAATAGAGATGCTGAGACAGGAAGTGGGTGAGCTTAAAGAGGTGATAGATGGGAAAGAGTATCTACTTAGAAGCTACAAGGAGCAGAAAACTGAGCTTTCAGAGAAGATCAAAGAGTTGCAGCAGAGACTGGATTCACTGCTCCCAAACATTTTGTAGGTTTTGAAGGTTAGGGCACTTGTGCATTCTTACTAGTCTCTTTTCTCTTTCTCGAGAAACAAATCCCAAAAGCAAAATTTTGGACTCGTTGTCTCTCTCTGGGGAAACCTCTCTTCTGACTACATTTTTTTCTTTGGTTTATTTATTAGCTCCTTTAATTTTTTATGTTGTGTGTGCCAATTCTGATTTATCCTTTTGTTTGTATTTTTCTTGGTGAAGTGAATATTGAAAATGTGCCAACTCTACAATCTCGTTTCTTCAAGGCCGTATAAGTTGGTGAAATGTGGACTTTCAGTTGAAGTTCGTTGCTTGTTTGTTCCTAGATTGGTTATTAGCACTTACTTATTTCAGTTAGTTTATATCATATATATAGATCGACCATATCGAGCTGGCAGTTATTAGTTGGATTCCAGTAGGACTACATAAGCTAAATAAATTACTAATAATCAATCAACAGAGATGCAGATAACACATAGACAACGATGATGAAAATGTATCTAAATTTCTCTACTTGAAATGTGGAATTATCACACAAAAATTTGAGCAGAATTCCTCAACCACCGTGAGCGTCATCCATGGGACGTGGTGTACGCGTGCGGGGATTTTTGTTAATTTCTTAATTTTTAATAATAAGGAAAGGAAGGAGCCAAGGAGTGTGAGGCGCCGTTTCTTCAACCTCTTGCTCCATTTCGCTTCGTCCCCTCTCTCTGTCTGTCTCTCTGGGTTTTACAGTCAAATTTTCACCATAATCATCGCCCCAAACTCTGATTCTTCACGGAATCTTATTTCCCTACGATTTCTCTTAGAGCGTCTTCAGGTTCTGGAAACCGCAAGGACAACGGCGAAGATTGAAAGTCAAGCGCGATAAAAAATTTTTTATCTGTCGCTAGAGTGAAATGATGGGACTCTGATTCCCATTTTCCCGTATGAGGTTTGTATTGCGATTATCATCCTCTCTACCTCTCCCTTTCGCTCTCCACTCACTCGCTCAATTTTGCTGCGGAAATTCTATTTTGAGGTGTTCTTCGGATTTGTGTATTGAGTATTGACACTGCCTTCGTTTCTCTCCTTCTGATTGCGATGTTTGGGTGTTGTCTTAGGGTTTTGGGTAGCAATTAATGGCCCTCTATCAAAGAAATTAATGGTAGCTTTATTTTTTATTTGCTTCATGTTCAAGTCAAGTATCTCTTCTCTATTAGCCGTTTCGAGCTAGACGAGACTTCATACTCCTAATGTCTAATCAAATCCTCATGACCTCAACATATTGATTACTACTACTCCTCAGAGACCTCTATTTACTTTTTCTTCCATTTGATTTTAGAGGTAGAGTGCTTTTTACTAGTTGGTTCCATTGAACTGAGTATGTTTGACTAAGATATATGGATTCTGAATCATTTCGGATCTAGATTCTTTTTATTATGTGTTGCCACGAACTGGAATCGATACCACATGCCTCCAATCCATTTTTTTCCCTGTTCAGTGTTACTATGGCTTCAGATTTTCGTTTGTTTTTTCTTTAGGCTCGACATCTTGCACATATTACTGTAGGATTCTGGAATCTTTGGTGGGTATTAAGCATTAGGTGGCTTTAAAACTGTTTACCGGTGGTATTTTTTCTGATAAATTGTGCCCAATTTGTTCTTGATCATTGAGGATAGTTTATTGGGATGATGATTTTTTTTTTCATCTGGTCAATATAGGTTATGTTTGGATGACAGAGACATTTTGACTTTCTCTTACAATGAGTACACGAAGAAATGGCATTTCCAAGCATCAGCGAGCTGAGAAATATAGTGGTGAAGGGCCTAACTGGATCCTAATTGCAGGAGGTGCCTTGTTGAGCACATTGTCCATTCGCTTTGGGTACAAGCTTAAGCAGTCGCTTGATTTGAAACCTCAATCGAATGGCTCTGCTGGATTAAATGGTACTTTCTTGATTGCTGTGTTGCTTACCATGTTTTGTAATTTGGTTCTATAGTTCTTATCTCTTAATGAAATGTTTATTGTGCAGCCAATGGAACATCTGAGAGGCAAAAATCTGTAGGTTGTTGCTTGCACTCCACCACACCTTCATGTGCACATAATAATGATTTTTGTTGCTTCCGCTCCAGTCCAGGTGTGGCTTTGTAAATTTCTGTTTTATAGTATTATAATATTTGTTCAAGCTACTAAACAAACATGATATGCTAGTGTCTTGGGCCTCGCCTTATCTCTAACTAGGTTTTAATTCATCAACATGTGAAGTGAAAACAACGCGTGAAATATAGTAAAATCCTCACTGGAATAATGTGTTGATGTTTCTGCAAAGTTGTAGCCTCTATGCTCTTGCCTAATGATGTCTTTGAAGGCCAGTTGGAGAACATATATTTAATGTGCATCAATGAGGTTGGCAACTAGGGAATCCAATGATGGTTGTGCTGTCTGAATGCTTATCATTGTTGCAAGATTTGTAATTTTCAAGAATTTGAAGGATAGTTTCAAGATTTGTTCTGTGATATCTGGAACTGAATTCTGCTTTCTCTTTGAAAAATCTCTGAATACCGCTCCTCGATCCATGTAGTTCAGAACAGGTCAAGTCTTTGTAGGGATCTTATCAGACTTTACCTTTTCTTTTTCATAGGAACTGAGAAAGTGGAGGGAAAAGAGGTGACAAACGAGGAAATGGTTTCCGCATCTGATACTTCACTGCCCCTTGTGACGATTCCTGCTCCATCATATAGCAAAGAGAACGGAGTCATGTGGTCATCTTCTCCTGATCGCCTGGAACTGCCTCCGAAACCATACAATCACCATTCGACCTGTTCCGATTCTCCTTGCGTATCTGAAACAAGCTCAGACATCTTTAGCAAACGAGAAGTAATACAGAAACTGAGGCAACAGCTAAAGAGACGTGACGACATGATAGTTGAAATGCAAGAACAGATTGTAGAGCTGCAAAATTCGTATAACGCACAGATGGCACACTCTAGTCATCTGCAGGCACAGCTAGACGCGATGAACAGAGATCTGTTTGAATCAGAAAGAGAAGTTCAGAGACTAAGAAAGGCGATAGCTGATCACAGTGTGGGATGTGCGGATAGCAATGGCAAGACATCTCCTGTTGCACCTTGGAGTAATGGGTTTATGGACAGCGAAAACAACTATGAGTCAGCGGAAAAGGGATCGAAAGATGGAGAAAGAATAGAGATGTTGAGAAAAGAAGTGGGTGAGCTCAAAGAGGTGATTGATGGAAAAGAGTATCTGCTTAGGAGCTACAAGGAGCAGAAGATTGAGCTTTCACAGAAGGTCAAAGAGTTGCAGCAGAGATTGGATTCACAGCTTCCAAACATATTGTAGATTAAGAGTTAGGGCATTGTGCATTCTTGCTTTTCTTTTTTAATTTGGTTTTGGTATTTTTCGGGTTCTTTTTCCTTTTTCGAGAAAATGAATCTATGTCCTAAGATCTTTGGAGTCTCTCGCTCTGGAGATTGAGATTTTTCAGGTTCATTTCTAGCTTCAGCTTTGGTTTTCAAATATCTTGAATTCTGTTTTTGTGTCTCATCTCTCTCTTTTGATGTTTGGTGTAAAGGAAAGTAGTAGTTGAAGAGTTTGCCGCGGGAACACAGTTTGGTGATTCCTTTCCTTGTGTTATCCTCTATAAATGGTAATTAAAATGAGTGGTACAAAAGAAGTAATGAAACTAATTAACCTTTTGTAAGGATTAGCAAATTGTTAGTGTCTAATGCCAAACATATGGCCCCAAGTTTGACAAACAAATATTGGAATATAAAGACCCCTTGAATCCTTCGAACACCTTTTCAAGGTTTAGCAAAGTTTGTAGCTTTTGTAATCTGAGACAAGAGAGAATTGTTAAAAACACAGGTTCCAGAAATAAGATTTATATAAATAGGCATATCATTTTATTTTAGTAGTGGGATTTTTAAAAAATAAAGAGATAGAGAAGGAATTGTCGGCATGCTCTCATTCTGAAATTTTAGTTTGGAATAGTCAAATAAGAGAGACATTGTAAAATTAGAATATAGTAATTCTTATGATACTAATCCTTAATATACACGATTAGAGAGAGACTAGTTGATATTATTACTTATTAGTATTAAATAAATAAAAAGAAGCGTAGAAAGTCATGTTATCCTCTCGGCCGTCTCTCTGAGGTTGAAGAAACCATTATTTCTGGTCTTCCTTCATCCTCTCTCGCTTTAGGATGGAGGTGTGAGAGCTTCTTCTTCTTCATCCCCTCTTTATCCAATAAGACGAAAGAGAAACACCCTTTACTGTTTATATATACCCATGGCCCTTTCTCTCCTCTCTCCAATTCCTCCCTCTGCCTCTCTTTCCTCCTTCACTCTCTCCGCCTTTTCCGCTGCTAACAATGCCTCCTCCTCTTCCTCCTCTCTCTCCCCTATTTACTCTTTATATCACCAGCCCAAAGGAACCCTTGGAAGCAGCAGAACCGCGACCTCAGTTTTCGGCGGTTTCAGAGGCTCGGGGAGCTTGAGGATTGATTCCATGGCGGAAAAGAGGAATTTAGGTCTCATGGTTCCTAGGAATGGTGGCGGCGGCGGAGGAGAATTGGATGATATGGATGAAGGCGAAATCGAGAGAATTGGAGATCAAGACGAAGATGACGAGGAATTGATTGAAGGCCATCCTATCTCCTCTTCTTCCCCTGAGAGATGGGATGTTTTGGGTCTCGGCCAAGCCATGGTGAGCTTCTGTTTCCGATGAATCATTCAAGCACAATACATTTTCTTAGCTCTATCGAAGTAGCTATAGGCTCTTCTTATATCCCCTGAAGCCAAATTGAAAACTTGTGCGTAAAAACTGTGAATCTACATGCTAAAATGCTTACTTGCTTATTCCATTAGACAAAAATTATGCAGCACTCATGCCTTGCCTTCAATCTCATACCATCTCCTCAGATTCGATGTAGCCATTGTCTGTCTTCTCATTGGACTTGAGTTTTACCTCTTTACCTGAAGATGTCTGTTATGTTTTAGGTAGATTTCTCTGGAGTTGTGGATGATGGGTTTCTAAAGAAGCTAGACTTAGAAAAGGGAACGAGGAAGCTGATAAATCACGAGGAGAGGGGTAAAGTATTACAAGCAATGGATGGTTGCAGCTACAAGGCAGCAGCTGGAGGGTCGTTGTCGAACACTCTCGTTGCTCTGGCAAGATTAGGTTGTCGTTCCATCAGTGACCGTCCTTTGAATGTGGCTATGGCTGGCAGTATTGCGGGTGACCCTTTGGGTAGCTTTTACAGGTACACAACTTCTCTTTTATACATATTTTAGAGAAAGGTTTGAGGTTATCTTCATTGTTTGAGGTTAGGATTATGTTATCTTAGAGAAAGGTTTCTATGCCAGACTAGACTAACATTCCACCGACTGGTTTGTTCATTTTTGTAACCTGGATGAGTGGTTGATCTATGTCTATCATTGAATGAACTAGGCTACAGTTTGTTGAAATTTTGTCTTGATTTAGTTTTTATGATTTACATGGTTTGGATTGATTTACTCACGAGGGCAGTCCATGTTTATGTTCTATAGGACTAAACTACGTCGAGCGAATGTAAATTTTCTTTCTGCTCCGATCAAGGATGGAACAACCGGAACAGTGATCGTTCTCACAACTCCTGATGCACAACGTACTATGCTTGCGTATCAGGTAGGATTTCTGATATCACCAAAATGATGTTGCTATGTATAGATGTGATTTTTCTTATATAGAGAAGCAGAATTTGAATTTTGAACTGTCTCATAGCGTAGTGGTTATGGATTAATGATTGAAGGATTTGCCTTTTTACTTCCACAAGCGTCGTTCAAATTTAATTTTTGAAGTAGGTGCTATTTTTTCTCATGCGTTTAGTGGTAGGATAGATTCCCTGCATGAAACGACCAAATTGAGATGAGCCTAAACTGCTGAACGCATGTGGTAGAAATGTTAATTCAGAAAATGTTTTTTGTTAGTTTGACTGTAACCAGTAAATAACAAACCCAATTTTTTTATGTATAATTTTCAGGGAACATCTTCTGTGGTTAATTATGATTCTTGTTTGGCTAGTTTGATATCCAAGACAAATGTATTTGTTGTGGAAGGCTATTTGTTTGAGCTTCCTGATACTATAAGGACCATAACAAAAGCCTGCGAAGAAGCCCACAGAAATGGAGCACTTGTTGCTGTGACGGCATCAGATGTGTCTTGCATAGAGAGGCATTATGATGATTTCTGGTGCGTTTTTTTGCTCCTTTTGCTTTAATCCATTCTTGCTTCTATTTGCTTTTTAGTCAGGTGTTTTCCAAAAAGAGAGTGATTAGCTTTTGTAGCTTTTGTTAGTCAAAGAAGCTTTGATGCTTCAGGTTGCGAATGTCTTAACCTGAAACACCAAAACTACAGTAGAATCTTTGATAATGATAATACTCGTTTGTTTTGTGTTGATTACAGGGACATTGTGGGCAACTACGCGGATATTATATTTGCGAACAGCGATGAAGCAAGAGCGTTTTGTCACTTCTCGGCAGAGGAAAGCCCAATATCAGCGACAAGGTACTTGAGCCACTTTGTTCCGTTTGTTTCGGTGACGGATGGGATCAACGGGTCTTACATTGGAGTAAAAGGAGAGGCCATATACATTCCTCCGTCCCCGTGCGTGCCAGTTGACACGTGCGGAGCTGGAGATGCATACGCTTCAGGGATCTTATACGGTATCTTGAGAGGCGTCACTGACTTGAAGGGAATGGGAGATTTGGCTGCTACGATTGCAGCCACTGTGGTGGGTCAACAAGGAACCAGGCTTAGGGTTCAGGACGCGGTTGAGCTGGCTCGGTCACATGACTTCCGTCTCAACAGCTCTGGTGTTCGAACCGATGTTGGGTCTTGATCAAAAAAGATCTATGTAGCTTTGTCATTTTAGCTTTTGATTGATTCTTTGTTTCATCATGTAGTAGTGCTTTTGCAGCTTGACTTGTATTCTCTCTTTCACTGGAAATATTTGTATGTAACATTCTAAGTATATAGCCTCTTTCTCACTATATATATGAAGAATGCAAGTGTTTCCAACAGAGTTTTGAATGATTTGATGGATCTGATGATATAAACCTTTGCAGAAACTATTAGTTAATGAGCTTTGTGAAAATGCAGTGTGTAATCAGTCCCATGAGCCTTAACAGTGTCATTACAAAGCTCGTAAACTTGATTTAAGACAGATTTGGCATAGCGCATTTTTTGATCATCGGATCTGCAGCAACGATCAGCAAAACCCAGAAGACCGAGCGAGGAAGATGAAATCTGTGTGGAAAATTTTGGGAAAAAAAAATTTGGACCATTTCTCGATTTGTGCGTGTCATCCTTGCGCAGGGGCCATGCTAATCTTCTCTGTATCGTTCCAATTTTATCGGATGTCCCCGAAGGGACAATCACATCTTCGACTCTAACGCTATATAAACACAGCTGATTCTAACTACATAAGCGATGTGGGACAAATGCTATTATTCGTTTTGGTTTAAAATTTAAATGGGCCTATATAATAAGGGCTTCTCTTTATGGGCCTATATAACAACAGAACGATGTGAGATTTTTGACATCCATATCTGATTTATGATTTTTTTATGAGCCTCTTAAGAGTCGAATATTAGTCAAAGACATGGCTCGACTGATTTTTTTTTTTTTTTTTTTTTTTTTTTTTTTTTTGAACTTTTCGACTGATTTTCTTTAACAATCAAAAGTTCAAAACCTTACGCATCAATTAGTATTTAAGATTCCATATCTCTTCACAATACACATCTAACTCGTAGAATTAGTTTCGTCACATTATTTTCTAATCATGGTTTCAAAGTTTCAATGAGTTCACCAAAAGAACAAGGAAGACTACTCGACAACGAAAGAATTCAGAAATGTCTCTTTTTGATAAGTAGTAGTATTAGATTGTTCTGATTTCTGAATTTGAGGGAGCCATTATACAAACAAATGCAAGATTTATCACTTAAGCGAATAATTAAAAGGATCCAATTCCAAAAAAACGATAATAAATGCTTCGTGAATTGGAAACTTTAACAATATTTTTCATTAAACCATCAACAGCTGAATCGACAATTTGATTACACTGGGAAAGAGAAATCTCATCCAAGAGACGTTAAAGTAAACGAAGAAAACTTTAACGAACAACAATTTGACGTGCGATCTAAGTTCCAAATTATAATGATTAAGGATAATTGTAGTTATGACTTTGATTTAATTTGATTGTTACTCACTTCATTTCTTTGTGTACTCGCAAAAAGTATAGATTAGGTGCAATCGAAAGCAACACACCCATGATGACAGGAAACTAATGTTAAACTATAGTACCATTCATAAATCATAACATTAATTTTTTTCAACACTTCAACACACGAATTTGGAAAGTATAGTAATGTTTACTAAAATGAAACAGTTCAAGTATTTAGTGTTCAATTATAATGTTTTTATCTCTAAAAAAACATGATTAACGAAGAGAATTCTCTTCCCCTACACAAATGTCGACATAACAAACTGAACCAAGGATATTTAACCTGTCATTGTTTACAAATTTTCACCTATAATTAGCTGTTATATACTGTATTTAATTTTATTTTGGTAGCAAGTTAGCTATTATTGTTTGACCTCTAGAAAAGTTGTATTATAATCAACTAGAGGACATTAGATCTATCCAAACTGAACCTGTAGAAAGTGAATTTGAAGACTGAACCTAAACTGATCTGAAATATTAGTTTGGTATAAAAATCTGAAACAAAGATAAATGACCTAGAACTTTGAAACAAAACTAGGATTAACTGAAACATTTGTCAAATTTATAAGAGAAATGGTGAGAAATAAACTTTGAACCAAACCAGAATCACTAAACAAAAACGATCCACCAAATCTTAACAAAAAACAGTCTACACGTACAGCCTAAATCGCATCAATATCATATTCACAAGTTATGAAGATCCTCAATAAGGTAAAAAAAGAAAGTGTTGATTCGAGAATAATAAAGAGTTGTATAGTATGGTTGAATTATTGTAAAATAAAGAAATGATTGAAAGGCACATGCAGTCCACATGACCCAAATAGATCTTAAGATTATTATTGTGTAAATCAGATCGTTGCAGATTTGAGAGTTCCTTCTCTGCCCACATTATGAGCAACGTCCATTCATATTTTTGGATGGTCCACACACTCACACCCAACTTTATTATTGATTATTCATTCCCTTTAATACAGGCAATGCAAAACTTTAAACATGGTCATTTCTGTAATTTCAGATCCCACGTAGTATTTTTTTTTTTTTTCTCTTTTCTTTTGTTATCTTTTTAATTGAAAAAATTAAACCGGGAAAATGAAAGAAAAAGACGAGAGAGAGAGAGAAAGAGGGTGACCACTCTGGTAACACCATAACCCCATTACCAATTATTTTCTACTCTCTTTTGTTTTCGCATTTATATATTTACTAAGAAGAAAAAAAAAAAGAATTGTTTTTGCTAAAAAAGTTCAAGACTTTGTGGAGAAGCAATCCGACTCAGTGAAGAAGAGACCAGAATCGATCTGGGTTTCTGTTTACTCTCCCCCATTGCAATGCCGGAGATTTAGCAGCCAACATTTCTCGGCTCTTTTGCTTCTTTATTATTATTATTTCTTTTTTTTTCCGATTTCTTCTGCTCTTTCGCCTTTTCTGGGTTTCCAATTCTGAAGGTGTTCTTCTGCGGCAACAATGGCTTCCAGAACCAAGTGGGATTTTTTTTCCTCCTTTTTTTTTTCTTTTGTTTCTTCATTGTAGAAACCAAACTAGTTTAACTTTGACGACAATTGGATCTGAGATTCTGTCTTCTGTTTTCTTTGTCGGAAATGTAGTTTTGTTTGTTAGATTCTATTTGTGGGTCACTTTCTCTGGGAAACTTTGTTTTTTCTTTTTTTCTTCAGAACATATTCTCAGTGATCTGTTCTCTTTGGTTGCATTAATCTTGTTACTGTAGTTTTATCTGAATTTTTCCTGCTTCTTTTTCCAAAATTTGGTTTGGATCTTGCAGAAAGCTAGAGTCACTTGTAGACTTATTTGTCTCTTTATGTTTTTTCACTTTGTCAGATCATTCGATGTACTATGGGAAAAATGTGTTTTTAGATATAACTGAAGTGCTTATTGATACTTAGATCTCTGAGCTTGTATATGGAGTTTAGATCTATAGATCAATGTTTGTTTATTTGCTGTCCATTGATGTGATTGTGACAATTGTACTTTTTTAACTTTCTGATGATGTAGAACTGGTTTAATGGAGACTCCTCGTAGCAAACCGTCGCCGCCAACACCGAGAGTGACTAAACCAACAGGGACTAAATCCGATGGCAGTTCACCATCCCCTGTGCACAGCACTCGTCTTTCACTAGACCGTTCGCCACAATCCGTTAACTCCAAGCCTTCTCCTGATCGTCGTACTGCGAGAGTTCCTACTCCTCCCGAGGCAAGTAACTTGAAGCTTCTCTTTTGTCTTGATTTAACTTTGAAAGGCTATTTCACTGATCATCATTATTAAAGAAAAAACAAATTTTTGGCATTTCAGAAATCTCAGTCACGGTTAGGGAAGGGATCTGAGCTACAGGCTCAGCTGAATCAGATCCAGGAGGATTTGAGGAAAGCTAACGAGCAAATAGCTGTGCTCAAGAGAGATAAAGCTAAAGCTCTTGATGACCTTAAAGGAACCGAGAAGCTGAACAAAGAAGCCAATGAGAAACTCAGAGAGGCATTGGCAGCTCAGCAGCGCGCTGAGGAGAGTTCCGAGATTGAGAAATTCCGAGCTGTTGAACTGGAGCAGGCGGGAATCGAAGAGGTTCACAAAAAGGAAAGCTCTTGGAAGAAAGAGGTTGAGTCTGTTAGAAGCCAGCACGCTTTGGACATCTCAGCTCTTCTCTCTACCACGGAGGAGCTCCACAGGATTAAGCAAGAACTGGCTATGACTGCTGACGCTAAGAACAAGGCGCTGAGTCATGCTGAGGAAGCGACGAAGATTGCTGAAATTCAGGCTGAGAAGGCGGAGGTTCTGTCTTCTGAGTTAAGCCAGTTTAAGGCATTGCTTGGCTCAGAGGAACAGAAGAAAGCTATTGAAGGCGATGAGGTTGTCTCTAAACTGAACTCCGAAATCGAGATGCTGAGAGGGAAACTTGAGAAAGTTAGCATCGTCGAGAGTACGGTGAAGGATCAGGAAGCGTCCATTGAACAGCTCCACATTGATCTCGAAGCTGCGAAAATGGTTGAATCCTGTGCTAATAGCTTAGCAGCTGAGTTGAAGAAGGAGGTTGATCAACTTGAAAAACAAGTTGAAGAATCAAATAAGTTGAAGATATCTGCTTCAGAATCTTTAAATTCAGCTATGAAGCAGCTGGAGGGAAAAAGTCAGGCGCTTCATGAGGCAGAGTTGGATATTGCTGCGTTGAAAGAAAAGGTTGAGTTGCTGGTGACGACTATTGGAAGGCAGGAAAAAGATCTTGAGGAATCCCAGCGCCAGGTTTGCATTTCAAAAGAAGAAACTTGTAAGCTTGAAAAGCTTGTTGAGTCCATAAAATCTGAACTTGAAACCGCCGAAGAAGAAAAGCTTAGGGCTTTGCAGAATGAAAAGACGGCAACATCACATATTGAGAGCCTGTTGAATGAAAAGACGGAACTTGCGACAGAGTTGGAGAACCGTAAGAAGGAAGAAGAGAAAAGCAAGAAAGCTATGGAAAGCTTAACTTTGGATTTGCAGGAAGTATCTATGGAAGCAATGGAAGCTAAGGAGAAGCTCTTGACATGTCAAGCGAAGCTTGAACATTGTGAAACCCAGATTGAAAGTTTGAAGTTGGCTGCGAAAGAGACAAATGAGAAGTATGAAAAGATGCTTGAAGATGCAAAAAGCGAAATTGATAGCCTGAAAAGTAGTTTAGAAAACACTCGGAATGAGATTGTCAATTCGAAGACTGAGTGGGAACAGCGAGAACTTCATTTGCTGGGTTGTGTGAAGAATTCGGAAGATGAAAAGTTGTCTGTGCAGGGAGAACTTAGCAAGGTGGAGAACTTGCTTAATCTTAAGGAAATTGAGGCGCAAGAAGCAAAAGAAGAAGAAGCCAATACTAAAAAGAATCTTAAGCAACTCGAGGAGGAGAATAAGGATCTTCAGGAAAGAGTTGGAGAAGCGAAAGCTGAAGGCATGAAACTGAAAGAAAGCTTGTCGGAGAAAGAAGACGAGCTAAAGAACGCTGCTGCTGAAAACAGAAAACTCAGAGAAACAGAGGTTTCTTCTCTCGAGAAAATCAATGAGTTGTCAAAGGTGAATGAGAGCTTGGTGGAGAAAGAAACAAAACTGCAGAGCATTATTGTAGAAGCGGTTGAGCTCAGAGGGAGGGAAACTGATTATCTCAAGAAGATTGAAGAGTTGTCAGCGGCAAATGAGAGCTTGGCTGACAAAGAAACCAAACTGTTGAGCATTGTTGAAGAAGCTGAGGAGCTTAGAAAAAGGGAGATTGCTTCTCTGGAGAAGATTAAAGAGTTGTCTGCAGTGAATGAGAGATTGGTTGATAAAGAAACCAAATTGCAGATCACTATTCAAGAACTTGAGGTGCTGGAAGAAAGGGAGGCTGTATATATCAAGAAGATCGAGGAGCTGTCATTGTCGAATGAAAGCTTAGTTGAGAAAGAAGCCAAACTGGAGTCCGTTGTTCAGGACAACGAAGAGTTAAGAGAAAGGGAGTCTTCTTATCTTAAGAAGATTGAAGAGTTGTCAAAGGTACATGAAATCTTGGCTGATAGAGAAACCAAACTCCACAGCTCTACTCAAGACAATGAAGAGCTTAGAGAAAGGGAGGCTGCCTATCTCAAGAAAATTGAAGAGTTAGCGAAGCTGCAAGAAAGTCTTCTCGATAAAGAAAATGAGCTCGATGGTATGGTTCTTGAGATTGAGGACCTTAAGGCCAAGGACTCTCTAGCCCAAAAGAAGATTGAAGAGCTATCAACTCTAAATGAAAGCCTGCTCGTGAAAGAGAGCGAGTTAAAGGATGTTGTTTGCGAAAATGAGGAGCTCAAATCCAAAGAGGCTTCATCTCTTAAGACAATAGAGGAGTTGTCCGATCTTAAACAAAGTCTGGTTGATAAAGAGAATGAGCTGAAGACTGCAATTGTCGAAAATGAGAAGCTCAAGGCCGAAGCTGCCTCGTCGGTTCAGAAGATTGAAGAGTTGACAAACCTTAAACAGAGTTTACTTGATAAAGAGAAGGAGTTGCAGGGAGTTTTCAATGAAAACGAGGGGCTTAAGGCCAAGGAAGTATCATCTTTGAAGAAGATAGATGAGCTGTTACATCTCGAGCAGAGTTGGATTGATAAGGGAAACGAGTTACAAAGAATTAATCAAGAAAATCAGGAGCTTAAGGTGCAGGAAGCTTCAGCGGCAAAGAAGATAGAGGAGTTGTCAAAGATGAAAGAGAGTTTACTTGACAAAGAAGCCGAGTTGCAGACAGTAGTTCATGATAACGTTGAGCTGAAGGCCAGGGAGGCTTCTGCGCTTAAGAAGATCGAAGAGCTATCAAAGTTGCTAGAAAAAGCTTCTTCTGCACAGGAGAAACCAGATGAAAACGAGAAGCATAGTGACATCGAAAAAGATTACGACGTACTCCCCAAAGCTGTGGGATCTTCAAAGGAAAATGGTTCAAGTAACCAAGAGGAGATGACTAGGACCGATCCTTCTCCCCACAGAACCGGAGAACAAAAAGTACAAGAAAGTCCAGTGGAAGCCATTGATAAACATTTGAAAGATGATGACATAGCAACCCATTGGTCAGCTCACAAAATGGAAGGCGTAGGAAAAGGAGACAAAGATAAAGACTCCATGGAAGGGGGATTCAAGACGTGGGAAGGCTACAGTATAGAAAAGAGAGAAGCCTCTTCAGAGAGAGAGACAGAGCATGACTTTGCTGAAGAGGAAGAGGAATCTAAAGCAGAAGGCAGTGAAAACTTCGATCAGTTAAGCAATGGCTTGCCTTCAGCAGAACACACGGAGGATTCTGGAAGTCTGCTATCAAAGGACCAACAGCAGAAGAAGAAGAAGCCTTTGCTCAAAAAGTTTGGAAATTTGCTGAAAAAGAAGAGTACAAGCAGCAGCAGCAGCCATAAATAGAGGAAGAAGATGTGTCTATTGCAACTCTAGTACCATATCTATTGCAACTGAACATTCATTTGGTTGATTTGTCTCAAATCTTTTTAAGAGTATAGCTTCAAATTCAATTTAAGGTGTTTGATCTCTGCTTTCTCAAGATCTCATTAATTCTTCAGTGTTACTTCAAACTGAGATCTAATTGACTGAATTGTATTAAGCAACAAAAGACATACACAGAAACAAACCAAGAGTCTTTGACATGAAAGGATAGAGAGCAGCGTGCAGAGAGAAAGATGACAGAGAGAGTCACACAGTGAAAAGACGATGCATTTGAGGTTTTTTTTTAAAGCATCAGGATCATGGATACATTCCTTAAGCAGTTGTGTAGCCTTGTGGAGATGTATTGTTCAATACGACGACGCTTCTTTCGACTTGCGTTTTCTTCTTCCTCCTCGTCGATCACTTTGGGTCGCCTCATCTGAAAGAAGAAGAACATGGAGGAGATTCGCCTACGCTCCAACAAAGACGACGCTGAGTTCTAGGTCACCACTGATGCAGTTACCGAGTCACTGGTTGTGCATCAGCGATGAAACAAGATCTGGTCTTGGTTGATTTTCCATAAAATAGTTTTTTCTTTTATCTCTCCTCTGCTGGAAAAGTGGTAACTGTGAAAAGGAGGTATCATGGCTTTGTCCGATAAAAGAATGGATGATCTCGCAATCAAGTACAGTGAAGTGGAAGAGAGAGAGCGACTTCCCCCCCCCCCTCGAAAGACTCGACCTTTTTTGTTTTTTTTTGGTTTAATACAGTTACAAACTATTGTAATCAAAATTTTGAATATTTTTCAAATGAACATATTATAGTACTTACCAAAAGAAAGAGCGTGTCGGGAAAATATAGATCTTTCACTTAAACAAACAAAGCCATGAGTCATGACCATTGAACTAGAATGTTTGGTATTTATACATTGAGTGAGAGTCACGTCATTTCTTCTAGCATTATTAATCAGGGTCATATATATAAAAACGTGATTCAAAAGGAAAGGGATCTAGAGAAGACCTTCTTCACAGCTTTCCATGTGAAGGAAGAGCTTCTAATGAGTGACAAAGGAGGTCTCATCTTGAATCTCGGAGACGACGAAGAGTACGTATAATACGCCGATGATGATTTATCTGAATCAAATGAAGTTTTAGTAGTGTCTTCTTCTTCTTCTTCTTCCACGACGTTGGAATCATTAATGCTCTCTTTAATATTGTTATTCTCCTCTACATTCCAAAAACGAGCTTCTTTACGCTTCCTTTTCACCATCGCCAACACATCAAGCTTGTTGCATATTCCCCAAACCGTCACCTTCTGGTTGTAGTAGTCTATTTTCACTGAATATATGCCTGTTTTTTCGTTACAAATAACAACAATATAAGCATTTATGTAATATGCGTTTACATTACATGATGAAATCATTAACAAATATATATGAAGTTTGGATTCTAGGATTAGTTAAAGCTATTGGTTACCTTTGAGATGAGAAAGAGCCTTCTTGATTTTCTTCTCGCAACCGTATGAATACAAAGGCACCATCATTTCTACGTACTGTGCTTCCACCTGGTTGTATGCCGGCACGATTTGCAGATCACTCATTATAGCTTATATGTATTACAATAGATTTTCAATTTCTAACTCAAACCATGCACACTTAAACTTTGCTATACAGCATAGATCAGAGAGATCCACCTATATATATGAGTATGTGTGTATATATATATTGACGACAGTAATTGGGTTAGATCGACGCAGAATGAATCACGAGGTGCATGTTGTTGATGTCGTCATGTTGTAAGCTCTTTAAGATCTAATGACTTGGATTTAGTGTAAAGTGTGTCACCACTTTTTTTCTTTGTTAAACAGCTTTCACCAAAAATGCCTTTCTTTGGACTTTGGATCCCATGTTACATGTTCCCTTTTTCTTTATCCTCTCCACAAAAGAAATTTGATGACTCAGGCAGAAACCATAATTATAACTTGACGTCGGTATCTTAAAGTTGAACGGCGCCGATCTTGATGACTCAGGCACAAGCCCCACCATGTGAAATCCATTATAAACTTCATGTTTCCATGCATTCTAAATTTAAATCAGGACTGGCACACAGCATAAACTAATGAAACTACCGATTAGGATCTATATGATACAATTGGAGTTGGAGATATAATTAAAAGTTGTGACTATAAAAGTTTAATGAATAGTTTTGCAGAAAATAATGTAACGAATCATAGTTCAACAATAAGATGTTATTTCACTAATTTTTTCAATGCCCAAGCTAAGTCACGTTAGTTTCGGTTGTTTAGTTGTAACATTTGATTACTTGTTTGGGTTCTACTTGCTCGATAGAAGGATTTTAGATTCAGCTAAGGACTTTACTCGTATTGTATTCCGTTGCTGAGACATTTGGTTTGCAATTTGTAGAACATTGGGATTGATTGATTCTTTGGTTAGAATAGCTTTCAATTTTTTTTTGCACGAAAAAATCACCTTTTTTCTTCTAAATTTGCATAGGATATTTGCATATGATATCTCAAAACGTTATACCAATACTGTTTTTAAAATATGTATAGTTTAAGTCAGCGATAATATGCAATTTCCATATAAACACATGAAACGTTTTATAGAATTAATATTTGAGAACTCATCATTCAACCAGCATGCTTAATTTAATCGTTTCTTCTTAAATTTTCCTTATGGTTTGGGTTGAATTAATAAACTGGAGGATGGTTCATAACTTAAAGATTCAAGACTCAAAACATAAAGACATGAGCATCAAAATCATAAAAGAACTTTTAGAGAGTGTAGCGAAACTAAAATTTTAAAGAATTTGAAAATATTTCAGTTTTAATGAAATTTTAGATGGTTTTATGTAGATTATAGATGTTGATATGATTTGATATTAAAATTATATGAAATTCCACCTAAAATAATGGAATTTGATTTTTTATATTTTTAACTATCAAACTCCAAAAAATCATTTAAAATTATTCAATATTTTGTAAAATCTATTATTCAAAATATTTCTAATAATAGTAGATTTTATTTGGTTTTTACAAAATTTTAACTGAATAATATGAATATTAAAGTGATTTTAATTAGTTTTACATAAATTTCATGTTCAATAAAATAGATTTTGGTAAGATATTTAAAAAATATTATTTGAATAACATAAAATTTTAAAATAATTATAAAATCTTCTAAAATTTAATTTCAGTGTAATATACTTGAGTTAGTTTGATATTTCTCAAACTTCTACAACTGTTATTGATAACAGGTATCGAATCTGAATGGGCTGGCCTTGAGCCCAATAGTAATAGTCATTGTTGAGGCCCATACTCATTTTCCTGGTTTCTCTCCCGATCGCGTGTGAGGTTTTGTTCTTTGTTCATAGTTTGGGGTTTTTTCATTTTCTGATATCACAATGATGAACCATCTTGTCCGTAGAAGCTCCGTCGGCGTTGGGTACCTCCGGCGATCTTCTCTCGCCTCTCCATCTCCGATATTCTCCGCAGCAACCGTCCGCCAGTTTACCTCTGCCGGCTATCCTTCCAACAGGTTTCAACTTAGGAATTCGTTTACTCTGTGTGATACTTCGATCGATGTTGATGCATTTGGTTTTAACTTCAGATTGATTCTTCGGTTGATTTATGGATGTTCGGTGAATGTCATGTAGCTTCCAGTTAACGCCGCCGGTGAACTGGGGAGTCCGGATAGTACCTGAGAAGAAGGCGTTTGTGATTGAGCGATTCGGTAAATTCGCCAAGACTTTGCCGTCGGGGATTCACTTCCTCATCCCGTTCGTGGATCGCATTGCTTATGTTCATTCTCTCAAGGAAGAAGCAATCCCGATTCCTAATCAGACTGCGATTACAAAAGACAACGTTAGTATCCACATCGATGGCGTTCTCTATGTCAAGGTCATCTTCTTCTCCTTCACCAATCCATTTCCTCGTGATTGATTTGTTTTCGATTTTGATTTCCTTCTTTGTGATTCTCTACTGATTTTTTCTTATCGATCTGTTATTTTTTTTTTTTGGCAGATAGTGGATGCTAAATTAGCTTCTTATGGCGTTGAGAGTCCTATCTATGCTGTTGTGCAGCTGGCTCAGACCACAATGCGTAGTGAGCTTGGTAAGATCACGCTTGATAAGACCTTCGAGGAAAGAGATACTCTGAACGAGAAGATAGTGGTTCGTTCCCTCTGCTTCTTTATCCATTGAAGAAGAAAACGTATCGTGGATGTTTAAGCTGGTTTTACATTCTTGCAGGAAGCCATCAATGTTGCTGCAAAGCATTGGGGTCTTCAGTGTCTTCGTTATGAGATAAGTGAGTTGTTTGGTGTTTGTTCTTTGCCAGTGATAGCTAAGTGTCTTTTTCTGCCTATTTCTAATTCATGTATCTCCAGGGGATATCATGCCCCCGCATGGTGTGAGGGTTGCTATGGAGATGCAAGCTGAAGCTGAGCGTAAAAAGAGAGCCCAGATTCTTGAGTCTGAAGGTAATTTTTTGCCTTCATATTCTGAGAGATTGAACAGTGATTGCTACAGCTCATACCGTTACTATTCTTGGCTAAAAGCTACTTACTATTCTTTTGGGTTTCTAATTTTGCATTTGGAACAAGAAGCATGCTTAACGTTTTTTGATCATTTGCTTTACTATATCTAACAGGAGAAAGGCAAGCCCATATCAATATTGCTGATGGTAAGAAAAGCTCTGTAATCTTGGCATCGGAAGCAGCAAAGATGGACCAGGTGAATCGAGCACAAGGTTAGTAAGCCATTAAGATCGAGAAACAGAATACATGAGAGTAACATGTGGTGTGTCCATTGTTAGATAGTTTCATTAGAAGAATTTTTTGTTCTCTTTTTTTATTCTTTCACTCATGCGCAACATGTTTACCATCTTCCTCTGTTTTTTTTTTTTTTTTTTATCTTATATTATCCTTTGATGATGCTCTTCAGGTGAAGCTGAAGCAATACTAGCTAGAGCACAAGCAACTGCTAGAGGCCTTGTCTTGTTATCTAAGTCTCTCAATGAAACTGGGGGAGTAGAGGTGAGTAAATGAGACCAAGAAGGGGAATGATGTTCAAAGTTTTGAGTTTAAGGAACTAGCTTGATTACTTAGTTCTTCGTAGTATTTACACAAAATGCTGATCGCATATTGCTTTGTCCTCTCTAGATAAAGGTTTCTGTATCTTCTTGGACTTGCCATATTGTGATGGTTTTAAGTCGTAGCTCTAATATGAATTGGTTTAGGCCAGTTTTTAATGCTGTCCGAATGTGTTCTTATGCTTCATCGCTGTACCATCTGCAGGCTGCAAGTATGAGAGTTGCAGAGCAATACATTCAAGCCTTTGGTAACATTGCCAAGGAGGTAAAACAAAACAATTCTCATATAATCTAAAACAAAACAATTCTCATATAATCTCTTGGCATTGCTCGGGCTTATCTAATGTTTCAGTGTTTTTTTCTTGTTGGGGGTTTAGAGTACGACAATGTTGCTTCCAAGCACTGCTTCAAATCCTGCTAGCATGATCGCACAAGCTTTAACAATGTACAAAAGCCTTGTCAACAAGGGTCCAAGCAGCGAGCAACAAGAAACAGCAGCAGTGGAAGGAGACTGGGAAGACACGGATGAGAAAGAAACATCAGAAGGCTCTAAAAACCGATCAGGCGACACAGAGAAACCACTGTTTTCTCTTCAGAGTCACACCAAGGAGCCATAGTGGGCCAGCCAAACCAAGAATGAAATAATTATTTGGGGCTGAGAAAACAGAGAGCCATCTTTCCAGCTTTTCAAATATGAGACACTATCCCCGTTTGAGCGGCGGGAATGTCATATCGTTTTGCAAATAGAAAACATATCTGAAACATCACATATGATTTGGTCTCTGAACTTTTTGAACTACGAAAGTCTGGTTATCTGTTGTGACTCATTGTTTTGTTATTCAGATCGGTTGTACTATTTGGGATCCAGGAAACGTTTGGGATTTTAACAGCGGGAAAAGGAACCATTTGTCCCTAAAACCGGACATAGAAGAATGGTGGAGAAAAAAAGGTTGTCCTATGGATAAATAGGTCGTGACAGAGTATTGAAGGTGTCCATGACTCATGAATCTGAAACTCACCTGAAATAGCGATCTCCTATATATAGCTCTGCAGAGGCCTCTCCTCCATCTGCTCAGCCTCCAATTATAAAATTAAGAATTTAGCTTTGTCTCGAGGAGTTCTCTTTTCTTCCCCCCATATCTATTTTCTTTGTTTTGCTTTGCTCCACAGCTATTCCCATTGTTATCAAAGCTAATCCTTTCAATTCAAAAGAAAACATGGGAGGCTGTGCGAGCAAACCTAAGGAATCTGACATCGTCGAAGGCTCTGTCCCGACAGACAATGTTGTTGTTGAGTCCAAGGATGTCACGACCGAGACAGATACCACATTAACTCAGGTTTTGTGAATCCCATTTGATCATTTCTTTTGGCTCTGTTCTATATGATGTGATCCTCTCTTTTTTTAATCATTGAAACACGATCATTTTAGCATGAATAGTCACTACAAATCCTTGATTGAAAAAACTCATATTAAGATGAAATTATTGTTGCTGATATGTTGATTCACAGGAGAAGAAGGAAGAGTCTAGCGAAGAGGTAAAGAAGGAAGAGTCTATCGAAGAGGTAAAGAAGGAAGAGTCTAGTGAAGAGGCAAAGAAGGAAGAGTCTAGCGAAGAGGCAAAGAAGGAAGAGTCTATCGAAGAGGTAAAGAAGGAAGAGTCTAGTGAAGAGGCAAAGAAGGAAGAGTCTAGCGAAGAGGCAAAGAAGGAAGGCGAGACAAAAGAGGAGGACCCCTTTGAGGAAACCAAGGCCGAGCCAGCTCCAGAAGCTGTGAAGGCAGATGAGAAAGCTCCTTCTGAGACTGAGCCACCAACACAAGAGACCGCACCTGTCAAAACCGACGACGCGCCTCTTGTGATTCTTTGATTTTTTCATTTCCAAATATCAAAACCATGTGTGTGCAAGTTTTACTCACCTTATGATTCCTATGTTCATCTCTGTTGTATCGTCAATGCCATGTACATTTTGTTGTTCCCGCCTCCAGTAAATTCTACGAGACTTTGATTACGAAAAATTATGATCCTCTCCACAACAATTGCAATCAGATTAAAGAAAGAAGAAGAAAAAATACAAACAGAAATGGGTTCAAAGTTTCATGTACTTATGTTTCTATGGTTCGGCAACTGGTCCTATGAGTATATGACTCTGTTCCGGCAACTTGCGAACAGATTGGCTGAGAAATGTCACACCCTCACATACTTTCTTCCTTCCCAAGAAAGTGCTGAACATCTCAATCTGTTTCCACACAACCTTGTCTTGAGCTCTGTCTCAAGAAAGTGCTGAACATCTCAATCTATTGTAGCAGTGTGTGATCAATAAGGTTAGATATAAAGCAAACTATCTTGAAATTGCTCTGTTTTCTAGCAACTTGAGAATAATGTTTTTCTTGGTTTTGTGGTTCAGCTCATGTGTTACTTACTATTAATCCTTTTGTTAATAAAAATATTTAGTTAAGATTCTCTTGTGAATTAACGATAGGATGGAGCGATTATATTCTAAGAAAAAAAGAGTTTCTCTCCATTATTGAACTAAAGGATTGAAAAAGACAAAGAGACGAAAGAGAGAGAAATACAGCAAAAGAAACTGAGAAGGAGGAAGAACTAAATGAGTTTTGCAAAAGGACTAAATCACATAGTAAAATCTTCAGTGGTACCACTTATCCAAGTTTCTCTCAACAGAATCAGGGCACCATATGATCAATCAAGCATTGTTGTGTGAGCAAAGCTTGTGGATCAACTGCACAACATCATCAGATGAATCAAGGAAATAGCTAGCCTTTGTGTGCGTTTTCCCAATAGCTACGGAGAAGTAATTCTCTCCATTTAGGTCAACAACTCTCGATGAGACCTTCTTGGGGAAGCCATTCCCTGTATCAGGAGACGACCTAGTTTTCTTGGTTAACTCGGGTTCAAAGAAGGTGTAAACGTCTTCGTCCTGTAACATACATCAACTCTTGTATCAAAATCCATAGGTATAGTTATATATATATGATAGGTATGTACAACCAATAAAGATGGTTACATAAGAAGCTTACTTTTCCCAAGAAACTACCAATGCATAAGACATAATCAATTGGTGTATTCATCGACTTATTGTGAAGTACTATTTCTCCGAGGATACGCTCCATTGCAGTTCCCTAAGGTAACAAAGAAAGTACAAATAATGAGAATTTCTTGCGTATGGATGATATGGAAACATTAGTATTAACTACCTTTGTTACACCAACAGCATGGACTTCAACAGAATGGCTTCCTCGAACAACATCCACTGTTGCATTAGAGATTGGTCCTGCCCACAAGTGTTGTAACATGTCTCTTGCTTGTGCTCTCCCGAATTCAGCATCTACAAATTAAGAAAGATCAAATGAAACAAAGATAAGTATTGGAAGGAAAACAGAACAAAAGGGCAAGTTGATGTTTTATATAGCTGCTACATGCGAGTCATCAAGAAAATGTACATAGCTAGTTCCATATACATATGTGTGTGTATAAAGCAATTCACCTGCATGTTGGTAATTCCATACAACTGAAGTCTCGCTTGTTTCGAAATATGATCCTGGAGTTCTTTCAGTGAAGTACTTGAAAACATGCTGTAGACAAAGCTAACATATCAGATTGATGATGGTAAAGTATGAAGTATCAAACTTGAGCTCTAAAATATACATGTACTAACCTTAACACCATCGATCCAATCCAGATTCATGTGTTCTGGCATTTTGGTCACCCACTCTCCACTTGTATGCCTTAGAAACATTCCATTTTCCGCGGCCAACCACATTCCATTGTAGTCTCCAAAGTTCTGGTTTTTAGGTACTAAATAAGTCCCACACACTTGTGAGAAAAAATAAGCAAATTTTAAAAGGAAGAGAGGAAATATATACTTGATCCAGTCTGCTTTTTTCACTTCTACTCAGGACAACTACAGTTGTTTTTGGATCACTGCATAGTACTTTGAGTCTTTCTTTTAGTTGTGGGTGAAGTTCAAGATTCATTCCGTCGCCTCTTCTGTCTTGGTTTGTATCCGGCATAGTGAGCGTTCCATAGAAACCCTGAACATTTTATACAGTTATAAAGATAACTGACCACAAGAATATGCATTGTACAAAAAAATCTTGAACACTTACAAGAATCAGCAGCCTATTCTTAGACTTGGAAAATTGTTGAACCACATCATGTTGTCGAAGTTCATTAGGGATTTCTCCAGTTCGTAGCTCCCCGTTAGTTGTAATCTCATTAAGTTTGCTGCACAAGTTTATTTTGTAAAAGTCGTCATCTAATAAAAGAAGAAAATCTGATCAATAAGATTTTAAGAGAAGTAATGTTTTTGGTTTGGACATACTTCATGAAATCATCTGCCCACTGTTGAGTAGAATGAGTTTTCACATACTGAAAATTGATTTGATGTTTTCTCTCCTTTTCTTCAGGTGACATGTTTAGAGCTTCTCCAATGGCAGTAGAAACCTCTTTGATGTTCCAAGGATTCACAAGAAGAGCTCCAGCACCAAGCGACTGTCCAGCACCTGCAAACTGTGAACCTCATACAAAAATAAATTACTTTTGAACATTATAGACATATTAGATTCGTGAATGTAGATTAACATCAGAACTATCTAAATCCAATTGTTACCTCGCTGAGAATGAGAACCCCTTTTTCTGCATTTTGGCAGGCAACAAATTCAGAACTCACAAGGTTCATCCCATCCCTCAAAGATGTTACAAGTAATACATCTGAAGAAAGAAAGAAAATAATCTGATTAGTTAGAGATCTACATAGACAATAAATTAGTCCTACTCTAATATAAGGAACACATGTCACTTTTTATACTGTCAATTGATTTTCAGATGAAACTCTAAATTTTTTTACATGGAAGCACATTCAGGTTGTCCACAGATGGGTGGGTATTTGATCTTGAGTTTGATTAAGATGAATGACAAAAAAAAACATTTGATTAATGTTACAAATCCCACATTGAATATGGTAATCCTAGTATATAAGAGACATAGACAATTCATTCATTATTGATTAGTTCTAAGATTGATTGAAACTCATGAGCTTTACCATCATCAAAATTATTTACAGAGTGTAACCAAATCATCACATATAGTATGAAAATTACCTGTGATGGCATAAAGTGCGCATAGTTGATTAAAGTCGATAGAACAATCCTGACATAGAAAGATAAAATATTTTATCAGAAAAACTATAAGACGATAGAAAAGGGTATAACTCGTGACAAGATAAAGGTGAGAAAATAACAAACCAGGTGAATTATTGGAACAGAAGAGATAGAACCAAAACGACCATTGATTCGTCCAACGAGTCCATGACATTGGTCTTTGATCTTTTGATCTGTAATAAGACATAGACACAATCCTATGAGTAATTGATTCATACGTATTATGGCTAAGGCCGAAGAAGAAGAGATAGAAAAACTTACATTCACCAATACCATTCCTTGTTGGCACAGCAATCTGAAGTAGCATAACTTTACCACGCCATTCTTCATTTTCCTCTAGAAACTTCTCAAATGCCTGATATTTTTGTGGAATCCCTTTGATCGTATCAAGACGATCAACACCTAATATCAACTGTCAACAAAAATAGGTATGTTTAAATCCTTTTCTTCTTTCAAGCATATCATATATTATAAAAGTATATATGTGTATATCTACCTTTCTGCCAGCGAAGTCGTTTTTAAACATCTTCATGTATTGTGAGACCTCAGAGAGTTCACTAGTTTTTATAAACCTTTCAGGTTCTATCCCAATTGGAAACTAAAATCCAAAAAAAAAATAACACAAATGGATTCATTATCATGTAGAGATGATAAAAATCATAGCAAATAATCAAATGTTAGGAGAGTTAAAAGAGGGGCCATTACAACAGCTACTTGAGTGACTTTGCCCTGATCCACAACTCCTTCAGATGTTGCTTCGATTCCAAGAATACACATGCATGCATTCACGAAATGTCTTGCAAAGTCATAGGTATGGAAACTAGAAACAAAAGAGAAAGAGTAAGTATGAAATAATTTACCCTTTATACGTAGACTTGTTAAAAGTAACAGATATTTACCCGACTAAATCAGCAGTAAGAACCGAACGAAGCAGTTCGGATCGCGAGGGCAAAGTTTTGTACATCTCCGAGGAAGGGAAAGGTGTGTGGAGAAACCATCCAACTTTCATCTTACTGTTGTACTCTTTCAGATACTGAGGAAGAAGCATAACATGATAATCATGGCACCAAACCACATCTCCTTCTTGATAATGCTCTTTCACGACATCAAAGAAAATTCGATTTGCTTTCTTGTATGCATCATACTGTGACTGGTATGTTATGGCTGAATCGTTACGATATTCTGGTGGTGTTCCCAAGTAGTGAAATATCGGCCACAGAATGTTGTTGCAATAGCCATTATAGTACTGATCACAAACTTCTTCCAGAAACACTGGGATACACCCCTGCAAACCAAAACCAAGAGTCAAATCATCTTATTCTATTTAATCCCCAAAAAATCATCATAATACTAACTAAAGCATGACTAATAGTATAATTGCTTGCTTGTTTCTACGTTTGCATTTGCTTTAATTAGTGTGATTTTTTATTTTTTCAAATTACCTACAATCTTTAGCATTTTACACACAAAAAAATGTTTTATGAACACAAACACCAATCTCAAACAAAACGAGAGAAAAATTAAAAATATGTTTAACATTTGCGTTTGCGAACACGTGCGGATTTTTAATCACTTTTTCACACAATCGAGACATGAACCAAGTGGTCATCCTCCAATTAATCAAGGTTAACGATCGATTTCTCCTAGATTCTCTTTGATTACTGCGAAATATACGTAACGGTTGCACCATCCGGACCCTAGTCTATGTGAGTCTGTGACTATGTTTCAGCCTCTAATTCGTAGTGACAAAATGAAACCATACACGACATTTCAAAGTCTAGTACGTACCTTTTCAGCTAGGGCAATGGAGAGTGCCTTTTTGCCAACTGCATCATGAACATCTACTCCAGGCCATCCAATCCATTTGGTCTCAAACTCTTTCAAACCTTTAAAGACATATCACCACAAATAATTCATAGAATATTAAAATCGCTTACTTGTGTTTAATTAACTCGTTAATTACTATATTACCAAAGTTGTGTATCTTCTTACCTAGAAGAGCACTAACTAGACCACCAGGACTCATGGTGAAAGACCAAGACTCTTCTCCAACCCTCTTTGCAGTAACCGGAAGCGACATCGACACTACAAGCAGTCGTGGTCTCACCATTTTTCTTTCTCTCTATCAATATTCGTTCTAGAAATGGGTTTTAAGGTTATGAGAAGAATGGTCTCGTCTTTCTTCTTATTTATAAGAAGCTTAAGTCTTATCGTTTGGGCAAGGTGAGAGATAGTAATAACAATAAAAGGAACCAATAGTTTTTTTTGGGTGTGGTCAAACATTATCTCTAGTTAATAATGTGTGATACGTATCATGTTGAATTGGATTTTTAAAATTACCTTTTACATGTACAAAAAGTCATGAAAATCAATTTATAAGTATATGATTCTTTTTATGTCATAATTATACAAACTGAGTGTATATAAGAAATCTGTAACTCGTAAATACGTGGCTAAATACAGAGATTTAGAAATTTAAAACGTATTTGTTGAATTAATATATGTGTTTTAGTTAGATTGTATCTTTGAATTCCTTTCTTTGTAAAACATCTTTTACAAAAAGTAAGAAAATCTAATATCTTATTTTTACAATAATGTAGCCTATTATATAATCATTTGGTTACCCATTTTTTGGACACGTATATACCTATTTATATACACATACAAAACCAGTAGTTAATTAATACGCGTATTCATTATTAATATGATAAGAACATGATCTAATCCAAAAGGCCGGAAAAGGTATGTGTAATTAATATGGCTTTATATGTTAAATTTTTGAATGTTACATTTTTTTTTGACACTCGTCCGTTTTGCTGTATACACCACTCGAGTTGTATCATGATCCTGACCCATCAATGTTATGGACCAAGTGTATAATTTCTAATAAAAAAAAAGTAATTCTCATAAATAACTATATGTTATATATTTTGCTATCCAAAATTTACCAATTCATCAACATTCCAAAAATACAAAAAAAAAGTTTACGAAGGGTTCCTAAAAGTTATAAGTGGGACTAAATGATTAGGGAATCCTTCATAAACCTAAATTTTGGTATTTATAAATATTTCATTATTTTATAATAGAATTATGGGGTTAAATAATAGCAATTTGATTAGTGATTACTAACTGTTAGAAATATCAATGAAGACTTTTAATTAATGAATAATGTTATAAACAAGATACATACATTGGGTCATAAGTTTTATTTTTTAACGGCCAACAGGGTAAATAGGTTAATGTATTAATTTTACAGTTTATTTATTTGGTTTAAATCATTTTACAAACCAAAATTTTAAGAATTAATTAGCAAGAACTGATCTTTGAGGGCACTAGTTTAGCAATTTCGAAGAAGTTTTGGATCTCAAGTAGCAATTTTCCCGTAAAAACAAAATAATGTTTTGTGAACACCGAGGAGAGACGACGGACGGATAATCGAGGCGACAACAACAATGGCCTTCTCTTCTAATCCTCTCTCTCTCAGCGTTCCCGATCCTGCTTTCGAATCTTGGCTCCGAGACTCCGGCTACCTCGAGCTCCTCGATCACCGCACCTCCGCCGCAGCCGCAGCCGTAGCCGCCTCGACCTCCGCCTCATCATCATCATCCTCAGCTGCCGCACCTTCTTCGGCGTCTGACGATGTCGTTTCCTCCATAACCGGCGGCTTCTTCGCATCTCTACTGTCTCGAATCGTCACTGTCTCTTCTCTTCTGACGATCAATCCCTTCTCCAAGCTCTCCGCCGATGACTTTTCAGGCGACACGCCTCCGTGGACCACTGGTTTCTTTGGCACGTGTGACTCTTATTCGTTCCCGTCGTCTTCTCAGCAAGCGAGAATGAGAGTCCATGAGAACATCAAGCGATTCGCCAGGAATTACGCCACGCTCTTCATCGTCTTCTTCGCTTGCGCGCTGTACGGATTCCATACTCTTTAAATTTCTCTCTTCATTTTAGGTCTAAATCTTTGAAATTGCTCGATTGGGTTAATGTACGAATCCGAAAGTCGATAGATTTCTGGAATTGGAGTGTTGAGATTGGTGTGGTTCGTCTCTTTGGTGCTTTTGTAGGTATCAGATGCCACTTGCATTGGTGGGATTGTTAGCAAGCTTAGCCCTTTGGGAGCTGTTCAAATACTGCAGTGACCGATGGAAGTTCGATCGTCACCCTTCCGTTCGGAAGCTCTGTATCGGTATTGGACAGTGCGGTGAGTTTCTCCTAACGACTTGTTCCTGCTTTTTGGTTTGCATGCATTTGTAGTTACTAGTCACGGAATGCTGAAGTCGTTTTGATATGAATCCAAAGAGAGACTTTTTTGGGTTTTTGGGAATCTTCTGGATCGAATCGTTCCTTCGATTTGCTTGTTTAGCTTAATCACTAGGACTGGTATTACTCAGTAAGAGTATACTGATCACTCCAGTAAGTCTTGAGAGTTGTGTTCAATTGGATTATACATAGCAATAGCAATACCGCTTTGGAACCTTGGATAAACTGGAAAGTGGAAATATCTGAAATGAACCTAAACTCGTTTCCTTGCTTCTCCTACTTGCAGCGACTGCAGTTCTTCTGACGTTTTTGAATGTCCAAATGGCTCTTTTCTCTGCTCTTGCAGTCAGTTATTCAGGTAACTAACTAGCCAACGGTCAAAGTGACTCGAGTCTGCTTTAGCCTTGGTTTTAACTCTGATTCTTCTCTGTCACTTTTGTAGTTATGATATTACACGCCGGGTTCAGGAAGCTCACCCCCTCCAAGAAACCATCTCGAGGAAGATAAACCGAATCAAAAGCGACTACCCACAAGAGTTTTGGAATTTGCATTGAGATTCATCAGCAATTTTGGTAGCCAAGAGATGTAGTATGTGGTAACTCAAAGACGGAGAGAGACAAACAACAACAACAACAGCAGTTAGAGGGTAGATTAAGAAAGTGTGAATGTTAGATATCATATCAACTCACAAATTGTAATAAGTAAAATGGAAAAGTTTATGAATGGTGAGAAACTGAGGATACAGATTTTACTTTTAAGTAAATGATATATTTTTATATACTTTTTTTCTTACCTCAAAAGAAAGTACGATTTCGTACAGCTCTACTTATATATATCCCTAATTTTTTTACACTTCGAGTTTTCTACACATATTAATGTATGACAACATTTATTCGTGTCTTATCATCCTGATGACTGGTTTTGGCCTTCAACAGTTCCATCCTCACCCACAGCTACATTCTCTTCACCTCCTTCATCATTATCTACATTCTTGGGCTTGCTCGCATCTCCACTCTCCTCGGTGGCTACATCGATGGCTCGTTTCAATCCATCTTTAGCTGAATCCGCCGCATGACTCATTGTGACATTCGGAGCCTTGCCATCTGTAGTTGTCCCCATCCCTTCTTGCTTTGACTTGTCTCTTCCGTTGTTTCCCTGCAAAGTTTTGGAAAGAATTAAGTGATGCCATATCAAAACCTCAATCGTTCTTCAATTAATCTTCTGTTATATGCATCACTCTTTATCTCAAAGAAAACTTACTTGGGATGAGAAGTAACGAGAGATAGTGACGGGAATGACTCCATCAGCAACAACAGATCGAGTAGTGTTGTTGTAATCCCTGTGTAAAGAAGCAGCTCTGTATATATTTATGGTTCCTCTCTTAGCTAAAAACATAGCCGCCATTTTTTCCTCTTTCAGATCAACAAATGAGTCTCTCTCCCTCTCTAATGTATATGCAACTTGAGGATGGGATTAGTGTCGGGAGAAGAACAGGTGGCTCATCCTAGTGCTTCTCACGTGTCAGTGAAAAGGGGGAAAAGAAATTAAAATCAAATAGGGATGTTCTATTTCTAAACTGTATCTTAAGTCCAAGTAAGCCACAGATTAGTAATGTCTACAAACAGCTTAGAAAGACAAAGATACTATTATATATGTAAGAATGTAAATAGTTGCTAAATAATGTAAATAGTTGCTAAATAGTTACTATTACAAGAACACCCAAAATAAATGTTAAAAACGTAAGGTAATTACTAAGGATGAACTAGTTTGTGTGACTAACGACGATCTGTTCGTCATTTTGAATTCTTTATTTTTATTTTTAACGAGACTCCCTCGGAGAAAATCTTACCACTGAACCGAATGTATCTAGACCTTGTCAATCAAGGCACGGGGAGTCGCTACTTTACCCAAGCTCTTGAGTGAGTGCTTTCGTATTCAAATTTTTGATACAATCGCAATTAGAGAACTTTTGACAAAACTGTTGAATTACCATTGGTTGAAAGCTGCAGCAAATTGTAAATGATCACAAACTGTTGAATTTATTGAATTACTTTTTGAAATTTTCTACAACTTTGAACTAGAAGTAATTCAATAGTTTGTCAAAAGTAATTCTTTTTTTTTGGGTCAACTGTCAAAAGTAATTTAAATTTTTGATTCAGTCGAAATTAGAGATTTTTTGACAAAACTTAGTTGTAGCAAATCATAAATCACAAACAAATAATACATATATAATTAAATTCTAATATTTTTTAATTTATGTAAAAACTCTATTAATTAGAAACAGATAGAATATTGTATACTAGAATCGTCAAATACTTTGGACATTGACGCCGAAAAGCTTTGTAGATTTTTTTTTGTTTCTAGAAAATTGATATTTTAGAGTTTATTTAATAGATTTTACTTTTCAAAATAATTAATGGCAAGTTCTAGCAAAAAACTGCAAACTAAAAGTTTGAAACCTTGAATACTATTTTTATTGAACAAAAAATACTTGTTAGTCACCATTTACTCTTTTTTTTTTGGGTTTTAGGTGGCGTGGACATTGTATTCCAAGTATCATTTATGTTTTGGGAGCATTAAACTTAAAAAAAATTAATGTTTTGAAGACTGACATTAGTAAATTATATGTATACCATCTTACATTAAACATTTATATATTTTTTTGTTGTTAGTTTAAGACATTGATAGTTGCAATGTATAAGTTTCTCTCTTTGGGGTTCATTGTGCGTATGCATCATGTATGCTATTGCTTCACAATATTCAGACATATCCTAGACATGTATGGCGCTTGCAGAACCAAATTGGACACATGCTACTTTGCTAATCTAGTATGTGTTTGTAGGGATATCAGCGATCTCTTCGCTCTGTTTTCAGGTGACTCCATGGTCTCTCGGACTCGATTTTCTCCCTGAAGAAAGCTCCAGGTCCATTTCAGCATATATTATCTGTTAGTTGTCTAGTAATTGCTATAACTCCTATTGCAGATTCAGAAGGCAATGTACTTTTATGGGAGGTAATCACTGGGAGGCATTACGAAATTTCTAAAGTCTTATTTTTAAAAGGCGGAACGCTAAACTCCTGCACAGTTGGCCATTTCTCTTGCCTAGCGGTTTGAACAAAACATGTTAGATGCTATCAAAGAAATTGTAATATACGGTGGAGATATCTCAATCCCAGATAGCAACGGAACCACAGCTCTAAGCATAGCAGTATCAAAAGGAAACATGGAGATTGTCAAGTTCTTGTTAGACCAGGGAGCTGATATGTACATGTCACATGTTAACGGTTTAACGAAGCTAGGATTCGTAGCCACTTAGATTACAACCTGAGAAGGAGCCCAAATCAACAACATCGGGGTTATAAGATTTTCTCCTTCTTCTAAAAGCGAAGGAGGAGATAGTGACTCAATGGTGGACAAAAGGGCCTTGGCGAAGAAGGTTAAGTGGAAAAGTTCATAAGAAACTCTGAGCTTCTTTAACTGAAATGCATGTTTCTACTTAACTGGAGAGTCGAATAGTCATACATAAAAAACTCAGCTTTTGCTTTTTGCACCATTTTCTTTCGCTTTTGCTGCAATTGATTCTCAAATGTTTTAGATTTCAAACTTCTTTAAAGCCGCAAGTAAAGACTGTTGATTTGCGTGTTACCTTTTAAAGAAAAGTGATTATGATCTTCTTACCATTTTGAAATCAAATACAAGGCTTATATCTTAAGCCCAGCCTACAATTTCAACATGTTACAATTTTATTATATAAAGTTAAATACATCAAAGTTAGTAATTCATAGATATTTCAGTTTAAAAAAAAATAAGAAAATTTAGATTAAAACACTATTTCTATAAAAAAAGGATATATTTCAATTAAAAATATATATATAATTCTAAAAAATATATATATTTTAATTAAAAATATATATATATATATAATTCTAAAAAAGGATATATTTCAATTACAAAAATAAGAATTAAATAAGTTTAAGTTCAATTAAGAGAAATCTAAACTAAAACACTAATCCTTTCATATATACAATTCAAACACATGGTCATGATCCCAAGAATTCACAAAATGTTTCGATGCTTTTTTAAAAAAATTAACTTTTGTTTTAGAAGAGAGATACGATCCAAGCCTCCTTAGCATTTGTTTACAGGACAACCTTCTAGTATGCCTGCAAGAACATATGGTAGCCCATTTGTCTTCAAGGGATAGAACCAATTCAGAAGAGAAGGCCTACAACATAGAGCAGTGGTAGCCCAGTGGAGTAGCATCCTTTTGCTTTTGCCTTCATGCATCCTTTTGCTTTTTCGCACCATTTTCTTTCGCATATGCTGCAATTCATTCTCAAACGGTTCAGCTTTCAAACCTCCTCAAAGCGGCAAGCAAAGGCTGCTGATTTTGTGTGAAACCCTTACGAAATCAAATAAATGGCCCATATCTTAGGCCCAGCCCATAATTTCAACATGCTGCAATATAAGAGTAGATGTATCATGATTTATTATGTACAAGTGATTAAAATATGAAAGATAAATTACATAGGACTTCGATCGTACATGGTTATGGCCTATGCTATGCAGATTTTTCCATTTGGAACCAGATGCAGATTTTATGACTTTATGGTATTCTCATGTCTATGGGAAATGGTATATGATTCGTTGTCTTATCAGATCCTCAAAATCATTCATTTTTGAGATTGGGGCTGAATCCGATTCTTGCCACAATCAATATCTCTTTTAACGCGTAATAAACTCGTAGGACTAAATAATTGCAAATCCCAAAAATAATAAATTAAACACGTCGGTAGATACAAAGAAGAAACCTCTTTCTTTTAATGAGGAAACAAGTAGATACGAGATTCAATTTTAAACACGTATTAACCATAAATTGAGCTCTCCCTATCAAAAAGACAAAAGCTTCACTTTCCTTAGCCGATTCCCATTTTCCTCTCCATCTTTAAAAACCCTTCATTTCTATATATTCATAGTTACACACCCATTTGTTCCATAATCTTCACTAGAAACCATGGCGTTTCCAGAATCAATAAGCCTTTGTTTATTCTTGGCCATCCTCCTCTCTTTCTCTACGCTCTTCACCATCTCCGACGCTCGGAAGTTTGAAGTCGGAGGTAGCGGCGCGTGGGTTCCAAATCCGCCGGAAAATTACGCTTCTTGGGCTGGAAAGAGCCGTTTCCTAGTTCACGACACACTCTGTATATATAATCTCTCTCTCTCTCTTTCTCACTTGTCAAGTAATTACTTTGTGTAGATTTTTGTCTGAAACTCGATTTGTTTCTTCCAGATTTTAGCTACGCCAAGGGAGCGGACTCAGTGTTAGAGGTGAACAAGGCTGATTACGACGCATGTAATACCAAGAATCCGATCAAGAGAGTGGACGACGGAGATTCTGAGATCTCGCTTGATCGTTCTGGTCCATTTTACTTCATCAGCGGCAACGAAGATAACTGTAAGAAAGGGCAAAAGCTCAACGTCGTCGTCATATCTGTTAGAACGCAGGCTCCGCCTCCTCAAGCCTCCACACCGGGAAATTCCCCGCCGGGATCAATGGCACCTAAGTCTTCTTCCCCTGTTTCTCCGACGACTTCTCCGCCGGGATCAATGGCGCCTAAGTCTTCCTCCCCTGTTTCTCCGACGACTTCTCCGCCGGGTTCAATGGCACCTAAGTCTTCTTCCCCTGTTTCTCCGAAGACTTCTCCGCCGGGTTCAATGGCACCTAAGTCTTCTTCCCCTGTTTCTCCAGCGACTTCTCCACCGGCACCTACGCCACCTAAATCATCTTCCCCTGTTTCTCCGTCCTCTGCTCCGGTGACTTCCCCGCCGGGATCAATGTCACCCAAATCTTCATCCCCTGTTTCCCCGATGACTTCTCCGCCAGCACCACAGGCACCTAATCCATCTTCCCCGTCCTCTGCTCCGGGATCTTCACCTCCCGGATCAATGGCACCAAAATCTTCATCCGCCGTTTCTCCATCTTCGGCTCCGGGGGTATCTCCTTCCTCTGATTCTTCTTCGCCGTCAGATTCTCCGCCTGCAAACTCACCGTCGGCGATGGGTCCCTCGGGAGTAGGTCCGTCAGCGGCCGGTGATATCAATGCGCCGGCGGATGCTCCAGGCGATAAAAAGTCATCTGCGAATGGTATGGCCGTTATGTCGGTAACTACAGTTCTAAGTATGGTTTTGACCATCTTTATGTCAGCTTAAGAACACTTGTGGAGGCTAGTTTCATATCGGATTCGATTTTCTTTATTCCATTGTTCTAGTTTCATTTTAGTCTCTACTTTGTTCTGTTAATTGTTTTCGTAATTATGTATCATTGAGTATAGTTCGATTGTTGTTTTGTTATAATAATAAATAATAGACACAGTGTTGTGCTAAACACAAATCTAGTTATACGAAAACATGATACAAACTCTAATTAGGAGTACATTTGTTTTGTGATACACATTCATTACATGTGGCTGTCTGCGTCAACATAACTGTATGTGTATAAAGGGTGGGGCTAAGAATGATAAATTGTCTAGTCTGTTTTCAATAAGTTGAATAGTAACAAAGCTAAACTATACATTTCACTTTTTTAATACATGTTAATGTGTCGAGTGTATGTAATTGTTCATTTTAATTAGCGATTAAATTTAGAGATTTAACGTGAGTATTAACCTTAACAGAACGAAAATTTCTAATAATTTTTTTTTTAATTAAAGTAGGAGTTAACAAAAGTGATAAAACATTTAGAGTTGCATGGATAGATATCAAGTTTGGTCGTACTTGCAGTTTGCAATCACATTAAAGGCTAATTGGAATTTAATTCATATACCTACCAAAGCCCACGTAAGGGCAAAAGCCATAAGGACTTTCTCTTTTATTTTTGATGCTTTTCTTTATGTCAACATCACCCACGCAAGAAAGTTCAACTTTATTTTGTTTTGTGATATTGACAAGATATTTTACAAGTCTTTTTTTTTCATTTGTTCATTACTTTACAAAATTGAATTGCTTATTTCTCCCTGTCGGCAGTAGAAAATTATGGAGTATGGGCCTACACTTGTGTTTGCATTCAGTGAATCTTAAAATTAGCCAAGGGAACACAAGTAAGAAAATTTGTTGTCACGTAAACATTTTTCTTCATATATCGCATTCAACAACAAATATCTTACGGTTATTTTAAAAAAATTGATAGGAACTTATTTATTAGAAAAGTAATTCAAAATTCAAAAAACCATTTGAGATCTTCGTTGGCAATATTAATTTGATGATTACCAAAATATGTGACAGTAAACTCAATTATCCGAACAACAAATAAAGATATTTCATATAGCTATGAATGAAAACCAATAGAAGACCAAGTGATGAACAGAACGAACGTAGTGTTATCGTGAATGAGGCCAGAGCATTTAAAGACGATAGCTAAGTTGCTAGGCTAATAGAGGGTACATGTGACAACTAGCCATTGTCTTGTATCATCGCGACTATAGGCCCCACGCATTAGACCCGTGGCATACGCTACGAATCGGCCAAGTGTTAATTGGACACAGTGACCACTGATACGCAATGTCTCTGTCTTCGGACCCATCAAGCACTTGAAGTTCCCTTCTCTCAAATATTATTCAACCAAGCAAAACAGAAAAAAAAAATAAAGAAATCATTGGGCACAAATATCAAAAGTCATCATGCTACCACCAACTCCTTAAATTCATTTGCATGTTTAACTATAATTTTAGCGAAAAGGATAATTATGGCAAACTACTGAAATTCTGAGTAATGTTGCTATTCTGTTTATGATAATAATCAATGCATATGTGGAAGATGGTTATGGATTTATACAAATCTAGGATCTCTCTGGTCAGTGACACGAGTGTTACATTGGTGCAATGCGTGGATATGACACATGTTTCCTAGGTTCTATTTTCTTATACAGAGCTTATTGTCTAATTTAGTTAGAGCAAAAAAAAAAATGTGATAGCTTGTACATTTGCCTTCAACATTATGTTTAATGTTCAAAAATATTGATATAACAACAATATTTTTGTTACCAAAACTAGAAGAATTATAGCTAGTCAAACCCTGAACTTACAGGTTTAAACAGCTTTAAGTCTAAAGTCTTTGCTACCAAACATGGCCATTTTAAAAATAAACTGCGTGTCGTTTTAACTGCAGAAAAACGACGCGTGCTTTTCACTTTCCCGCCACACAAGAAGTCCCTCGAAATTCTCGAGAGCCTCGCCGATACGAGGCATAATCTTCTCTTTCCTTTCGGCGATGACGGCCAAGCGAAACCGTAAGAAGCGATGTAAGCTCTCAGATCCGGTCAGCTTATTCCGCTCCCTTGCTTCAGCTATCGCTTCCGCTCAGGTACACAGTGTTTCTTCAATTTCCTCAATTACCAACTTCCGATTAAAATTTTCTCTCCGTTTAATCGTTGCTGCGATAACGAACGATTAGTTCGATTAGCTGGTCTCGAAATTTTCTGGGTATTGCTTCGATTTTTAGTAATGTCGAGAAAAGGTCTGAGCTTTTAGGGTTTGGGGATTTTGGAAATGTCCGTCTGAGTCCTATTAATTTCCAGGTTTCTAAACAGCCAATCTTGAGACGTCTGCTGTACATTCTGAATCAATTATCATTAGCTCAACCAATAAACTGGGAGGATTTTTGTGAAGAGCAAGTGAAATTGATCAATTTCGAGGATGTTTGTAACCTCTCTGATGTTTTGTTCACGGAGCTTGATAGGAGTTTCCAAAACATTTTCTCTACTTTATCCAAACGGAAGGATGAAACTTGTCCCACATGTACAGAAGAAACTGTGGAATTAGCCATTCTGTTCCTAAGTTGCTGTCTGAAAATCATCACTTTACTTTTTCACAAACAAGACCTGGCTCTGGAGAAAGCCAAAGCTCTTCGCTCAATCCTCAGTCGATTGATTCGTGCAACGGATGGGGATTGTTCTTTTGTTTCCGCTAATGATGGATCTTTAGATCCCCTCCATGCATTTCTCTGGAAAGGTCTTGAGGTAATTTTTTTGACTAATTTGTGGATCACTTTCTTCCTTAGACCTCTTTTAACTTGTGGCTCTTGACTATATATTATGTTCGATGGCTTTGTGTGTCCAGGTTTTCATGAATGAGATATTGGTGAATAAATCAATCAGGGATCTGCTATTCCTAGTCGATTCTGCATTCTCCTCGTGTAGACTGTTCAGTAAGCATGACAGGGCCGGTGTGGTGGAAATGGTTTCTGCGCATTTTATCATCTCAACCTCTGACGAGAAAACGAATAGAATGTGTGCTGAGAGGTTATGCTGGAAGCAAGCTAATGCGTTTACAGCTCCTCAGATAAGCTTGTGTGCTGCTTTGTCCTTGCTGCAAAACCCGGTGATATCCTCTGCGCCAAGGATGATTCATGCCTATGTGGTTTTATTGGTCTCTGACGCCATCGGTGTTTGTTCACCTCCATGTGTTAAGGGATCAGACCTTCAGTTTATTGCTCGCTATATTGATGCGTTCGAAAAGTCTGTTGTTTTGTACACGATGAACATGTGTGAAGGTGAGAATGCCCCATCTGGGAAGTTTGGTAACTCTCGGGTGGCTTTTGAACATCTTATTTTGCCCTCGACACTGGAAAAAGTTAATCATCTTACTCTGAAGCTAAAGGAGTCATGGGGTGCATATCAAAGTGACAATGCCAAGAGAGAAAACAATGAGCTGGTGGCGAATTCTGTTGCGTACGCAAAGGCCAGCTTATGTGTATTTGATAGCTCCTGCTCAGAGAACATGTTGTCGCAAACCTTATCGATTCTTGGTGGCATGATACTTAGAGCTAGTTCTGATGATGTCATGGACTCTGTGTTGCAAAAGCACAACGCGTCTAATATGGAAGATCTATATCTGCTTGCATCAACACTGAAGCTGATGAGTTATTCGATGTTGCAAGCCATCAGGGTTCTCAGGAATTGCGACTGGCATCAATCTGAAGGAGATGTTCGAGCTTGCAAGGAATACAAAGCCATGATGGATGTTGTTCAACGTTTTGAACAGTTCAGTGTTCATTTGCCCGGTCAAAGCTTCTTGCGCGATAGAATGGAGTCATCACATCTTAACAGACATGTGAAATCGAAGAGGATGCTTATGCATTTTTCAGGCTTACTCTCTGTAAGTTATGCACTCAAGCTCGACTTCTTAATGAAGAACTCCATTTTTGGAATGGTGGTATCTCTGTATTCATTTATCCTAGAAGGGGGTGACATGGAAGCACTAAGGAATTCAGTTTGTCACTCAGAAAGTCCGTTATCTTCCATACCATCCAGTGGTTCCAAAGACATGGAAGCTTCTTGTAATAATGCTGAGGAGGTAACAACTAATAACTCTTTGCACAGAACTCTAAATCCTGCGCATTTTTCTAAAATAGATCAATGGTTATATGGTGCAGACTACAGTAGATAGGAAATCGAGTGGGGCGGTTGCATTGAAGTTTCAAAAAATCCGAACTTTGTACTTGGGGTATGTACAAAACCTTGTACACCAGCAATAATCCTATTGATCTATTCCTCATTTATGAGATGGCTCATGGTTGTGCAGGAAGATGTCTGAGGCTAAAGATGCAGAGAATTGTGGAGTGGGTGTTGAAGAGGAAAGGTGCAACGGGGAGAAATTTCTGTGGTGTGTGGCCGGAAAGGGCAACCTGAGAAGCAGCGACGTGGAGGAGTTGGCAGATTTCATAGCGTGTGAGCCCGGGAAGGACTATTCGGATTGGCTAAAAGGGAGGGAACGGTATCGGAATCAACGGTGGAAGTCTGAGAAGATTGCTGTCCAAAGGTGGAAGAAGAAGCAGAAAGCATGGAGGGAGAGCAAAAGGAAGAGTAGCTGCTAAACACATATCATCATTACTATTATAAATCTCTTGTCATCTTTTAATTTAAAAGGAAGTGGCTTTTCTTAACTCAAGGGCACTGTGAAAAATCCTATTCTAGTGATGGGTCTCTCAGTTGATTCAAACCCATTACCAAAATCATAACAGAGAAACAAGTCTCGGAAACAGAGAACCTTGCCGAACAAGAAAGCTTACAAGTTGTTGTGTGTTTCTCGATGCCTCAAACCCCTACCGGTGATACCCTTTTAATACTTGAGGGTTTACAAAGTAAGAGAGACATTTAACTTATCTAATTGGCATAATAATACAACCGACTAAATAAGCTAATGAATCCTCCAAGTCTATTAGAGTCTTCTAATATGTTGCCATATATAAGACCAATATCTCAACACACTCTACCTTGGCCTATATCTCAACATACTCTACCTTGGCCTAATATCAAACATCAACGTCTAGTTTCTCCTTATTTACCATTCCACATACTCTTCCATGAATTTCCCTCAAAATATGTAAAAATTATCTTCTTCGACTTAATAGTTTATACTAGTCATGATAATCTGTCAAAATATCAAAACTCGACAAGAACACTATCACAGGTATAAAATGTAACAAAAACTGTTTTCTTTCTTCAAAAGTTAAAGCCTCAACAACAGAAGAGAAAGAACAAAGAAGTAAAAAAGTACTTGAAAGGGAAGAGTACTTGTATGTAAATGAGGCAGTAGCTTAAGAGTTTTTTAAAGAGTCTCATCCTCGAAAGAAGGCAAAAATCCCAGCTTTAAGAGATTCCAAACTACAACAACGCAGCCTCGCTTGATCACTAGGGCCGACCTACAGAACGTAGTAGTAACCCAAGGCAAGAAGCAACAGTACCACGAGAGCAGCTGGAGCAGCCCAAACCCAGTAATTAGTTGACTTCTTACGCTTGAGGATCGCTCTCGGGAGCGTTTCTGGTCCTCTATTGCGGATCCTGTTCCTTATCGGTTTCTCCTTCAAGGCTCTTTCCTTCTGCGGTTTCTCCTCCACTGGAGCTTCCAACTCCTCCTTCTCAGCCTCGGAAGCTTCCGGAGCTTCCTCAGAAACAGCCTCGGCTTCTGTGTTGCCTCCGCTCTTCTTCTTGGCCTTCTTCTCTCGCTCCTGCAAACACACAAAGAGATGGAGACTTATTAGAATGGAATAGAGAGAAATGCAAAAGAGCATTGATATATACTACAGGAAATTCAAAAAAAAATAAAAGAGTAATTACCTTTCTCTCTTTCTTCTCGGCTTCCTTTTGAGCTCTTATAGCAGCTTTAGCAGCAGCTTTCTCTGCCTGCTTCTTTTTCCTTTCCATGGCTTGCTTGGCTTTAGCAATCTCCTCTTGCTTTCTCATCTCTCTCAACGTAGCTTCATCTACCTTTTTTTCCTCTTCTTTCTGCGGCTTTCCAAGACCATACACTTCCTCATCCTCATCATCATCAGCCACAACATTCTTTACTTTCACTGCATCTTTCGCTTTCTCAGTCTTCTGAGGAACACTAGCATCTGGTTTAGGCGCAGAAACTGCAGGTTCCTCCTTCGGCTGCTGCTTTGCCTTAGCTTTAGGAACAGCCTCGGTTTCAGCAGGCGCTGCCTTTGATGGTGGTGCTTCTGGAGCAATCAGAGGCTTCTCTTCGGGGTTCCTCATCCGTCCATCTCGGCTCAGCTGCCTAGCATCAAGTGATGCCAAGATTCTCTTCTCGTAATCCTCTCTGAAGTTCTTCTTACTGCACCAGAGGGAGACGAATTTCTCAACCTCGGCATTGGAGAGCGCCTCGAGCTCGCTTATGTTCTTTTGTGCAGCCAAGTCTCTAGCTTTGTTCAATACGTTACGGCCTTGGTAAAACCCAGAGTTCTGTACGAACAAAAACTGATGAGTATTTTCAATAGAAAACATTCTCCATCACAAGAAAATGCTACAAAAGTATATATGTGTATAGTACCGTCTCGTCGCGTTGCTTCCTGAGCTCATGGATGTTTGAATAAACCTTGTCCCTCTTCTCGCTCACAGTCTTCAGCTCATTCTCCAGCACCTGAATCTCGTCTTTCGTTGATTTCAACTTCTCACTCAGCTGATTAATCCTTGCTGAAATCGCTTGCCTCTCCTTCTTCACACCGTCCAAACCAGCACCCATTAACTGCAAAAAAAAAACATCGCATATGAAACAAATTTCTACAGACTATTGAACAGCAAGAAGCCACAGATCCCGACCACGACTTCTCTTACCTTAACTTGACCTTGGATGTCGTCTTTATGTCCCATAGACTCTTTGATTTTGGCTCTCATAGCCTCGTTGGCAATGACCTTATCTCTCGTCCCTTCAAGCAGCCTGATCTCTTTGAGAATCTGCTTCTCCTCGGTCAACGGAATGCTTTCGTGTTGAATCCGGTACTGGTAGCTGTATATCTACATTTTCCACAAAACCCCCAAAGCAAATAAGAATCCAGCAAAAGCTAATATATAAAAAGGTAAGAAAAATGTCTCAAAGAGTGTCGAGTGAAGGAAGTAGATTGTTACCATACTGTTCAGCTCTTGCTCTGACGAACAGATAGCGGGCCCACGGGCACTCCCACCATCATTCCTAAGCTTTCCCAGTGCTTGCTGCAATGGCTCCATTTCCTTTCTCTTCTCATCAAACATAGTGTTGAACCCTTTACGCTCTGACTTCAACGGGTCAAGCAAATCGAACAGCTCTGATCTCTCCGCCTACGCCAAATACCAAAAAACCTCGTTTTGTTGGAACCATGGTTTCTCACTAGCGAGAAAGAATGAAACCCATTCTTAAAAAAACTTACCCTCTTAGCTCTCAGCTCGTCCAAGACCGCACCACGAGCCTTGCTCAACTTCTCAAGCTCTTTATCAGCTTGGTCAAGCTTAGCTTTGATTTTCGGGTCCTCGTCCTTGCGGTACTTAACAAAGTAGAAAGTGTGGATCTGTTTCGCCGCGGGCCACTCTTCAGCTGCGTCTTTTGGAGCATCAGAGATCGCCACGTTGATGCTCTCTTCGCTCTTCTTCGGCGGCTCGCCGTGAGAACCAAACTTGATGGAGACTTTTTCTCCCTTTTTCCCTTGGTCCACCTTCCCGTTCGTCTCCGGTTTTCCTTCGAACGGAGCCGGAGCAACCTCAAACCCACCGTTTACAACTTCAACGCCCATTTTCTCCTAAGCAAACAAAGAAAAAAAACAGAGGATCCTGATTCCCCCGAATAAATATAATTACGTCAGTGAAACAAATATGGATGTAACGGATCCAAAATTTAAGCGTGGATATAATTCGCTACGCGAAAACGAAAGAAAGGATTCAACTTTAAGGGATCTATTGCGCAAAGATCTGTAATTATTCAATGTTAAGACAGATCATTCTCGGCATCAAAATGGCATATTCAGACAAGATCGCTCAATCAATCAAATACAAAACAGCAGTTAAGATCAAACCTTTGATGCAGAGTCAAATCGAATCAAACGGGAATCAATTGTCGGAAGTCAAGAGATCAGAGACGATCAATAATATAATACAAAAGAGGATGTATGAAAATTGAAATCAGCAATAAACGAAAGCAAATCAAAGTCAAATAAGTGTAATCAGAGAAATTTCAATAAGAAAGAGAAGGAAATGGAAGGGATACCGTGAAAGTGGAGAGAGGTAGAGAAAAATGGAGATCTGAGGAAGATAACCGAAGAAGACCCTTTTAGAGGAAAAAGGGTCGCTATTAACTTTTCCTGCCCAAGGATTTTTTTGTTAATCAAATCGAAAACCTTTGGGTCAGATCTCAATCTAAATATATCTTCGATTTTTTTTTTTTTTTAGGAAACCCCACGAATTGCCTCCCTCTTCACTTTTCTCTCTCTCATTAAAATCTGATATATTTTTACTAAAGTGGTAAATAACTTATTCTCAAATCTACTGAAAACCCTTCATTGGGGCCATTCCTACTTTCCTACTTGTTTGTTCAGATTTGTCAAGTTATCTGCACACTTGTTCCTATAACTATTTTAACCTAAATATGATTCTTTTTAGTACATATTGATTTTTTTATATAATTGCAAAAAGATTCGAATGAGGTACTATTTGAATAACGCTTAACTTTTGCAAATATTTGAACCAATTTAGTTGAATTTTATTTTATTAGTACAACTTTGAAACTACGTGATTGAATGTGACGATATACGCTTTTACATGACCAGTCTTACACTCATGGAGAGGTGATGGTCACGGGCAAATTGTTTGGATCGCCTATCATGACTAGTTTACATTCATGTTCCAAAAAATTGTTTGGATCGTCTATATTTGTTGAGTTTAGTTTATTCCTTTGTAATGGTAACTCGTTTAGTGAAATGTTAAAACCAATGGAAGATTTGTAGAAAGTACTTACTATTTACGAATATTAATATTAAAACAAAACATTGTTGTGGTGAAAATATCTATAATATAAAAAATGGTCAACTTTCTCCAGTTGAGTACCACATCAGTACATGAGAGAGTGTCATTTTAATTTTTATAATTAAAAAATTATTATTATTATGTAATTAAAATTAGACCAATTAATTATTTACTTTTTAATTGTATGCTATTTAAATATTTTTGTTTTGGTTTTTATATGTTTGATAAATATATATTTTAATTTATTGTTAATGTAATGAAAACTTCACAAAAATAATCAGAATAAAAATAAAATAAATTAAGATTTGCAGCGTAATATATGACCGAAAAAGTAGTATTAGAAATATTTAATTAGTCTGGGCCAAAAACAAATACGACATGCTAAAAATAATCATTACTACTTATATTGTGATTTGAAGAGTTTCTCTAATTATTTTTTTTTATTATATAGTATTTCTCTAAAATACACTATATCTATTTAATTTATTCTATATACAAAGCATAACATATTTCATATTTCATGATTAATAAACTATTTATTACATATATAGTCAATGTTTATATAATATATACATACATATTGTATGTTTATTCAAATACATAATATCTTTAAATAAAATTTAAATATACGATAAAATAAATTTTAACTAAATTTTTTAACAAACTATATTATATAACAAAAATTCGAACATATACTCATCTAGTTTTAGTTAATGAATCGATGTAAAGAAGAAGAGAACAAAAAATGGAAGAGACAATGAGGAAAAAATGGGAGAGACAATGAGGAAGGAAAAAAAATGAAGACAAAAATGGGAAGAGGTGGAGAAGAAAGAAACAGTTGTTAGGTGGTGTTGAAAACGTGGGAAGTCTTCTCTGCCGTTAGAAAGCCTGAGGGTACAACTGTCCACTTTTCAGCGACACACGTCTTCTCTCTCTCTGGTTTTATTTCATTACAAGAAGTCATGCGGATTAGATTCTTTGCATCGTACACGAGCAGTTCAACTTCAGACGTAAGCTGAAATGGCCTAAATACCCCTAAACTTGAGATGGAACAAGTAGACTATTTTTTAGGAAGCAAATAGCGCAAGATATTTTCCCGTAGACGTAAGTTGAAATGACGTAGATACCCCTCCCGTTTTCTGGATTTCTTACTTTTCTTGGTTAGTTTTGGCTTCGTATAATGGATCGGATCTGCATTTGCGTATAAGAGAGAAATATATGATTTACTGTAGAATGGAATATAATTACAGCAAAAGGACGATTATGTATGTTTTCTTAGATTAATTTTCAAGTTAAAAGACAAAGGTTATAAGTTCTTGATACCATAGGCTCATAGCAGATGGGATGGCAAAATTGGATTCCATCTCATAACTAAAGATCTAGTTCCATTATCAAAATCTTATGCGGAAAGAAATACATTTGGTTTAGACTACACCACACCGATTTATACCTAAACAGAGCTAAACCGGTTTCATACCATGGCTGAGCTACGATCCAAAATCCATAGTTTCTTGATTATGTTCATTCATCGGAAGCTGAGGCAGCCTGTTTCAGACAATCCCGCATGATCTCTCCAAGTTTGGAACAAGCATCCAAGCAAAGCTGCATTGCCTGCAAATTTTGAAAATTGTTTGGTAACGCTCTTAGGTGACCCAACTAGTTCATAATTCATTGCTAAATATGTTAGCTAAGACACACAGGCTCTTTTGCCGGATTAGCAGAACAAAAAGGTATGAACACGCTAAACTTCAATTCTTGCTTAATGAAGCACAGTCTAATTAAGTTATTAACCAATACCATGCGATTTCAAAAAACATCAATAGTTAGAAAGGGAAGACGCTTGTAGCAATTGAAGAAAAAAACAGATAATATATTGAAAGGCATATACCTCGTTGATATTAGGCGTTGTCCATTCACCAGTGATGGTTAGCTGAGTGATTTCATAACGAGATGGCATGCACGTCATCACAAAGCTTCCATCTTCACATCCTTCCTCTTCTGTAACCGGGTCGATCATAAGGCTCTTCCCTATGCAAGACTTTGAGATTTGCGCGGAATCATTACTCAGTCAGTGTTTCAAAATAAAGAATTAAGAGACAACGCCAAGTAATTGTTGCCAACATAAACATACCACTGAAACAGCTGTGATAAGGTCATACATCATAATCCCGGCATCTGCTAGAGCAAGACTAGCACATGATATCACAACAGGGAGGTCACCTGCAACACAGTAGCATTCAAGAGAGTCAGAAAATGCCAAAAAACCCAGACAAGATAATAGCTATAGTTTGCTTCCGTAATCAACAACAAGAACACCAATCACTTATGATCCCACAAGGCCATCATATTTGCTTTTTTCTAGTAAAAGAATTTTGATAGCGTTTGAGTATTGTCGAGACTATAAGAAAGTACACAATCATGAGACTTACTGCCTCCAGATTCAAGCACCAACGCAAAGACATCAACGGTTGTCTTTGGAAACGTCTCTGTCATTACAACGCCTTCCAACGCTTTGTGAAGCATCGATGAGTACTCCTTGTGATCAGTTCCCTGAAAAAAAAAAACACAACGTATAACTAATTTAAATGTAACAAAGAAACACGAAACTTGCAAACCAGATGGGTTACAATAAAAAGATAAAACTCACATACCTGACTCCCAAGAGTCGGGGAAGCAAAAGTTGTATAGCTAACATTGCAATTCAATCTACCAACGTCACTATAAACCATTGCTTTCTTACTCTCCCTTGGCCCAAATCTAAACAGAACAAACCAAAAACACAGAACAGAATTTAGCTAACAGAAGAGAAAAGTTGATGCAGATCCAGAATTTAAACACTGCGGATAAGTGTTAGCTAAAACTCACACTGAAACAATGACTTTTGTGTTCCCAAACTCAGCATAAGCAGAACCTGAAGCAGAACTCACAGCACCGGTTTGAAGTACTGAAAAAAAAAACCATTTTTTCCCCCACAAAAGAAGTAAATTTCAAGTTTAGTTAGTCTCATATAAACCAGTGAAATCATGAACAGATATTCGAAATCTTCTCGAGTCGTTCTTTGTCACAATGAAGAACCCTAACGTTTAAGAAGAGAAAGGGAGTTAGGGTTTTACAGGCAGGTCGGCATTGGTGGAATCCACGGCCATCGGGACGAGTCCAATCGAGGTCAGAATCCTTGAAAATAGGAGCGCGAGTTCTGGCGACAACTTTCGGCGAATACGTTGAAGTTGCGGCTCCCGGTTTCGCTGCCATCGTTCTGCGATTAGACTAACGAAATCGAAACTCGAGTCCTGGCAATAATGGAGAAAACCAATCGATTAAATCAAAAATCTTTCCATCTGAGGGATGCGAAAGAAGTATTATTGGTTTAACTTACCTGAGGGTTTGAGAACGAATGAATGCGGCGGAGAGAGAAGAAGAACGACAAACACCGCCGTTGAATATTTAGTAGGGTTTATCACAAAAAGCCAAAGAAAAGCAAAGAAGAAAATAAGGTAATTTCTATTTAATAACCTCAAATTATTGTAACGAAAGTCACAGTAAATTTCTAATGTAAAAAAATTATAACCATCTCATTAAGAAAAACTGTCATAAAAAATAGTACAGTGGTAGGATGAACTAAGCAAAACAGTGAATTCCATTGAAATTCTCCATTTATTTTGCTATGGTTCTATGTATTTTCTTGTGCCAATGCTAATAGTTTATTTGTACATTTGTCTTCTTATTTCAATCCCAATCATATTTGAGAGAGAAAAAAGTCACTTTCACATGACTAACAATTTCATGACGTCCAAAAAATATTTCATTAAACTTAAGAAAATCGTTTATTTACTAACCATCCTGACAACAAAAACAATAAGGTTTGGCGTATATAATGTCTAAAATAAAACAATTGAAGCATTATACCAGAATTTATACTAATTTTTAACACCATCACAAAACATGTATAATCAGTAAGCCATAGCATCATATATGACACTTTTTAAGAAGAAAAAAAATCCATTTTATATATCTAAATATCTAATAGTAGTCTCATTGCGCAAGTTTGACCTTCCGCATTTGTTTGCCACTTCCTCAAATTCATTTTATTCGAATATGCAATCATTAACGTCGTCGGTCCATCATGTTTTGTCCAATACTTTGCTTTTTTTTTTTAAACAGTTATTTTTTCTTTAATATACTCGCGTATGTTTTTTTTTGGCCATGCATGTAGCTGACATGGTAAGTCAAAACAATAAATGATATTTACTAGTTAAGTAGTTATGCTATACACTGAATTCACAAGGGATCACAACACATATCAAATTCAAAGACTCCTAATAAAAAGTCAAAGAGAACGCACCATTTCTGGGAAGCGAGTAAAAACGAAAACATCTGTGTGGAAAACCGAAATCTAGAAGAACCATATATATACCCCTCAGATTTTTTTCTTTATCTATTTTCTAGATTTTTTTTCTTTATCTATTTTACATTTTAGTTAATAAATCCTCGGTTCAGACAATTACAAATAAAATCTTCGGCTCTTCCTGGCCAGTGAACTTGCCTGGAGCTTTCAAAATTATCTCGTCGTCAAGTCCAGGAATATTAAGAACCTGCAGGTCTTTTCTTGTGTTTTTGCTCATCATCATCATTATAACCACATTTTAACGTTTCTCATTATGCTTTTGATTCGTCGAAGATAAAAAAAAAAAAATGGAGTCTTTCTTATCTTCAGACAGCTCAGATTTGTCTTTTCCATCTTTTTTATTATTATAAGATCACGTCGTTATAATCATCATCAATCCCCTGTTTGTCTCTTCGATTATTTTGGGATAAATTCAAATTCGACTTATTGCATATATGTATTTTTTTTTTAATTTTGTCAAAAACATGATCAGAATCAACGATGAAATTTGAGGTTAGCTTCGTCTTCGTGCTAAACAAAAACAAGGCGAAAAATCCAAAAATTCTGTATGGTCGTTTTAGGATCCATTAATCACAATATATAGATCTCTGATTATTATTTCTTTTATTTCTTATTTGGCGTAGGTTAGGGGCAATTTCCATTTGTGAAAATCTTGCTTCTCTGATGATATGATCGTACAAGATCAAAGTTTTGGCTTCTTCCGTTGACCTGTTCTTTGCATATAACCGTTGGTTTTCAGATCCTATGAGAAGGCTCTTAGATGGCGTCGTCAAACTCAGAAAAGAGATGGATATTCCCTCTAGCAATGGCTTCTCTCATGTTCACATTCCTTATAGCTGCATCCTTCAACATGGGTCTCCTCTCTTCCGTGCGTTCCATTAACTCACTCATCTTCTCCTCAAATCTATCATCCACAAACGAAACAGCTGTCGAATTCGCAGAGTCAAAGATCAATAACTCGTCCTCCTCGCATCCTCCTCCAGTACAGTCGTCTAGTCCTCGCTTTGGTTATCTGGTTTCTGGTTCAAGAGGTGACTTAGAGAGCCTGTGGAGAGTGTTGAGAGCGTTGTACCATCCGAGGAATCAGTACGTTGTTCATCTCGACCTCGAGTCTCCTGCTGAAGAGAGGCTTGAGTTGGCTAAACGTGTCAGAGAAGACCCTGTTTTCAGCGACGTTGGGAATGTTTTCATGATCACAAAGGCTAACCTCGTTACGTATCGAGGCCCTACGATGGTGGCTAACACGCTCCACGCTTGCGCCATCCTCTTGAAGCAGAGTAAAGATTGGGATTGGTTCATCAATCTCAGCGCTTCAGATTATCCTCTAGTGACTCAAGATGGTACTAATATAATAACATGTCTAGTAGTAGTGTCTTGTTTCTATCCGAGGATTCGAATAATCTCATTTTGCTTGCAGATCTTATTCATACGTTCTCGGGACTGGACCGGAACCTCAACTTTATCGACTACACTAGCAAACTAGGCTGGAAAGCGTAATGATTGTTATCGAAGTTGCTTCTCTGTAGATTTCTACACTGAGATGCGTTTCATCCAAATGAGATTTTCTCTTGTGTTTTTGTTTTCATTTGCAGAGATAAACGAGCAAAGCCTCTGATCATAGACCCGGGGCTATACTCGACCAAAAAGTCTGATGTCTTTTGGGTTACACCTCGCAGAACCATGCCGACCGCATTCAAACTATTCACCGGTAATGGTATTATCATAATGAGTAATCATACATTTAAGATTGGTGGCTAATCCGTGTTTGGATGAAAACTTTTAGGTTCAGCTTGGATGGTTTTATCTCGGTCGTTCGTCGAATATTGCATATGGGGATGGGACAATCTTCCACGGACTCTTCTAATGTATTACACAAACTTCCTCTCTACACCAGAAGGATATTTTCAAACAGTGGTATGCAACGTGCCAGAGTATTCGGGCACGGTGGTTAACCACGACCTTCATTACATCTCGTGGGACAAGCCTCCCAAACAGCATCCTAGGTTGCTCAACGTCAGTGATACAGAGAGGATGATTGCGAGTGGAGCTGTGTTTGCACGCAAGTTCAGACACAATGATCCTGCTTTGGACAGGATCGATAAAGAGCTGCTCGGTAGAGGCAGTGGGAACTTTACACCTGGCGGTTGGTGTGCGGGCGACCCGAAATGCTCTAAAGTTGGTGATCCGTCAAAGATCAGTCCCGGTCCTGGTGCTAACCGGCTAAGTTCGCTTGTTACAAGACTTGTTTTGACAACTAAATTGACTCGAAGGCAGTGTAGTACATAGGCTCTCAGCAGCTGAATGCGTCGTTAGAGGCCATTTCTGTTTAGATGTTTCATGTCAAAATTAATTCTTTACTACAATGTGACCACGCACAATGTGGAGATTTTGTCACTATTTTCAAAGCCATATATAATAATATACGAATTCACTTCTTCTTCACATAGAAACCCTACTCAGTGTATTATCTCGTTGTTTATAAAACAAACCTTTTAGAAAGTCCATTCTCGACATATATAAGGTCCATATCATATCAGAAGGACCAAGAGAAATAAAGACAGGTAACTAGAAAGAAATGGATGATGAAGTGTTCATATGCTTTTATATATATATATATGGTTCATGACGATTAGGTACAAGTACATATATGAATACACAGCGAGCAAGGCCTGCAAATTGAAACCTAACTCGGAACAATTGTGTCTGTAGTTGTTATACACCACATGGATTCGACTTTTACAGTCTATTTACATTCACAAACTGTACAAAAAAACGAGAGGGACTAAAAGAGAAGTAGGCAAAGGAGGATGCAACAAAGGAAGAATATGGATACCCGATTAAGAGACTTGTCCCAATGCATCATCCTCTGGCTTTGGTAAGGCTGAGCTATTGTGTTTGTGAAGGTTCCAAATATCCTGGTGTAGACCATGTCCCCAAACATTCCGATCACCGGGTAGAGAACACTCATCATTACTGCATTCGCAGGGTCGGTTGATTCCGTTGCGGTGAAGCCACGAGGCGAATATTGGTGGTTATGAAACGTCGGAGACATTGTTTGATGTTGAAAGCTTGGGTTAAGCGACGGTTCTGAAGCGATTTGATTGTATAAGGTTGATGGAGCGGGTCTGCGTGGTATCACTGCTTTCTTGGAGCCAAACGTGGAAGAAGGAGAAGACATGCCTCTTCCATAGAGAGGAACCAATGAGGTGATGGTAACGTTGGATTTGCAGACAGGGCAGTTGCTCTGGTGGTGCTGATACATGGAGACGGAAGATAACTGAACATGTAACCACTTGTAAATGCAAGGCCAGCAGAAAAGGTGTCCGCAGAGAGTGACGACCGGATCATGTGCTGTGTCTAGACAGATGTTGCAATCAAAACAGCCACTTTCATTAGCTTGGCCTCCCGTTGGACCTGCGATGAGATTAGGTTTTTGTTTGACTAAGAAGCCATCGTCATGTGCCTGTTGAGCATCAGACCTGAAGAAGTTCCCTCCTTCCATGGGAGATAAAATCCTGTTCAAGGAAAAACATAATATTGTCAGCTTCTGCATATTACAAATGTTGTCTCTGCAGAGTCATATAAGATTGAAAATTACAAGGAACTTCAGATAACATTCTAAATCATACAAATTTAGATATTATTGTCTTAATCCAGGCAAATCAGTGAGGGGGAAAAACGAGGATTTCAGATTTCAGATTTCAATCCTCTATACCGAAAACCCCCAAATTTCCAATTTTTTAAAAACCGAAATCCAGAAAGAGAGGGACTAACAGATGAATCGGACCCTAAATCATCCATTTACATACGCGAGAAAGAAGAATCAATGAACTAAAGAGAATCCACACCAAGACAGATGAAGAAGAACCTACCGAGACGGAGATGACGAAAAATGCTATCTTTACGATGAATCAACGATGAACAAACTCAAAAATCGCGAAAGAGAGGGGTTTCTGGGATTGGATGATGTTAATACGCTCTACAAGTCGACGTTTTTGCAACGTACGATTGTGATAATGTGAGCTTTTTAAAGACAACGACGGTGATGGGCTTCGTCTTCGTCTTCGTCTTTGTTTAGCTTTTTTTTTTCTCTTTTTAAATTCTAAACAAATTAACATATCTTTATAGGCTACACCTTTTTTTGTAATTGGATAGCTTTTGAATAGGATAATGATGTATGTATCTAACTAAATATCTTACCAGCCACTATTGTCAGGAACTAAATCGTGTTTTAATCTTAAACTATTACAGTTAAATTAAAATCCCCATTAATCAAATCATACTATCATTAGAACCGTACTTCACTTTCTTTGAACCCTTCTTAAAACTTACAGAAACGATCTGTATTCTCCTTACTTTGCAGCCGTCCTGTGATATAACATAATGTTTTGGAGTTAAGATTTGCAAGGCGAGTCTTGAGAGACTTTTGATCTTAAAGTGTTTTGGGACTGTGTTTTTATTGTTTTTAACAGGAGTCTCTAGGGCTAATATAAAACAAACGCAGTTAGTTCAGTGGCCAGCTTATCAAACTGAAACTTTATATCATCATACTACATTACATACGGTTTTATATGGTTTTCTAATTCTAAAACCCTTAAAAGTATCTAACGATGCATAATAAAGTAAAACTAGAAAATGTTATGATATTTTCTTCAAATCAGATGTTTGATTTCTTTTTAATTAATCACAAACTCAAACCGGCCCTCATCCACAGTCCACATTACATACCCAGGGAAAAAAAAAAAAAAAAAAAAAAAAAAACAGAAAACCCAAGCAACACAAATTTTTGTTGGGTTTTAGTAATTGACAAAACAAAAAGAAGAAAAAACTTTTCAAATCATTTTCTCCAAAAATTTCCTAAAAACTTTTAAGATATCAACAAAAGTAACCATGCCAACAAAATAGCCATCTTTGTCAATCACCCACGTGTAATTCGCTCGATGAGCTATCGCTTGGATCATCACCGCCATTAGCGAGCTCTTCGGATTACACACGACCGCTTCCGCCTTCCTCGACATTCTTGCCGAGATGCTCATCGACCTCCCAAAGGAGGTCGTCGTCCTCGCTGGAGATTCTTCCTCCGACGAATAACCCGAACACGGCGACGAGGGTGAGAGAGAATCGAAAAGCGAGAGCAAACCCATCAGTCCTTTCTCCTCAAGACGGTTCCTTACTTCCTGGACGAGACTCTCCGGCGGATTTCCACCGTCTAAATACTCCATCAGGTATCCCGCGGAGAGCGTCGCCACCGCCGCTGCAGCTGTTTCGTCGCAGCAAGTTAGTATCATCGGAGAGATCTCTCCTATTAGGCACATCAAAGATTCATCTCCTTCGTAGTCGACTACCGCGACGGAAGTTTGATCTGCGAGAGCCCGGGAGATGGCGGAGACGACGGTGGAGGCGGGGGAGTTGTAATGGACGGCGAGGATTGCGTGTGTGCTGTTGATGATACCGAGATCGGAGATTGTCATCGCCGGAAAAGGGGAGAATACGGCGATGGTTCCGAGGAGAAACTGTATGATGTCTTCTTGTGTGATCCAGCAGAATCTTTGTCCGTTCGAGTGGTGGGTGGTGGTGACTGAAACGTTGTCGTTTTGCTGCTTTCGCTTAGTAAAAGACTTTGTCTGAATCGGGACGATCAAGTTCTGTGCTCCTTCGATGATCAAATCAATGGCTTCAACTAAGCTGATCCATCAAATTAATGAAAGTTAATCTAAAGAAAATTATCTCAAAAGTGGAAGAAAAAAAAAACAGAGCATAGAAACAGAGGAAGAACAATGAAAGATTGAAATTATATTTAAAAAACCTGCAGGAGGGTTGAACATGGAGGACACGGGAACGAGTTTTGGGAAGAAGAACAGAGACAGGTGCGTTTAAGGAAGAAAGTGTGTGGTCTTCATCTTTTGACAAGTGGCAGATAACGTCAGCCATTGATATCTTTCCCAAACACTCGCACTCTGCGACATCGTCATGGTCATGATTGCAGTTCCAGACGGAGAGGAAAGGATCTTCAGAGGATTTGAGGGCAGTGATGGCGTCGGATACGGAAGAGGAAGCGGCGGAGAGACAGCGGAGAGGAGGTTTACCGAGACAGAGGTCGGAGATGTCGTAGGAGAGAATAGACTGTGCCATCAAAATTCAAATTCAAGGAAAGAGAAGAAGAGGTCTCTAGAAAGTGTGATGATGGACACAGTCACACAGATAGACAAAGAGAGGCGACAACTTATAAAACAGAAGTGATGGGTCGTACGATGTAAAGTTCTCATCGCATCCAACTTCTTATAAACAAGTTTAGAGTGCTGTGCATATCATAACTTTTTTTTAATAATAATAAAAATATCATAACTCGACTAGGAGTATTTCGATCGTAAAAAAGAAAATATATTTTTTTCACATCATCAAAATAAAGTATAAAAATAGAATTAATGGATTTAGCAATATTTTGCGATGGAAGATAATAAAACACAGAAGATTATCAGAAACTACAAAATAAATTAGAAATAAACATATAAACTATTTCCATCTTTATAATATAATAGAAAATTGGGTTTCTAATTTCTCGGCTTGTTTATTATTATCACCTATAACAAATATTATGATAAATACCACCTCTGGCAAATATGCCTTGAAAATTATCCAAATCAAAGTAGTAAAGAGATACTCAAGACAATTATAGATTGCACATTAGATCAAACTTACTATTATTCGTGGTCGTTTTAATCACTTGTCGGTAAATGAATCAAGTAAGCTCTCTAGAAGCAAATCAACAATGTTTAAATTCATATTCTTTATAGGTAAAGATTAGGGAAAAATTTATATGATGTTTCTTCGGGGTCCATCGTATCATAAGAACAAACCAAAGATACAGACTATAGATACGACCGAAGTTTTCTATCTTTGTGAGGAAAATTATGATCCTAATAATAATATTATGCAACAAATGGCTTTTTGTGTTGTGAGTCTTGTGACCTTTAATGATAGTTATAAGACACGATTCAGGTTTCTACTTACTCGGTTACTCCAACTGTCCAACAATCTGGCAGTGGCAATTAAACAATTTTTTTTGTAAAATAACTTTTCATTACCAAGTCTATTATATTAATTCCCAGTTTGCACTTTGCAGTCTTCTTCTTCGTCTTTTGTTCAAAGATTTATCTTCTTCTTTTCTGGGATAAAAGTATTTAGTTTCAAAGATCGTAGTTAAAAATCTAACGCTAAGAGAGAGTTGGATTTCATGTTCAAATTATTATGCTCAATTGTGAGTATTAACTAACTCTAACCAATTGTGTTGGATTCTATATTAATTTAAAGTTTCTCATATAAATATTTAAAAGGGAAGTGATTTAAACAAAGTTTATAAACTTTTAATTTGTCAAATAATTTTTTTTCTTAAAAATAGTTATTTTTTATAGAATAAAATAGGATAAAAACAAAACTAGCTACCTTGACCCTGTTGTTTTACCGGTAGAGTCAAATTCTCGGTAGAGTCAAATTCCTGAATCTTATATTTCGACCCTAAATAAACACCCCATTAAGAAAAACACGATTTCCTGTTCTTACAAATAACAAGTCGTACTCGCACGTAATGAAACAAGTTGGCCAAGTTTTTTTTTTTTTTTTTTGCTGGCCAAAGTGTATTCTAAGTACTTGCTTTGATAAGTTATTAATATTTTCTCGTCTTGTTTTTGCAATGTGTTGTGTGTTCTCTGTTAACTTGCTTGATCATATGAACGTAAGTGTTCATGTGAACCTGATTTGCCTGCACCATGCAAATATTATTTTTTAAATGTTTTATGGTATTCAAATGAACACATAGAACCACACGTCTTGTGTGTATATAACGATAGTTGATATTACAGTTGTATTCAAGATTTGAAAGTAAACTTTAACAACAAGCAAAAAATATTGGAAATGAAACGATGCATTTTCTGAAACCTAAATGATCTATTATTTCCTCTTCTCTCAAGTTGAGCGTTTTTAGTTTTGTTTTGTGCCGATCTAGTTGCTTGATTTTGCCTTCGATTTGGTGATCAGTTAATCGTGTGTTTGGTGCCAAGACGGGTCCTCCGATGTTAAAGGCAAGGGAACAGAGGTCAAAAGTAAACAGACTGATATTTTATACAAGGTAAACAAAAAAATATGCAGCTTTTTTTGGAGGGATCAAAATGTAGTAGTTTTAAATACTTTTTCTGCTCTACATATATTATACTCAACTGTAAATAAAGTAAAATCGCAGTTTGAAATAATCATATTCAAATAGAACACAGTCACAATCACAAACATAAGTCCAAGCTAATAATATAAGCAACACAAAAATAATATATCCAACAATACTCTTTGATGTACTCAATATATCTATCTGTTACACGACAATACCTTTCGTTTTTCTTCAAAGAGACAAATAAAGCAAAAGTCCGATCGACTGCCTTTAGCCACACACAATTAAATCATATGCAAATGAAAACTAGTATTTTAGATTAAAACCTAGTAATGGGAGAGAAGAGAACTGAAGCTGATTAATAACTCCTCAACCTTTTTTTTTGACATGTTTCTCTTTTTTCCGGCAAACCTTATTGTCCCGCCGACCACCATATGTGTATTATTAGTTTCAGATCAATTAATTTATATACACACATCAACGATTCCGACCAGTATGACTTATACAATGACGTACGTCAGTGGTTAAAGACTAATAATCTAAGACACTCGGATCCGTACGTATATAATTAAGATTTTCCGATTGTACGTTTCCATTAAATAACAAATTGTCCACCATTTAGAAAATGTTACACTCTGGTGGTACCATCCATGTAAAACATTTATTCTATTAAGCTCAAGAAACAAAAATTCGGTGACCTTGCATTGCATGTTGGTGGCTTTTATGTTTCGAAGCCTTTATTTTGTTCTGTATGATACTTTTATTATAAATTCGTACCGACTAATCATCAACATAAATATATATAGGATTGATTATATATATAGTAGGTTGCGTTTACTAGTTGATTGATATATTCCAGTTGTTAAAAGGGCACCAATCTAATCTTTCGTTTGAGTTTCTTCTATATACATACATAGTATGCGCAAAATAATATCTACTTGGTATATGGATGGTGGAAACAGACAATTAAACAAACGAACCATATACAAAACTTTCTTATTTTAACAAAAAGAAGAAGAAAAAAAACACAGAGAGAAAATGGAAGATGGCATCCTAAATGAAAGCATGTATATGAATAGGCGTTGACGTGAACAATATTAGATTCAACGAAAGTAGGCGAACGAACGTGACTGCTCTCCAGCTTTTTTGTACAGTAGCTAACGAAGCAACGTGATCTGTGGTTGTCCTTATATGGCACGTGCAACAGATAAGCAGACCTTGATTTTCCTTTTACAAAATCATAACTACACAAATAATTCACCCAAAAAGCAAAAGGAACCTTCAATTATAGAGACTTTCTTATATTATAATGAACTTTAAAAAGGGATGAGACGTTGAAAAAACAAAGACGGCCTTTGAAATGTGTGTTTGCGTATCTTTCGTTATTGTTTAATCGGTTAGTTGTAAGAATGCATATTATTGCATGTGACTTTTGGTTGGATAATAATTATATATGTGGTCATTTTCCATCCATGTCCGGTGATTTTCAATGTCAAAACACTTTATGCACACTGTACAAGGTTCGAAAACACACAAAAAAGTTTTGCAATATACTTATTTTAGACCTTTTGGTTATGTGAAAGATTAAATTTCCACTTATTAAGCTTATATTACATTGTTTGATTTAAAATGACTGCAATGTTTGTCAAAGAGTTAGTCCAGCTTTTGAATTTTCGATATCTCCTTGAGAAACGTTACATGAGCATGTTTTCGTCCAAATCCGGCGTTAAGGGTGTGTCATACAAATAACAGAGTTAACGTAAGATGATCCATTAGGCCCAAAAGTGAAATGAGCTAATATGGGTATTCTTGTACTATAATTGGGCCGGTTTTTGAGAAATATCAGCCGTCAACAAAGTGTGCCAGCGACAGTGATGCGATATTTCAGCCTCGGGAATCACAGAAGATCAGTTTCTCTTAAGAAATTGAATGAATGTGAGTTATCTATCTATCGGTAGGAGAAAAAAAAAAAACAAAAAAATGAAAAATGGGAAGATAAGAACACATAAAAGTACGAGAATGCCTATCCCGTGATACTGACATCTTTCTTTTCGTGGCCCACCAATACCCATTTTTCTCCGCTAGATAATACGCAAAGCTTTCAAAACCCAAAACCAAACCTATCATTGTTGTTTACAGTAATGATGCTAGTAGTATAGCATGTAAAACAAGACACTGAATTTGACAAATAAGTTAAAATATTAGTAGTATAGCATGTAAAACAGTATGACGCACAAAAAGACACAACGTCATTTATATTTTTTTTTTAATACCATATAGATAAAACCGGGTTACATATCTGATTTTTAAGTGGTTGGATGATACAGAAAAAAGGACAAGCTACGAATTAATATTTGTTGGATGATTTACACACATTTGTTTTTAATATTTCCCAAATATTACAAATATACTTATATATTATTTTTTGTATGTCATAAGTATACTTATATTTGTAGGTATTTTTAAACACTAGCATATTTTATCGTTGATATCAACACAATTTTAACATTTTAAAAATTTACAAATCATCTTAAAGTAAAACAGGTCAAGTCACTGGCACACTTTGTCAAATTTTGAAGTTAAAAAAGGTCAAAACAGATAGTGAGTTAGATATTTTATACTAATGAAATGGATATTATAATATGTCGAATAGTATTTATCCATTAATAACCGTTTAGATAATAAAATAGAAGGAAAAGTCTGATCATCTCTCATCCACAAGGACCAAAACCATTTCGTTCCCACAGAAAAACAAGAAAAAACAGACAACTGATTAAATCAAATAGCCACCGCTTGAAATATATATACTCAAGAAACCTCACCACTTTTGCTTCTACAGTTTTCTTCAAAGATTCTTATCATAGAATTACAAAACTCTTCTTTTTTAGATTAAATTTTAATTTCATTGTTGGGTTCTCTCTCTCTGGAGAAAAATGTTGGCTATATTTCACGAGGCGTTTGCTCATCCGCCGGAGGAGCTCCACAGTCCGGCATCTGTGAAATGCTCTAAACAGCCGAAACTTCCAGAGGAAACCCTAAACGATTTCTTATCTCGTTACCCTCACAACACTTTCTCCATGTCTTTCGGCAAAGCAGCTGTTCTTGCTTACGTTCGTCCCTCTGCTTCCTTCTCTATCCACCAGAGGTAAATATACACAGACAGACAGACACAGATCCTGCTTCTCTTCTTGTCTAAAGGTTTTGATCTCCACTTTGTTCTTGTAGGTTGTTTTGTGGATTTGATGACATCTATTGTCTATTCTTTGGGAGCTTGAACAATCTGTGTCAGCTAAACAAGCAATACGGTCTCACCAAGACAACAAACGAGGCCATGTTTGTGATTGAAGCTTATAGGACTCTTAGGGACAGAGGTCCTTATCCAGCTGATCAGGTCGTCAAGGATTTGGACGGAAGCTTTTCCTTTGTCGTTTATGATAGCAAAGCCGGTTCTGTCTTCACGGCTCTGGTACTCTCACAAATCGATCCATTCACTTTTTAGTGTTTAAAGGATGTTTTTGAGAAACTTAAGAGGATGATTGATGTGTTTTCTTGTAGGGATCTGATGGAGGAGTCAAGCTCTTTTGGGGCATAGCTGCTGATGGATCTGTCGTGATATCTGATGATTTGGATGTTATCAAAGAAGGCTGTGCTAAATCTTTTGCTCCATTTCCTACAGGTAATAATACTGAGTAATTAGTACCAAGCTTAACCAAGGAGGAGGAACACATGTGTATGGTTTAGCTTTTTGAACAAAGACTTTGACTTGATATTGATACATAGTGAAGCTCTTTAAGCTAAAAACAAGGAGGAAGATCCGAAGATAATGATGTTTATGTACGATCCAGCAAATACTGAAATGTTTGATGAATTTTGAGTGTGTTGCAGGATGTATGTTCCACAGTGAAGGAGGGCTAATGAGCTTCGAGCATCCGATGAACAAGATCAAGGCTATGCCGAGAATTGACAGCGAAGGAGTTCTCTGTGGAGCCAACTTCAAGGTGGATGTGTACTCGCGTGTTAACAGTATCCCTCGTCGAGGAAGTGAAGCCAATTGGTCTCTCTGAATACTTATTACAACCTCTGGACGACTTTCGAAAGAGTTCTCTTTTCGCACTTCTTGTTCTTATTCTCCACTTTACTTATGTGACTGTTTCTAATAAGCCATGAATAAAACTGTAAATAGCTTTCGAGCTTCTGTTTCTACCTTCACACAAATAATACTTTTCAACGCTCGTGTTATTTAGTTGATCAACGTATGATTGATGCTCTTTAAACTTCCGGTGTTGTAGAGGACAAACTTAAGATCATTTTCCATTTACTTTATTCCCTTCTACTTCAGTCAGAGAAGTTAATAGTTTTGTTTCTTTCATGCTTCACCAAACAAACAATATTAAGTATGACGAAACAGAGTTTATATCATTTTTGTTCAGGAAACAGAGCAAATAAAACTCAAGGTTGCCCAACCTCTTTTATTTCTTTATTGTGGGCTACTCGCCAAGCAGATCTACAACTCGACACACACTAACGAAAAGTTCAGAAATTGAATCAGACATCTAAGAATCCCGAATATCCTCTAAGGATACATCACTTGGTACAGAGAGGTCGTCTCATCAGAAGAAAGACACTTCAAGTCAAATTAGGCCAAGCCAACGAGCTTCTCACTGATCTCCCACACTTTGCGAGCCTTCTCAACATCGCTTGCTTCTTCTGATAACTGGTTCTCAAAAGAAGCCGAGGCCTTGTTCCAGCTCCAGTAAACCCCTGATTTCGTTAAGCTCGGATCACTCACCACCTGATCAAACAAAACTCTGTTAGCTTAAGTACACAGCAAGAAAAAGCCTTTCCTTGACTCACAAGCTAAAAAAAATAACAATAACTTTTTTAAGCTTCTTTATTACCTGAGCAAGTCTTTTGCCAGACTCTGTCTCGGAGACATATCCTTTAGTGATGTACTTCTGAAATGGAGGGAAGAGGGTACGGAAAAGCGGAATGTGCTCTCTGAATAAACCCGTGGAGGCGATGCAACCAGGGTACAGCGAAGCGAATGTAATTCCGGTATCTTCATGGTAACGCCTGTGGAACTCTTGCATCGTCAACATATTGCAGACTTTACTGTCTTTGTAAGCCTTTGCACCGTCGAAATCTCCTCCATCAATCATCGCTGAGCTGTTTAATCCGTTCAATCCGCCAGCTAAACCCCTCAAATCGCCAAGATTCGCCTTCGGTGGTACATTACCGGCCAATGTATTGGTGTTCCCTAAACCAAAACAAAATATACAATGATCAAACATCATTCTCTTTTGTGAAATGTATAGTAGGCTAATTTAGATTCTTAGACAATACCGGTGATGGATCCGACGATAATGAGACGCTTCGAAGGGTAATCAGATTTCTTCAAGTCATCAAGCAACAGCCTCGCGAGAAGAAAATGTCCCAAATGATTCGTAGCAACGCTAAGCTCAAACCCTTCTGCACTGTAAGTAGGCTCTTTAGCTGTCGGGAAATAAACAGCAGCGTTGCAGACCAAAACATCGAGAGGCATCTCCGATCTCCTAAAGTTATCAACGAATTGCCTCACGCTGTCCAAAGAGGCCAAGTCTAAATGCATCACCGTGTAGCTGTCTTTAGGCATCCCTGCGGATTTAGCGGCTCTCTCCGCTTTAAGGAAGTCTCTGCACGCCATTATCACGTGCCATTTCCCTGTCTCGGCAAGAGCTTTTGCCGTGGCTAGACCTAACCCAGACGAGGCTCCCGTGACCACAACGTTTCCTTTCCTCAGCGTTTTCTTGCTGTCCACGGATGATTTTGTGATCGAGGGACTTGAAGTCGCAGCGGTTTGGGCTCGAATTGCTGCATTCCTCAAGCTATGTTCTCTCTGAATGTTAAGAAGATATCTCTTAATCAATTAACCATTACTAGTCATTGGCAGAAGAAGGCTTAGACAAGACTGTAATGTAGTAATTGAGATTTGTATACGTACCTTGAATCTCAATGAGGAAGAGACATGTTCGGATTTGATTTGGTCGGCAATGGAGACACCAAATAGACTCGAGTCCTTGAAAGATGATGAAGAAACATTCAATTTTGCGTCTTTTCGGACAGAGAAAGCAGAGGAGACCAAAGAAGCAGCTTGCAGGGCCATTTTTGGTACTCGAAGAGTAGTGACAGATAGCAAAAGCGATTGAAGAAGAAAACTATCGGAAGTGGATATTTTGTGAGAGAGAGTGTGTGCGTATATATGTACTCGCGAAGGAGTGGAGGAGGTGAGATTCGGACAAGGGAAGGGTGGTCCCCGCAGAGATCACCGAAGATGTGTGGATAACATTATCTTAAACCAAAGTATCTGCCACGTCACTGTTGCATATCCAATGAGAATTCGAGGCTTAGATTTCCTCTCAGTATGATATTTTATTTTATTGGTTTTGTCTCGGTAACAAATGGAACAGTTGCAAATTGCAATAAACGATGGTGATTGGTGTTCATGGGATTCCATCCTTTAGCATGGGAGAAGAAGATATCTTATGCTACTTGTTATGGACACTCTGTTGTTTGGATAATTTTTCCCAATTTTCTTTTCAAACCATTGTTTTTATCTGTATGTGAATTCTCATTTATATTTTTCTTACTTTTAAAGTAACTTTTTTAATCTATCATTTTGCAACAATCATATAATTTTTTTTAATGTCAATATTTTATTATTATTGAATAAACATATGGTGAAAAAACAAAAATAGCATACAGAAAGAACATGTCACACAACTACCAACTATATAAATCGCAATTCATCAAATATAATCTGCCTTTCAAAAACAACATTTGAATTCAATATCCAAACAAATCAATCTACAAAACTCATAGTTGTACTCTCAACGTCTAATAATTTTGCAGTCATACATAAGAAAACAACACTCCCAAAATATGACATTAGTATATCACATAGCAACATAGACAAGAAACAAACTTATTTTGTTGGTTAAAATCCCTTTTAGTAAGGCGAGAGAGAGGCCTCAGCAGCAGAGGAGTAGAAGAAATAATAGAACTGAGAGACAATGGCGTTGAAGAAGACAAAGGAAGCTCCCGCGGCAAAGACACCCTTACGAAGAGTTTGACAGTCAGGAGGATTGTCCATGAACATTGTCCTGTACTTGGTGTGGTATGCATTCTCTACGGATCCAGCTAACAGACATATCTCCGCTATCAAGAAGAACATCCTTTTTGTTCGCCAAGAAAACAACAATCAAAATATGAACAAAGTATTAGCTCCATTTCGGTAGGATTAGTATATTTTTTGAAGTGAATGTTACATTTCAAACCAAAAACATCGTTTTTACATCAGATGCAGACATTAGTATAACAAAGATAAGAAACATGTTTGGCTTTATAACGGATTATAAGATGCTTGTTAATTTAGATTTAAGAACAATAAATGTTGTATAATGGACGAAAGCCGAATGCATAACATAAACTAAAGCTAAACATCATCTATTGGATATGTTTGATTGTGGATTTGGAATCATCTTTGTAATTTCCATGATTGCTACAACTTTCGGTTTTGGTTTAGGTCAGTTTTATTTAATTTAAACCGAAACAAAATTGTATATATCTTACCAGCTGACAATGAAGAGAACGAGGGCAAGGGCGCGTGAACCGCCAGGCTTGAGAGGCTTTCCACAACAGAAGCAGCGGCTAACGAGCATGATAAGAAGTTGACTAGCTAATGAGAACAAAAAGGCTCCAACTCCATACCCTGTGGCTCTGTCCGAATCATACACACAGTAGTTGTATTGCACCTCAGTGTCTTGCACAACCGTTGCCTGCCCCACCAAACAATTATATAGTTTTGTTAAAAAAGATTCAAAATGTTTAAAGAGAGAGAGATCACAATAATCATCATATTGACTCACAGTGCTTCGTCTTTGTTCAGCCGCAACGGCTAGACCAAAGGCAATGACGTTGAACACAAAGACTATGGCTGAGACGATCTTCGACGCCATGGATTCACCTTACTCTCTCCCTCTCTTTCACAAAATGTTCCTTTAGATATAAAGATATAAAGACAACTTTGTTTGCTCAGATTTGATCGTCTCGCCTAATGGAAAAAGACACGTTACCATTTATTTGAAAATGGATATTTCACCTTTTAAATTTATTTATTCGTATTATTCAATAAAAAGTACTTTCGTGTCTTGGAAAGTTTATATAAGAATTTGGGAAAAAATGAAAATGGATGGTAGTCGAGGATGCGTAGTGCGAAAGATAGAAACAGAGCTTCCTTGTGGAATAATTTTCTGCTGTTTGTGACAAAACAAAATAAGATGTTATTTTTTTGTTAAAGAATGAAAATGAGCTGTGTCTCCTATACAAATTTCGAAGTATGATCTGTATGAAATTAACGTGACGGAACCAAAGCTTTTCTTTTTCTTTTTGATCATTACTAAGTTTCAAAATGGAAAACAGCTTGAAATATGCCCCAAATCGTGAAAAGATATAACGCCAGAATTAGAATTAGATTCCCAATTGATGGGAACATGCGACCGAAATACATTTTTTAGAATAAAAATAAAAAGTAGAAACGAAGAAATGCTTATAGAAAATTCTAGTTGGATGGATGGTAACGCCAGAGACTTCTTCGTCAATCTAACAGTACCAGTGCATCTCTCTCACCGAACTTCATGAAAAAGTATTTTCATAATCTTTTATCAAAATTATAATTCATACAATGAACCATATTTTTATCTCCATTCCATATTTATTAATTCCATAATTTTTAGACTTCTTTTTGTTTGTTTTTCTCTAATGATCACCAATCAAATACAAAAATCCAAAATAACATTGCGTTATTCAAACTCAACAAACCAATTTTTATACACTCACCAATGCTATAAACAAGACATCAACAATTAAATATAAACAGCCAAATCAAACTGGTTGAAAGAACAAAAAAAATAAAAAATATCACACAAGAAATTTGTTTTCAAATAATAAAGGAGACGACGATATTAAACCGGCCTTTCCCACTAAACTCAACACGACGTCGTCATAGTGCCTCTCGAAACAATGCTCCGATGATCCTTCTGAAGAACTAACATCATTTTTTCCTTCCGAACATAAGAAGCTTCCTGAAGACTTTAGCCGTTGCCTTCGGAGACGTCTCTTCACTGTTCCATTTCTTTCTAGAATGGTCTGTTTCTGTAGCCGGCGGCGTCGAGACGTCATTCTCCGAGACTGTTGGTGAGAAATAATACTTCTCCTCCATGTTTGTCTCTGAAAAAGTCACCGACTTCTTCGGAGACGCCGGTTTTGCCTGTGGAACCTTGACTTCTCCGACATCCTCCGAACAATGGTTCCTATGGATTTGTTTATCTTCACAGACGGATGTCTTCTTCACTATTTCCTGATCATCGATTTTCGTCTGATCTTGTACTCTCTGATTATCGGATTTCGATACTGCATCAGTGATGAATTCACTGTATTGGCTGATTCCTCTACCAGTTTCTTCCAATGGCAAGCTCTCTTTAATGTCTTTGAAGTCCACAGCAGAAGAGGCAGCAGAAGGTTCATCAACTTGCTTCACTGACAAGTAAGACTGTGAATCTTCTTCCACTGTCTCCTTGATTTCGAGACTCGGGTCACGAGAAAGTTCCAGACTTTTCGCATCGGTATCAGCTATTTTACTCGATTTCTTGTCCTGAGGTTTCTCTGTCTTGTTTCCCAAAGGTTTTGATGCTCTTTTGATTACTTGTTTTTGTTGTGGCTCCTTTGGTGCGGTCCGGGCAACAGCAAGGCGCTCAATGGTGGAGCTTCTCAGTACCGGCTTAGCCTTTGGCTGCAGCGTGGCTTCTGCGGTCTTCTCGTTCTTTATCGAGCTCTTCACGGTTTTAGTTGCAGTAGGAGTTTTCTTGGACGTTAAAGAACTTGATACAGTACCACCAGAACTCTTCTCAGCAATTCTCTTTTGCCTCTGAATCAAAAGTTCTTCCATTCTCTTCTTTCTCTCTTCCTCCTGTCAAATACAAAAATCAAGATGAGAGAAAAGGAAACTAATCAAGAAAGAAGAGAAGCGGTTACGGAAATTACCATTTCGGATTTGGTTTTGGTGGCAGCAGCTCTGCTTCCCCAAGGAGGTCTCTTCGCTTTCGAAGCCGGGTCAGGTCTACTTACTCCTCTTGACTTTGCATCCTTCCCTTTGGAGACAGCACGGGTTTTCTTTTCTTTACCATCTGAGGCTTGATCACCTGCAGAGGCCTTTGTAGCGGATTCTAAGTCGATTTTGCTTTTCTCTTGAGCCAAAGTGTTAGCCTCGAAGTCAATTTCAGGAGTCCATGATAACATTGTAGGTGTAACATCTTGTTCCCGTCCAAGAACCATGAAAAGGTCATCTGGCTCATGCCGAGTGGTCTCCGGTGCATGGTTTTCTTGTTGGGTGATTCCGTAAACATCTGAGTCCATGATGTCTGTTCTCAAACGGGACTCTTCTACTTGGCCCTCAACACGAGAATGGATCATGAACGAGTCATCGGTCAGGACATCTCTCTCGCTGCGCTTCGTTAAGTGGAAGTCGTCTCCTACAAATGTTTTGACAAGACTTGGATCAGTTTCTGGACCCGCTTGGTTACGTATGAACCAGTCTTCCTCGGCCTCATTTCTGGCTCTGAGCTTCCCATCATAAACCGACATATCTGCCTGCGAATAGTTTCTTGATTCACCGCCTCTACCTGGATTCAACATCTCCTCGTCGTAGTTGTTCTCTCTCCTTATCAGCCGAACATTCTCACCCACATCGAGTTTCTTAATACTGTTTTCTCTGCCCCAGTCCTCATTCCCATTTGCGACCAAGAAAGAATCATCCAAAGGCGCTTCTCTCTTTCTCACAGCTTCTGACTCCATCTCTAACGGAGATGATGGCGTTCGTAGTGTTTCTTCTTGGTCTGAATCTTTGTCTTTCAAAAGAAGGTTTTGGAAGGCATCCCAATTATCATTCCCTTTAGTTTCCTTACTACCTGAATCATCATCGTCACTGTGACTTTTGTGTTTCCTCCGACGGCGTGAACTTGATTTATGCCGTTTCTCCAGTGAGCCAATGGCTTCTTCAACTTGCTGCTTGATGGAATCTCCATCCACAAACCCTTCTTCTTCCTCAGACTCCTCCGAATCGCTCTCCTTCGTTCCATTTCTCTTTGAAGTTATATAGTTTATGTTGCGTATGACCACTTTTCTAGATGATTTCTTCCCTTCCTTTCCATCTTCTGATTCGGTCTCAGCACTGGACTCATCGCTTGGCTCGGTGGATTCATCTTGCTTTGACTTCTTCTTCTTCTTCTTGTTCTTCTTTTTCTTCTTGGAAGACTTCTCACTTGACTCCACATCTCCCATGTTTACAGGCCATTGCATATTCCCAGGGAAATACGGCGACTGGCCTTGCATCCCAGGAAACATATAAGGAGGATACCCATGTCCTTGGAAGTTCTGCATGTATTGAGGATAATGGTTTGGCCACGGCATTGCCATTTGAGCTCTCCCTTCTGCACAATGCCATCAGGTCAGCTTTAGTTACAGTCCTAACCAACAACACCTCAAAAGAAAAGAAAAAAAATTCCAAGAATCATCTAATGAGGACCTTGACTAGTCTCGAAGCTGCCTTGGCTCGAGGCATCCATGGAGTTCCCGAGCTTCACGTTTGAAGCATTCAACAAATCGTTCTCTTCGCCAGCGAGTACGATCCCAGAGTCACCCATGAACGATAACTCAGGCCTAGGAAATGCTTGCATGGCCGTGATTTGGTCCACCCACATTCTATCTTCGTTCTTTCTCTTGCACAAGTCCACAAAGTTCACACACGCTTCCCTGGGCGCAAAAAGAACACAACATCGATTCATAACTTTAGTACAGATGCTTACGAGCAACACAAGGACATGAATGGCTCAGTTACATACCTTAAACGGGAAGCTCCAAAAGCATCGGCGAAAGACAAGAGGTCATCCATGTAGTCCAATTCAAAACCAACAACCATAGCTCGAGCGTAAGCCATGGCTTGCTCTTTGCACAAAGCCGCTTTGCGGTTCTCCAAAACACGCTGAAGACCAACCCTATTTCATTTGATTCCCTCGCTTATCAGTATCAATCAAACTTCACATAACCGGTGAACTCAACCCACAAGACATAAAAAAACAGAAAAGACTAGTGAAAAACTTACTTTGAATTTTCTTCCCCATTGTCTCCATCAGATTCACCTTTTGCCTAAACACAAAACAGAGCCAAAAACAATTGAAACATTAAGCAAGAACTCAGCTTTTGGCTTCTAAGTGAGGGAAAACAAAAACAAAAAAAATCACCTTTGATAATGCTGTAGGCTTCTGAGAAGTCCATGTACTGCCCAACTCGTTTCCTAACAAAAATTATGAAAATTGAAATCTCTGTTTCATAATTTTTGGTGGCGATAATTTGATCGAATTCGAATTGTAGCAAGGGCTCTTTCTAAAACCCTTTTAAAGACCCAAAACATACCTTCGGCTTCGCCGGAGATGGCGGCTGCATTAGACTGAATCGAATCCTCGATCTGCTCAATCTCCTTCTCCAATGTTACCGACCTCTCGAGAACCTCAGGAGTGGTCACGAATCGCACAAATCTTTTGCCCAAAATCGGAAACAAAAAAAATTTAGCTCATTTTAGGGTTCAGAGACGAAAGACAGAAACTTTTGTAGAAGGCGGAGAGGTTTTACCTCTGAAGCGTCACTTTGGTAAACCAAGGAGCGCCGGCGGCGGAGGAAGAAGGACGGAGGGTAACGGAATATCCACCTTTAGAAATCTGATCTCTAACGCTCTTGAGATGCGTAACGAACGGCTGAAAGATCCCCGAGGCAAGTTTCTCGTTCTCCCCACCGGAGAAAATCACCAGCTCACATCTTCAGACAACAAACAAACAAATATAGAGACAAGTAGAGAAAATCAAACATATATAGACTTGTGTTAAAATGGTAAAGAACAATGAAAGAGGCTTGTAGGCATTTAGAACTAACCTTGTCCTGGTGGGTGTGAGTTGAAACAGAGCATAGTCAAGTCTTGTTCTGGGATCCATTAAAGACCCAACAAGGAAACACACACAAACAGATGGGTTAATTTAAGTTTCACCAGGATTTGAAGCACTTATGGTTGATGTTCAAGAATATTCATAGATTTCTGATTTATTTTGCAGAGAGAGAGAGAGAGAGAGAGAGAGTGAAGGAGAATGTTCCGTGACAGCTAAGAGATAGAGAAGAGAGTGGAGTAAAAGCTGTAGGACGATTGAGATCCAGAAGCAAGCACATGCACTGAAGCTCAGACATTCACATAAAGAGGAAAGAGGAGAGAGATTTTCATGGAGTTTTTGGTTCTTTTCTTTTCTTTGTTCTTCATTGATTAAATAAATTGTAATCATATATGCCCATGTAGGTCCCTCGTTCTATACGCCGACACATTTCATTAATCTTACCAAACGATTATTACATTTCATTAATCTTACCAAACTTTGCACAACTTTGGTAGAGTAAACGATTAATACATTTTGGGGGAATCGAATTAGGAGGAGATTTGGATATGAGTTTTAGTTATCTCCCACTTTGAAAAAAAAATTGTCTGGAACTTGATTACATTCGTGACACAGAGAAAGGATAACTTTGCAATTATAATCCATATGAAATCATGTTGATTGTTGTTGTCTTGTTGAATATCTAAGAAACTTATTCCTTCAACTTTCGATGCATGTGTCCACCTTGCTTTAACTATATAGCCAGTCTCAGTAAAATTTGTTTTCATTTGAAGAAAGTGGTGCATGGCATGGCAGTTTGGTAGTATTTGTTTCTCAAAAGTCTCAACCAAGAAGTTTCAAGTTTTGTAGTTGTAGTGTGGAGATATTAGATGACAAGAGAAAAAAATGTTTGTAAATTATGTGGATAAGACTTTTCTTCATCTGATCAATAACAAGTGTTGTTTAAAATGAAAAGTGTTAGTTGACATGTATGACTCAAATCTGTCAGAAGCTTGGATACCAAGAGAGTGAGAGACAAATGATAATAACAGTTACTTAGAAAATGAAAAAATTCCTATAAAATATATATTGTAAAAATTAGTAGTATGAAGTTTTTGTGATGTTTACTAACTATATTATTTGTCTTAGCTTAGAGGGGAGACAAGCGAATTACATAATTGTTTCATACCATGTGAGGTGGAGAATGTTCCGAGCTTATTGCACAAGATAAATGATGAAGTACTTGTACTGTTTGCCCCAGACATTGTATAGTAATGAATTGTTTATCGTGTTTTCATGAACAAGTTATAATGCGATGCAAATTTAATTTTCTTAGCATGGATCGATGTGTTACATTACGTAACTTACACATCTCAAATTTATTTTAACTGTAAGAGGTGTGATTCGATGCTAACACGAGACTCCCACTCCAGACTGGTGAAACCGATTATATTTTTATTTTTTTAGAAATTTAATCTAAAAATCTATCGTCCATTATTCAGTTAAGTAGACTTAACGAAGATAAGTTATTGGAAACACGGAGTTTTGTCGGATGTTACAATTTTAAATAGGTTTTTTTAGTTTGATAAACTGTGTAAAAAGGTCGGAAACTATAATCATCAATGATGGTAAAGTGGCTAATCACCAGAAAAGCTACGGATTGTTGGTTAGAATATAAGCTTCATTAAATAAATCACAAGATTATCGCCAAAAAGGTATAACCACTTGTAGGAACCAACTCAAGAATAGTTATAGTGAAGTTGTGTATATATGTAATATTTATATAAGAAGTTGTATTAATGTGGGTCACGTGATTGATCAATTGTAGCTACTTGTCTTTTTATACTTCTTGTCAAAGGATGTAGAGATATGAAGATTCCATTATTATTTTTCTGGATGGTTGTGTCGTCTGCACATGAGTAAATTTGGATGGTTCTGTGTCGTCTGTAAGATTGTCCACCCCTATTAAGTTTCAAATTACATCTTGAATTTGACTCTCGGTTATTCGAGGCGTGGGTTCATGCTATTAGGTTTTTGATCAAGTGAAAGTTGAAAAAGATTGGAAAAGAGTTGGGTTTTGCGTTTGCAATACTATTACTAACTAGATCACATTTAGTTTGGTTTTATTTTTCACTTTTTATTTTTATTTTTGCAACGACTCTGACGTTATCACGAACTACAAATCTTAGGAAAAGATTTAGGATTATAGTTTTATAGAACCCCAACTTCAAACCCGAATGCTCTTTTATCACCTAGCTAGCCAGTAGCCACTTCAGATTTTCACCGTGAGGAACGAGTTCGATAGCATATTATCTAGAAACATGCTATAATTTATCTGGATCAACTTCAAAATATCGAGAGAGCCTTTTCATCTGATGTCGTTGTTCTCGACATATTTGGGTCATGTTTGTTTCGTTGTTAGCGATCAGCAACATTCGACCAACAATAGCAATCAACAACGCGGTTTCTTATTCGTCTTGCGGTTGCTCACGATCAACAACTACTATTTGTTTTATTATTATTGATTCAGTGATTTTTTTTTTTGCTATAAATAATAGGGACTAGTAACTATCAATTTTACAAAGTTAATTTATTTTTGTTGGTTGATTTTTTACAAAGTTGACTAAATTTTTGTATATTGACTTATAAATTTTATTTTGTGTCTAACCTCTTCACTAGAACTTTATTGCTCTTGAGCTTTCATATATGCATCCATACAGCATATGAGAGAGAGAAACACAAGACATCATTAAACACCAATCACGCACCTAAGACCATCTAATTCACGATATTGACAAACTTATAAGAAATTAGGCATCTTCTATTCCTAAATCCAATCCTCTCAACAACGATATAGTCTCATGGTCCCGTGGGCTAACACTCATCAATCGTATTGCCTACTCATATTCTCTGTTTCCAAATGTTTTTCAATTTCTTATATAGTTTAAGTTAATGTTGGTAGCATCCTTTCACCCTTTCAAATTGTAGAAACCCCATGTGTAATAATAACTTTTTATTTGTCGACCAACACTTTTCAAAAAAAATATGTATACATAGAACCTACATACAAGGGAAGAAAAAAACTAGATGCATCTCCAAATTTCCTGATTCAAAATGTTATAATATACATGTTCAATATCACCTTCTTCCCAAGATGGCGGAGGGTTTAATTAGAGATACTAGAAAGAACATGAGAAGTTGTATCTCGTCGAGACATCCTCAGTGCGACTTCAGAGATGAGCTGCATCATTTCTCCGGCGAATTCAAGCACCGGCTGCCGGACAAATCGCGCCCATAGTCCCAAAACACCTACCATCACCATACCCGTCTCCGCCATCATTTCTTCCACTTTGAATGATTCTCCCTGATATGTCTGTGACAATAAACTCGATACGAGACACAGCTTATTGTTGAAGATTTCTCCAAGGGATGAATCGGACTGTAGAGAGAATGGGTTTGGACTATTTCTTGATTTCATGTGGGGGTTGCAACCACCGGAAGTTGTCAGCTAACGGTCATTAGAGAAATCAACTCAAAACTCGCTGATTCTCTCAGAGGGTTCGGTTGGATTTTTTTTTTTTAAAAAATAACAACTCGATTTTTGCCACCAAAATTTTCAAGTGAAGCCAAAGTTTCTAGATTTTTAATATTTTTATATTTTAAGTTTTGGAGATAAAATTTATATTTTACAAAATAGTTAAAAGGAATTGACTTATATAGCAAAAAAAAAAATAGAAGTGGAATTCGTCTCGCGGTATACATAGAATGGTAGAGAAGATGATATATAGAAGAAAAGTAGTCCAACGAACAAAAAGTCTATAGCATATATATATCATGCTCCAATAAGAGAGTTTAATATAGAAGTTGAATAGTTGTAAGAGTGACTACCTAAATTCTATAGATTCCATACAAATTGAATCTCTTCATTGACTCATGTAATTGTGACGTTTAAAAACAAAGTTAATTTAAGTGGATGATCGCATGCTCAACTCTCGCTTTTCACTTGCGAATCCTCCACCTTTGATTTCTTAAGTGGAGGTTACATTTCTTTTCTTTTACTTTCCCATTTATGTTTAAGTCAGTTTATCAGCTCTGTTTCGTTTCAGATATGGGAAGATAGATAGATATCTCCATTTGTAATAATTCCATCAAACCTATGTGGATTTAGAACAATTTAAAGCGTTATTTAAGTGGTGGATCCTATGATCGGTGTCAAACACGTACAAGTGTGCGGCCACAACAGTTCACAAAAACTACAGTCGTGGGAATAATAGAATTGACAACAATATTGATGTTCGAAAATAATAGCCACGACATCATTGTTAATAAGTGATATAAATAGCTACAATACATATTTTGTGTCTATGTTCCACCATAAATTTTGTGACTATTCCTGGTTAAAATGTCACAAAACATATTTGTGGCTATCCATGGTAAATTAGACACAAAGTTAGCCACAAAACTTATTGTGTCTATAAAGCCACAAATTGTCACATTTTGCCACAAAATTAATATTAATCTGATTTGTGGCTATTTTTATATAGCTACAAATAAGTTGTGGCTAATTTGTAGCTAAAAACAGTTTTTCTTGTAGTGTTCAAATCATATAACATATTTGTGTGATTTTGACAAAAAGGTTTATAATGGTTGCGGAAAAACTGATCAAACCCTGAAAGATATAATTAACCAATTTTTTTAAAGAAAACAAGCGAATAATTTAGGTGATGTTATTGGTTGCATAAGTTTAAATCTAACTCCATTAGAAAATCAGATTTTAAAAAGTTTGGTTCTTTTAGAATGATTCATTATTTATTTACAAAATCTCCTTTATATAAACTTTTTAGATACTGAATTGTGTATTTATAAATTCAACATGATGTTATTTGATTTGACAATAGAATTGGAATCAATAACAAGTTAACAACAAAAACCACATATTTGATTTATGTTATTTTCTTTCAAGCTTGTATATGTTTATATGGTTTTTTTAGTTTGTGTTTTTTACTCAATATAGCTTTTGTGTTTAAGTTATGTTAAAAGAGAATAAAAGAGTGAGATGGAAACTATGATGTTTGATTTTGTCAAAAAAAAATTATCTTGGGTTGAAAAGATATATCTTCCTGGATTTCTTTTGGTTTGGTCCAAAGAGATGAGAGTGCACCTATATATTCAGTTTGATGATTTTATGTTTTATGTTTGAAAAGAGAGATGTGACTAGGGTTAATAATAGTTGATAATTATGAGCTGGGTTTTGATTTTATTGTTAACATAAACTGATTACAAAAAAAAATATGAGGATAAACGTCAGATTTCATTTACATATATATAAAATTAGAATCATATTCATTCGAACTCTTTAAGTTAAAGTTTAACAACAACAAAAAAGCTCTTTCAAGTCAAAGGAATTGTAAAATTTTATCAAACATGAATAACACAAGAGTTTAATTATTGTATTTAAATCTTTAGTTGAATAACAATGGATTTCAAACTCATTTAATAAAGATATTGTAAATATAAGAACCAATAACATTAGATTTTAATAAATGATTTTAAATCAGTCATTCAATAACAATGGATTATATAACCTATACAATTAATATTACATCCATAATTGAATAACACCTCATCTAGAATCATTGTTTGTTACTTTTCTACAAAATTCCAGAAAATTTTTATTTGCTTGTTTCCATCTAAAATTAATCACTTTTTTGTCCATACGTGTTAATTACTAACAAATTTTATTTTAAAACAAAAACAAAAGAAAAGCGTAGCAAATCTAAGATCGATGGATTTGTTATTAAATTTAAATCTTTTTTTTTCGATGGATCGAAACAAACATCCCACTCTAAAAGCGTGCTTAGTAACAGACGCATTTTTCTAAGAATCTTCCTCATATATATCCTTAAAGCCCTCTCTCACTTGCCTTACGTGAACCCTAATATCTCTTTATTTATTTAGCTAAATAAAAGAGTTACAAGTTTTGGGTTTGTCTTCCGTCTCTAGAACTCCCAAAGCCAACAAATCAAGAGAATCAAATACTTCATCAACTTTTTCTCCTTCTCTATTCAGTTTCTTAATTAGTGGACGAATACTTTATTTCGTTTCGACTAATTCAGCTTTAATCCTCAGTAACCTGTGACTGAGCGAGGGACGTTTATACATCGATCAATTTTGGGAATGGATAATCAAGAGGTTTCTATGGATGTTGAAGCCCAGATCGAGAATAACGACGATGATCGAACCCTTCCCTTTTCAGTTTTTAAAAAAGCTAATCTTCCTATTACTTTAAGGGTATGTTTGTTTATATATAAAATAAATCTGTTTATTCCTTGACACATACTCTATGAGTATGTGCAGTTTTTTTTTTTACTTGATATATGGAGAATACACAGTGGTTCTTTAGGTAAGAAGTGTTGATTTGTGTTTAAGTGTATCTACAATTGTGAGAGTTTTTATCTTTATAGGGTATATATGCATACCATATACGAATATTTGCGTTCAATTATTAGATATAGTATATCAAGTTTTCCTGTGCTTTAATAAAACAGATCTGCTGATTCAATCTTGTTTTGTTCTGGAGCAGTTTGAGAATGTTGTGTACACGGTGAAGGTGAAGGAACAAAAAAGCTGGCCCTGGGAAACCAAAGGCAAAACCCAAGAGCGGTCTATCTTGAAGGGCTTAACCGGGATCGTCAAACCGGGAGAGATCCTGGCTATGCTTGGTCCTTCGGGAAGTGGCAAGACCAGTTTGTTGACAGCTTTAGGAGGGCGGGTTAGTGAAGGGAAAGGGAAGCTCACAGGGAGCATATCTTACAACAACAAGCCATTCTCCAAAGGTGTGAAGCGAGCCACCGGTTTCGTGACTCAAGACGATGCTCTTTACCCTCACTTGACTGTTACGGAAACTCTAGTGTACACCGCGCTTCTCCGGCTTCCGAATTCTTTCAAGAAACATGAGAAGATCAAACAAGCTGAGGCCGTCGTGACTGAATTGGGTCTAGAAAGATGTAAGAACACTATCATTGGGGGACCTTTCTTGAGAGGAGTTTCCGGCGGTGAGAGGAAAAGGGTTAGTATAGGGCAAGAGATTCTTATAAACCCTAGTTTACTCTTTCTTGATGAGCCTACGTCTGGTCTTGATTCGACCACGGCTCAGAGGATCGTGTCGATTTTGTGGCAACTGGCTCATGGTGGAAGAACGGTCGTGACAACAATTCATCAACCTTCTAGTAGGTTGTTCTATATGTTTGATAAGATTCTTCTCTTATCAGAAGGTAACCCGGTCTACTTCGGGCTTGGATCCAACGCTATGGATTATTTTGCTAGCGTTGGATACTCCCCATCCGTCGAAAGGATTAATCCGTCAGATTTTCTTTTGGACATCGCAAACGGTAAGTCTCTCGTTGTAATATCTTGAGGGCGAGTAAGCCTCCATATAGCCTTTCTGCCTCTTTGTTGAATCTCATAGCAGAACATTTGTACTTGTAGGTGTTGGATCAGACGAATCCCAAAGACCGGAGGACTTGAAGGCAGCTTTAGTTGTGGCTTACAAGACAAATCTATTGGAAAGTGTTATCAATGCGGTTAAAGAACAAGATGATCATTCTAACCAATCAATAGAGAAACATGGAGATAGCAAGCATTTTGGAGACTGGCCAACGACGTGGTGGCAGCAGTTTTGTGTTCTCTCGAAGAGAGGCCTTAAGCAGAGGCGACACGATTCTTTCTCTGGCCTAAAGATTGGTCAGGTCTTTATCGTGTCTTTACTATGTGGTCTTCTTTGGTGGAAAACGAACCTTTATCATTTGCAAGATCAGGTAATGAATTAGCTTCAACTATTCTTTTTCTTTTTCCATGTCATTGTGTATGTACATATATATGATGTTATTAATTTGAACGCCCAAACAACAAACATACATATATATATATATATATTGATTACTTGTGATTTACTGATGCAGATAGGGCTATTGTTCTTTATGTCATCCTTCTGGGGATTCTTCCCTCTCTTCCAACAAATCTTCACGTTTCCTCAAGAACGAAAAATGCTCGAGAAAGAACGTTCCTCGGGCATGTACAGGCTGTCCTCTTACTTCATGTCCCGAGTTATCGGGGACCTCCCTATGGAGCTTATTTTACCAACCATATTTCTCACCATCACATATTGGATGGCTGGTTTAAACCCTAAAGCTGTGAAATTCTTTCTGACACTTTTGGTCCTCCTCGTCCATGTCCTTGTCTCTGGTGGACTAGGACTAGCCCTAGGTGCCCTAGTGATGGACCAGAAGTCAGCCACGACACTCGGGTCAGTCTTAATGCTGACGTTTTTGTTAGCAGGAGGATACTACGTTCGACATGTCCCAGTGTTCATCTCTTGGATTCAATACGTATCAATAGGTTACTACACCTATAAACTACTGATATTGGGCCAGTACACGGAGAATGAGTGGTATCCTTGTGGTGAAAATGGAAAACTGAAGTGTCATGTTGGTGACTTTGAAGGTATTAAGCACATAGGGTTTCATAGTGGATTCTCCTCTTCCGTCGCTTTGGCTGTGATGCTTGTTGGTTACAGAGTTGTTGCTTATATTGCTTTGATGAGGATTGGTAAGACCAAGTCTGGCTAATACTTAGTTATCTCCACTTTTTTTTTTTTTTTTTTTTGGATTTTTAGCACTTTTTGAGTAAGATCGAATGTATAACACCAATAAGTTCTTATTGAATTATTGTTTTTGTTAGCCTCTTTTAATGCTATGTTTTGTTTAATTAATCGATTGATTTGGTCCCCCTCAAGTGGTCCTCTGATAAGTCAAATCTCAATAAAAGGGAGTTGTATCAGAATCTAAGTAGTAATGTGAAGAACATGTTCTGTGTGTCTTTAAAAGGAAAGTTCAAAGCCAATTTAATGTTTGCTTATTGCGTGTGTGTTCCAAGTCCATCACACACTTTACACGTTAGGCGTTAGCATTCACAGCTTCGCCAATTATTCGTTACATGTAAAGATATTTGACCTCACGCGGTTTTTAAATTCGAACTGCTGATGAATTTGTGGTGCATAGTAAACGTACGGTACTATGTGATTCAAATAGTATCATTGACCCATTATTTGAGATACTTCAAGCAGTAATTAAGTGGTGTTAGCGGGATAATGTTCTGAATTAGTTGCCATACAAGTAAGAAATAATCCAAAAAAGTCAGAAAGCTTTCTGTAATTTCCGTAGCCTTTTAGTTTTTCTTTATCAAAAAAAAAAAAAAAAAAAAAACAGTAACGCCTTTACAGAATTGTTGGCTAAATTTTATTTTAAACTATATATGTTAAAGGTTTTAATTCTTGGAAGATTGTGTTGGAGTAGAAACTATCTAAATATTCATTTAAACAAAAAAAAATGAAAAAAAGAACGGTGTAAGAACTAAGAATCATCGATCTCTCTACAGATTAGGTGCTACAACCTACAATTATTATAGATGAGTCTAAAATTCAGAATGAAAAAGTTGCCAATAAATCATAGATAGACCAGATTTTTGTTGTTGTTGAGAAGGCCATTCATAGATAGATAGACCAGATTCTGCATCCTCTTACCATAAGTGATGTCGAAATAATTATGTACACATGCAGAGTGCATAGGCGATGCATTTAGAAAGCATCATGCCTTTTGGATTTTCTTTTTGTTAAACCTTCGTGATCACCTCACCTTATCTCCTTTAAAGCTTTAACAAACATATAACTTCACAAAGAAAAGCATACTTTAGACACAGACCATACATATACGTGAACAACTCACTTTTTTTTTTTTTTTGACAGCGTACAACTCACTATTTATTAGATGCGTCCCCTCTATATTAATATTTTATTTTATTTAAAATATAGATAATTTTCTTATACTGTAGATATTTTGAGTTACTTTAATTTCCTATATTTTTACAAATTAAGTCATCGTTTGAGTTTTTAACCTTAGGTATTTACTCGTGCTATGCTGCGAGATATTTTTCTAAATTTTGTATATTTTTTTAATATAATAAAATTATTTTTATAATATAAATAAGTATTATATTTATTTTTTTATTAGCTTAAGTTATGTATTTATATGTTTTAAATCTGAATAAACATTATATTTTTTTAATTTTTAAAATTATAATTTGCTATTAAATTTAGTTAGCTAACTAATTATAAATGTATATATAAGAATAAAATATATAAGAATAAAGTAATACATTTTTAGTACATTTATGCTAATGGTAAATGTAATCTATTTTTTCCAATAAATTATCACATGATCCTCCTTTGTAATTATATAAAACAAAATGTCATTTTAAAAAAAGATTTATTAATTCATATGATTATTTTGAATTATAAAATTTATTTATTTATCAAATATTTTATTATAAACATATGTTTCTAAAACTACTAAACTATAATCAATAACATTCATATCAAAATCATTGTTATTGCTTTAGAACTAATAGAAAATCATGTTTGAACTCTTAAAATATCGTTTTAGTTAAAGTTAAATAATTAAATTTTGGTTACTGTAAACATACTTTAACTTGGAAATTTAGCACAGAAAAATTTCATCTTATTACAAAAATCGAGAAATCATATTTTCCATCAAAACAAAAAACTCCATCTTATCATTAAACTGAAAAATCGGCTATTCTCGCCAAAACCAAAAATTCATTTTCTCGTCAAACCTAAAACCTAAAATTTTATTTTCCCGCGAGAACCTTTGTTTTTTCACTAAAGCCGATAAATTACGTTTTTTCACAAAAACTAAAAAATTTCATCTTCTTGCAAAAACCAAAAAAAAATATATATTTTCCCGCCAAAATCGAAAAATTTATTTTTTCTGCGAAAACTGAGAAATCGTCTATTCTTGCCAAAATAAAAAAAAAATCACTTTCTCGTCAAGCCCAGAATCACGCTTTCCTCAAAAACAAATAAACTACAATTCTCGCAAAAACCAAAAATTGTATTATCTCCAGTGAAATTATGTTTTCCCGCGAAACTAAGAAATTGTTATGTTTTTATCGGTTCAATTTTTGTTGATGTGTGAGCTTTTTATAACATAAGACTTTTTGCGTTGTTGTCATGAAAGCATAGTTGATGCTGAGTTTACATTTTTTCAATCATATACGTCTATGTCAAACAAATAGATAGCTAGAATTTTTTTTATTATTTATTTGTTGTTATTTATTATTTGGATTTGATTTTGTCAAAAAAAATAAAACAATGATTTAATTTTTTATTTGTTTTTATTTATTATTTGGGTTTAGATTTGGTAAAAAATAAAATAATGATTTTTTATTTGCTGTTATTAAATATTTGAGTTTGGGTTTGGTAAAAAATAAAACAAAAATTAAGAGAAAAAATATTTAGATTTTTAATGAGTTTAAATTTTAAAATTAAAATAAGTAGATGAGATGTATTAACAAAATATTTTGATTGGTGATTATTTTTGCTGAGATGTCTTGTTTATAAAACTTAAAAAAATTGAAGTATCAAACAATGGAAAGACTTAAGTGTTATTGTTGTGTTGATTGTCCCCAAAGCTATACATATTTTTTTTGTCGAGATCATAAGAATATTATATACGTTAAATATTAAATAGCGAGTGCCGAGTTTCGTATAAACACATTTTGCAGTTATGCAAATCGTTGAGCCAAACTTGTCGTTTCTTTGCTAATATTCAAAATTGTTATCTTATAAAAGAAATGGGTGATCATGTCCCTCTCTCTCTCTGTGAACAAGAATTCTCCACGTTCACTAAAATCTAAAATCTAAAAGCAATCGAAAACGAAATGTAAGAATAATAATTAAAAAAAAGAGAGAGAATTATCAAGAAGAAGAAGAATCGAGTTCTTTGAATCGCGCGCGTCACATGTATTTTTATATAAAGGCTTGTGACCTGTCCAGCATGGTCCATTGTTTTCACTTGTCAACTTCTTAGGCCATTTATAGTATTTCTTGAGTGAAAGAAACCCAAATTACCTTTTTTATTTAGTTATAAATTAAGATAGAATAAAAAATGGTGAAGATTGTAATACGAGTTTTTAGTACCAATAAACCAAAAATAATTGATGAATAGTAATTTGACCCCCCGAAAAAATTGATGAATAGCATTTCCTTAATATAAAAAAACAAAAGTAGATGTAATATAATCAAATACTATATATTTAGACAATCTCAATAGTATAATTAATTATAAAAACGATATTTTATATATCTCCAATATTAGTAGTATATATTTCAATAAAAACGATATTTTATATATTCTTCTCTCTTTAATCTATACGTGTCTCAAATTAACGTATCCTTTCCAATTTTTTAGTTAGAACTTTGTAGTTTGTACACTTGTTCAATATCTTCGGTCTTTTGTATTATTATTTTTTCTTCGTTTTTGTTTTTGGTCTCTTTTGACTTATTGAAATCTTGCCTAACTCTCACAACACGTGTACACCGCACACGAGCGAGAAATTGCCTTCCACGCGTGTCTGATTAGTAGTAGGAGTATTATTTTTTTCCTAGACTAGTAAGTGCTTTTTTGTTCTCAAAAGATTTTTGTATCTGTCGAATAGTTAGTGCTTCTTCCTTTCTTTTTCTGACTCCAACGTAGTGCTTCAGGAAAAGATAAATCAATCCCGCGCTAATTATATGGAGAATTCTGATAGAGATACACATCGTTGTTAGGCTTTTCTGAATTCTAGAAGAAAGGACAACTGGCTCGACACGTGTCGATAGACATTCGCTTTTACTGACGGTTCATGCACTCGAACAGTACCAAATAGTCGAATAATTGAGATTGAAAGTGGAGAGCAGTTTCTATGATTCTCAGTAAAGTAATTATTTAGAAAGTTTAGCTGTCACCAGTGAAACAAAAGCGAAAAAAATCACTGCAGTCAATTATTCTCAACTTACTGTAATTGCTTAGAGGACTTTTTCTGTATATATCACTCTCGTAGTAAAAAAAATATTCTTACAGAAAGAGAAAATCGCTTGAGTTGTGTTTTTGCACATTTATATAGCTGAAAACTTAGTACAGCTCATTGATAAGGTCGGCCGCTTCATATACGTGGCAGTATGTCAATGGGTATAAAAAGGGTCCCACAAAGAAAATCGTATTTAGATTTTAGAACAGTAAGACAAGGACGACCGTACTTATCCCCGAAGAACCTTTGCCTTTTCCACAGCCTATATAAAGCAGCTAATCACCAGATTGTTCAAAAGATCGACGAACATAAACATAAAATTTTCTGGGTTTTAGAGTCTCGAAAATTCTTATTATTTCGTCTGCCGAAGAATCGCGAAAGTTAGAGAAAATGGGTGTTAGAGAGAAGGATCCGTTAGCCCAGTTGAGTTTGCCTCCGGGTTTTCGATTTTACCCGACAGATGAAGAGCTTCTTGTTCAGTATCTCTGTCGGAAAGTTGCAGGCTATCATTTCTCTCTCCAGGTCATCGGAGATATCGATCTCTACAAGTTCGATCCTTGGGATTTGCCAAGTAAGCAAACACTTTCTTTTAAAAAGTTCTAGGGTGCTATTTGTCTAAGAAATCATACTTTTGGGTTCGAATTAGGAAAATATTAAAACCAAGGGACTATATCGCGTTGTAAAGCTGCTTATCTTTTTTTGCGATGGTGTTTGTGTGGTGTAGGTAAGGCCTTGTTTGGGGAGAAGGAATGGTATTTTTTTAGCCCGAGAGATCGGAAATACCCGAATGGGTCAAGACCCAACAGAGTAGCCGGGTCGGGTTACTGGAAGGCAACGGGTACAGACAAGATTATCACGTCGGACGGTCGCCGTGTCGGGATTAAAAAAGCTCTGGTTTTCTACGCCGGAAAAGCTCCTAAAGGCTCCAAAACCAACTGGATTATGCACGAGTATCGCCTAATCGAGCATTCTCGAAGCCATGGAAGCTCCAAGGTAAGGAGATGATTAAATTTTTTCCTAAGATTCGATTGTATAATAAGTTGAAATCAAAATAGCTAAACTCGTTAACTTTGTGTTCTTTCAGCTGGATGATTGGGTATTGTGCCGAATTTACAAGAAAACGTCAGGATCTCAGAGACAAGCTGTTGCTCCGGTTGAAGCGTGTCGTGAAGAGCACAGCACGAACGGGTCGTCGTCGTCGTGTTCGTCTCAGCTAGACGACGTTCTCGATTCGTTCCCGGAGATGAACGATCGGTCTTTTAATCTTCCTCGGATGAATTCGCTCAGGACGCTTCTCAACGGGAATTTCGATTGGGCTAGCTTGGCAGGTCTCAATCCCATCCCGGAACTAGCTCCGACCAACGGATTAACAAGTCACGACGCGTTTCGAACGGCGGAGGGAGAGGCGGAGAGCGGGCTGAGAAATTCGCAGGTGCATCAGCCGCAGAACTCGGGCGGGTTGACTCAGAGTTTCGGGTATAGCTCGAGCGGGCTGAATCGTGGGTCCGGTCTTTCGGGTCAAACATTCGGGTTTAGCCAATGAGAGAGTAGAATGGCAGTTGATGTAAATAATAGGGGGATTGTATGGGCCTTTAGGCCCTTTACCGATTCGGCGAGGCATAGGATTCCTGAAAGGAAAAGGCTTTCATTAGTTGATCCAATTCGGCGAGGCAAATGTAATAATGTTACACAATTTCTCGATGCCGTAATGCGTTATTAATTAACTTATTGTATAATTCTCTATCTAAGGAGAAAAATAAATGGTATTTTTGAGTTGTTAGTATATTACCAATGCTTTTAAAACCTGATTTGAAGATTGATTCTCCGATTTCTTGAGTGTACATTTATCTCAGTAATCCCACATACATCATCGTGGGTTAGTGTTCACATGCATATATTATCCCTCCTTTTCATCAGCATCAAAAATGAATGAAAAAGAAAATTGTATAATACACTCAATTTCAAAGAGTTATTTTGCAAACAAACAAGAAACGCTCAATTGTTTTTCAACAAAGAAGATTTCTCTTAATGATACAAATATTAGCTAGACTTGATAATAAATTAATAACTATAATAGTCTTCTGCATGAAGAGCATTTGATCTCCACTTTTGCTTGCTTTTGTTATCTTAGTGAAGTTAGGATCACTCTTTCCGGCAAATGATTCCGTATCCGGAAGATGCCCCACGAGTGCAGTCCAACAGTGCGTGGTCCGTCTCCCATTTGATTGAGCCACTAATCAATCCTCTAAAAATACAAGTCTTGCAGTCATGAGAGAGTAGTGAAGATGTCCTGAAATTATCCTCACCACCAACCACTGGCATTGCGACTCCAGGCTTAACCGGATTTTGGAAACCGGGTCTATAAGTGCGTCCCAAGATTCCATCGACTTTTGGGGATAGGTTATAAAACCTGAACCGAACCTCGAGATGCGCAAAACAGTCATCCGAAGGTACTTTGTAGCCATGGATCCTATCATCTTCTTTAGTCACAGGAACCACGTTGACCATGATCTCTGCTTTGTCTTTGATTGTCACGGTGACACCGTTTAGTCTTGTAGCTCTCTCAATCTTGATGTCCTTTTCGGGTGAGTACCTAGCTCAAACGCACACGTGCTTAGCGTAGACACATTCTCATATACACGTAGACTTAGAAATTGCATTTAAAAAACAATCGTAGCGTAAAGCATGATATCTCGATATTATTTACCATGTGGAGATCGTTTCTTCAGGGATGACTAAATCCTGGCCGTCGAAAGAGAATCTGAGATGGTCGATGCTGTTGTCCCAAGTTGCTACTTTGGTGGCCTCAAGGGAAAACTTATGAGAGTTGAAGAGGAAACCAAGAGCTCGGATCCAAGTGAAGTCTCTAGAACGACCTGCTGGTCTGTGACCACTGAACCTAGCATTGATCTGAACGTCAGGGTCCGAGACAAGGCTAAAATGTTCATTGCTCTTTCCCTTGAAGTGGAAGACAATCCCATCACCACCTATGAACCTCGGGTCGTGACAACCCGTTGCAGGTTTATAGCAGTTTGGACCCAACCCTAAGCGAACCACGTTAAAAGTATATACCAAAACTTAACTTGAGCTTGATATATATATAAAACGTAATACAAAACGTTCCAAGTATTTTCGCTTACTGCGACACTCGGATTTGCAGAGAGGTTTACTACAGTCTACGTAACAGACTCTGTTCATGGAGTTTGCGGCACCGGTTGTTGGGCACTCTTCCGGACACATTATGTACTGCTGGAAGCATAGTTCGTAAGGGTTGCTACAGTAAACTCCTTGTGACTTGGCACGCAAGAAACATAACATGATTGCAAGAATAATCATCACTAGCGATGAGGTTTTTGAAATCTCCATTTCTATGTTTTTTGTTTTTATATTTTTCTGAAATATAATATGCTATGGATCGACGATGTAGGCAAAGAAGTGCTGATTGTGAATTTATAGAGGCCATTCTGCATTTTGTTTTTATGGATTAATTTATGACAAGATGGGAGTTGTTTGGGTTGTGTGCCTAATTTGGATATCATCAGGACACTGGACATACACATGCCCGTAAGGATTTGGAAACAAGTTGTAAATATTTTTTTCAAATATATACGAAGAAAAACAACTTGAAACTTCCAAATACATAAAACGTCTTTAAAAGTTACGTTCACACGAGCGTGATCCACACTTCTCGGTCCAAATTATATAATACAGGAGCTTGTTGACCATGTGTTTATAATATAGAGAGGCCGTTAATGAACTAGTTTGACCTTTGGAAATCTTGAAACAACAATAACATTATAAAGTAACCTTACATGAAGAGATATACTTGTTTCTTTTGTTTCTCTTTCTAAAATCTTTTTATTGTCTTAGAAAATTAAGTTGGGATGGTAGTTACTTCCTGCAGACGATTCCGTATCCGGAAGACGCTCCACGGCTGCAATCTAACAATGTGTATTCGCGTTGGGGCTTGATAGAGCCGCTTGCAACAGCCGGTTCTTGCGAGAACAAACAAGTCTTGCAATCATGAGAGAGTAGAGAAGATGTTCTGAAGCTATCCTCACCTCCCACCACTGGCATTGCGACTCCTGGCTTAGCCGGATTCTTGAAATCGGGTCTATAAGTGCGTCCCAAGATTCCATCGACTTTTGGGGACAGATTTATGAACTTGAACTGAACTTCAAAATGGGCAAAACAGTCATCTGTAGGTAATTTGTAGCTGTGGATCCTATCGTCTTCTTTGGTCACCGGAACCACGTTAACCATGATCTCAGCTTTGTCTTTGATCGTCACGATCACACTGTTCTTTTGTGTCAGTCTCTCAATCTTGATGTCTTTTTCAGATGAGTACCTAGTAATATACGGTTCAAAAATCGAAAGATTAATTGTTTGTGTATGTTTCTGCGTCTACATGTATATGTTGTGAGTGTGCGTTTGTCTTCTCAAAAGAAACTACAATGTTTTACTATTTTAAACAAACAAAAAATGTTAATTAATTGTTATTGCAAACGTTACTTAAAAGCAAATGGAATTTACTTTTTGTTTATGTTGACGTTCTTAAGAAATTTTGTATTTGGAAAATTAAAAATGTGCATTCATATTTTAGTTCCTAGATGAAAATTGGCATTGAGATAATATTGCAACCTAGAAAATGAGAATAAGCATTACCAAGTGGATAGAATTTGTTGAGGGATAACCAAATCTTGGCCATCGAGAGTGAACTTGAGATGGTCGATATTGCTATCCCAAGTGGCGACTTTGATGGTCTCAAGGGAGAATTTGTGGGAGTTGAAGAGGAAGCCAAGGGCTTGGATCCATGTGAAGTCTCTACTGCGGCCAGCAGGTCTATGGCCAGTGAATCTAGCATTGATCTGAACGTCATGGTCCGAGACGAGGCTAAAATGTTCATTGCTCTTTCCGTGGAAGTAGAACACAATACCATCACCACCTATGAACCTCGGGTCTAGACATATCGCTCCCGAGGCTTCACAGTTGGGCTTTACGGCTATAAAAGATCATATTAAAATCATGAAAATATTTTTAAAATGGTTAATCAAATTTGATGAAATGCTATTATTTTTGCAAAATAATAATAATAATAATTGATGGTTAATTACCTCGACACACGGCCATGCAAAGCGGTTTAAAGCAATCAACCCAACAAATTTTATTCTGAGAGCTGGGGGACATGGTGCTCGGGCATTCTTCAGGACAGTCGATGTACCGGAGCTGGCATCGAGGAGCCGCGTTGCCACCACAATAAGTCTGACCATGCCAAGCCTGGACATGCAACAAGCAAGAAGCTATCGCCACAATTATCACTAGTAATGAGGTTCTTGGGACCTCCATTCTCGAATTTTTTGGCCGATCTTTCGTGTGGAATCTATATGGGTTTAGAGAAGAAGAAAGGAAGGTTGTGTGTTGTGTTGGGGATTAGTTGTCGATTGTGAATTTTATAAGAGTGTTAAAAGTCAAATATTTTCTTTAGAAGAGGGCTACTCTTGCAGTTGTTGTGAAGTAAGGTTGGTTGTTTCTTCTTAGTTCGGCTAACAAAAATAAAATTTAAATAGTTTATTCTTAAAATAATCAGAAACCTCAAAAATCTGGAAAACACATGTTACTCAAAATTGGATGATGTATTCTGAAATTCATGCGTTCTCAAACTAAAAGTGATCATGTATTCATGTGCAAAATATTATTGCACTCAATCTTAATACATGTAATAAAAAAAGTGCAATCAGATTTTATCGCTCAATCGTATCAAAAGTATATTGCAACTTGAATCAGAGTTCTCGAAGCTCGTGTTTGATTTTCTAGTTTTCACATTCTCAAAAGTCAAAACCTTATCGTTTTCCTTACGTGCCCAAAACACTTGCGTTTCAAGAAAGAAAGCCGTTTAAAACGTTGCGTTTCAAGTAAGAAAACTAGAAAAACATATTTGATGCGGTGAGCGTGGATCGAACACGCGACCTTCAGATCTTCAGTCTGACGCTCTCCCAACTGAGCTATCCCCGCAACGATGTTAAATTTGATACTATTTGATTATTATATTAAAGTTAAAACAATCACATCATGGCAAGGCAAAGCCATTTGTTGATGAACTTGTGAGCTTTCTGTTCGGAAAAAAAACACTTCAGACGATGGCTTCGACTCCGCAGATTATCCTTTGTCAATTCTCATTACACGATGGTTTCAACACGGAACCCAGAACTAGATTACAAGCGAAAGGGCGGAGCTTGGGTCCTTCTCTGCTCGGAAACAAGTTGGGGTTGAGAGCTTCCTCGATTGAGCATAGACAGAGGCTGAGAGAGACACGGCGAGTGATGATGGGTCTGGGAGAAATTGGGATTCTAGCGAGTGAGAAGACTCTTAACCGGAAAAGACGGTTGGTTAAGGTTAGCTGTAACAAGGGTTTAGGTTTCAATGGCGGAGATAACAACGGAAACGGGAGAATCCTCGGGAACCTTGCTCTGGCTATTGGTTTGACTTATCTCTCTATGACCGGTCAGCTTGGTTGGATTCTGGACGCTATTGTCTCCGTCTGGGTATATTCACTCTCTCTCCATCTCTCTGGTTATCTTAACTGTAATGTGTGTTTTTCTTTTTGGGAATTGGCCTCTTGATTAACTGAAAATCCTCACAATCTGCAGCTGATTGTGGTGATTGTTCCAATTTTGGGGTTGGGAGCTTTTCTGTGGTGGGCACAACGAGATATTGTCCAGAGCAGTGTAAGTCTTCTTGACTCTTTGGCTTAAGACAGCATTTACTGCAGAACACTGCGAGTCTTAATCATTACCTGTTATCTAGCACTTGTGTTTGAGTAAATCCTTCTTGATTGTGTGTTCTACTTAGCTATCTTGCGATTGTTTCATCTCTCTTTTCGCATCGTGCAGTGTCCGAATTGTGGAAACGAATTTCAGATATTCAAGTAAGGATGTGATCAGAATCAATTCCTTTGTTGTTTTTGTTGTTTACACCAAGTATGCTGATGTTCACTGAATATCGAAACCGGAGCAGGTCGTCGTTGGACGATGAAGTACAGCTTTGCCCTTTCTGCACTCAGCCATTCTCGGGTAAAAAAAAGGATGATTCCTCCATCTTTCGGTTTATCAAAGCACGTCTCTTTTTTTTCCAAGCAATTAGCATTATTGTGTTTTTATTTTGGTACTTGGAAAATGCAGTGGTGGATGATAAGTTCGTTATGGAGCCAGTGAAATTCTCCAACCAAACCACTGCTTTCGGACAAGACCTAAATGGGTTTTCTTCTGCACCTAAGAAAGGTTCTTTCTTTCTTACTTACCCGGTTTCCTGTTTTACTTTTGCGCGAATTCAAGTTACCAAGACTTTCTCTTGACGTTTATAATGGTGCAGGATCGGGTATCTCAACAGCGATCGTAGACATAGAAGCTGAAGTAACAGATGCAGACTGAAAATGCGACCAACAAGTAATAGCACATATTTTCGACTAGACCGAGCAAAGGAGATTTTGTAGAGACAACAAACTTGTGGAAAGAGGTCGTTGTTGGATGTAGAAGTTATATAGAAACACACATCGATATGTATATATATTATATGTTCTGGACATAGTTATTTGAATGATATTGTTTTGATTTTTAAAGGAGTGATCTAACGTCCATTCATTCAATCACCGGGACTTGAGAGTTGAGATAATGTTTTGTACATTCCTCTGTATATTAAAATAAAAAAAACAATCTTGGTAACGAACAAATCTTCTTACCATTAGATTAAATCCATAAACATTCGGAATACCTCTATAACTGAAAGAGGACGTACAAACTTGCAGAAAACTCTTTTTCTTCAGATAAGCATAAACCATTAAACCCGTTAACAAGACCAAAAATGGACTATCTTTTTCCTTAGTAGATTTTAAACCAAAATCAGTCATACAATTGTTTGGCCGAAATAGTTCTAAAAGTTTTGTCTTCGTCCTTTGTCGCTTTCTTTTCATACTTCTCGCTCAGCGCTATAGCTTTAGCCACAGCTTTCTTCTTCCTCACATTCTTCGTTCTCTTCATAGGTTTCCCTTTCACTGAATTCTTCTCCTCGTCCAATGCTACAGCTTTAGCCTCAGCTTTCATCTTCCTCGCAATCCTCCTCGTTTTCTTCATAGGTATTCCTCTCGCAAGCCTATAGTACAGTGGCCATATCAAACATCAAAACATAAACAAGCATGTAGCTTCTAAATACCTCAGAAGAGAGCAATTCACAAACGAAGAGAAACCCAACCAAAAATATTGTATACAAATCTTAACTAGTTCATAAGTTAACATCAAGATATTTTTCGATGTAAGTTAAAATTTGTAAAGATTAGGTTTGTGTTAACACTTACAGGTTACGAGAGCGAGAAGAAGCTAGCTTCGCGTCTCCGGTCTCCGTAGTATCCATGGCTAACCAAATCAAATAAAGCAAAAAAAAAATGGAGAATTAAACACCTGAGAAACGAGTATGGTGGACCAGAGCAATAATAAAACCAAGACGCGATTTTACCTTCAGGAGCAGCTTCAGAGACGATGCCCATAGTTTCGGCGATGTCCCTGGCAACGGGGTCGTCTCTCTTCTTCGTGCTCCTATGCTTCACCATGGCTTGATTTCGCGGTCTAGGGCCGACGGCGAAGCAAAGAGAGACTATAGACGGAGCAAATCGAATTTAGGTTCATATGTACTTACATTTACACCTAATGCTGATGTCGGGTCAATCTACTAATTCGGGTCTATTTTATTTGGGCCGATAGTTTGGTAAAAAGCCCATTCGAAGGTTTTCTCGGATTAAAAAAAAACTGTTTTCCCTTCCATTTTTCTTTTCTTCATCCATCATTTTGGGGCCCTCGTCTGTTTTCTGTCTCTGTTTTTCCAAAATTCTCTAATATTCGTTGGAATGGCTCTCTGTTTTCTTTTCTCTCGTTGGCAAAATTCAGTTTCTTTATTTAAGGTTTGTTTGTCATTTTTGTTTTTCAGTTATTTTCCTAGTTTACAATGTTGAGAGATTCTTCCTTAAGATTTCTGATTTTCCGGTTTTCAGATTCTACTGGCTTTTAATGCTCCCATCCACTACATGATTTGCTCAAATCATGGAGCCCCGCGCGCAAATGCTTGTTGATTAAAGAAACACTCCTCGATTTTTTATTTTTTTTTCAAATTTGTGAATTTTGCTTTCTGGGTCGGTGAAGCCAATGATTTCATCGCCGTCTCCGACCATATTGATGAAAAGCTCACTGGAGGAGACGTCGGAGTCTCTTCGCCGGCATGACACGTGCGAGATGTTCAAGGATAGGTCGCCGTCGCTTCCTTCTCGGGTTACTTCCACAGCGCAAATGTTGTCGCTTCGTCCATCGCTTCCGACGAGCTTGCGTTATACAATTCCGCCGGAAAGCGGAGAGAAGGATTGGAGCAAGAAAACGAGGAGTGAGCTAATCTCAGAGGAGCATAGAAAGGTGCATGAATCCGAATGGGTCCATAACCTCGAGGATTTCATCAACAAGGTAATTTAATTGATTGCTTCTCCTTTGATGATATGAATAATTTACAGGTTTTGGTACAGACAGACAGTGCCTTCTGTTTTATTTATTTCCAGGAACTTTGTGTCTGGTGTCGGGTTGCTAGAGGGGAGTGGCTCTCCGGGAAGATACAATCTACTTCCGGTGACACGGCGTGTGTTATGTTGTCCAGTACCGAAGTAAGTTCTTTGAAAATTCTGTAACTTTCATATGATATCGGAAATGGGCTTTTTGAATGCATCAGGAGGATTTATAATTTTTTGTTGTTACATATATCTAAAAGGTTGTTGTGAGAGTATCAATGGAAGAGATTTTTCCTGCAAACCCATATATATTGGAGGGAGTTGAAGACCTTATACAGCTTAGTTATTTGAATGAGCCATCTCTTCTTTACAACCTCCGAGTCAGATATTCACAAGACTTGATTTATGTACGTTTTTACTAGAGAAACGAAAAAATGATTCTGGTTTTGTTTTGGCTGAGTCTTTTTAACATAATTCTCGTGTTTTCTCTGTTATTAGAGTAAAGCAGGGCCAGTTTTGATTGCAGTGAATCCGTTTAAGAATGTTCAGATCTATGGAAACGATATTCTATCAGCCTATCAGAACAAGGCTCTCGATGCTCCTCATGTTTATGCTGTGGCGGATGCAGCTTATGATGAGATGATGAGAGGTGAGCATTAATCATATTCTTTCACACTTTTTTTGTTTCTCCATGAAGCTGTGGTGGAACCTAGTTCTTATCCATGGTGTTATAAATAGTTATTGTATGGCATTTACATTTTTGAATGTTTCTTTACGCAGAGGAGAAGAACCAATCTATTATCATAAGGTACAACAAGGCGTTTTTCATTCTGAATTATTATTGTGTACTTAAACGATGATTTGGCTATTCACATGTCAAGGTGATTTCTAATTGAAATTTTATTATTCCATTAGTGGAGAAAGCGGAGCTGGGAAAACTGAGACAGCAAAATATGCAATGCAGTACTTGGAAGCTCTTGGTGGAAGTAGCTTTGGGGTAGAAAATGAAATCTTAAAGACAAACTGTATACTTGAAGCTTTTGGGAATGCTAAAACATCAAAAAATGATAACTCTAGCCGATTCGTGAGTAATTCTACATACAGTACAATGAATCATTTTTTAGATTTCGAACGTTTCGTGTCAGTCGATTAGTCTAATTGACATTCTGTAAATCGAGAAGTGGTTTGGATTCAATAGTACATCTGAATTGGTGCAGGGAAAGCTGATGGAGATTCATTTTTGTGCAAAGGGAAAGATATGTGGAGCCAAACTTGAAACTTGTGAGTAAGAATTGAACATTTTTTTGATTGTTTGTCATATTTTGTTGACTATGGAGCTCTCATGTTTGTTTTATTTCCTCACCATGTTTGTGTGACTACTTGTGCTGAATGACCAAAGTTCTTCTAGAAAAGGTAATTTTGTTTCTGTTGATAAGTTTTAGTCAGATTCCACTTGTTAGCTATTCATGTGCTAATTAGTAGTCTCTTTTGATCAGTCAAGGGTAGTTCAGCTGTCCGATGGCGAGAGATCCTACCATATCTTTTATCAGTTGTGTGCTGGAGCTTCACCAATGCTTAAAGGTAACATCTAATATCTAAGAACTAATTAAGATTTTTATTAATTCAGCCGCATATGAATATGCTTCTGAAGTGTCCCTGCTCATGGCTGAGAAACTTACAAGTTGCTAGACCATTTCTTATATGATTGTTATTTGCAGAAAGATTGAAGCTTAAAGCAGCAAGTGAATATAACTATCTGAACCAGAGCAGTTGCTTAACCATTGACCGTGTTGATGATACTCAGAAATTTCACAAACTGATGGTAACTTTTTCCTGTTTCTTGTTCATTTCTCTGTTTCACATGGAGTAAATGCCAGATTGTTGTGATTTCTTATTTCGTCAGATGTTTCTCTGTTATTGCAGGAAGCTTTCAACATTGTCCAAATTCCTCAAGATTATCAAGAACGTGCATTTGCACTGCTTGCAGCTGTGTTATGGTTAGGGAATGTATCTTTTGAAGTGATTGACAATGAAAACCATGTGGAAGTGGTGGCAGATGAAGGTAAAATTTGTTGTCTTGTCATTTACTAGGAATTGTTGTCTTGTCTTTAGATGATGCTAATTATTTTGCTCTTGTTTCTGTCAGCTGTCACTAATGTAGCTATGTCAATGGGATGTAACTCACAAGAGCTTATGGTGGTTTTGTCTACTTGCAAGCTCCAAGCTGGTAGAGATTGCATTGCTAAAAGACTGACACTACGACAGGTTTGTTTAGTCACCATATATCACACAACAGTCTTTAATTTCTATATATCTAAATGTCGAAATTGGTTTGCCATTGTGTGCAGGCAACTGATATGAGGGATTCCCTAGCAAAAATCATCTATGCAAGCCTTTTCAACTGGCTTGTTGAGCAAATAAATACTTCATTGGAAGTTGGTAAATCACGTACAGGAAGATCTATTAGTATCCTTGACATTTATGGGTTTGAGTCATTTAAGGTTAGTAATCATTTCAGCTCAAGATTTTTTTCAAGTCTTTAATTATTTTGGCTGTGTAATGATCAGAGATCTGCATGGTTTTAGAAAAATAGCTTTGAACAATTCTGCATAAACTATGCAAATGAAAGACTGCAGCAACATTTCAACCGACATCTTTTTAAGCTTGAACAAGAGGTGATCTTCTTTCTCTCCAAGCCTTAATTGTATGAAGATGCGTTTCTCTGTTTTCCTTTTACGTTTCTGATCAGCTACACGTATCAATTAAATCTGTGTTGTTTTACTTATGAGAGTATCTGTGCTGTTCAGGAATATGAAGGGGATGGTATTGATTGGACAAAGGTCGAATTCAAAGACAATCAAGAGTGTCTAGATCTGATTGAGAAGGTAATCTATAGTGTGCCATCTTGTTTTTTTTTTATGTTTTGCTTCAAGTTATAAAATTATGTTTTTTGTTGCTCAATTATTAAAAAGAGTTTCTCTCGCATGTGGCTGCTACTTGGTAGTGCAGAAACCCATTGGTTTGGTATCACTACTAGATGAGGAATCAAATTTTCCAAAGGCGACAGATACAACGTTTGCCAACAAGCTCAAGCAGCATTTGAAGGCTAACTCTTGCTTCAAGGGAGAAAGAGGTCAGGGGTTCAGAGTTAGTCATTATGCCGGAGAGGTTAGTTAATACCTCAAATCCAACAACTTGATTCTGCATTATTGAATTGTTCTTATGCGATATGAATCTGTGAAATTATTAAGGTGCAAGGAAATGAACAAGAGTTCTTTTACATTATGGTGTTTAATAGGTTCTCTATGATACAAATGGGTTCATGGAAAAGAACAGAGATCCGCTGCATGTTGATCTTATCCAACTATTATCATCTTGCAAATGTCAATTACTGAACTCGTTTTCTACTAAGATGCGTCACAAGTCTCCAAAACCGGCAACCTTATCGGACTCAATGAATCAAAGTGTGATCACAAAGTTTAAGGTGACAAGACTTGAATTTTGCTCTTTAATTTATCTGAAATAATCTCTTGACTTGTAAGTTGTAATCATCTATTTCTGAACTTTCTTACTCGCTTTTATGGTTACAGGGCCAACTTTTCAAGTTGATGAACAAGTTAGAAGACACCACTCCTCACTTTATTCGATGCATAAAGCCAAATTCAAAGCAGTGTCCTGGACTTTACGAAGAGAGTCATGTCCTACAACAGCTTAGATGTTGTGGCGTTTTGGAGATTGTTCGAATATCAAGATCAGGATATCCTACTCGGTTGACACATCAAGAGCTTGCAGTAAGGTGTGGCTTCTCAACTTTTATGCTGAAATTTTTTGATAAATCTAGTCCCAAACTCTAAGCTGTTGTCTTTGTTGGTTTGTTCATGTATTAGATATGGGTTCCTACTGCTGGACACAAAAATCTCCCAGGATCCACTTAGCACATCAAATGCTATTCTGAAACAATGCAATCTTCCTCCTGAAATGTATCAAGTTGGTTATACGAAAGTATACCTTCGCACTGGGCTAGTAAGTGCTCTTTACCTAGAGATATCATGTTTGTTTCCTCAAATATCTAAGAGTATAAGGCCTTCATCTTCCTGTTTAATAGATTGGCATCCTTGAGGATAGAAGAAAATATGTTCTGCGGGGTGTACTTGGATTACAGAAACGATTCCGTGGTTATCAGTCGCGTGAATACTTCCACAATATTAGGAATGCGGCAGTGATACTTCAATCATGTAATCACTTGACATATGTCTCAAGATTCCTTGTTCTTCTTCTCTTTGAATTCTTGGCTAACTTATACTGTTGCTACAGATATCCGCGGTGAAAATACCAGGAGAAACTACATTGTGGTTGAAAAATCGGCTATTGTTTCCTCAGCAATAATTGAAGAGCTTGATGCAGTCATACACTTGCAATCTGGTAAATAATCGGTATCTTCCTCGTTATGGCATCAAGAACTTGTTTTTCCATAGTGGATAAGACTTTTAAGCTATTAAACTTTTATGCAGTGGTACGCGGATGGTTGGTTCGTAAACACTTACAAAATAGTATGCAACAGGAGAAACAATCAAGCAATGAGAAGAAAAGACCGAGAATAAAGTCAATGAGGAGAATTTCAGAAGAGAAGGTAGTGTCTTTGCCTGATGTATGTGTCTCTAAGTTATCAACTGCAGAAACTTATTTACCTTTCTTGTTTAGGATGGTCTTCTTTTAAGATGGGCTCTTGCGGATCTTCAGAGTAGGGTTCAGAGAGTCGAAGCAGCGATAATGCACAAGGAAGATGAAAACACAGCATTGCAGGAGGAGTTACAGCGGTTTAAGGAAAGATGGTTGGAGCACGAAACAAGAATGAAGTCAATGGAGGAAACATGGCAAAAACATATGTCGTCAATGCAGGTAAGCGACTAAGAATGTTACTTGTAATTAGATTTCTGACCAAACCCTTCAAAAGATTATGATGTTCAAATTAGAATATGCCCTTGTAGATGAGTCTCGTAGCTGCATGTAAGATTCTGGCTCCAGACAAGGCTGCGAGTCACGGTGATGACTCAGAGGACACAATGTCACTTGGAACGCCCACAAAAGAGCTTAAGGGTAGTTTGAATGATGTTAACAATCTTGTTATAGAATGTGATCAACGTAGAGTCGTATTCGATGAAGATGTCAAGTGTCATGGGGAAATGAAATTGGAACCAGACTCGATTTCAGTCAAGAAGCAGCATGCAGAAGAAGAACTAAGTAGACTGAAGTTAAGATTTGAGAAGTGGAAGAAAGATTACAGAGCAAGGCTACGAGGGACAAAGGCAAGGCTCCGGTTAAACGGGGATAAAGATCGTCACCGGAAATGGTGGTGCAAGAAAAGCTTTTGAAATTAGATCTCGTTTCAAAAGCTATATTAGTACCGAACTCTATATTAGTTTTAGGATTTTAAACCATGTAAATTCCACATTAGTCAAAGTAACCAACAACAACAAAAAAAATATATATATACAACTTACAAGCTAACCGGATGGTAAAGAAAAAGCTAAACAGAATTTATCTATGACCAAAATTTTACACAGTATGGCTGAAACGTGAAATAAGTGGGCAAAAAAGAATTTAAGAACGCATTGAGATTTTGGATGTTTTAGTGCATACAGTAGTTTAAAAGCAATCAAAATTTTTTAATTAGAATACTGTAATTAGATTCTTAGATAGTAACATGTGTTGTACCTTGTGCGTGGGTCAGTTATTTTTCTTTTAGTTTTATGAATGTCTTTTCAAATTAATATTAAAATTTAATCTTTTTTTACCATCTTTCTTAATTTTACACTAGTAAATTTGTCTTAGTTTTCACATTCATTTGTCTTAGTATAGATCGTGAAATTCTTATCCAACTCTATCACCATCCTAGCATCTGTAAAATTTATTGTAGTTTTTATATAAATTATACATCATTTTCGTTTTATTAAGTTGAATTTTTTATAATTTCGAATCAACTGACACAATAAATGATTATTTTATATGTCAATATTATGTCTTTTGATTTTATATTAATTAGTGTCTAATATATTATTTCCGATGAGAAATATTATTATGATAATTATTACATCAAATTTACATGTGTTAAAATAGTTAGCAGAATTGTTTTTTCAAAAAAAATATAGAAAATAATTCGATCTTTTTTTTTCAACAGCCTCATATTTCTAAAATAATTTGAACCAAGTCGGTAGGATTAAAAAAATAATTTGATTATATCATTAAAAGTATATATACTATTAAGCATATAAATAGTTTTCCAATTAATATTTACATATGGAAACAAATTTAAAAAAATTCAAATCTATTAAAACACATAACTAAACATAAGCAAAATATTAAATTACTAAAAGATACAAATATTTGCGTTGACCTTAACATGCTAGAAAAAGGAAAATGACGTCGATAAAATCTTCAATTCTTCATTTTCAAAACTTAAACTTGAAAATTTTAGATCTATGAAATTTCAGAAATCCAATTTCGATACGAACAACATAAAGATCTTGTTCATCAACTTTCTTGATTAGCGTTGCTTTTGCTGATACCCGATAATATTTTCGAGGTAACGAGTTAACTTTACCTTAATTTCGCATAAACAGATATAATTACTGATAAAATATTGATAGATTTAGTCAAATTGCATCTTTGATTTATCTATTTATAAACTATCTGAAATCTGATTTAATCCAGACTAAAATAGGATATTCAATAGTTTAAATTTTACAGCCGAAATATGTTTCCAAGCGAGATAATTATTTCTTTAACACAGCTGCTTCAGAAGACGAATTTATGTAATTTGATTTAAAATTTTATATATCTAGATAAGATAAGATACCCATACTCAATCCATATATTATTTATATTGTAGTATATTTTTATTATATTATAAAATTAGTTTCGCAATCTTTATATGATAATTCTTGTTTAGTTTTATTTTTATTTATATTTTTTTAAAGTAAATTATATTATAATATTATTTTACTTTTTAGTTTCGGTGGACGGATCCGGATCCGAATCTGGATCCGTGATATATGGTGGGTCCATATTTTGAACTTTTTTTTTTTTTAAATGATGAACATTTTTTCAGAAATGAAGTTTTTGAATTCGTGAAATGAGAGAACCATTTGAAATGAAATTATGGTGTTACTCAAAAGAATATATATATATATATATATATATTTTATAAATACATAACAATTAATTCTTTTTTTCAAATTCTTGAATCATGCGTTTCTTTACAGTGCTGACTGACTTCAAACGGGATGGCTGTTATCTCTGAAACTTCCGACAACTCCAATGGCAACGATCGAGACCCAAACAAGAAACCGCAACAACTCCGCAAGAAACCCAAAAAAGTACAGAAGAAAGTTTCTGTATCACTTCCCGACGACCTCACCGAAGAATGCTTAGCGTATGTTGGGAGATGTCATTACCCGAATCTGTCTCTCATCTCCAAGACCTTTCATCGTCTCATCTCTTTGCCGAAAGACCGTCCCATCTCTTTGCCAAAAGATCGTCCCGTATCTTTGCCGACTCTCTACAAAACGCGCTCCATTGTCGGCCGCACAGAACCCGTTATGTACGCATGCATAGGATCCCTTCTTTTCGGAAGCCCTAGCTGGTATATCCTTCATCGAGTACCCTACAAGAACATGCCCAACACGGTTTCTCTGCGGCTGCGGAAAATCGAGTCTCTCCCTCCCATGCCTTGGGGATCTGCTGTCGTCACGATCGGGTACGAGATGTACGTGATGGGTGGATGCGTGAGCAAGAAACCCACAAAGACGGTGATGCTCATCGACTGCAGATTCCACACGTATAGCTTCCTCCCGAGTATGCGAGTGGCTCGATGCCATGCTGCGACCGGAGTGATCGACGGGAAGATATACGTACTCGGAGGCTGTGAGATGCGAAAAATGAACTGGGTCGAATCTTTCGACCTCAAAGAAAAGATTTGGAACAGATACGAGTGGTCACCGCAACCCAAAAATGTGAGCAGTGGGTTTGCGACCTACGCGGTGATGGAGAAGCGTATTTACGTCTTGGGTGAAACAAGATGCTACACCTACGAACCCAGAGGAGAAGAAGGTGCATGGAAGTCATTGTTACCTACACAGTTTCACATGAATTCTTTGTGGAAAAAGTGTTCTTGTGTGATTGATGGCATGCTGTTTACCATTAATCCTATGTGGATGCATGAACTTGCGCTCTGGAGTGAACATCCAGTGCTCGTATATGATCCAAGAAGTAACAACTGGAGACCCTTGTTTGGTTTACAAGGCTTTCCGGCTAATATGCTATTGTGGGAGTCTACAATGGTGGATTTTGGTGGAAAGTTGGTGATTTTGGGAACCGATAAGAGTGCGTTTGCGCAGTATAGAGGGAAACAAGAGGTTTGGTGCCTAGAGATCGCTTTGGAAAGAACGCAAGGAGGTGAGATGTCAGGGAAGGTCGAATCAGTAGCGGTTGTGTGTACACTCCCAAACCCGGCGTCTTTTGTTGAGCTTTTTCGAACTGTTACCGTTTGATGATATGAGATGGTTTCTTACAGGTATGTTATGCTTCTGTCACGATCGTAATGACTTTTGATGATGAATTCAGATATATACGTTGCCTTTTAAAACTTACTCTTCTTTTCATAAACTTGCAGGTGAAGGATTTTTATGAAGCAGAGTGGCTAAGAAACTGTTATCTGACACCTTAAGACTAAGCTGCGGAGAGTGGGCCATTTTCTTTTAATCTGTCTTTATATTAAAATAAAAAAACAACAAAACTTGTTGAAAATGCATCTTTGTTTAGCTATGTTTTGGGATTTTGTGTGTTTGCACTAATTAAAACTTTTCAAGTTATTTCTATATTTGCTTTTAGATATATATTTCCTCAGCAAGTAAACACAACCAAACCGGTTTAGTTTTACGGTGGACTTTTGACCTTATGGTAACATTATCCAGACTGACAAAATACAAAGACTAGCTATACTGTGGACAATTTTGAATTCGCATTTTACCAAAAAAAAGACTAGCTATCATTCTTTTAGCATATTGTACAATATTCATACGATACCTGTTGTAACATTTTAAATTCCGATTCCTAAGCAAGTAGAAAAAATTAACATACAAACCGTACAAATGAGTGAAATCGCTGTTGAAAAAAAAAAAAAACTAGACTTATAGATTATACACTACATAAATCCAAATAAAGACTTGATTATTTTCACAACAATGACTGAATTGACTAAATTGTCGGTTTGGGCTCCGGTTCACCAGCTGATCCCTTAAAAAGCAAAATGGTGAGGCTGCCAACGGAGAAATGAATGAAGCAGCCACTGCAATGAGTCACGAACGATCCAAAATGAGTCCCCGCAATACACTGCCACCCCAATCCGTATTTTCTATCAAATTCCTGAAATTGATATCAACATTTTATTATATATGTAGACTATATACAGGTATATATACAAGTCCAGTCAGGATTTATGCGCTACTATAACAATACGGTTAACATAGTTACCTTCTTGATGAAACGGGCGATTGAAGTGGGTTCGGTGACATCGAAGCAATCAAGGGCTTTGGCGGCCAAACTGAGAGCATCCTCCTTCATTGTTTGCTTCATATCTGTCTCACCCATTACTGCTTTCCCTTCTAACATCCTTTTCTTTATGATTATTATTACTTTATTTTCTAAAACTTGAGGAATAAGAGAACCAAGTTATGCAATATATATGGAAAAAATTGGATGGTGAGAGATTGAAGCTCCTAGATAGTGGTGGAGATTCTGTTGGAACTTACATGAAGTTTTTTTTTTTTTTTTTTTTTTTGGCTGGTGCATCAACCACATGGATCTTCATGGACCGGTCATATGTGGTCGAAACCAAACCACACAATCAATTTCAAATATGAATTTATATATATACAACATCTATACATCATTAGATATAATCATTAAGTGATCATTGTTTTTGGATTTGGTTACAAAGGCTATATATATTGTTGGTCCGAGACCAAAGAATATAGAATTTCATCTCACCCTAATAATCTTATAAATTGGTATGAAAGTAATGGGGTTTTCATATACAACATATACCTGGTTAAACGTATTTAGCTAACTAGATAATCAAGTGGTACTACAGTTATTGAAGAATATGAGGTTTTAGTACACTTTAATCAAAATTCCTTTGATCTCCTATACAAAATCATCAGTGTCGAAAGTCATATGTTATTTATATGTTATATTATATGCATTAATAAAAACACGACATTTTAACACACACACAAAACAATGAAATGATAAAATTGCATATTAATTAATTAAATAACATAATTCAAGAATATGTTTGTCCATTGAGAACGGAAAATGTCCGATCTACGTTACCGTATATAAATAGTAGTTTCTAATTCATGATCATTTTGAGTATTAACCCCTGTGGCTTGGTGGTTTTAACTGTCATTACTTTTGGGGGAAAAACAAGAAAATAATTCCACTCCTAATTTGGGATGTTGTGTGACATGTTTTAAATAAAAAATAAAAATAGAAGGCTACAGAAGCAAAATGAGTGAAGGGACGAAGAAGTGACAAAACATATGTGGTTCTCCTTTCTCAAAAGCTAATTTTTCATTAATGGAGGAAACAAGTCAGATAAAACAAAGAAAATGGAACTCAATTTGACTGTTTGTTTATTAAACGGCTGTTACAAACTTAATTTGGCTGTTTGTTTATTGAAAGTTATATATTACATGCTATACTTTTTAGATCTAGTTTTCTTTTATCTCGAGATAATAGTTTCTTCAAAATGTATTTCAATTATGTAAATTCGAAACCTCGAGACTCAAGTCGATAACACAACACAAGAGTATAAAAAACTGCTCTTCTTTATTAGATTTAGAAACTTAACTTAAAACTAAATCTCTTTTATGTCTTATAGAACATCTCTCCACAAGCTCTCAATTTATAGTTCTAAGCTACTCCTTAGTCTATTAGGAATCATATAATCTATATAGATACATCTTTATCCAAATCTTATTAATGAATCATTTTCCTAATCTCTCTAAGCTTTTCCTTAGGAGATAACTTCTCACAGAAGATATTGGAATTATCTAACATTCACCCCTTTAATTCCAACTTGAATTTTGGGTGGTTCGATTTCTTCAACTCCAATCAAGCTTCTCATTTCCTTGAGCTTGATCCTTGCTAACGGCTTAGTGAGGATGTCTGCTTTCTGTTCTGTTCCGGGTACATGCTCCACTTCTATCTGTTCATTCTCGACACATTCCCGAATAAAATGATAGTTTTTGAGAATGTGCTTTCTCCTTCCATGAAATACAGGATTCTTGGTAAGAGCAATGGCTGACTTGTTATCAATCTGAAGTATGACCTTCTCGTCTTCACTTTGGATCTCATCCAACAGTTTCTTAAGCCATATTGCTTGCTTTGCTGCTTCTGTTGCCGCCATAAACTCTACTTCGCATGATGATAATGCGACTGTGGGCTGTTTTTGTGAAGTCCAAGTAATCGGCGATGAGCCAAGGTAGAAAACGTGACCTGATGTACTTCTTCCGTCGTCCACATCGATGTTGTGGCTGCTGTCACTGTATCCCACGATTCGCCTTGCTCCATCCCTCTTGAAAAATAGTCCTAGGTTAGTAGTTCCCTTTACATATCTCAGGACGTGTTTCAGTGCTTGTCTGTGACTTTCTATTGGACTCTGCATATAGCGACTTAGGACTCCAACAGAAAACGCCAAGTCAGGTCTTGTGTGAAGTAAATATCGTAAACATCCTATAGCTCTCCTGTATTCCGTTGCATTGATCTCAGGTTCGTCCTCTGCTTTGGACAATTTTAAACCAGACTCCATTGGTACATGAGTCAAGTTACAATTGTCCATCTTAGTATCAACTAAGATTCCTTTAGCATAGCCTTCTTGTTTTATCCTGATCCCATCTGATCCCTGAATCACCTCTATGCCAAGGTAGTAAGTTAGCTTCCCTAAGTCTGACATCTCGAATTTCCTTGACATGTCGCTCTTGAATTGTTCAATGATTGTTTGTGATGATCCTGTTACGAACAGATCATCTACATAAATCGCTACAAACAAGATATCTTTTGTAGTCTTCTTGAGATAGACAAAAGTTTCTTTTAAGCATCGCTTAAAGCCCATCTCCTTTAATACATGATTCAGCTTCACATTCCAAGCTCTAGGAGCCTGTCGCAGACCATATAGTGCTTTATAAAGTCTGTAAACTCGACCTTCCTCTCCTTTCTTCTCAAAACCTTCAGGCTGGCTTACATAGACGAGTTCGCTTAGATCCCCGTTTAAGAATGCTGTCTTGACGTCCAGATGGTGTATTTCCCAGCCTTGTGTTGCTGCTAAGGCGATGAGTAACCGAATTGTTTCAAGTTGTGCTACTGGTGCGAACACTTCGTCGAAATCAATCCCGTGCTGTTGTACATAACCTTTCGCAACAAGCCGCGCCTTGTATTTATTCACTGTGCCGTCTGCATTTCTCTTTACTTTGTAGACCCATTTCAAACCTATCGGTTTCACTCCAGCCGGTTTATCAACTAACTCCCAAGTTCTATTTCAGATGATAGAATCCAACTCAGCTAACATTGCGTCAACCCATTCACGCAACTCTGCAGCTTCGAGATAGCTTTCAGGTTCTCCATCAACTGTAAGCAGAAGTCTTTCGCCCTCTAGATCTGCAAACATGACATAATCACTAAGATATGTCGGAAGACTAAATTTACGACCATATCTAGTGAAAACTGGTTCTGGATCCGCTTCAGGGTTCTCATGATTCTGTCTGTTATCCCCTTCTTCATTGTTTTGATCAATTTGATCATGCACTTGATTCTCATCCTCATTGTTCTGAATGTGATTCTGTCCTTCTGCTTCTTCAGGACCATATCGTGGTAGTGTGAACATGCCGGGTTTACCATCTATCTCGTTCCTCAATGCAGACCAATCCCATGCTCTGTTTTCTTCGAAAACCACATCTCTGTTCATCGTTACTTTCCTAGTTAACGGGTCATAGAGTCTATAAGCTTTGGAACCTGACTCTGTTCCCAGATTAATCACACTCTTTGACCTATCATCTAGCTTCTTAATGTGCGGACCTATTATTTTCGTGTGTGCCACACATCCGAAAACTCTTAGGTGATCGACCCTCGGTTTCTTCCCCGTGAAAGTCTCATATGGAGTTTTGTCTTTCAACGCTTTTGACGGAACTCTGTTAATTATATATGTCGAGTGCCTCACAGCTTCACCCCACAGAAAATTTGGAATTTTCATTCCCTTTAGAACGCTTCTAGTCATTTCCATTAACGTTCTATTTCTCCTTTCCACAACGCCATTATGTTGTGGTGTGTACGGTGCTGTAAGATGTCTCGTAATCCCATTCTCTTCACAGAATCGATTAAACTCAGCTGATGTGAACTCTCCTCCTCTATCGGTTCGAAAGGTTTTCAGCATTAGACCTGTTTGCTGTTCGACAAGTCTCTTAAAACCTTTGAATCGATCGAAAGCTTCACTCTTTTCTTTTAACAGCAGCGCCCACATGTATCTTGAGAAATCGTCAATTAAGACAAAAACGTAACGGTTATTTGCGGGTGTTGGCGGAGATATCGGCCCATACTAATCTCCGTGTACTAACTCAAGGGCTTGTGTCGCACGGAACGAAGTTTTGATCGGGAATGACGCTCTTATTTGTTTTCCCGAGAGGCATGCCTCGCAAACATCTGTCTCGTGTAAGCCTTTTGGCATGCCTTCTACCATCTCCTTCCTTATCATATTAGCCATTACACCATAGCTTATATGACCTAGCCGTGAGTGCCATGTTCGTGTAAGGTCTTCGGTTTGTATTTGGAGACACTTAGGATAGTCAATCTCCATAGGTGTCTTGTAGAGTCGATTTGGTGCCATTTTAACTCTCACAAGTAACCTCCCGTGTGGATCCTTTAGCGACAGCGTGTCGCCTTTCATGTGCACCTCACATCCATTCTCGGTTGCTTGTCCGAGACTCATTATGTTGTGCTTCAGATCTGGTATAAAGTAGATGTCTCTAAGTGCTCTTTTCTCGCATGTCCTTCCGATGAATACGATGGTGCCTTTTCCCATAATCTCAACATTAGATCCATCACCAAACTTCACTTTCCCTTTGATCTTTTCATCTAGTGTTGAGAAGTATTCTTTATTTCCCGTCATGTGGTTACTTGCACCATTGTCGAGGTACCATATGCTCGTCTTGTTGTCGCAGGCATCGTAGCGTTTAGGAAACACCTTATTCTCATTCAAAAACACTAATTCATGAATGTATAAGGCTTTTGGTTCCTCTGTTTCGTTCAGAATTGCTTCTTGCTATTTCCCAGTTCTTTCTGTGTTCTTTCGCAGTTCAGGACAAGACGATACATAATGTCCGTGTTTATCATATCTCCAACATATTATTTTGCTCAGATTCTTTTTCTGTCTTTGATCGCTTTGTCCGCTCTCTCCTGAGTTCCTGTTTGATCGTCCGCGACCTCTGCCTCTACCTCCTCCTCTCGGTCTTCCTCGCGAGCCACCATAACCTCCACGGTTGCTCTGTTCACCACGGTTGCTCTGATCGTTGTTGGTCCACATAAGCTTGCTCTGTTCATCGCTTTGTGACCCCTCGCCTACACGTTCCTCATAGGCCTTTAATCTCTCCACAATATCCTCAAACCCAGTTTTATTTAGGTCTAAGACTTGTTCTAAAGAAGCCATAATCTGTATATATTTGTTTCTCGGGAGTCCTTTCAAGAACTTCTTCACCATCTTCGGTTCTTCAATGGTGTCTCCTAAGGAAGCTGCCTTCGATGCAAGTCCTGATATTCTTCCGGCGAAGTCGTCAACGGAATCAGTATCGTTCATTGCTAATTTATCGAACTCTGTCATCAGAGTTTGTAGCCTTGCTTCTCTCACACGATCTGCTCCAAGATGGCGTGACTTTATGGCTTCCCATACTCCTTTGGATGTTTCTTGCTCTCCTACTTGCAAGATTAGTGACTCGGGAATAGACTGAAACAGAAGAGCTATCGCCGCATAATTCTTTTTTAGATCGGCTATCCCCGGATCTATCGTCTCCCATACTTCATTAACTCAAAGTATGACTCTCATCCTCATCGACCAAACTGTGTAGTTTGTCGACGTGAGCATAGGGCATTGGATCGATGGCGGTCCTGTTTCCCTAGCTCGCGGTTGCGGATTATTGACATCCGTCATTGTTGGTTCACTAACTTCTCAAGATCCAAGGCTTCCTCCTTGAAGCTCTGATACCAATTCAAGTCGATAACACAACACAAGAGTATAAAGAACTGCTTTTTTTTATTAGATTTAGAAACTTAACTCAAAACTAAACCTTTCTTATGTCTTATAGAACATCTCTCCACAAGCTCTCTATTTATAGTTCTAAGTTACTCCTTAGTCCATTAGGAATCATATAATCTGCCTACATACATTTTTATCTAAATCTTATTAATGAATCCTTTTCCTAATCTCTCTAAGCTTCTCCTTAGGAGATAACTTCTCACAGAAGATATTGGAATTATCCAACAGAGACAACCCAAATTCCACTAGATTCAGATTTTCCAAGCTTCAATATACTTCATAAAGAAAAATAATATATCACTATCAGTGATTCGTAGTGTAACAAAACCAAAAAAAGGAATAACTATATACACTCTCTAACTTAAATCTCCATAACTGTTTGCACACGCATGTCGTGGGCTCTCTAACTAATGCTGACCATAGTCTCGTTTGCAATAGTCTCGTTTCCAAGTATATGGAATTGATTGTAGATATTGAACCAAGTTGACCATTATATGGTTATTGGTTGCAGCTATTGCAAATGAGCTATATGGTCAAATATACTATGCCAAAGTAACTTACTGAATCTGTGTTTTTCTCTTTTTTTCTTAGTACGAAAATAAGAAAGTTCGTTGGCCGACCTCGAACAACTAAAACCCTGTCTTTACCGACGTGTCACCGACCCTTCCTTCACAAAACAAAACGGATTTTTCCCAAAATATTTGCCAAACATTACTTTTTTATGTTTTAACTAATTGGAAAATTACAGCTTTTGCCACCAATCTTTATCTAAATCATAAAGCACTAAAAAAAAAAATTGGACACTTTGCCGCCTTTCTCTCTTTGCCTCTCGACGTGTAGTCTTGTTCCTCGTGAAGATCTGGATTTTGCTGACAATCTCAACAATCTCTCGGGAAAACATCTTTTGATCCTCTGATTCGTTTTTTTCTACTCTTTTCCTTCTTTCTATTTCCTATTTCTTCGGGAGGCGAAGAGACGACGGGCAATTTCTTTAATGTCGCGCCGTCTTTTCGCCTGTTTCGGCGTCAAGAAATCTTCATCCTCCACGAGTAAAGCTGTCTCCGGAAATAATTCCGCCGCCGTCTCCGCAGACGTTCCTGTCGGCGACGGACCCGTTCTTGTCCAGCTATTCTCGTCGCAGGGATGCGAAACGTCTCCGGCGGCGGAGATGCTGATGTCTCGGCTCGGGAGAGGCGATTTCGACGACCAGATCCGTGGAGACGGTGGATCTAAATCTCCGGCGATGGTTCTGGTCTTCCACGTAGATTATTGGGACTACAAAGGGTGGAAGGATCCGTACGGATCCAGCCAATGGACGGTGAGGCAGAAGGCATACGTGGAGGCGTTGAATCAGGACACGATGTTCACTCCGCAGCTTGTAGTCCAAGGCAGGTCTCAATTGATCGGAAACGAGGAGGAGACACTGCTCAAAGCTATCTCGGAAGCTCCTAGGTTTCCTTCTCCGTCGTTCCGGGTGAGTAGTATATATTCTTTGACATGTAACATGTTTGATTTTAATATGATTGTTGGACGTGCAAAAACCCTTATTAGGTTACTGTGAATTTGGTATCGTCATGAGGATGAATTAGGGTTATGATTCCTCTGATGCCTAAAGATTCAACAGCATGTTCTCTTACTTAGAAATCTATGAGAAATATTGATTCAACGACGTGTTCTTTGTACATGTATGCCCTATGATTAGCTGCATAACTAAACATTGTATCATTGAAATCAATGAGTTCTTGTTAATACATAAGCATGAAGCTTAGTGGTGTTTTTTGTTCAACTTCTCACATGTTATCTTTTTCTTTTTCTTTTTTGGTTTTGACTTTCATATATAATCTTAATCATTATTTGTGTTCCAACTAATTTGTCATGTAATCATCTCTTGACCAGGCCACTTTCCAGAGACCAACCTCAGAGACACTGGAGGTATCACTCAAGGGAGCGTTGAGAATGAAAGTAGACGGGAACGGGATAGACGTAATGGTGGCGATATACGAAACAGGGCTAGTGAACGACTGTGAGAGAGGAGAGAACGAAGGAAGAATGTTGTCGAACGACTATGTTGTAAGAAAGATGGAGAAGATGTGCACTGTGAGAGACGTAACATCGAAGAAGTCAGTGTCGGGGACTGCTCATTTCACGCTCTGGGATGGATTTAACAGCAACAAATGCAGAGTCACTGTCTTTCTTCAGAACTCGTCTCTTCAGATTTTTGGTACTCAGAGTTTTAAGTTGCCTGATGAGATTTCATGAGTTATCCATTAAAAATCTGAAAGCTTTTATCAGATAACTGATATTTTCTTGTGTCGCTCATATTTTTTGCTTTTGAATCCATTCATTTGTTTTACTCTAAAGTAACTAAAATTTGATGTTGTTCATGTAAGTTTTGTAAACAGTGCCTCCTCTTTCACTATGTGCAGTACACCAACTACATACACGTTTCGGTTCAGATATGAAATCTTTCGGATTTGTATTTACATCAATCAGTAGCAGATTCACTACCACTGATATGATAGGCGTGAAACGAGTGCAATCTTTTTATGTAATGTAAGCCGTAGTCTACAAAATGTCGCATACCATTTTTGAATACCGATATTACTTAGGCATTACGGGAAGCGTTAGCACAATCTGAGTCGCATGATTTACACAACACTATATCCCCGATGAGACCAATCGGCACTGTACAGTCTTGCTTTTCTACAAGGTAAACGAATGATTCTGTAGCTTGTCAGTATATAATGCTCTTGTTCTTGTAAAAATGTTTGCTTTTGCTTCTTGGTTTTTTTTTCAGGAACGGTACACCGAGGCAGCCATTGCTTGTGTCGCTTGCGAGGGCATGTTTGATCTTTAATCCGGCTTTGGTTCCTCATGCGTCTCTTGAGGGTCTCGGAGAGTATTCTCACTGCTGGATAATATACGTGTTTCATCTCAACACTGATATCGAGAAGCTATGGAGAAAGCCATCTCAGTCTAAGCTCAAGGCAAAGGTAAGCACACGGCTTCTATCTTTGTTGTTTCTATGTTATGATGTTCTCGGTCTGAAGGCTTTTTGGGGGTGTTGTCAAAGTTCAGGTGAGAGAGCCAAGGCTAAATCGGGAACGACAAGGAGTCTTTGGTACTAGGTCTCCTCATCGACCTTGTCCCATTGGACTCACACCGTTGCGAAGGTACTCTCAATTCAACTCTAGTGAACAAAGACATTTAATTATCTTTACCAAAAGTACATAATGGTAAGTAATCCATCATAGGTGGAGGAAATCCAAAACGATAAGGTTCTGCTCTCTGGTGTCGATCTTGTGGATGGGACTGTATGTAATTCTCCTTTCTCATTGCTTGCTAGGTTAACTTTTGTTGGTCAGCCGGTGCTTGACATCAAGCCTTATTTACCATACCCGGACAGCATTCAAGAAGCCACAGTACCAAACGGGGTAAAGGTAAGAACATTACGATGTATTGAGGCTTTTCATCTGAGTAGCTGAATGCTGGTGAGGCTCTAGGATCGAAAAATGAATTTCAGGAAGACTGCTTATTCGCTGTGGCTTCTGTGAGTTTCTCAGAGACCTTCTGCTCCTCCACCACCAGCCGCTGGAAACTGATAGTGAGTGACTTCTGATTATGACCTGAGGTGGGTGGATCTCTTCTCTGTTTTCGATTCTGACAAAATATTTGCTTTTGCTCCGCAGGAAAAGAAGTCTCTGTATAGTTCAGCGGATGAGTTCAAGAGCTTGATTACGCAGGTCCTGTCATGGGACATACGATCAATGTCGCAGCGGAACAAGCCACAAGACACATCAGATGCAGAGAACATCGTTTGTCACTTGGTTCTGGAGGGACTAGACGTGTCTTACATGATAGATAATGAAAGTAGTAACATCCTTGTCCAAGATGTTTCTCTCCCCAATAACCTTGAAGATGTTGCAGGAACCTGATCTTTGGCTCAACGAGGTGTTTCCTAAAGAGAACCGCCCATTCAAATCCAAGAATCTAACCACACAGAAACAATTTCAAGAGTGAAGAAGTTACCAAGAAACAGAGGAAGTGAAAACCTGAGTGGTGATCATAACGAGAAACGCAGGGAGGAAAGGAAGAGCGTTTGTATTTAATTTTATTGGCTATCACTGTTGATGCGTTAGATTACAAGACAAGTTTAACTTATATGCAATCATTGTGTTATTTTTTTTTTTACTTTCTATACAAGGCCCATGCTTCTACCATATTGTTTAAGCTCTAAACTCATCATAAGGAGATAAAAATCATGTGTTTGGTCATAGAACAGAACAGTAACTAGTGTAAAGCTATCACAAAGGTATAACAACAATTGTCAAAGAGTAAAGAGATTTCTGAGAATAACAATAATTAGTTTGCTGCGTCTTCTGTACAAAGCACTTGTTGCATACTGTCCTTGTGGTGAGCTAGAAGACGGGACAACCTTTGATGACAACGCCTTTCGCGGTAGGACAGGAGGCTAAAGGACGCCGGAATTTCCCCACCGCTGCACTTGAATGCCTTTTCGTCCGAGTGCTAGAAACACAAGTATGGTCATAAACGCCGAGCCAGCATCTAACCCACCTGACAAACACTTATTTTAGTCACGGTTTCTGAGATAAAATTTTCTAAACTAAAATATCAGGTTGAAAACTATCAAATGCAAATGCAAGTTAGTATTGTTTCAAACAGTTTTTGATTGAATCATCCAGCCCACGATTACATAATCATTTCGTAAAACGAGATACATGGCGCAAAGACCACTAAAGGTGATCTTGATCTGTGTCAGAAACATCCATAGATACATATAGACACGAGATGTACCCTGATGTTTGGTTTTAGATAAACACACACAATCACATCTGTACATGAACTCCTGCATTAAAACACATGTAATGATTGACATGAACAATTGAAAAGCCTGACATGATTCAAAAGATACATTAGATGATATAAAACAATAAGCAATCTTAACATGAAATTAAAAATGATACAAGAAACAGAGAGTGTATTGCAAATGGAACTAGTTAATTTCTATGTGCTTCCTTTTCTTGCCCCGTTGGTTGATTTGAACAAGACTTGGAGCATAAGCAGTGAAGGCAATTTCGCTCAAGCATCGGAATTGATCGCAAGGCGTTCCAGGTTGTCTGAGATTCAAAGTTCTGCAGTATCCACCGTCTCCAACCATAAATGTAGCGGCTCGGCGGGGACAGGTGAATGTGGGTCTACGTTGGTCGGAAACCACGGCGACTTTATTCACCCCGTCAACGAAGAAGCTCCCAGCAAAAAAACCAGCTGGAAAACCAAAGAACCATCTCGTATACACTTTGAAAAACTTGCTCCAGGATACCGCATTGGGCTCGACTTTAGTTGTAATCCAAAAATGGAACACCGGACCTCCTGCTGCCTCGTCAAACTGATATAACAAAGCAAGCTGCTCCTCTCTAACGCAAGATAGAATCACGGATTCTTCCCACCATCTGAAAGAGTGAAACGGCAAAGGAAGACGAGGTCCAAATCTCTCTGCTGTAAAATCAAAACAGAGTAAGAAAACTCCAATCCTTGCATCGTTTGTATTCTTCTCTTCAGCAACTAGGTAAGTGTTTCCCTTGAGAGACACGCCGCGTTGATGGTAGCATATCTGCCAGTCGGGATCGACATCAAGAACCCTCCATGAATCAGACTTGAAACAGTAGATTTCGTAAAAGAAATAGATGCGTGAATGGACACACCCATTCATAAACCTTAAGATCTTGTGGTCACGGCTCTTGTTGTTGTTCACGTACCCGAAACCAAACATGTCATATTTTGTGAACTCCTCTATGGGTTGGATCCACCTGGATTAGTCCACATCAACAAATTCATCTGAATTAGTCCACATCAACAAAACAAAAAAAATAATATATTTTTACCAAAATTTGTCTAAATTTTACTCATTAAATTTTGATCAATCATAACATTTTTAAACCATTTAAACATTTTCCTACCAATTTTCGAAGCTATACCTTTCTTCGCAAACGTTATTTTCAGCAACCAAACAGGTTTGCTAAACGATTTTAGGATCTTTACAATAAATTTATGTTTTTCCCAATTAAAGTAAAAAACCAAAGTGTTTTGTTCATCCAATATCATATTTGCTATGTATATAAACAAGATGTGATTGATGGAGATCTGTGTGAGCATTATACGACACTTCCGATGGATATGTTGAGAAAAATAGCTGACAAGCTAGATAGAACACCTGCAGGGATCCTGAAGAAGCTTAAAGACGCGGGGAACAAGATTATCTAATTCATAAAATAAAAATAAAAGTATGTCTATTGTTTTTGCTAAAAAGCAGGAAAAATAGTAGATGAAGATATTATTTTTGTTTTATTTTAGTTCATGTTTGTAAAACTGTTATTACTCATGAATCTCCAAAATGTTATTTTAGTTCATGTTTGTAAAATCTGAAATTTCTAATCCAATAAACCCTCTTAAATCTTTCTTACTGTTTTTCTAGGATTTCGAATCCTTCTATAATCTCTCTATTTATACGAGGGATATGAGGTGGGTTCCATCAAATTCTTTTATTTTTTTGTAACTGAAAATTTTCATTTTTTTTTAAACTTAAAACGTTTCATTTAACCTAATTTTTTTTCTTTTATTTGAGCGAAATGGTATCAGATAGATATATCCTTACTTCTAATATGTTTTGCTTAATGAAAAAAATATGTATGCACTCTCTCCTTTGCACTGTGTTCTAAATAAACATGCTTACATCCACTTAAATGTATTGTATATCTATATCACTTCAATTTGATATTTTGACTGAAATTTTCGGAGCTTTACCTCTCTGGGCAAAAGTTATTTTCAGCAACCATGTGTGTTTGCTAAACGATCTTTAGATCTCTGCAACAAATTTACCTTTTTCCCCTTTTTTTTTCTGGAAAATATCCTTTTTTTGAAAGGAAGAGGATTAGCGTAACCCTCTCCCCGATATATATATACACATTAATAGAAGAATATTAGGACTTTGGCTTGTCCTTCCAAAAACAAAAAAAAATTGGAAGATGGCGAGCATATGTGATCTTTCAGGGGATATGGTAGGGGAGATACTCTGTAGGGCTCCACTGACATCTCTGGGCGCAGTGCGATCCACATGCAAAAGCTGGAACGATTTATCGGAGAAACAGATTTTTGTTGTTTATATACGGCTTTTGAGAGTTTAAATTATCCCAAAGACGTTTATGATTTGTAAAGAACTGCCGGTTTATGTCTTTATGATACGTCGGGACAATTAAGGAAACAAAAGCACAATGTGAATCTTACGATTATAACTATTCAACCGAAGAACGATAAACAAGTGATCATCAAGCACCAAAACATTAAATCAATTTTGGCTGGTATCTCTTATATATCAATTCGGTTTGATTTGCATGGAAGAATAAGTAGTCTCGTGCTTGCACTTCCTTAGTGAGAGAGTCGATACGGATATTTACGCTACAGAATACTGTATTAACCATCACTCCCCGAGACCCTCAAGAGACGCATGAGGAACCAAAGCCGGATTAAAGATCAAACATGCCCTCGCAAGCGACACAAGCAATGGCTGCCTCGGTGTACCGTTCCTGAAAAAAAAACCAAGAAGCAAAAGCAAACATTTTTACAAGAACAAGAGCATTATATACTGACAAGCTACAGAATCATTCGTTTACCTTGTAGAAAAGCAAGACTGTACAGTGCCGATTGGTCTCATCGGGGATATAGTGTTGTGTAAATCATGCGACTCAGATTGTGCTAACGCTTCCCGTAATGCCTAAGTAATATCGGTATTCAAAAATGGTATGCGACATTTTGTAGACTACGGCTTACATTACATAAAAAGATTGCACTCGTTTCACGCCTATCATATCAGTGGTAGTGAATCTGCTACTGATTGATGTAAATACAAATCCGAAAGATTTCATATCTGAACCGAAACGTGTATGTAGTTGGTGTACTGCACATAGTGAAAGAGGAGGCACTGTTTACAAAACTTACATGAACAACATCAAATTTTAGTTACTTTAGAGTAAAACAAATGAATACTCAACAAGACAATCAAAGGGGTTTTTGTCAACTGTGGGAGATTCTGTGTTGATGGAATGAATAGATGCACAACCGCAGACCAATAACCAGCCAACTGCAGTTACAATACCAAAAAAAACCCCCACAGTCTTAGTGAAAAAAGCCTTTATTTCTTTTGTTAACAACACTGAGAGAAAGAAAGTATACCTGAGCGACAATGCCCTTCCCTGTCTGGGCTTCGATCACAAGCCCTATCAAGAGCCCAATGATCGCCCATGCTCCGTTTATCGCCTCTATCTCACGCCTTCTCTGTTGCTTCCCTCTGCCTTTTATCTCTTCCATTTCCTTTCCTACTAACCGTTTGGCCTCCAGAGGATCTACCATAATTACCACTTTTTTTGCCTTTACTTTCCCTGGAGTAGGAGATGCCTACAACAACACTCACGCATAGCAGAAACTTTTAAACCACGATGGTCCAATTAACCAACAAAAAGAGAACGTTTTAACCACCACTGACAGGGGATTACAAAGTATAACAGAGATGTGGCTAGATCCTAGTTTTATATCGCTGCAAAAATGGGTTTAAGGTTATATACACTTGGGTTTGCTAGGACACGAACTGCTCCACCTCTGGCTCTGCTTCCCACCAGCTTTGCATCTTGGTGTCTTCTTAGTCCCTTTCTGAGAAACCATACAAAGGTATGATGAATGGTGGATAATGATATAGTTGGAGGATATCTAATTATCAAACGTAATGATAACATTTGATTAATGACTCGTGAGTTTGATGAAAACCTGAAGAGTCACACATGGGAAAAGAGTAGTAATTAAAAACTTGACGATAAACTAAGCCTGTATACTTTCTTCCACATGATCTTATTACCAGCTTAGATAGACTATTACGAAAGAGAAAGATGAACGAGAGAGAAGAAGTTTGTTGGAAAGATATTTTATTCATCTCATCCGAAAAGTGTGAATGTACAAAACTATATATACTAAAGCTGTACAATTGATTTAACTAAACCAGTAAAAGAAAGCTGGATTAAACTAATCAACACAAACCGGAAATATAAACCGATATTCTCCAATAGTCCCTCTCAAGATGAGCTGCAAAAGATGTTATGAAGACTCATCTTGGATTTGAGATGTTCAAACTGATAAGGGAACAAAGGCTTAGTGAGAATATATGCAACCTGATCTTTAGTGCAAACGTGAAGAGTCTTGATTATCCCTCGATCAAGATGCTCACGTACCGAATGATAATCCGTTTCTATGTGTTTAGTTCTCTCATGAAACACTGGATTGGTGACAATGTATAGTGCCGCAGTACTATCTGAAAACAGGATGGGAGTGTCAACAGAAGGTACCTGAAGATCAGTAAGAAGTTTTGTGAGTCAAACCATCTCTTTAGAAGCCAAATTCAATGCTCGATATTCTGCCTCTGCTGAGGAGCAAGAGAAAGTGTCCTGTTTCTTGGATTTCCATGAAATGAGGGATGATCCTAGAAACATACAGAAGCCAGTGGTGGAGCGACGACTATCTGGACAGGAAGCCCAGTCAGAATCAGCAAACCCCTTCAGTATAAGATCCGAATCTGCAGAGTAGAACAGGCCCTGTCCAACAGTTCCTTTGATATATTGGAGGACTTTATAAACTGCTTTAAGGTGAGAGGACCGAGGAGCAGAGGAGTACTGACAGAGTTTGTTCACCGCAAAGATAATATCAGGTCTCGTGAAAGTCAAGTACATCAAACGACCCACAAGACTACGATACATCTCTCTATCCGAAAGCAAGTCACCATCCTCCTTGGAAAGCTTCAGATTAGGAACCCTAGGGGTGGAGGAAGGCTTGCAGCCTAACATACCCACCGAAGTAAGCAACTCCAATGCATACTTGCGTTGACAGATCGAAATACCAGTCTTGTTACGAGCAATTTCCAAACCCAAAAAGTACTTCAGAGGGCCAAGGTCTCGTAACTTGAAACATGCAGAGAGGTCATTAGTAAACTGAGCAAAGTCAGCCACATCAGTATTGGCAACGATTATGTCATCAACATAAACTAGTACGGCCATAAAGTTCCCTCCCGCACAACGTTTGACAAACAAAGTATGATCACCGGTACCCTTTTCAAAAACATAACTGCAGAGAACTTCAAGAACCATTGTCGCGATGCTTGCTTAAGCCCATAGATAGATTTCTTGAGACGTAAGACAGCATTCTTCGGCAAAGAGTCCCCCTGTCTCACAGCATAACCTTCAGGTAATTTCATAAAAATTTCTTCATCTAAATCACCATTCAAAAAGGCATTCGATACGTCAAGCTGATGTAAAGACCAGTTTCGAGAAGCAGAGACCTTCAACAACAACTTAACAGTAGCGAGCTTTGCAACAGGTGAAAAAGTCTCAGTATAGTCGATACCTTCCTTCTGTGTATAACCTTTGGCAACCAGACGAGCCTTATACCTTTCAAGACTGCCATCAGCATGAAACTTTAAGGTAAAGACCCATTTGCAACCAATAGCTTTCTTCCCCGGAGGTAAACTAGTAACATCCCAAGTCTCAGTCAATTCCATAGCACTAAACTCCTTATCAATAGCTCCACACCATTCTAATGAGTCCTTTGCTTCAGAATATGAATGAGGAAATCGGAATTTTGGTGATGGCATTGATGTAAGAGTGAAAAGAGGGTGATAATTTGGAATACGAAAGAGAATCCGAGATAGGATGATCAAGAGTAGAATCAACATTATAGCAGTGATAATCTTGTAAATGAGCAGGAGTTTTTTTTGTCCTACCCAACAGAGTTGGTAAAGTGGGGATAGAAATTTGTGAAGAAGGAGAAGGATGGGAAGGAGGGGAATGAGAAATACCCGAAGGTAAAGGAGTGAGTGGTGTGAAGATATCTGATGCAGAGTCTTCAACCTTGGCTTTAAGCATCGGAAAATTGTCTTCATGAAAGACCACATTTCGAGTAACAAATATAGCATTACTCTCCAAATCCATCAACTTATAACCCTTATATCCATGAGGATACCCCAGAAATAAGCAGGCCCGTGCACGAGGCAGAAACTTATGTCTTTGCTTCAGAGATGTTGAACCATAGCAGAGGCAACCAAATGTGTGTATTTGATCATAAGCAGGAGCTTTCCCAGTGAGAACTTCAAGATGAGTCTTATTCAATAGAAGCTGAGATGGCGTCCTGTTAATAAGAAACACCTGTCAAAATACAGTCACTCCAAAAGGGTAAAGAAACATCGGATTGAAACATTAGTGCTAGAGCTACGTTCAAAATATGTTGGTGTTTCCTTTCCACAACGGAGTTCTGCTCAGGCGTCTCCGGGCAAGAATGGTATGCAACAATCCCCTTTGACTGATAAAACTCAATGAAACGCAATTCTGGAGTGTTATCAGAACGAACGGATTTTACTGTTGTAGCAAACTGATTTTCAATTTGTTGAACAAAAGCAGGAAAAACTTGTAGGACTTCAGATTTAGTCTTTACAGAAATATCCAAGTAGCCCGTGAATGATCGTCAACAATAGTTAAGAAATAACGATATCCATCGATTGATTCAACTGAGAAAGGTCCCCAAATGTCAATGTGTAACAACTCAAAGTTGGCATTACAAACATTATTAGGAGAGGGAAAAAAAAGCTTCTTCTGTTTAGCCAAATGACAAACATGACAATAAGCCGAATCCTTATTCTTGTGCCTTGTGGTCCCCAAAGCATCTGAAATAGCATCCAATCTTGAAAAAGAGGGATGTCCAAGCCTCTTATGCCATACACCAACATCTACAACTGCATTGACTGAGACGGATGTAGAAGTCTTTGTATTCAGCACATAAAGATTGGTGATCCGCTTACCCTGACCAATCGTCACAGCCTTGAGAGGCTCCTGAATCGTACAAGAAGAAGCATCAAAAATCACTCGTGAACCCAAATCAGAAGTCAAAGAGCTTATACTGATCAAGTTCAGTCTGAACTTCGGAATAAACAGAACATTACGGAGTGTGATGTTGTCATTTAATCTAACTGATCCCACACCACTGATTTTGATAGTAGAACTAGTAGGAAGATTGACAAAACTCGTAATAGAAGTATCCATGTGCGTAAACAAATCACGATCATGAGCAACATGATGAGTGGCACCAGAATCAATCACCCAAGAATCAAGGCATAATGTGTGATGAGAGACTGTTAATATCTCAACAAAACATAAAGTGGAGGGAGAAAATGTGATACCAGAGTTCACATTAGAAGGTTGAGACGTGCTAGCATCAGAGGAGCGGTTAGTTGAAGACGGCTGAAGTTGAGAACTGAACAGAGCAATGAAATGTTGAATCTGTTCTTTGGAAAGATTGCCGATCAGACTATCCATACTGGGATGACTAACATCTGGCATAGGAGACAAAGCTACCTGAGCTGCAACAGGGGGAGTTTTCTGTGCTTTATCTGATCCTTGCCTTTGGGAGTATAGCCAGGAAGAAATCTGTTCTTCTTGTAGCATCTCTCAGCGATATGTCCAACTTTGTTGCAGTAAGAACAAATGGGACGTCCCTTATTAGGACCTGATTGTACGTAGCAGATAACTTCCGAAGAAGGAGGGACAGGATTACTCTCTGAAACTTTAAAGGCAGCCGGAGAAGCAGCAGTAGAGAAACCTTTCTGGCTGACATCTCTATCAAGTAGATTGTAAACCTCTGCAAGTGTAGAGAGCACTTTCTTCATAATAATCTGTCCACGAACAATCGCATAAGAATCATTCAAACCAGCTAGGAACTTGACAATTTTAGCTCTCTCTGCCTTCTGTTGCAGGCGAGCCGCTTTACCATACGTACAAGGATCATCAGGTTCTTCTGCACTTTCCAGATTGCTCCACAACGCCTTCAAAGTGGTGAAGTATTCAGATAGTGACATGGATCCCTGATGAAGGTCTTGAATCTCTTGTGTGATATTGAAAGTCCTAGGAAGATTGGTCAAATGAAAACGACTGTGTAGATCTTTCCAGATATCAGTAGCATCATTCATACGCAAAACACTACAATAGATCTGGGGAGAAACTGAGTTAAGCAACCATGACTTGACGAGGCTATTGCATCTAGACCACAATCGGAAATTAAAGTCGGATTCAGCAAGGCGAGGTAATGATCTATCAACGAAACCGATTTTATTCTTTGCGTCTAGAGCAATCAACATCGCAGCATTCCAATCATCGTAGTTTGTATCATCTAAGCGAATAGCTATGAGTTGCAAACCTGGATGATCAGAACTGTGCATAAAAAATGGTGAATGAATCGAATCGGAGGTGTCCGCAACATCACGAGCGTGCATAGAACGATTCGCCGAGCCTTGAATAGTCGGAGAACCGAGTGAAGCCGAGTTTGTTGTCAAACCCACTCGAGCTGATCGTCGAGGAACAATTCGCTTCATAGACACCATTGTAGCTTGGAATCCAAAAATCGAAACCAAGATGGAGCTCGAAGATGATGAAATCAACGAGAAATCAGCAGAAAATGGAGCTCGATGTCTCTGATACCATATTAAGAAAGAGGAAGATGAACGAGAGAGAAGAAATTTGTTGGAAAGATATTTTATTCTATCTCATCCGAAAAGTATGAATGTACAAAACTATATATACTAAAGCTGTACAATTGATTTAACTAAAGTAGTAAAAGGAAGCTGGATTAACTAATCAACACAAACCGGAAATATAAATCGATATTCTCCAATATAGACAAATGTCATAAAAGAAGAAATAAAACTGTAAATGGAACGCAGGACATGTAAGTAAGAGAAGAAATGAACGAAGCAGAGAAAGAGGCTTGTTTCACTCTTCATATCGAAAGATTCTTACCTTTCCCATTCCGAGACAAAAACTGGAGCCACACGCCACAATCTCCTCCTTCTCTGGCTCATTTCTTCATCCGCAGTGTCAGTCCCATCAGTTGCGTAAGCCACCACAACCACACCTCTCTCGACAAGCCCTTGCGTAAACTCTCTACTTCTCTTAAACGCTTCTTCGATGTAATCCGCAGGACCAGCGCAGATCACAAGCCTAGCAATCCCTCTCAGATCGCCACAGATATAACCTTGTTCTCTTCGACCCTCATCTTGAGTTTCGCAAGATTCTCTTCCCTCGAGAGCCTAGCCATTTGCGCGTTCTTGGTCTTGTTTTTGCGGAAGTAGAGGAACGCAAAGAGAGAAGCTGCACCAATGTCAATGCCTACACCCTTTACGATCTCAAGAACTTCACCTGATCTTGCCGATGAGCCTGGAAGTGGCTATTAGCCCTCCTAGTGATGCGCTTGCTATGAAGGCGAGGTAGAAGAACATTCGGACCGATCTGAATGGAGACAGAACCTCACTACGGATTCTGGCATCAGCACTGTAAGCACAATAAACAGAGGGAACTTGAGACAAGCAAAGGGCTTCAACAGAGGGAACTTAAACGTTCTTTCAAAGTTTCAACCCTTCATCATCTCATTGAGCAGAAAAACTAAATTGATTCAACAACAACTTACAACCTAAACCCATTATTCATCAAATACAAAGGCGAAAACCCAATTTAAAGAAACAGATTACCTGATTTCGGATGAGGAAGAGGGAGAGGGCTCGTCTGCAGCAAAACACACGGTGTTGAAAGGCAAAGGTTGCTGCTTTCTACTTATCGTCAGAGTCCAGATTCTAGGGATTTCAGGAGAAAAATCACGTCTTTCTATGTGATTACAACGGGAAAGTCTCCGAGGAGAGAATGGTTCTTTTGCCTGGCGTAGAACCCGTATACTCAAATGGCAATGGTTGATGTAAGCCTGAGAAGAGACTAGAGTAGCCATTGGTCTCCTTAGATTCTCTGCAACTTCCTCTGTTCATAAGATGACTTCTTCTCTCATTTTGGATCATGTTTTTTATTTCACTCCCTCTTACGTATGTGATCATAAACTTGCCACGCTTCCAAGTTTTAACAATCTCTTTTTAGGGATTTTCAGGAATATAATAGAGTTGATTTCTCATATTAATTTAGATATACAGTAATACTAAAATGAGTTTTACAAGATCGGTTTTTTATTGTTGTAAATTCTGGATACTATGAAGTATGAACAATGGAAGCTGTGACTTTCAAGTGGTGAAAAAAAAGAGAGATCAACAAATACTTTATTTAATTACTAAATTATTTAGATGAGGTTCAATGTGTTGACAAGAAAAAGAATAAGGTTCGATGTTTACAGAAGAGAGAGCGAGAGTAATTGCTTCGTAGCTACCGTACAAAAAGTTGGAGAGCAGTCACGTTCGTTCGCCTACTTTCGTTGAATCTAATAATGTTCACGTCAACGCTTATACATAATACATATATGCTTCTACTTAGATTCCTTCTTCCATTTTTCTTTTTTTTTGAACTTTTTCGTATTCCTTTTTCCATTTTTGTAACGTTCGTTTGTTTAATTGCCTGTTTCCACCATCTATATACCAAGTAGATGATTATTTTGCGCATACTATATGTATATAGAAGAAACTCGAACGAAAGATTAAATTGGTGCGCTTTTAACAACTGACATATAATATCTAACTAGTAAACGCAACCTACATATTTATGTTGATGATTAGCCGGTCCGAATTTATTAATAAAGGCATCATACAGAAAAGGAAAAAACTTCGAAACATAATGCCAACATGCAAGGTCACCGAGTTTTGTATATTGAGTTTAATAGAATAATAATGTTTTACATGGTACCAGAGTGTATGTAACATTTTTAAATGGTGGACAGTTTGTTTATTAATGGAAACGTACAATCGGGCCGGAATCTCAACTATATACGTACGGATCCGAGTGTCTTTACGTAAACAAAAGTAATAAACTAACTCTATTGTATAAGTCACAATGGTCTTAATTCATTTTTTTGGGGTTGGGAAGTTATTAGGTTCAGTTCTCTAGCTCCCACTACTAGGTTTTAATCTAATGACCAATACTAATTTCATGTGCATATGATTAATTGTGTGGCTGAAGGCAGTCGATCGGATTTTTGCTTGATTGGTCTCTTTAAAGAAACACAAAAGGCCCTGTCGTGTAACAGAGAGGGATGGGATTCAATACATCAGAGAGTATTGTTGGATATATTATTGGGTTTGGATACAATATTATCTTCGACTTATGTCTTTTTTTGTTTGCTAGCTATCTTGAACTCATGTTTGTGATTGTGACAGTGTGTTCTATTTGAATATGATTATTTCAATCTGTGATTTTACTTTATTTACAGCTGAGTTCAAATGTCTATAGAACAGAAAAAAATGATTAAAACCTACTACATTAACTTGTCTAAAGTATCTGTTTTTGACCTTTGTTCCCTTGCCTTTAACATGGGAGGACTCGTCTTGGCACCATCCACATGATCAACTGATCACACAAATCGAAGGCAAAAACAAGCAATTAGACCGGCACAAAGCAAGACTAGAGACCCTCAACTTGAGAGAAAAGGAAAGAATAGATCATTTAGGTTTCAGAAAATGCATCGTTTCATTTCCAATATTTGTTGCTTGTTGTTAAAGTTTCCTTTTCGGTCTTGAATAACACTGATTTCAATGCCGTTGGCTTCCTGATGAGATCGCTGGAACAAAACCAGAGGTATCAGATGTTACCAACTCTGTATATAACAAATCAAAAAGGGTAGCTTAAACGATCCGATAGAGGACAAATTTTGAGAAGCTTGTAGTTCCTTTTTTTTGGTTATACAGGGGTTGCGAGGGCATACTTGAGCAACGTCTGTGTTGCGAAAGAGCTGCACCGTAATGGAGTTGGTCACAAACTCATCGAGAAGTCGAAGGGAGTAAGCAAAGTTGAATCAAACTCATAGAGACCTCTTTTATTTGGACTTTTTGAAAAGAAGAAAAAGAGTTGTGAAAATGGTTCAGGGATAACGGATATGTACGTGCATGTGACGGTGGACAATGAAGCAGCGAAGAGGCTGTACATGAAAAGTGGGTTCGAGCAAGAGAGCGCTGAGCCGGCGTGGCAAGCTCGATACCTTAACAGGCCGCAAAGGCTCCTCCTCTGGCTCTCCCTTCTTACCTCCTGAATCTTTGTCCAAAATGTAAAATCTTTTCATTTGTCCAATTTGTAACATGTTCTTGGCAATCAGTAAAATCACGCTTGTGATTTGTTTCTTTTCGTACCATGATTAATTCATTTAGCCAGAGGTAACTACACAAAAATCATACGAATGTTTACCAACATTCTTCACATAATCTTCGGAGCTTTTTTATTGGTTAAGATTTGAGTTCCTTGTTGGTGGTAGGAAACGACGACGTTTCCAGTGGACTTTGGTTTCAATGTCCGAACCAATATAAAAACAGAGAAAAGCGCTTCGAAAATATGAAAGGCTTAGAAATGGTGGTGACGTCTTTCTCTTCACCGCCGCCTATCTTCTTCTCCCTTGGAGGTGATCCTCAGATTTCTTCTTCCAATGGCCGCTTCGCGATTCCTTCATCTCTCTCTTCCTATTATCTCATGTGAGTCTCTCTCTCTCTCTCTCTCTCTCTCTCTCTCTTATGTTGAATTGCATTTCTCCGTTCTCATAACTTGGTGGAAGTTTTGGATTCTCGGAACGAACAGCGTTATGTAATGTTTCTGCGTCGTAATATTTTCTAATTCGTGTTTTGGGTTGTGATTTTCTGTTGTTAAGCGCCACTAAATTCTCTGTCTTTACTTTGAATTTGTAAAACCAGAAATCTAATTTGGGTAACTGCTACTAGTGAGACTTCTCCGACTGTGACTTTGGTTTCCTTTCTGTAATTGAATGATGGATGGGTCCACGTTTTTTTAAAAAATTACCTTTTTTTACTAATTTGGCTCAGATGTTGTCTATGTGTATTGCCTAAAATCCATCTCCTTCTGTTCAATAACAATTATCATGTTCAAGATCCTAGTATAATTAAGTAAACGGTTTATTTTCTGGAAGCGATTAGATTGCAGTTGGATCTGCCTCATTCCACATATCATACTTGTAATGTGAATGTTTGCTATTGCGGTTGGGATAAGTTTACGTATTCGTACTCTTGGTGTGTTGTTTAACTTAAAGCATCACATTCCGAATTGGTCGTTATTTAATTCACGAGATTTAGCATTCCTCTTTCTCTGCTTCGTTCATTTCTTCTCTTACTTACATGTCCTGCGTTCCATTTACAGTTTTATTTCTTCTTTTATGACATTTGGCTATCTAAGCTGGTAATAAGATCATGTGGAAGAAAGTATACAGGCTTAGTTTATCGTCAAGTTTTTAATTACTACTCTTTTCCCATGTGTGACTCTTCAGGTTTTCATCAAACTCACGAGTCATTAATCAAATGTTATCATTACGTTTGATAATTAGATATCCTCCAACTATATCATTATCCACCATTCATCATACCTTTGTATGGTTTCTCAGAAAGGGACTAAGAAGACACCAAGATGCAAAGCTGGTGGGAAGCAGAGCCAGAGGTGGAGCAGTTCGTGTCCTAGCAAACCCAAGTGTATATAACCTTAAACCCATTTTTGCAGCGATATAAAACTAGGATCTAGCCACATCTCTGTTATACTTTGTAATCCCCTGTCAGTGGTGGTTAAAACGTTCTCTTTTTGTTGGTTAATTGGACCATCGTGGTTTAAAAGTTTCTGCTATGCGTGAGTGTTGTTGTAGGCATCTCCTACTCCAGGGAAAGTAAAGGCAAAAAAAGTGGTAATTATGGTAGATCCTCTGGAGGCCAAACGGTTAGTAGGAAAGGAAATGGAAGAGATAAAAGGCAGAGGGAAGCAACAGAGAAGGCGTGAGATAGAGGCGATAAACGGAGCATGGGCGATCATTGGGCTCTTGATAGGGCTTGTGATCGAAGCCCAGACAGGGAAGGGCATTGTCGCTCAGGTATACTTTCTTTCTCTCAGTGTTGTTAACAAAAGAAATAAAGGCTTTTTTCACTAAGACTGTGGGGGTTTTTTTTGGTATTGTAACTGCAGTTGGCTGGTTATTGGTCTGCGGTTGTGCATCTATTCATTCCATCAACACAGAATCTCCCACAGTTGACAAAAACCCCTTTGATTGTCTTGCTGAGTATTATTCTCCACAGTGGAAATACCGTTTGTACAGTTTATATGTGTGGCAATTTATACGGGTTTAGTTCTGATTTGTTTTAATTTCAACTATTCTATTCTAACCATTCTCATGCTTATTCATTTGGGCGTTTTGAGTTGAGCTTTTTTCTTATGTGAGGTTACAATCTTGCACTTATATATATAACTTTGACATCAATCTCTTCGATTGATCATTCACTTGAATATCTTTATAAGTCTATACTGTATGGACGTTTTGGTTGCAACAATACTTGTTTAGGTGTGTGTGAGATTGAATTTGTTCACTCTAAGCGACACCGTTCTGTTTTTATTTACTTGGCGCCGAAACGACGGCGTATCCTTAACTGTGACAGATAAAAATTAAATTTCCTTGAGAACAAAAAAGTTAGAACGCAAGGTGTGTACTATCATCTATCTTCTTCTTCTCTTCTCCGTAGAAACTTGGATGCACAAACGCGGGAAATGACCTTCACTGTCACAGGACCCAATAGCAGGAAGCTAGGATAACCAGAAAAATGATGTCAAAGCTGTCTCTTTTCCGAGGCAATTCTCTTCCCTTCCCGGTCTTGTCTTCCTTCTCCGCTCGTTTCATCCATAAACCTTATCCCACGCCTAAAGCCCTTATCTTCTGCGTCTTCTCCACTAATCTCACCTCCGCCACCGTTCCGTACGGCCCGTCTCTCCTGAAAGGGAAGAAGCCTTTGCTGAAGGACCTCAGATTGACTTCAATCGGCCGAGACAGGGATGCTCGTCGAGGCAAAATTGGAGATTCCGAGGAATCAATCGAGAAAGGTGTTCTTTTAGACGAAGACGAATTCACTAGGATTTTCGAGATTTCGGCGGTTCGAGTCCCGGCGAAGGACTGTTTCGCTCTCGAGAATCGTCTCCGTGGTCATCTCCTCAATTGGCCTAGAATACGGAACATTGCTAGGGTTCCCGGAGACGAAATCGACGAAGATATGGTGAAGCTATTGGGCCGTGAGACTGAAGAGGAAGAAGGAGAAGATGAGGAAGAAGATGATAGTGTTGTGGATTCGGTTAATCGGAGGATAAGAGGGAGAGCAGAAAGGGACGGGGAGAGACTGAGTCCAGTGTTGCACAGAGATCAACTCGCCAGGACATTTAACTCTACTGGGTATCTCAAATTCAGGAACTTGGCCAAAATCTCTCGGCCAAAGAGGAAGCGGAAGGCGGAGAAAGTGAAGGGGAAGGAAAAGGCAACTGAGAAAGAAAGAGGAAGCAGACGCAACGAGTTCGCGGTGGTGGAAGTGGTGGAAGATCGAGGAGGAGCGGAGGATTTTGAAGGGTTACTCGGAGAAGGCTATGGTAGCAGAAGAAGATGGAGAGGTTCAACAAGATTGTTGCTTTTGGATGAGAGATATTCTGGTGAGGAAGTTCAAGAGTTGCCTGAGGCTATCAAGGTGATGAAATCCACTCCTATAGTTTGAAGTTTTTGCTGTGTTGTTCCTTCTCTGGTCTAAGGAAATCTTAGAGATTGATATGGTTTCTGTTTGATAGGTTCTGTTCGCAGAAGCTAAAAAGACCAATGAAAGCTTAAGTTTCGAGCTGGTAAAATGCAGACTGACTTTGTTCTATGATTATTGGCCAATGAATGAGGTATATGATGAGACTTTCAAGCTTGGCTTTAAGCTTTTTTATTCAGGATCGAGTTTGGGTTTTTTCTCTTTAAAGTAAGTGTTTTTTGTAGGTGTTGGAAGCTTTACTACCGAAAGGTATGATTGTGCCATCAGCATTTGAGATGGTTGGACATATTGCGCATTTGAACCTAAGAGACGAACATTTACCGTACAAGAGGCTCATAGCTAAGGTGATCAGTGGACATTGCTGCTTAAGTCTGAAACAAACTTTCCCCAGCTTCAGAAATTGAAATCTTGTGAGCTGTTTTTTGTTTTTTAACTTTCTGTTTCTTGTTAGGTAGTTTTGGACAAGAATCAGCCAAAGATACAAACCGTTGTGAATAAGATTGATGCTATTCACAATGACTTCAGAACAATGCAGCTAGAGGTTTTGGCCGGAAACCATTCCCTGGTGACCCTGGTTGTTGAAAATGGACTGCGCTTTCATGTTGATTTAGCTAGAGTGTATGTATCTTCTTCCTCATTAATGAAACTCTTAGCTTTAGCTTCCATCTTGATTTAGCTTGAGTGTATGTTTCTGCTTTCTCGTTGATGAATGAATCTCTTAACACCATTTGGACTTAGCTCTTACTTATCTCATTTTAGTGATCAAATCAGTTCCTGCGTACAACTGTCTGATACCAAAACTGAAAAAACATGTGTTCTTGTTGTAAAAAATGTGGGATTTAGCTCTTAATGTTTATCTTTCGAGTGATAAATGGAAAATATGTGTTCTTATTGTATCATGTAAGTAAGTAAGTAACGTTGTATTTGGTCATAACTTGACAACTCTTTTTGTACTTTTTTCCGTGTGCAAGATATTGGAATTCAAAACTTGGGACAGAGAGACAGAGGCTTCTGCTTGGGTTCGACCACAATGACGTTGTCTGTATGTTTGCTACTTAGATCTAACTTCGAGGTTACACCATGAAAAATATTGATATGCTCTGTGTATAGAAAACTCTCCGCTTATGATTTAGGACCACTGATTTCGCGCTAAAACTGCTTCGCGGAGCATTTTTCCTCCAATTTCTGGCAAAGAACCTAATTGTTGGTCTTGAATCTTGCTGCTTTCTGTTGCATAAGAAGCATATTCAGTAGTGAATGAATCAGTTGTTTTGTTGATAGTTTGAAGTTGTTCCGTCTGTTAGATTTTGTCTAAGTTGTTTGTCTTTAGTTTCATATAACTCCGTTGTTACTGACAGGTGATGTTTTCGCTGGAGTGGGTCCAATCGCACTTGCGGCAGCAAGAATTGTAAAACGTGTATACGCCAATGACCTGAACCCTCACGCAGTAGAATTCATGGAGCAAAACAGTGTTGTCAATAAGCTCGAGAAGAGAATCGAGGTAATAACAAATTCCAAAAACACTTTGTCAATACTTTTTAAAAGCATTCGTACAATTCTGAATCTTCTAATCTCTGTCTAGGTATTTAACATGGACGGAAGAAGATTCATAAAGGCTATGTTTTCAAGCGACAAGGGTCAAAAAGTCACCCAAGTAGTCATGAATCTACCAAAAGATGCTGCTGAATGTCTAGGTTTGAATATGCTTCTACTAAATCTTCCTTTTTATCTCTAGCTCACAATCTCCTCTTAACCGCCATTAATCCATTCACACAAGCAGATGCATTTCGCGGAGTATACAACGATAGGCAGAGAGATGAAGGCTTATCTTTCCCAACCATCCATGTCTACGGATTCTCCAAGGCTCCTGATCCAGAATTCGACTTCCATGAGGTCTAAAACCCATCAAACTCTCCTATCTAATCATAGTTTAGACCAACACATTAATCAACGATTGATTAATGTTTAATCAGCAAAATGTGTTTGGTTTTTGAATTTGCAGCGGATACGGATTGCTCTATCTGAGGTGGCCGTGGACGTCAAAATGCGGAAGGTACGCCTTGTGGCTCCTGGAAAATGGATGCTATGTGCTTCCTTCATACTTCCCAAGAGTGTAGCCTTCTCAAGAAGAAATATAATAATTATGTAGGTTAAAAAGAAAATGTGCCAATAGAATTACATGTGAAACAGAATATAGGGGGGCATATTTGCAAATACGAAACTTTTATTTATTTGTACTTTTCAGCCAGTAATACTTGCAGTGTCTTGTAGAAGAACAAGACAACTAACAAGTGAAAGGGACAATAGCTTTTGTTACATTATTTAATGATTTAGAAAAACCTCTCTCGCAACACAAACTCACAAACCCCTATTTAAAAGCTTTCTACTCTCGGACATAGAATATCTGGTGCTCAGATTTGTCTCATGCCTGTTCAACGGTTCAGATTTCAGCATTGTTTCTGATCCTGTCCCTCCATTTCCAAATCTTTATTAAATCAAAGCTTTTCACATAATTACAACCCCTTGTGCTTTTTGCTCACTCCCTGTAGCATATAATGAAGTTTTGCTAATTGTTGTTACATCTATATCCAAAATTAACCAAAATATTGATTGGAGCACATTTTTTTCAGATTGGGTTTAGTGGTTTGATTTGATTTTAGGTGTGGTGGTGATATACATATATTGAGAACTGAAGAATCTAGATACAAGGGTGAAATTGTAATTTAGTTGAATAAGGTCTACAACTGTACTTTGTGAGGGAGGGAGAGAATCTCAGTTGGAGATTGAGATCTAAAGTAATGATAATAGAAATCTGGAAATTAAATTCGTAGAAAAGAAGGAAATATATATAAAAAAGAAGAAGATGAGAGAGAGGTGGTCCAAAAGGAGGTTTAAGGAAGGGTTTGCAAGTTTGTATGAAAATAGATAGATAAGGAAGACGATGTATAAAGCCAAAACTAACAGTTGCTTTCTTTTCAATCCTTTTTTTCCCTGATTTTTTTTTTTATTTTCTTTTTCCTTTTAAAATAACTTCTTCTTTCTTATAATCCTCACTGCCCCAAAAACTCACTCATTTATTTACCTACTCTGCTTCCTTTTGTACTATCTTTGTCTACATTTACTTTACAGTACGCGTATAGTATGAAGATACAACAACTTAAGAGATCTCTTCAAAAACAAAATTATATCATTTGATACTATAAAGTATTATCTCTAACAAGGTGTGTTTCTCTGAATGCTTTCACAAACCATGAATTCATTATTTTAATTTGATCACACTGGCTTCTCTATAATCAATTAAAACATTAAAAACAAATTGTTCTACATATCTAAGAAGAAGAAGAAGAAGAAGAAGAAGAGAGAAAGGATCCAATCATTTTTAGAAAGGACGCAATATGCTTCACGGATCCCAAGAATCTTTCCATGCCTGCCTAAACCCAGCAACATAAATCAAACCTTCACACGCTTCTCCCCGCTCACACGTGCCAAAAGCCCTAGTAGTAGCCGCCCAATGACCCTAAAATGGTCCCCCTTACGACACGTGTCAACTGGACCACACTCCGTAACTTAACATGAAAGCACATGTAGGGTCCCCGTTCGTCCTTTGCCCTACAACAGTCCCTTGTCCTAGCCCACAATACAATCTACGCGGTATGTATAGCTTAAATCATCTATATTTATTTATTCCGGTTAGCAACAAATATAAAATATCAATTTCACTTTCATTTATTCCGATAATTTGTCCACCTTAAGGACAGCCATGATTTATAAATTACTTACCACAGGATACGATACATTTGTTAGTTGAGCTAAAGCATTGGACTAAGCTAAAGCATTGGATAATTTCTCTCTCATTCTCTTTTTATTAACGGCTAATCTCGCCTCTTTTTTTTTTTTGATAAAGGGTTTTTCAATCGCCTCTTTTTATAGGCTTCTACCAAACAATGTAGATATGTTGGGTTGATCATGCGGTTTGGATTTTTTTCAAGTGATATTAAATCCAGATTTTTACTCTCTACTGTATCTAGTTGTAACAAAATCATGCTGAGCGAAAACTGTTTGCTAATGCTATTGAATATTTTTTGTAGACGTAATTATTTCGATCATGTTATCTACTATACACTTCTAACGTGATTAAGTTACTGATTTGCTTTTTGAATTTTATATGCAGCCGATAGATAGACCACGAATAGCCATTTCTGAATCTGATCTTCTAAAGTTGTTAATTACAAATATACCATATAGAATCTCAACGTTAACAGATTGGGATGTCTAGTTATTTCAGAGGTTTTCTCTTAAGATAAATACAGAAAATAGTCCAATAAAACAAGATAGTTTTAAATAATTAAAACATTCTAATAGTAGGTGTTGGGCTGATGCAAAAATTAACATGGAGGCAGCTTTAAAATGTTTCCTTATATGATGCAGCCATCATTTCTACTCTACTCCTTAGCCCAACCCTTTCTCGTAATTCACGTCTCTTGCAATTCCTTTTGCTTTATTGATCCTCTTCTCATTCGACACAATAAATATAAAAAAAAAAAGTCAAATTTTTCAAATACCTAAAGCCTGGTAAGAAAATTAAAAGTAATGTATCTTTTGTATTCGATTATTTTCAAAATCATTCCGGATAAAAAAAGGACTAATATAGCGTTAAATGTTTTCGCATATAATATACTTTCATTAGCTAAAGTAGTCATAGATTACTTACTTGTAATAAATGTTTTCACTGATAAAAAAATTATTATTTTTGAAAAAATAAAGGAACAAATATAACTGCGACTGTAACTCGACTTGCTTATTTTAGATGATATGAGCTGAGTATAATCAAGTTGTTTCAGACCTTTGCTCGCTACAATCGGCGAATGGTCTCACGTCCCGACACCTATGTCTACTTCTCCGCGGGTTCTATATTCTCGACGTGTAACACACGCGATGTTTCTATTGGATCGTGGTTTACACGACACGACCGAGCCTAGCATCAATCTCCGATTCGCTGTCTCCATGTGTCCATGGTACCAAATTCGGGATTTTTCACAATATTACGGTGTTACTCTATACTCTCTAAAGAACAAGAAATATTAAATAGATAAAAAAAATTTAGAAGCTTTGACATTTTTTTTCCTTACATCATTCGCCCAAAAATGTAAAAATAAAAGAGAGAATTTGAATGATCTTGTTTCTCTATCGTTAAGCATCTTAATTCCTAAAATTGCTAGCTTTATCATTATAGAATTATATTTTTACAAATTATTCGTTGCAAAATGGTGGATTGTGTATATACACGAATTAGGATACCGCGGACAAATTTGTTACCATTTGCTATTACTGTCGTCCTACTTGATTATATATAATATGCACACTATCACAATTATTTATATCTAGCCAGTTTTGTTACAATTATATATAAAAATAAGTTACTACTAATAAACTAGCAAATGAGGATTATCCAAAGATGGATGCAACATTTAATGGGTAGTAGAACCAAAAAGTCAAGATTAGTAATTTAGTACTACTCCTAATTAACATATTCTGTTGAATTTTTTCCTCAATCCAATGCATGGCTAGCATCAACCAATCACACATCCGTGCTATAACATGATTTTCAGTTACGAACTCTCCTTTATTTATTTCAAATAACCTAATATTACAGTTTTAAACGCCTCTTGACTAATAAACCCATATATAGTAGTATAAAAAGATATGGAAGTATTGATCTGCATATATTTACTGGCAAATTTAACATGAGTAAACACATTTGTACACATAATTAAGTTAAAAATGCACGCAAGCAAGTGCTAAGGGGATATAATGATATCTGGTTAATATAAGGCGAAGAAAGAACGAACAACTTTTCTTAAGAATTATATTAAGATGACTATACAGCTTATGTTTTTGAATTAAAAAAGCCTAATTTAATCTAAAATATGGGGGGTAAAAGGTTAAAAAGTAAGAAGGAAAAAAAAGATACGTTTATCCTCATATAGTACCTGGAAATAACAGGAAAAAATAAACAGACACAAGTACTTAGCCCTGCGTATATATGAACAAAAAAGAGATATACACAACACACATAAAAAGAGAGCTGAAACAAGACACAGACTTAAAGCTATTTGCCTTTTCATCTTCATTTCTCTCTCTCTCTCTCCCTCTCTCTCTCTCTAACAAGAAGCCCAGTGATCATCATCAATGGCGACTTCTCTCTTCTTCATGCCAACAGACCAAAACACCGTCGTAAACCCAAACGAGCATCTGAGAAACACTTACCTTGTCAACAACTCCGGCGAGATCCGGACAGAGCCGCCGCAGAAGAGTCGTGGTCGGAAACCGGGATCGAAGACAGGTCAGCAAAACAAGAAGAAACAAAGGCTGAGAGGTATGGGTGTGGCACAGCTCGAGCGATTCATAGAGGAAGAGGAGAAGAAGAAAATGGTCGTCGCCGGAGGAGGAGGAGGAGGAGACACGTCAGCAGCAGTAAACCCTAACGCTACCCGTTTACCCGACCCGGGTGTTGTGTTACAAGGCTTTCCAAGCTACGGTGGTGGGCCCAACAAGTCTCTCGGCGGATGTACTCGAAGCAGGTTCCTTTGTGGCGGAGTCGGGTCGGGTCAGATCATGATCGACCAGTTTTGCTCTCCATGGGGTTTTGTTGACACCTCCACTCACGAGCTCTCTTCAATCCCAAATCCTCAAATGTATAACGCCTCCAATAATCGCTGTGACACTTGCTTCAAGGTTTGATTCTTGATTAATCATTTCGTTTGAGAGAAAGAATATGATTGCGAAGATTTTTGGTTTTTTTGGCATTTTAAGGGTTTTGATTTTTTTTGGCAGAAGAAACGTCTGGACGGAGATCAAAATGCGGTACGATCCAACGGTGGTGGGTTTTCGAAATACACAATGATTTCTCCTCCAATGAACGGCTTCGATCATCTTCTTCCACCAGATCAGAGGAGCCAAGCTTTCTTCTATGATTATAGAATCGCCAGATCAGCTTCTGCGTCTGCTTCCACTGATCCTTATTTTAACGAGGCGGCAAATCATACGGTACACAGTGATTCAGTCCATTAATTTATACATATACGTATATAAATATATGACTGTTGATCTTAATTTGTGTATTGTTTAATAATGGTGTTTTTAGGGATCAATGGAGGAGTTTGGGAGCGGAAACCCTAGAAATGGAACAGGAGGTGTGAAGGAGTACGAGTTTTTTCCGGGAAAATACGATAATCTCCCAGGAAAATATAGTAAAACTGTGTCAGTGGCTACATCAGTAGGTGATTGCAGTCCTAAAACACCCACCATCGATTTGTCCTTGAAGCTTTAAATGTTCTTAGATTTTTGAAACATCTCTTGGAGAATTTTCGCCTCTTTCTCTTTCTATAAATTATTAAAAAAATATCGTCGTTTTGCTTTTTTGCTGTTTGTTATAATTAAGTAGAAGAAGAAAGTACAGAAAAGAAAATCCCTTTTTTGGTGTTTGCATCTGAAGGCTGAATCGAAAGAAGGTTTCAGCTTTTAGATTACCATTTTGGTTGTCTATTACGAGATTCTAACCTAAACACTCAAGACATTTCTTCTGTTCTCTTCCTTAATTGTGTCATGAAACCTCTCTCTCTCTCTCTCTCTCTCTCTCTCTCTCTCTCTCTCTCTCTCTCTCTCTCTCTCTCTCTAAAGCTGTGTCAGATCTCTTGGGGCTTGGATCCATTTTGTGTGTCTTTAGTTAGGCAATGATGCTGTCATGATTCATTTTATCACCTAATCCTCGATTTTAGGAAATGGTATCATTTGATTTTCTTGTTAATTTGATTACATGGAGTATCAATTTGTTCTTGATTGTAGTTTTGTTTCCAATGATATATTGCATATTTGTTTTACATGCAACTTTAATAATCTGAAAGTGTTTGTTTGGTTCAGTTTTTTTTGACAACCTTGATTTGATTTGAAATGTCATCACCTAGTTTTCTTATTTTGGTTTTTTTTTTTTAATTTGATGTGTATAACCATATTTTATACTATTAGCAGTCACTTGCGGTCAAAAGATTTGGTTATAACATTTGTAATCGTCGAAAAGTTTGACATGATGTTTATAAAATTACAAATAAATATTTAATAGACACACTGATGGTGACGTCAAACTGAAACACATTCTCGAGCTTTCTCTCGCGCACCAATATGAGACAAACCGATTAGAATACCGACAAATTTATATTATTGGTTTGGTTTATGTGATTTTGGTTCAATGTTAAATTTAAGTTTTTGATATGGTAAACACTTGTCTTTTCTGCGACTCGATACCAAATCCGGTATTCTAATAAAACAACAAAAAGAAAAGCATTTACAAATTATAAACAAGCACAATCTAAATAGCTTTATACAGGGATATCTTGCCGACCAAGTTAAATAGTTGAAATGGCTTTTTCTTGATCGGCCATTTAAGTGATCTCTTACTTGAATGTCTTTTTAACCAAAATAAACAGTATCGGAAACAAAGCATTTAGCAATTAATCATCTTCATTGTACCAAATTACCAATGCCTAATCAATGAGTAATCAGATCTGAAACACAATCGGCAACAAGTGTAAGTTCTTGGTACAATGGCTAATCAATTATTTAAAATGCCATCAACGACACAACAGCTCAGCAAACAGCAATTTATGATTGAAAAAATTGATTGACAGAGTCAAATGTTAGTTTTTCCCCCACTATATGGGCCTTTTAATATAAAAGAACGGCCCATTGGAAAAGAAACTGCTAAGATAAACAGTTCCCTATGGATTCCTCACGCAGCTGCTTAGCACGTTCTCGAATGGTTGCACAAAAAAGATATAAATATATACATTATCCAACAATTAGCAATAAAATAACACATAAATTAATTTTTTAAGTAAATTAAAAAAACATCCAAAACAAATAGACAAGCACGGCTCTCTTCTTCTTCTTCTTCCTCTCGATCGGAAAAATCAAAGTTTCTATAATTTGTTGAAGCGAAAGAAGAAACGAGAAGAATCATGAATCCAGATTTCGATCATCCTCACCTCCCTAACATCAAAATCCACCACCCTTCATCCCCTCGCCACTCCCACCACCACTCCTCCTCCACTCCTTCAGGCGCTACTCCAACCCCAACCGCCGGTGCTCGTCGTAAGATCGGAGTCGCCGTTGACCTCTCCGAAGAGAGTGCCTTCGCTGTTCGCTGGGCAGTCGATCACTACATCCGACCCGGAGACGCCGTCGTCATTCTCCACGTCTCTCCCACCTCCGTTCTATTCGGCGCCGATTGGGGACCTCTCCCTCTCCAAACCCAGCCTTCGTCCGTCGCCGATCCCGTCGCTCCAGGTCAGCAACCGCAGCCTAGTCAGGAGGATTTCGACGCCTTTACCGCCTCCAAGGTAGCGGATCTCGCGAAGCCGTTGAAGGAAGCTGGATTCCCTCACAAGATCCACATAGTGAAGGATCACGATATGAGAGAGAGGCTCTGCCTCGAGACTGAACGTCTCAATCTCAGCGCCGTGATCATGGGAAGCCGAGGATTCGGCGCTGAGAAGAGGGGAAGTGACGGCAAGCTGGGCTCCGTTAGTGATTATTGCGTTCACCACTGTGTTTGCCCCGTCGTCGTGGTCAGATATCCTGATGATCGCGACGGTCCTGCTCCTGGAAATGGTGGAGGTACTCGGGAAGCTATTGTCACCGTCAAGTCGGGCAGGGATGACGATGAGGACGATGATGAACATGAGGCTAAGCTTGCTGCTGCTTCCGCTCATCATGAACACATCAAAGGTCAGGGTCAATGCTTTCCCTTTCTCAATGGTTTTCGTATTCTCGTGCCCGTTGACTTGCTATATAGGGATGATGCTGGTGGCTTAAGCCAGGTTATAGTTTCTGGTTAGCCTAGTGATTTCGTGAGATTGCCATAGATGGGAACTTGAAAGTTTAAATATTTCTGGAGATTTTTGTGGTCCACGCTTCATTTTTTACTAATTAGTGTATAGTGATGTTTAATTCTGCAATGTTCCAAGTATTGATTCCTCTTCTCGATTCCATTTTTTCTTTTATCTGCTGATACTTCTTCTCTGTTGCTATGTTGAGTGTATAACTATTTTCTTAGCCTTTTTGATGATTATCTAGAAGTTTAGGCAGAAATTCCATTGCAAGTGGTGCAAATGAGCTTCAACATTTTTCCTCACTTCGTGATTTTTCTACACTGCTTCTTTTTCTGGGATCTCTTTGCTAACACAGATTGTGCTTCCATTCGAGTATTCTTGAACCTCTTAGTCCAGAAGATAATTTTGGTTTTGGACCACCAACTATGTTTTTTACTCAGGATGTTTCTCTTAGCTGTAAGCGAAGTATCACGATTCTTGTCTTGAAAAAGAAAAGAATAAATGAATCTTCTGAGGTGTACCCAGCTTTACTAAATTAGTGAAACATGCAGCAAGTGAAATGTTGTACATTCATGTTGTACCTGTAAATCTGAAATGTAAATCAGTATCTTCTTACTTTTGGTTGCATAAATTTTGTTGGCTTTTTGCGTGTTCTGACTAAGACAGTCTCTTCACTGGCTATACACATTTAGACATATGATACTTGTATCCAGGATTGCAGGGTGATGCAAAATAGCTATGATATTGTCAAAGCCTAGGGTTTAATATTAAAATGTGGATGGTCTTTGCTTGATTGATTTAATAATTCCTCTCGTCTACTCTTTTGCATCTAGTTTGAGCTGTTACAAGTTTACAGTTGTAGAAGGAAATTGGAGATTAAGCTAAACTTCTTCATCGAAACTAATATCATCGCTGCATGTGATTTGATTGTTCAAAGCATTTAACAATTGATCCTCTTCCTTTTACAGATGAGTAATGCGCGGTGATGTCTCATTGGATTCACCCTCTTCATTGCCAGGTAAATAGAAAACTACTTTTTCAACCATGAAACCACCATCTGAAGGAGACAAAGTGGTCTCTGTTGATCATTCTTTCTCTATTTCTTATTCTTTTGCAAAATTAGTAGGTACCACCGTGGATTGGAAACAATGGATTGTAGTGGATTTGTGCAGAGGAGTGTGTTTTTGTGTGTTTTGTGCCCTCTTTTGCAATCATGAAGTCTCTGGAATCTCCTCTATTTATTATCAGTCCTCGTTTTATAATTCTTCATGTATCATTTTCGCATTCAAACAATGTAGGAGTTTGTATGAAGAATGAACACTAAAACACTCTTGGGGATTATGATTTTCATTTTCAATCTGATTTAATATCCGATTTTATTCTAAAAGATCGAAGCTGATTTGCGTCTTTAGCATTCTTACAAAAACCTGACCAAGTCATTGATACAGATCTGATTCTGATTTGCTTTCTGCCCTCCTGTTTCAGTTTTGAATTTAATTTATGATGTGTGGATGTTAAACTACATTATGGTTGAATGAATGCTAGGTCGTTCTTTAATTAGTGTAGTTTAATCCCTTTTTTATTCAAATGTGTACTTTAATTTAATTGTCAAACTCAACGCATGGGATAAAGACTGATCTATAGGTTTTGGTTTGACTTTTGGAACTTTGGACTAAAGCTTGAGCCTTGAAGTCTTTGACGATAGTCATGCTTTGACTGTGAAGGCCACCGAATTTCCGAACAAATCTTTTGTACTTTCTGGTATATCGATATATATAGACTAATGGTTAAATTTTGTAGAAAACAAAACGTAAAATTAAAAAGCATAAGAATCAATGTAGATAAATCTGTGATATTTTTCTTTTAATTAAAATGTAAATGTGCATTAACATATTTTTAGCTCGGAAGGGAAATTTATCTGCTAAATGACAATAGATTAACTGAGAACCACATGTTTATATATAATCACAAATATAATAATTCGATAGACCCAACGGTCCAACGCCAACCCCCACACACCAATCTCACTAACCTTAGAATTAAAGTGTTTGTTAATAGCCAAAGCACAAAAAAACGAAAGAGTAAGTTATTAAATTAAAATCCAAAGTACTATACACTTATACAAAGATGAGATCATGTGAATCAAGAATTTGGTGAGATAAGAAGCTTACAGGTAAAACATGGGGATGGCACTAATTTTTATGGACCATCAATTAACAGTTAGCAGACTCGACAGATATGACAGGTTCAATGTTCTTGGCGAATGAAAGAAACTTTCATGACCCACATAAAACTTATACTTCAAATCTTGAATTTATAATTTTTATTTTCTGTAGTCCCCACAATTTTATTTTTTGAGTGGTCGAAATTAGAAAGCATACCACAATCATATGTCCCTATTTTGATCTGTCACCAATCTCGCCCATTCCTCATGATCCATAGAATCATAATATGAAGTCATGAACGTGTGTAATCAGACTACGAAATTCGGATCTAATAAGCATTTCAATACATACGAATCCAAATTCATTTACTTCAACAAAAAAATTAACATAACAATGATACTAATAGGTCAAAATACAACATTTAAAATCGATTTTGTACGACATAGAGGAACAAAGAACTTACTTTACTACCTCAACACTAAAACAAAGTATTGTTAGAAATGGACAGTTGTGATTTACTTAAGGGAAAGACGAATCAACGGTTGAGATCTCTTCTCATTTTGGCGATCGCAAAGATCAGAGAAGACGATGAAGGAGATGAATCAACGGCGCCGTTCGATGTTCTCTCTCCTTCTAATCTGATGATCGAGTTAACCACAGCCGTTGAACTAAACGCGGGTTCGTCTCTTGATGGTCGCTTCAACGGCCGAGAATAGTTTGACTCTTGAGCTGAAGAGTATCCGATCTCGTCCTGCATTTTTTCAAAAAAAAAAAAAAACCATGATTAAAAACCGAAACTTTCAAGGAGAGAATTCGAAACTATTACAAAAACTGAAGGAAATAATGATCGATCCATACATCGAAGCAGTCCCTTGTCCTCTTCGCCGCCAGATCTCCGCCAGAAGATGAAGAACTCATCACCGGAGGAGGATGCGCCGCCGCGGCCCACGGTACCACTTGATTCTCCGCTTCCTCGTCGTCAACGTCATCATCATCATCATCATCATCCTCATCTTCATCACTGTACTCCTCATCCTCATCTTCATCCTCGTCATCATCGTAAGATTCCGCGCCATCACCGTCATCTTCTCTGAGCCGATTCTCTTCGTGATCGAAACCATTCATTTCCTGGCCAGGATTACCCGTCGAAATCCGGCCAGTGCTCACACCGCCGCCGCCGGAAGAGGTTTTAAGAGCGACGCACGAGTCGCAGACGGAGAAGGTTGGGCCGAGACGAAGCCCCGTGGCTTTCCACGGCGTAGGTGACTGACAGGAGCTGCAGAGAAGACATCGCGTGTGCTTAGCGACGAGGAAATTAGCGCCGTGAACCTTACCGTCGCAGTCCCAGCATAGACTCGCCTGATCTGACTCGCAATACATTCTTGCGACACCGTCGCATAAATCACACTTCTTCCCCATCAAGATTTAGTATTTATCTCTCTCTCTTTCTCTTTAGTTTCTGGGTGTTGAGTTTCTTTCTTCTTGTCTCTCTCTCGGATAATAAGGGAAGTAGATAGAAGAAGAGGAAAGTGCAAGTTGCAGGGGGGATAATTTTCGTGGCGAGTTTTCTGTGATTCAATTCTTTTGAGGCTACTTTCGTCTTTTTCTGTTTCCAGCAAAAAATCTATTTCTCTTCTTTGGTTTCACAATGGCTTTTTATATATAATAGCTCCATCTTTTTTTATTCTGTGGTTAGGAACCATCTTGTTTCGATTAACTTTATACTACTTTCTTAAAGTATTAATGAATTAATTAGAGAGGTTGGGATTAATCTTTTTACTCACAGATTGGTTGAGTTTCAAACCTTTATTCGATGTTTTTGTTCCGTTAATTATCACTTTTATATCTGCAATTATTTATTTTATCCACGAGTTCTCTCCTTTTTATTTAATGAAAAATAATAATTTTAATATTTAGCCGTTTCATTATCGTTAATGTTTAGGACAGATTTTGGTTTATTAAAATTGGATGAGTAGTTTCATTTTATTAACTCTAACAAAAATAATATAACTGTAATGATATAACTAATAATGTGGTTGAGTGGTTAAAAAGATTGGTTCTAAAAATTAGAGGATAAAGGGGAGTTCTGCGGCGATATGATTTTTAATCACAGTTGATTAGTGTGGATATTTTAGACACTAAGCATACCATTTTGTATAGACACTAGAGATTAGTTCATTTTGATTATAATGCGTATGGGCCAAAACGCCGTTTTACGTGGCGACAAACTCATGGTTGAGTTTCAAGATATTTTATGGGAAAGATTTTGTAGTAGATGACGTGGCGAGATATCAGCCTTGAGAGGAGTAGAGGGAGATTCTGCTCTGTCCTACGTGGACGAATCAGGTTCTCAATGGGCTTAGGAGCCACGTGAGCCCACCTGGGATTTGTCTGGACCTCAATACAAGTCTAACGGGCCCCACTCTCTCTCAATTATCTTTCTTTTATAACCACTTGTTTTGTTTTTTACTTCTCCCCATACTTCTTCTCTTCCCAAAAGCGATCCAAAAACATTTGTGTTTCTACTGCTTTAGCGATATCCTCCCCCATATATACGATAAGATAATAATGAATTTTAAAATATATAAAAAAAAAGCATCGGTATGGGAGAGAAGAAAATCTTAACTCGGACCATAAATAATTTTTAAAAAAAATATGATTGTGTAACTTGTTGTTGTGTGGCTATGGCGAACCAACCCATTATAGAAAAATAAAAGTTAATTCTGTAATAAAGTATAAACCACATGGTGTAAAATGATTGTGCCTCTGTGGCATGCTTCGGTATGGGGAGATCCTACGTGGCGAAGTGAGAAGAATCAAACGAAGATGATATGTCATTATGAGAGCCACAGAAGCTCAGAGTTTGTGGTAAACGGTTGGTTTACTTCTTTATTGCAGGATATTTTCTTTTTTCCTTTTTCTGTGTGGATAAGAATTTTTGAACTATTCAGAACTTTAAAGAATTTACAAAACTGTGTTTGTACATTATTGTATTATAAATGAATTGTCAGAATCGTTGAATATACCTCCCTTCTTATCAATTGTCATCTTCTAAGAGATGTGGCCTGTATGTGATTAAGGATATGGATTGCTGACACAATTTTTTATATAAATATTTTCAATATTTTTTACACTGTTACAAAGATGAAAGTAAGTTGAATTTGTTTTCTGTTTTTATCCATTTGATTTATTTTGAAACTATTATAACCATACAATAAAAATTAAAATGATCCATTGTTTTGATTTATAAAATCGAATTTATTAGGTTGATAGGAATTGATCGATCTAATAGTCTAATCATCCATAGTCATCCCATCAAAATTGGATTTGAACTCCCATTAATATAGTACGTAAAGACATCTGGTTAAACATATATAACTAGACCATTTATTTATATTAAAATGTTTGAAGTATCAAAATGCTTAAACGACCAAATGAACATGTAAAGTATATGAGAAAACCCATTAATAAATCCACATATGCTCTCCATACAGGAAAGCCACACGTTAATAACCCTTTAAGAAGACACGTCTATAAGAAAAAGACTTGAGAGACAATGGCATAAGTTAAGGCCGAAGGGATGTAACATGGGCCTCTTTTGTCCACGTTTTTTTTTTCTCTCTTTCTCTTCCTCTTTGCAATCACGTTTTTTGGTATCTCTTACATTCTCCACGTTGAATTGTAAGCATTAGAGAGATCTCTCACTAGAGACAACAATCATCTTATTATGTCTGCTACGTTTTCATGTGCCAAAATTTAGGTCTTGAATTTCTATGGTAAATATCAGTTTGGGCCGTCTAGTCACTAGACAGTCTAGACGTATCACGTATGATCGAGATTCTTACAAAACTTCTCACTTGCCAAATTTTTTCTCTAATAATAGTTGGGAGTTACAAAAAACCGTGCACCGAACATCAATAGGAAAAAACTTTGGACCATGGCTTTAAACTACTATTGATGCAAACTAATTAATTAATATTTTTTTGCCTCAACTTTCGAGTGGAATATATCTGATGCTTAATAGTAATGCAGAAGCAGAAGTGAGTTTCTCCTTCTGACAGTTTTGAGTCGCGAAAGAACTTTACCAACAATTTTCGAATGTGGTATTTTGTAGAATATTAAGCTTTTGAATACTAATAGCCACTAGCCAAAATATGCTGTGTATTTTAGACCGTTCTACTTTCTAAAAGGAAAATGATTTTGTAATGAAACTTTTTATCATCAAATCTATCCATCCGATATCTGTGAACAAGTCTATAGATGATTCAACTACTGTTATAGAATTATCAAAAGCTTCTACAGATTTGGGCCGTATTTGGGCCTTCACCCAATTAGATTAGATGCAGCGCCACTTTTCTCTTAAGTTTCTTGTACAAGAATTATTCATTGTATATATATATATGCATGGATTCTAGTTGAATCGTTCTAACGTATAATTTCAAACAATCAGTAATGATCTGATTTTGACCCCATGACTAGTCCCCTCATATGGGACTAAGTCAAGGAAGATTGGCTATTTCTGCTTTATTGCGTTTGTCTTTGTTAGGCTTGTATATACTCTGTATTAATGTGGTGGATCATATATTGTCTCTGTATTCAATTCAAACAAAACACCCTAATAATGTTTGCTATTTTTCCACTCTGAAGATTTTTCTTTTATCATTGAATTTCAACACTCAACAGCCACCACATTCAAGCGGCATTGAATTTCTGCTGACTTGTTGCTTATGCCAAGTTGGGTCGTACGAACTTGATCAAAAAGAATTCTGTATGTGATATTTATAATATATCTTTATGATTCACTTTCTTGGGTAAAAGAACACAGAATCAGAAATAGAAGGATTTGTTCTTTCGATCAAAACACCCTTTTTGCCAAAAGAGAAAGGTTTCATTCAATGGCAAAGATTCCCTCTCTGTTTTGGGTCTCTCTCTTCTTATTATCATCTTCTTTTTCTGTTTCTTTGGACTATAGTGTCATCACTCCAAGAGACTCTCTTACGGATGGAGATACTCTTAGTTCTACAGACGATGTCTTCCAATTAGGGTTTTTTAGTTTTGACCAAGAAGAGCAGCCTCAACATCGATTTCTTGGCTTGTGGTACAAGCAACCATATGCAGTCATTTGGGTAGCCAACCGAAATAATCCTCTCTACGGCACTTCTGGATTCTTGAACTTGAGTTCTCGTGGCGATCTTCAGCTATTCGACGGGGAACAGAGAACCTTGTGGTCATCATCATCATTAAAAGCTTCTAAAACCGCAAAAAATCCCTACTTGAAGATCAATTGTACAGGGAATCTTGTCTTGAGTGATCAAGAGGAAGTTGTGTTGTGGCAGAGTTTTGATTACCCCATGAATACAATACTCGCGGGTATGAAGCTTGGAAAGAACTTCAAGACACAAAAAGAATGGTCTTTATCGTCTTGGAAAACCCTAAAAGATCCATCCGAAGGTGAATACACTTTGTCTCTAGATACTAGAGGTTTACCACAATTGATCTTGAGGAAGAGAGGAGATCCGAGTTACTCATATCGCTTGGGGTCTTGGAACGGCTTATCCTTCACCGGAGCTCCAGCTATGGGACGAGAGAACAGCTTATTTGACTACAAATTCATGTCGAGTGAGCAAGAAGTAAACTACTCGTGGACCCCTAGACGCCAAATTGTCTCAAGATTGGTTTTAAACAACACAGGGAAACTCCAGAGGTTTATCCAGTCGAAGCAGCACCAGTGGAAGTTAGCAAACACCGCACCCGAAGATGAGTGTGACTACTACTCCATATGTGGAGCTTACGCAGTTTGTGGGATCAATAGCAAACACACAGCTTCTTGTTCATGCTTACAGGGTTTCAAGCCAAAGTCAGGTCGAAAATGGAATATCTCGAGAGGAGCAGACGGGTGTGTCCATGAGTTTCCAACAAATTGCGGAAAGAAAGATATATTTGTGAGGTTTCCAGGTATGAAACTACCAGATACTTCATGGTCTTGGTATGATTCAAGAAATGCGATGACACTTGAGGATTGTAGGATCAAGTGTTCAAGTAACTGTTCCTGCACGGCTTACGCGAATACTGATATACGCGAGGGAGGCAAAGGATGTTTGCTTTGGTTTGGTGACTTGGTTGATATGAGGGAGTATTCAAGCTTTGGACAAGATGTTTATATAAGAATGGGTTTTGCTAAAAGGGAGTTTAAAGGAAAAGAAAAGGTGGGAATGGTCGTTGGATCAGTGATAGGCATCGCAGTTGTTTTAGTTGCAGTGTTTGCCTGTTTCAGAAAGAAGTTGTTGAAGAGATGTCGTGGTGAGTTTATTGAATTATCATTTATCTTTTGTAGCTCTTTTATATTTGAATATTTCGGTTTTCTTAATTTAATTTATTCAGGAGAAAATTGGAGAAAAGGGATTGGGGAAGAAGACATGGACTTGCCTATTCTTGACATTAAAACGATTTCCTTAGCCACTGATGATTTCTCACACGTAAACTTTCTAGGAAGAGGAGGGTTTGGACCAGTTTACAAGGTTGTTGTATAATGTATTCATCACATTTTGTATTTTATAATTAGAATCTTGAATTGTGACAAATTTTCTTTGCAAAATGATGATTGCAGGGTAGGTTGGAGGAAGGACAAGAGATAGCGGTGAAGACGCTATCTGAGAGCTCAGGACAAGGAGTGGAAGAATTCAAGAACGAAGTGAAACTAATTGCGAAACTTCAACATCGTAACCTCGTGAGGCTTTTAGGATGTTGCATTCAAGGTGTAGAACGTATGTTAATCTATGAGTATATGCCTAACAAAAGCTTAGACTTCTTTATCTTCGGTATGTTTTTACTTTACAAACTCAATCTCATCATCTTGTTATAGCTTTTTAGGTTAATGACCATATTGCTTAACTTTCTTTTATTGTCTAATAATTTTAAATAAAGACGAAAGGAGAAGTAAAGAGTTGGATTGGGGGAAGAGAATGAACATTATCAATGGGATTGCTCGAGGGCTTCTTTATCTTCATCAGGATTCGAGGTTGAGGATCATACATAGAGATTTAAAAGCTGGAAATGTTTTACTAGATAAAAATATGAACCCTAAGATCTCGGATTTCGGATTGGCTAAATCTTTTGGGGGAGATCAAAGTGAATCAAGCACAAACAGAGTCGTGGGTACTTAGTAAGGACACATTCTCACACTCTGTCTGTATGTTGTATATAATCTCTGCGTATTGATTATAAAAGTTATAACGTTCTGCTTTGCCATACTTAACTACTTGTAGTGGTTATATGCCTCCGGAGTATGCAATTGATGGACATTTCTCGGTGAAATCCGATGTGTTCAGTTTCGGTGTATTAGTACTTGAGATCATAACTGGCAAAACTAATCGCGGGTTTCATCACGCTGATCATGATCTTAATCTTCTTGGACACGTAAGTAATTGGATTAGATCATTTCTTGAATTGAATCTGTTTTCTTTAGTGAAAAAACCTTGAAACCTGTTGTCTCCTTCTCTGTATTAGGTGTGGAAACTGTGGGTTGAAGACAGAGCAATAGAAGTACCTGAGGAAGATTTGTTGGAAGAGACATGTGTCGTCTCAGAGGTTTTGAGATGTATCCATGTGGCTTTGCTTTGTGTACAACAGAAACCAGAAGACAGACCAAACATGGCTTCTGTTGTCTTGATGTTTGGGAGTGATGGTTCTCTCCCTGACCCGAAACAGCCCGGCTATTTCACCAGCCGAAGCGTTCCAGATCTTTCTTCATCCCTAAGCCTACGTTCGGTAAACGAAGTTTCCATTACAATGTTGCAAGGTCGGTAACAAAAAATAAAGATTATGTATGTATGTATGTATATGCTTGGTAATGTAATAATGTGTCATAAACAATCAAACATAAAAATAGTAACAGATTACAGAATATAGCAATATACAGAGATCGATTACAAGGTTCATCTGGGTTCTTCAGAAATATCGGTACACGACTCCTTGAGAGCTTCATCAATCAGCTCACATGCCTTATCTTCTGTGTGTTGTCTCCACGCCTGAAGAAGTAATTATGATTACTATAAACTAAGAGACTAGAAGAAGTTAACTTGTGTTTTTGCTCCTAATGTACTTACGTGTCCAAGAAGGTTAAGCTTGTGTTCTTGATTGCATAATCCGCAGTTTCTTCTTCCTGACACTAAATCTCTAGTACCAAAACCCTGAAGCTTTTGCCTAAATTTGTTAAATTTCCTTAAATTCTGCAACTCATTTTTTCTTTCCTTTTTATCTGATAAAAAAATAAAATATATATAAAACAGAGAAGACCTAATTATCAACGGTTCTTTAGTGAGGGGACAGATTTCGATTTTTGCATTATATGTTGGTGTAGAGACTGATTTCAAACTAGTTGTAGGGATCGGATCTGTGTGTGATGGCGACGAAAAAGGTAAAATCTGAGTCTGGAGATGCAATCAACACTCTTGCAGACGAGACACTTGCTCAGATCTTGTCTTTTCTCCCGACAAAACGAGCTGCTTCAACCTCAGTTCTGTCCAAAAGATGGAGGAATCTGTTCCCACTCATGAACAGCCTCTTCGGTTCACAACACGATCTCGACTTGGACGACTCAGATTTCCTCTACCCGGAACAAGGTAAAAGAAGACAGGGACGTCGAAGGAAAGACGAGACTGAGGAAAGATTCAGGGCTTTCGTTGAGAAAACCCTGTCTCTGCATCAAGAATCATGTCGCAACAGCAACATCATCAAGAAGTTCTCACTCAAATGTCGAGACGAGCATCCCGACACAGCTGCTCAGACCAACAGATGGATATCTTATGCCTTGGAAAGAGGCGCCTCGGATCTCGATCTTCGCATAAAGTACACTCCGGTCGGCGAGCCACACTGTTGTCTCCCTTCACAACTCTTCACAAGCAAGACGCTGGTCAAACTGACACTAGGAACAAAGCTCTGTGTCGGAGACAGAACTCCAGAAGTGTTCCTTCCACTGCTAAAGTATCTCTCCCTCCGTACAGTTTACGTCATAAAAACCGACTTTAATCAGGACATGCTCGAAGGTTGCCCAGCGCTTGAGGAGCTTGTCTTGCATCATGATTACATCGACCACTACGACGCTCCAGAAAGCCCCTTCTTTGTAACCCACAAAACCCTCAAAAGGCTCACAATGAGCACGTTTTCACAATCTATGGTATTAGATACACCGAGTCTTGTCTACCTCGACTACGCTGACAACGCTAGATGTTCTTTCGGTAGAGCCAGTGGCGTCCCTTCCCTTGTTGAAGCCCGCCTCGATATCGTGGGAACGCTAAGACCAGAAGAACATTTCCGTCTATGTCTTCTAGCGAATGTCATTGCGTGGACAGTAAACGCCCGCACCCTTGACTTTTCTCCGAATACTGTTGAGGTCTAATCTACTTCCTTGGTCACCACTCATTGATCATTTCTTTCGTCTTCGTGACCTCTAGCTTGTTTGTTTGTGGTGTGTTGCAGGTTATCTATTCACTCAATATTGGTTATTGGGTCGGTTTCGTTGAGTTTCCTCGCTTTGCAAACCTGGTTAAGCTTTCTTTCGAGAGTAAAACGAAACAAGGCTGGAAAGTGCTTACAATCATGCTCAAAAACTCTCCCAAGCTAGAAACTCTTGTTCTCAAGGTATATCACTTTTACATACTTGGTTTTTTCTTCTTCTTCTTTCGGTGGTTCTTGCAATCATATATATATATATATATATATACATTGCTTGCTTGGCTACAGGGCCTTCGCTTTATCAACGGTCCTCGCGGTGTCTGCGTCAAGATGCATACTGTGAAGGTGCTAGAGATATACGGTTATAGAGGAAGCCGTAAAGAACTAAGGCAACTAGAGCGTTTCTTGTGTCGAACGGATTCTCCTCTTCGAGTGATGAAAGTGCAATTTGACGCTCGGATTGAAGATGATGACATGAAACTACAACTCACCAAGGACGACCTACTTGCTCTTGTTCCCAAATGTCAATCCAGCTGCCAAATTCAGTTCCTATGACAATGATGACATTGTTATTATCTTATTCTAAGTGGATGACCTACTTGCTCTTCTTCTCCCAGAGCAACTACTAATGCAGTACTAACTTTATATTTATTCCAACGTCTTTGTAATATTTCATCAAAATCTGTTGCAGATTATAGAATATAGTAATATACAGAGATGGATTGAAAGGTTTATCTGGGCTCTAGTACACTCATGGTTTGTAAATTATTGGAAGGAATCTCGAGATTAATCGATGTAGTGTCAGAAAACAAGAGATTTCGTTCGTTGTAAAACCCAGGCTCCTTCGGGTCAAGAAGCAACATTTCACTATTCAGCCCAGATAACCTCTTTACTATTCTTCTACCCCTTGTCTTGACGTTCTTGATAACCTCTTTACAGCAATTTCTTGTCCGCAAGCCAATGTTCCCTGATTAATAAAATCAAAACATATTACCATTGTGGAATCTGAAAGCTGGACAAGATGTTGCAATTATTATTACCTTATAGACGGGTCCAAAACCACTTTGTCCAAGCTTATGCACATCAGAGAATCCACCCGTGGCTTTTAGAACCTTTCTGATTTTTTATAGGTGAGTGCAAAAGATGGAACACAGAGCTTAACACCAATCTTCATCAATCATCTAGTATCAACAGTGACCAAGTAACAAAAGATATTTTGATATTATTACTTTGTGAGTTATCTACAATTTCAGGGAAGTGGCATTTAAAAGACTGGAATTTGAATTGAACCAGAAAGTTATGTGATTTGGATTTCACTTATAATTGGTATGTTCCTCTTCCTTTGTTGTTATGGATAAATAATCGAAAGACACAGACATGGATAGTTGTTTCTCTATCTTGGTTAGAGAGTATTATGAACTAGAGATTATTGTTTTCTGTCTTGGTTAGAGAGTATATATAAATGATTGAAAAACATAAGAGTATTATGGATGTATTGGTATCTACAGCTTACTGCTGTTATATGGTTGTGTTTAAAAGCTAGTTTGCAGTTTGAGAAAAGAGAACCAAACAGTTTTGTATGTTATGTTATTTAGAGCCTGATCTTACAGTTCTGTATGTTCTGCTTTTTAATCTATATGTTCTGCTTCTTGATGTTGTTGTGTTTTTAATTTATGTTTGCTGATTATAATTGCTAATTTCAGGTTAAATCTCATGTTTTTCTGTTCAGAAGAGTTGGTATTTTTGAATCTCAGGTCTCTCTGTTAAAAATATCATTTCTTGGAGGATCCTTTCTCTTAATTTGTCTCATGCATTTATTTTTTCATCATATACAAACTATGTATTTTGTCTATGACAACTAATTGCTTTGTGATTTAATAACAATGATTGGGTTCGATAAACATATGTACTATGTTTTGACTCTTATGATATAAAATTTGATTGATTCTTTCTTACATTTATGATTAGTCATTGTGTTTCAATTTATTTTTATTTACAATTTTATTTCAATTTAATCAAACCTAAACGAAAGATAGTTATACACACAACATGCAAAATCCCCATGAAAAGTAGTTAATCAATAGCTGTCAATTGTTTTTTCGTTGTTGGACCATAAATTAACTTGTAGATATCTCCAGGATCCGACTCCAAATTTCAATTAGTCTTGGACTTCAAATCATTGCCTCTTTAATTTTTGGAATTTATTTTCATTACATATCCTTTTTATTAACATATTTATTATTAGTAGTATTTTTAATTATATGATTATTTGGCATAATCTATAAAGTTCTTATACAACAAAACACAATATTCTGATGCGAAAAAAGAAATATTAATTTTTTAAAATCCTTTTGTTGGCTTAACTAAAATTAATATAACCGTTTCGTCATTAAGAAATTATCGTGCATGCTTTGCTTGCATGGCCTAAACCAATTATGTAACATTTGTAATATAACATAGATTACTAGAATTTTAGTTTAATTTTTGAATTTTTTTGAAACTAAGTCAAAGTAAAAAAAAAAAAAGATTTTTTTGGAAAAGGATAATAAAGAATAATGAAAAGACTTGAATTTGGGTTAAGTGAAACTTAGGCTGTAATTGATAATAACAAGTTGGAATAAATAGAATAAAAGGAATAAAAAAATGTGGAATGGAATAAAAATTGCATTCCATTCATTCCTTAACATTTTTAAAGTGGAATGATTTAAAAAAAAAATATATTTTTTTTCCTTTATGAAACGAATGGAATAGGTGGAATAATTTTATTTTTCCATTCCTCATAATTGGTAACAATTTTGAGAAAATTTTCTTCATTCCACATGATTTTATTTCTAAATTTTTTCAATTCAATTTCAACCATAGTTAATTAAACCAATTGAACTAAATCAATTCCACCTGTTATCGTTTTATATACAAAGTAATTATAGATTTAGTCTGGAACACATGCCCTATCCATCTATAACGTGTAAGTCTTTTCTTGACGATAGCTCGCCTATAAGGCCACATTTAATAAAATGTTAGCTTGGTCAGTTGGTTAACCAGTTTGATTTATGGTCAATAGTCTCTTAATAGATTTCTTCTTCGTTCATCTTCCTTCATTGTTTGGCAACATTTCTTCTCATATGTGTTATGTTTGTATTTTTCTTTCTTAATTTTTTTTTGGAGAACTAATAGAAATACAAACACGCTAATAGAAATACAAACAATCACTTACTCTTTATATAAGCTAAATTTATAATATATATAACAAAATATTGACAAATCCAAAAGTTCTCGACATCGTTACCTAAGAAATCAAACTCCTTAGTTTTCACAAACCATGATATTAATGATTTTAAGTACTTTTTTTATATTGTTTTAGTGCGATTTTTCATCATTAGTGTTTGTATAAAGAAGATCACATATTTATAAATTTGCTTTAGGCCACTCAAAATCAAGGGACGCCACTGAACATATGTTAATGTTATATGTTTACAAAAATTTCTTTATACATGAACAAAAACTGAAGACGTTGGAAAAGCAGTATGAACAATTCGGCTTTTGTGGTAATCGTGGATCTCACTGTTGTACGGATTAAAAAATCATCGAAATATAATAAGATTAGTGTCGAGAGAAGGGATCGAAATATGATAACAATCATTGAAAACTTTTGACCGATAATCAATATTTTCTTTATCAGAAAGTTTTCATCCAAATTGTAACCTATAACTTTTCATCAAAAATTATCGACTAATTTATGACTAAATTCATATTTCGGTCAAAACTTGGTCAGTAAATAATCAAAATAATTTTTATCAGTATTTTGATTAAAATAGACTCAAAAAGTTTTCTCTAAATTTTAATAATTATCATTCATTTAATATTATCAACGACTTTTTAATCAAATTCATATAATAGTCGGAACAGTAGTCTTCCCCATGTTTCATTTGACAATCGAAGAGGGCACACTGCTCCTTCGTCTTAGCAGTGAAGGACATTAAGTCAGTTGGCATCACTACTCTGAGTAATATGATATTAATGCTAAAAATTAGCTACTTGTGTCCCGGAAATGACTGAAGCACATCCACACCTAAATTTGGAACATCAGGCTCGTTTACAATCTTGGACATTGAAGATCTCACGTAGACAAATGGGATATCTGCAATCCTTGTCTCTGATTGTCATTTGATGGTGCATCGGTGAGCAATACGCTGACTGATGCATGACCACGCGGGAGCAGTCTCACCTTGCACATTGTATCTTTGCATCGTCGGGAGAGCCTTGATGATCTTGTCCAGCCATCACTTATCTCTGCACAATTTGTAGGCAAAAATGATGTTCCATAACACATTCTGAACCATTTTTTCAGAAAAGAAAAGCATTGTTGCTTCCTTATTAGTATAACCCATGACAGATCTATAAAGCAAAATCAGAGAAAAATCATAATGGCCAACACAAAGAACGATTCAGCATCATTCACCTAAGAAAAGGTTAAACCCACCAGAATCAAGCATAAGATGGCATTCAGAAAGAAGATCTACAGAGAAAAACCAGAACATTCAGAGAGACGATCTATATCAAGGACCAAGAACTAACTAGCAAGCAGAAACATTCATCCCAGAAAAATTGAAAACCCTAGAAGTTCTCAAGGTATCACTTTACATAATGATGACATTATTATTAGCAATTTTATATTTATTCCGACGTCTTTGTAATATTTCATCAAAAATATGTTAACAGATTATAGAATATAGTAATATACAGAGATGGATTACAAGGTTTATCTGGGCTCTACTACACTCATAGTTTGTAAATTATTGGAAGGAACCTCGAGATTAATCGATGTAGTGTCAGAAAACAAAAGATTTCGTTCGTTGTAAAACCCAGGCTCCTTGGGATCAAGAAGCAACATTTCACTACTCAGCATCAGAACCACCACTGACATGTTTGGTCTGTCTTTAGGATCTTGTTGTACACATAACAGACCTATGTGTATCGCTCTCAACACTTCAGAAATATTGGTACACGACTCCTTGAGAGCTTCATCGATTAGCTCACATGCCTTATCTTCTGCGTGTTGTCTCCACGCCTGAAGAATTAATTATGATTACTATAAACTAAGAGAAGTTAACTTGTGTTTTTGCTCCTAATGTACTTACGTGTCCAAGAAGGTTAAGCTTGTGTTCTTGATTGCAGAATCCGCGGTTTCTTCTTCCTGACACTATCTCCAGTACCAAAACCCCGAAGCTAAATACATCGGATTTTAATGAGAAGTAGCCGTCGATTTGATACTCCGGAGACATATATCCGCTGGCGATAGAAAACAAATATTCTTAGAAACAAATAAAATTAGCATGCTTTGCGTTCTAGTCAAGAAAGGCTAATCTTACTATGTTCCAACAACCCTAGCTGTGTTTGCTTCAGTTTCATCTCCTCCCAAGGTTCTAGCCAATCCAAAATCCGAGATTTTCGGGTTCATATCGGAATCAAGCAAAACGTTGCTCGCTTTGAGATCGCGGTGGATGATTCGAAGCCTTGAATCTTGATGGAGATACATCAGTCCACGAGCGATTCCTTTGATTATTTCTATCCGTTTAGGCCAATCAAGTTCTCTGCGCCGTTCTTTATCAAAAATGAAAGAGTTCAAGCTTTTGTTCCGCTGATACTCGTAGATAAGCATTCTTTCATCTTCCTCCACGCAATACCCAAGAATCCTCACGAGATTACGGTGCTGCAACTTTGCAATCAGCTTGATCTCGTTCTTGAATTCTTCTACCCCTTGTCTTGACGTTCTTGATAACCTCTTTACAGCAATTTCTTGTCCGCAAGCCAATGTTCCCTGGTAAGAAAATCAAAACATCTGACCATTGTGGAATCTGAAAGCTGGACAAGATGCTGCAATTATTATTACCTTATAGACCGGTCCAAAACCACCTTGTCCAAGTTTATTCACATCAGAGAATCCGCCCGTTGCTTTTGAGATCGCGTCGAGATCGAGAAACGGTAACTCAAGATCTTCCTCCTCTTGATTCCTGCTTGAAAGACGGTCTATATCGCGCTGCACAGTGTCTGAGTAAATTAACGAGTTTAATTAACTTCTAAGCACAATTGAAAAACGAGATACTCAATTTCTGAGACCTTCAACCATTTACCTTTTGGTGCAAGTTTCTTTTTCTTCATGTTGAAGACAGTCAAACCTATGCATAGGCAAATAAGAAACAGTGCTGTAGATAATACTATAATGAGCATCATCCTTATTTTCCACTTCACGTCATAGACATTGTACTTTTCTGTGATTGAACCAGTACCCCAAAAAAGAAAAAAAACATTTAGAGTTTATTCAATAAACTATGGTTCTTGTTTCACAAGTCTTAACCTTACCTATCTCAGAAGAAGCAAGCCTCACATACAGATCTTGTCCATTTTCATTATACTCTCTTATATCAATCAGATCTCCGAACCATAGAATACATCCTCTTCCTCCATATCTAACATCGAAATGCGAATAAGCCGAGCAAGAACAGTTTCTCAAGCATACTCTCTTGCATTCATTCAAATTCATGCTCTTATCATACCAAGATGTTCTTGTATCTGGTAGCTTCAACTTTGAAATCTTCAGAAAGTCTTCTTCTCCTTTACCACAACCCAAATTCACTCTTCTAACACACCCTTCTGACCAATCCCCTGCAGAATAAGCCTCTGGAGATTTAGGAACAAAACCTTTTAAACACCTGCAAGCCGGAGATTCATTGATGTTGCAGCTTCCGTAAGAGCCACACAACATGTAGAGATCACAGCTATCCATTTGAGCCGATAAATAGAAGTTCCAATTTTGAAGGCTATCGACCCAAGTGTAACGCTGCAAAGCTCCATTGGGATTCAACTGCATTCTTGTGATCACTGAAGGGTTTTCAAGCTTGTAAGTGTAATAAGCTTCTTCCTCCGTGAACACAAACTCGAACCGGTAAATAGGGTTAGGCTTTAGGTGAGGCATACCGGTGAATCTTAGACCGTTCCATGGACCAGCCCTGAAGACATCAACCGAGTTTTTCTTCAAGAAAAACTGCGGAACGCCGTTTGGATCCATTTTGTTCGTGTAGTTACCAGTTGATGGATCATCTGGAGATCTCCAAGATGTCAAGAACCGGTTTATACCAGTTGTGAAATCGATACCGTATTTCAATCCAGGAAGAAACGTGTCTCCCGGGTAATCTAAACTCTGCCATATGTAATCTTCATCATCCCCTGAGTTTCTCACAACTAAGTTACCTGTATCAAGAATCTGAACAATCGGGTTTCTTACGCTGGTTTTCTTCGAAGATGATGACGACCAGAGGAGATAATTTCTGCCACTGAAGAGGCGTAAGCTCCCGTTTCCAGATATCTGCAGAGTTCCTGAGAGATCGTAGAGAGGAGAATCTCTGTTTGCGACCCAGACAACGGTCTGGAGAGAGACTTTCTTGTACCAAATTCCGAGGTAACGGTTTCTTGATCCTCCCGGAGAGAAGAAACCGAGCTCGAAGCTGCCACCTTTTGAAACAATGGAGTCTCCGTCTTTTAGAGTCTGGTTTGCTGTGATAACATCAGTTGCTTGCGCGAGAAGAAAAGTGAAAAACAGAGGGATGAGAAGCAGATGAAGCACATTAATGGCTTCCATGGCGGCTTCTGTGAAACCGGAGAGAGTTGGAACCGAAGTTGCTATATAAACAAATGATGTTAATCTGTTACTGATTCACTAAAATATTGGAACTAGAGAAGAAAATTGTTTAAGTAATAGTTTATGATTTGTTCATGAGAGAGACATGGAAGAGGTCTGTGCAATATCATGGCGTCGTGTTATTATTTGCTCTTAATGTCAACCACAACGTGCTTAGGCATTATTTGTATGTTTATAATATACTATAGGACAAGTGATGGAATGTATCAGTGAAGATAGAAATCTAATTTTCATTTGGAACCTTATTCTTTGTTTATCTAGCAAAGTACTTGTCACTTCTAGTCTTGTTGTGCAATGTTACATCTGCTCAGAACATCATTCTATACGAATCACACGACTTCGTATTATTATTCGGAACATCATTCTGTACTAGTTACCAATGTGGAATCAAATCGATTGGTGTCGCGATATTACTATGTGAGGAGTATTCCAGTAACCTTAAAAATTATAGGGTTTTCTAGGAATAAAAATAAAATAAAGGGGGTAAAATATACTATTACTAATTTTAGGGGGGGGTTGCCTTGAAATTCTCAAAAGAGAAGACGATCCAGGGAAGGACTTGACTTTGGATTTCGGAGCTCGATTTGCGGAAACAAGAAGAAAAAAAAATCAGAAAAGCTTTCGGAGATTCTCGAAAAGAAGGAGGGCATGGCGACCAAAGTTTATATCGTGTAAGTTAAAAACCCATTTTCTCTTCTCGAATGTGTAACTGTGCAAACTCGTTTTGTTAATCGCAGCGGTATGATTTTTCATTGTGAATCGAAGATTTTTCCTGTGGTTCAATACATTTCTCCGGCGATTTGCTGACTGTAATTTGATGTTAAGTTTAAGGTTTCGAATTAGAATCGTGGGTCTGTGGGAACATCGATGATCTGGTGTTGCATTGCCTTGTAGTTTTTGAAAGTCTGCTATTTATGATGTAGTGAAGTGGTCACTGGTCGTTGAAAATTTGGTCAGTGTAACAGGTACTACTCAATGTACGGACATGTGGAGAAATTAGCACAGGAGATAAGGAAAGGAGCTGCCTCTGTTGAAGGAGTTGAAGCCAAACTGTGGCAGGTGAGTTCTCTAAGTTACAATTGACAGTTTCACGGGCAAGAACTAATTAGAACCTAATCTTCGAAAACGTATAGGACTTGAGGTTAGAAACTAGTTCTTGTACCTGAAAGAAATGGGAATACGTATCCAGATTTTGATTTATTGGAATATCTTTTAGCTGCCACCACTCTTAGGCTGTTTGATATCTTTTGAGTGATTCAACACTATTTACTGATGATGACTACTTATGAGCTACAGTAATTTAAACTTGCATTATCTCTCTGGCATACCCTAGTGTCTTCCCTGCTTCACTGGGTTTTTTATCATCAAATCTAAGTCTGCTTTCCCATGATTGATTTACCAAAAATGTTTATCTTTGAATATATGCATATACCTGTAGAGAATCATTGGGAACACTGAAGCTAGCGTTTGTTCTTGACAGGTACCGGAGACGCTCCAAGAAGATGTGCTCTCTAAAATGAGTGCACCGCCAAAGAGTGATGCTCCTATTATCACCCCCAACGAGCTCGCTGAGGCTGATGGGTTTGTCTTTGGCTTCCCAACAAGGTTCGGTATGATGGCTGCTCAGTTCAAGGCATTCTTGGACGCAACAGGCGGCCTTTGGAGGACTCAGCAACTCGCCGGTAAGCCAGCCGGAATCTTCTACAGCACAGGGTCTCAAGGCGGTGGTCAAGAAACCACCGCGTAAGTTTCTTTTCACAGTCCAAAAAACACTCATCAAAGAGACAAACTTGCTACATTGTGATTAGAAAATGGGCTTTTCTGTGTAGGTTAACAGCCATTACTCAGCTGGTTCATCACGGGATGATATTTGTGCCGATAGGGTACACATTCGGTGCTGGTATGTTTGAGATGGAGAAGGTGAAAGGTGGAAGCCCGTATGGGGCCGGAACATTCGCCGGAGACGGGTCGAGACAGCCAACGGAGTTGGAGCTTGATCAAGCATTTCACCAAGGGAAGTACATCGCCGCCATAAGTAAGAAGCTCAAGGGACCTGCTGCTGCTTAGATCTCTCTCAAAAGGTGGATTCTAATATTATTTTCTTGATTCTTTTGTTACTAAGTTTCTACAGTTTGGCATTTTACGATTTTCTCGTTTTGAAATTATCTAACACTGAAGTGAGTTACTTCAGTTCACAGCAATAAAACACCATTGCTTTAGTTTGTGTGCAGCGTGTATGAATCAATGGGTTTTTTTTCACGAATTTGATCAGATTGTGTGATGATAGAAAAATCAAATGTGAAAAATGGTTTTTTTTTTCCCTTCTAAATTATGAGATTAAATGTTGTAAATAAGATCAATTATGTTTTGCATCATTTTTATAAAGGAAGAGACGATTGACTATACTATCTTTAAAGGCCCATTAGTTCAGCCCAATAAATCTAAAAACTAATGGGCCTTTAAAGATAATATAGTCAATTTTCTATCTACTATCACCTGCTTCAAAAATATAACAGAGAGTTCAACCCTGTGAGCAGAGAACACAAAATTTATGTTTTGTCCAATGTTTAGAATAATGACTCTCTGAACAAAAATATGTATTTGTCCCGAATAGTAAAAAAACGCGAGGCCGTAGATCCGACCTTCAATTCTTAATCTGTATCAAAAGTTCAAGTTAATGTATTCTTACTTGTTTCACTTAATGTTACTGGTTTGACCGTAGAGACAATATTATATAATAACATTACACAACATACAAATAAAATTTAACGGATTGAAAAAAATCGGACATTGACTTTCTATATCTTTCAATAATACCACGAAAAATGCTTTTTCTTTTGCATCAACAATTTCTAAATGTTTACAGTATCATATCTTTGCATTACGGTTTAAACCACATTATGCCTTTATTCCACCCACAGGAATCAGGATTAGTTAAAGGAATATATAGTGCTGTTAATAAACAACTTTAGCTACTGCATTATTACTAAACTAAAAGATTAAAATAACTTTTTTGTGGATTGATCATATATATACATGAGCTAGGGAGAAAGTGAGGGGACCAAAATAGTCTTACTACTTAAAATAGTCGAACATGGGCGATCAAATTGGTTACGACTTAGATGATATAATTTGGTCTAATAAATCATGACATAAAACAAAATAATTGAAACTTAAAGATAGGTTACTTCATTTGGCCATATATTATAACATATCCAAATAATCCATGAAAGTAATGCCAAAGAAAAAGGGGATAACGAGTCAAAAATAAACCAATCCCGAGTTTAATAATAATAAAGTTCACATAATAATTTCAATGCTGTATGAAAGAGTGACAACACTATGTTGCCTATAAGTTGTTGCATGTGGAAGACCCGGGAATTAAGTACTATGATTCCTTTTGAAGATGATGATTTTATCTAGTAAATATTTTTAATATCAAAGAGGCTTTCTATTATGAAAAAGAGATTCGTCTTTTGTCTTCGATTATGGTTTCGTTTATTCTTGAGAGTTTCTAATTATTCGTTTTTTAAAATCTAATAAGATGTTCTATAAACTTCAAATTAAAAATGTTGTAAACTATTAATATTCAAACCCTTAAGTTTTCAACCAGCATTATCAAAAGGTAGTAGTTGGCTAAATGGTTAAAAGGGGTATAATTAATGGAAAACACAAAAATAAGACTGTTAGATGAATATTACAGTAACAAAATAACTACACATATGCTAATATATGGTTTTTGAAATCGACCTAACAAGATAAATGTACTGATATAAATCATGTTATTCTTAAACTGACATAATCAATATTGTTAGGACAAAACGAAAAGTCGAAATGATGGTATCCTAAAGCAATCGAACTCATGTGGATCATATAATAGAAAGAATTGATTAGTTATTAAATAGTATCACAAAAGCATAGCTTTTTAGTGATTACTACCATTCCACTGGTTATCGTAGCTTCTTTTTTTAATCATCATAGTTCATGTAAGTTGGCATTTTAGAAATATATAAACAATAAAACAAATTTCATGTGGTTGGTCGTGGACTAACAAATTGGTTTGGAAAAATTAGGACAAGAAAGAAGATATTTATGATGTTTTTTTTGGAAAACAATGAGTTTGAGACATAAAAACATTGCATAGCGCATTAGCCATTATGCGCTAATAAACATTATATTATAATGCCCATTCTTAAACAACCCATGATGACCATTGTTTAGATATAGATTTAGGGGTGGGCGGGGATCGGATATCTGAGAAGTTTTTAGTATTTGTGGTTTGCTCCGTTTTTCACGGATATTTAATTTTATGATTTGATTTGCTCCGGAAATATACGGATATCCGGATTTTCGGATATCCGGAAAATTTACAAGTATTTGCGCATATATTTACGGATATTTACGGATATTTATAAATATTTAGTTTGATCCGTTTAATATACACAAAACTGAAAGTACATCAATTTTTATTATTAAAAAATATTTTCATCTAAATTATTAAGTGAAAATAACTAAAAGAAAATATTTTATTTTATAAAAAAATCTATAAAAAATAAACCTACAAAATTAAGATGAGGAAAAAATGATATTTTATATTTAAAAATAATATTAACTATTTGAAACTTTAATACTAAATTTTACTAAAAAAAATTTGTTGATATTTATTTACTGATATAAAATAAAATGTTATTTATTAACATATTTTAAGTTTAAACATAACATTTATTTTTTATAATTGATTATTTAGTCATTTATTTTATATAATCAAAAGAACAATTGAAAATTTAGGAAGAAAATTGAGAATATATTAATAAAAATGTATAATATAACTGATATATACATGATAATATATAATAAATTTATAAAGATACAGATCGAATCGGATATCCGGCGTTATCTAAAAACATATTTGTGATTTGCTCCGTTTTGTACGGATACTACATTTTGCTATTTACTTTGCTCCGAAGCTTTACGGATATCCGGATTTTTCGAATCGGATCGAAGCAAATATCGATTCGAAGCGGATATAACGGATGTTTTACTCACCCTAGATATAGTTATTATCCTATTATATAATATTATAACGTTTCATGTCATCGTCCTAATGTAGCAACCAAAATCATAAACAGGGGCATGTTTACTGTACTGTTCCATTATTAACCTTATTTGTATATCAGTATTATTATTTTGGCTCAATGAGAATGTGGTTATCTGGTCATTGCAGTTGCAGAGTGTGTTCGTTTGTGGATAAAAATGACTGAACATATCTACACTACACTATATATATTGTATTTATTGTTAGAGATTGTGCCAAATTAATTTATTCATTGGTTTTTTAATAAATCCAAAAGAATAATAATTTAGGGAAGAAAAAAAATCAAAACGTCTATATCCTTGTTTGTCTTGTACAAATGATTCAAAGTTGGAGATGCAAGAAAATTGGAATTGAAGAACTCGTCAGACACTGTCGTTTTACTATATAACAGTAATAATGGGCCAAGATCTCTGGTCTAGACGGCCCACTTTGTAAGCCCGAGAGAGGACCAAAGCTATGTCTACCACACGTGCGGGGTATTTGATGGGACCCGGTCAAAGTCAGCGTACTATTCGTCGCACGTGTCCGTGTCTCTGAGCAATAAGTCCAATTTTGAACTCCAATTGTGACCTCCCCCAAATCCTACACCGACTTGTTGTCTGCGCCATCTCAAAATTATCTATTATCTTATCCCTAAGCATATTATTAATACTTTTTCTAATATATTACTTCCTCTGTTTTAAAATATAAAATGTTTTTTTTAAAAAAAATATATGATATTCTTTTTTTTATATGCAAAAAGTGATATAAAATAACATTTCTTATCCTTCTATTATTAAAATAATTTTTAGTTCAAAAACATATTCTTTAATTAATAAAAAAATTAAAATAGGTATTTTACAAAAAAAATTAATCTATGTGCACAACCCTAAAACATCATATATTTTAAAACGGAGAGAATATTATTTTTCCTAACCAATAAAAATAATTTTTTTTAAAACCCCTCTCCAACCATAAATTATTAATATTATCATTCTTCTTTGAAAAGAAAAGAAAAAAAGTCATTCTTCATATATATATATATCCCCGCGAAATGGTTTTGAAAGTTTTCATTTTAGTTATTAAGTGAATTGCTTAATTTAACTATGAAAATGAGAAGCAAGTTTACTCTTGAATGGTAAAAGCCGAGGGAAAATAATTTATATTCATTGGTAAAAACGTCCATATCTGTATATGCTTTGTCGTCATTGCGATTTTTTTTGTGTTTTGTGTGTCTCATAAATTATAAATAAAACTTCCGATTATTATAATTAAGGAAATGTGTTTCTGTGGGTTCATAATGCCTTCGATCCACGCACGCGACGCGGGTATGGGGCATATATACTGCATACAAACATTATTACCAAAAAAAACAAAAGGGTACATCATGCATGCAGAACTATAGGATAAGCTTTGCTTGATAAAATTTGTTTAATTTTGTTTTCCTTAATAAATAACGTTATTTGCCTGAAAAATAAAACAATGGATGACTCCAAAAGGATTAAAAAAAAAAATTCTAGTTTCTGGATAAAAGTAAATAAATATTTTAACAACAACAAAAAAACCATATATTTTACCTCATGCAAACCTTCTTTTTCTTATTTTACCAATAAAACCTTCTTTTTCTTAAGTTCAAAAAAAAAAACTTCTTTTTCTTTTGATATGTTTCATTTATTTTTATTAGCTTAACGATAAACACTCACTGTTGTTGATATTTAAGACAGTGTCACGTGAACAGACGTGTGTTCAACTGTTTATCGGCTCCGGTAGGTCCAAGTCAATGCAAGCTTGTGGACACTTGTTGCAACCTGAGAGGGTTGTTACGGAGAAAATGGTACACCTGACTCTCTAGTTGGGTCCCCACAGACAGTAGCAGTGAACCGGTCGGTTCTGTGCGGATTTGTTGGTTTTGTCTGTTTCTGCTTTAGGTTCCCGCGCCTGAACCTCTCTACAGTTTTATTAACCTCTCGAGTCAACTGTGTCACAAGTAAAATACTACACAAGTTTAGGTCCGGATAAAAAAAGTTTATACAATTTGGTTAAGACAAAAGTTCACAAGTTCAGTAACTTTGTTTAACATCAATTCACTTTTGTTAGTAATTAATTTGTTATACAAACAGATTTTAAATATATGTGAATGGATCCTAATTAAAAAAAAAGATTTACAGATTATTTTAAATTCAAGCGACTGTACAATTCTTAGCTCTCATGTTCACAATTTGCTTTAAAAAGGAGAAAATGTTAAATCCAGCGTATTGAAACTAGAAGTAAAACATTTACAAAGTACAGGAAAAACTCCAACGATCTTTGTCTATAATTATCAATC